CCGCCTTGGACCGGCCCGCCGCCAGCTTCTTCTCGAACTGGTATCCATCCTGCACCGTCTTGGGGTAGAGGGAAGCGAGCTTCTCGGGATGCTTCCTGGCGACGTGGGGCTTGACGTTATCGGGTCGGTTCCGGAAGGGCTGGCTACAGATCGGACAGTGGTAGTCCTGACTCTCGTGGTTGCGCTTGATGTGCTTCTGCACCGCCTGCTTCATCCGCTGCACCGACCGCTTGGCACTCATGTTGTCTGGCTTCCAATTGCACATGTTGCACTTGAGTTGTCTTAAGCCGTCGCCTGTGGGTGATACGGGCGACTCGCTCGTTTGGGACGAATCTTCCATGGTCGTGTCGCTGGGTATTGGTGAGGACGGGGCGCTCGCGGGACCGGCGCTGCCGGTCACTTCCAAGACGATGTTGCTGTTGTAAAGGTTGTCGACTGAGGTTGTGAGGCTTGGTTCGGGCATGAACTGGGAGAACTCTCCTCGTTGACTATACGAAGCTTGGAAGTCCTTCGCAATCTCGCCCTGAACTCCCTCACCGACGATGCCGTAACCATCGCCGATAATACCTTGCCCTATGAAGGAAGGCTCCATGCCCTCCATACTTGTTGTTTGCATCAAATCGTCTCTAGGTAGCTCTGGATATGATGGACCGCATGTTAGAGCTGCAAGTGGATCAAAGTTGTAATGTGATTGCATGGTGTTGCCACATGGAGACATGTTCGAGCCATCGAAGCTTGATGTTGGGGTGCAAGAGACGGCCGAGGAGGACCCGGTATATTGGGTTGACAATGAAGAGCCCAATGAGGATCCATACGAGGGTAAAGTGTTGCGGAAACCGCTCCAAAACGAGACTGGACTTATTGCACTTAGACACGGGTCGTTCGAACAGGGCCTGAACGTCGACACCGGAGAGACTTGGGTGTCTATCGGATAAATGGGAATGTGCCTGTTGTTCTCCTTGGAGTTGAAGACAGTGAAAGGCTGGTTGTCCATCTCAAATGGGCCAGTTTCTGGTGGGATGGGTGATGGTTGTTCTCTTTCCGAAGCCAGCGAGGATCTACTGGTAGAAGGGCGATCTGGGGAATTAGAGTTGCCCAAGATATTATCCAAACTTTTCCTGATCTTCACCAAGGTCTTTTCCTTTTTTGCGTAACCAATGTAAGGCAATTGGATGTCTGTCTGACGACAGTCGGGGCATCTGTATTGTCGCGTGTCGGGCTTGACATGCTGGCACATCTCGAGGTGCTCAATCACGTCGAGGAAGGTGCTTTGCTCTTGCGGGCAATTCGGGATAGGGCAGGCCCAAGTTTTTGCCTGGTGTTTTTGCTTATCAAGGCGGATGTACCATTGCAGCAGATTGAACTGAACACATGTTCTCGACGAAGGCTCGAATGTACGCTCATTGAACCTGTCTATACGTTAGTCGTCACTCAGAACCAGGATCAACGAACTTACCCGCATTGCACACCATGTTTTCCATGTCTCTCAGCTACTTGCTGCCATGCTGACTGCTGCGCCAAAGCGTCATTTGGGTTCTCAAGTCCCTGACATTGATAAGCCATGTTTCGGGGCGAGTCGATCGATGAATTCTCCGGCAACGAGGCTGTGGGATTAGATGGACTGCGAGGCTCTCCCCAAGGTTTCTCAGGTGTGCAAGATATCGATAAATGTGTGTATTATTATATTCAAGTGGCAAAAGCCGTCGTTTATAAATAAACCTGGCCGTGCTCCTTTCATTGCCAAAGACCTTCGACCTTGTCGGATGCACTGAGATGTGAATTCCTTGCCCTTCAGGATACCTCGAAGGTCCTTCTGGCTTGCGGTGTCGTATTCCTCCGCTCATCCATGTAATCTGTGCAGTCGCCATAGGCCTGGGCAGTGCTTGTTGCCTTAGGAAGCCTTGCGAATGACCTCGCCCTGCATGAAAGGGTCGACTCGTTGAGTAAATGACACCCAGTAATTCGTTCACGAGAATCCGAATGGCCCGGAACGATAAAGGGAATCAGAAGAATCAAGGAAGACGCAGGGTCGAGACAATAATGTAGAAAAAAGGCATAAGGGAATCGACAATAGGAGGGTATCGTGGACGTGGTTCGCCATGGGTCGCGAAGGGGTGCGAGTTCGGATCAATGGGGACGTAAAGGCTGTCACCCTAGGATTGGATAGATCGTTAGCATCATATGACACCAAGGAGACCAAAGCCCTTCAAAAGGGTGCGTTTGTTCCTTCAAGTCGGTAAGGGCCTTCGAGGGACCAAGGAGGGCACGCCAATGTGCTCGGCTGATAACCTCAGGGCCGCGATCACCGAGCGCTTTGTCGTATTTCCAATGGTTCAATTTGTTGCCTCGATATCTCGGTCAAGCACCCGAGAAACCAGAGCCTCATCGGTGGGGATACCATGCTGGCAGTGCATCTTTCTGGCTGGCTTCAGACAAGTTTTGGTGGCTGTTACCAAGCGGGAAGCAGGCTTTGAGGCAGGCTCGCAAGGCGCAGGAATCAATAGTTTGAATGTCCATTTTGCGAGAGAAAGCAGCTTCCCCGGGAAGTTCGAGTATCCGCGAGGATGGACACGTCGTTGTTATAATATGCCCGGAATCGGCCCCCAGCAGCAGCCCACATCCTCGATTGCCCCAAGAGATGGAATTAGAAGACGCACGATGGGATTCCTGTGCTATATCAAGAAAGCTGAATATGAGCAGTCAGCAACGCCCCCAAACGGCCTCCACGGGCGATGTCACCGCCCCGACCATCGTGAATGCCGGCGCCCAGCACACCACACAGGATTCCGCAGCGCCCAGGTAAGCCATCGCTCGATAAGAGCGAAGCCCCTCAGAGGCACGCCCATTTTGGGCATAGTAGCTGCACCTTGACGAGAAAAGCACTCACCGGGCGATTATGAATCAGTCCTGACGAGCGTGTCTTTGCCGATCCAGTGCATACATAAAGCGGGGGGTCAACGGCGTTATTGGTGGTGTTCAGAAACCCACATGCAGTGGCTCGAATTCATGCAGAAGACTGGATTTGGGGGCTGCGACTTGCAATCGCCCGGGAAACTTGCGCACTCATACGGAACAGACTGTCCCAGCTCCTCATAGCCACTGTCTCAGTGCGTCAGTAAGATCTGCAGAAACGAGGAAATAGACACTCACAGACGCCCGAGTTGTCGCAACATCAATGGATCCTCCACTTGCGACTGACAGAAGATTTTTGCCGCGGCCATTTGATGTCTGGTATCTATCAGGTTGCCAAAAGCAAGCGGATTGGCGAGGACTGGATACCGGATCAGGTGCGTATCTGCTTCTGCCACAGTCTGATTTGGAGAAATGTGAGAAGACAGCATAGCCTTGTCCAGAAAACCAGAGCTCTCGTCAGGTTTAAAGGACTTTCTCGAGTACTCTTTATACATCCATCAGCTTCAAAGTCCTAGAATCTCATCAGGTGCTTTGAACAATGGTGCGGCCATGGGAAGCCCAACAACGAAAGGAGCCATACCATCGGCTCATGTGATGGACGCCAGTGGGGGTGTCCAGCAAGGAAAACTCAGATTTTCGATTCTGAAGCCGCCACTGGCGCGCCACACCTGTGCGCCTCGCATTTGTGTGCTTCGTTGCTCACATGAGAAGTGACCACCACTCGTCATAGTCGACGATGCTGCGGAAAATCAGCAGTAGAGTCTGACCAAGTGGGCAGACGATAAGATGACATTTGCCCTGTTTGAGGGAGAGGAGGATTCGGATTCTCACGATTGCATGGGAAGTATCCTGAGACCTGGGCCTGCTAGAGAAGGCCAGGCGGGAAGCAGCATCGTTTCGCGTACCCGTGATGGTCGTCCCGCGCAGAAACCTGCGTGCTCCCATGCGGCTCGACAATGATCCAGCGCGATCGTCATCATGACAGCCAGCGGACCTGTTTTTGATAAGCACTCTCTGGCTTCACTTTGTTCGTCCCTAGCGATGCGGGACTTCCTTCTTTGTCGTTGAAATTCCGTATGAGTCATTTCCTGAATGTGCAAACCATCGGTTTCAAGCAGGACAGAATCCATCCTATCTAATTGTCGGCTGCATTCGCTTGTCAGTCTAAAAGTTTACACAGACGGAGACTCCTACTTAACTTGAGGTGTTCCAAGGTTCTCTCTTCTTCAGCACCTGCTCCTGTCGCCATAACCATTGCTGACAGGTCTGGTTCTGGTGACAGTGTTTCTAGGTGAGTCGGTTCGTCGATGGCGAATTTTTCTGCATAAGAATATCCAGGAGACCTCATCCAGGTGTCAGTAATCACCTCACGGGTAGCGTTGATTTATTCTTGAGTCATGGGGTCTATGCATATCATCCATCCCACTTTTGATGGGGCGAGTTGTCAGTTGTCATATTCTTGTCCAATATTATCGTTCCATGAGTAGGATCCAGCTCCGGAGACCAAGTCGCCCTCCCTGGTCCTCTTCGCTTCACTTGGCTTGCGATAGGGCGGCAGAAGCATAGATATGCGGAGGCGGTGAGCCTAAAACACTTATGTCGAGTCTGCTACTTGGGTACATAGAGACTTATTGACAAGTTTCGAACTCCTTAATGTTTCCAGCAGGATTCGAACTCAAATACAGTCCTCAGTCTCGGATGTTGATGTATTGGCTGCTGTTGAACGCCAAGGCCTTGTAGATCTGTCGTTGGGACTTTCTTTACGACCTCAGGCAGCCACGCATGCAGGCGACCACCAAGCTGGGATAATCAATTTCGACAAAGATCTGTTGGCTCGCGCCAAAGTCATCATGTAAAACCACTCCCGCAAAAGTAAGGCGACCAGTTGCGTAAATTTATAATATTTTTACAACGTTCTTACACAGGCAGCCAGCCAGCATTCACAGGTATTCCGTGCCGCCGAGCCTCGAGTCTTCCACATCGTGGGAAGACAAGAGACCGGGCAGGTACTCGGGAGGTTCTTCATGCTAAGGAGTAACGTGCGCGATAATATTGTGGAATACAGGTCTTGCACAAAACATTGCCTGATGTTACGATTGAAATCTCTCAAGGGAATCGATATGGCGGTCTGGGAGACATTTTCTGCTCTCGGTCTAGGGATCATGGTTCGACATGTTAGTAAGTGCGATACCAAGAATTCGTTTCATTATTACGCAATTTCGAGCAAGTTTTCTGTTGCAGAAGAGGTGCCAAAGACTAGACCCTCTCCGAGGCCTATTTAATATGTTTCTTTACTCACCAACAGACACGTTTTACTGACTCTTCGATAGTCTACCGTGACGGTTATTTTCTGTGTATGGATTAGCATCGGAGCCAGTCAAGAGGCGACTTATCGGCTCTCAGATTCTCAAGCCATACTACGGTGGTTCGGAGGAGTTCGACGTCGACCCGCTCGAGAAATTCCCAGACGAAGCCTTTAAAAAGACATATGTGCATTGGCTGACGGAACCGGGCAATCAAGAGGAACAGGTGACTTATATGGCGGTAAGCGTCCCAATCTCAATACCTGATCATTTATTTCTGTTCAAGTTAAAAAGTTTATCGGGTCTAACGAGTGTTTGAAATTCCAACTTTCTATCAGCCGCTAACATTACTTCTTTTTGTCGACAGTACGGCAATGAGAGCAGCCCTGGTTCATACTATTCACATTGCGCAATTCTTATTAAGGTTCCTACATGGAATCGTCGTGTAACAGAGAAACTGGGTTCTGATGACGATCTAGGCGTCGATTCTGAGGAGGTGGAGAGAATCACACCCGAGGAAAGTGCCACAAGGAAGAAGCGCGTCAGGGAGGAAAACGAAGAGTCTCTAAAACCACTACTAGAAGGCCTTGTCAAGAATCGACGCATACACAGGGGCATCAAGGAATAGCGTCTCATCTTAAGCTGGTGGTTTTACTGAACGTCGTCTCTACCATTAGCACACTGCTCGCAAAATTTTGTGAAAGCGTCATATATTGGAAGCTGAAAGACCTCGGTATTTCTTTATTTCACCAAATTTGTATTGGAATCAAATTCATCCGTACGTAGTTGCATTTTGTTAGAGTGGTCCATGTCCATACTGAATGACCTCCTTCCACGTCCAAATCGATATGGGGCAGCAGGACTCTAAAAGGAAAATTCCCATTGCCTCCACCTCGAGCCACAGAATTCATGGCCATATTACTGCAGGAAATAAGGCCAAGACTTCCTCATACCTTCGGGATGTATACTACCGAGATTTATAGACCGTCGGTTCAGAGACGTCTTGGGCTGAGTAAGACCCTAGGTCGCAATTCGCAGTCAAATGGGCCTAGCGGCTTTCAACTGTGCATCATATATACTGATCTCACCCTCTTTTCATGCCTGACTGTAATCATTCACTTGATTTTGTTGGAGACTCATTCTTGGCTTGTCCCCCCCTCCAGAGACTCGGTCCGCGTTGCAAAAACTGAGGAGCTGCAAATTTACCGTGCTTGATCTCACTAGAGATAACAAAGTTATTGTTCGAATCAGCATTTGTGATTCTACATCTGCTCAGATTGTCCAAAAAAGCTTTCCATTCCCTTTCAGCATGATTCTTCGGCGGTCTTGCCGACGAGACCCCCTTGTTGACGAGCAAAAACCGAAAAGCTGATGCTCAACAGTACGTCTACTCTGGAGGGAAGAAGAAATGGTAATTAGGCTCCAAAGCCTGAATCCAATGCCAACAGAGCGGGGGAAAAAAGAATTGTTATTTGATTATACGGCCACAATTCGCACGAGAGCCTCGTCAAGCTTCGTATAGAGCAACGCTAAAATGGTCAGAGATGTGCATGAGGCACACTGCGACCAAAAAAAAAAAAAGGATTGGCACGAACTGAAAAAGAGACTCAGCGGCTGAAAATTCACGTCGCTTGCTTCCTCAACACCTACCCGCCAGACTTCCCAGATCGGGGTTTGCCCCGAGCTTGCCCTCGGATCAGTGTCCGTGAGAAGACGGTTTCCGGAAAATCATGCCTGTTGATCCTACCAAGAGATGTGACATAAACAGTATTCCAACTACTCCCGAATTTACAGCACAGCATCCATTATCAAGGAGGGCGTCCTTGCCAATGAGTCCACTAGTAATTGAAGCTCCCTTGGACGTCGACCACAAATGCTGTAACGCATGATCACTGAGCCATGAGTGGGAAAAATGTATTTGAACATCAGATAAAGCAATGTGGAAAAAGGGTTATAGAATGCGTATATCAATATCTGTCAATTGTGGACGGAGAGAAGCTGCGGGCAGTGGGTGCTCGGGAGTGCTGAGTTCCAACGCCCATCACCTCGTGGGAAGGCAGCGGCCAGAAGATATGAGAACGTTAGTCATTTGGGACAGAAATTTCCGTATAGCTACATGTATAATCAATAGTATACACTATTGTCTTACGACGTTTTGGTGGCTCTTCAAAAATTCAGGTGATACGGTACGGTGAGCTTCATCCGCCATGTGATCTCCTTTCTTTTTCTCAGGGCTGATATATGCTGTGGAATATATGACAAATACATAATAGATTACCGGAACTCAGGGGTAAGAACAAGGCTCTGGCAAAAAGAAAGAGGAGGGAGATTCGTGGCACACGAGGGTGTAGAGGTAGAGGACAGAGGGGTGATTGGATCTGTACGACACATATTCTCTCCATACTTATGGGCTGTCATGGTCTTCTCTAATCATCTGAAGATGATGTGGTACTATGAATGTGTCACTGAGGGTATTCAGTAATATATGAAGCGCCGAGTTGATGGATACGTCTGAGCTCCTCTACTGCATGGCATCGGCACCTTAGGGTTGAAGGAGTGCCTCGCCCTTCGGCATGTTGAACCCTTGGGACACGACCCTACTCATCAATTCTCCGCTGCCCAATCCGCATCGCAAACTCTTGCCTCGGCATTTTCACTCCAGAAAGCCCAGCAAAACCCCAGAGAAACCAGCGAAAAAGCAACCCGCCGGGACCTTGTCGCCTGAAACGCCAAATATCGCCATTTCGCCTGTCTGTTCAAAACGAGTCCTCCCTGTCTTTTCTCCGCCACGCCTGATTACTCCAGCCATGTGTGTGGTCCACGCGGAAGCGGACGAATGATAGACGTGTGGCCGCGGGAATCCGCCAGCCACAGCAAGCCGCAAATGCAACGGTAGCCCACCCCGCGAAACGGGAAGAGATGAAAAAGCAAGGTCTGTTCTACCTCGCTAATCGCGCTGAACCGCAGCGACCCCCAAACTCCTTATCATAAATCACAAAACAGCAGGGAGATGAGTTTCGCTTTTGCCCGTGGGAGGGGGGACTTTCTCACATGGAGAAGCCCCCGACCTCGGGGTAGAGGTATGCGTCCAGGTCGCCGCTGACATGCAGGGCCGACATTGTCGGGTCCACGTAACCTCCGAGGCCCGCCGGCGGCCCTGACGCCGGGTACGACGTAGGGATCTGCTGCTCGTTGATTGACGAGGTCTTGAGTTTGAGGTATTCCGCCTGCAGGTCTGCGTACGCTTGGCTGAGCACGTCGTTCCGCGCCTTGGCGTCGTTGAGCATCTGTTCCAGGTCCTTGATCCTCTGGTCTTTTCGCTCACGGTAGGCTCTTTGCGAGGCACGGTTTTGTGCTCGGCGGCGCTGTTGAAGCTTCGTCAGCATGAAATTCCGTCCGCGGGCTCGTGAACCATATGATTGTGGAGCTTTTGTCTGGGTGGCTGGAACATACCGATAGGACTGAGGGTGGAGCGTTCTTGTATCTGTTCTCTCGCTTCCTCTTCGCGGCTGGTTTGATTTGCGCGGCTGATGTTTGGTCCTGTGGTGACATGCTTCCCTCTTCTCCTTCCATTTCCGGGCTTGGCATCCTATCTGAGCCCGTAAAATCTCTAGAGAAGGTCATGTCGTACTGTACGATATTAGCGACGGTGCTAGAATGGGTGAGAGGTAATCGGACATACGGGAGAGGTCGCAGAACTTTGTGTTTCTGAGCGGCTGGCGTCGAGGAATTGGTCTTGGTCACTGAAAGTGTAGAGGTAGGAATGCGATGGCGATGGGGCGTCGAGGAAAAGGCTGACGTCCTCCATATTATACGATGTGGTGAGTTAAGAAGGCTATGGCGGTGTGTTGTTATAAATATCACTGTGGATAACAAGGTGTGGTGAGAGATATGATGGAGGGAGGGGCTGGCTGGCTAAGGGAAGGGGCGACGAGCTTGTATTATAAGAAGATGCTGGTCGGACCCAGGGATGGCCAAAGGATGTCAGAGAGTGGACTACTCATGGTACGGAAGGCTGCCAGATTTACGTGGAGGTGCAGTTGCATATGCGAACACAGGCAAGAGGAAATCATTGCTGTGCTGGTGTGAAGGGCATCTGAGCAATGGCACCAGTGACTTCACCCTGCCGCTCTGGTTACATCGGTGGCCAGGCCGTCCATTACGGAGGAAGAAATGATTGAACTTGCGGTGTCACTAATACCTTGATATTGTGGCCTGGCCTGCTGGCCATCGGTCTGCCCAAGCTGTGCACCGGCCCCATGTTGGTGTGACACAGTGGCCATCCCTGAATCCATGCCCATGCTCGAGATAGGGCTGGGGAGGATGAGCCGGGAGCAACACAGGTACATCAAGTATGTACAGTTGGCGACACACTGCCTCCACTTGGTGTGGATTCGACTTATGATTGACCAGGACTGCCAGGGCGTAGAATCTCACTACTGCTCATGACAGCAAAGCCGAGTGCTGCTCGTGGTGGGCTTGTCAGCTGGGGGACTAGCATACAGTAGGCGGTACAAGGGTGTAGATACGGGTATTTTTGTCGACTGGCAGCAAGTGGAACGTCTCGACGAAGGCCGACATGATTCATTCATCCATCCTGGACTGAAAGCGTCGGAGACGTTACTTGCGCGATCCTCCTCTCCGACTTGGCTGCGCATAAAGCTGCAGGACGTCATTAGCTGGAAGGTCGGTTTCTCGGGATGGTCCTAGATCGTGGGCCGTGATGCTCGTGGGGTGTCCACGACGCCCAGGATACCGAAGACGACCGTATTCTGTAGCGCAGTACTATGTACGAGGTGACGGGAGTGGGGAGCCTTGCTCCTTGCCCAGGGCTGGGAAGACGTCTGACATTGGCGACAAGGGGGTCCCGCCAGGGGTCGAATGACACAGTCTATAGGGCTTCGTCTGCGCACAGTGAGAAATCTGACTTTCTGGGCCGCCATTCGACGGTCACTCCGTTCTGTCTCCTGCGTCGCCGAGACATGCAACAGATGTTTCTCCGCTACTTTCTTCTTATTGCTGTTCAGTCCAGTGGTGAGCGAGCGGAGGAGACGTCCCCTCCATGGGTTTCTTGGCATGCATTGGATACTCGCTCATACATTTCGGCGGCCAGAGCGATGCTCCGCGACGAATACTCTGACAATTGACTCCACGTGTATTTCGTGACAGTGCCGGGCTCTGCGAAGGATCTAAGGCGTGATTCTGGTCTACATCTGATAGGATGTTCTTCGCTTCTACCTGGTCAAAGATGCAACATTGCAGGTCTAATGAGGCATGGCAGGTAGACGCGGTGGTTTTGTTAGCCGCCAGACAACCTAAGCAACCATGAAGTGATCATTCGCGAAGTGGGTCATTCTGACTTGTCATGACCCGAAGTTGTGGATGAGGATACCCTCGATGTCGCAACCCAGGAATGTCAGGTTCGCCGTGAGCAGGCTGATCTGCGCTGTCAACGGTGCATACTGACCTGATTGGCAGGTCGGCATTTGAACCCGGTCTTCGCCATTCTTCATCCTGAGTCTTCGGCCTATGCATTGTTTGCTCGTGAAAGGGGCTCGGTGAACTTTAGGCAGTCTCAACGCGTTGATGTCGATCATTCGGGATGCGCGTAGCACTGAGCCTCGAGGTTATCTAGTTGTCGATGGTACAATCTACCGAAATCTCTTCCGTTGAAGACTTGCATGCGTTTATTGGGTGGACTCGGAAGGTGAACTACCAATAGCATGATCTCTTCGAGGGATAGTAGCATGCAAACTGTAGTCAAAATTTCAGCGACATCGTGGTCCTCTGGTGCTTGGAGGCGAGAACCACCAGCGACGGCGACGTGAGAACCAGAAGAGCCAGCACTGCACTTCGAGCCAGATTTCCGCATCGGGCCGAAGCCTTGTAGCTAGCAGAATCCTGCAACAATGGCCGGAAGCAACCGGTTGAATTCGAGAACAAAAAGAAGGTCCTCTTTCTTCAAAAGTCGGGTATTATTTCTGCTCTACAAGGGGGACGCAAGCCACCAGATGAAGTGAGAAACCCCATAATTAGAAAGATTAAGCTCCTATGGGAACCAATGCAGGTGCAGTGGGGTCCCGTCACCGGCGATGCCACGAGGAGGTTGTCATCGAGATGATGAGACCTGGTGGCACAATGTCTTGCTGGGCACGACTGAGCCAACGATGATGCGTGGTGTGTGGTGTGTGCATCGAAGAGCAGGGTCCAAGTGAAGTCGAACGTCGACGTCGAAGTCGATTGTCACGGGCCAGCCGTCCCCGAGATGCCAGGCTGCAGAGTTGACAAAGGGAAACAAAGTTTTTGATCGACACTTTAATCTGTGCACAGACGGGACCCGACTGATTGGTTCCTCCCCACCTCAGGCAGTCTCACAACGGCAACAGCCGTTCCCGACTCCTTGGCCACGATCGCAAAGTGTTGCTTCTCTTCCTCTTCTGGCATATCTTTCGTGCTCGCGACCTTCAAGTACTCCATCATCTGAAAATCTTTTACAGACGGCAGTTTTCTTGTGTCGTCTATCAGATTTTGTCCTGTTGCTTCGAGGCAAATTCCGCCATGATCGTCACCAGACGAGCTGCATGGTGCTCAAATCCCGCCGCGGAAATCTGCTGTCAGCAACGCCGCGCAGTAAGCGAGGCTGCCGCTTCCAGGGAAGGGTGGGTGGTGCTGGCCTTGTGAACGTGTCAACCTCCTGCGATGGCCTCTGCCGAATCAGGTAGGCCTTGGCGGCTGGTCTTGATGATCCTGACCTCGAGAGGAAGCCTGGACCCAAGAGGAGATGGGATGTACGTCGCAATCAAGGGTCCAAGGACCAGAAATCTCACCGATAGTTGCTACGTAGGCATGCTAGCCGATACCAGTCATCTTCCTTAATCTTACGCACCCTCTCCATCGCTCAAAAGGTCCAATGCGGCAGGGGTTTTGGGTCTCTTTGGGCACTATATCACACCTGACAGCTTATGGTCTTCCATATCTGGGCAGCTGCACAAAAAGCCCCTGCAAGTCTCGAGGCATCAACTTAGGCTATCTATTGTCATCGGCACCCTCCTCGAAGACAGCAACCCTCATCTGGGCCCAAGTCGAGCGGCTACCTCCGCCGCCCGGAGGAGAGTGTATATTTTACAGACTCAAACGTGCAAGATTGATCGGGTCCGCATCTGAGACGCGGTCCCGGGCCCCGGCCTTAGAGCTTACTCTATGGTGTGGAATCAATAAGGCCCTAGATCCGGGAGGATTCAGGGGCAACACACTCTAGCCAACTACTCACTGTTGTGCCGTACATCAGAAGTCTTTGAGTTCATCCTCAGGATTCACAACTGAAGATCAAGACCCCATGGCGGAGCAAACAATCGGCTCGCCTCTCAAGGTGCTGCTGTATGGCGCGTTCACGGGTGTCGAACCCCACAGATCTCCGATGTCAAGACGCATGCTGTTGGCCCACCACCAATCAACAAGGACTCCAGCGGGCACTGTGTTCCCACCATTCCGCGCTGGAACCCTCCCAAGGCCTACCTTGCATCCGATACGAACGAGAGAGAGAGCGGGGAAGCGGTTCCTCTAGCCATACTCTGCTGAGGGACAAGCTTTCTTAGGGCCATGCGGTGCGAGTAGGCGATGATCTGGATGCACTCCGGTGTCTTCAGTAGATGGACCCTTGGGAGCAGTCTGGTCGACGCGACGCGGGATATGTAGATTATTGCCTTATCTCCCCGACTAAACAACCCCTCTTTCAGCTGGGAATTGCGACTGAGGATTTGTCGACAGTCGACCGAGGACTGACCCGCCGATACCCGAACTGTGTACAACCTCAGGGCACCTATCCATCAATGGGCGTTTGAGAAGAACCCTGGGACAATTGTTATATAGCGTTGATTCCCGAGAATATGCGCACTGCTAATATACATAAATCTCCATATTTAAGAAAGAAGGGACCAACGTCTGGGACGTCGTGCTACATGTCTAACCCAGCGAGATAAGCCCTCACAGCAAAACACACTTGGAGCTGTATCCAGTCCTGGGCCAAACGAGAACACTCATTACTTGCGCGCCTGTTTGGAATGCGGTGGATACTTGTGGTGTGAGAGAAATTCCGCACCACACCACTCATTACAATGCATCTTGTCGGACGGCCTATTTGCCCAACTTACACATGCATAGCCCAATCTTTGGATCTCTGCCCAAGCAGCCACCAAAGCCATATGGGCAGCCGACCCTTATCCTGCGCGACGCTGAAGCGGCGGGGCTGCCTCTAGATGTGGCAGTTCCGTCTTCGTCCCCAGGATTCCACATATGAGCCTCAGCCTTAGCCACCGCTGAAAGGTGGCGGGCGGGGGGACCCTCGGGTGGCTTGCATAGAAACAATTTACTTTAGGATCGAGGCCTAGAAAGACGCACAATCTGTACCATGTGCATGGGCAGGTTGCTTCACCAAACCCCCACTCTGAGGTGATACTTACGGTGAGGACTTTTGTCTATTCTTAGGATTTCGTGAACAGAGAGAGGTTCGTGATGAGGCTTGCCCCAGATGTGCCAAGGATTCAGCGCTAGCAAGGGTTGAGTATCCTATGTAGGTGATATCATGTTGTTGTTTCCAGCCGCCGACGGGAAACACGGACTATTTGCCGCCGACGAGACGACTCAATTCGTCGTTTCACGAATTTATGTCTTTTTATTCTCCCTCTCGTCATCTCCCACCGCGGTGGTTCTTTTCCTGACACTGTAGGCTAGACGCGCACATGTGCTCTGGGAGGAATTGCTCCCCTGCGCCTCAGGCAGCACCTGCACGATTAACTACGAGATCCGCTCAAAGATCGTGGGACTGCAATTAATTTGGGCTGAAAAGATTTGATTGGACAGCCAGAAGTGGGTGTTGTGCGGGCGGCCAATGCGCGTCAGATGCGCCACACCATGATGCAAATGATTCCAAAGAACGGCCGCATCGGCCCACCACCCTGGCCTTATGAAGGACTTTGCGAAATACCTCCTTGTCCACGAAGGAGCCCTATCTGCGGCCCCAGGATGCCTCCACAATACCCGCCATGACGGCTACCCGTACCGAGCCCAGGGCTTTGGCGCAATGGAGTAGGTAATATCGTGCCACCCTCACAGAGCCCCATCCGTCCGTCACCTCTCACAAGCTTCCACCGCTAGGCCTGTGACAATGGCCTGCAAGACTGCAGCCACAGTCGCGTCCATTCGTCGCCGCGGCCGTGCCGACGGACACAACCTTGAAAACACGTGTGCCCTACCCCGGGCATGCAGGCAATGGTTCTGAGGTCAGCGGTGTAGTTAACACTCGATGCTCTGTTCGGTGCTTGTTCGTGCTCTGGCGGGTCTACTTCGGTATGAGGCCCGTGATAGCTCCCTGAGCCTAGTTAGGACATCTCGAGACTTTTCTGGATTGTGCTTCTGACGACCGCCACAATCTTCAAATGCATGTTGAACATGGGTTCATGTAAATAGCCGCGCACATGCTTGTGCTCGTGATTGGATTACGAACATCAAGGAATGGTCTTGATACTTCTCGGATCTCACTGTCCTGCATCGGTGACCAGAGTGGTCTGATGATTGCGAGCTCCGCGAGCAAACGCCGAACATCTGAAGAAGTCGAGCGCAAGACACCCTAGTCCATAGTGTATTCCAAATGCCGTGCTCGTTCGACACTATACGGTAAAACGATTGAAACGTTTCACACAGACGAATTTTCTTCTTCACTGATTACCATGGCTGGCAGGTAAAGATTCATTGACAACGTCGCATCCCGCGTTCATCCCTTGCCTTCAACTGCGGAACTTCGAGGTCTCAGGTGACTCATAATGACTGGCTCCGAAAGTGAAAACTCATCCGCCGTGCCAAGAGTTTTATTGTGCAAGGCGCTTCAGCCCAGCTTGAGCCTGCGCAACACCTGCCGCGAAGCCATTCTTCTCACTGAGCTTGATGCTCTGTTCGTACAGTCGACGCGCCTCTTCGACATCACCTGCCATGGCTGCGATTTCACCGAGGTTAACAAGTGCCACAGCGCAAGCCTCATCACATTCGGGTGTTCGCTTCTCCCCAGTTGGTTCCTTCGCGTGACGATATGCGTTCTTGGCCCATCTTTGTCCTGACTCAAGGAGGTCCTTGCGCGTCCACTGTTCGCCTGAGTTGGATTTTGGAGCTGCATCACCTTCGCCAGGGACAATTCCTGCGAGTGTTTCGTAAGGAGCCCGGGGTGGATGCTGAGCGAAAGTCACGGCGAGGTTATTCATGATAACAGCCATGTGGCATTGATCTTGGCAAAGCCTAAGGGCTTGGAAGAATAATGGCAGCGCCAGGTCGAATTCAGACTTCCGTTCATAGCTGTGGGCGAGGGACTCCAGTGCGCCACCGATTTCTTCGGGAGTCATCCACGCTCCTTCGCCCGCTTTGACGCCCTCGGTAGTCCGCCGACGAAACTCTCCCAGAGCAGTCTCGACAGCCCACATCAGACGCTCATGGGCCTTGTCATTCTCAAGAATCTGCTCGTGCGCATATAGTTCTCCCAGCTTGGTGCTAATTCCGACTGACTTGCCCAAGATCCTGGTGCGCGAAGAGCGCAGCCATTTGTCAAAGTCCTCTTGGGTAATAGTCTTCTCTGTCTCGCCTTCTCCCACTTTCGTACCGGGGCGAGGTGCCCGTGGGAGCTTCTCAGGTGCAGACGCGGCCGTGTTCAGCCACTTCTTGTTCTCGGTCAAGACGAGCTCCAAGACATGGATTGCATTCTCCACATTGCTGATCCTCTCGAGCCAAGCAGCAAGCTGGATCTTGATACCAACCACCTCATCCGAAAAGGGGTCCAGACCATGCTCATTGCATTGTTCAATGGCCAGCTTGTAGTACTTCAGGGCGAGCTTCGGGTCCTCGTAGTAATTGCTGTAGTGGAGAGCACGTCTCAGGGACTTCGCAATTTCGGGTGGGTATTTGGTAAACTGTCTGGCATAGAAGTAGGAGAAGTACATGTATACGACATATCCGATGACACCGGCCGCTCCGGCAAGCCTACATTAAAGTCAGCGAGGTAGGAGAGGAGAGGGTCAGTGAGTGACTTGCAGTACCAGTGCCAGGACAAGTTCCTCTGGACTTTGGCGGAACAGCGTCTTGAGGTTCTGCCCACGAAAAAGGTTCGGTATGCGCAACGCGCTTCGCAATACCTGCCCGAGTGGTGGCGGTTGGGGTGGTGTTCCTGTCTGCTTTTCATTCGGGGGCGGGCGGCCAGGTGGAGTAAACGATGACCTCGACGCATATCGAGCTTGAATACTGGACCTCGTAGTGCAAGGTAAAGTCTGTCTGCTACCGGATCTGGTGGACAACAAACTTCCAGGAGTCCTGATTGTGGTCGCCCGGCGCAACGAGTGCGGTGGCTCAAGCACGGCGCGAAGCAGTTCGCGCCGTGGAAGCTTGGCGCTGTGAATGGCAGACATTGCCAACTGCCGGAGCTCTTCGATTCGCGGCCTTCAACAATTGCGGTTGGATGTAGACGGCATCGGAATGGACGGTGGCCGAATTCGTCGGGCGCTCAAAGAACAGTCGCGAGCTTCGAAAGCTGCGAACATAACTTTTTTGAGAGCTCTCCATCCCGCCAGCTTCATGACGTGTATTTCGATCCCTGCCCGCTGACTAAGTGTGTGAGTTGCGTGCTCCATCCGGCACCTCCACCCAAGCTCCCGCGCTCCACGGGGACCCTTTGAGGCCCCCACAACAACGATCTCCGAACACACCGTCAACTCAAGTATCCGAGAAGCACAAATCGCCATAAGATAACGTGCCCTGTATTGACACTGCTTGCCTCCTTCACCATTCGACGTTTCTCGCATCTCTGAAAAGTCCCCGCAATCAGCCTCTCAACCAAATCGAGACCAAACATCTCTCAGCTAAACCCACACAATGCCGGACTTCAAGCCTAAGACCGCTGTTGAGTTGGCCCCTCCTAAGGACGACCCTATCTCTCTGGAAGACCTTGCCAAAGCCAATGGTATGACATCCCTGTTGCAGGTTGAGCTTCAGTGAATACTTCCGTCTCTGAATTCGAATTGTCACTCTGTATGAGTGCTTCCACATTGTCATCAAGTTCGGACACACGGCCGGATAATAAACCAGACCTCCTCTTCAGATGGGTGCTAACTAATTGTCACAGGACAAGACGGAGCGAAATGCTATGTCGCCATTAAGGTATGAGCTCTTGGCCGTAGAAATGTTTACTGCGCTCTGGTTCTCATACAACACAGGGAAAAGTATACGACGTGACTGGCAACAAAATGTACGCCCCCGGGAACTCATACAACGGTAAGCTCAGCAGGCCTTCATATGAGCCTGATCTTATCATTTCTTCTCATCAAGCAAGGTTACGAGTGCTAACAAGCAATCGCTCTTCAAGTCTTTGCTGGCAAGGATGCTTCCAGGGCGCTAGGGAAGACATCCACCAACCCAGATGATGTCTCGCCAGAGTGGAAGGACCTGAGTGATAAGGAGAAGGGCACGCTCAACGACTGGATCAAGTTCTTCTCGAACAGGTACAACGTCGTCGGAGTTGTCGAGGGTGCCACGAATTTTGAAGATGAGCCTGCCGCGGCCTCCTCCAGCTAGAAAAGGGCATCATAGAATGCAGAGGCTGGTTGTCAGCGAGCAAACAGTGTGACAGTTCCGATACTAGATATGTGCTCAGGCCTTGGGACGCATTCTTATCTGGGTCCTTGGTCTCGTCAATCAAGTTCGCCGTGGAAGCGATGCGCTTTTACGGCCCCAACAGATCTCTCGGGCGCACGGGATGCAGTCTGGGATTCACGAAACTTTGTGGCAGGGGTCTAAGCAAAGGGGGAGGAATTGACCAAACGGTTAGCTACGTGCCATCTCGTCTCTCAGCCGTTCCGCGAAGGGTGTGTTCGAGCCGGGCCGGTGGCCGCGTGCGTCTCGGGCAGGCTCCCGCTCGCTGGCATCTCGTCTCAGTCAGAATGGGGCGAGGCAACGCAGACGCGGCTTTTGCCGAGCTTAGCCACGTTTTTCCTTGCGACATCCTCGCATGTGCTGTGCTATGCTATTCTATGCCATGCCATGCTGTCATCCCATTTACGCCGGGGATTTCTTATCCTGAGCTTAGTTCGTTGCACAATGCTCGCTCCCGTTGGCACAGTGATCTGGATCGCCGTAAGGCATGTGAAGCATCTCTGCCTATATGTACCTAATCGTGATTGTTTGCCTGCAACTTCATAACGAGATCACCACGGTTCAAAACAAATACTCCGCCTCGAGGATGCTGTGACAACATCATGCTGTGAATTCAAGCGCCATCAGCGTAGACTCCGGGGATGTCAAAGGTGCTGTCACAGGAAACACCACTTTTTTCCCCGACCAGTCAAGGAGACTTCTCGTCCGTCACATGAGTCCTGCGTGAAGTGGCTCGGCGAATTCTTGTGTGATTCACTGCTGGGCCCCCAAAGCGTACACAACATCGTAAAACAGACTTTTGATTGACCGGGGGAGCAAGAATCTAGGCAGGAAACAACTAGGCCTATCTACACAAAGCTGCAGCGTTGCAAAGGTAACCCAAGGTAACCTCTCTAGGAGGGAAGCCGCTTGCCCCGGAGGATAAGTCGGCCTCAGCAGAAGAGAAATGACTGCCGTACTCGCCCAACATGATCTCAAGTATGACCTGATGGGCCCTAGCGGGCTTCCGTTGGTCCTCCTGCGCATCCACCCAGCACCAATGACAAACAATACAACATCGGAAGCCCCGGAGCATCTGCCCATACCCGTGCGGCTCCTTATCGACGTCGCTGGCCTGTATTTTGGGGCAAACTCATCAGCTTCGCATCGCAGACGCCTTCCAAGACCTTTGGCACGAGGTCTTCCCTTCCCCACCCACGATCCAATACAAGAGTCTGACGGCGGTTCACTCACTGGGGTCCTGTCCATAGGGCTGGTACGATCGCGTAGACGTCCTGTTATTTCTCTGGCTGCACTTGTCGCAAATCTCAGGCACGTCCCAGACCTTCTTGAGGACCTGGACGCCGAAGCACTGGTGGTTGGGGTCGTTGCGGGCGAAGTGGCAGTAGTTCTTCCGCTTCGTGTAGGAGCAGGAGCATCCAAAGATGAACTCTTCCCAGTCGCACATTGTGGCGCTATTTTTCCTCAAATGGCTGCCTATTGGGTATTCCAGCCTGCCAGCACTGGTCAGCCGACCGGAATCCTAGGAAGGGGTATCACTGGTGGACACCACCAAGAGGAAGAATTGGTTGGGGACTCACTTGTGACAAGCACTGCCTCTGTGTGCCTTGAGGTGCAAATAAATGCCGAATTTGGAATGCTTGAGTAATTCAAGATGATCAGAGTGCTCTCGAAATGGATGTTGGTGCGCTTGCGGCTTTTGAGTATCTCACGTGGACCATGAAGCACAGATGCCTTGTTGGCCTCGCCGAGTAACCGCGTCCCTTTTATACCACTTCATGATACGCTTACTGCCAACTGCGTGGCCTGCGAATCTACGATGGCGGTTTGTTGAGCAAACGTACTCGCTTCTGTCATCACGGCAGCAGCATCGTCTGATGCTGTACGTGGAGTTGTTTCGATTGTATCGGGATTCTGCACGTGAAAGCTTGAATTCATCATATATGCAGTCGATTTATCATTTATGACCTTGTTTAATGGTTATCTTGTGGACCATCGGCAAGGGTCTGCGTGGTCGGCTCTTCCGGGGAGTGTGGCCTGCGGAGGGACAGCGGCGGTAAGGCAATGGCACAACCACATGGCAAGAAGATCGTCGTGGCAAGCGTGGCATACACATGGTCCTCGCAATCTTGTTGGAAAATGTTGAGCAATGGCAATGTTGACACGAAGAACGGTTTTGAAGACTGTGTTGTATAACCTCGCACGAATTGAAGGTCCACTGATGCAAAGTAAGTACACATAATGCCACCGAATAAGTCACCACCCTGCAGGGTCAACTTCCCGGCAAGAGGACAGTCTTCTGCTTGACAACAAAGCTATCGACGTCACTGGGTATGCATACACCACAGCGTTGTGCGGTCGTGGTAGCATATGCAAGCCAAGTGGGCAAGCAAACAGAAAAGTCAAAAAAGGAAAGCAAGGTGGCAGTGATCTGACATTGTGCGATCCAAGGTTGATTGACGAAACTTCGTAATCTACTGCGGTTGAGAAATCCAGGGTATCTCGGTACATGTTTGTCTGATAGATAGCCCGCTTCTCTCATGGACGGCTATCATCGCATCGCGAAGAGAAGGTTATCGTATCCAGCGTGTAATGGGTCATACACAGGCCATATGGTCCAGGACCTCTGCCACAAAGGGAAGTGCAGCTTTCCGTTCCGGGCATTCCAGAATATTCTCGCATAGGCATCCTGCAGATGCAAGTCATCTGAGCCCGTTGGCGAGTAACTCAATCTAGCCGAATTTTCAAACCGGGCTCTTGGGAAAACAGTCTACCTGAGAATCTCTAGAATCTGTCCTGTCGGTTTGTCCGCGCAGAGCTTCTATTAGGGGTAGCTTGCAGGCACTGGTGAGGGCACTTGTACCAGCTACTTTGGTCGTGTTGCATGATGAGAGTTTGGAAGCCTCGGATACACACTGAACCAGTATTCAGAGGAGGCCCCCCGGACGCAAACTGAGACTTCTCAGATGATCACGTCTGGGTCACACTTTACAGTGTTGCCACAATCGTCCCCCAGGAGGGGCCAGACTGACCAGAAAAACGCAAGCAAGGTGGATGCAAGACCCTCGGCTGCTTGACAGAGAGCTTTGTAATGGCCGGGGAAGAGACCATACATCCTTTCCTGCAGCGCAACGCAGAAGTGACTCTTGTGACTCTGTATATTGGCTGCATGCTCCCCAGGTAGAGTGGATACTCTGCGCAATGAGCGAATACTGCAACCGGGTGGAAGTGATGCTGTCACTCATGGCTGCGCATCGCTTGCCTGCGCTGGCTCACTGACGATCCCGAGCTTGCAGCCGGCGTGCGACTGTTTCAAGTGAGGTCGGGTAGATGATGAGGCCAAGAGAGGGACCAGAGAAAGTTTTGGGCTCAGTCGCAGTGCCGTGGCACGCAGAGCAGACGTCAGTGAGCGAGTTGAACAATGGGAAGGACACTGATGGAATGGACACTCGTCGAGACTCTCTGGTTCTGCGTAGGAGCCATTGCACGGACGAACATTAGCCCATGTCATGTCATGTCTGCGGGAAGGACCGAACCGCGAACCCGGAATGAGGTGCTCGCTTATCTTGGTCACAAGAGACGACAAGTGTTTTTGGTCGAGAGCTCTCGGCGTGCGTGATGAATGATGCTGCATGGCAGCCCGAAAGAGGCAGTGTGAGCCACAGGAGGGCCGGTCTTCGACCTGTTCCCGATGCAGGTCGAGTCGAGTCGAGTCAATTCCATTCGAGAAGGAGACAAGACAACTCTTACCAGGATCCACCAGACCGTGGAGAAGAGGGGCCAGTGGCAGGGCGGGGGAGCAATGTCGACTGAGATGGAGAGCGGCTGTGGTTATCACCAACAGTAAGCACATCATGAAGAAACGGAGTTGAGTCTCGATCTGGTAATTCCCGTCCCGTCGAGTCGGCCGTTGGGCGTCAAACGTGGACTGAGAAATGAGAGTAGAGCGAGGTCTCGACGGGAAGGCACGTGATCTCCTGGTTGCCTGGTTCCTTGTTCCTTCCTCGATACGAAGCTCCCTTCTTGACCGGAGCTGGTGTTTCCTTGGCAGAGATACCCAGGCACGCCAGGGCCTGGCAGTGCCCATCAGGTGGCCTGCAGCCACCCATTCTCCATTCCCCAGCGCCTTCCCATTGGCCTGCAGGTGGCCCTTTCACCGAGAAGCAGCCCCCAAAGGAGCCCCTCGTTGCCCCCCTAAGGAATCCGAAAGTGAGGCGAACGAGCAAGCGAGCCGGCAGGCTGGTAGGTGGCTTGGTAGGTCTTTTGGTTGCCTTGCTTGCTACAGATGTTCTGCTCTGTCCTGCTCTGCTCGTGTCTGGTCACCTACCCACCCACCCACACTGGTCCACGCCCTTCGTCCTGGCAACCATCCAGCCCACACTCTCCCCCCCTCCATGCTCCTCTCCATCGCATTTTGCTTCGTCCAAAAAAATGGCTCCTAGAACACAGCCCACCATCTCGTGATCTATTCCATCGGCACGACGGACGCCGGGCCCATCGCGTCGACATCCACGTCCCTGCGGATGGATGTGAGGATCAAGCAGCATCTGGCTCAACGTATCGATGCGAGCCCGCGACCTTGGTGATTGAGCCGACGGCAGCACAGGATTCAGCTGCCCTTTTGATAGTGCCAGCCACTGTCCGCGCAGGCTTTTGCCTGGTTCGCCCGGTTCGCCTGGTTCGCCTGGTCCGCCTTCAGGCAAAACTGAGGACCCCCAGCTTCCAGGTCCTGCCGTGCCGTCCGCTCTGCATGCCCTCGCGGCCGCCCATGTGCCTCAACGGTCTTCCAACCAGCCAGTGACAGCCTTCATCCAGTCCAAGTCCGAGTACGCCACCGTGTACGCTCCCACGGTCTTCCTTTCATCCCAAATCACTTATTTGGGTTTGCTGGTGTCCGTCCATCATTGCCTTGATCAACCTGAAGCTTGCACGCAACCCATCTCCGTGACGGCTAAGCAGCGGCCCTGTTCGTCTGCGGCGTGGACCTGTCCCAGGCGGAGCTTCGAGCCAGCTCCGCAGTCTGTACGATTACTACTAAATATATGTACGTGCTCTGCGACGTCACCTTCCGCTGAGAGCACAGGTTGATGCTGTCGTAGCATCATGGCTGACCAAGCCTCGTTCGCCATCCCGGAGCCCCGCTCAGCTTCGGTATGCTGTCTACTCTTGCATTGTAAACCCGTTCGTTCTAATTTCTCATCCGGATAGACATTCATTGCTATGGGCGACCGAGGTCTGCAGCTCCCTGCCTCCTCATTCACAGGCAGCATGGACGGTCGTCCGCGCCCCCTTGAGCCCGATCTGAACAGTGGTGGAATTGTGTTGCCCGCCCCCATTTCTGGTTTCATTGATCCCCTTGGTGATTTGCAATCTTCCGCCATCAATCGGAATCCCCAATCGCCTGAAAACTTTGTGCGGCCTGCGACACGCAACCCGATCCTAGATTGGTATACCTCCCAGGAGAAGCCATGGGACCCTATCCAGGGCCGAACTGCACCCTTACCTCGAGCCGGAGACCTACGAGGCGGCAAGTTGAATTACCGCCCAAGTGGACCCGCCTATTCCGTCTATCGAGAAACCCATGTGCCATCTGAGTGCGAGACAACGGGCCCCGGCGCACTGCCGTCAGACTCTGGTTACCATAGTAGGGCCACGCAAAGTGTCTTTAACGGCTCTACTTGCGGGGATATCGACCGCAGTGGTGAGAATGGGAGCATCTCAAGCCACCTGGCTGGCCTCCAAGTCGATCGCCCGGCTTTCTCGTCAGAAACCTGGAGACAGGCGTCCTTGCAGGCGACTCCTTTGCCTTTGAGTGTAGAGAGCGGGAACCTGGTGTGCCCGACCTGTCGTCAGAACGTCAAGACAAAGTCTGAGTTGAAGTACGTCCTCTCTCACCTCGCTCGTTGAGTCTGTTCGAAAGCTCAAGCTAAACAATGCGTCAAGAAAGCACAAGCAAAAACACGAGAAGCCCCACCGCTGCGACGTCCCCGGCTGCACACGCACCGAGGGCTTTAGCACACCGAACGATGTCGATCGGCACAAGAGAAGCTGCCATCCCGACCAGGATGCTAATGGCAAATACTATAGGTGCATCGTCGACGGTTGCCGCAAAAAGGACAAGAAATGGCCCAGGGCGGATAATTTCAGGCAGCACTTGAAGAGAGTCCATATGATGGATGCTCGGGATGATGATCTCGAAGCTTATATATACAAGTGAGTCGCGATGTGAGCTCCTCTTCTTCTGTTGCAGGATGACTCATTTTATCATTCAGAGACAGTCCTCGTGCAGACACCGAATTCGCTGGCCTGGGATCCGTAGGGGACGGCTTGCGGATGGACGCCAGCCATCCCGGTAGTGCCATCCATTCTAGCAATTGGCCGTTCCTCGATTTGAGGACAACACTGCAAGCAATTCAAGAGCAAGCGCCGAGAGACTCCAGCAATCTAGGCTACCCGGGCCAGCAGATGGATCCATATCAGGATGGAAATGTCACACAACAGCAACTGCACTTCATGACGTCTAATGGCACCGACGACCAACTTTCACGAGCTGCAATGCAAATTTCTCCAGCTGATTCAGCAAATGAAAGCGTGTCCTCACAACTTGAAGACACACAGTCAGAACCGCAAGAACAGGACGCCTTGGAGCATGTCCATCGGGCAAGCCCGAACGAGCAGTTCATCGAATCGGACTACTTGAACGATGGTTCCACGCACGAGAGCGAGCTGTGCGATGAAGAAATGCCCTCCATCACACAGGTCGATCTACAAATACCGGCTACTGAAGAGCCTAGGCGTAACCCGGAGGACATTGTGCGGCCCTCTCAGGGCAACAACGATTCGATATCGAGCGAATCAGAGAGCGGAGATACCCAAGAAAGTCTAATTAGGCTGGAGGATCACGCATCGCAAGACACTGTGTCTCTAGGCATGGCGACGACAGCAAGTGTCTCTGACCAACGCATGTCTGACGAGACAGTCAATGCCATGCAAGCACACTACGGCACCGGGCTTGAGCTATCAACAGATGGATCAAGTATTATCAACGACAGGAATAGAGCATCAGAGTTGATAAAGGCCCTTGAGAACCAAGGAACTTTGGCAGAACTTCTGGAAGAACTCGGGTATCACAAGCCGAGAGAATCGGAAAACAGGACCCTGACAGCCCCCTCACTTCCCAATGTCATAGGTGACCTTGGTCAGGTGGTCTGCGACGAGCCGAATTGTGGCAAAATCTTTCCGAGGCCTTGTGAGCTCAAGTAAGTTCAGCGTCCCATTGCCTTTCCCTTCTCTGGCTAATCGAAGCAAAGGAAACATAAAAAGCGACACGAGAAGCCATACGGCTGCACTTTTCCACAATGCACAAAGCGATTCGGCAGCAAGAATGACTGGAAGCGTCATGAGAACAGCCAACATTGCCAGCTTGATTTGTGGATGTGTAAAGAGCCGAGCCGAGTTGATCCAACCGAAAATTGTGGCAAAGCCTGTCATCGTCGCGAGCAGTTCAAGTCCCATATATCCAAAGACCATGGAATAACCGATCCGGCCGAAATTGACCGCAGACTGGATTATTGCCGAGTCGGGCGCGACGGTGAGAGCAGATTTTGGTGCGGCTTTTGCAAGGCCATTGTCGAGACGAAGGGGAGGGACCTCAAAGCCGGAATCGAGCGCTTCAATCACATTGATGATCATTATTCGGGCCGTAATGCTCCCAGAATGGACATCTCCGAATGGAAGAGCATGGACCCTGAATTCCCGACAAAAGATATGTCCTCGCCAGGCTCGGGCCGCGACAACCTCAGCGGATCATCCCAGGCAGTGTCCGCTCCTTCCACCAGCTCTGCAAACGGTCGCAAGAGAGAGGCCATTTCCGAAGTACAGCAACCGAGGTCTCGCAAACGGCAACGGGCTGCCCAAGAGACAATGTGGTTTTGCGTATGTATTCATTGTTTCACCTGTCGATTCGTGAAGCTAACCTACATCTGCTTAGTGTCACTGTGGTAATCCATCACTGACCAGCACAACTGCAACTTGTTTCATGGATCACTGTGATAGCCATCTCAGATGCAGCAATTGCAGGGTCCACTCCGTTCCCCCAGAGCAACGATTCGGGGCATGAATGATGACTGTCTCACTGGCATGGAAGAGACCCAGGCTCTTGATTGGGCTACGTAATCAATATCACGAATTTCTCTGTGTAGGCACGACGGCTTGGAGTTTACTGGGGCTTAAGAGTGTCGAGGAGGCACTGGTGTTATTGGAGTTAATTTGGACCGAATATTTTGGCCTATCAGTGCCATTTCAAAAAGGGGAACCGCAGAGCTTTCAGATCTGACAAACCGGGGTACAACGGATGTGATGAAAGGGCGGGGGCCAGGAGGCAGTTCCAGCTATGCGACCAAATTGGGTCGCCCGTCCCAGGCAAGACGACCTGGTCGCCTTACAAGGCGACTGCAAGGGTGCTGTTCAGAGGCGGACTAGAAGAAAGCGACTGAAAACTTCACGGACAAGCATGCGGCTAGTCTTGCTTGCCTTCTTCTGCAATGCAACGTGCCCTTTGGGGCGCTTGGCAGCTTGCTGCTCCCCCACCCCGTCACCAGCCACAACCTCACCTCAGCGTACCTATACTGAGCGACTTGAGTGACTTGTGGCTGTAGTTCTCGGTGCCGTCGCTACTTCTCGGGCTTGTTTAGTTGGGTCATGGTTGGGAAGATCGGCTTTCACTCAAGCTTGAAGTAGCCATCACCACCAGAATCCATCTGCTCGGCTGCACGAGTATTATTAGGTCATTCGAGGTCATCTCCGAGCAGCCAGTCACCATCCCATGGATTCAAGTCCTCATTTGGGGTCCAGATTAAACAGCGACCTCCGTGGTTACCGCCGATGTGACTGTGCGGCTCAAAATTGTCCAACTCATTGCCAAATCGAATGCCCTCAACTGAAATTTCAGAAAGGAGCCGAACGGTTGGTTGTGCTGTGCCACGCGCTCGCTGTTCTCACCCTCCACTGACAGCGATCTTATGGATGATCCGCCTCTTCAGCTGCATCGAGTACGTGGAAGGGGTTACTCTGAGTCGTCTGACCCCTCACTGAGAGATTGTACTCGACAAGGGTTCGACGCCCGACGTGAGTGAGAGGTGCTGCGTCAGGCTAGTGTGGTGGCCTCCTGTGCGACCACACACCACCACCAACCAGCTCGTGGGAAAAATCTGACATTGGTGACTTGGCTGCCAAAGAACTGCGCGAAGAAGCTCCAGAACATTGAGCTGACCAGTCTCAACAACTAAGATGCTTCTTGGCGCTCCCGGACGGGGCACGACATCGGCCAACAACGCCGTTCGGTCTCGTCGAGTCTGCCTTCAGTTTGCCTTGCACGTGTGCCTCATGAGTTCAGTATGAGCCTGGCGGCCAAGGCACAAACTCAAGATCGCTTTTGAGAGGGTGGAGTCGACACTGTGTGCCTCGTCCTGACTACGAACTCTTTTACGGGTTGGAATTTAACTAGTTCATCTGCGTCAGGATCGCGATCCCAGAAATCAGCACACGCATTTTGAGACGGAAAGAAACAGGGAACCCCAGAGCAGAGCCTCAAGCTGAACCCAAGGTGGTATCATACAGTTGCTTTTTCACCAAGCCATTTGGTCTTGGGCGGTGGAGGACACCACATTTGGGCGGTTCGCGAACGGCAAAGGAGGGGGCCATGATAAGTCAGCTCACGCCTGATGGGGTGTGGTCCGGTAGCACACAACCAGGCGTTACGGTTACAATCTCCTTCCGTGAGCAGGGGCGCAGCTCCTTTGTCCACTTTTCTGACCCTCAAGAGCACATCCGAACCCCTTCAGCTCTGTGTGCCGTCATTCTGTTGGTCAAGGCGCCGTTGGCTGCATATGCAAGGACACCCAGGCGAAGCATGGCGTCAGCACGGAAGGAAGAGACCAGCGGGAAAGGATCGAGTAAGATTGGCCTGGGAGGTCCTCGAGTGGGCTGGCTCAATCGGGCGAGCTGTCACCGTAATGCTTCATTGGCTGAGCACAATAAGTCTCCATAAAATGCGGCTCTGCTGGGAGAGACTTTCGGGGCTCTACAGCGAAGCACACAGCCAGTCCACGGCAGTCAGTGGTTTGTCTCGTTCGTTCTGCTTGAGTCGAGTCTGGCGATCTCTTATACATACCCTCAAGGCATTTTACTCCGCCACCCATATCGCCATGGCTTCCATCACCTCAATCCACTTCAGTGAAGTGTTTCTCAAGTGCTTGCTATCGAAATATCCACCCATTATATAATATTCCATTGCCGTCTGCCTAGTGTTGGCCCCCTCTCAGCACTTAGTATCTGACCCGGCACCTCCCCTGTGTGGGACCTCGTAATTTCGTCGTTCACCAGCTGACATCTTCACACGAGGCTGGCGTTCCTTCACAGCCTTGCTTCTTCTCTCCTTCGACTGGTGTCGTCCAAGCAATTGCTGGCCTCCTCTTGCAGGTGCCTCTCCTGCAGGTCCATGTCCTTCGGTCCACCTTGCAACCTACAAGCGGCGCGCCAACGGACTCACTGGCCAAGTTGAAACATCCATCAGACACAATGGAGTTCCCTTACTTCACCTACGATGCTCCCTATCAGTGTTTCCCTCATGACCACCAAGAATACACCGGCCAAACATTCACCGACGAATTTGACACTACTGGCCAAGATATTGTATTGAACTTCCCAGTTCATGATGCTTCAGTGGAATCCTTGTACCCCTATGGCCACTCCTCAATGCAGAGATTCTTGAAAGACACTCAACGGGCTTCACTGTTCAACCCTATGCCGCAGTCACGTCTTCCCGGTGTTGCACAGCCTGTCAATCCCATTCCACCCACAGCACCCCATGGCCGCCAGGGATCTCCGTTTTCCTCGAACGAGCCGTCGAGTTGCAGCAGTGCTCAGAGCCCACACGCAGACACCGAGCATTACACAGACAACACTCCATCAACACCGTCGGAGGGAATGTTCTTTACACCATACGCTTCCGCGCGCGAGACCGAGTGCCAGTTTCCACTATTTGGCATAGGTGAAGCATCTAGTGAGACCCGCCAATTTATGACAATGGGAGACTGCAACAAAACTGAAGACTCAAAGACTGAATGGGAAGACTCCGGCCATGCCATTGACTTCGAATCGCCTCAACAAAGCTTCACCTGCGATAGCCGGGCAACAGAATCCGCCGATATAGGCAGTGTACCGACACAGACATCTGTCGCCGTTGGTTACCACCGTTTGAACAGCCCAGAAGATGCACCTACAGTTGTTAAAGATGAGATCCTGATCCCTGAGCAAGTTGTTCTCGTTGAGAAAACAACGAGTGCATATCCAAGTCCTAGCGTTGGAGCGAGCGAAGACGAGCTGGAGGAGATAGACGTCGTCCCTCCTCAGAGCGAGGATGACGACGATGATGACGACTATCACCCAGACAAGAAACGTCTCGCTTCCGCCACCCCTCGAACCAACAAGCTCAAGAGAGGCGCAGCCAAGAAGGCGCTTGAGAAAGCCGCCCCGAAAAGAGCGAGGACAACATCGTCAGGCCCGTCCCTCAAGATCCTGCCACCTCCGAGTACCAGGAACCAAGGCTGTTTTCCCTGTCCAGAATGCACTCACTCGTTCAAAGACGAGTGCACTCTCCAGAGCCATGTCAAGAAGCAGCACACCCGGCCATTTATTTGTGTTTTTAGATTCGCCGGGTGCGATTCGACCTTTGCCAGCAAGAACGAGTGGAAACGCCACGTCATGTCCCAGCACCTCCTCCTATATTACTGGCTCTGCGACATCGATGTTTGCGCGCACAACAAGAACGACCCGACCGCGCCTCACTCTCACAGCAGCAAGCGAAGCAAAAGCCGCCGTACCGACAACGCCGCTGGTAGCGAACCAATCGGACCGCCTCTCCCTGACGGTGCAATCTTCAACCGCAAAGACCTGTACACTCAGCACCTGCGACGGATGCATACGCCTTCTCACATCAAGAAGACGGGGTCCGCAAAGTCGTCCAAGAAGGCATCGGCCACGGCGCAGGCATCATCGTGCACAACCGCTGCCGACTGGGACGACCACATCAAGATCCTCCAGTGCCAGGCCTTGCGCGAGCGGTGCCAGCTGCCAGATTATATGCAGTGTCCCGCTTCCCGCTGCAGCCAGACCTTCACTGGCGCCGACGCGTGGGACCAGCGCATGGAGCACGTCGCAAAACACCTCGAGAAAGCCGCTACCGGGGCAGAAGACAAGGTTGTATTTGGCGGGCCGACAGACCCATCGCTCATGGCATGGGTCTCGAGGCCCGATGTTGCCGTGGCCCGCCAGTTGGAATCGACTGGGGCGTGGGTGCTGAACAACCCGCTCAGGGCGGCGGGCGAGAGCCGTGCTACAGGCAGGAAGAGGTCGGTGCCGTCTACTACTTCTTCGCCTGTGGTTAATGTGGCTTCCCCTACCGTCACGTCCGTGGCAAGTGAGATACATGTTGAGGATGAAGATGAGGATGCCGAGGGGGAGGAAGAGTGAAGTAGTTCAGGCAGACACAGTTTGGCTTTCTTAATTGGCCTATATCGGGTTGGATTAGATGTTTTGGATACCCCTTTCCCCATACTTAAACAGGGCAGCACCACCCCCTTTGTCTCCTTTTCACCACATGGTGACGTTCATCATGATGGATCTCATGGTGTATTTCTATCGGTACATATGTATTGTCACGTTTAGTTTATAAAGGTACCTCATGATTCACGAAACCACATGAATACAATAACTTCAACACCACCGATCATTCTTGGGCTGTCTAGATTCAAGACGTTTCCTCTTCTTCATAGACACAATACTTTTCTTACCCATCACAGCTAAATCAAGACTGTCTTTCCACCAGCAATGCAGGTTCTCGTGATGAAGATCATTCGGATCATGCGTCATTGGGACGGTTGGGTCCCCTGAGTTGGTATCACCATTACACCATCATTTCTGTTGAGACTTCTTCACAAACAATATGGTCTGAACAATCAAAGGTCTAAGGCAATTCTGATCCTTGTCCTCCGAGGAAGGGTCATCAATGGCTCAATTGTTCCCTGTCGCTTTTGAATAGGTCAGAGTCTAGCATGTCTCCATTCACTGGTACATACGGTGCCGGTCTCGATCAGATGCATCTCCTTTGGAAACTCTCACAAGTGCACCCCGCCAATAATTTGCTACACCGCAGGCTTTATTGATACATTAACGTTTTATGTTGAATGAGGTTGCGCCGACGTCTCACAAAGGACAAACATAACTTTGAGCAGCAGGTCGCACCCGTCTTCTCCTTTCCACAACGATCCCCTCGCCCCCGAGCACCACTGCTCGTTTGGCCAGTCCACGCTTCACCTCTGATCGTGAACATTACCAAGTTGTCCAAGATGCCTGCCATTCAGCAGCTCTCGCCAGCTCGCTCCCACAGCTCTGCGAACAGGTCTGTTTTCGACGACGGCGACAGTGCTACGTCTGTGACAACTTATAAAATGTACCGCCAGGAGCGGCAGAAGCCAAACAAGAGGCAGAGGTCAACACGACTCGTCGTCGCTGTCCTTGCGCTCCTCGTTTTCATCACACAATTCGGCGCTAGCCTGTCTGACGTCCCTTCGGTCCGCCTGCTGCAGGAGATAATCTGCCGCAAGAGCTACGGTCTTGCCCCCGACAGCTTGGTCGCGGAGGAGAAGTGCCGCGTCGACTCGGTCCAGAGTCAATTGAACGTTCTTTCCACTGGCGGCTTGATTTTTGGGTACCTACCTGGTTTGTACTAGGCTTCCTCGTATCTGTCTTCTGGACTCTTTGCTCACAGCCCACCTCTTTCGATCCTAGGCATTCTAGTCGCGCTTCCCTACGGTACGCTCGCCGATCGACGAGGCCGCAAGCCAATCCTGGGGCTCTGCATCCTCGGTATGGTCTTGTCTCAACTATTGTGGATAGCGGCTGCTTGGAATCACGCGCGTTGGGACTTGCGCACCGTCTGGCTCTCGTGTCTGCCTTTGCTCATCGGTGGAGGGGAGACCGTTGCGGAGGCTATGGTCTTTGCCATTGTTGCAGATGTCGCACCAGAAGAAAAGAGGTGCGAGCTCCTGGCGTGTTCACAACGTGTTCTAAGCTTTGGGACTAATGCTGACAATCTGGTGCCAGGGCAACTTATTTTCAGCTTGAGATCTGCGCCGTCCTCCTCGCCGAAGCCATCGCGCCATTCGTTGCCTCGGCCATGATGACTTACTCGATCTGGGCCCCGATCCTCGCCTCGCCGGCGATTATGTCCTTGGGCGGGCTTTGCATCTGTCTAATACCCGAGACACTCGTTACGAAGCAGATTGTATTCGATAATGCCCGCAGAAAAGTCACGCCTTGCATTACTACCACGTCCGTGCTCCCAGACCGATTCTATACAACCGTTCCCGAGGCTGTGGAAACCACATCCATGAGGTCTCAGTGCCGCGCATCCATCAGCTCGACGATCCGCATGCTCAAGGCTCGCGACATCCTCGTCCTCATCCCCAGCGCCTCGCTCACGATCCCAGCCGCGACAGTGACCATAGGCATCATGCTGCGGTACATCCCAATCCGCTTCGGCTGGACACTGGAACAGACGGGCATGGTGCTGGGCGTCCGGACGGGCTTCAACATCCTGGTGCTGCTCATCTTCCTACCCCTGCTGAGCAATGCGCTGCTATCGCGGCAGGACGACAAGGACCGCGATCTAGTACTGGCGCGCATCTCGGCGCTCCTGCTGGTCGCGGGCCAGGCGGTCTTCGCCTGCGCGCCCAACGTCGCCACCGCGTGCGCGGGCCTCGTCGTCCTCACGCTCGGCACCGGCCTGCCGTCGCTGTGCCGCGCCGTGCTCACCAGGCTCGTGGACCGCGACTCGGTCGGCCGGCTGTTCGGCGTGCTTGCCGTGTGCGAGATGGCGGGCTACCTCTGCTGCGGGGTGGGTTTCGGCGCCGTCTTCCAGGCTGGGCTGGGGCGCGGGCTGGGCGATGATTGGAAGCCCCGGGGCGCGGGGTGGCTTGCGCTGGTGTTCTACGTCGCGACTGTGGTTTATGTCGTCTGCGCCAGTCTGCTATGGCTTGTGAGGAAGGGCTTCCGGCGGGATGATTGTGATGCGGAGAGTTTGCACTCTGCGGCGTCAGCGGCCTCGTCGCTTCATGAGGTGAGGGTCCTGGCGGATGGGAGGGTCATGAGAAAGCACCCCAGCTTGGACAGTGTTGCTGTGGCGATCTGAAAGTCCCGAGAGCGAGTTTGAGCAAGCCGATATTTGGTAACGCGAGGCTGCTTGGTGATCTGGGCACTGGACCTGCTTTACTATTTCCATGCCATAAAGTCCCTGGCATTGTCTTTCACAGGAGAACACAGGTCAAGCCGTTGCTCTTGTGTTAGCCTACGTAGAGCAGCAGCCAGTTCACGATTTACACTATCCTTGTGTACGATTTAGTAAAGCCCACTTCGCCTTATCTCTGGAGCAATAGGCCATTCTTGAGCTGAATGGCAATACGCCCCTACGGATCCCGCAAAAGAAGATATCAGGGCATTCAAATCCGCCCGAGACTCTAGGCCGGGATGGACCTTTCATCGCCCAAGCGTTCAGTGGTGGCTGGGACATGCCGAATTGGAGCTCTGCTGGTCTGTGTCTCAGACCATGGCCCTTAGACACCAATGAGTAATAATCTGGCCCGACTTCACTCCTCGCCTTCAGTAAAGTGCGAACTTGTTCTATGCCCATGACGTTGATGTGTGTGTGGTTTAGCGGAGAAGGCCCGCTTGAGTCAACAATGGTGTAAGATGATTGGACACCCTATTACCCTGATACCCCCGTCTACCTACCACATAGTCTCGCTGGCACTTTCATATTTGGTCTTTCAAAACAACACATCATACTGCCAATTCCATACAAAATTGTTGTGTTCCTCCCTTCCTATGCTGTGGGACAAAAACTCAAGAGGCTGGCTGAGGCTGCATGCATGTGTTCGGGGGGGCTTGGAATGCTGTGGTGGAAGTTGATCTTTTCACTGCAAGACAATTCGTTGAATACCTGTTGGTCAGCAGAGAAACTCTTTTACAGTTGCAATCTTTCCGCCCTTTTCCTAATATTGAAATTCAGGCCATCCTGCCTGGCAGGAACGCTGTATTAAGGTGTAGGTTTCTGCTGCTCTTGTAAAAGCGTTAGTTGACAATTGTGTCACACGGCCTCGCCAAGCCCCGCAGTGAGATGCGTCATACCGAAGCTGCAACTTATCAAATGCATTAGGGAGTTTCATTTCGTAGTCTCGCAAGTGATAGCCTGCAAAATTGTACGATTTGCCCGGGCCCGCGGCAACGAGTGAGCTTTCAAGCAGCAATCTGATGACCCGCAAGTTGTTGCCTCACTCAGCAGACCACCAATAGGGACGGTCAGAAACTTCGAGTGCGGGATTTGCTTGTACATCGTGACTGGAACCTCACAGAACATGGTTTGACTGTTCCGCCGGGCTTACTCACCTTGCGTGTCGAGATGATAAGGCAGTGTTGGCCCTAAAGTAACAACAACATACCAACCAACCAACATCAGTGGTTGTCCTGTCATCAGAATCTTTTCTGGAGGACTAACTGTCTACGGCTACCAACCAAACCACGTCCCGGGCCGCAAATTGACATCATACAGGATGGCACAAGAATTCGGCTCCGAGACCCAATCTCAGTCCGCGCAGCGAATGTACAACACCCGTGCCTCCAATTACGAGGACTCCTGGCATCCAGACTACTCCCGGCGTTTCGTTGCCCTCGTACCTTTGAAGCCAGGCCACCGAGTCCTGGATCTCTGCTGCGGCACGGGCTTGGACGCGTTTCTCGCGGCTGAGGTCGTAGGCGACCAAGGAGAAATCGTTGCTGTGGACGTCTCGAGCGGCATGCTCGAGCAGCTCCGTGAGAGACAAAACCAGGAGCCGGAGCTGGGCGGACGGATCAGAACATTCAACCATGACGTGACAAACCTCGATGGGGTCCCGGGGCTGGAAAAGGGCAGTTTCGATGCCATCTTGTGCTCCTGCGCTTTCGTCCTGCTTGAGCATTCGGCGCAGGTTGTGGCGCATTGGAAGGAGTATTTGAAGCCCGGCGGCATCATGGCGATAGATGTCACGCACGAGTGGAACCTGCGACCAGGCCTGGTTCTTGAGCACGCTGCGAACAGGTTGGGCGTAAAGTTCCCGTCTAACCGCCTGTGGATACGGTCGATCGAGTCATTCAAGGAGGTCCTGGGAGGTCAAGGGATGGCGGTTGAGAAGGCAGTTGAGCTGGAGAGGCAGTCGGGAAAGGGGTCGGTATTCTACGGGGTCGACGAGGCCGACGACCAGTTCGAGTATTTTATGAATGGCAGCCTGGCGCAGAATGTTGCCTCGGAATCATTCAAGGCCAATGCGAAGCCGTTGTTCCGGGAGGAGTGGGAAAGGATAGCGGTGAATGGGAAGGTCGAGAGCGTCGACGCGTCGTACGTGTACATTGCACGAGCGCCTCAGTAAGCAAGATTGGCTGCTTCGGAATCTATTCTCGATTGTTCTATATCTTCGCTCGGCTAGCAGTCTTTATCTTCGGCTTTATTGGAATTTTTGGGTGATCACCAGCAAGTGCCAAACCGGTGATGCCCTCCAGCTCTTCCACGGCTTCATAGGCCCTGCCCAGATTGACCTTGATCGTTCGAAACCCTGCCTTACTGGCTGCTTTCAAATTCTGGCCAATATCATCGAGGAAAACAATGTCGCCTGGGGTGATCCCATCTGCCCAGCCCAGTTCTCTCCCCCTGGGCGAGTCCGCATTTTCTCTGGCGAATTTGTCCACTTCGCGCACTGCAAGCTCATATATCCTAGGGTCAGGCTTCCTCAGACCGACATGGGCAGATGACACGAAGACGTCGAATATGCTTTTAACCGGGTCTGAAGCGATGTCTGGCCGATAGAGCTTGTGTCCTGGAGGGAAAATAACAGTGTTACTCAGTGCGGCAAGGACGTACTTCCCGCTAGCCTTGAGGTTCTTCAAGGCTGGAGACACCCACGGGTCGGGATGGACAGCGGAGGACATCATGTCATTGAACAGGAAGTCTGCGTCGAGAGCAGGCACAGGGGGTGTCAGCTCCGGTAGGCGTGGGTCTTTGGCCCGTTGGTCCTCGTAGAACGCTTTCCACAGCTCCGGAGAGTGCAGGTCCTTGGAAAATCCCTCTATGAAGGCGGCGTCCAAGGGAATTTCGCCCCTTTCTAAGCGGTGCCAGAAGCCATCGGGGGATGTTTTGGAAATAGAGTAGTTTATCCAACCTGGAGGAATACCGAGGCCGAGCTCATAGTCAAGAATAGACTGGAATGGAGAGACAACCTAATACATGTTAGCCCAGTCAGGGAACCACGGCTTTGCAAACAGACAGTTTCCATGTGAATTAAGGCCGTAAACTTTCGAGCAAGTGAAAGTGATGACAGCCAATGAAGCAGTGAAAGAACTTGGGATTGATGTTAGGATCGTAACCATCATGACTTACGACGACGCCGCCAATGTCGAAGAGTATGACTTTGGGCTGGACCCCCATCTCTGCATCAATTCCTTCAAGTATATACTCCACTGGTTGCTCCTCAGGCAGCATACTTGGTATTCAAGCAGTTCTTAGTATGGCTGTATTGCATTCAAGCAGTAGAACCCACCGGTAGTCACAGTGAATACAATTCTGGTGGTATTGATTTGATGATGAGATACGAGACTGAACATACTCCCAGAGAGCGGGCTTGGGGGCATGATTCAACCTCGGCTCGGTTACATGGTAGTGGTGGGAGGACGGCCGATGGGCGATAAGCGGGCGATAACGTCCCCGACCCAAGTAACACTCCTATGACCCACTGCTGGGGAAGCCAGCCAATAGCGTGGGGTAGGGTTTCTCCTCCACAAACCAGACGGCAAAAAGGTTTGCGATTTCTCTGCCCGCCTCTGTGATCCCCGTCTCAGACCACGACAATCAACCAACGACAACTTCGGACACCCAGCCCAAGCAGTCGTCAAAATGGTGAGTCGACAACACAAATCCGTTCTCGAGGCCCTCTCGAGTTCTGTTCTTCGGGAATGAGAGTCAATGCAAGATGCTTCGGATGGAGGAGAACAATCTGAAGCGCAAATTGCTGACTCGATGGGATAATCGCAGCCTTTCCACAAGCTTGTGAAGAGCAGCGCGTACTACAGGTGAGTTACTGATTCTCCACATGATGAGTCTTGCAAACAACATGGAATGCGTCGTCAAGCACGCCAGCGGAAAATACTGACCTCCTCTGCAGTCGCTTCCAGACCAAGTACAAGCGCAGAAGAGCTGGCAAGACCGACTACTATGCCCGCAAGCGTCTGATCACCCAGGCCAAGAACAAGTACAATGCTCCCAAGTACCGCCTGGTCGTCCGCTTCACCAACCGGGACATCATCCTGTGCGTACACCCAGCTCCCCGACGAGAAGACGTCTGGGACAGACGGCTAACAAAGGTTGTGATTACAGGCAGATCGTCTCCTCTGAGATCACCGGTGACAAGGTCTTCGTCTCTGCCTACGCCCACGAGCTCCGTGCCTACGGTATCGAGCACGGTCTGACCAACTGGGCCGCTGCCTACGCCACCGGTCTCCTGATCGCCCGCCGTGCCCTCAAGAAGCTCGGCATTGACGAGACCTTCACTGGTGTCGAGGAGGCCGATGGAGAGTTCACCCTGACCGAGGCTGCTGAGACAGACGACGGCGAGCGCCGCCCCTTCAAGGCCAACCTCGACGTCGGTCTTGCCCGTACCTCCACTGGTGCCCGTGTCTTCGGTGCCCTCAAGGGTGCTTCCGACGGTGGCATCTTCGTCCCCCACTCCGAGAACCGTTTCCCTGGTTACGACATCGAGTCCAAGGAGCTCGACGCCGACACCCTCCGCAAGTACATCTACGGAGGCCACGTCGCCGAGTACATGGAGACCCTTGCCGACGACGACGAGGAGCGCTACAAGAGCCAGTTCCAGAAGTACATTGACGACGACATTGAGGCTGATGGTGTTGAGGACCTGTACACCGAGGCCCACAAGGCCATCCGTGAGGACCCATTCAAGAAGTACGAGAGCGACGCTCCCAAGAAGAGCAAGGACGAGTGGAAGGCCGAGTCCAAGAAGTTCCGCAACAAGAAGCTCAGCTACGATGAGAAGAAGGCGCGTGTCCAGGCCAAGATTGCTGAGCTCCGCTCGGACTAAGCAGTCTCTTGCCTCTTGATATCCAAAAATGACTACTCGCATATGACTTGTCTCTGAAAGCGGGAAAGACCAGGAAAAGGTCAGGATGGAAACGGCGTTGCTCAATGGAAGGGTTGTCTTCAAGGGTTCGGGTCTAGGGAAAAACAATCAAAAGTTCTAGCCACCCTTGCTTTGGGCCTCCTCCAGCTCATTAACATCCGACACCATCGGTTTCCCATCATCAAGTGACATGCAATTCTTCTTGACGGTATTCGTCCGCAGCAGGCGACGGCAGTTGGCTTGAACCGTCGACTGGTCTGCCATATGGGAAGGATGTGTCAAATGGATGCGACCTGCAGTAGCGCACATTGACTCTGCAGCCCAGTGATACACACTCATGTAGAAGTCATGCTTCGCGCCTGCACTGATCTGACAAGAACCAAGAATAACGTGGTCTCATGGCTTGGCTTTTCTGCCCTCTCACAGCCCGCGCGGCCTCTCTGGCTGGGTTGTTCCGCTATGCTCTAACCTCCCCCTGAGCCCTGCCTCGAGCACCGTGACTCTGCTGCATTGACACGCATGGCGAATCCTAAGCAGGCCTGACTCGGCGTAGGTTTCCATCACGAGGCTTAATATACACAGTGAGAGGGCAAGCAAATCCAATGGGCTAGGCAAATAATAGAATAAGAGGACGGAGCCCCGATGGGTCCGATGGGGTTCAAGCAAAATGGGAGAGGGATCTCCGGGGACGGGGGATGAAATTTGAGTTGGGGCTGTTTTGGTATGGCTTGGACTCCGAACAGCCGAGGATACTTCCCGGTGGTGGTGCTCTTGGTGTTCGTCCTCGGATCTACCGGTGGTTTGGGGCGGGTTCGTGTGCCCGCCCGCCCGTGCGAGTGTGATTAATTCAGGAGGAGGGAGGCGAAGGCCCAGGACCCCAGGCCAGCAGCAGCAGCAGCACTGTGGTGTTGATGAAGATGCGTGTGAGAGGTGAGCGCGCGCGGCTAGGGCGCTATATATTCCGCACTAGCTTTCGAGAAGAGAGATCTCACTCCCGGGTCGGCCATCCCCCTCAAAAACCCCCCGTCAGCTGCATTCAAGTGTGCCATTATTGGATTTCTAAGCTGTTTGTCAAGTGTTGATTCATTCGGTGCTGTTTGGGGCAGCGTTTCAATTTGGAATCAATTGGTTGCTTGTTTCTGCTGGCCGGCAAGGGAAACGGCCGCCGGGGCGGAACAGGACCTTTTGGTGAAGAAAGTAAATACTTGGTGTACGGAGCGGAGCAATGCCCTGAACGGGTGGGCTGAGCTCGTGACCCTCTTGGCCCTTGGGTCTCCTTGTCACGCAGTCACGATGCACGACGGGCGGAGGTCGGCGGTGAGGAGGCAGGCGTGGCAGGCGTGGCAGGGCTGGGGGAAAAAAATGCTGTGCTGTGGTTACCCTTTCGTCTGCGTCAAGATCAGATGAGATGGGAGTGTCGTACGAGGCAATTAGCACCTCAAACAGGACAGTGCAGCGTGGATCTCGATTTGCAGCCGCGGCTCAGTTGGATTGTTCATCTTTTTTTTTATTGTGGTCCCGGTTTTCCGCGATGCGATGCGATGTGCATGCGATGCGATGGCATGGGCCACTTCCTGCTACTAGACGACTACATCATAGTGCTTCTGGCAGGTGGCGTGAGAGACTGGATGGATGGATTACCAACACAGACCGGCCATCACAGAGACAGACAGAGAAAAGAGGTCTGACGAAGATGGACCTAGATGCTTCGACTGTGCTCCTTGTGGTGGCAGCTAGCGTCTTGACTCTCTTGGGGTGCACTCTGACTGCCAGGACTGCTGGGGACTTTGGGGCAGGTTGGTAGCGCTAGGGAGGGCGCTAAACGACCGATGTCTTTCTGAGGGAGGGGTCCAAAAACTGGGGACATTGTTGAAGAGGGCAGCCGGGGCATGTCTTGCGTGCTGGACGGGCTGGATGGATGGAGGAGCTGGTCCCCTCCCAATCCACAAGCCATCCAACTGTGTGACGTCGTGCGAACGACCTGGCTGGCTCTGGCTGGCCCTGGTTGTGGCGGGCTATGCCTACTCCAGAAAGGCACATCATATCGCTCACTCACTCCTGTCGCTGTCTGGATGTCCGGGTGTCTGGCTGGCCAGACCCAGCAAGGGATGGTCTGGCGAGCAGTCAGTGTCCGGTTAGTGAGCCCATCCCAGGTCACCCAAGCCATCCAGGTAGCGCCTTTCTTCCCCATCCCATGATACTGGTAGATGGAGACGAACCTGGCATGGGCATGGACAGTATTGGGGATGCCCAGTCAATCCTATACTCGTCTACTTTTGACGGCCGAACTCCCCGTATCCTTTGCAATAAACTCAGCAGATATCGTCGGCGGGAAGTCAATCAGTCAATATTACATGGGCACAGTATGGCGTACTATGTAAATTACTCATCCCGTCTCAGCCTGTGCCCGGGCATGGCTCGCCGCGCTCTCGCTCACCGAGCTCAGCAAAGCAATATTACGAATCAACATAATCAGAATCACACTGTGCTGCACTCACACAACCCATACCTGGCATGTCCGAGTACAGTACTGTACCTAGCCTAGCCTAGCCTGCTGTACGTAGGGGCCTGTGGCCTCTGGCCTGTGGCATACGGGCAGCACCCGACTCCTTTTCGCCCTGCGAGCCATCCACTCACCACCCTCCAGAAACCCCCGACCCACCTGGCACCTGGCACCTGCACCTGGTACCCTTGCCTTGCCTCGCCTCGCCTCGCCTCTCCCGCTGCTCACCTCACCTTACTGTACCATATTACGCAGTACAGTACAAAGTATCAAATCAGTAATAAGCCCGCAACCGGGAATTCGCCAACGGCCAAAACATATCGCGCCCTCCTCCTCCTCGCCCAGGCCTTACTGTTCCAATTCCACACACACCCACTGCTCCGTCCACATACATCCCTTTGAAACGCCCTGGCAGAGGACATCATCTCCCACCCTCACTAACACCATGGCCGCCAAACCCCGCCTGTGATCAGACCCTCCCAGCGTGGTTTAAGCTATTGCGCTCCAGTCCGAGTCTGACCTCCGGCCTTCTGCCGCCGCGCGCCTGCACGAGGAGTCCGTTGCTAGAAGTCACCGAATCCCCCTGGGCTTGAAACTCAATTGCCCTCATCATATCCACAATATCCGCTCCAACCGTCCGACTCTCGTGTGGCTGTCGTATCTGCGCGGAAACATCATGGAGCAGATAACCGGCGTCGACGTCTCGTGGATGGCCCACCACGGAACCCCGAAAGGTAGGTTTTCTGCACTTGCCCGCGATCCCCATGAACTGCCAAATTGCTGTGTCGCCTGTTCACAAAACACTCATGTTGGGTTGGCGGAGCTGACACTGAATCCAAAAATTCGCAGACCGAACGCAGCCTACTCGTCGATCCACCTTCCCTGCTCCCCCGGACCAGTCTCCCCGGGATTCGCCCGCCTCGAGTCCGGTCAGGGAGGCACGCGATGCGAATGGCCACACAGACCCAGCACCGAAAACAAATGGTACACTACCAAAGCAAATACCCCCTCGTCCCGGGTTCACCAGGGAAAGGGGAAACTCGATCAACGAGAAGAATGGTGTGGCAGCCAGCGCATCGCCGACGAGAAGACCCTCGTGGTTTTCCAACATATCGCAGAAGTTCTCGGGCAGCGGGCTTCAAAGCCCGCCACAAGCCAACAACACCCCGACCAAAGATGCTGAGATCTCCGTCCCCAAGATCACGCCAGCCAAGAACGCAGTCCTCCAGCATGCAGCTAAACACCAAGGAGAGGGCCCATACACACCTGCCCCGCCCAGGTCCGGACAGACTGGCATACTGCATGTATTGCGCAGATTATCGTCGAACTCTGGGCAGTTGGGCCCTCCTCTAAAGGGAGCCAACAACCATGGACTGGTTGAGAGGAAGGTATTGAACGTCGATCAGCACCGGGAGCGATGTCCTTTGGAGGAACTGCACCAATCCAAGCTGCGGAGGGTGGCATTTTGTGTCGACGTGGAAATAGCGCCGATGCCCAAATATTCCGATGCTGAGGCGTCTCCTTCGCCCAAGGTGTGTGCCACCGGGAAGCCCGAGAAGCGAAAGCTCGCTGAGAAGGGTGAGGGCGAGGCGCTGAAGAATCCCAAGGCTGTCGAGGAACAGAAGGAGCAGGATGGTACCGTCGAGGTCTCGGGGGAGAAACTACCAAAGGAGCCTGAGAAAGAAGGTACAGAAAACAAGGACGTCTCTGCTAATACCGACAACCCGCCTCCCACCGACACCAGCACATCCACGAAAAAGAAGGAGAAAAAGAAGAGGAGCGAGGAAGAGAGGAAAGCGAGGAAGGATAAGAAGCGGAAACTCGCCGAAGCCAACGGGCAAGTCCCTCTGGAGCTGCACCTTGACACCGATACTTCCGAACCGTCAGCCCCGACCACTCCCAAGGTCCAGGCTGTCCCCACAACGAACCCAGTGCGCATCTATAGGAGATGTTGTCAGCTCAGGGAGACACCTATCCTCAAGAAGATCACCGAGCAGCTCATGGCACCCACAAACTCCACGCCGGCCGGTGTCGTTGAGAAGCTGGACCTCAGTGGGTACTGGATGCAACTTGCAGATCTCGTTACTTTGGGAGACTACCTGGCTGTCGTGCCGGTGAAGGAGGTAATACTAGAAAACTGTGGTCTCAATGACGAGGGGTTGAGAGTCGTACTGGCCGGTCTCCTTGCTGCCAGAAAGACCAGCAGTGGTGCCCCCAGGAAACGACCAATAATTTCCGCTGATGGGCTTGTTGAGCAAGGAGGCGTGGTCGAGAGACTGGTGCTGAAGAACAACAAAATCGGACCCGAAGGCTGGAAGCATCTCTGCTTGTTCCTCTACATGTGCAAATCCATCGTCAGCCTGGATCTGGCAGAGATTCCGTTTCCCAAGCCACCGCAGCAGCCAACGGCGAACGGGCACATTCACCATTTCCACCTTCATGAAGAGAAGAGGGCCCCGTTAGACATCAGCGCTCTGTTCGCCAAGTCGGTTGGTGAAAGACTGGCAGGATCGACTCTTGAAATGATTAACCTGAGCAACATCGGACTGAACCACGCCCAACTCGGCCAGATTCTTGACGGCATAATGCAGTGCGGTGTCCGCAGACTTGGTCTTGCGCACCTTGACCTCGACACTGATGGTCTCGAGCACATCAAGAGATATCTCACCAGTGGCAAATGCGAGGCTCTGGATTTGGGTGGTAACGACTTGCGCGAGCAGTGCGAGATCATTGGCGGCGCCATCGATGAGTCCAACGCACTATGGGCGCTTAGCTTGGCTGAGTGCAATCTCAAGCCAGCCTCGCTGTGCAAACTACTGCCACACCTATACAAGCTCTCGAATTTTCGATTCCTTGATCTTTCGCACAACCAGTCACTCTTTGACTCGGACCCTAGCGCGGTCGGGGTTCTGAGAAGGTATGTCCATCTAGACCTGTCTACATTCGCAAAAACATTTCACTGACCGCGAATAATAATAGATACTTGCCAAAGATGGAGACTGTGAAAAGAGTACATCTAAGCGATTGTTCACTCAGCTCCGAGCAGGTCATTGCCCTCGCCGAAGTCATTCCGGAAATGAAATCGATAGCTCATATCAGTTTCCTGGAGAATCCAGAACTTACGAAACTGGCAGATGCGAGCACAGAGGAAACACAGGAAGAAGCGTCTGCGCTGTACGCTTCTCTGTTGGCTGCTACGAGAATATCCCCCAGCCTCGTCTCTGTGGACATTGATGTGCCCACCGAAAGGTCTGGCGAGATCGTGAAGGCTCTGGCGAAGCAGATTGTGGCCTACTGTCTGCGAAACATGGAGCGACTGCCACTGAGGGACGGTGGATCAGCCCTTGAGGAAGCTTTGGCACATGGCGCCAAGGATCCAGAATATCCAGATGTGATCCAACATCTCGTTGGGCATGATGTCATGGCGCCCGACACAGATGACGAGGAGGTCGCACCTGACGATGACTACATCGTCGGTGGTACAGGTGTTGCTAAGGCGCTGGCTTGCTGTCTGGACAATCGCGGAGTTGCGTCGAGGAGAAACTCCGGTGAATTCGTGCGAGATTTCGAGACCGGCGTCCCGCAGCCGAGGCCGCAACTGCCAGGCGGAAAGGCGAAGGATGTGTCAAAGCACTTGCTCCTCAGCGCAAGGAAAATTCGGCACCGTCTGGAGCCTGCTCTCACCAAGGCAAAGAACATGGCAGACCAGTCCACCGAAGAGCGGGGCACTTACCAGCGCCTGCTGTTTCTGCAAAGAACTCTGGATGGCATCATCAAGCGGTTTGAGGACGAGTTTCCAGAGACGAAAGAGGCGGCAGACAGTGGTATATCGATTCCGCCGCCGGACAACCAGCTCGAGAAGATCACTACTCGCAATTCTCTGTCGTCTGCCGAAGCAGAGCCAGAGCACGTTGCAGGAGGATCCGATGCCGAGGATGACCTGGAGGTGCAGCGCAGCCTAGCTCGAAGCAGCTCCAACCTGTCGCTGTCGTCCCTGGCCCTCGATCGCGAAGAAGGCCGCGCGCTGCGGTCAGGCCACCAGTTCCGCTCCGGATGGATGACGGCGGAGCAATACCAACTGCTGTCATCGGCAGGCTTCGAAGAACTGGAGAAGGACCCGCACCAGGTGCGCATATTCAACGAGCTAATTGACGAGCTCGATGATGTTGAGATCAACAAGCTACGGGAAGAGAAGGGCGCCGTGAAGGTGTTCCAGGAGCACAGGCAAAGGATTGTGGACGCCTGCCGAGAGGCTGACCCTGAGTACTGGGCCAGATTTGTGGAGAGTCAGGAGAAGGCCAAGGCAAACGTCAAGGTCTCGCAGCCCAAGCCCTGTAACAACGGGACTGGGCCGGAAGTCGCGGTCGCGGATGATGAAGTTGCTGTCGCAGACTAGAGGAGCGGACTGCAGCCTGTGCCATTGCGGGCGCAGCCGACGAAGAGGAGGAGGAGGTGCTGTTTCTGCTTTCATTGAGCCTTGAATTAAAAGCCAGGATGGACTGGTTCCCGCCAAGGAAGATAAAAGCTGTTGCTCGTGCTTGCGACCTGAATTGCATCAACACTGGCGTTTGAAGCGGAACCTCATGAGCCAGCCTCAGCAGGCCCTCAATATCTGATGTTTTGCGCACATTTTTCTTTTGTTCAATATACTGGAACCACAAAGAGACAGGATTGTTTCGGTGTACAGATACCCGGCGTGGGAGGCACAGGAGGGCTTTTGCCAGGATAATCTGCTTGGGTGGGAAGGATATGGGATGCATTCGTTTCGTGCTCAGGAGGATGGACAACAGGCTGGGCAGGTCGAGATAGGAGCGAGCGGTTTGGGTACCGAGAGAGCGTGGTCTGTGTCCTACGGGCTGTACCGTGCTGAGCTGTATTGTCTTGTGTATACTGGAATATAGGGAGGGGAATGGGAATGAGATTTGAGAAAACAGGAAAAACAACATGATACCTGGTTGCGTGCTTCTTGTCCCGTGATGGGCGAGTGCATCGTGAATGCTGAGCGCCCATCTCGGGGTCTGACGTGCCTGGGTCCACTGGTGGCTCCACCTGAGCTTCCCCAAAGCTGCTCCCTGCCCCCTGCTGCTCCCTTGCTGAGCTGCCCCCGGGCCCACCCGCCAATTAGGACGCGTCTGCCCAGGACTGGCAAGCAGCTCTTCGCGTCACAAGCTTCAGGGTCCCCCAGACCATAAGACCACCCCAGCCCGCCATTACCTGCCAGTGCCTGCTGTTGCGCAAACTCAGATCTCCAGCTCTTCCTTTTCCAACCCTACTTTTCCGTTATTTATCCATCTCAATTGGCTTTGCGAGACTGAAGCCGTGTTACTTGCCAATCGCAAAGTGAATAATTTCTCGCGACGGTCCTGCCCTTTCCCACCCTCTAGGCCCACTGACATCACAAGCGCATCACTTCCAAGCCTCACACCTCGCACACACGCGCAGCCACAAACAGCCCGCCATCTATCCCACCATGGCCGACGAAGCTGCCACCACCCCGAGGTCGGTCGCCGACCCGGGCACAGCGACACCGACCCTCGCGCCTGGAACCGCGACAGGCACTGCCACCCCGCAGTCCGCCATCTCCATCCCCCTCACGGCCGAGCAGCGCACGCTGAGCCTCAAGGTCTCGCTCGCCGACCTCACCGCGCGCGCCTCGGGCCTGTACGCCCAGAAGAAGTTCGACGAGGCCGCCGAGGTCTACGCCCAGGCCGCCGAGATGCAGGCCGAGATGAACGGCGAGATGTCGCCAGAGAACGCCGAGATCCTGTTCTTGTACGGCCGCAGCCTGTTCAAGGTCGGCCAGAGCAAGAGCGACGTGCTCGGCGGCAAGGCGCCCGCGACCGAGGGCGCCAAGCCGAAGCAGAAGAAGGCCCCCAAGAAGGCGAACGGCGCGCCCAAGCCCGAGCCCGAGGCTGAGCCGGTGTCTGCCGCACAGGAGAAGACGGAGACCCCTGAGGCGGACAGGGTCGCCGAGGAGGCGGTCAAGATCATTGCAGACGACACGAGTGCCGGAAAAGCGGACAAGAAGGAGGTCGAGGCCAAGAAGCCTCTGTTCCAGTTCACGGGCGACGAGAACTTCGCTGACTCAGACGAGGACGAGGATGTCAGTGACAATTTCCACATCTTGCCGCCGACCTCACCCTGTGCGCACGCGCTGACTTGTGACTCAAACAGGCCGGTGCTGAAGGAGAGGGTGAAGAGGACGAAGAGGAAGATGACGACCTCGCCACAGCATTTGAGATCCTCGACCTGGCTCGCGTGCTGCTGAAGAAGCGGCTGGAGGAGAAACTCGCTGCAAACACTGCCGAAGGCAAGGGCAAAGAGAAGGCCGAGAACGGCGGCGATGAAGATAACGAGCACGGAGATGTTGGCCTCAGACATATCAATGAGCGCTTAGCGGACACGCATGACATCCTGGCCGAGATCTCACTCGAGAACGAACGGTACGCGAACTGCCCACCCACGGCCGCTCGTCGCATCGGATGCGGTTGCTAACCGCGTCTCAGATACCCGAACGCCATTGCCGACGCGCGAGAGTCGCTCAGGTACAAGCAGCAGCTGTACGGCGAGGACTCGGAGATCATCGCCGAGGCGCACTTCAAGCTTTCGCTGGCGCTCGAGTTCGCGTCTGTCACTGCCCAGGCGGATGAGGACGCGGCAGCCGGCGGCAGCAGCAGCGACGCAGCCGCCGCGCCGCCGCGTGAGGTCAACCAGGAGCTCCGCGACGAGGCGGCAAAGGAGCTCGAGGCGGCCATCGAGAGTACCAAGCTCAAGCTGCAGAACAAGGAGGTCGAGCTCGCGACGCTGCACTCACCCGAGGACAACGACATCTCGCGGAAGCAGATCACCGAGACAAAGGAGATTATCGCTGACATGGAGCAGAGGGTGAGCCTGAACCCCATCTCATTTTCCTGCCGATTCCCCTTTGTGGAGGCGCTGTGACTATTCTTTCAAGGGGTGCTAATCTTGTCTACCTATCACAGCTGGTCGACCTACGCGGTCCACCCATCGACATGAAGGCCGCCCTCGGCGTCGACCCCATGGGCGGCATCCTCGGCGCCGCGTTGGGCGAGTCGTCGACCGAGACCGAGGCGCGCATCGAGGAGGCCAAGAAGACGGCCACGGACCTCACTGGCCTGGTGCGCAAGAAGGACAAGCGGAAGGCCGAGGGGGACGCCGCCGGCGCGGAGGAGGAGTCGAGCAAGAAGGCCCGCACGGAGGAGGAAAGCACCTCGTGAGACGTGAGGATTTCTCAGGCTGGTTTGATGTTACTATGAGGATAGGGGAGGAGGACCCAGAGGAGAGGCGATTTCCGGCGGCGGGAGGAAAAGGATCCTATCTTGGGCGTGGTGTTCATCCGCAACTTTTGAGCCCTCGGCGCATTTGCTTGGAAACCCAGATTCCACTATTGTTTTTGTCATCTCTGTATTATAGCGCACACCTCTGCGAAGAAGCCCAAGTCCGGGGTTGGTGAGAAAAGCATTGCAGGCTACAAAGTCTCCGTCAAAGGTAAAGCTGAAAAGAAAGTGGCTCATTGACAGCTGTCGGTCCTCCCAAATTGCTTTGGAATTGTTTGCTACATTTACTCTAAAGCATTCAGTGAATTTCCATGGAAGAATACAGATTCTATGCTCGTGGTGGTTCCTTATTCATCTGCTGAGAGGACCTGTGAGACATGCATATTGTGCCCATGCTAGGGTGGTAGCCAATTTGTTTCCTGAAATTACGATTGGTATTTCACCTGGTCTATTGTGACCGCCGCCGGAACCAAGTACTCCTCCATATAATGCAACCCGCTTTTTCCACAACTTTTTTCATCTTTGCTACCCTTTCTTTGTCCTTCTTTCGCTCCCCGTCCCCGTTCTGCTTCCCCCACTTCCATTACCTTTACGACTCCTCACAGCTGCAGGCTCTGACTCTGGCTCCGGCTGGTCGACGGCCCGCCCCTCAGGTGCGCCGCCGAGCCCTTGAACAGGCTCTGCCAGATGTACGCCTCACTGAGAAGCAGCTCGATGTCCTTCTCGGTCCACTCGCGCGTGGGGAGCGACTGCAGGAACATCATGATCTCCTGAAAGTCCATCTTGACGAGCTTGTCGGACCACTTGACTAGGAACGCAGCGCAGACGTAGAGGTGGAACTCAGAAAAGCCATTTTCCTCGGCCTGCACGGACGCTGTCAGCACTTGTAGTTGATGAAAGTGGGGAAAAGGAAGAGAAGGGGGAGAAAAGACTGACCAGATATGTGTCCCACATCCTGATGGTGTTCTTGACGCTGACCTCCCTCATCAGGAGGCAGTTCATCCACCGGAAGCTGAACTGGATGAACTCGACGTGCTCCCTCTCCAGGTGCCGCGCCAGCCCGGCGTCGATCCTCGCCGTGAGGTCCTGCAGCGCCCGGACCTGCCGCTGAATTCCTGGCTGTGCGACAATGTAGTGGTCCTGTATGCCGTCGAGCAGCTTAGTCAGGCACCAAAAGGAGTCCGCCTCGACCGCGTCCAGCACCGCCTTCGGCAACTGGCCCGGGTCCATGCCCCGCTCTATGTCCGGGTCGGTGATGTACACGCCGAGGAACGTCTGCCAGAAGGGCGTGACGAGGTCGTTGATGCCCTGGACGTAGCCGCTCGCCGGGTGGCGCACTGCCCAGACGTAGAGGATCCGCTCTAGCGAGCGCTGCGTCGCCTCGTAGCCGTAGAGCTCGATGTGCGGGTTCGTCCGGGGCACGTCGATGCTGATCTGGTGCCACACGGCCTCGTCCAGACCTCGTGACCCTCCTCCCACCTTCCCTGCCGTCGCGCCAGTGCTGCCAGTGCCCTTTTCGAACGACTGCTTCACCCCGTCTAGATACTCCTTGCGTTTCCGTTCCAGAGTCGCCACCCGCCGCTCGCTGCTCGTCGGTAGATATGAGAGGAGGAGCTGCCATGTCATGGCTCTGACCTCCTCCGGCACGCCTGACCATGCTGCTGCCCGCAGGTCTGGGAGAACCACGCTGGAGGCCTGGAGGATCTTCTTGAACTTATTTATCCTGGATATCCTAGAGTTGATGGCGTCGACTTCTTTAGGTGAGGCGTTTGGTGGTGTTGAAGGGTGATTGATGAGGTGGAGCGCATTAGCTGGGTCCTTGAGGATCTCCTTGTACTGTGGCCTGAGGATCTTGCCCTCGCTCTTCTTGGCCACCGGGTAAGATGGGGTCGGTCTCTCGATCGCGATGTCGGCGCTGTTGGAGAACCGCCTGGAATGGAAGCCACCGCTGTAGCTGTCTATATCTGAGGATTGATTGCCGGCATTGGCTCTCGTCTGAGCGTCTTGCATTCGCTTTGTCCTTCTCTTCATGTTTGAAAGGCTTGGCAAGCCGAAGTCGTCCCCATCGTCGTCATCGTAGTCATATATCTCGCCTGCATCGTCTGCGTTCCAGTCGTCATTGGTAGTGGAGAGGAAGTTCATGTAGGTTTTGAAGGGAGGAGACGTCGGCCGCGGAGCGTGTCGTTGTTGCGGAGGCGAGGCTGGCTTGTTAGAGTGTGAGGATGTTGGAGGAGTTCGAGGCCGCGTTGCTGAGCTAGACAAGTTTCTGGGGAAGGCAGTGTCAGCACTGGGGACGACCTAGGCAGACGAGGCTGATCTAACAGTGAGTCGAGTTTGAGCATATCAGCATGGGAGTACGCTGCTCCAACAACCAGGCTGGATTCACGAGTCGTCTTTCTGGGTCCATTTGCCGGCGTCGGATTGCGCCAGAATGGAGAGGCAGACCTGCTTCCGGATCAGCGCCGAGTCGCCAATGCTTCTCGAGACAACTCTTACTCAGATCTATCTACGTTGGAGCAAGGCCAGGCTGTCAATCTCAATAGTGTCAGGGTGGAATGGTGCGTGAACACATACCGACTTGGACCATTTCCTGCTACACACAGCGCACCACAAGTCAGTTTCGGAGCCGAGTCGCAAGCCTGTCGCACTGGAGGCGAGGGAGGGGAAGAGGGAGACCTACCTGTGGCGGCGGCTTCTTGCCACTCCCTGAGGAGGACGAGGAGAACATTGTGGGTGTAGACGACAGTGGACAAGAGGAGCAAGTGAAGCTGTGCCACCCAGTTTCAACTCATGGTCGCTGTTGGTTCGTAGTCTAGATCGTGCATCCTTCCAATGTAGCAGACTGCCTCGAGATATCCACTTGCACCCGCACTGCTGCGACTGATCGAACGCCCGCTTGCCTGAGCTCGGTTTCGCCGTTGGCTGTGGAAAGCCCACTTGTAGAGGGCCCCTAACAAGGTGCCTGGGGTGCTAGGACCCCCGCCATCCACTGGCAGCCTAAGATGCCGCTAGGTTCCTAGGCAGGCACCTAGACAATCAATTCTCCGGCTACAGCTAAGCTGCTATCGGGCCACCCAGGCCCACGCACACACGCACACACACACACACCACACACAACTCAGGTAGAACCACACTAGGAATGCCAATGAGCGCACGGGCCATGTGGACGTTTATCGATAGCCGACTCTCAACCCAGCTTTCTCCAGGTCGCCCCCGTTGTAGTCGATTCAAACCTCAACCGCAATCAAACCGAATTTCCTGCTCACCTTCCGCGACCGCGCCGATCACGACACAATCGACTGTATCGCGTCGCCTCCTTTTCTTGACGATAGCTGCAGTTTACTCATTCATCCATTCATTTTCTTGCCTCTTACAGCCTCACGGCTGATCTTAATCCTCCCCTCCCTTGTCTTTCCCCTTTGGTAGTACACCCCAGATTCATTCAAAATGACGGAACCTGAGAACTTTGAGGACGATCTCTTTGACGATCTGTACGCATCGCCTCGATGGAACTCTTTGGAAGCTGTCATCGCTAACTATCCATGCAGCTACAACGACGAGGCGCCCGCGCCAAGCGCTGCTGCTCCAGAGCCTGTCGCTCCGAAAGCTGAACCAGCTCCCGCCCCTGCCAAGCACGAGGACGACCAGAGTGCCGGCCAGCATGGCGCCGATACAATGTCTGGCGAGGACTCGCACATGAACGGCGCTGAGGAGTACGAGGAGGACGACGATGATGTCGACTTCAATCTCGGCAATGGCGACACACATGCTCCTGATACTCCATCCTACAGCCATGCGCCAGCAGCAGCAGCAGCCACGCACAAGAATCCCAATGCCAAAGAGGACGGGTAAGTCAGGTTTCTTTTCCTTCCCTATCACCGATTCGTTTTGCGCTTGTGTAATGGTTACACCTCCATGCCTGTCATCTCGGCACTGTGTCGACATGAACAATTCATTGGAGGGACACTGCTTTCGAGGATCCACCAGGCTGTGGCTGCCGTGAAGCAGAGTGCCCGGGAGGAGAGAGATGCCACCAGGTAAAATCTGCAGAGTGAAGAGAAGCATTCCGGATCAGAGCTGCGTCACCGTGGTCTAGTTTGCGGAGGTTGCTACAAATTCGTCAGTCGGGAGGCGAAGGACTCGTCATGTCGTGATTCAGCTTGGAGTGGCTGGGCATACAGTAAGGGATGACCTGGAGCTGTGGTTTCGATTGCGGCGTTTTGACTCTGGATTCCTCGGTGGCCGAGGTGGGCGCATGGGTGTTCAGCAACACACAGGCATCACAAGTGCTGCGCCATTCAACCAACAGAAGACAAGGTCAATGGCACAGTAAAGGCATGCAGGCAGCCAAAGCATCAAAGGACAGGAGTCAAGGCAGGGCCCCACACTACCTGAGAGACAGCCGAAAAGCGCAACCGATGCGATAGATCAGATCACAGGCACCAGTTGCCATGATCTCTGGGAGCTTCAAATAGCCCACAGAGAATCCTGTGGGCAGGGAAGACATGGAAGTTCCTCCCTCTTCTCCCAGGACTTGTAAAGAGATTTGGAAGCGGATAGCGCTCGAGCCAGTACCTAGCTTGACGATAGCAAGAGAGAGACAGAGAGACAGTCCGAACAAAGATCGCAAGAAGATTTCGACAATCTTTGCTGCTCCTGGCTTTCAATCATTCTGCGCTGCTCCCTCTTTTCTCACCTGGACGTGAGAACTCCGGGCTGTACCATACCAACCAGCAAGCAAGCAAGAAGCAGCCCGCCACTGAGCAACAATCTCAACACCTGATCACCGCTCAGCCTACTCAACGAATCAGGGAGCAAACATGGCCATGGCAATCCTAGATCCAACTGTGAAAGGAGAGGACTACTTGTCACTTAAAGTTGAGGACGACGATGACGATTGCTTTGATGATGACTACTCGACCAACTCCCTTACAGACCTGGCCACCATATCGAACCACCCCGGTCTAGTAAAAGATGAGGTGTATCAAAGGTGTGGACAGTCCAGAAAGGGTCACGGGAGCCAATGCAGCAAGCCGTACTTACATCATTGAGGCACCCGGACAAATAAGGTTGACTTGTTTGCTGTGGGTGGAGAGACAAGGCAGCACTTAGCACCCGTGATGGCTGGCTGCATGGCGGTTTACACTGGAATTTCTATGCGCGAACCAGCACTTTCACACAATTTTGCAAGCTCATGCTTCAAGGAACAAACGTGCTGACATGTGTGTTTTATAGGAAGATGTTCATTGGAGGACTGAACTGGGAGACCACAGATGGTGAGCGCTCTTTCGAACTCAGGTAGTGAGCAATTTTATGCTGACTCTTGCCTTCAAGAATCTCTTAGGGAATATTTTTCACAATTTGGCGAGGTCACTGAATGCACCGTGATGAGAGATGGCGCGACTGGCCGGTCTCGAGGTTTCGGCTTCCTCACCTTCAAGGACCCCAAGACGGTCAACGTCGTCATGGTCAAAGAGCACTACTTGGACGGCAAGATAGTGAGCATCAGCCCATTTTCCAATTGTCTAAATGGATTGAGTACTGACGAGACGGCAACAACAAAAGATTGACCCTAAGCGAGCTATACCTCGAGATGAGCAGGAAAAGACGAGCAAGATCTTTGTCGGTGGCGTAAGCCAAGAGACCACCGATGCCGAGTTCAAAGACTATTTCGCCCAGTTTGGCCGCGTCGTTGATGCTACGCTCATGATGGACAAGGACACTGGTCGACCCCGCGGCTTCGGCTTCGTCACCTTCGAGTCCGAAGCCGGTGTGGATGCGTGTCTCGCTACGGAGTTGGAGATTCACGGCAAACCAATCGAGGTCAAGAAGGCGCAACCTCGTGGTAACATGCGCGAAGAAGAGGAGGCGAAGGGCCGAGGCAACAACCGTTTCGGCAACCGGGGTAGAGGCTCTGGAAACAACTTTGACGACAACTCCTCACAAGGAGGGGCGATGACCGGTAGCAACAACGGCAACGGTGCGGGCGGCCCCAGTGGCTCGGCCATGGCACAGCAATGGAACCGCATGCAGCAGATGTTCCAGATGTGGCAGCAGCAGATGGCCATGAACCGCGGCATGGGCGGCATGAATCCTCAGGCGGCCATGATGCAGATGATGCAGATGCAACAGATGCAGCAGCAGATGATGATGCAGGCCCAGCAGCAAGGTGGCGCCGGCGCGGGGCGCGGTAGCCCAATGGGCAATATGGGCAATATGGGCGGCGGTCAGATGAACCCAGCCATGATGCAGCAGATGATGAACCAGATGGGCGCCCAGGGAGGTGTTCCTGCTGGGCCTCAGGGTGGCATGCAGCAACAAGCTCCCCCCACCGGCCCCAGCGGGAACCAGAATCGGCCCGGATACAATGCATACGAGCAGCAGATGTTTGAGCAGCAAAAGTATGACCAGCGCGGCGGCCGGCAGGGCAACAACAACATGGGCCAGCAGCAGGCCTACGGCATTGGCGGCGGCGGAGCTCCAACGTCGTGGGAGGGCATGTACGACGACGTGCCCCAGCCCAACGTGCCCAACCAGATGGGAGGGGGCGGCATGAGCCCCGCGTCCATGGGAAGCGGCCACAGCGGCGGCGGCGGCGGACGTGGCGGTGGCGGATTCCGAGGCCGCGGCGGCGGTGGCTTCCACCACCAGAACCACCAGCAGCAGCCGGCAGATCCAACCAAGGCTCCCCCGGCCAACGCGCCTACGGGCCCAAAGAATGCTGGCAGACCTGGTGCGAACTACCGTGGAGGTGGACGAGGTGGTGGTGCGAGGGGATTCCACCCCTATGGACGTTAGGCACGTTGGTAGTCGTGGTTCATCTCAACGGAGCCTCCCATCCTTGAAGAGCTTAAAGGGGGTTCTACTTGAGGCGAGTAATCTTCAGCCTGATCGTTGTTGGGCCATGACCGATAGACCGACCGCAACCCTCTCCAGCAAGGACTCGGCGCCAGCATGCAATCAATCTCTCAGATTGAGGCATCGCCGTGAATGGGCCGTTTCGACACGGACGGCGTGCCTGCTCAGCCGGCAGCACCGCAATCACATCTGTACATTAACAAACAAGTCTCTTTCATCTTCGGCGGCCCTCTTGCGCCTTGGCCCATGGGTCTTTCTCAAGGAGGTCACATAGTTGGTATCCCAGGACAGTGTGTTTCATTATCTCTGGCTACACAATGGGGAAGGGAGGCGGTAGTAATCTTAGCAGGCAAGCTTAAATCGGGGGCTGCTTAGTTGTTTCGTTAGCTGGACCATTAAATACGAATGAGGCTTGAGAAATCATTAATCTTCCTGGAATGCGATGTCAATTATGGGTCTGCTCTCCCTGTATCTAGTGGATTGCATACAGCATTGTGAAGATTGGCTGGCAATGTGGGAGCAAACGCATATGAAGTGCAGAGACAGCCATCTGGGATGAGGCATTGGTTCATCTAAGCGGGCTGACCAGCATCGACAAGCTCCCCAACACTGGCCGCACCCACTCTCCTACGTTCTATGTAATATAACAGCTACAATACGTGACGTTTACTGACATCTCATAACAATACCCAGAAATCCTAAAAATGCCAAGCTTGAGAATAAATTGTGCAAACAAATTGAAGCCATTGTAGATATGGACCTGGACAATCTATGGCTAGCCTCTTGCCCAGAGTGGGGTGCTGTCAGCCGTTACTTGGAACCATTTCCGAGGTAACTCACTCTTATCACTTGCCGACAATACGACAACAACCAGATCACATAGGCGTCCTTGAAGCAGGCCCAAGAAGATCTTACTTCAGCTTCGAAGAAATTCATACACCTCTTTACAATGACTGTGTCCTCTCACGTCTCGGGCGGTCTGACCGCCAGCCAAGTCACCTCCTTCCAGAACAACGGCTATCTCATCATCGAGGATGCCCTCTCACCGTCTACGGTGAAGTCCTTGCTAGACGAGACAAACTCGCTGCTGAGCAACTTTAGCCTGGATGACCACCCCATGACCAAGTTCAGCACGGGAGGCGAGGACGGACAAGATCACGTGGGTGACGACTACTTCCTGACCTCGGGCGACAAGATCCGCTTCTTCTTCGAGGAGGACGCCTTCGACCCAAAGGGCAACCTGACCAAGCCCAAGGAGAGGGCCATCAACAAGATCGGCCACTACCTGCACGCCCTCAGCCCGCCATTCGCCAGCTTACTGAACGGAGACAGCGGCGCGGCCACGCAGGCCGTGCCGGCGGAGATCGCGAGGTCGCTGGGCTACAGCGACCCGAGGTGTCTGCAGAGCATGGTGATTTGCAAGCAGCCTGAGATCGGGGGCGCGGTCCCGCCACATCAGGACAGCACCTTCCTGTACACAAACCCGCCGAGCGCCGTTGGGTTCTGGTACGCGCTCGAGGACGCGACGCTCGAGAATGGCTGTCTGAGCTTTTTGCCCGGATCGCACAAGGTAAGCAAGCACCTTCTTCATATCGCTCTGCCCCTTGTGTATCACAAAAACTGACGTTTAACGAAGTGGGCACCTATCTCAAAACGGCTCGTCCGTAAGGCAGAAAACGCAGGGACGGAGATGGCTTCCAACGACGGGCCGAGGTTCCCGCCTGGAGACGAATATGGTGAGAGGGCAGACACGCCGGCAAGGGATGAGGATTATATCCCCGGCGAGGTCAAGGCTGGGTCGCTGGTGCTCATCCACGGCAATATCCTCCACAAGAGTGAGAAGAACCTCAGCCAGAAGGGGAGGATCATCTACACCTTCCACATCATCGAGGGAGGAGGTGAGAGGGTGTATGACGAGAAGAACTGGCTGCAGCCTCCGGTGGAGGGCTTTACGAAGCTGTACTCTTGATATTACTTGCAATAAATCGATTTGTTGGCATCCTCCTGGCTGTTCTAAGCAATTTCTATGCACTATTTGGTCTACGGGAGTACCACGTTCTCTTTGAGTACAATCGGAATGTGTCTAAATGCTAATTATGTTTCAACATGCAAGAATTTCATCCTTCCATGGACCCAAACTGCCGGAGCGCTTCCTTCTTGATATGCATTCTACCAGTCACAGCTCGCCCGTGCCTCATTTACTCGATGAGAGGCTTCAGATCCGCAATCAAAGTATCCATCTCGTCAACAGTCCCAACAGGACCCCATGTCTCCCTTGCATTTGCTGCCCTTTCTTCGCTCGCAACAAATGTCTGAGGAAGACCATGACCCTTCTCATCCCCTAGCATTATTCTTGCCACACCTCTGCCGGCCAATGCACACCGCGGCATGCCATGTCCTGTGAATCCAGACGCGATGTACAAACCCTCGCCACCACCCAGAGCCTCTGGGACGGCACCGATCCACGGCGCCTGATCACGGCTATACGCCATAATCCCTGTCCATTCCATCGACGCTTCCAAGCCCTTCTCGGGGGCTTCATCGCCCTTCCGGTCAAGGTTGAGGACAGGCTCGAGTTCGGTACGCAGCCATGTGGCCACTTTGGGCTCGACGGTGTCGTCTCTCCATTCCCCAACAGCCATCCCCTTGGCGAGATGCCGGCCTCCCCCGAGGATCAGCTCCCCGTTCGGCAGCGGCCGCTGGACCAGGTACTCGTCCCTTGTGGTGTCTTGGCCATCCTCGCCCTCCAGTTTCCCGAAGAAGACGTATGAGTAGTCCAGCGCCACCCGCGGCTCGGGAGGCAGCAGCGCGCCGATCTGGCCCCTGACAGGGACAATGAGGTCCGAGAAGGCCGGGAGCAGCCGGGAGGTGTACCCGTTTGTGGCGAGCAGGACCTTTGCTGCAGAGACCCTGCCCCGGGGCGTAGTGACAACCCACCTGCGCGACTGCGCGTCCCTGGACACGCCCGTCACGGCAGTGTTGGTCTGCAGGTTGAACGTGTCCGGCCCGTGCTCGGCGACCAGCCTCTCCAGCACGTGGCACACGAGCTTGTACGGCCACATGGACGCGGCGTGCTTCTGCACGATGGCGCCGACGACGCCGGGGCGGTCGAGCCTGAGCTTCCCGAGCGTCAGGCCGCGCGCCCACTCCTCGTCCTCGGGCCCGTCCACGAGCCCCCCGTCGGCCGACACGACGGCGACCTTGTCGGCGAAGTCGGGGACCCTCCTGCGCAGCGCGGGGATGGCCCTGGCGGCGGCGTCGAAGACGTCCCGGCTCAGCATGGCGTGCACGCCGTTGACGGGCCGCCAGTCGCACGGGACGCCCTCGGCGGCGACGAGCCCGGCCAGGAACGAGTACGTCTCGAGCTCGAAGCGCGCCACCTCCTCGCTCGCGCCGTACAGGAAGGGCTGGCAGTGGCCGCCGTTGCGGCCCGTCGCGCCCCAGCAGGCCTCGCGCGCCTCGAGCACCAGCAGCGAGTCGTCCTTTGCTGGTGAGGAGGGCTCCTTGAGGAAGCGTGCTGCGAAGGACCCTGTCATGCCCGTGCCGATGATGATAGTGTCTACCTCCTTGGGCAAATCCGGGGTAGAGCGGTAGCCCAGAAGCTTCTTGGAGGGGTCCTTGTGCCAGTATGAGAGCGTGCTGTTGGGCACGGGGAGGCCGGACTGGCCCTCGACCATCTCGCGGAGGACCATGGCTGCAGAAATGCAGGACTGGGATGTCGTGCGGTGGCTGGGAGGACTGTGAATATGAGACGAGGAGATGCAAATATGGCAGGAATATTCGAATGGTCTGGTCAGTGATTGTTATAAGACCACTCGTCGATTGCTAGGATGTCGAATAAGGACGTTGAATCGAGCTGCCCGTTGCGTGATAGCCAACCGGCTTCGGACCGGGCTGCTTCGAGCGGGGATTCGGCCGACTGACATCGCCTTATCTGCGCCGGAGCAGCGAATCCCCCCGGTGTGCTGCAGTGATTACTTTATATGACATATTGGTGAGACTGGATTTCTGAACTCGAGATTCCCAGATCGCAGCCTCTAATTAGCTTGCTTCGGGCACGAATTAGGAAACTGCTGCGTAAGAATCTGCGTTGTTCACTGTGTTCTTCCGAGAAAAGGTATTCGCAGGTCACATCTGTCTCCAAGATATTGAACTGCCCGAGGACTTCACATCACATTTTCAACTATTAATTCTGATGTACAAGCTATCTTACAGCTCTTCATAGAGTGATTCGCCTTGGACTTCTGACAGGGTCCTTTTCCACTTGCAAAGCCCTGAGTCCATAATAAGCTTGCCCTCATGATATTCGCTCCTGCTTGTCTTCATCCTTCAACCGTGCAATGACCTTCTCGGTCAAGTATGGGCTCAGTCCCAGTCTACAAGAGGGTTACCAACGTCAGTCATGCTGGCGACATCGCAGCGGAACAGGAAGAATGAACTGGTTTCAACTTACATTCCCTCGTTCGTCACTATCCGGTACGTTCCGCTGGTCTGGAAATTCCCCTCGACGTTGCCCTGGTTGTCGACCTGGACACTGCCGAAGATATCCTCGGGCCTTGCCGAAGAGAAGTATTAGTTACTGCCCACCTTGATGCAAGTACACGGGTTAGGAATGGAGCTCACCATGCTATCCTTCCAAAGTCTGGCGGGTTTCTCCTCTGGAAAACAGAGAGTCAGCGGGTATGCAGATAGCCATGAAGTTTCAAAGCTACTAGAGGGAAGGAAAACTCACATCGCTAAGATGCACCCACCCCCCAGCCCCTCCACCCCCAGCACCACCCTGATCGCTCGCGCCACCGGCGCCATCCGAGCCGCCCTTCCGCTTGCCCTGGCCCCTCATCATGCCGCCCCCGAGGTTCATGCCCCCGGGGCTAGCGAACGCCTTGGCGGCGGCGCGGAGGTCGTCGTCGAGGTGGGCGTGCTGGGCGAGGACCTCGTTCAGGATGCGCAGGAAGCGCGGGTTCTCGCTGAAGGACCGCGGCGTGGGCGGGAGCTCCGTCGTCGTGCCGATGGCCAGGCCCGGGTTGGGCGGCTCCGCCGACAGGTAGGTGAGCAGGTAGGATGCCGAGGGGGACACCGGGTTGGGGAAGACTTTCTGTGGTTGGAGAGGTTAGTTTTATTTACATTATTTGGGTGGGCAGATGGGTGACATGCTCGGTTTGGGAGGCGGGATAAGATGAGCGAGACAGAAACAACGAGATGTCGCCTCTGAAGCTCATAAGTAGTGCTCATCACCATGTCACGGCGATGAGATTATGAAGTTGCAGGAGACTGGGGTACGTACAATATCGGGATTGTTGGATAATGTAGAAACAGCCCTAGTCACCACCGACCTGCGCAATTGGCCTGCGAACCGGAAGCGTGCGGCCAACATTTTGTTTTGAAATTCGAAGAGTACTCAGTGAGCAGCGAGCACTGTTACTATTTTCAAGTTCTCTCTCACATGAAGCTGCCAAAAAGTGTATGTTCATGCCGTCATTTACAAGTCTTTGTATGGCCGGTGGGCAGCTGCGGCAGGCAAAATCCCTGCCTATTCCATGTCCACTGCCGAGTCCAAGACGGGTGAGCTTGAGCCGCAACGACGACCAACAGCGGGGGCTCTGACCGGGACCAGCCCATATCGGAAGCAGGGGGCGGCGTGTGCGGTGCTTGAGCAAGAAAAGAGACATGAAGAATACAGATCTGCAGACACATAGAGCATCTATCACCACTGCAGGAGTAATTATCATGACTTGTTTGTGTGCTCAAAAGGACACGTGAAATTGCTTGTACCATTTCCTGGCCTCTATGTACCATCAAGATAAAACAGCCCAGCCAGCAAAAAAAGTGACCAATTTACGCCCGCATCTTTCTTCTCTTTCCGATCTGGGCAGAGAAACCGGTCTTGATAGCCGCAACGGACCGTCGCGATCCGCAAGAGTTGCAGGTAACGAAAGACAGACGGTTCTCTCCCTTGCTCAGCTCCGTGTCGGGCGACCGGCATGTCTTGCATGACACGTATTCGATGATGTACTTGCGCAGGACATTCTCCAGCTGTTTCGCCTGGAAACGACCCTTGATGACCAGACCTCCAGTACCGGCGGTGGAGCCGCTCGTACCCAATTCGGCAAACAAGAACGTGGTGACGTGCTCCTCGGATCGCTTCATACGCTTGCAAATCTCGGGAAGGTTGGCGAAGATGGTCTTCTTGTTTCCTTCACGCATACATTGGGGTGGTGGGATCTTGTAGCTCTTGGCGGCTCCGGTGGCGTGGTCGGGGTTCTTCTCGGAGAGAAGGCTGAAAAATCGGCTCTGCGAAGTGTGTTAGCGATTAGGTCGTCGTCAGACAGAAACCCGGCCAGAAGAGCGACATACCAAGAGAAGATCGTATTTGATGGGTGTTGTGTCATCGTGCTTCCAGATACCAGTTCCTACTTTCCTGTTGAAGGAGATCTGGTCAGTATGCGTAACCTTCAAGTGTGATGCCCACTCTGTGTGCTTTGTCGCGCCAGCCAGCAGAAGTAAAACGTCCAGCACGAGGCCATGGAGGTGTGGAGTGGCCAGGGAGAGACACTAACATGTCACCGTCTTGGGCTTGCTCCTCAGCAGCGGCATCGCCACCTTCCTTGTCGAGGTCCAGCGCAGCAAGCTTGGCCGCGAAGTCGTCATCGCCCTCCTTCGCCTTGGGCTTCTTCTTCTTCTTCTTGATACCCAGGTCTGTTGCCAAAAGTGTCAGCCAAGTCGACCCTACCGAGCGGTTGTTCACGTGAGGGGCGGGGTTATGTACCGAGTCCACCGTCGCCTTCAGCAGCAGCGTCGTCTCCAGCTGGCTCGGCGTCGTCGGCGATCTTGACCTTCTTCTTCTTCTTCTTCATGAGGCCCAAGTCGAGGCCATCATCGCCGGCCTCGGGGGGAGGGGTCTCGGTCTCGGCGGGAGCTGCGGAGGGATTAGTCGACGCGAGGGTCTCTGATAGTGGCTCGGTGGACGGACTGTGAGACTGTGCGGGATGTCAGCAAACAGCTTGATTCTTTGGCTCCTGGCCGCATGGCCAGACCGGGGGCAACGGGGATGATTGTCACTGACCAAGGCGGTATCCTTCTCCTCGTTAGGAGTAGACATGATTTCGACGCTGCCGTCGGCACCGACGACGAGTTTCTCTTCGGTGAATGCGACGGATTTACGCGCGGGTCTCGACGTGTCGGGTTGCTCCTGGGGTGGAGAGGTTTAGTGTGGGGACGATTGCGATTCCGAATCGAGGCTTGCTCGTTGACGAGAGATAGGAAAGAGCACAAGGGAGACCGGATTGTGCTGCGAGGATGCAGTGAAGGGTATGGTAGTCCGTTGAAAGACGACAGGTGTTGATGATGTGTGGAGTGAGTCAACTCTAATGGCCTGCTTTTTTTGGCGGGGCTAGGCAAGCGGGCGAGCAGGGGTGGCCAGGGCTGCCGGAACTGGAGTCTGGCCTGGCCTGGAGCAGGGGAGCTCGGGGGTGGTGTGCTGCGCTGCGCGGCGCTGAACCTGCAACAGACAAGGTGTGTGTGGCACTGGCTCCTCTTTGTTCAGAGCCTGAGCCTGAGCCTGTGCCTGAGCCTGTACCAGTACCTACCTGGGCACGCCTGTGCCTAGGGTGAAAGGGTGTTCGGGAAAATGGGCCTCGACTCGAGAGCGCTATGCAGTGCGAGGCAAGGCAAGATGCAGACGGGGAGGGGAAGAGGCAGACCGTATCTCTCATCGACAACCCGGACTAAGCTGCTGGACGTACCTCGTTCGCCATCTTGTCGTTCTTCGTTAGACAGCACTCAGATTTACCTCCTTCTAATGTGTGGCCCGCTGGCTGGCTGATCAATCAGAGTGAAGACTGGGCTGGTCTTGATTTTTGGGTGGTAGGTACGCTGCTGTAGTGCGTATTCGGGGCCTCCAAGTCTCCCTTTTGTGATCTTTTGTGGGCGTTTTGCAGAAGTGAGTCTGCGATATGAGTCGGATGCCGATGACGAGGGGCGCATCTATGAGTAAGAACGGCGTTTGGAGGGACGGTAAGGCGAACTTATCGCGCTCTGCAATTCCTCGCACAATGACGAAATGCACGTCTATCAGTCATCCTCAGGACGAACTCCCAGCTCTGGGAGGGGACCCGGGCCGAGTCAGCTGACCCGCTGAGAGCCTCCAAAGATTCCCCTGCTAGGCGGGCGGGATGTTGAAACAGCACCCTTGCCCCCAGCTAGTTTGACCTAAGAACGCCTCCTAGCAGAGGAACCCGACCTCGGCACCCAGTTGTTCTGCAGGCTGTTGACTACAGCACATAGTTCTGCTGTAGGGCGGATCATATTGTGTTTAGATCGATCCATCACTTGCGATCCCGACCAACTTTAACCACCTACCACCAAGGCACCGCACTGGACTGCTGCAAATGTCACACTGCGCCAGGTAGCACATACACCGACCTACCTAGTCTAGGTACAGACCGACCGACCGACCGACCAAGCTCCGTAGCCCCTTGTCTACGTCACCAGCTCTCCTCCCCCATCCACCTCTCCCCTTCGGTCCCCGAATTCCTCACCGCATAGCCAGCCGCCCGCACGCATATCCAGGCAACATGTCCGCATCCGACTCGTACGTGATGTCCGACATGGCCACCTCAGAAGCCCATGACGACGACCTCGACTCGTTGCCCTCGATATCCAGCGACCTGCTGAGCTCCGAGGCCAGCGAGAGCCCCAGCGACGCGCAGAAGGAGTGGGAGGAGAGCCTGGAGCAGATCCAGCTGCTGCTGACCATGGTCGTCGTGCCCTTCGCGGGCAAGTACCTCGGGAGGAAGTTTGCGTATTGGAGTACGTTGGCCCCCCACCCCCGCCCCCTTTTGTTTTCAAGCGCATGAGAAGAGACAAACCCCACAGGGGCGGCGTGTTAAACCGAGATGCTCTGCTTGCTTGCTTGCTTGCTGACACACAAGGTACCGCATAGGCTGGGCACGATACATGGAGTGGGCGCACAACGTTGACATACGGTGGACCAACAAGAAGACCTGGCAGGCCGCGGGTGTCGCTGAGGCGGCTGCTACGTTATGATCAGGCATGCGATGCTTTCGACACAGTCACAGACAGGCTTTCCTCGTGGTTACGGAGGACGGAGCCGACAACAGGAGTGCCCTTTTTTCGGCGTGTGCGACACGAGGAAATAACTCGTGCCAGAGGCAGACAGGAAATCATTGGAACTTGATTAGTCCAAGCCTTGACTACATGGCTGAACCATGGTTGAACCACGGCTGGGTCAACCACATGGATGTGAATGAGAGGAGTTGCGTATATGTTCGTGGAAGACTGCATTTGGTGAACATGGTTGTTACCAGTTCCCAAGAAGAGGAAATGGGTATATTGTCCTGCCGTCGACTAGAGGTAGAAAGGACACAAAATGCATATCGAATGCCAAAGCAGGGCCATTTAGTCAAAGCAGTTCCGCCCATTGGAGCAAACGTGGGCATATAGATACTGTGCAATGATTCATGAGGATGTATAGGCGGGATATATACGAGTTTCCAACTTGTCTTTGTTTCCGGTCATCCCGTCCGCTGAGTAGGCTGTTCCCATATATGCCTCGAGGCCGAAGTCTCAGCGTGTTCATGGATAGTCAGGCATGTCTCATAGATTTCGTTACGAATTCCGACCATGAGCATAAAGAGCTAGCAGGGTGCGATAATTTGTTCCGGACTATTGGTCAACGTCGCCTATTACAAGTCAATTACTATATTTCTCGGTACGTCTAATTCAGTCAAACAAAAGCCCATATCCAGTACTCATTATACATGTCCTGATCCTTGGTCTCACGCAGGCATGCGGCCCGTATGACCTCTCCCGGGGTTTTGCCTTTAACGCCGCCTAAGCACTCAGACCTGCCTGTCGTGATCATTTTCGGCGCCTAGCACTGCCGTCCGCCCTATCCGATGTCCCAACCTTTCATCCCTTGTTTTCCGACCGTCCGTCCCGTCATGACATATTCGTGACTATCATACCCTTCATGGCCATCGCGGCGGCTCTGCCAGACCGTCGCACCTGCTTAGACCTTAACCTGCGCCATGTGAGGGCCGCCTGACCGGATCGAGCCGCCGCCCCTCCGGTAGCCCATCAGCGCAAGGGCCATGGAGGCCGCGAAGGTGATGAATAAGAACCACATGAAGACGGTGCTGGCCTGCAGCTCGCGGCACTTCTTCTCATTGTCCTCATTCCCGCACTTTGGCACGCCCAGCAGCGCGGCCAGGACGACGGCGTCAATGAAGGTGAAGAGCACGACCAAGGCGTCGGTGGCCATGACGACAATGGGGATGGCGAGCGACTCGACAAAGGCCACGGCGAGCCCGTAGAGGGTCACGAGCCAGCCCAGGACGGTGACAAACATGGAGAAGTTCACGGCTGCGGCGGAGACGAAGGAGCCATTGTTGCTGGTTGCGATGACATTTCCGAGGAGGGCGGTCAAGATGATGATCCAGAGGAGCTGCAGGGCTCGAATGGCTATTTGGATGATCTCCATGGCGCGATAAGCACAGTATGGGATATCCAGGTGGAGGTATGCAGTGGGTGGCGAGTGGGTTCACGTTGCCGCGTCTGTGCTGGAGTGGCGGTTGAGCTGCGGGATGTGGAGTACGATCTCTGGTGGAGTGATCAACCACAATACAGTACAGGGTGATGTGGGTGCAGTGGTTGGATTGTTGATACAACAATAACGTTGGAAGATGACTGGCGAGGATGAGGATGAGTATGAGGATGAAAAAGCACAAGAGATGTCGAGAACAGACAGAGCAATGGGCGGCTCAGGGAGGCAGTGAAGGCGATGTCTGAAGGCTGTGACTGCGGTATGAGCGTTTCCGGGAGGCTGATGACGTCGACGCCTCGCACTTGCTCAGATGTGGAATAAGCTGTTGTCTCGGTGCACGCTGCAAGAGCGATTAGAAGTTGGGCTAAGTGGTTGAGTTTTTTCCTCAAAGGATGCGATGATGTCCTCGAGATGTCTTGGGCACTCAATGTCTTTGTCTTGTGTATGGTGTTTACTGGACCACTGTATCTTATGCAGTGTTGATTTTTGTTTCTGTTTCTGTTTCTTGTTTCTGCTGTCAGCCTCTCCGCAGGGCCCACGAGGGCCGGCCAGCCATTCAATTCCCATCGCCCCGGCACTTGACTGTTGGCGGGGCGATCCCAAGCCAATCGACAGCCCTACAAGCCTGCATACCCCTGCAGCAGTCTTGCAGATCTCTGCTACACATAACCATCGAGTCTTCGACTTGTTACGCAGTCGAGGCAGTCGCAGTATACCACTGTCAACTTGAACAAGTCCCAGTCCCAACAAGTCAAGATGACACTCGAGTCAAACGCTTAACAAGGTGACTGGACTGGATGACTGCCTGGATGACTGCCTGGACGACTGCCTGGACGACTGGACGAGATTATTTGTGCTGCTCCCTCCACCACCAACCAACGTCTGTCTCATGATGAGCCTGCCACCTGCGACCGGCCGGCTCGCTGAGACGCGCGGCTGCGAGAAACAACCAACCACATACCGCACCACCACCACTTCACACCACAGCGCGGACAGCCAGATCCCGTACGACGGAGTATACTACCGCCCGTCCTCATCCTTGCGACGCGGGAGCGAGTGACGGCTCACAGCCTCCCTCGAGGTTAATGCGACCGGACCGCTCAGCCTCTCCGGTCCCTATCAACACGTCTGCGCGTACGTCGCACGCAGCCGCAGCCACCCGGAGAGCAGTGCTGTCTATGGCTTAGCACCCGCACGCTGTTTCAACTCGCCCTCCTACCCACCCTGCCACGAACTGGTAATGGGTGACAGCTGCCACGCTGCGTTCGTCTCGTGCCACCTGTGACCTGTGCTGCCACACCTACTCAAACTTTATCTTGCTCGCTGGTTCACGACGCTCGGAGCTGCCGTTGCAAACACCGCTCTCGTCAAACTGACTTGTCCATACTCTGTCGCAAGAGATGGCCGACGACGCTCGGCGGCCACTCGGCAACGACTCGTGAAAGCTTGCCGCTTCATCATACATCCGCCGTCGGGGGACCCGAGCTGATATAGGCTCTACTTTGGCGGCTCAACGTACCCACTCATCGCTCTCCACGATGACGCATACCTTGACTCCCCCCATCAATGCCCTCGCCCAAACATAGTACCCAGGCAGCTGCCACCACGGCAGTCCGCGCCCTCTGACGCCAATCGCCGGCCCGCCTTGTCCTGAATGCGTCATGAGCCCTCGGAAAGCTTATAGTGGCCTGCTGTCGAAACCATCGTGTCGTGCCTCCAACATCCCATCCCGGACAGGAAAGCCTTCACCGTTTCCCCTCCGTTAGAAACAAGGTTCTGGCTGTCGAGCGAGCCGTTGAAGCCTTCGCATGCGACTTACCGCTCTGGGGCACCATCCGAGCCTTTCTCAAAGAACTGTGTTACGGTAGTACGTGGTATGGATACTCCGCAACGCGCCTGACACCCGTTCGAAGGCTTCTGGAACTTCCCCCACACGGACGGTGTCTGCCTTCGTTCGGAACACGATGAGTTCGACACTCTGTCACTTATTAAATTGCCTTTTTGGCAATCCGATAGAAAATGCCGCCCCACTGACTGACGTATGCCGCGTGCTCGTGACCTCGCTTTCACGCGGGGAAATCTGCTGTCAAGCTCGCAGTGGGATTCAGATGAAGCTGTCGCCGGCGACTTGACAGCCACTGATGGCCAGCAAACTTCGCGGCACTTACCTGTCGGATAAACAAAACTCAGCCAAGAACCAGGACAGCTGCGATAGACGAGATGACAGGCCGACAAGGGATGGGCCTTTACCTTTGGTGCCATTTCTGCAGCTCGAAACAAACAGCCATTTTTGGACAGACATTCTACTCCCCTGGTCCCGTGGGCCATGGGAACGGCGACGAGACACCGCCGTATCTGGGTGCTTGTCTTGACAACTGAATTGCGAATATCTAAACGCCAAGTCTGAACAATCTTGGCATTCGCCCCTCTGGGATGACTTTGAGTTTCAGCAGTGGTTATTTTCCGCGGTCTACTACAGCACAATGGGCACAGTAGTACCCGCTCCCCACAGCACTGGTCGCAAGGCGTGGGATCGCATCTCCGGAGATGGACCTGCAGCTTGGGGAGGGATAGAGTTTGGACGAGATGTTGAAGCGCGGATGGTGGTACTACTACCAGTGCTATGTACTCCTGGCAAGCACAGTACCCGAGGCCCCCAGTCGCCGTTGGATCCATGCCGACCCCTCCCCTGCGGGCAAGGTACCTGCCTGATCACGATGGGATGTACCCGGACATGTCAGGCACCCTTGCTCCCCAAGCCTTTTAGGAAACTCTAAGATCCAGTCTTTTGGGATTCCTTGGCTCGGGATCGTCTGACTTGGCGTGGTACCCGTAGCGCGGGATTTGGTACGGGATTTGGCTGAAACCTTCTTTGAACTCTTGTCGGGAACCCCAGTCTGAATATGCTTTCCCAAAAGGACGCTCACGACGAGGCCACGCCGGCCATGTTCACACTCTCAAACATTCTCGTTCTCACTCTCGTTCCCGTCAGGTGGTCAAAGCTTGCGGCGAATTCGCTTCCAAGAGCTGGTCTGATCTGATCTGTAGCCCGCCATGCCGCAGAGCTCCCCAATCTCCTGGGCTAAGCTTTTTGCCACCTGTAGATCGTGGACGATGCACGCAACCGATGGTTTGCATTGCCTGGCTGCTTGTTGACGACAGCGACCCATCAACAAAGCGGACCACACTGGGCTCATTCAAGCATAGTACAGGATCTTCGGGCTTACTGTACACGTGTTGCTGTCGCCGCGTTCGTGCAGCTCCAGATCTGGCCATATTACTTGCGGCATGCCACGGAGAAGACCGTCACGGAGCGGCTAGGATTTCTCGTGAGGATTATTGTCTGTCAGCTTACTTCGGCGCACCAACTGCTAGACCAAACTCTACAATAGCGACATCGATTTAGCTCGGAGATTGGAACACCAGCAAGCTCGGCGCGATGGTCACTTGCCGCTCAAACTACTGACCCGCCACGGCTCGCTGCGGGTGCTGAGGGAAGACGCCAAAATAGGGCGTCGATCATAATCGCGGAACAGTTTCCCGTGGCAATGGAAGCGAGAACCGGGCGGGAATAGGGAATGGCACGCTGACCAGGGCAAGGCAACGTAAGTGTGCACTCTCCAAACCGCTGGCGGTCTCGTCGACCTTGCCGATCGATGCGGAGGTTTGTCGGCCGTGTTGGCCGTTGCGAAACCTACTGAACTTCTGCTACAAGCTTCCTCGTCGTTTTTGCACGATTCTCAGGCTATTGCGAGATAGCCTCGAGCTTGCGACTGAGTTTTGACGTCAGACCGCCGATGCGAACTGGCGAGAATGCAGCCTATGCTTCGGTAGCCTCCTGCGGCGTTCGAGTGAGATGTTTCCCCGAATACAACTCTCCTGAACAAACCCAAGATTGCAGTCGCTATGCGCGGCAGCTCCTGGCAGCGGCAGCATAATGCTGTTGGGATCCGTGCTGGGCGACGTACATAATCATCGCTTGCTTGGGTCACCGACATGAACGTCTGCGTCTACCTTGGTACTTTGGTTGGAGGATCGCGTCCCCATGAGGAAAGGCACCCCTAGCCTCAACCTTAAACCCATCACCAGCAGAGGCTGTTACCACAGCCCTAACCTCAAACGTGTCACGCGGACCGATCATCAAGCGACTAAGTATGGAGCACGGAGGACTTTTATGGCTTTAGCTCGACGGCTAACCCATCGGCCAAGGAGGGCTAGCGAGCTAGCGAGAGATGCCACGGGCCAGACGCAACGGTGGGAAACGAGCAGGACCACATGGTTCTCGTGCAGGCGGTCCGCTGTAGATGGAAGGGGTACGTACATCCATGCATGCGAGATCGACCAGGACTGTGACAAACGCCCACACACCCCCAGAGCTGCCAAAAGCAGCTATCCCAAGCTACCTTCATCCCATCTCCACCCGCAGTTGGAGAAAAAAAAGCGGTGCTAAAGCCCGCAGATCTACTGTACCAATCTGCCATTGCCTGCATCGCGGTGCAGTCCCGAGGGTGGGTTTTTGCCACCGCGTGGACTTTTTGGCCACTCCCCAATTCCCCTCATCCCCTCATCTTCTCTCTTGTTCGTCCTCTGGGGCGTCCTGCCGGGTTGACACATGCACGTTCGATAAAAGGGGACGGCCCTTGATCAGCCATGGCCCGGCTTTTGAGGCTGAAAAGGTGCCAACCAACAGCCAAACCCCCGACCCCCATGCGCTGTACCCTTCCCTTGGAGGGGCCAACCAGGGCCAATTGATTAGATGGCCCCAATCTATCTACTCTTGGGGCTAAAGAATCCTCCACAATGCGGTAGGTTGAGGCGTGGTGCACGATTTGTGACAGCCTGGCAGTCTAGGGGGGACTGGCCTCCAATCGGGGCTGTGGCCGGAGGTCTTGATCGCCGGCTGAGTGCCCAGCGAAGCTTGCTGTTTTCCTAGAGGGAGATGCCGTCGTATAAGTGAGTGTTCGTATATGAAATCTTCGCCAAGCTTTGAGCCAAAGCTCGTGATTGCCCGTCTTGGTCACCGCGACGTGCCTCTGCAGAAAAGCATACGGCGCCCGCACAGACTAGATAGGCGGTGGGGATATGCCGTTGGTCATTTATTAGACTACATGGCAGATCATCCAAGGTTATTGTTTGGCCTGTAATGTGTGCTTGATGTTATGTACATACGAGGTCCCTCAACGACACCCGTCTCATAAGGGATGACAGGCCACGGGCCCAGTGCTCGGTTAGAAATGCTCGGCTAAGCCGCCACCGCCCGGAGCATGTGCAGGTGCCGACAAAAGAAAATCAAAACTACGGCAGCTTGTAGAGTCAAAACTACCCAGCGTACGGCTGACTGGCTGGCTGACTGACTGACTGGCTGTTGCCTCGAATGTTACAGTTCGTCAACGCCCTGCCGGTTCATGAATAGCCTGGGACCTCCACTGCCGCCATCAAGCGGCGCCTGAGCGTACGACTCCTCATTTGCAGCTCCACCATCCGTCGTGGGGGTCCCAGACGTGCCGCCTCCGGCACCGTCAGCTACGACCTCCTGGTCAAGCGTGATGGTCGAATTGGTACTCGCAACGTGTCGGTGGTACAATTCCTGGTCGGGGGCCGCGTCGACGGACCCCCCTGACGTGGTGAAGCCGCCGAGGCTGAAGACCTGGTCCGTCGAGCCATATCCGGAGCTGTTCGTGCGATCCGCATACTGGAAGAAGTATGCGGTGCTGTCCTTTGTCGTGTCGACCAGCGAGCCGGCATACTTGGGGCTGCCGTACCCGCTGCTCCCTTCGGAGAAAGCCTCCAGACCATCGGGGAACACTGCTGCGCCCTCAACGTAGACTTGCACTCCCTGGATTAGGCGTCCGTACAAGGTCAAATTACCCTCGGGTGAGTAACCGTAAGTTGAGTTGCACCACAGAGGGTACTTATACTCAGTCTTGTAGTCTGCCCCGACGACTGCCGACGAGGAAATGGTCTGGTCGGTGCCAGAGATGAGGAAATCGTTGACCTGCGCAAAGCCGTAGGCCGAGACATAGCCCTTATTGCTGTATGATAGATCTTGTGTCCAGCTGACGGTGCCGGAGGCGTTACGCGAGACAACCGTCGACGTGACTTTGATGGCGCGCGAAACCAAGGTATCATATGTAAGGGTCTCGTTAGCACCCGTGGCATTCTGCGTCAGCACCGACGATACAGAGATGCTTGGCTGTGACTCCTCAACAACGGGCACTGAACCCGTCGTCACGCTGGTCTCGTCATCGTCGAGCCACACGAAGACCTTGCCTGTGACGTACCAGCTGGCTGCCACAGTCTGTGTAATGCTCGCCTCGGACCCACCATCGTCGACCAGGCCCGCGACATATATTGTGAAGGTGTGACTGTTGCCGTCGCACAACACAGGGAGCCAGGGTGTGATGTCAATCTCATGCTCTTTCAGATCGAACGCGTCCGGGCTGACGATCGGTCGGTGTAGCGAGGGAACCACGCCGCCGGTGAAGACAACGGGAAACGGCCACTGCACGCCGGCCAGCTGCCCATCAATAAATACCTGAACCTCGCGCCAAGGCGAGTAACCAGTAAAGTCGCCCGCCGTATCAGCAAAGGCCGAGGTGTCCGACTGCAGGACGTTGGACCACCAGAACTCCTCGTTGGCCTGGCCGTTGGCACTGACGGAGAAGACGGCGCGGTTGGCATTTTGGGGGAAGCTGACCGTGTTCGTCGCGTTGTCGGCGGGCAGCGTGAACTGGCTCACGCCGTCGGAAGCAGACTTGCGCGCACTGATAGGGATGATGAGGTCAGCCGGAGCCGCCGTGGCGACGTCGACCTCATCGTTAAAGAACGTAGCTGTCAGAGTCGTGTTGAAGGAGCCCGTGTAGACATCTGTGATAAGGTTGCCTAGGTCAAAGATAATCTTCTCGGGTGACTTCCACAGGGACAGGTACTCTGTCATGTCCTTCAGATAGGTCCAGCGGATGCCGGGATGAGGCGTGGGCTCGGCGGTTGATGTCCGCCAGACCTCGGTGTCATTGAAGTACATGAGAGCAAGGCGGTCACTGGGAGAACGGTCAGTGACTGACTGCTAGTCTACAGCAGGTGCAGGGTAACATTGGACTTACTACTGCCTCCCCTCACTAACCACAGTGAAATTGATCACCACGCGATTGAACTCGCAGTCCGGCGGCGTATAAGCCCCCACGTAAGGAGCTCCATAGCTTACAGCAAAGACGTGGTCCATCAACAGCACCGAGCAGGAGTCGCCCGCGGAACCACCCGTGGTCCCATCATCGCCATCATCATCGGCGTCGTCCAAAGTCGGCCCAGAGGGAGTCAAAACCGGCTGGTGCACCTGGAAGTCTTCTAGAACTGTCGCAGCGGGTGTCGCAGAAGTCGTAGTCACATTGGCGGACTGCCGTCTGATCACACCGGGCACGCCGAGTGCGACTCTCTCACTGAGCGATTCGGCAGCCGCATGTTCCGTCTGGTCATTGCCAACGTGACCAGTGGTCACATCCGGGTGGTGAGGAGAAGCCGCAGCAGCAGCAGCAGCAGCACCAGCACCACTTGACAGCGGGTCGCGGTCGGACGGTGCCGGGCTCTCAGACCGCGTTGGAGCAACAGCCACGAAGGCAGGCCACTGCAGCTGGTGGTGCTGGTGGTGGTGGCACAGGCCCAAAGCGGTCAGAGCCGCAACTACGACGAGACACACCGCGAATGCATGTGTCGAGCGTCGTCGTCGCTGTTGACCCTTTTGGGTCCCGACCATTCCGTCTTCGGGATACAGCCCGAGTCGCTGGGCGCCACGACCCTGAGCCTCAACCGCATGCTTCCCCCCATCACGGGACCAAGACTGCGACTGCGTCTTCTCACCCATGGCTGCGCGTTCCGAGCTTGTCACCCGCGGGCTGGCTGAGCCGGCTGCCAATAGAAAAGTCAGGACTCGACTGCCGGTGTGCGTGGAGAGTTTGGACGAGGGCAACCCCCCAGAAACAGCCCGAGACGATCGTCTGGTCGCCAAGACCCAGGGTGATAGGGCTTGTATCCTTGCAAACGTACTTTTGGTCGGGGTAGCACTCACTCACTCGCTCACTCGCTCACTCACTATGTGAGAGAAATGGGGAAGCCCCCTTCCTGGCTCCTGGGCGCAAGGGTTGATGAATTGTGCTGATCTTTCTCCCTATTCTCTCTCGCTGGCTGCGTGTGCGTGTTTGAGCGGGTTGCAAAAATGAGAGAATTATTATGATTAACAGGATATAATAGGATAAATTTGGATCACGATGGGGAGGCAGACTGGCGGGCAGACCGATCACCGTGGGACTGGATACAGATGCCGAACAGTCGAGTGCTGAAGAGCTCGCATCGGATGGCAGAAGCAGCAGCAGTGAGGCGAACCAGGCACGGCGGCGAGGCAGAATGCTGGTGCACGAGGTTGAGCCACGGGCTGTGAATATGCGCTCTGCGGTTTAATAAAGTAGATGTGTGATGCAGGTGGGATCGAGCGAGGGGAATTGAGATGAACACCGCGTCTCTTTCTCTCTCTCTCTTCTCTCTCTTGCCCCTCGCCCCGTCCCCCTCACGGCGATAACGCCATGACGAGCACAAAGTGGTAATTATCCGGGCAGACGCGCAATCAATCTAGATACAATGGCATAGCATGGGCAGATACGCGAAGGGAGGGGAGGGGGGAAAGGAGACTGGGGGGAGGTTACAGCCCCAACAAATGAGGGCATACGGGCCTACGACGGATTTGGGAGGTGCAGATGTGCAAGTGCAAGTGCAGGCGCAGGCGCAGGCACAGGTGCGGGTTATGGAAGGCGGCACGCGGCACGCGGCAGGAGCCCCATGCAGCTCCAGCACCAGGGAGAAGGTACAGCCAGCCAATATTGGAGAGGAAGGAAACAGGAGGTAGGAGACAGGAGGTAGGCAGTGGTAGGCTGGCTCAGGCTGGTAGCTGGTAACTGGCAGCTGGTAACTGGTAGGGTGTCATTCGAGTTGGAGATTGCGACTCTGCAGTTCCGTTGCCTGTGCCTGTGCCTGTTCCTGTGCCTGAGCCCTTGCCTGTTGTTTATCACCCACATCCATGCCCCACAATTCCCCGACTTGGGGAATTGATATGATTGATGGCAAGGTAGCTTGGCTGGCTGGCTGGCTGGCAAGGTGAGCTGGGTAGAGGTAATTTACCATCGTTCAGTCACCGCACACGCACAGCGCTACTCCTCTCCTACTACTACTGTGCATGGTTCCGATAGCCTGCCTATCAGGTGTAACCGTATGGCGCAGTGCCCCTGCGTCAATTGCCAATGCCAGAATGCAACGGCCCGGTTCGACAATCGGTCGTGCTGCGGGATCATGCGAGGCCTGCTGGTCGTCCAGTTGTCGTCGTGGGCACGGCTACTGTACACTAACTAGTCTACCAGTGTACCAGGACTACCAGCCCTGGCACCGCCCTGGCGTGCCTGACCCGGCCACGCACCCCCTAGGTGGCAGGGTGGGCAGGCATAGTAGACTACCACCCTGGTATAATAATCTAGTATAGTAGTTCCCAGGAGCCCAGAGACTGAAAAGAGAAAAAGGGCAGTTCCGGACGGCCGGAGAGGAGCTTTTCTCCCGGGTGATATTGGCGAGGGTGCCTTGGTATTGATCGGGGGGTTTTCATTTTTGAATTGGGATCTCGGTCTCGAGCGAGACGGTGGCAAATCTTTGACGCCTCGCCTTTTTTTGGTTCCCTGTCGTAACCTGCCCTATCCTATTATCCTATCCTATCCTTTGGAATTCGTCTGATGGCTGTCGTCAAGTTCCGTATGGGCGATCCTCTCTCGGCTCCGAAACATGGGTTATGGCGTTGTCCAGCCCTCTCGTCGAGCCTCATTAATCAGGACATCATATCATGCCATGCTATTTGGGATCGTCGTCTATGCTTCCCAGCAGCCACCGCAGTGCCCGCGGCAAAGCACTCGTCCTTTGTCCTCCTCGACAGTGGAGTTGCTGAAACGGGCATTACCGCCAAGGGCGTGGGCATGAGTCGAACACGCCACTGTAGGATGGCGGCTGGATGAATGTTGAGGCGCAGCGTGACGAAAAAGCAAAAGTAAGTGAGGGGCCAGAGTGAGGTTGAGAGTCAGAGTGAGATTGAGAGTCAGAGTGAGAGTGAGAGCTCTGTGGAATTCATTGCGCTACCAAATACTGTAAACGCGGGTATCAACAACCTCAAGTTTGACGCCCTCCGTGTGTATGCGAAGAAGATGCCCCCTAATTTGCGTGGAAAAACACACGACCACAAAACCTGGTTATAAGAACATGCGCAAAAATCACAGACCAAGGTGTCCCCCACCTAAATGGATCCGTCCGGCCCGAAACCAACACAGTTGGCCGGTGCCGGCGGCGATGATGATGAAAAACCCCCTTCCGAAATCCAACTCCATCCAAGATGCTAAAATCCGTATCGTATATGTCCCCTTGCCTTTTAGAAACCACCCCAACCGTTTTGGTAAATAATCTCAAAACCACTCTCTCTCACACACAAGAAAGTCCCTCTCTCTCTCTCTCTCAACAAAACACACCACCACTTCGGGTGAAAAGTGCACTTTCATGCTAGGCGGAACTCCCACAGGAGGGCGCTGACGCTGATGCTGAACTCTGCTGCGAGTACGGCCCGACCGTTGTAACCACGATCTCGCGGTCTCAACGGGCGGCGTGCCGTGCCATGTTTGGCTGGAGGTCGTCCCCCGGAGCCTGCTGAACCCTGTCCGGGGCTGCAATGCCAAGACATCTTATTTGCGCCTTGACGTGAGCTTTCGACAGGCGTTGCTTGGAGAAGGGGGTAAAGGCCTCTGTGGCGCGATGCGGAACAGAGCGGGGGTGCTCGACTCGTTTGAGAACTTCAGACCCCAGCCCATCCCAGGTAAGACAAGACGGAGAGGGAGCGCATTGACGAAATTCCGAGTTCTCAACGGCCTCGTCTGGTCAGCCCAGGATGCCGTGCAGCTGTAGAGAGCGTCTTGAGAGACACCATTGAGAGGGTGTACTCTCGGCCGATGCGATTGCTCATTCGCCCAGACGGGAGAAGGCTATGCGATGAATGAGTGTCCACCAGATGTTGGCGCTCACCGACTGAGCTGTACTGAGCATAGCGTAGCCTAGCGTAGCGAGGAGCCAAGTTTTCCCGCGCGGCCCAATACCGCGAGGAAAAGTATGAAAGCGCTAGATCGGGAACCCGAGGAAAGGGGTTCATGCGTGCGTGTTGTCCCAGAACCTTCTCCTCGCGGCAACGGCCAGCTTGTTGCCCACAAACCGGTGCTGGTAGAAGTTGAAGACGGCGAACTCGCCTGTCGACATGACATAGCTCTCGGGTTGCGCCGTGACGCGGTCCCACAGCTGTGTAAGCGCCGACTCGAGGATGCCGCTGACCACGGGATCCCGCGCCCCATCCGGGCTGTCGCGCGCGATCTCCAGCGCCTCGGCCACCGTGTTGGGGTCCAGGTTGCCAAAGTCAGAGGGAGGCAGCACCGCGGGTGACGTTCGTGGCGAGGCTGAACGCTGCTGCTGCTGCTGAGATGATGTGTGGGCAGGGGATGTGCGCGGGCTGAGGGGTTCAGCGGGGCCGTCCATGTCCATGTGGTCCTCCTGCTGTGGTGTCGGGGGTTGTACGGCGCCACCCATGGTGAATGGCACAAAGGTTGAGTGGTCTGCGGTGATTGCTGGGCCGGCGAAAGACCGGTAGGGTAGGTAGCATGGGTTGGAGTTGAAGTCTTGAGGGTGGAGGGACAACATCTTGAAGACAGAGCCGGGCGGGGAATAGGACGTCTGGCGCGTGATGGGTTATATGCTTCCGGACGAAGGCGAAAAGGCGAAAAAAAAGATGACAGACACGGTCAGTGACAGAGAATACTGATCAATGCTGTGCGACGTGCCTTCTGCAGCTGCTTCGCAGAAAGGTGATATGTCATATAACTGGTCCCGGTTCCAGTGTAAAGGTTCTGGATGTCCCGGCTTTCTTTGATAGGTTGATCAACGGGGAAGTTGCCGTCTTTGCTTTTGCTAACTGGGACAAGGTCTTGGTCAGGGTCGACGGTGGCGTTGTTTGTCTAGTTTCTTGATGTACGTTGTACGTTGTACTGAACCTGACAGAGTGATCCTGGCTTGGATAATGGCGACACGGGTTGACGAGGCTGATGATAAATAGGGCTGGTTGCGACCGCTTCTGGATGGGGGACGGAGATGGGCGGGCGAGTGATACTTATACATGCAGTTTAGATCGGGCTTGACGCAATAGGGGCACCAAAGTCGCAGTCGGAACTTTGGGACTGGAGTTTGTTCTGACTAGGTTCGACGAATCCTCGTCGTCAAGAGCGGAATGATCGCGACAAGTCCCAAAGTTTAAGACCCCATGCCTGGCGGCAATAATAAAGTGATACGCCCCATGCAGAGTCCCAATCCCAGTCCAAAGTACCAGTCCCGTCCCGACTGCTCAGACGCAGGGTGGCGTACCGTAACCTGAGATTACCCTGACTCTGGTACCGTCTGGGCTCCGACAAGGTCGAGGCCGTACCGTGGGCAGGGGGCCCAGGGTCTCCGGAGGCCCATGGATCAGTGTGACTATCACCTGCTGCTGATCCTTTGTTGGGTCCGGGTCCAGCTGGGGGCTCTTGGCAGAGCGATCAACCAAGCCCCCGCTGACACTGACAAGCAGAATCGTTTCTGAAGCAAACCCAGGCGGAGCTGTTGTCCCTTTCGGGAGCACGGCTTCCACAAAACCTCTAGACCTCTTTCTCACTGTTGTAATGCGGGCCGTACTAAAACGACGGCTCCTCATGCCCGGCCTGGTCTGTTGGGGGGCCGATGCGCAGTGCTTCTTGACAGCGCGAGCACGGTCGTGTCAAAGTGACGGCACGACCAGTCAAGTCGGCACTGCGGACACATAAGCAGTGGGTACAGGCACACATGGTAGGTGTAAATCCTGTTACTGTTCCTGAAGCTTTGCAAAGTACTATACTTTGGCTTTTGGAGGCCCGTCTTTTGGAGTATTTTGGAGAAGCTTTGGGAAGAAACAGGACTGTCCTCTGGTCTATTGTTGGAAATCCCATCGGAACTTCCCCCCCTGGTCCCTGGGCCGTGGGAGGGGGTCTTGATCGCTCCCACGGAGGTCTGGAGGGAAAGAAGGGAATAAGACGGAATGGCATCAGGTAGCATTTGCCAGGTACGTACTATGTAGGCCGGCCAGGGGTGCTGTCGGCTGGGGGGCCAGAAAAGTACTTTGGCCGTCAAAGTTTACACTGCTGGGTTATATGGGGCGAAACCGTACCCATGACCGGCTAGAAACTCAAAGCGATGGTGATTAGACTCGACAAGTTTGACAATAAGTCATGTATTGGTCATGTAGCTGCTTCAGCTGGCATATTTTTTTCTTTCTTGAGAAACGTACCCTCGGCAGTTGGCCAGATGATCGACGATACTTTCTGGACAAGCACGCCTGTCTGCATACATACCTAGGCGGGTACAGTAGGATCGCGTTGGCCTGGGTGCAAAGCGCGGCTAACTCAGGCGCAGGAAAAGCAAAGAAAGCCATGCTGAAGCGGCAGTAGTGGCAGCAGCTGTGGCAGCAGCTGTGGCAGCTGTGGCAGCTGTGGCAGCTGTGGGCAGCTGTAGCGGTAGTGGCGGTAGTAAATGGCAGCAGCAGCAGAATGCCTGGGCTTGATTGGCCTTTGCCCCTCGGCCGGCTGAGGTTGGGGGCGAGCGGACGAGGCGATATGTTTGGAGCTACGGGGCACATACTGCGTTCGTCGTTATCGCATAGCACTGGCACTCGGTACGCGGTTACGGGTGGTTATGGCCGGGAGCTGGGCGGTCCGGGATCCCAGTTCGTGAGCGTAGTTGGGACGACGGTCTCGCATAATACTCTGCTCTCGAGCTGCCAGCTCCCTAGCTCTGAGCTGTGTCTAGCACCAGGCCCTTGGGACTGTTGTTACCCAGGCTGCCAGGTATGGGCATATCAGGCGACGCCGTCGAGCGCATTGGATCCGGCTGCCTGGACTGACTGGGACGGGCCTGATGCTGGAGAGCCGACGGACGGAAGTGCTACTTACGTACGGTAGCAATGACCAGGGAGACGGCCAGTCTGCTGGGGCCAGCCCCCCCGTCGTGGTCGAAGTATGTTTCCGACCTCCCACCCTGCCGGGAAATGCCATTTTACTGTGTTCTCCGTACGTTGTAAACCCGTGGACGGTCCTGCCTCGGCCGTTTTCTGGGCGCAGGACAGGGCCGGGCAGTTTGACCAGCCTGCGTGCCCTGCGGCGGTGCCCTCGCCCTGCGTGTGTCGGGCGGCCTTGGAAAAGTCAAATGAGGTTTGAGGGGCGCATGAGTCAAACGGTGACGAATTTTGAGAGAGTTTGCTTTGACCAGAGCCACCGTCTCGCAAGTTTGCCAGGTCGGAAAACCCACCCGGCATCTCGCGCAGCGACTCAGTATTCGACGAGTCGACGGAGGATTCCCGAGGCAATGACCAGATCGTGACTGAAACCGGGTCGGCGCAGATTAGAGACGGGCTCGGCCGCCCTCCTTTTGTCGTCATATCGTCACGAGGTTGGTGTTTGGGTTTCTTCACCGACTTGACAGCCTCGGAGCTTGAGCTTGTGTGCATGATCGAGTGAGGGCTCGGTGGGTAGGCAGCTAGGTCATGATGATGATCGGAAGCGCTCTCGGCTCGGAGTCGGAGTTGGTGGAGGAGTAAGACTCGAGCGTAATGCTGCTGCCGCCGCTGCTGCTGCTGGCTGTTGGTGCTGCCGGTTGGGCTGTATGTACTGTGTATGTACGGCATCGTGTCGTGGGCGTGGAGCCCTCAGCTTGGATTGAACACGTGCACAGCTGACAAGGCTGCATTACGGTAGCACCTGGAGCAAGCGTCGCTACTCCATCCTCCTCCACCTGCTGCTGCGCTCCTCCTCATCGTCGTCTCCTCACAATTGCTGTTCCCGTACCCGTAGCTGCGGCCCCCAACTTTTGTGAGGGCGTGCCTGTTCGTTTTGGGGTCTCTGGCGAGTCTGGGCCGTTCTTCGCCGGGTCTCCACCACAAGTCCAGACTCACCAGGTCCGATCGCTAATCTTGATTGCAGATGGTGTTGCCCGGGTCCTCCCAGCTCGCCCGCTCGCTCGGAAGCAGGCGCAGGTTGTGTACGCAGTGCAGTAGGGGCTGCAGTAGTGCAGGACCTGTGCAGACCCAGACCCAGATCCATCCAGATCAGACCAGACCAGACCAGATCCGACCCGACCATGAGCATGAGCACAGAGAGAGAGGGACACACAGACGCCTCACTCACTGCCTCACACACACAAGTACGCACTCTCTCCCACACGCCGAAAGACACGACAGCTCGAGCTGCTCGCGGCAGGCAAGGAGGATCGTTTGAGTTTGGGCGCCAAGCCCTTCAATTTTCAGCCGGTGTTCAGCCGACGAACGACACATGCAGCATGCAGGTGATGCAACCGTGTAGTCTTTTTCCGTACGGTGCTAACCCCCGTAGGATTTTCTCGATCGTCAGGCCATGGCCCCAGAGATGATGTAATTATTTATAAGGGAGAGGAGAGAGTTTGACTTGGGGCAAAGCATAGGGACTGACTGGCCGTCCCGACGGCTGTGACACCCATTTTCGGCGCCCACATGAGGGTTGTGTTGCTCCACGATCAGAGTGTCGTAACAGTAACAGTAGTGCTCCGTGGTAGCGGTAGTTTCGTTCGCCCCGGTTGTTGGTGGTCTAAGGTTTGCCACAGTCGCAGTCCAGCTGGTCCTTTTGTCGCTCGCTCGCATCGTAATGCATGGGCATTGGCATTTCCGCATTTTGGATTTTGGGGACCCCCAGCCCAGCAGCCCAGGCGCCGTGCCGGACTAACCAGCTTCGTGGGCAACCTCCGACCCTTGGGATTCAGATTCAGAAACATCAGACGGATCGATTCGCCACGGGAATTCCGACTCCCTGTACAGCACACGCAAGCGGCGGTCTGTACTTGGGGGAGCTTCTGGGGGGTTTGGGAACTGCCTTCATGCCTGCCCAGCCGCCCTGACTGGCTGGTGCAGGCTGGGCTGGCGAGTGACTGGCAGACTTTTTTCCCCTCCCAACAGCCCATCCTGCCGGGCAATGAGCTTTTGACAGCTCACGGCGCGGTGCGATACGCTGCCCTGCCCTGTCCTGTCCTGCGGGTGCTGCACTGCTGCCCCCCACCCCCCCTGGCCCAGATCTGTGATCTGTTGGTCCCCACTCCTTCCAGAAGCGGATGACATTCTTGCCAAAGTCTAATCCAGATGATCTGCGCTTGCAAAGCCCGTGTGCGTATCCGTACCACCTCCGTAGGGGTATGGGCCCACCCCTTACCGTAACCAGTTTGGGACAGCCTTGCGGGTACCCAGACTGGCTGCGTGTGCGTGCAGACATATCATGTACCTGCCAATGCCAAATTACCGTGGACAGACAAGCACGGCATAATGGCATGGCATGGACTATAACATGCCCGCAGGATTGATCTGAACACCCCGCGGGCCCGTAGTCCTGGGCTCGGGTTGGAGAAGAGGGCCGATGATGTGCATACGAAGTGCAGTGCCTATAGATTAGTCTTTCGTTTCGAGAGGTGCGCATTGATGAGCGAGATGGCAGCAGGTACGTGCATGCACAAATACACATCGGCACGGAAAACAGCCCTTCTTGGCTGGGGAATAAGACTTTTGTGCAGACCAGACCCATCCGTCCGTCTGTCATGACAGCCGAGATCAACAGCAAGATGAAACGGTGGATACCCTTCGAGAGGTGTCCATACAACGGCCCAAATTCCCAAGAGCTGCAGTACTTACTCTTACCACCACGGAGTATTGTATCATGTACCTAGGTATTTGTCCACCGCCCAGCTTCAGCCAGCCAGCTTGCTGGGCGCCTCTGCCTGAGCTTGGAAATAAGGTTTTGTATGCCCTGAGGTAGCCAACCTCGTCCAGACGCAGCCCACATCGTGGACCCATCGTGACACACCTACATTCTTCAGATCAAGCGGTGCGTTACGCGTCCTCCTATTACGACACTTTAATCAACAAAAGTACCAATCCTAATCCTATTCCTCCCGCCGAACTAAACCATCAGCCTGCTGCGAAGCTGGCTTTCGGGTTTCGCGAGACGAGGCTGTCTAACTTTTACAGTGCCTTTGCCCCTAGCCTCTCGGCGACCGCAAGGCTCCAATTTCATAGTTCCCACCGTCGACTTAAGTTACCAAAAACGATCGCTTTCACCTCGCCGACGAGCACCGCAAATCTGGGTTGAATTGCGCCGCCGGAGATGTCTCCGCCAGTTGGTCGATCAGTGCCGCAGCCGACGGTAAGGTTTGATCCAAATCAGGTTATGCCATCATGACAAGATCCACGAATGGCTTCTGCTCCGAGTCAGCACGGGTGACCGGCACGGGGTCCTCTTCCGCCGCCCACAGCAGTGATTGATTATGTTTTTGTCTTTCCTTGCTGCTCATTCTCCTTGCTCGTCGGCCGCATAATATGACGATGAGTATTATTATCAAATTCCAAAAAAGAAGGGACGGCAACAAACAACTGGGACAAAGTTTTCGGATACAACAGGTTCCATCGTCCGGCCCCCCCAGGAGCAGTGCCAGACCCTCCCCCGCCCGCCCCCGGGCCTGGTTCCTCCCAGCCTCTCGTCGTGACACGTCAAGTCGACGGCCTCGTTGCCGGTCACCGAATATAAATAAAGTGGCGAACAACGGGGAACATCAGACCAAGGGTCGCTGACGCGAAACCCGCGGGCGGAGGGAGGAAAGGGATCGATGGGCCAGCAGGAAAACTCCCCGTACTTGAAACGTGGTTGACGGAAACCCTAAAGTTTGGACGCAAGAATAATGACGCTATTGCTGCCCTTGCTCTGCTTCTGCTTGGTCCCAGGAGGATCAGCGCTGGCTAATGATTCTGCCATCCCACAGGGGAGGGGGCCGCAAAAGAATTGGAGTCGAAACTCAAATCATCCATCTCTCGCCGATAGAGTTTTGAAGTTTGCCATGTTTCGGTGGCGGGCTGTGACGAAATGGATTTTTTTGGAGGGGGGGGGGCCTTGGAGCAAGGGACCTTGGAAGAGGGAGGGGTTGGTTGACTAGCAGCAAAGGGTTCACCGTTGTTCGCGTCGAGAGCTGTCATCAGGCACTTATCCGTCTGGGTGGTATATTCGCAAACGTCCATCTAGTTCGTCTATCTTTGGTAGATGCAGACCATCTCGCCGGTCCGGTGCAGGCAAGGACTGGGAACCGGGTCTCCGTCGAGGTACATGCGCAGCACCAGCGATGCCGAGCGCGCCAAGTACTGTACGTGGTACCACCGATGAGAAAATTGGGGAATGGCAGCCGTTCAATTCCGTGTTATACCCAACCCTTGACCGTGGCCCCCTACCTACCTGCCTAGGCAACTCTTGGGGGTATGGGTGTATATGCGTGTGTGCGACTGTGTGTGACAGAAAGAGGGAAGTATCGTCAGATCGTACTCGTTCAGATACGGGGCTGGCACTGATGGGCCGATGGATCACGAGAGGCGAGGCCCAGACCAGGTGCCGGGAGCACCACCTAGGTAATTGCAAACGAAGCACATGTGGGACATGCTCCACGCCATCGGGCCCCCCTAGGGAAGTTCCTTCAGCGTGCGGTTTCCTGTATCTGCGGGCCAATGCTGGCTGTATCAGCATGAGATACATGTAGCTGCAGGATAAACAGGAATCCGGGCTAGGAACGGGAATACTGTGTGCTCCAGGTGCTGTAGCAGCAAGCAGCAGCAGAAGCAGCAGCAGCAACCGCAACCGCGCCAGCCCTCCCTCCTGAGGATCCTGATCATCCTGAATCCTCTGTGGCCCACCTGCGTGACGCTGATCATGATTACATAGGTACGGTGTAATGTGCGCAGGTATCAGGTAACCAGGTATCGAGGTACCGTGCCTCTCTGAACTATGTAAGGAGGGCGGGAGGTACGGAGGCAATGTACATGTACTGTGGTACAGTACCCAATCTCACAACCCTTTCCAGAAGTGGCCGACATATGCGGGAAAAGGGTGCATTAGTGGGGCCTGACACCTTCCTAGCGCGAACCTTATTTCTGCCGTGCGGCTGTCGGGCAAAACAGACAGGTGGGAAGGCGCGAGATGGGAAAGTGGGCTGTGTGGGCTGCCTGGCTGTAGGCTGTCAGGCTGTATAGGCTGTGGGCTTGTGGGCTTGTGGGCTTGTGGGCTTGTGGGTGGGTGTGGTGGGCTATGGGTAAGGGGCAGAGGGAAAGGCAGCAGAGCCGTTTGGTTGGGCTGCATCAATCAACTCATTCAATTCAATCAATATTCGATATACGCCCATCCACCCATCCACCCATACATCAATTCAGGATCCACTCGCACAAAGCATACTCCGTGCACCACATGCGCACACGCACACGCACACGCCAACACCAGCACCAACCCCAACCACCTCATGTCAGGACTCAGGACATCGGATGCGAGCCCTGGCAACTCCCTCATCTTGGTTGGGGCAGGGCAAGGGCAGGACATGGCAGGGGACGGATCCTTCCATTGCGGATACGTGCCACTGTAAATCTTGCCTCTGCTGTGGGTCCCTCTTCGTCGCATCTTCACGAATTCCAGACAGAAAAAAGGACCACAGACGATCCAGTTGCCCACTTCCCACGATTAAGCTTTCGGACCTCGTTTTCCTTCTCCCCTTTCGGCTTCACCTCCGTGGCCTTTGTGACGCGCTACCAACCCGTCGCCCAAAGTTTGTTTCACAGGCTCTCGCATCGACGACAGCTCGGCGGCACTTGCCACTGACTGCATCTGCGGAATGCCCACATGCATCCAGTCTGTACTGACTGCAAGTCCAGTACAGTACAGTACAGTACTATGTACTATACACACGTTCACCAGGCTGCCAGTCCGATGTGCACCACAGTACTGTATGCGTGCCCCCGGTGTACGGAGTATGCATATGCATGCAGTATGCGGTAGAGTACATTACGACGCACGCCACAATCGAGCCCCTTCCCAATATCCTCCCCATCCTCATCCCACATCCCTCGAGACATGCACACCCGCACGCAGCATGACCTTCCGCCTTCCGTAGTCCGCACCCGCCTCCCGAATGCCTGCGTTTTATTGTTTCTTACAGTCAGAACAGCACATGGGACGTCTCAATTGGACCCACTCTGCGTGTCCTGCCAGCCTGCCAGCCGCCCGACGTGGGGACTGTCCAGTGTCCACGCGCGGAAGCAAGGGCACAGCTTGAACTGGACCCTTGCCCCGGTTTTTGAACAGCCCCACGGTGACACTCTCCCAAGCTGCGGAATGTCTTGTTCGGGACCTTCATGGACACTGCGCAGAGTCAGTTCATCTCGGCTTGGCGACCATGATTGAGTCATCATCTCCCCAGTGATTGTTCCCGTCGCATGGCCGTGTCGTCACGATGCCCTCTCCTTTGGAAACGTGCACGTCGGTTTGCCTGCCCACCTGCCATAGGGCTGACTCAATCAGCGGACAAACAGCCCGGAATCGCATGCTTTCGGCGTTACGCCAACCGTGGCTGTCACAGCATCTCAGGCCAGAAACTCTCACGGCTGGCAGCGGCACGAGAGGAACCCTTTCCGCGATGACGACAGCCAAGCTGCCGTTTCCCAATTGTACCCACTGTGCCATCATCACCCAAGTCAGTTTGGCAATTCCGACGGATTTCAACCCTCGCGGCGGAGATGGCCTTTCAATGTAATAAAACCACCTTGATTCGCATTCGCCTATCCTGATACGGGATACCATGCTTATACCACGGCAACGGCAAACAACCTGGCAGCATCGCGGCTCTCGTTCCGCGTGAATAATCTCCCGTTGGAAAGGGCGTACCGCGGCGATTCAGCCCCCATTCGAAACGCCTCGAGCTGCCAGCTCATACCTCTTGTGATGCTGACCCGCTTTGGAAGGCCAGTCAAACAAAAGTGCGGTCTTGGGTGGCAAGTCATTTGAACCTTATCGACCTCGAATCCCAATCTTTTCCGCCCGTCCTCTCGCCATAACCGGCGGGACTAGCATCAAGGTTTTCCGCGTGGCCAACCTTCTAGAACGCTTCTTCCACTGTGGTGTGAGATGACAGACGAGCGCCCGATTCAGCCAAGACACAAAACCCGGCGCCACTAGCCCTGCGCCCGCAATATGCCCGCCTCCATACACGCCTGTATCGTGTCAAACCGGCGTCGACAGTTTCATGCTCCGGGTAAACTTCACCACTAACGGGTCGACAGGTCACTACAGTTGCGTTTCTCAAGGAGACGCCGAAGAGATACTCAACGGCGCGCGGTGCGAGGTCAAGCTGGCGAAGACGGCAGTTGCTACCATGTTCCCAGGGTTTTGCCGTGATCGGCCGATGTTGTCCTTGGGTCTCGGCGAGCCTGGCACGATGGTGCCGTGTGTTTTCTCTGCCGCAGTCGGATCGAGTGGTCTAGACCAGGCGTCACGGCAAGGGCAGCCCTCGCTCGCCAAGAATATTCTGCCGTTGCTCAGGCGGCTTGGGCGGCCAAGAAGCTTCGATATGCCTTCCATCCGTATTCCGTGCGTCTTTCCAGAAGGTGTCGACTCGTTCCAGACGGTCTTCTTTGCTGGGGATCCTCATGACCTTCATGCGGCTTCCTCCAATGTCATGACACTAGTGTGTGCGCGCGCATGCCGCCAGGCTGGGCCATAGTGGAACAGGCGCTGGATTGGAGCAGAATCTTGACTTGCCAGTCTTGGTACAGAGTCATGATAACCATGTTACTCCGTACTTCTGAGAGTAGCGGTGTCTCTAGTAGCTTCGTGGAGGCAGTTGTTGCCAATTTTGGTTTATTGAGCTGTGCTGTTATGCCTTTTCCCGCCATGGATACACACACAAACGTGCAAAGCAGACATCTAGAGTTGCCCAGGTCCCCTGGTTTTACCGCCCCATTTGCGCCTCGCCGCTGATGCTCATGCAATGCCATGCAACTCTAAGAAATTTTTATACGTGCACGGAAAGCCCGCCGCACAGATGCAGGAGCCCACCCACCCGGCACCATACCTCAGGTCAGATTTACGTCAACGGCACGCATCATCAGGCCCCCAACAGCAGGCCTCGATGTCAGGTACAGTAGATCATGCTGCATTACGTGCTTCTGCTCTACCGTGCCTTCGGCTTCCTCTTGCCGATCTGGTAGCCCCATCCTCTGAGGACCTTGACCACCTTCGGTGTCACTGCCGCCGTCAGGGGCACCCGGATGAAGATGAAGCTCTTGTGGATGGCATACGCCAGGGCGAGCTGCGTCGCGAGACCTAAGGGAATCATGCGCATGTCAGCTGGAGGACTTTTGTACTTGGCGAAACACCCGGGGCCACTGGGGCGCCCAACTCTATCTGGCTTTTTTGCCCCCAATCCCATCGAGGAAAGTACTAGCGGTCCCGAAAGCGAAGCCATATCAGTTGTGATGCGGTGTTCCCTTGCTCCGCCCGCTTCCCTCAGCGTGCCCAGCTGTGCGTTGGACAGAGCAGGATTGGCATCGTGGACAGGTTTGCATCAACAGCATAGGCGAGACTTGAGACAGGAACACCAGGCAGATAAGGGACGAAGGGAACAAGAACTACGTAGGGGATTTCGTGGGGGCGTGACTCACTCGCTTCCTCCTTGTGCCTCTCCTGAGCCTTCTCAACACCCCAGCCGACCTTCTCGATGCCCTCGCTGGCGCTGTTGTCGCCCAGCTCCTCCTTCTCGGCGTCCTTGAGGGCGGCGCGGTACTCCTGCCACCGCTCCTTGACCGAGTCGGGCACGATCTTCTTCACGCCGGCCATGACCCAGCGCTCGACCTCGGCGATGCGGTCGGTGCCAACCATGCGCACCAGCAGGAAGCAGAATGGGAAGTCGAGCACGCTGAGCCCCAGGTACACGCCGAGTGCCGCCCACCCGTACTCGCGCGACAGCTTGCGCAGGCGCGCGCTCAGCGACTGTGGCTCCGCCTCCGCTCCGGCCCCGGCCCCGGCTCCAGCACCCTTGCCGCCGCCCGACCGGCGCGCCCACGTCCAGCTGAAGGTGCGCTTCTGCGCCCTCTGTGATAGCCACTGTGTCGCCTGTTGTGTCGTTCTTGATGCTGCCGAGGGGCTCCGCAGGAATGTCGTCCGCACAGTGCCGAAGGGCCTCGCCCCCGTGGCGGCTGCCTGCCTGTTGGCAGCTCTCGCTGGTGCGAATATAGTACTGGTGGGGTTTGCGCTGCCACCCTGGGCTGCCAGCCTTCGTAGAGGAGCTCCCGAAGCTGTCGTCGTGGGCTGGCGGCCCAGCACCGAGGCCCGGAACGCCCCGGACATGGAGCTTCGTAGCATTGTTGGCGCCTCTTCTATTGCGGTCGGTCGTGCTCGTGCGGGTTGGGAGAAGAGCAAGGCGGCTGCTCGGATTGTAGTTGTAGACCGGCGCGACGGGATGCTATGAATGCTGCCCGTGCGTCTGATGCTCGTAGGATTTGATCGAAGGTACGTTGAAGGAAGGGGGCGGATATGTCGGAGTTTAGAAAAGAGCTTAGGAAGCTGACGGCCTCGGCCGGCGGACCCGGTGGCGATGCTCGTGGGATCCTCTTCCTTTCCGTTCGGGAAAATGCGGACTGCTGGCCAGTCTCTTGTCTGTCAGGAGCTTGCAGCGCCCGTGGCTTCCGTTGAGCAGAGTCTGTCTGTGAGGCTCGTTCTCTGCTGGACGCACTGTCCGTCGCGGTCGTATGTTGAGCAGAAGAGATGGAGCTCCTGCTCCTGCGCGATGATGGAATTTCTCTGCCTTGGAGGGCTCTGATTGGGTGGGAACAGCGGCATCGGCGAAATACCGCTGCGTCCGCCCGGGAGCTCTGTGCATCCAGAGCTTGCAGTGCTGTGCTGTGCTGATGTGCCTAGCTAGGTACATCTGCGGACAGGATGATCGATCGTACGTGCTAGAAGAGTACTGTAAGCAACTAACTACAACAGACCTAAACCACTTGGGCAATTTGATCATTTGCTTTGTAAGTCAGTATTTGGCACTCGTCCAATATTCACGCCATTGCATAATCCTGCCATTCTCAGCCTCGCGAGAGGCCTGAGAGATTCCCGAGGTCCGTCGACATCACAAGCAGAATCCATGTGCGGAACCCTGTGTGTCTCTCTAATCCTCAGCATGTGGTACATCACCCTCCGAGTATATCTCAGCAAGCCGAGTCTTCCAGGCTTGGAACTAGAACTCATGATGCACCTAAGCAAGGGTTGAAGAGGCGGCCTAGAGAAGAGCACTTGACTCTAGTGTAAATCGTAAATCATATTCCGATGCTGCGCACCGCGAATAGTTGAGAAATTCTTTGTTTGTGCTTACTTGTGAGGAGACTTGACGTCAAGCTGAGATGAGATGCCCACCCATGCTGGTTCTGCGGGGGCTGTTTCGTACCGTCTGCACGCCGGTGACCGCGTATAAGTCCGGATAAGTCAAAGCAGGAGCTGTGGTCTGAACAGGAGACAGCGTGTCGTTCCTGCTCTTGGGGCTCCCGTCTGATCTGATCTGTCATCTCCAAACAAACTCTCACTCAATTCGGGGAAACCACGCTGGCGTGGGTTGCTTCGCAATCGTCTCCGTGATCTGCCCCTGAGTAGTGACAGGAGCCCATCTGTACGCCAACAGCCGTGGCGGATCAGTCGACAGACGGTAACACATTCCAGGATCCATCGATCGACGCCATTTCTTCACAGCTTTGCGACAAGACCCAGAAAACACTCGGCCTTCGGTTCTCTCGGAGTGCACGCCCTCGCGGATGACATCTGTCTCTTGATGCTTAACCTCCCGCTGGATCCGGCCGAGAGAGAGCTCTTACACGGTACAATACAGCTCACGTCGCCTTTGATAAATCCAAGGTGCGCACCCCGCTGTTACATTCATTCGTCTTTTTCGCAACGCAAAACCACCGCAGGAGAAGACTACATTTAGCCCGGCAAAGGCTTTGACCGCATCGCATCGCATTGTTCACACTCATCTCACACGTCCATCTCACTTGCTGACAGCTCGTCAGATGGCTGTGAACGGGGCAGCTGGGTCTGCTGACCTCAGGACCCAGGAGGACACCGTTCATAACAAATCGACTGAAGAGACCTACTTCACAAGAAACACCTCACCACGGGCTTTGAGGGAAGCCCTGCAACTAGCCAACAGCGGGAAGATATCGACGCCTTCGGAGAGCGCTAGCGAGGAGGATTATGACGAGCAATCGCAAAAGCCGATCGCCGTCCTTCGATTGAATAGGAAGCGAGAGAAGAACCAGGCCGCTGCGCATCCGACGTCTGGCAGCAAATCAAAGGCCAGCGAGGGGACCAGCGAAGTTGCGACTCCGAGCTCTGCGTCTTCTGAGAATGGGACACTCGAGGATGTGGCGTCTCTCAGAGGCGCAAAAGTTTATACCATTGCGTCGGATGACAAGGAGCTTCGAGAGATCCTGAGACGTGGCATGCAGAGGGTGAGCACCGAAATGTCCCGCGTTGTAAAGGAAGGGAGCTAATATATTGCAGGCCAAGGAACCAGAGTCGGGTAAGAAACGGAAAGGGAGATTCAGTGACTATGTCTTTACGAGGAAATTCTCCACTTTCGACAGGCAGAATGTCGCGGCCGCCAACAGTCCTTTTCATGGCTTCTTTACCCTGTTCTGGATCGCCATCGCCATGCTCTTGCTCAAGATCGGAGCAGACAACTGGAAGAATACGGGCAGCCCACTCGGCACCAATGATATAATGAAGCACATGTTCAAAAGGGATGTTGTTGTCCTGCTCATATCTGACGGAGTATTGTGTGGTCTCACCGGTGTTAGCTGGATTCTACAGCTCCTTGTACAAAAAGGGTATATGGATTGGGACTCGTCGGGGTGGATTCTCCAGAACGTGTGGCAGACCACCTTCATCGGGAGCACCATTGGATGGACCCAGCTCCGGCAGTGGCCTTGGTCTCACACCGTCTTTTTCGTGATGCACTCATTGGTCATGCTGATGAAACAGCACAGCTATGCGTTCTACAATGGTTATCTGTCAAGCGTCTACAAGAAGAGGGCAGAGTTGCTCAAGAAGCTCAAGCAACTAGAGCACGTCGAGGCTGTAAAATCACCCTCACAGACTAAGCCGACAGCCTCATCGATATCAACGGACCATCTTGCCCACAGACCCTCGAGGCACGATGTACGGCAGAGGCGCCAGTCGCTCCATTCAGGCTGCGAGACGTTTAGTCAGGACCTAGAGGGCATCGAAGAAGCCATCAAGTCATCCCAGCCCCTCGACCTGGAGCAGATCCATGTGTTCGAACAGATCATCAAGTGGGAGATCGATGGGCTCACCGAGGAGCTTCAGGGCAAAGCGACCACTGCTGAGAGGGCGTATCCCAACAACATCACTTATCAAAATCACTACGAGTACATCGTCTTTCCGACCCTGGTCTACGAGCTCGAATACCCCAGGTCCGAGCGTATCGACTGGGGTTACGTGGCGGAGAAGGCGGTTGCGACTTTTGGAGTCATTTTTGTAATGATGATGGTATCTCAAGCCTTTATCTACCCGGTGGTAATGAAGACGGTCCATATGAAAGAATCCGGGATGTCGTTGGTCGAGCGCTTCAAGGAGTTTCCGTGGCTGTTGTCGGATTTGATCTTCCCTTTCATGATGGAATATCTCCTGACCTGGTACCTTATTTGGGAAGCCATACTCAACCTTCTCGGCGAGCTGACTTACTTTGCCGACCGTGAGTTCTATTCTGACTGGTGGAACTCGATCAGCTGGGATCAGTTTGCGAGAGACTGGAACAGGCCGGTCCACAACTTCCTGCTGAGGCATGTCTACCACAGCTCGATCAGTGCAATGAAGGTCAACAAGCACACGGCGACGCTGTTCACATTCTTCCTGTCAGCACTGGTGCATGAGCTGGTCATGTGGTGTATTTTCAAGAAGCTCAGAGGCTACCTGCTCTTTATGCAGATGTTACAGCTACCGGTGAGTGCCCAATTTCTTTTCCTAGAGCAGCTTTACGCCGGTAACTGTCGCAGTGTCATTGCTAACCCAGTTTGACAAAGCTTGTCCAGCTGAGCAGGACGAAGTGGATGAAGGGCAGGAAAACGCTGGGAAACATCAACTTTTGGTTGGGCATCTTTACTGGCCCCTCGGTTCTGTGCTCCCTGTACTTGATATTGTGAGAGGTTTTCCCCGCCAATTGGGGGGATGATGTAGTCAGTCTAAATGAATAGTGTCAATCCACATCAGGAAATAGGCCTGGTTCCTAATAATCTGAAAACGTGTTAGTGACCCTGGAAGAGATGAAATGTTCGGAACTTACCATCGAGACTAGCACCTCACCTACTCCATCTGGTCCATTCACTCACCTCGGCCGTGCTTCGTCCACCTCGGGAAGCCCGGCGTACCTACATTAGCTGATCTGATTAGGCACCTGGCTCGCCTGGGGACCTCTGGGGACCTCTGGGACCTCTGGGAGAGGTAGCTGCAGCGGTGAGGTCACCGCGCGGTGGACCTCGCAGGCGCACGGGCCACCCGTGAGCCTCCCCCCCAAACAAGCAGCAGCAGCCTTTGAAAGGCCACTCACTTTTTTCCGACCTTCAGCTCTGCTCAACACCACAACCTCCTCCCCCCCATCGTTCATCAACGAACCGCATCACCACTCCATCCTGACAAGATGTCTCGTGGCGGTACCACTCTCTACGTCACTGGCTTCAGCCACGGCACTCGTGCCCGCGACCTCGCCTACGAATTCGAACGGTAATTTCGATCCCTCCTTCCTCAGCCCACCCACCACCACCACCACCCAAATCTCCAGTCAATAGTCCAGTCCAGTCCAGTCCAGTCCATCGAGGCCTCCTCCATCCTCCCAGCCGCCCTCGCCCTCGCGTCGAAGTGTTCGCTATGTATACCCACCGTCGTGTCGTACCCACCGTCGTGCCATGCTTCCGCCCTGCCCCCATCGTCCCCCCTTCGATCGAGCGGTCGGCGATGACAAAACGCTTCCAAACAAACACGCGTGGCTTTGCACCGGGCAAGTCGCCTGACAACGGTATCCATCCGAGCCTGCGACGCTACCTCGACGCGGCGACGACGCGATCGCAGATTTCGAGACAACCTTTGTCCGTTTCGCTTGGTTTGACTCTACTGACATCATCCGACACAGCTATGGCAGGCTCGTCCGCTGCGACATCCCTGCGCCTCGATCCGCCTCGAGCAGGCTGTAAGCATACATACCCTCTATACCGGAGCATCCGGCGGGATACTGGTTGCTAACTACAAGATCAGGTTTGCGTTTGTGGAGTACGAAGACCGCCGTGATGCTGATGATGCCTACCACGACATGCATAACAAGCGGATTGGTCGCGACGACATCCTGAAGATCGAGGTAAGCTTGCTGCTCATCGCAGTCGCCATCGACCAACGTCCATTCACTAATGCTGCCGCAGTGGGCCCGTACTCCTCCTTCCGCATCCTGGCGCTTCGATTCTGGCCGTGACCGTGACCGCCGCCCTCCGCGCTCTCCTCGTCGCCGCACACCCAGCCCCCGGCGTGCTCGCGACTACTCTCCTCGCAAGGATGACCGTCGTGATCGCGACCGTTATGACGACCGCGATCGCCGTGACACTCGCGACCGTTCGCGATCTCCTGACCGCCGGTAAGTGAACGACCCCTCTTCAACAGTGCAAGTCGGGCATCCTCGTGGTAGATACTGACCTGGCCGATACAGTGACCGCGATGACCGGGAGCGGGATGATAGGGATGACCGGGATCGCCGTGAGAACGGCGCGAACGGCGATGACCGCAAGCGTAAGCACACAAGCTGCCAAGATCACCCCAGCGACTTGCTGACACATGCAACAGCCCTGGACAGCCCTCCTCCTGTTCACGACGACCTCGACACCGCGGAGTAGATGTGTAAAGCGCACGGATCACGGATTACGGCTCACGGATGTGGATTGCGAGGTTTCTGCTCTTCCCCTTTCCCGCGGCACTAACTGAACGGAATGCTTGGTCCATTTTGACTTCCTTAATATGGGTGTTTTAGTTTCCGATGCGGATGCGGACATCGGCAACTTTCTCTTTTGACGGCGTCGGAAGAGCGCAGAGGCTGCGCCCGAAACTCGGTCGACTTCTATCGGAACGGTTATTCCTCACTAAGAATGGACAGAATCGCGACAAAAAAAAGTATTTAGATCATCGTAGGACGAATACCATGCATGCATTGCTCCAAGGAGTCCACACGATTCTCAGTGAAGCCCTCCTGATAAGGCTCCTGCTCAAAGTAATTTCAAAGATCTTGGAATTGATCTTGCTCTTGATGGACATTGAGAAGATATCTACAAGCAGTAATCTGTGTTGAAGCGCGTACAAACAGTGTCTGGGAGACTGACAGACCGCGGTGGCAATCGCAGCCATATCTGCGCCTTTTTATCTATCTGATTTGGAGGGATCCGGCGGCTCTTTGGAGGTCTTCCCTCCTGTCCACATATACCGATACATCACACAGGTCACTTCAAGCAATTTATTGCAGATTTCACATGCATTCTGGTATTTCCACAAATGTCCAGTCGGCCAGACTACTACTGTCAAGACTGTCCCACGTCCCCTCGACGTCCGCAATGACTGTCAAGGGCGCCAGTGCGCGGGCTTCTGCATCCCTGGCACGTATGTTTGTGGCCAAGCAGCAGGTAAAGTAGGAAAAGAGAAGGACCAGAGGGAAATAAAAACAAAAAATAAAAAAAGAGCCGCTCTCACCGGCCGAATCAACGGACCCCAGACCCACGGAAAACCGATAATTCACATGCTAAAACGCCTTGCCGCAAACAAACCTCACCTCCGTCCGTCCCAACCTCATTGCTCCCAAAACCCTGAGAACTAAAGCCAAGAAAAAGGAAATAAAGAAAGACGGCTCCTTGTGTGTGCCCCTGCTTGATCGATGCCTTTGCGCGTAAAAGTACAATATTAAAAGCAAACTAAGCGAGGCAAGCAGCCAAAGACCCGATCTGCGCGGTGCCGGTCGCGGCGGCCAATAGGGTGAAGGGCATGTAAAGTCGACCACGAGGCTCCTATTGACCGGGAAATATCCTGCTCAGGCGAAGCAATACTAAGGGAGCGAAATGAAAGTATCATCCCATAATGGACTCTCGGCCCAACAGCTACTGCGTTGAAGCAGTGTGACCAACCAGCCCGCGCTCCGTATGCAGATGAGATCCAAGAAACGCCATGTCCAATAGCGAGACAAGTCCGAAGTGAAGAACGAAGACAGGAGAAGGAGTCAGCAGAGACAGCTCGCCTGAGTCCGGCCAAGCCTACTCGATCTCCATTCTTCCCGCGATATCCTCACTCATGCCGCGCAACGCGCTGAGCCTCGGACTTGTCTCATGCTCATCGCCATGGTCGTCCTCGGAGGCCTCGTCGCTGAGGTCGTCGCTGAAATCATCGTCGTTATAGTCCTCGTAGCTGCCCGCGAACTCGTCAAGCTCGAGCACGCCGTCCTTGTCGCGGTTCCACGAGAGCCCGTCGTCCGCGTAATCGTCCTCGTCGTCGCTGGTCGGTATCCGCTCGGCCTCGCGATCGCCTAGCCAGTACCTGGCGCGCTTGTTTGCGCCGGCGTCCTCGAACTGCAGCTGCCTGCGCTTGCGCAGGTCACCCGTTGATGACGAGGGTGTGAGCGACATGGCGCCGCTCCGCTGGCGATGACGGAGCGGTGAGGGTGGGTTGTAGCTATGTGAAACCACGGGCACACCCCGTACGTAGAGATACGCGACGCGCTTGCGATCCCTGTTGAAAAAGAAATAGTGCAGGCTCCAAATGGCGGCAGCTTCCTCATCGAACGGATTCGAGCTCGGTTGGTACGAGAAGACGGTGCACTCCTTGAGAGTCATCTCCTTATCGATCAAGGCCCACATGTGGGGGCCCCATGGTGGAGACTCCGTGCCGGACACGGCCGGGGGCGACGACCCCGTGTCAGCGGCAGCAGCCTTGGTCCTCTTACTGGGAGGGAGTAATGAGGTCATGGGGAATTCGGTGGTGGACGGAGCGTTGGGCCGCGCGCTATGCAGGGTCGTGTCGAGATTGGCGACCACTTTCCTCAACATGCGCTCGCGCTTGAAGTCGGCGGGCCGCAGGACATGACTGAAATCATAGTCCGGATGTGACGCGTTCAGTGTGGCGATGAGGTATGCGAATGTCCTGCGACTTGAGATGTCGGAAAGAGGGCCGAACGGACTTGACCGGGACAGATTGAGGTTTGTGCGCTGGGGAGGGGACAAGCTGGACCCGAACTTGAGCAGGGCGGCATGTTGTGTTTCTAGCGATTTGTCAATATTCTTGTAGAGCTTCTTGTCGGAGCCTGCGGCTTTGGTCGTGTACAGATCGCAGCCGCCAGTAACGTGACAATCGGGTGTGTCGAAGTTGAGCGCGCTGGCGACGACGTCGAAGTCGCGAAGAGGTAGGAACTAGGAGAAGCTGGTCAGTCTTGCATGATCCTTGTGATTGCGGAGGTTAGAATGAAGTCAGTCTGAACTTTCTTACCTTCATCTTGCAGATTCGAACTCGGGGAGGCTGAAGAGTGCTGTTCAATAGACGTGGTGTGGTATTGGCGTCGTGGGTTCGGGTGTTATCGAGTCGGTGGAGTTATGTTATCGTGGGACCACTGCGTCATTCAAATGGAACGCGACTAAGGGGTCCGATCACAGAGGTACAGCCTGGTACTCGGGGTATACGGGACCAGATGACGGATGAACCTGATCGCTTGTTGGCTGAGGTGGTGAAAGGGGCGTGGCAATCACAGGAGTTGGATCGGATGCGTGGATATGATGCAGTTGCTTGTGACGGTTGTGACGGAATCGTGTGGAGGACGGACAGGCGGGTGGGTTCCTGGCTGTCAGTCGGTCAGGCAATCGCAGGTGCAGTCGCAGTGCACTTGCAGTCGCAATCCAGAACGCGATAGCGTCCAGATAATCTACTGGGCAGAAAAGGCCATTGACACAATGTAAGGAGGGTAATCTGGACAAGGCTGATGTGCTTCTTGGTAAGGAATGCAAGGGGTTTGTTCAGGAGAGGAGAGATGAGATACGGTAGGTGGTGATAACGCAATGGACATAGGGCGGGCGGATGGGCAGTCGGGCAGGCGTTTCGGGGAATCCAAGGAAGTCGCCAGTTGTTTGTCTGACACTGGGTCTCGGTAAGCAACCCTGGAAGAGACCCGGCACATGGGCTGAGACCACCTAAGTGCCAAGTCGTTATGGGGGTGGGGGGAGAGGGGAGCTGTGAGGGACAGCACAACAAAGGAGTCGAGCTCAGCCCCTGAGGGACTATAGGCAGGTGGGTGGGTGGCTTGCTCGGGTGCATTGATGCGGGGACCTGCGAGGGATGACGAATGACGAGCGAGACGGCCACCACGAGTAGCGTCCCGTGGGCAGCCAGAGAGTCAAGTCAAGTCAAGTCAGGTCCGATACACACGAGTCTCCCTGGACTCGCTTGTTGGATCGCTGCGATCCTTGAGACGTTAGAACGTGCATCAGTCCGCCCGGCTGGATGGACGGATGGATGGACTGGTCGATGAATGAACAAATGAATCGATGGTTGGATCGAGGTGGGTGGATTGAATTGGTCTGCCGCAAACGGACCTCTTCGTCGAGGACAGACCTTGCAAGTCTCTATTAGCACCCAATCCGCAGGTTTGCATACCTCCTAGCCTGTGCGGCACCTTATCTGTCAACAGGTGTTTCCCCGAGACCTGCCTCGTTCGACCTCTTCAAACCCAATAGTATTTCTGTTGGTCCCGATGTGCTTCGGGAAGAATTGGTTTGTTCACCTCCTTGCCCGAACCTAGAACGCCTGACTCCATGCATCACGCTCTTCCAAGTGCTGTTGTTCGTGCTCTCATGGAGCGCCTCAGCTTGCGTAATCTCGCCCATGGGTGTCTCATTCCAGGCAGCCCATCATAGTATGCCGACATCTTTGAGTGCGTCTTTCACGCGTTCCATTTCCTGAGTGTGTTGTAGGTCGGTTAGCCGGAGCAAGACGCCACACGACCGTGTACCTTTCCCAGTGTAAGATGGGCATAAGTAGATGGGGCATATATGTAGGTAGGCAATAGTATGTATCCAGCTGCGTTACATGATCTTGGTCACTTCGTCCTCGACCTGGCGACAGTGGAAGGGCGTCAGCGAGCTGCAGAGTTGAGAAATGGCGAGGAATGCAGCAGGAGGGCGACAACGACCAAGGGGTGGGTAACCTTGCAACCAAGCACGTCCGAACCAACGGCAGCTACGGTGTGTAATTTGAAGGCGAAGGGAAAAGCTTAACTGACCTCCATGTCCTCCAACGAGTCCTGCTGCGCAATACATCGTAACACGGTCTTCTTACTGCTCTCCTGCAGCTCACCGGCCAGCAGGAGCTCGTCGAGTATCCAGTAGGCCTTTGTGAAGGAGAAGATGATATCGAGCTCGCACACGTTGCCGTAGTACTTGTCCATCTGCTCGACGTAGCGGTGGATGACCTCGAGCGTGATGAGCTCGTTGTCGTCGGAGGAGGCGCCGGCGATGAAGAATAGAGAGGCGTATCGGCGGTAGACGATCTTTGTGTCCTTATACTCGAGGAAGTTGCACATGCGGGTTCGCCTGGCCAGGACTAGCTGGGAGACGTCTTTGACGATCTTGGCCTTCTCCTTGGGGGACATGGTCTGGAACCATTTCGCAAGACGCTGCACGTGCATTTCGGGTCAGGTCTGCGCTGCGAGGCAAAAAGGGGCCCATGATGACAGAGGACAACATACAACTTTGCCCTGCCGGGACAGCAGGATCAAATAGTTGATTGCCATGATGGCAATCCCATCCGACGATGAGGTGATAAGAAGTCGGGTGGTGTGGATTGGCAATGAGAGCGGAGGCTGTCGTCACTAATAACTGTCCTGACGAAGATTTGCTGGGCAGTCAATCAGTTGGGTTGGCCACGAGGGGTGCAACATTGAACAGGTGCCCAGGTGGATCATCCTGGGCAGCCATAGCAGTAAAGAAGGGTCTTATCGATAGCCCTGGTTCACGTCGTGCACGGGCCGTTAAGCGCCTAACAATCCCAGAGAGTCAACTCATAAAGGCCCTTGTAGAGATGGTAAGAGCTTCCAAACTCAGGACCAAGACTGAGGAATCTACCCGAACATTGGACGCCAAATCTTTGGCTTCGTAGTACTGCGGACTAGATTAATTCTACATTTACCTTTTCTGAGTAAGTTGCTGCATGTTCGTCTTTCCACCTCTTGCCACAAATTACATCAAGCCCGAAAGTTGCTTCACACACTCAGGCTCAACATGCTCGAACTTCTCGACAAGCTCTGTCCAGATGCCCCTTTGCAGTCGCTGCCCTTCCACGTTTTTAACCCAGTCAGGCACCCAGAATTCCTTGATCTTGCAGCCTGAGAGCAGTTTGCCGTGGCTCTCCCCGCCAGCCACCAAGCCATGCAAAATTGTTCGGCTGCCCTCCTCTGAAGTCCGCGCCATCATGGCCTTGATCGCCGAGAGCATCGCCTTGGTGAAGGAACCGGCGTCCCTGCCCAAGCCGGAGTGGCACAGGCCGGGTGCCACCATGTTCACGACGACACCTGTGCGCTCAACAGGTACCGCTGCTGTGAGTTGTCGCACGGCCAGCTCTTCTACAAGCTTCGTGAGCGCGTATCTGGTGCAGCCAGCATGTTAGTGGGACCCACTCGGGACTGTAGACGCACAGGTGGTCTAGACGTTCTCTCACCTTGCATTCATATTGGCCTTCTTCTGGTCGTTAAACCCCTCAAAGATATTACCATCACGGCTCTTGTCCATTTCGCTCCTAGCCGTGTATCCCAGGACGCTGACGATAAAAACAAGCGTGGGCTGGGTCCCGAGCTCACGGGCGACCGCGCTCAACTTAGGCAGCATCAGGGTCCCCAGAAACAAGGTGTTCACAACGTTGACTTGTATACTGGTCTCCATGCCCTCTGAAGTTGACCATGAGTCCAGCAATACACCGGCGTTGGCGACAAAGCCATCGATCCTGTCTACTTCTGCGGATACCTTGTTGACAAAAACCTGAATAGATGGTTGGGACGCCATGTCAATGTGCCAGACCTATTGTAGGTTAGAATGAATCCTTGATCGAATATCATTAGAGTCCTTGCCTCTACCACCCCCTTACGGTCCGTCGTTTGCTCAATGTCCTTTTTAGCATTCTCGCCTGCCGTGAGATTTCGCACGGCCAGGATGACGCGTGAGGCCTTGAATTCGACAAGATGCCGTGCAGTTTCCAGGCCCAGCCCAGAGTTGCCGCCTGTGACGATGTAGGTCTTCCCAGAGCAAGTTGATTCATCTGCCAGTATGGGCAATTTTCGGTACTGCTCGGCAGTCAAACGGAGCATGACCATTTTGTCTGTGCCGTTTCGTGAAACACCTTTCGATCCTGAGGATCGTGTGTCGAGATAGATTCTGATCAAGTCGAGAATTAAATATTGTTGGCCAGTGGTGACTTAGGATGATGTACAGGCAACACTGGCGAGGACGATGAGACTTTATATATTTGGATATATTCCAGGTTTTCACTCCATATTTCTATTTCTAGGTAGGCTTCCGACCTTGTTTCGACAGCACTGAGCAGTACAACAAGCTGCAAATTGCTGCATACGTACGGACGTTCCGCCAAGGAGTTGTCCACGCCCAATCAGATATTACTTTCCTTTTCGAGCCTCAACTCCATGGAAGAAGTTCCTCGGCATTTGCTCTGAGCCCTGCCAGTCCCTTGCAAGTACTACTGTACGTATATGGGCGCTTGCCTGAATATCGAAAACCACCCTCAGACGCACTCCTACAACATTTGCCAGCTTACTATGGTACATGCTTGTGCTCCTTCGCTTCCCGCCGAATTAGATATCATTGCCCTTTTGTGGACTAGCGGCTCGTTGAAGGCGGCTTACATGGTCTCGACCTATCAGATTTCACGCCAACCGGGCCTTCGCCTTCCTTCCTTGCTGGCCTCTCATCACCTCAAACCCCTTCTTTGATTTATCCAACAGTCCCCTGAGCCCGGTAAAAGCAATCCGACATGCCTCCATGGCGCTGCAATTCATCGACCAGGGTGGCGGACCAGAGACGGGCATAGGCTCTGCCGAGCGGCGCATAATCCGTTCCCATGTGATGAAAGGCAAGAATGCAGGCAGGCCACGCCGCTCGACGAGGAAACAGACGACCGCCTTGTACCCCATCAAGCGCGTCTTGACCTGGACCGCTCCTGGTGTTGTGACGGCATCGGCGGCGAAGTCCAGGCAACTGCTGTGGAGCGACCTGAGCCTCACATCGTTCCCGCAACAACTCGATTCTGAGTCTATCAGACTGATGCATAGGTGTATGTCCATTCCTAAGATTTATATTTTGATTCTTAAGACTTGTCTTGTCTGACATAAGTGTCCCAGGGTTCTTCGACATCAGTGATGAGTTGTTCCCGCCTCAGTTCTGCTCAAAATTTGATATAATCAAGTCGATCTGGGTAAATTGTATCCTTCAAGATGAAGCATGTGAGCACAAAAGACCATGAATCCTTTCAAGTTCTCTATAGCATTGACGTGTCACAGACTTCCATTCTACGCTGGCAATAACAGCATCCTACGTTGACTTTTACCAGCGAAAGCCCAGCATATCCCCGAAGACATTGCATCATATCGCAAAGGCGTATGAGCTGGTCAATTCCAAGCTTTCCGGCCCCGAATCTGTCTCGGACAGCGCTATAGCTGCCGTGGTTGCCCTCGTCATGTATCAGCAGGTACACAATCAGCACTATACTGGTCTGGTGCATCTGCATGGCCTATATCAGATGATCCGTCTCAGGGGCGGGATTTACAGTCTCTTGGAGGAGAATCGCGTGTTGGCGCTGAAGGCATTAAGGTGCGTACTCGTGCCTGTGTCCAAAGTCTTTGATGTGCTCTTGCTGTCTCATTTTGAGCGCCTCCTTTATCCTTTATGATGAAGATCGAGCAGAAGCTCAGGCTTATGAATATCAGGGTCGATGCAGAGTTGGCGTTGCAAACCGGTTCACGCACTCTCTTTGGAACCGAAGCCCTGTCCAACGCCATCTCACCCGGTCTTGACATTCTCGATATCATCAAAGTACATTTCCCCAATGCCACACCTCCAAAGTCCAGACATATTATGCTTGAAGCCGTGGCCTTCTCCGGAGTCCTCAACAGGATGACTCGGGAGGCAAGCCCCAGGCTCGACCCGCTGTGCTTCATGGAAATGATAATCTGGCTCCTCTACCGTTTGGTCGGCGCCATTCCTCAAGAGCAGCCACGCTCCTCTCGCGCCTTAAATTCATCTGGAGGACAGTATGAAGAAATCGCTAATCTGGGCATGATGGCATTCATGACCACCTTGCTACCAGAATACGGCCGGACGCCTCACCGCTCTGGTTACCCTCTCCTTTGCCGTCGTCTGAAGAGCGCCATTCAAGATCTACACTTCACACCCGCCCTGGAAGAAGAGAATAGAGACCTCTCACTATTGTTGCTATGGGCCCTGTTTGTCAGCGGTGTCTCGGTGATGAAGGGTGAGGAGCTGCGAGAATTGTCACCATTGATTCTGAATACTAGCACACGGCTGCACCTGTGCGATTGGCCGGCTGTTCATGACCAGTTGTGTCAATTTCCTTGGATACGTGCCCTGCACGACCGTCCCGGCCTCGCGTTGTGGGAAACCTCCCAGCAGCGGGGCCGCGAGACTTGACCAGCTCCTGTCACTGGCAGGCTGATCACGGCGGTATAGGCTTTGCTCACTGCGGTGCACGCTATACTTGAGCCGCTGAAACTGAAGAACACATTGGACGCTCAGAGTGTCAATAGAGATTTCAACGAGTAGAGGGGGATCTACGCAGATCTATCTTCCAGGCCCAATCGGGTCAGAACCTGGCCGAGACCCCACGCCCAGTGCATCACGCAAGACGACGAGGCGGGGGGTTGCAGGATGCTATTGGACGGTTAGTCGAGAAGAAGGCGCAGGTTGAACGTGGGATTGTTGTATATGGCAAAATATGGCAAAATAGAGGGTTGAATGCTCATGAGGTGAAGCTGGCCGTGCAGACTGCTCTCCTACTGGCAAGGCGCGGCCGGCACGCCTTAGTCCCTACATCGTGGACCGTTACACAGTGACAGACAAGACAAGACACTCCTCGTATCCCTGGAGTTGGAGCAACTCGCTTACAAAAGACAGCCCCAAGGGCTGAAGGGTTGGTTATCGCCTTCGCTGTCTCTCTGTTTTGGCCGCTGCCGCTGCAGGCCAGGCCCCACTCGTGGCGCCCAAGTACCACCCAGGATTGCTATGTACCCTGTATGCACACCTAGTCATGGCCACTTCCCGGCGCGCGGGGCTGCAGACACCGCGTGATGGGTGATGAGTGATGGATGAAGCAAGCTTTCACAAGCTCCCACGCGGGCCGTGGGGTATGGATGGAGATAGATGCCATTGCAGACGCCGTTGCCGGTTCTTCTCTTTGGTTGCAGCGCGGGGTGTAGTCTACACTAGGGAAGTAGGGCCCATCCTGACTTGCATCAAGGCTGCATGTCCATCGACTATAAAGACGTGCAGTATAGATAGATACTGCTTCCTGCCCATCGCCCGCCCTTCTCCCGAAAATGCAATGGTAGCTATAGTCAATGTCTGCCCATCTGCTCATCATTACAACATCAGTCGAATTGATGACATTTTTGGTCTCTCCAGGACAATCACAAGCCGGGGCTCAGGCACATCTTCGGCTCGAGCTACTGTCAAGAACAGACATATTTAATATGTCATGATCACATTACTAATACCAAACCCAATTTAGCCAAACGGGCCCAGCAGTCCCTTCATCGGAAAACCCCCACCATGCCACTTGCCCTCAAGACCCAAAGTTTCTTTGAACGGCTCAAGAAGTTCGTCCTAGCATTGATTGACCGCATACTTCCTAAAAAGCACAAACTATCACTGTCGAGAGGCCAACGCAGTACCATGGCAAAACAACTGGTGCTCTCCACTGGGTATGCCGTCCTGTTCTTTGAATGCCTGTCTTGGGTTGTCTTGGCTTGTCCCGATTGTCCCCTGTGCCACACCCCCAAAAGACAAAGCAGCCAGCGCCGACACATGCTAATTTTCCGCGCCTTGTCGCATTTACAGTAACATCGTATCCGGCGGCCCCTCCATCATCCGCAAGCCAGGCGCATACCGCTCCAACCTCGAGCTCACAAACTCGCTGCGCAGCAACTTTCTCGCCGCCAAGCAGGAGTACGCTTCAGCGACACCGACCTCCAATGGCCACGCCAACGGCAGCGCAAATGGCACCGCCGCCACCACCCCCAACGGCATAGCCGACGCCACCGACGCACAGCCTGCCACGCCCACCACGAAAACACCTACCCCGCTGCCTACATGGACGTCGCGAGACCCCGCCGATGACAACACCCTCTACATCCCCCGTATAGACTGGTCGTCCGACACGGGCTTGCAGGAGGACCCTTCGCAGTACGACATCACCGTCAAGATCTTCTACCTGCCCACGTCGGACGTGGCGTCGCGGGCGGCCTACACGCGGCGGGCGCTGGCGCTGGTGCTCAAGGAGCTGGGGGTGTCGTCGGTCTCGCTGCTGATCGCCTCGTTCCCGGGAATGTCGTTCGAGGGCGACTGCGAGTGGGAGGCGGACAAGCTGAACGCGTCGCAGGGCGACGACGGCTCGGAGCTGGCGACGTGGGCGCGGGCGGTCGAGCCGCTGCACGACGAGGGGCTGGCCCGCCAGCTGGGCATCGCCGAGTTCGGCAGCGAGAAGCTCGCCCGCTTCCTGGCCGCCGCCCGCGTCCGGCCCTCCGTCGACCAGATCAACATCAAGAACTGCTGCAACGTACCGCCCCCGCTTGTCACCCTCGCCCGCGACGCCGGCATCGAGCTCTTCGTCCATAGCGACTGCACCGACATCTTGCCCAAGGGAACCCTGCGCGAGCTCCTGGGCCAGGGCGTCCGCGGCGCCGGCGTGCTGGCCGACCCGGCTGAGGGCGTTGATGACGGCCTGAGGGGCGAGCTGACGCCGCAGTGGGTGGTCAAGTACACGGCTGTGGTGAGGGACCGGGGCGTCATCGAGAACAAGGGTTACTTTGCCGGTGCCGAGCTCATCGAGGAGTAAGAGCTTCGAGACATGTGCGGGCTTGGTGGGCGAGGCTGTTGATGGACTTGAGGCGCGACGGCATCCCCGCGCCTTTGGCCCCTCTCGTTGACACCACTTTTTAGCGGTTGGGCGGCTGTTTGATGTCTATGTACGTTTGATTGCATCATGCCCCACGGCGGCGAAGATGCACGATTTGGATATGGCGATAGAAGGCGCAAGGAGACATATATCACATGCTGCAAGCGAGTTACCAGATCAAGCAATAAGAGTTTAGCTCGAGGAGCTACATCCCTGTGTCTTCCTCTTCCCCCGTCAGGGTCCGAATCGTACATGTCTTGCTTGATACCCAGCGCGCTCTCCGGGGCGCTGGCGCATGGTGTGGTCGAAGGAATCGACATTCCTCACACGCACCTGGTCCTTGTCGAGTCGCAGCTTGCTGAACACTTCCGGTGAGTACGCCGATCCGAAGGATCTCGACCGACGGCGATGTCTAAGTTGTAGGTGTGTAGCTGGGGCTTGGGATGGTCGTAGTTGGCATATCCGCGTGTAGGTTGGCGAACAAGTCCCATTCCAAGAACCGCTTCGCATAAGCATGGAGCAGACTGAATCGGTGCCCCCTCAACCGAGCATACTCCGCTTGCGCCCGCGCATCCGCACGTCCTCCAGCTTCCTCAGTACCGGCTTGGACCCCTTGAAGGCCGATGCGTACCCGGCCAGTACCTCGCCGAACAACTTGTCGGTGCGCGGGTGGGTGCTGAGGAATGCGCGCTCCAGCACGTACAGGTCCACGGCGCGGTCCTCCTCGCTCTGACTCTGGCTGGCGAGGCCAAAGTCGATGATGACAATCTCGCCGTCCAGGATGACGCCGCCATCACCGTTGCTATGGCCGTTCGCCCCCGCGTCCGCGCCGTCTTCGCCCCTGGCTGGCGCCGGCCGCAGCATCATGTTGCTCGTGGTCAGGTCACCGTGCACTATGCCGGCGGCGTGCAGGGCGCCGACCGCGGCGCCGACCCTCCTCATCAGGGCGACGAGGTCGGCGTTGCCGCCCTCGCGGAGCACCTCGGCCTCGCCCTTGTCGCCCAGCCAGGCGTTGACGGCGGCGCGCACGGGCTGGCCGGCGACCCACTCGATCATCATCCAGCCGGCGGCCTCGTCGACGCAGTAGACGGCGGGCACGGCGACGCCCTCGCGTCGGGATTTTGCCAGGATGCGAGCCTCGGCCAGGATGCGCTGGCGCGTCAGGCGCGCGTCCAGGATCGGGTGGCGGTAGGGCTTGGAGGGCCGGTACTTGAGCGCGCAGGGAAGTGACGGCTGCAGGTAGTAGGTCTTGTAGAGCAGGCCCTCGGCGCCCTGGGTGATGAGCTCGGGCGGCTGGGAGGACTTGTGCGTGAGCACGCGCGGGAGCGGGATCGGGGTCTGCCCCGCCATGGTGGACGTGGACGTGGTCGTGATCGTTGCTGTGGTCGTGATCGTTGCTGTGGTCGTGATCGTTGCTGTGGTCGAGCTTGTGGGCGTGGGTTCGGATTTGCCTGGGTGAGTCTCGGGATGCGTGAGCTTCTGTCGCTTGGATTGTGGTTCGTCAATAGAGTTAGAAGCTGGTGGAGTTGTCATGGAGAAATGCTTAGGCCGTGGGACTGATGCGGGTTGGTTGTTTCTTGCCGACGTGGGCTGTGGTGTAGCATGCTTCCAATCTAGATGGGAGCTCTCAGGCCCAGCTGCCAGGCCAGGAGGGGCAGAAAAGTTCTGGAAGATCTTGGGCAGGCAGGGTTCCAGGGTTACAGCGGCTCTCACCCCCTCCAGATCGACAGGCATGGCAGCATTCCCCTCTTCCCTGGGCTTCCCTGCAGAATAGCCTCTACACCTTGGTGCGCCCTTACAACTTAACAGAGATCGCGTCATGCCGACCAATGTCAGTGTCCATGGGCCGGCCCGAGGGCGACAGTTGTCAGTCGTAAGGTCCTAATTTCAGGCTGCCCAAAGAGAAAAGGCCGGGAGCATTCACGAAGATTGGCTGTGGAGCCACGATAGTCGGTCATCCAAGTTGTGAGAGTAATGGCCTGCTCTTTTCTTCCTTTCCTCCCTATCTTTGCTGGTACGTTCAACTGGGATTGTTCCCCACATATTCACCAAACAGCTTGGTCCAGAATCGACAACACGAGCTGAAATACAGCAGTCGTCTCAAGGCTATACGGAGGCACGAGTTGTACTGTGTACGAACAATATTCTCCTTCCACCGGAGACACCAGGATGTATTCGGAGACTTCTGGAAATTAGAGCTGCAAGGGCTGGTGGTTTCGGAGGTCTGACACACCTGAGAGTGTATACGATGGTGGGAAACGCCGTCACAAGAACCTGTGTCTGATCAATCGGCTCTCGGGCTGTGTCACATTGAGAACACCAAAGTAAACAACCGCGCGAGACCTGCTTGGACGGAGCAAAAGAAACAATGCTGCAGCACTGCTGCGTCCTGTGTCATTCCTGCAGAGATGCGAACCCGGGTATGCGACTGAGCTGCAGGCTTGTCGCACAGCAGCAAGATTCAATCGGCCGATGAATTGTGGATTACAAGGTCTCACCACCCAGCCGTCTAGACACAATCGCCTGTCAGCACCTTGGTAATGCAATGCGCGGTGTCAAGGGGGTTTCTCACCAGTTCCCTGACACCCCACTGCACCAAGTTGACAGGCCACGCGACAGTGGGGTTTGAATCGTATTCTATTTTTCATATCCCTCGATGGCTGGAAGGGTCAAGGGGGTGAGGAGGAGGGGCAATCAGTGACACCCGGAGAGCCGGAGAGAGACGCAATCCCATGACATGTCCACCAATTACCCGTTCCCACCGCCACCGACCCCCCGTGCCTTGCAGCAGGATCGTACTACTTACTGCTAGAGACCTGACTACCTAGGCATAGTGCTGTACTGTACTGTAGATTAAGACTTGAAGAGTACCTGGCGCCTGGCACATGTCGTCGGGGTGAATGAATGTCTGACTCTTCGTCATCTATCCGTCCCCGCCGCTGTCATTTTCTCCTCCGTACTGCTTTCTGCTCTGCACCAACCGTCACAGTTCCAGTAGCGCGGGACCTCCTCCTCTTCTCCACAACCTGCAGCCGATCTTATCTCGCCTCAGTTCCACTTCAGATCCTCTCATACCTGCATACGCCCATATATACAACGTGTCCATCTCATATGAGGCCTACAAAGGATTTTTCACCACGCTCCTAAAGCACCAGGCCAGGCCATGCGATTGCGCCGTCTCTCCCAGTAGCAACATGGCCATTGAGGTCAGCACCTCGGTCACCACACAGTGGACCTTCGTCCTGGCCCTGACCGCTCTTTTCCTCAGCGCCGTCGTCGTCCTGCAGATCCTGTCGCAATACGCCAAGGCCTACATGGTCGCCCCCGCCGAGGTCCTCAACTTTGTCGACGCCGCAGACTCATCCGTACAGGAGAATGAGAGCTATGACCGCGACGTGTCCCGCGTCCAGCGTCTGGACGACAAGCTGAGGCTGGGCCGCCTGCTCCGCGAGATCCAGAGAGTTGGTGATGACCTTCGCGAGGAGCTCAGCGCCATGCTCTTGTCCGAGCCCGGGGGTGTCGGATCCGACGGGATGAGCGACCTCGACTTGAGGCTGAAGGCGACAGCCAGGGTACTGTGGGCTTCCAAGCGGAAGGGGCTGGAGGACAAGGTCCGGCGCCTGGATATGTTACGTATGCGGTTTCTGGTCGTCTACCTGGGCATCGTCGCCAACTCCGGCCTGGAGAAGAACCTGGAGAAGAACCAGGAGAAGAAGACGCCCAACAAGAACCCGGAGAAGATCGGCAACCGGCTGTTCGAAGACGAGTTCGCAGCACGACCACAGCTGAACCGCGCCCTCACGGAGGGCATCAAAAAGAAGCCGGTGCTCCGCCGGCTCAGCGTTGCCCAAGGCCACAGCGACAACGTCAAGCCGGGCCCCAAGGTGGGCTGGGGCAACGTGATGAGGGAACTGCAGCTATCACCACTGCTGCACAAGCGGCACGCCAGCATCGAGAAGGCCATGTCCTCGCCAGGCTCCTCATGACAGGGGTACTGTTATTTTTTTTAACGAAGACCAAGAAGCGTCAACGAAATGGGAAACGGGGAAAGTGGGAAAACAAATTGCACGGGAATGGACTTTTGTTCTTACGACTTTATGATTTAACGTTCTACAACCTAAAGCTGTCGGCCGCAGCTCAGCATCACTCTATCCGCCGCAAGCGACAACAACCTTCACGGAGACCTCAACCCCGCCCCAAAAAAGCCTTTACCAGCCGACACCTTGGGGGACCACACGCAAAGCATATTGAAAACAGATTTAGATGTGGCATATCAGCATTCTGACTGGGTTATATGCGGGTGTTTCATTGGGCCACTGCACATACCACGACATACTGTTTAATCTCCAGATGATCACTTCACCCCAGGAGTTCGATACCCCCCCTTTCCCCACAATCATGTGAATGGCAACGGATGTCTGATCATGTACTTTTAATACCTTCGTTTCCCGTATCCACGGCTCAAAGGAGTTGCGTTGCCAGCTAGGGTGATCATGAGGTAATTCATTGTCATGATCCAACCATTTTCCGTCTCATGTGATGATACTGCCTTCTTCCATTGATATTGACGTCCTGTACAACACATTTCAGGGGGGCCCATGCTCCCAGTTCCTTGCTTCGAGAGGTGAACATTTTCAAGCACGTAGTTGTCGACTTCATACTTGTAGCTTCCGGGGCTTTCCTCTGCCACCTGGCCACGACTTCAATCCTTGTCCTCGCCCTGCGCCCAGCCACACACATCCCTCACAGCATGCAAGGTCGGCTAGTGAGCAGCATCTGGTCCAGTCCCATTCTTCTCTCCGACTGCATCACCGCGTCAGCAACTCGATCCAGCTCCAAGCTGTCAAGAGGATCAAGATAACAGCAACTCACCATCCAAAGCGACCAAGAACCGGCTGACACAGTTGTAACAAGCCACAGTCGCCACAATCTCAACCACCTCCCTCTCGGCAAACAGGCCCCTGGCCTTCTCAAACGTCCCCTCGCTAACCTCCACGTTCCGCGTCATCTCGTCAGCAACACACAGCACAACCCACTGGCGCTCGCTCAGGCCACCCTGGGGCGCATTGACGTCCAGCGGGCCCGCGTTCATCTTGAGGAACTCCATCGACGCCTCGCTGACGCCGCCGCCCACCGCCAGCGGCGCGTGGTGCATCCACTCGTACCAGGCGCGGTTGACGACGGCGACGCGGCAGATGGCCAGCTCGCGCAGGTCCGCCGGCAGCGTCGTGCGCGTGCGCACCGCCCCGAGGAACGAGTTCCACCCGTCCGCCACGGGCGGGGAGTGCAGCAGCGCCAGGTCCAGCGACGTCAGCGGCCGGGGCGCCCGCCGCGCTGCGATGCGGTCCACGATCGCCTGGTCCTCGGACGAGGTCGTCGGCGGCGGGTCGGCGACGTAGGGGAGGCGCATGTTGGGCTGAGGGGTGAGGCTCAGGTACCTGTGTTGGGCGTGGTGGATGGGTGCTCTTGGTGCTCTTGGGAGCTGGTGTGGGCGGATGGGAGCAGTGCTGCGTAGGGTGAGGCGGAGGAGTGTTCTCTGGACTGGCATCTCAGTGAGGGGCTGAAGTTCGAGGGAAAATGTTGAGTGTGGTAGGCGTATGTGGAAATAGACTTCGGCGCAGGGTTCCGGCGCCAGCCGGCCCGGTCATCGGGGAGTGGAGGCCGGGGAAAGCTACCCCGCGTAAATGCTCTGCCGGCACATCACCTCGGTCACGGCCGGGAAAACTCGCTCCTTTTTGCTCCCAGCCGTCGGGAGAGACAAGCCACATACAGCAATGTCGAACAGCCAACGCATTGCCTCAGCGCGGGTCCAACTGCACGTCAAGAATAAGCATTCATGTGCATTATCACGATCCTAGTGTGCACCGAATACATGCTCAGTACCTGCAGCAGGCGTGCAGCAAGCGGTCACACCAACAATCTTTTCCCGTCAATACTTTCAGGTGCTTATTAATCGTGAACCCAACATCGTGGTGAAGGCGACTATCCCACGCCTCCATTGACAGACATCAATCCCAAGGAGGGGTTCAGTGCCATCTCGGTTTGTCCGGCAGAACAGTGAAACAGAAACATACCCACAATCCCAAGTTCATCTCGTGCTCCCGGACATCCGACGACGTCTTAGCCGTGCTCTAAACACACCGAGAGTCCGGCACCGTCCCACGTCAGCTGCGAACCCCCCAACGTGTTTCAACCAGCCCAATATCCGCCTCAGGTCTCTATATCGCGATGCACAGGTTCCCCTCTTTGCGTCTCCGGGGACAGCACCAGTCTTCGGTTAGATCACAGACCGGTCCCCAAAGAAGGTGAGCCATCCAGAAGATGGAGGGCACTCTTGCAGGAAAACTGCATTTCGTTCAGTTTTCAGAAGAGCAAGAGCGTCTGAAAAGCTTCGAAGTCGAAGACAGAGTGGCTCGTTTCTGGCGTTGGAGGGGCATAAACCTTTTAGATTTCAGCCACTGGGGACCTCGGCAACCAAACTCACTTCGTTCTCGCGCATGAAGACGCAGATTATGCTTGCCACCCAAGCGCGAAGACGGGCGATAGCCCTGGAGCTGACATCTTAGGACGCCCACGAGCAATTCTTGTCTACAGTATAGACGGTAAGCGTGTACACTTCTCTTGGTCTCGTAGCAGGAGGTGTCTGATTCATTGATCTCTGCTTTTTACCTTCTGTCGTGCAGACGTAAACAGTAGGGAAAACTGCTCTGGAGACCGAAACAGCTGGTGCGGATAGGTACCAAGGCATACCTCAGGGATAAATCTGGGAGAATGCTCTGAACTACTGGTTCAGGGGCCGCCAGGCAGGTCCGCCCGCCCCGTTGGAGAATCAGGAAACCGCCGCGCGGGAAAAAGCATTGGGCTTGACGTCTTTACTGTCAGCACATGTGTTTCTCTCAGCAGAATGGCAGAAGATGGTGGAAGAGAAGCACTTCCAATGCCTCGCTGGCGGCCAATCAACTAACACGATCGGGCCTGCTAAGTGGGGGCTCTAAAGAGCGGTGCTGCTGCGAGGAAGACCCTTGACTTTCGGTCCACGTCGTGCCCTCCTCTTGGCCCATCGTGGTGCCATGAGCTGGGAGGCATTGACGACCAAGACGTCACCCTCCTTGCCTTCCATCACCACCCCTCGACGATGACTGTGGCCCAGGGCCCTAGTCCCGGCCGGCCACGTCAACTTGCACCCACCCAAGGTTTCTCCCAAGGTTTCTCCAAGGACTCAGCCGCAGGCGTCTACTCGGCTGTGTGGGCTCACATCATCGTTCACCTTCGTTGACATTTGTGTCTCACACAGGGATTTTCTTCCCATCATTCATCCCTCTGCAGTCATACACTCATTCAGGTCGTGTACAGCGTGTTGAAGCAATTGAAAGAGCATTGTCAACGGACCCGCCGCGATAGAGACACCACGGATACCGCATTTATTCTCTCAACACCCCCTCGCAGGTATTCCCCTACTCGGGTTGCCTGACGACTTGCCCTAGTCAAGGAGCCAGAAGAATCACACGAGTCACAGCGGCAGCGGCCGCCACATGGAAATGGACACAAGTAATAACCAAACCACCAATGGCACGACCACCAATACTAGTTCCAGCGGCCGGCCACCATCATGGGTGTGGGTCCTCGTAGCACTCGCCTCAGCAATAACGATCGGAGTTCTCCTATTCGGCCTGTACCAATTCATAAGACGCCGGCGGGCCCGAAGACGAGACGGGGACCCAGAGGGCGCCACCACCGACGCGGCCTCAAGAGGAGGCGGATCGACACGAGGCTCCTCCCGGCCGTGGAACCGCCGCCGCCGCAGCCGGAGGCACGACCACCACTCGCAGCCCGCGTCGCGCTGGGGCTGGGTGTACCCGCACACGAACCGGGCGTCGACGCAGTCGTCCGAGGGGCTCAACGAGCTCGGCGAGGCGCCGCCGCCGTACAACGAGGACGACCTCGAGTGCCCGCCGGACATGGCCGAGGTCGTCCACATCCCCGGCGAGGGGCCCTCGCGCGTGGCCTCGCGGCAGGACCGCGCGTCACTGTTAGGAGGAGGGGGAGCGATCGGGCCGGCCTTGTCGGCGGCTCATCCTGAACCCCCCACGTATGATTTCGCCATGAACTTGAGCACGACGTCGGTGCAGCTGCCGCCGCCTGCGGTGGTGGTGTCGCCGCCGCAGGATTCTTGAGGGGAGACAGAGATCATGATGGGTTTCCTTGGCGGTGCGAACTTTCTGTGACATTGCTGGCATAACGTGGGAAGTTGCGGCGTTTGACCTCGATGGCCTTCTTCAAATTACCTGGTACATTGGTCGGTGGAGGAATACAGATACCCAATATGAATATAAAAGGCATCGTCACTGGGTCACTCCAGGTACTTGCTAACAACCACAACATGACATGGTGATGAGTGTGCGACGTTTGGCCTTGCCCTTCAAGGAGCAAGGTCTTATAAGCACAAGGAGTTGACCAGCCTCCATCCTTTTCACGTCAATTCTTCTACTTAAGTATGTTTTTCTCCCTGTTCTTTTTTTCTTTAGTTGCACGAGCAGTGTATTCGAGCTACACTTTCCGAAAGCACCAGGCCATTGGTAAAAGTCCAATAATGGTAAGGATTGGACGGCATTGAGGCTAGTCAACATTTTCATGGTTTTCTCTGACACTCTTTCCTCTCCTCTAACCTATTGCACAAGTGGCCGAGTGTTGAAGCATCGACCACAGAAATACATCACCAATCAAGCCCGTGGTGAGCTTCGGCTCTGTCTCTACCCGCCGTGATATCCACTAGCCTGAGCCGACACGGACTCAATGGCCTCGTCCGCGAGGGGACGGTCCTGACTGGTCTATCTGATCGATGTCGTCTACATCTCGCCGGTGTCCTGGCCCCTTCGGGGAAGGACCGGACCTGGCGTCGGGCTCGGGCTCGGCAGAACGCCGGTGGCCTGCCCCACCGGGCGATGGCCCAGACTGGGCGACTTCGTTCAGGTTGTCTGTTTGAGTGTGGCTTGTCAGTATTCCGTGTCCATTGTACGACAAGAAGTGGGGAGTCTTCTCACCCGCACGCGAAGCTTCAACGGCCCTGAAAGCCAGCAAAGGGAGAAGGATGAACTGAGAGAAACGCATCCTTATTCTGTGTTGTGCGGTTTGGGGCGTTGTTCGATACTAATGATTGGTGAGAATCTGGCTTGGTCCACAATCAGAGTTCTTGTCTTGTCAGCGAGTGGGTGGGAGGTAAGCTTTATATATTCAAGGTCCTGTAGGTTCTACTATGAAGAAATATGCGAGAGTGCGGTATCTATACGCTTGCAAAGATGATTCTCAAGACGTCATGGGCTCTGTCGCCCCTCTGAGCAGTCGGCCTTACATATGCAAGGTCAAGTCACAAATCTTATGCTCCGTCACAACGCCAACTCGAGCTCTTTCCAGGGACAGGGAGGACAGAATTCATAGACATATCAACTGGCAGGTCCACTACCCGAAAGGGCATTTCAGAAGTGGGATATGCCTTGATGTTCTGGCCGGCGCCCGACGGCTTTCCCTTTCCCAGTGTGACAAGCGAGATGCTGATCTACCCCGGAGAAGTTTGAATGCAGGACCCGTATCGAGCAGTTGGCTCGGCCCTCATCTGTCATAGATACTTACACCATGAACGTGTCCATTAAGCTTTTGGAGGGTAGTATTGCGTGTCTTTGTAACGTGGTCTCACAGTAGAGACTATGTCTTCCACCGAGATATCACCGTCTGCCTAGGTAATGCACAGCGCAGCCCTCGACCCCCCCACGCCTTGCAACTTTTGTCAATTAAGAGCCATGTGTATCAATACAGCCTACAGAAGATGAAATAGAAAAGGGCCACGGACAACCGTAGTGATCTTGTGGACACTATCAACAGTCTTGTAGCGCTTTATGCAAACAACGTGAGACAGTGTGCTCGTCAGGTGGACATGTATGTGCTATTTCCGGAATCAGTTGAAAGCTAGCCAGCTCTGAGCTACAAGGCGAAAGTTTTCTGGCAATAACAACACTAGAAGGGAATAGGCAGAACGAGGGAATAGACTTAGTTTCAGCAAGATACAAGTCTTGGCGCCTCCATAGTTTCAGGGCGAACCAGATCGCCAACCTGATTAGAATATCGTACGAACCTCCATCTCGCAAGCAGTCACGGACCAGTGCGCAGATCTACATGTGAAGCTTTGCTGGACGTAATATTATCATGGCTATCACTCAAAGAATCACTCGGAAAATCAATCTGATCAGAAGCGAAGGGACTCACCATTAGTAAAATTAGCTTTCAAATCAGATTTCCTTGCTATTTCATGATGCTCATCAGGAACGATCCGAACGGTTCCACGGTGAAGAATAAGCTTTATCGAACTTTCGCCTCCCACCTGATCTTCGACGCAGACCCTTCCTTCCCGGGGCCTTCATCTGCCTCGGCACAAGGCCCAGTTTCATTGCCCCTAGTGTTCGACCTGCATTTCATCAAACTATATCTCAGCTACTCTTCGGGTGACAACCGAGGTGGCAGAATCCCAAGCACAGACTATATTGGTTTCGACGTATGCATAAGGTTCAGTCAAAAGATTGCCAAAATGGGGGAAAGAATGCGTTGTGAAGTCTCATGTAATTACTTTATTACAAGCCTCTGATGTGGAGGCAACACACGGAAGTTGAGGGACCCCATCAAACACCGGATAATGAAGCCAACGATAAAGCCGTCAAGCCTTGCAGGTCTGCGGATGATCGCGTCACTCCTTGCTGTTATTGCAGCAATTGGTGTGGGTTATTTCAGCCAGCAAAAATACTTCAGAACTGATGAGAACATCGAGACATACCGATGTCCTCGGAAAATATTCGCGCCTATAATTCTGTCAACGGATCCGGTACTCATACACATTGACGAGTTTGTCACACCTTTCGAAGCCGAGTATTTGATATCACTCGCGTGAGAAGAGTCTTTTCTCCGATGCCTGTCTTGATAATCGCGCACATAAGCATTCTTGCTGACCAGAACTCCAGCAATTTTGAGCCGTCGACTATAGGCTTGACAGATCAACTCACTAATACCACCATCCGCCGCTCGCACTCCGCCCTTCTTCCGGACGTAATCGACCAAAACGTATCCAACCCAGTCATAGAATGCATCCTACAACGAGCCTCAGCCTTCCAGGGCTACGTGCCCATGGTCCATACCGAGCCCTTGCAGCTCGTGAGATATCAAGCCGGAGAGTACTACCATGAACACTACGACGCATGGAAGGGCAATGACCCGGACACACAAGGGAACAGAGACACGAGTTTCTTTGTGATACTTCGCTCCGAGGGACTGTTCGACAGCGAGGAGCAAGGGCGACAGATTACGCCTCCGTTGGGAGCCAGGGCGAGTGCAGGCACGAGCTTCCCCCGTCTCAGAAGACGGTTCGCTGACGAGAAATTATGTGAGGTGATTGAGTGTGGCGAGGGCGTGGAAGGAATCGTAGCAAAGCCTATTGCGCGAAGCGCGTTGTTCTGGACGAATCTATTTGAGAACGGCACAATTCACCCTGGGTCGCTGCACCAGGGCTTAGAGTTGCCTCAAGGGAAAGGAGAAAAGATCGGAATGAACATATGGACTTGGAACAGACCGTACATAGTGTAGAAGGTGAACGTTTGCAGAATGTCGAAAGAGCTGCTGAGCTCACTTCAATGTTCCATACGGGCAGGGAAAGCGGCGATACCTGGACAAGGGCTGTGTAGACGCTGGCATACCTTGATTGATGTGATATAGTTTTCACCTTGTTATGCAATCAATTCTCTCAAATCTTAAGCGTGTTATCATCCATCTCATGTGGCTATTGTCACATGCAATATGCCCCAGGGAGTACCTTGGCAATTGTTCATGTGATTCTTTCACCTTGTTCACGCTGTGTTTTTGGATTTTACAGACTAATTGTGAATTCAAATTTCTATTTCATTATATCAATAATTTTCTTAAGCAGTATCCATATAGTAATTAAATCTTGCTAAGCCACTCATTAGTTATCATATCACATCTGGCCATAGGAGCACCAAAATGCAATTTAGCAGCTTCGGGGACCAACTCCGAAAGTCACGATAGTGTTGATACGAAGTAGAAAAGTCTATATTCTAATTCTCAAGTCTCATGTTGTACATTGTGACCTCTCTACTGTTACACAGCTCGTTCAATCGAGTGGAATAGACTCCCTCAGGACACTGCCAATGTTCATGACGCACCCTTCACGATGATCTTGCCCCTGGCCCGTCCTGTTCTGAGTTTCTCATAGGCCTTGGCTGCATCGTCAAACTCGAAAATCTCATCGACCACGACCTTGATCTTGCCGGCTGCGATCCACTCGCCGAGGCGAGCGAGGTCTTCGTGCTTGTTCTTCGCGACCGCCAATGAGAACTTCCGGGACCCGCCACCCAGGAATGATGGCAGCATCATACGTGACATCATGAGCTGCATGTCAGCCATCGACATACCCGCGCCAACTTGCACGAATTGGCCGCTTGGTACGAGGAATTGGTCGCAAGCCGAGTACAGGTCCCTGGGTGAAGAGCCAACATTATCAACGACGAGGTCGAACACTTGGCCCTTTGCCTTCAGTGCGCCGACCAAGTCGCCTTGGGTGTAGTCAAGCACCTCGTCCGCGCCGAGGCTCTTGCACAACTCGACGTTTCGCGCAGAGCACGAGGTGGTGACGTGGCACCCCAGGAGCTTGGCGATCTGGATTCCGAACGTGCCTGTGCCGCCACTACCGCCGTTGATGAAGATGCGAAATGGAAGCCCGCCTGGAGAATGGGCGGCAGGGACATTGGGCACGATGCTGGAGAATGCCGCAAGGCCGACCGAGCCCACGCCGCTGGCGTGCTCGAGGCTCACTCCGCTGGGCAGGCTGGCGCAACCGGATGATTTCGCGACAATGTACTCCCCCAGCGCTCCGAAGCGGCCTGGATCGAGGCGTCCAAAAACTGAGTCACCGACCTTGACGGGGAACTCGATCGCGGAGCCGTGCGCGACCACAGTGCCCGAGAAGTCCATTGCAGGGCTGGCCGGCACGGAGATCATGGTGCGTGATATGGAGTAGGGAAGCTCTGGTATCTTATAATCGATTGGATTGAGGCCGGCGGCGCGCACTCGGACCAGTAGCTCATCTTTCGAGAGGCTGGGTGGCGATTGTGGGCGGGGGTGAGCTGCTGTGGCTGAGAGAGCCAAGTTCTTGTGCAGACCACCCGTTGCACTCGAGTAGAGCCACGCCCGCATTGCTTTCGCTGTCGCTGTGGCCATATTTCTGAGAAGGCAGCAGTATACTCGGGGTTGATCGCAGTCGTGTTGCGGACGCTCATGAAAAGCGCAATGAACGCGAAGCTGTTAAACTGCCTAGACTGAGGCTGCTGCAGAGATTTAACCAACAAGACTCGAGCTATTTACCAACATGACAGAAGAGAGAACGAAAGTGGATGGATCAGGGGACGGATAAATATTCGGGAATCTGACGCGCATGAGTTGTCTTACCTGTCATGGGAGCATGTGGAGTTGAATCCTATATGCGCTGCTTACGCTTACAAAAATGAGTTATCATGAGCTATATGGCACCAACGTTTCATGGCACCAACATTTCCCCACAAATGGCTCAATTAGTCACACAAGCGAACAAGGGCTCTGTTGATCTGCGGAATTTAGCAAGATTTAGTATTTTGCTGTTGTAGGCTCATGAGGTGACATAGTGCATCTAGTCCTAGCTGTAATACTGCCATGCATGAAATACAGGAAAGTGATACCCAGGTATTGATATTGCTCACGCAGGTCCTACGACTTCGCAGAGTTGGGAAACGTTAAAGGAAGGGAGAAACACAGAGAACAACCTTCATCTTGGGACGGGAAGCGCATCTAATACTCTTGATGAACAAAGAGCCACGCTCTTGAAATGTGGCTAGAAACTTACAAAAGCGACAGAAGTTAGAGAGAAATTGCCCGCCAAAAGACTGTATTACCACATGCCCATTCGCAAGCGGCCAGATTCCGATGCATCGTCAAGGAGTCATTAAATGAAAAGGTCTGACCACAAGCCTTTCTTCCGTCTCACCGAATGTTCAATTTCTTGATGCTTACAGCCATCCTCAAGAGTATGATGTACAAGATCAGCTCTTGTATAGCATGCCATGGTAGCTCTTTGGGATTGGAGAACTTGAGTTTTCGCAAGCGTGGTTGCGGCTAGAAGGATATCAACACATGAGACGAGTCTTGTAATGATTTCTATTTTGGTAAAAAGCTGAAAATTTTCAAATGGAAGAACCACTTCTTCCCTCGCAACCATAGGCATGCCATACTGAGAAGTCCTTTCATAAAGAGTATTACTTGTAGCTGCCCGTACAGACCTCATACGGAGACAAAATCTCTCCATCTCAAGGGCAAGAAAACAGAAGTCGAGGCTGAAAGTGAACTTGCTTGCCTTGACTTTCCTGCTCAAGGGATGAGATAGTGGGGCCGAACTGATCACAAAAGCTACCATCATCGTCGGTAAAACGGCCTTGGAAGTCACCCGCGTTTGCCGTACCGCCAAAGTGATAGTTCATGAAAGGATCGTTGAGAATCAGAGGAATGTGTCGGTTTATATGCTCACTTACGCAGGTAAAGCTCTGAGATTCGTAGGCAACAGTGGCTTTGCTCTCCCCCGTTCACAATCACATGTCACTACTCTACTCGTGGAACAACGTACAATCAAAGAGGTTCTACAGACAGCGACCGTGCATTATTCACCACAGATTTTCAAGCGTCTTTCTCGCGCGCATGACTTAAACGACGAAGAACAAGACCACTGTAACTCCGTCGAGACCCTCGCAGGCCTGTGTACGGGTCAACTATAGGGTATTGGAACAGTGGCATCGGAGATGTTGGCCTTCAACGCTGAGGTGCAGATGGACCTGGCTACCAAACATATGCGGCGCACATTGCTGAGAGGACATCATCAGCAGATGCAGAACAACAAGGGACGAAGGACCCGTGTCTGGTAACCTCAAAGATGACGGCAAGCCAGGAGCACATCCGGCTGAAGCTGCGGCTCTGGATCGGCACATCTTGCTCAGACACTACAGGTCTGAAATGATGAAATCTCTACAAGCCAGGCCGAAAATGGAAATATTCGGAGTAATGTTTGCGGCTGGTGATTGGAAGTAGGTCGGTCTACTGAGTTCGACAACGGTGAGGGGCGATCTGGAGTTATTACTGAATGAATCGAGTCTCTGAGAGAGATTCACCAGTTGATACTCATGGACGAAACACGCATTTGGGAGGTTGGAATTGAAATTCTGGTTGCTTTCCCATATGCTGTCGAGGCATGCAATGCTGGATTTATGTAAAGCTGCCTCGGCCTGCACCGACGTGACGGAGCGTGATGAGCGTCAGGGACCTGTGTAACATCGGGGCCCCTGTCCGGGCTGGCAAAGCAACGGGTCGGCTCATGTGAAGATGGACCTGAAGAGCAGTTGACATGCTTGATTCGTGCTCCACGCTCCCCAGCATGAGTAACGCTGCCGATCTTTGACCAAGTATCCCGGCGCCGCTTGGCAACTAAAGATGCGGTAAAACACCCAAGGTACACAGCAGACGTGCACTCGTGGAACATCAGGGTGTTCCAGAATCTCGCTGGAAGGACGTGTTAGGGGCCTGAATTGTCGGTCGTCAGAGCGGCTGGGGGTGAATGGAAGCAGGCAGGACGAGGACAATAATATCCGTGCACGGTTAAGGTGCAACTCTTCACCGTTGGGTTTACCGGGCCATAAACCAACAATCAGAGGGATTTCAACAAAAAAAAAACCATCAATGAATTCCTGGCTCGATTTTGAATAAGCTAATGACAATAAATCATACCACACGTACTGTGGTTGTTGTGTGAACTGAAATGAAAGTTGAAGAGTTTTGGTGGTGCTAACGGCTATGCCCGGATACTATTGTCCTCGTCCTGGCAGGATGCTGGCTCTTGTGGGGCAGCCCCAGACTCGAGGCTTAGAGACAGAGAGGGTCCGCGGCACTGGGACTTGGGGGCTTGGGGGACTAGTCTAAAATAGGGGCTCTGCGCTAGGCCAGGACGAGTAGCACATGGTGTGTCGGAGCCTCGGCCTAGCGCCCTGTCTGTGGACGTTCACATGCCCGTTGCGACGAACACTCGGGCGCCAGGCATGCGGTCATCAGCCATTATAGCCCGTCCCTGCTGCCGAATCCTCGATATAAGTTCCGCATAGGATCGTATACCGCTCGGCAGTGACCGTTCTTTTCTCACTTCTCCCGCTCTTCGACACATACTTGCTGATACCCCAACCTATTGCCTTGTAATCGTCAGAAAGAAACCCCAGATCACCGCAACAATGACGCTCACAAATGGTACGTGCGACACACGACTACCGCACCTTAACTGGAGGACCTGCTTTGGCTGACATGCTGACGCTTGCGACAGACAAGTTCCCTTCCTCGGCCGCCTTCGAGGCCATCAACGAGGCGCTCAACGCCAGCGAAGCCGACAAGAAGGACGCCATCAAGCAAGGCAACGGCATCTACGCCTTCACACTAAAGAACGCTGCTGGGGAGACAGACAGCTGGCACATTGACCTGAAGAACGAGGGCAAGGTCAACAAGGGCGTTGGCGAGAAGGCCGATGGTACGTTATTCCGCAACATGTTGCACCGATGTGCCTGCAGTACTGACGGCGCGATTCACAGTCACACTCAGCCTGTCCGATGCCGACTTTGCCAACCTCGTCGCCGGCAAGGGCAACGCCCAGAGGTTATTCATGTCCGGCAAGCTCAAGATCAAGGGCAACGTTATGAAGGCAACCAAGCTGGACCCCATCCTGAAGAAGGCGCAGACCAAGGCCAAGCTGTAGAGATTGAGGTTCGGGATGCGTTATGACGACGGAATTTGGACGGATTGGGACGGCCGCCCGCGGAAGCCAGGGTGTGATCCCTCCTTCTGCTGAATGACCGCAGTTGGGGACGGACGGGGCGTCTTCCTGGTCTGAGGGGTGTACTTTACAATGCACGAACGATGCTACGGCACGAAATCTTTGAATGTCCTGCATTTAGACCATAATTCAACAACGTCAAGCTGTGCCTGTTCGAGGTGGTTGTAGCAATCCTGTTCGAGGTGGTTAATCGTCGTGCCTGCAAGAGTTTCTTACTGCATTTCACTCAAATGTTGAATGCCTGCTGGTAACTCCGTGGTGACCTATACTGCAGTGCACGTAATTGCAGTCGTCTGATATGCTTACAAAAACACCACAGCAACCAAAGACGGTAACAGCCTCCCTTCATTGCATTCAATAAAATCGGAACATCATGTTAGCTGTATGGACACGAGGACTGGGTCTGGCCAATGTTGCAAGCCGGACTTGGCAGCTGGCGAACAGCTGCGTTGAGCTGTCAGACCGCATCCGGCCGGCCAGCTCGATTTCCAGAGGCACATGTACCCAGGTACCTCAGCGGTGACAGACAGCCACCTGAGCCACCCATGCTCGAGTTCCCCAGAAGACGCTCGGGCCACGTGCCTCCTTCAGCAAGTCAGAGACAAGAGCCAGCGGCCTTTGGAGAGTCCAGGCCAGCTCCCGCCTCCAACCTTGGGTTTTTTTTCTCAACCCTCATCCGCACCCCGTCCGTCGCGCGACCGATCAAGGCAGCAGATCCCTCCCACCCCGTCCAGAATTTCCTATCAGCCTCGCACCCTGCCACCCATCAACCCCATCTGCACCGGTCCTTTGCGTGTCTTAATCCATTCTCTTTCGATGCCAATCGCATCGGGACGCGTCTTTTTTTTGATGACTCTCTCCTTTCTGTCGTTCTAGACTTGCGACACGTTGCGCCTTTGTTTATTCTGGCACTGGGAAGCAAGAGCTCGCCCTCGCACCTTTCTTCCTTCGCCGTCGTCGTCGCTGTCGAAGCTCGATCCACTGCATCCATCCAACCCCTTCACCGTGCGAGCCTCCTGTCTTGGTCTCATTAACCTTGACCTCGACAACGGCCTTGCCCCCACCAATCACTTCACCCCACCGCGACGCTTCGCGACTGCCACCCGCCCGACCCCCCCTTCGTCCGCCGCGGTTCAGCAATTTTACCCGGGCAAGCTCGATTTTGGATGAATAACACCTCGCAGTAGATCCTCGCGATCGTCTCGTCTCACCATGGACACATCCACGCGACAACGTGGCCCTCCATACGGCTCTCGCCCCAGCCAACCTGCCTCTTTCAGCGGCTTCCCCTCCAAGCTGCGTCATGAGGTCAATGACGACGTCCGAGGCCGCCCTTCGTCGCGACCTCTGGGTAGCTGGAGGACCGCAGGCCCTGTCAGCGGCACCCAGCCAGCAGCCTCGTCTATCGTGGCTGGTAGCCGCCTCTTCGACCGTAATCAGACCCTGCCTCGCACAGCTCGGCAAGCTTCCAACTCGCCTGCCAGCACGCCAGGCAAGATCTTCAATAGAACTGGCCTTGCGAATGGCGCCACTCCGAAGTTCACTTTCTCTCCACGCCTGCCTCCCAACGCCGTGCGTGAGAGCTTCTCGGCCGTCACTCCAGGGCGGTCTTTCCGGGGCTCCACAGCCGATCTCAATGGACGAGCCATGTCCAAGACCTCCTCGACCAACCTCTTTCCTATGAGGATCTCTTCTCCTCCACCTGAGCTCGATGGCGAGGAGCTGGCCAAGCAGGTCCCCGACAGCCCAGATAGGGTGGGTTCTGTCTACGCTGACGAGTTCTTGTCCCACCTCGTCCCCGCCGAGCTCGATGATATCCAGCGACGCCAATTCCTCTGCGTCCTTGATCTGCGCCGGCTGAAGTATGCTGCTTCCGAGATTTTCGCGAAGAAGGATTGGAGGGTCAACATCATGAACTTCGCAAAGGAATATGAAAAGAGTAGGAGCCTCATCATGCTGCGGTACGGCCTCTACGAATTCAAAACCGTTCCTGCTTCCAGGGAGCTGTTGAAAAAGTGGAAGCAGGAGAATAATGTGCCAGAGGAGGACGAGGAGATGGAAGAGGCTGAGGCTCCCAGGCCGAACGGCACCTCGAGCAGCTTCAGATCATCGGTGAAGAGACGAGCTGGAGATGACCTGGATAGGGATAGTGCCTACACATCTGCGGCTCCGGCCCCGAACAAGCGCCGTACCACAGAACGAGAGCCTCTGGCCGAGTCAACACCCCTAACCTCGAATGCTGGTGCGACACCGTTCGCGAAGAAGACTAAGCGTGGCGCTGATCACCTGGATGAGCCAGACGAGAACCAGCCCAGCAAGAAGAAGTCTAGTACTCTCTCCATCTTCGAGGATGTTGCGAACAGCTCGCCAGTTCGACAAGCTGCGAGCCCCGCGAAACCCGCCGCGAAAAACCTCTTTGCACAGCCGTCTACACAGGCACCAACTAAACCGACTTTTGGCGCCGGAGACAAGGTCTCGTCGGGCAACATTTTTGGCCACTTGTCTGAGCAGAACTCGCCCGAAGGCAGTGATGATGACGAGGATAACGAGGGTGGTTCTGAGGATGCGGAGGCTGAGGACGAGGAACCAGCAAGCCAGCCCCCGGTATCAGCTACCAGCGGTGCACCTTCCCTCTTCGGCACGAAGCCTTCCGGTGGCTTTTCTACTGTTGGAGGCTCTACAGCCACGAGCACCGGTCTTTTTGGTCGCATCACTAAGGGTGGAGACGGCGAGCATGTGCGAGCCTCAGGGGATGCCACCCCAGGAATTTTTTCCACCACGAAGCCACCAGCAAGCCCACCGAAGGAGAGTCAAGACAAGACGTGGAACCCGAACACGCCGATCAAGTTTGGTGGCGCAGCTTCCCAGACTGGTGCCTCGCTCTTTGGCGCCAGCACCACTCAACCAAGTTCCATATTTGCCAACAAGCCCACGGAAAGCACCGGGTCAATCTTTGGCTCCACCACTCCCAAGGCCAGTGCAGCACCGACTTTAGGTACTCAGGTACAAGACTTTGGAAAGGAGACGCCCAAGCAGGCCGCACCGTCATTGTTTGGCCAGCCTGCCAAGCCGTCAGACTCGGGCAGTAGCCTCTTCGGTAATGCCTCAAAGACGCCTGCCTTCGGGACGTCCACGCCAAGTCAGCAGAAATCTGACGAGAAGGGCTCTTCGGGATCGGTTGGAACACCTGCAACCAGTATTTTCGGACAGGCTGGCGCTGCAAGCACAACACCCTTTGGCAAGCCTGCAGATGCTCCTGCTACTCAAGCTCAGCCGACATCTCTTTTCGCCAACCTCAACACACCTGCCACTACAACTCAAGCCTCAGCGCCATCGCTCTTCGGAGCGGCAAATGACAAGCCAAGCGGCTCGCTGTTTGGTGCGAAGAGTGATGAGAAACCATCTTCCACACCAGCTCTATTTGGCACCCAGCCATCCTCAACATCGACGCTGTTCGGCGCAAAGGCCGGGTCTGGTGACGAAAAGAAGGAGGAATCAGCCCCGAAGAGGAAGAAGCCGGATTCTGACGAGGCTGGTGCGGTCTTTGGCAGCACATCTGCTGAGCCAGCGTCCAAGAAGTACTCGTTCGGAGGCGGCGCACCAACCCCTGCGGCCAGCCTGCCACCCAAGACCGCGGAAGCAGCCAACGGCTCGGATGAAGCAGGAGCTGTCTTCGGAAGCGGCTCGCAAAACGGTAGTAAGACATACAGTTTTGGAAGCACAGCTTCTGCCACACCTGCTCCATCGACTTCGAAGCCGGCCGATACTCCTGCCCCTACATCCCTATTTGGGACTCCAGCACCCCAGGCCGAGCCAGCGAAAACACAACCTAGCATCTTCGCAAATGTTCCCGCTCCTAGCACAGGCTTCACTTTCGGTGCAGCATCGAGTACGCCATCAACCAATTTGTTCGGGGCCACTGGAAACGACGCCAATAACTCGACCAAGAATCAACAATCGAGCTTCTCATTTGGTAGTGCTGGCACTCCCGCGCCGGCTCCCGCGCCCGCAGCCAACTCCTTCACCTTCAACTCCGGTGGTGGTGACCAGGGCTCCTTCAATAACCCCTTTGCTGGTGGCAATTCTGGGGGAGTTTCATTCGATTTTGGAGCGACCCAGAGTCAAGCAGCTAGTGCACCATTCCAATTTGGCGGCCCCGCTGCTCCAGCCGCTCAGCCTTCTACGAGCTTCACATTTGGCGGGGACTCACAGGCAGCAACTAATGGCCCTTCGTCATCAAGCTTCACGTTTGGTGGCGCTAGCCAGCCTACAAACGCGGCGCCTGCTCCATCATCCAACATGTTTGGAGGTTCTCAGCCGAACGGCGGGTCTTCCATTTTCAACTTTGGTGGCGGCAATTCACAGGCGCCATCTCAGCCGACCTCTTCCGCCAACATGTTCTCCGGTCAGCCGGCCAATGCGGCGCAAGGCATCTTCGCTGGTAGTCTAGCGCCCCCAGCTGGATCTTCGACTGGCACGAGTAAGTAGTGTCTCGTTTCTTATTTTTCCTTGTGCTTCACATTTCGTTATTCTTGGCAGTCCATCATTAACGTCATGTAAAGATACCCCTTTGTTTGGCGGGGCGTCTAGCATAGCTACGACGCCGGCGGCTGGCACACCCGAGCCAGAAGCTGCTCAGGCCAAGAAAGATAATGCATCGAGCGAACAGACGGCTGACGAGGACGGAAAACCACAGGAGCAAATTTCCCTAACCGAAGGTGGGCCCGGGGAAGAGGACGAGCAGGTCGTTCATGAGGTGCGAGCCAAGGCTCTCCGACTTGCCCCCAAATCCGACGACGATGATGACGACAAGGATAAGGGCGCCAAGAAGAACCCATGGAAAACAGAGGGCTTGGGCCCACTCAGACTCCTCAAGCACAAGAGTACCGGCGCCGTGCGAATTCTGTTGCGCGCCGAGCCTCGTGGCAATGTCGCCATGAACAAGCTTGTGCTTCCTGACTTTGATTACAAGGTCGACAAGGGTGCGAAGTGGATCAAGGTTCCCTGCGCGAAGGACGACGGAAAGGGTCTGGAGACATGGATGCTCCAGGTGAAGACCAACGAGCTGGCTCTGAAGCTCGCCGATGCCTTGGAGGAGAACAAGAAGGCGAACAAGAAATAGAGCGGAATTAATCTGAAGGGCAAAACCAGCAAGGGCAAAACTGGCTGTGGCATCTGTATTAAAAGAAGGCAAAGCGCAGGCGTTGGACCAAGTGGTTTCAATTGAAGGACTGGCGCAGATATATGGTTATACCAAGTGGTACATACAAAGCATGAATCATTGATAAGATGAGAGCTATCGGCACTCAGTGTGCCCAGGAGGGAAATGGGAACAAGTAGTCACAAGCAACTACTACACGCAGTATGCCCCTTAGGCTTTCGACCTGTCTGATTACTTTATCCCTGTTCGCCGTCTGCCTGGCAGAGGCGTGTGCTTGGTGATTTTCATTTGCTGCATAGCACTGGCATTTTGTATGGAGTATGTACACCACTAGCCCCCCGTCAACCCCATGATTTTGGCATCTTTTCTTGTTTTGGCGGCTGGGAGGGGCCCAAACACATGGAGCACAAAAAGCACAAAAAGCACAGATAGTCGTATCATTCATCCCAAAATCGAGATTGATAATCTGCTTCCATCGCACAGCTGTGAATATCAGATGGTCTAAGAAGACGTGCGTTAGTGATTGAACCATGATTCTTGCGTGGCGAGAAGCCTCCATCATATACACCTCACCCCAATGCTGCTTCCTACGCCCAGTAGTTCTGCCAAATGCTGGGCTATGGATTGACTGTTCCTTGAGCGAGCATGACCGACAGACCTCAACCATCGTTCCAATTTCGTAATGCAGTAGTGGCGGGGCAAGCTGGGGAAATCAGCAGCTAGTATTGGAAATCCAGCGGAGTATGCATCTATCTATCAGTCTTGACTCCGCAGAACACGACAATCCATCCTGTAATCATCATTGGTATTTGTCACCAGAACCAGCTCCCCTTCACCAGTCCATATTGAAAACGCCCTGACCCGCCCATCCGACCTATGAAATCCCCCACCAGATGCGCCCGGCCCGTATCATTTATCATCATCATTACCATCACTGTGATTCTCTTCACACCAGCGTGAAAGCACCCGTGACGCCCTCGAACTCGGTGATGGTGCCCCCAAGGCTCTTCCAGTCCCCGTAGTACCGGATCCGGTAGACCCCCGGCTCCAAATCCCCGTCGGCCTCCCTGTCCGTCTCCCACGTGATCTCAACCTCGCTCGTGGCGAGCACCTCGCTGGTCCGCCGCCACCGGAAGACCAGCGCCCAGTCGCTGTCGTCCCGGACCGTCCGCCAGAGCTCCTCACGCTGCTCCTTGGCCGCGTCCCCGCTGTTGCCGCCGCCGGTCACGACCTGCAGCTTCTCGACGGCGGCGTACGTGCGGCCCAGACGCAGGTTGTTGCGTGGGTTCGCGCCGACAAAGACGGCCGTAACGGGGCTTCCCGCGCGGTAGAGGCGGCGCACGTCCTGCTTGACGTCGCCGAACGCACGGCCCAGCGGCGTCCCGTCGCGCACGACGCCGGTGATGAAGCTGAGCGAGCGGTTCGTGTTGTCGGGCGGGAACAGGGAGCCGGGCTGCGGCGGCGGGGGGCTGGCGGCGCGGGCGTCGAGCAGCGGCAGGTGGGACAGCGTGACGTTGACGTACGCCGCGAGCGTGTGCGGCCCGTACAGCGTCGAGGCGCCCTCGTATCGTTGAACCGAGTACTCCTCCTCCGTGGCGATGTAGTGCGTGTAGCTGTTTGCCGGGCCACCAAGCACCACGACCGGGCTTGGGCCCGAGTTGCGGCGGGCGCCGTCGTCGAACAGCGCGATGCTCTCTGCCCTGACGGATTCCTTCCACCGCCGCCCGGCCATGGTGGTCGCCTCGCCCGGGCTGACGATGACGAGCAGCTGGCCTACGCGGAAGACCTGGACGTCGACGATGTTGGGGGTCCAGGCGTATGGTTTGTCCACCTCGCCGACGTCGAGGAGGATCGGCTTGACGCCTTGGCATGCGCGCTGCTCGTCTGTGGGTTCCTTCAGGGCACCAGATACCACGCGCCACACTGGGGATGTGTTGGACGGGTCGCCGTCGTGTTGTGTGAAATCGAAGGCCCCGGGTCCGTCTGATGTGCCTGCTGCGAAGGACCAGCCCAGCGCCGCGGGGCAGGTCGAGACCACTGATCCATTGGGCAGGTGAAAAGTGAAGTTTGACATATTGTGGAAGGTGTGGAAGGACTTGACCCAGGGCCCTTTGATGGGGACAGGGTTCGCATTGAGCTCGTCGTATAGAGCTTTGGCTGGTGCGAACTGGCGCCGGCCGATCTCGAAACAAGACGACGTGCCGGTGTCATCCGCCGTATAGAACGGGCCACGCGCGTGGCACTTTTGGCTCCGTCCATCGCTGGGGCACGTGCTGTTCTCGAAGCTGCACATTTCCCCAGAGCCGTCCTCGCAGTAAGCGCCCAGCACATTAGGGCTGGTGTCGCCGACGTCTGCCTGCGAAAAGCCGGCGACGAAGTTCTCCGCAGCAGAGGGCTCTTTTGAGACACTCTTTTCGAACAGGTAGGCGGCTACTCCTTTATTGTCGCCCGTAATTAAAGTGTTGTTGCCATACATGGACGTGCCGTGGGTCGGGAACCAAGTCAGGATACCGATGTTTTTGCCGTCGGACGCTCGTTGAAATTTGAGAAGGCTGAGGTCCTTCTCAACAGAACCGTCGTCTTCGCTGCTGATGTTGTACTTGGAGCGTTCCTCCTCCGCATTGGCCAGATAGGCGAACAGGCTCCTGTTGATGTTGGCGCCCTCGACTTTGGTGGAACCAATGCTGAGATAGCCGGGTTCAAGAGACTCATGAGCCCTGACGATGGATAGTATGGCGCCATCGACTATAGCTCGATAGCCCTGGTGGTCAAAGCCCTTGCTGGTGATCTGAGGTAAGAGGTAATTCAGCCAGCCGGCAGGCCCGGAATGTGAATGTGTGCCTGTGACAGCGATGTTGTGATTCTGATAGACTGCATACTCGGGGCCAAGGTCTTTGAGTCCAGACAGAATGCCATATCTCACAGCAGTGTCTCCTGACTGGATGTCCAGCACCAAGTAGACGAATCGGTCTGTAGGATTCTCCGTATTCCCTACGATGAAGGCGCGGGAGTACAGTCGTTGGCGCAGGCCGGTTCCAAGCTGCTTTGGATCTGCGTAGCCCATCAAGTTGACCTCGACAACCGGGCCAGTGATATCGGCCTTCCCCACGCCCAAGAGATATTTGTCTCCCTGGTGGGAGGTGGTGGCGGGCGGCGCATCATCTGTGAACCAATCAAGGACACGTCTGTCGGACCATGATACTGACGAATGAATGAGATATAGTGCGAGGGAGATGAGAATCGCCAAAGGGAGCCATGACTTTACTCTCCTGCGAGTTGGTAGAGGACGAGGACCAGCCTCGTTGTCGTCATGTGTAACAGGATGCTGCTGTGGGCCCAGGCCCACCAGTGACTTGTGCTCGTCCATACTCTCGCTCTGTGTGTCTCTCTACGCGTCCAACATGATCAGACACGGCGAAAATCTTGGGCTGAAGCCGTAAAGGAGGTGCTTCGAAGAAAAGCGAGCAAGTGAAGAGAAGTGGCGACCGATGTGAGGACGTTGACGATCACAAACACAAAGATGCTTTAGGCTGTTGCTCGTGACGGCACCTTCGGACGGACTGACAGGGGTACACAGTATGCGGTCATAGCTACAGCAGCACAGAGATAGAAGCATCAAGTATCCATGCCCGTTTCGGGCACTTGGAAACGCCCCGATTCGACGGCAGGCTCATGCGGGCACTCGACAAGCTCCTGGGACAGGGCCCTGGCGGCACGAAGCCACAGGGAGCTACTGCATGCAATCTACCTATGTAGGTGTCCGTCAGCTCCCTGCCTTTCTGCAATTACTATCCTACAATCGCCTCCTTCACGTCGACCTGCCGTTCAAGCAGCTTCAGTGAGGAGGCCCTTAATCTTTTAACACATTAGTAGTAGACGACAGTAAATGTTACTTCGTTGGTCCAAGATTTCCCCGTACGCCATACACCCACTGCTCTCAATGATACGCAAGCAGAGAAAGGGACGGATGTGGTGGCAGACGGATGTGGTGGGACTGCCTCGTTCCGCTGTGCGGCAGCCTTACAGTTGGACCCGGCACCAGTAACCTGGTATTCAATTTGGGGACTCGTTGAGACTGACGATGCATTGCGATCGGAAAAGACGGGCGCGACCATCCTGGCGATTGCCAACCAACGCCAGCTGCATCCTTCACGGCCAGGGCCTGTTGGCTTGCTGCGCCGTAGGATAGCTCCCTCAACGCGCTTGCTGCCATCTCCAGAGGTCCCCCACCGACTTCAACCCACGCCGTACGACCGCAAAGTAGCACCACTGCTTCAGGTACGGTTGGAAGAATTGGATGCCAGAGATCTGTTGGTTATTGGTAGCTACATATTTGGCACCAAGCTTATTTGCCAGATCATCAATGCTGAGGACAGTGCAGGACACAGACGTCAAATGAGTGTTTTCTTCATTATTTCATTTGAAATTTGAGAGCCCAATATCCTGAACCTATTAGGTTTTCCTAATCACAAGACCCAGGTGCACGACCTCAGCACGCAGTATAGGCACCTGTGATCCAGAACACCGCGCACCTACAATACCTCACAGCTTGTCTGGATGAGACTCTCCGGTTGGTTTCCACCAACTCTACGGGCTTTCCGCGATACAGTCCTGGCGCAGTGGTTGACGGCAATTACATTCCTAAAGGGGTATGTATGCTCTATACTTACCTGCCTTCCGTCCTCGAGTCTAACAAAACGCCCTGCCTCACGAGGTGACCGTCCAGACCTGCACCTTTGCTCTCAGCCGAAGTCCCCGTTATTTTCATGACCCAATGTGCTTCCGGCCGGAGTGGTACCTGCCGTCGTCGTACCCTCTATATGACGACGTCTTCGCCAATGACGCCCGCAAAGAAATGTATGCATTCAGCCTTGGGCCGCGTGCATGCATAGGCCGAGAGCTCGGCTGGACAGAGGCAAGGCTGTTTATATCGAAAGTGCTGTGGCAGTTCGACAAGCTCAAGGCTCCCAGAGAGACGCTCAACATGTATGGGCTTGAGCGGGACCTGCTTCACGACTGGAGGAAACGCGTGTAATAGGAGCCACTCTAATGCACTTGATCGACATGCTGAAACTTCTGTCAATCCTTTACTGTAAGCCTGCTACGCTCTGTCCCTGTATCAACCTTACGTCCTGCTTTGAGTATCTTTGGATCGTGGAACCTGGGCTTTCTGAAGTCACGGGCATTCTCATAGTCAAGCGTGCTGCTAGTGCGACAAATACCACATATAATATTTGAACAACACTGTCGCATTCTCAAAATTTGCAACACATCTTTGTGGAGTCCCTTGTGGCTCACTTACTTTTCTTTTAGAAGTTTATCTAGTAGGGATTGATCCTAGGGTCATCCCATATAGCATTATCCCACAGGAGGTTATATCCTACGGTTTACTATCCTAAAATAGAACTCCTTAGAGTTGATTACCCTTGGGGGATTGTTCTTTTTTTTTTATTTCTCCTGTTTATTCTACTTAATCTACTCATTCTACATGAATACTGTGACCACGAAGCAGACGACCGAGCTTAAGCTCGTATTGACGCGAGGTAAACAAATTCTCACTGAGGCACATATATGGACATTCCAAGATAGCGATTTCTTAATGAAGTCAGAATATCATTGTATTTAGATATTTTTAAAACCTTAATCAAAGATAAATTTCATAGTGCTTGACTCCAATCACCCGTCATCCAACCCAAGGCCCCAAGAAGACAAGTCATCAGCTCCAGGCCTGCGCAAAACGCACGCCTACCCATTCGCACGGAGGTAGGGAGCATTTTTATAGAATGAAGCTGAGCGACTATAACAACTCGGATTTAGTTTGATGGCTTGAACTTCAAATAAAGGCTAGCTGAGTCCAGAACACTCCGGAAGTGGGCAATTACTGAACCTTGTTCCTGACATCGTCGATGTATCAACGTTTTCCCATGGACTGTGTCGAGTGACTGGCTGAAAAATAGGTAGAATACCCAGTGAGAGCAGGGGCAGGTACACCGTGAGGAGAACACAAACAACTGTACAGCTGTCATGTGTCTCATAACGAAATTGCTGTGCTATTGATTGATCGGCAGGCTGGACGTTAATAATTTTGACTCGGGGTATCACGACCTGCTGTGTGTCACTTGTGTTTAACCACAGTGACTTAGTCCAATGTAAACTTCGACTATCGTTGCTCTGAATCAAGGATAATCAGACGTACTGATGCGAAATGCCCAAGAGGAAGCAAGGGAACCGATCAATCGCAGCTGAGGTGAGATGCCGACTGATGCATACAAGGAAAGATCCTGACGATTTCAACTCACGTCCTTTTGAAAGTCCCTAACTGACATGGGCTTTTTTTAAAAATAAAATAAAATAAAATGAAATAAAATCGAAGCGTTTCATTAAGAAGGCAATATTGTCTTTCCCGGAAAGAGAAAGGCTCATTTCATAGTAGAAGACCACTAGCTAGATGGATTGAGAAAGTCACCCAGCAGATGTGTTCATATGTGGATTAGAGAGGTGTTCCACAAAGTAGAGCTTTGAAACGACAAGTGAAAATTGCTCATTCATCTCAATACTTTTAAACATACACCATTGAGTAAGAGTGTAGACTCATGCTAGATCAGTATGGACATGGAGAAAGTACGTTTGGACGGCTTATGTAACCAGGCGTCTGGGCAGCACCGCACTCGAACACAACTCACCTCAAATGCGGCTTCTTCTTGCATCGTAAGGTTCTGGCCAACGAGAACCCTCAGTCAGCTGGACTAAACGCATTGCTTGAGCTCGGGGGTGTCGTGCTGATAGCTGGTAGAAGCCTTGAATGACAGGGGTTGTCTTGAAGTAATAAATGCCCCTGACAGCGGGCCGTTGCAGGGGTCGACTGGCGCCCTGCAGGGTTGAACTTTCGGGGTGCATCGAATTTCCAATTGACATGGGCTTGCAAAAGAGCCTCCAGCCATCCACGGCTGCATCCATCCATCCTTCAGCCTTGCGGCTCCACCACTAGACAACCACCCCAGAGCCGTGACAGCCTCGCGACAGCCCAGTCGAAGACACCGAGGGCACCTGGTGACTGCAGCAATCCATCGCTCCCACCTAGGGCACATCTCAAGACCCCGCCGCCCATCATGCCCTCAATAACCACAGTCCACGAGTCACTCCCATGTAAGCAAGCCCGTCCTTCGCGCAGCCCAAAATCATAAGCACAGCAAGACCACCCCCAAAGATCAAGACACTAAACAACTCTTGCACCTCCAGACGTCGACAAAGAGCCCACACAGTCCGAACGCGAAGCCGCAGAAGCCCTCATCACCGCCGAGCGCGCCACCGTGCCAGACGACCCACACCACGCCCTGCTCCCGCCTCCCCTGGAGCCGACCTTCACGCCGCTGTTCCAAGCCGAGCTGGACCGCATAGCGAGCAGCGCGGACCCGTCAAAACCAACACCCCTGGAAGCGATCGACCTGTCGCGGTACGAGCTGCCAGACCTGCCCGAGGACCAGTCCGCCGTGACGAGGGCGGACCTCGAGCCGGCGCTGCGGCAGGCCTACGCGGCGGCGACGTACCTGTCCGCGCGGCGGCAGCACCTGGCGCTGCTGGACAGCCACGGCAAGAACGCGTGGCTGGTGGGCAACTGGCAGCTGGAGGGGGAGCTGCGGGCGCTGGAGCGCGAGGTGGCCGCCGCGCGCCGCGCCGTCGACCTCGTCACCGTGCGCCGCCAGCGGCTGCAGCGCGACGCCGGCGGCGAGATCGCCGGCCTGGACGAGGCCTGGCGCAAGGGCGTGGGCCGCGTGCTCGAGGCTGAGGTCGCCGCCGAGGGCCTGCGGAGGGAGGTCGATGCCGTGAGGAGGCAGAGGGCCCGGGAGGAGGAGGAGGGGTCGCAGGCGCAGGCCTGAGGTGGGGGACTTGTGGTTTGTATCGGGGATATTAGATGGGAATTCGAAATCAGTGGAAAGGGTGGCTGGTCTGAGTCTGTCCAATGTGCGGCATACCAATACATCTGCACCCCTTCTCTGCACTTCGGGCATGAGATACTGCTTGAGGGGTAACCTATCAACTGGGAGCATATGAGCGGCATCGCCTGTGCTCTTGGATGTTTGGAATTTTGGACACACTCATGCTTGGAATCGCCTCTGCCATAAGACGATGATACGGAGGAAGAGGATGAATTGCCAGCCACCAGCGTCTGCAGCAGACCACGTAAGTCGTGACGTGCTCCACATGTAATTCTTTTGCAAGTCAATCTTGCAAAGCACGACCCGTGCAGTGGCGGCATAGTCACTATCATACATAAAACTTCACGCCTCACTTGTTCAGGAGTCATCGATGTGATTTATAGTGGTATTAAGGAAGGTGTTGTGATTCCGGAGCAGCGCCCCGCCGCCACACTCGTCTTTTTTCTGTTCCATAGGTATCTGATGTTCCGAAACAAAACAATAATCTCCTACACAAAAGGCTAGCGAAGGAAGAGGTAAAGTGTTCTTGTCTGCCAGTCGATGATGCCGTCACCCGCAAAAACGCCGTTGTAGCCGAACTCCAGCACCCAATGTGGTCCGTTCCACATCCCATCCCCCTTCCCCCCCCTCCTATTCAAGCCTCCGCCTGCCCTTGCGTTGCGTCCATACATACCGTACCGTCGTTCAAGCCTCCACCAGCTGTCCGTCCGTCGTCCAGGCCCTCATCCTCGGGGTTCCGCGCGAAAGGCCGCATTCCGTCGTGTTTCTTCGGGAGTTGGGTCGGGACATGCTTCCAGATCTGTCGTGAATCAGGCCATGTTAGTGATCTTGTCCGTGTCCGGATTCCAGGTCCAGGAAAAAAGGCCGCAGCAGCGCTACGCCGACTGGAGTGGGTCCACATCCTCAACACCGGACTTGACATCTTCGTACTTTGTTCTTCTCATGATACTCTCAACCGGCCCTAGCAGGCGGTTGAAGGCATTCTTGCCAAGCTTGGCAACCTTGACTTCCGTCACGCTGATCACGGTGGCCGCCCGAGGCGCGTCGTTGAGCAACGCCAGCTCACCAAAGAAGTCGCCCTTTTCGTAGTGCCTGAGGTTGATCCGTTCCTTGTGGACACCTTCCTTGTATGCATCGCATTCACCGCTCTCGAGGAGGTAGAAATCGTAGCCTGGGTCGCCCTCCTTGATGATGGGGGTACCCGGTGGGTACTTCTGTGTTTCTAGGGCATCGGCAATCTTGGATCGTTCGTATGATGTGAGCGTCTTGAGCAGAGGCACCTCCTCTAGGAAGCTCTCATACATGCGCCGTCGCTGGAATGTTGACTCCATGAGGATCCGGCGGAAGGTCAGTCGGTCTAGGGCCCAGAGCGTGCTTTGTGGCTCGGCTGAGATTATAGTAGCAGCACGGGGCGCATTGTACATGAGGGCAAGCTCGCCAAAGGAGCCCCCTTCCCCGATGCTGCCGACCTGCTGCCCAAGACCGTCGGGGCCGGGTTGCTGAGTTCCAGACGAGTTGACAAAAACGTTAAAGTTCCCCTTCTCGACGACATAGAAGTAGTCACCAGCGTCACCCTGCGTGATAACCTAGAATTGCGGTCAATCAATCATCGCCTTGAGCTGCGCAAATCAGTCAACAACCTCTCGGACGTACTTTGATATCCTTTGCCGGGATGGGCTTCTCTTGCATCGCTGCAAGAACCTGGGCCTTTTGTTCATCGTCCATTTTGCTGAACAGAAAGTTGTTGGCAATCGAATTCGTGAGCCTAGTCTGCTGTTCTTCGGACTTGTGATACACGGGTGGCTGCCAGTTGTCGTTGTTGTCCGCGACAGGCTTGAGGGATTCGGCAGAAACCGAGGTTCGTCGGCCAAAATTGTATTGGGCCGGGAAGTTCTCGGGGTTGGGTGGGCTTCGCAGCGCGGATTGGGAATCAGAGCTGCCATCGCCACCAAAGGGGCCGCTGAACACAGAGCCGGAGTTGAAGTTGAAGCTACCGGTCGTTGGTGAGGTGACCGTGTCATTCTCCTCCTCCTCCTCCATGACCCTCTGCATCATGCTGGCCTCGTTGGAACCGAAGGGGTTTGTGTGGGCCCCGAAGGGGCTGGTAAAGCTGCTCGACATGGCGGGAGGCCGAACTTTGTCTGTTTTTGGGCGTTTGTTGGGGGTATCTTCGCGGAGCTTCTTCTTTCGTTCCGAGGCCAGTCGACTGGCAAAATGATCACAGCAGAACTGCAGGATGTCTGTTGGTTTGGATCGAAGCACTTGGCTGTTCAAATCCTGTATCTCGTTCGTGTAAGCCACTGGGAGACTCATGTTGCTTGCGAACGACAAAAGGCAGGCTGCGAAACACAAGCAAATCAGAAGGAAAGAACTTTTCCAAAACAGATGAGCGCGCTTAGTTCTGAAAGGAGCGTGTGTGGGTTGGCGTGTCGAGCCGCGGACCAGGGGAATGGGAGCGTTATATTGGGCATGGACCGGGCTGGCTGGACAAGGAAGGGTCTTGTTGTCCGTACCTTTCAACTGCTTGAGTGGAGTCTGTGGCGTCTCCTTTGCGACAAGGCTGCTTTGACACGTTAGCATCGACAAGCTGCATGTCCAGGCACACGAGTGTGCCGAAGAGCAAACATGTAGTGGGAGGTTGTGAGGCGGAAGCGTGCAAGGGGCATGAGACATGATGGGCTGGAGCAGGGGAGGGGTCAGCGGCAGCTCAAAGAGCCCATCCCCCTGACTGTCAAAGAAGCTGGAGGCATTGCAGCTGCGAGAACCGACAGGTAGGTTTCTTGCATGCAAGCCGCATGTGTCAAAGCGTAACGTGATGGCATGGCGCGCAAGTCAGTGTGCAGGAGTGGCGTCAAGGGAGACCCGTGTCGGTTAAGGGCTCAGTGAAGTTGCAGCTGATCGAGGACGGGAGGCTGAGCTGTCGCAAGACTTACTGGAGGAAATGGATATTGCAATTGGAACAAGCGAAGGCGGGAGAAGAAAAAAAAGACACAATCCGAGTATCGATAGCGAAAAGAGGAGCGGCGGCAGCACGACAGTTGGTGACCGAGGCAGCAGAGGTCGAGCTTAAAAGGGAGGAGGCGACGGTGCGCGAGGTTGGGTCGGGGTCTGAGTCGGGGTCGGGATCGGTTTAGGCAAGGCCAGGTCAAGTCGAGAACAGGCGTCGTCAATACCAATAACCGAGTGTTATAGGCAATATCGGAGACACCGTGATGATTGGAGTGGGATGATTGACAAGGCCTGAATGCGCTGATCGAGACGGGAATTGGAGGACCAGAAGCTATTCGGAAGAAGACAGAGTGCCGTGGCGGAAAGAATGGTGGAGCGAAGGGGGTGGGATAGGGCTGGAGGTTGTTGGGCTGGGGAGCCAGAGCAATGCAGAGCAGAGCAGAGCAGATCTGAGCTGGAGCAGCTTTGACGTCGGGAGCCGGCTGAGCTAGCTAGCAGGTGGGTGGACTGGAGGTCAAAGGCAGGAAAGAATGGGTACAGTTCTGACCCAGGGAGGAGGAGACTGGAGTCTGAGACTGGAGACTGGAGACTGGAGGCCGGAAACTAGGGGTGCGTGCCCAGCTCTGGTTCGAAATAGAATAGAGTCGAGACGAGGTCGGTGAAGCGAGGCAAGGCAAGGCAAGGCAAGGCCAGGCAGGGCAGGGCAGGGCAGAACGAAGCAGAGCAGAGCAAGACGGAGAGCAGCTGGCCCAGGCAGGTCCAATGGTGAATGGCTCACACCTCACTGGCACGCAGAGCAGAGCAGTCGCAATTAGATTCAAATGACTGCCAGGAGATTGAGCGTGGAACTGACGAGGGAGCTTTGGCTCGCTCTGCCCGAGTTTGGCAGGGCAGGGCAATCAAGTGGGGGGGAGAAAAGAGAGCAAGAGCAGAGCAAGATGTCACCTGGCATGGCCGTCCTGCCTGGTACCGACGAGGTACCACAGCATCAGCTGCTAACCTTTTCCACACCTTCTCACAGGCTGTCGCAGTTAGACAGCGACTTGATTCAAGGGAGCAGGAGCCCAGGGTCCCCCAAAACGTAGGCCAGAAAGGGCACATGAAAGCCGGCTGCCGGGCTTGGCCTCCTGCCATCCGCGGGCGAGCAGGGGCCACCGTACGCACCTTCCGCAGCTGTCTGGCCTAGCGCTGCCCCTCTTTCGCCCTTCCCGTCATCGAATCGAACCCTTGGAAGCCTTCTAGAAGACGGGGGCACTGATCAGAGGGTGGCCCTGTGCGACAGTGTGACTGGGGGGCCCGCCCTCGGCCTGGCTCGCCTGCCTGCCCTGCTTGCCATGCTGCCGCCCTGCCAGCCCCAGCCCAGCAAAGCCCAGCAAGCCCTGCCCAGTCCTGCCCTTGCTCGCCCTTGCCCGAGGGCCCCAAGCTCCCGCCCAGGCGACGGGGTCTGGTGCTTTTCTCGAGCTTCTCGAGCTTCTCTCAGGCTTCTGTTGCAGCTCGCCCCCGAACCCGTGGACCTCCAACAGCCCAGCAATCAAATCTTTCAGCTTCAGACATCCCGTCCCAACTTATTACCACCCACATCGTGCCCATGTCATGGCACCATTTAATCCCCGACCGCGGTTCGTCCGCTTTTCCCCATACCATTCATTCGTATCCTCGTGGTTATTATTATTATTACTGTTGTGACCATCAGAGGTCAGCGCTGCTCTCTGCGCCTCCTGCATCACACACAGATCCAGACATTATTATACTTTGCCGGAGGTACGTGCAGAAAAAAAAAACGTGGTACATGTAGATACAGTGGGTAGGTACATACCTGTCTATTGCGTTACTGATAGCGCGGCCAGCTGATTTCTGACGTTGGAGGTCCACTCACTCTTCGCCGCCTCCTTTATGCCTGTCGTCGCAATGACCGCCTCTTCGGGGCACTCTCAGATTGATTTTTTAATTTTTTCAGATTTTCCCTACCATTCTTCCTTTTCTGGACGAGCGGGAGAGGCTTGTCGACTGGACGTCGGCTTCCGTCATATTGCCGAATGTGACTTGGATCACTCCAATCACTACAGTCAGGCTCCTTGACGGGGAGACTGTTGTCCGGAGGGCCCGGGACCGGGGCTCTGGCTGTTTGGCTGCCACGAGCCTGTCGTCGCAAACGAGTGTGTTGTCCTGACAAAGACACACATCAGACACATCGTAACCTTGTGCTCTTGAAGGAGCTGTGCCGTCCGTAGTAGCAACATCTGGACTGCAAAAAGTGACGATGACTACTGATGCTGACTCGGAGGCGCGGCTGAGATTGGCTGACGTGCAAGACAAGATAGGCCAGAGGTAGGGTGGCAAAAGCTTCACGAGTTGACCCTTGGACAAGTTGCCGTCGGCCACGACTTCCGGGCCCGTTGGTGGACACCATCGAGTTGCATCGAGTTGACCACAAAGTCTGAAGTCTGATCGAACATAGTTTGAGTTTCTCGTGCTATGCTATGCAGTGCAGTGCTGTGCTGTGCTGTGCCGTGCCGTGTTTAACTCATTTGTGAATGCACCGGGGGATCCGGCTCCCTCGGCCGGATTGCAGTGCTACGAACTGCGTGAACGAACTTACCCAAGACATCGGTCGTCAAGCAGCCTTCAGCAAAGTCGAACCCTGTTTTTGACTCAGCCTTGCAGTAGTAGTAGCAGTGCTCCATGCCTCGGTGTGCAGGTGCGTTGCAGTATTACAGCAGATCTAACTGCACTGCACTGCACACTCAGCCGCACGCAGCAAAGCGAGCAAAGTACTGCCTCCCTCTCAAAGGTCAGCCAGAAGTACCCGACCGTTATGTAAGCGCCCCTGAGCACTGGGCATTCGGGAACTCGCATGTCTCTTCCAAGACGGCTGCGCCTCTCTCTGCAGCCGCTTGCGACTGGCATTTGGCACTGCACTACACAGCTGGGACTGCGACAGACAGAGAGCCAAGCCACAATCTTACGCTAGACTGCTCGGATCCTGCTGCGCTCCAGCGGCACTACAGCAAACGCGAAGGCTCGCCTCGGCGTCTTTGCCTCTCTGTCCCAGAGTCCCAGACCACCCTGGGCAATTCGGACCCTCTCCAGCGCCGTCTCGTCAAGGAGTGGATGCATCCGTCTCCGTCTATCCTGTCCACGCCCACGCCCACGCCCATGACATCGCATTCGACTTGACCGCCCCTAGTAGCATCCCACACCGACACCAGCGACATTGCCTACCATCAACATGGCCGATTCACCGAGGGTCGGCCATACCGACTCGATCGCATCCCAGGATTCCGGGAGCGGGAGCAAGTCCAACGACAAGAAGAAGAGCCGCAGACCAGCCAGTGAGTCCCACCCGGCGTACCCGCGCCTGCGCCCACATCCGCACCAGCAGCCACCGCCTCAGCAATACCAATCAGCACGCATGCCCTCGAGGAATGATGGAACACACTCTGCTGGATACTCTCTTGGATCAGAGGGGACATTGGGATGATGTGCGCATCGCCGGGAACATGTAGCTGATGGCTGTATCAATCAATAGACACCGCGTTTCGACAGCAGCGGCTGAAGGCATGGCAGTAAGTCGTCGACGATCGACGAACCTTTTGCGAGATGGAAATACACAACGCTGACCATGGACCAGACCGATTCTCACACCAAAGACCGTTCTGCCCCTCTTCTTCTCCATCGGTATCATCTTTGCGCCCATAGGGGGTTTGCTCCTGTATGCGAGCTCGCAGGTCCAAGAAATCTCCATCGACTACACGACGTGCTACAAGGACGCCAGTAACAACACCTTCGACGCCGTGCCTTCCGACAACGTCTTCACCCAGTTCAAGAACAACACCGACGTCCAGGCGCAGTGGAAGCGGGAGACTGTTAATGTCACGTTCGACGGGGTCACCAACCAGACGCAAAAATGCATGATACAGTTCACGATACCTGAGGACATGGGCCCGCCTGTGCTATTCTACTACCAGCTCACGAACTTCTACCAGAACCACCGTCGCTATGTCAACAGTTTTTATAATGATCAGTTGGCCGGCAAAGCGGTCAGTGCCTCTGATGTGAGCGGCTCGACGTGCGAGCCTCTTAAGCTGGAGGACGGCACCAACAAGCCCTTCTATCCTTGTGGGCTGATTGCCAATTCCATTTTCAACGACACCTTCTACAGCCCATACTCGGTAGGCGACGAGAACTCGCCTTACAATATGAGCGAGACGGGCATCGCCTGGGATTCCGACAAGGACCTGTATAAGAACATCTCCTCCGACATCGCGCTGGACTCAGTCGCTGTCCCACTCAACTGGAGGATGCGGTATCCGAATGGGTACACATCCAGCAACCCCCCACCGAACCTCGGAACCGATGAGCACTTCATGGTCTGGATGCGTACAGCCGGCCTGCCAACCTTCAGCAAGCTGTACATGAGGAACAACACGCAAGCGATGGCGAAAGGGACGTACCAGGTCGACATCCTTCATTGTGAGTGGCCCCTTTTCCTAGGCAGGATTCAATGTATGATAACTGATTGGGATCACCAGGGTTCCCTGCGGATGTTTACAAGGGCACCAAGTCCATCGTCCTCAGCACCAGGACTGTTATGGGCGGTAGGAATCCGTTCCTAGGTATCGCATACTTGGTCGTAGGCGGAATTTGCATCCTGCTCGGCGCAGTCTTTACGGTGACGCACTTGCTGAAACCAAGGTCAGTTCTCACGCCCATGCAACATCCCGATGGAGGTGACATAATCCGGGATAATGTGCTAACCGGGCATTTGCAGGAAACTTGGTGACCACACCTACCTCTCCTGGAACAACGTCCCATCATCAAAACATCCGGCAGGCTCATCAGCGGCTATGGCCAGCGGGCGCGACCTCGGGCGATCAGGTGAGGCTTAGGCGGCTCGCGGGATCGGGCTCAAGGTACCACCAGATATCTGCCGGCCTCTCCTTGCGGCTTCTCCTGCCACTGATACCACGTCATCGACATGGAAAGGGAAGCAGCGGGCGGACAGCCCTGCTGATTCCTCGGCCTCGACTGCTCCTAGTAGACAGGTGAGCGTCAGGGATTTCCTTGGGGCGCCGTCTCGCTCTGTAGCTGGCTCGAGCTCTGCGACATACACGCCGTAATCGGCCTGGTTTGCTAGAGGTTGCCCTGCTTGCTTCGTACCTATCTTCCACGCGATCCCATGGCTATCTGGCTTCACGGCTCCTGGTCATTACCACATTCTCATTCGTATTACTTTTTTGATTGGTGACTACGCAGAGGGCTACCCAAGATCACTCTGCGGCGAGGGAAATGGCATGGATGGCTTTGATGTTTCAGACGACTGATTCTGTACCACAACGTTTTCTTTCCTCAAGGCATGCGTTGACACGTCGGAGTTTTGGGCGTACCTAGGTATCCGAAGTTAATTAAAATTGGCATTGATATATATCTCCACCATGTCGACGACACATCTTGAATGGTTGAAATACATGACTTTGTACACTATGAATCTCTTCCTCGTCAAATTGGTGATTGTAGCCTCAAGCAGGCTTGGGTTGCAATACATGCGACATGTTGCGAATTTATGCCCTCGGTGACCACACCCTTCAGTGCGGACGTGATTGAATGCTGCTTCTCAGAGGTATGACGGATGGCCGTGGAATGGCTTCACCCTCGTCTTCAACCGGATGGGTTACGCGTTGACAATAGATGCACTTCCTGCCCTCTAACACCCGGCACTGACCTCCAGGGATCGGCGAGGCTGGTTGTCCACGGTCTCGAGCTGATGTTCAGCGCAAACCATCACCTGAGATCCAATTCAAAGGACGACATTGCACGCAAGAGTCTGGGTGCGGCAGTGGCTGGCCAAAGCCATAGGAAAAGTATAGCTGATGCAACATATCAAAATGCAACTGTGTGGTATCTCAGATGTGTCGACTATCAAGGAAGACCAAAAACAGAAAAGAGTGTAGACCACAACGCCAGGCCAGCCACACCACCTAGTGTAGGCCGGGAATCAACCCAAGTCAGGTTCTTCTTTTTGTCCCTTGTAGAAAACTCCCAAAACTCCTAGCCGAAGAGACTCGTTACCCCGCGACGCCATAATACAGATCTTAGAAAGACGAAACAGACCCAAATAGAAAAGAAAAAATGGTATTACAATCCCTTGCGCACCCACACCTCTCATTACTGCACGCTTAAGAATAAATCGTCACCCCTCCTCTTAGGCGTGAGCTGCGGCTTCCACCCAGGCGTGGCAGGCAGCGGCACGTCGCTCTCCCTCGTGCTGGCGCTGCCCCTGCCGGCCTGGCGGAAGACGACACCCTTGGGCGGCAGCGATGCCGCGGCGCCGACGCCGTCCGGAGCAGCAGCACCACCACCACCCGCCTTGCCCAGGCTCGACGTCCGCCGCTTCCACCGCGCCTGCCGGGCCTCGGCCGACTCGCCGCCGATCTGCAGCGCTGCCGCGCGCTCTGCCCCGAGCCGCTTCGCCGCCAGCAGGCTGGACTGGCTGTCTGTTTTGGTGGTTGTGTTTGAGATGGAGGGTGAGTCAGAGGCCGATGCTGGCGAGGGGGAGAAGGAGTAGGGCCCGCCGGGCTCGTTTTGGTATTGTTGTTGTTGTGGGTAATAGTATTGCTGGTAATGCCGCTGTTGCTGCTGCTGCGCAGGCTGGTTCGACTCGGGTCGCGAGTACGCGTCGTACACGGACATGGGCCCGTATCGCGAGTGGGACTGCGATGGGAGCTGCGAGCGGTTGTCGATGTGCTGCTGGAAGGTCTGCAGGGGCGGCGACTTGGTGGTGTCGCGCTTGTTGCTCGGGACCGCCAGGGGCTGTGGTACCTGCTGCTGCTGCTGCTGCTGGCTTGTTGGTGTCTCGGGCGAACCGGAGCGGACCTGGCCTGGGTTCCTGTTCGGATTCGGGTTCCTCCTGGGCGGGTTGTAGTAAGACACACGCGCCTGTGCGGGAGCCGCCGAGGCCACGGGGCCCACTTGCACCGGCTTCTGCGAGTCGACGATGCCGAGGGTTGGGCTGTCGCTCGGTGTTGAGTTGACGACCCGGAGGGCAGGGTGCTGCAAGGGCTTCTTCGCGGCCGGTGCATCCGCAACCCTGTTCAGAGGCACGTTGCTGCGCGGCCTGGGGATTTTGGGATAGGAAACCGGTGACCTCCCAGGTGACTCGACCACGGGCGACAGGCTGCCCTGCTGATCCGGTGCTGCCGACTGGCGAGATGGTGCTGGGAACGAGTCCACCCCGACCTCGCTGCCTACTGAAGACGCGATTGTCGTCGTGGAGTCCTGCGACATCATCGTGTTTGTCCGATCCCTCGTCCCACCGCCAGTACTGTTGGATCTTCTTCTCGGTCTTGAAGTGAGATCTCTTCCTTGCTGCTTGCCACCGGCGCCACCTCCCACATAATATGACTCTGGGGTTGGTGACGGCTCCTTGCGCGATCCAGCAGAAGTTGGCATGGGGTTGTTGGGCCCAGGCTGGACAGTCTGCGGAAGGCTGAAGTTCATGCTGAAGTTCGAATACACGCTCGAACTCCTCGTGTTGATCGGCAACCGTCCACTTTCAGGGGCAACATGCCTGATTGTCGGCTTGCCTGGCGCACCAGCTGCTCTGGAGAGTCTCAGCGCCGCAGGTGCAGTTGCACCCAGAGTTGGGGACGAGAGGTCCTTGACCGCCGCCTTGACTGCATTACTCTCCTGAACGGCTCGGTCTTGCTCGGCGTCCTTTTCCGCGATTGTCTTGGAGACGGGAGTTGGCAACTCGACGATATGTTCATCGGGGCCGGAACCTCCCAGGACCCAATTCCCCCATTTGTCGGCAACGTAATACGTCGACGCAGACTGAGGGTCGGTGTTTGGAGGTCGCCATATTTGTGCAGACCCGAGCCCAGCGCTTGTCTCTCCATCTTCCGCAAACTCGGTGACGACGCTATCACGCCCACCGCTGAAAGGCATGCGGTTGTTTGACATTGTGCTGGAGCGAGCGGCCGGCTGGGATTTTGCTGCCGGGATGTCGACGGTCAGAGCTGGTTTTGCTGCGCTTGCTGGTTGTTGTTGCTGCTGATTTGTGAACTGCTGTTGGGGAGAAAAGAAGTTGAAGTTACCCTGAGTCCGAAGAGGTGACAGGGCCGGAATAGGTGGTGGTGACGCCGACCTCCTTTGCGCCACGGCAGCCGGAGCAAGTGGTAGATTGGCAGCAACCATTGTCCCATCGGGCTGCCTTGCCGCTCCTTGCATGCCATTGCCCTCAGGAGATATCGCAAGGCCAATAGTATCAGGTCGAGCGCTGGCTCGGTTCGCTCGTTGTGCCAGCGCCCTTGTGAAAGACATCGATTTGGGCTCCCGATACTGCGGCGCCGAGATCTCCGGGCTGTCTTTCCGTCGTGGGCTCCATGAGTCCCTCATTTGATAGAAACCAGTGACTGCTTTGCCCCGACGTCTGCGCATGAAACAAAAGAGCCCAACGACCGCCGCAAGTAGAACTGCTGCGGCGCTTCCCCCTGCTATGCCTCCAATTTGTGCTGTGCTCAAGCTCCGTGCCGGCGCCGCAGTGTTGGTGCCACTCGTTTCTGGTGCAGCCGTAGCATTCGTAGGCGCGGACGAGGATGAAGACGAGGACGAGCTTGTGCTTGTGCTGAAGCTTGAGCTAGAGCTAGTCAAGAAGCTTGTCGACAGTGTGGGTGCCACGGTGACGGAAGGCGTCATGTAGCTCGTCGTCGAGCTCCTGTTTGAGCTCACAGTTGCCGTTGTTGATGGGTTCGGCACCACGACCGGGCCAGTTGGGGGCACGATCAGTGTCGCTATTATTGTAGCGTGTGTCGCCGGTGCTGCGTTGGGTTGATTATCGCACATTCCATATGCGTTGGCGACTGTGTCGGCTATTGAGAGTGTCAGTCTCGTCATGTATAAGACATAGATCACACTAAATTTGCGTGAACTTACACCCGGCACTCATGCCCTCACAGGCTCTAATAGAATTCTCAGCCACAATACACTGAACCGCACCCTCTCCTATCGTGTATCCCGTCGATCCAGTATGTGAACAAAGACATTGTAATGTTGGTGATGAGCCGCAGAGGTCGGTCTCAAAGTTGACTTCAAGGAAAGACTGAAAGCACGAGACGGCGCAGGATGGTATGAATGCAGTGAAGTCGGACCCAAGGTCGAACTCGCCCGTGGAAGACACGGCCGCAGTTTCGGTTGCTGTGGCCGCGAAGAGTGGTATCGTGGTGGCCCATAGCAGCAGCCTTGACCTTCTGACTGCCATCCTAGGAAACAACATCTATCTGCTCGCCGGCGACAGAGTCCGCATGTTAGTCGAGGACGCATAAAAGAATAAACACGGTACAGCTGAGAGACAAGATCCCTTCTCCGGAACATCGCCACCGCCAGGCAACGTGGAGTGAACGAGCCGGGCAACAGAGGCAACTTGGTAACCGCTCGACATCCAAAAGGGGTAGGGATCGTGATTTCAAGTACCCGCCCGGCACGCAACGTGGTGGCGCGATGGGAAATTTGGCAACGCGAGACAAAGGAGAGGGTGGCTGCCTGACTAACCTATTGAGAAGGAGACCGGTATTAGGGAGATGTCCGGCATCTCAGCATTGTCTAGAAGTTTTCGAAGACGCCGAACACAAGGAAATTTGATGAATCAGACAGTCGGCGGCTAGGACAAAGGAGAAAGATGTTGCGGATACCCTTTGGGCACAATGTGACGGAGGAGATACTGAGACAAGGACGGGGAGAGCAATGCTTCTATCAAACAATAGCAACAGCCCTATGGCATCCGGAAGGAAACGAAACCGACGACAGGGAGCCCAAGATAGGAAAGAAAAGAGATATGGGAATAGAGAGAAAGTTAGACGAGTGTCTCAAGGGGACCCATTGGGGAGGCCCGCAAGGTGGAAGAGATGAAGTAATAGTATACACGCACAAAGCAAAGGGACAGAAAACAGGCCCGCGGAGGCTGAGCAGGACCAACATAAACACCCGAGAATATGATCAGAAGGGCGACCGGGCTGGGCCATGAGACCGTCCGGCGTCCTATTCGACGACCATATAAGAGAGAGAGACGGAGAGAGAGACAGAAGCAACCCACAGTCGCAAGGGTTGCTTGCTTACAGAAAGGGCAGGGCAGGACAGGGCAGGGTAGATGACGTCCCATTCGCTTAAGCAGGACGGCAGCAACGTGCAGTCTCTGAGCCGCTCTCGATATAAAGACGGACAGCAGAGCAAGCCATGCTCGTAAGGGGAGAGAGTGTTACGGCAGATAGGAGCTATGCAGCTTCTCTACCCAATCCGCTGCGCGTCCGTGCCGCCACTCCAACGGGCGTGACATGTGCGGAAAAGAGCACAGCACAGCACAGCACAGCGGCAGCGGCAGCGGCAGAGACAGCGGCAGCGGGACTGCTGAGAAACGTCATGAAGCGGGATGGATCCATCCAGAAGGAGAAGAGCAGCAGCAGGGAGAGGAGCATGTTACCGTGCTGTAGGAGGTAGGTCAGACCCGGCGTGTCTGAGCCTCATGGTTGGCCGCGATGCTATTTCTGGTGGGGATCCGCCCATGCGCGCTACCGCATCCCACCACCGGCGTTGGGGTGGTGGTGGATGCATGTATGCATGTGCAGATGTCAATCTGTGCCTTTATTCTGGGCGCGGGAAGGATGGAAGGCCGGGCGGATGGATGGGGACCCGAAAAGGCGAGCATGCTGCCGGCCTCCAGCACGGGGAATGACAAGGTTGCTCTGTAATCTGCAGTCTACCGTAAGCAGACTGACTGGCCGACGGACGGAACTGACGGACAGACAGACAGACAAACAGGCATGCATGCATGCAAGTACATGCGTCTGCTGCGGTAAAAGACGACTGCATCCGGGGCTGACTGGCTGAGTGGCTGTGGGCTGGGGTGGTCGAGGGTCGATTGGAGGTCATCCTCTGCGCGCTTAGAAGGCGCCTAAATCTGGGTCGCGGGCGCCAACGAACCTTTGGGGAACAAGGTGCAGTGCATGTCCAGTCAAGCCACCTGCAGGGCCCATACCCAATCACTGGCCGCCGTGAGGTCTAAGCGAGTACAGAGCAGGCCAGTCGGGTTTGTTAGCAGCCCCTTCTCCGGCCCACCAGTAAATAGGTGAGCGTCGAGTACGGGGTACGGGGTACGGAGTACTTACTGTACCTCTCCTCAGGCTCGAGGTTGGTTAGGCGTGGGCGGATACCCTGACGTCGAAACCGTGATAGGGGCTCCTCCTTCGTTTCGCTATCTGCGGGCAGGGAAGCCGACATATCCTGTGCCGTGTGTTCAATGGATCGACCAAGCAATTGCTGCTTGACCTCTGACGTCGTTGACACAAGTCTCCTCCCAAATGATGTTCGTCGATCCGAGGATTGGGAACTCCTGCGCATCTTGAAAAGAGACTCGTGCCAAGCGCCCCCCCGAACCCCCATGCTCTCACCAGTAGCCGACCAGATTAGCCTTCGTCCTATCCACCATGCAGGTCCGGCGCTTCAACGAACATGTCACACATCAAAATTAAGCTTGTGAAAGGGCCAATCTGGGCCTGGGCAGATCGTCTGTCACATTGCTCGTGGGGAATCTTAATTACAGCTTCTAGACTTTTCTCTGGATCCTCCATCAATCGACTTTTCATCATTCGTGGCATTTCCCAACAGCAGCAATCCAGGTAAATGTCCTCTGCGGCTCACGCTTGTCTTCAAGCTGCAAGAACAATCCCTTTCCACATCCTCCGGCTTCTGCTGCTTTCGGGACAGTAGGGTGCAATGAAACTTCCGCTTCGCTGTTCCGGCGAGTCCCTAATGGCTGACTTCTTCCTGTCTGGTTTTTTGTGCCATGTAACTCCTCCAATCGGTTGCTGCGCGGATCTACCAATGGTTCGCTGGACCCCAAGCCTGAACAGGCCAGCCACTCGGCATCCGGGAGTTCTAGCCCTGAGCTGCCGGGGCCGGGGCCTGGGCCGGAGCAGGAGTAGGTTCCGAAGCAGGAGCTGCGGGAGCTTGGTTTCCGACCGCGAGTTTCTCTACCTCCTTGGGGAGGTCCTCGGGCTTGTAAGTATCCTGGGCGCGACTCGACTTGATCACCTCCTGGATCTTTGCCTCGGTGTCGTCCCAGTCGTCCGGGCTCAGCTGGACCAGGTCGATTGAGTAGTGCTTGGAAATCTCAGCCAGGGCGTTGAAGCTTTTGCGGTCCGACACGAAGCTGATACTGACGCCCACACGACCGAAACGACCTGTACGGCCAATACGGTGCAGATAAGTCTCTGCGTCGGGCTCAGAATCGCCGTGACCCTTCATGGGAATATCGTAGTTGATGACCATAGACACGCTGGATACGTCAATGCCCCGGGCCAGGACGTTGGTCGTAATCAGAACCTTGGTGCGGCCCAAGCGGAACTCCTCGAGGAGACGGTCGCGATCAGCGGGGTCAAAGGCGCCATGCAGGGCTGACACCTTGTGGCCGTCGGCAATCATTCTTTGCTCGATAACACTGGCCGATTCGCGGGTCTGTAGAGGTCAGTGGATACGGCCTCATGCGGGTCACGATGGAGGCGGTAGGGGCTCACCTTGACGAAGATGACCGATGAACCAATAGTCATCAGGCCGTAGAGCTTCACAAGAACATCGTACTTGTCAGACTCGGACGGGCAGTCCATGTACATTTGTGAGATGCCCTTGACAGTGAGCTGTTGCTGTTTGAGCCGCATGGAGTTTGCATTGGGCGCAAACCGCTCGGCATACTGAATGACTCGGTCTGGGAAGGTGGCCGAGAAGAGCAGGACCTGGATGTTTTTGGGAAGCATGCTGTTCTCGAGTGTTAGTGGTGCCCGCGTAGACTGAGTCGGGGAATTTGACCAAGACGTACTTCTTGACTTTCATGCACTGCTCGCCCATGCCCTGTTGGTCCAGCATGTTGTCGGCCTCGTCAATAACGAAGATTCTCAACTCTCGCGGATCAAACTGGCGGCGGCGGATGGTGTCCATGACAGTGCCAGGCGTGCCGACAACGACGGAACCTCTAACACCAGTTGCTCGGTCGACAGCACCGGGAACGGCAGCCTCGACGATGAGGTCGGGGAGGAACTGGCCAACAGTCTTGACGACGTTCTGGATCTGGCGGGCCAGCTCCCGGGTGGGGGCCAGAAGGAGTGCCTGGGGCTGGTGTGGTTTGGAGTAGTCGACCCGCGACAGAACGGCAATAACGAACGCAGCGGTCTTTCCTGTACCAGACTGAGACTGGGCAATCATGTTGCGGGGAGGGTTGGAGAGAAGCAGAGGAAGAGCCTTCTCCTGGACCTTGGAGGGCTTCTTGAAGTTCATGGCGAGGAGGCCCTTGTAGATGCCATCGGAGCTGTTGGGACTGTTAGTCTAGTGTCGTTCATGGCGGGCTGGTGACGGTGAGGAGGAAGCTTGCGAGAGGCTAGCACGAGTGAGATACTGACAGCTTAAGGTCCTCAAAGGTCTTGGCCGACGACAGAGGGTTGTCGGTGTCGACGTCGAGGTTGGATACGGTGACTTCAACATCGTAGCTGGGCTCGTTGAGGTTGCTATCCTCCACATCGTCCGCCCAAGAAGTGGCCATGGTGAGTGAGGTGACTGACGGTCGCGCCGCAATGCGATGCGACGAGGCAAGGTGAGGTGGAAGTTAGGTTGAGAGCAGTGAGGAAAGACAGGACAAAGGGAAAGCGCCTTAGGCCAGTACGGGGAGTGAGGTGAGAATGAAGAGGGAAGGGCGTCCGTTTGCAACGCCCGCCTTGTCTTAAGAAGTGTTCTGCACACTGCAATTCGCCCAATTTCAATGGCTTTGATGGAGGTCGGTCAAGTACTAGGGAGATAGAGATAATCAGCGTCAGGGCCGGTGTTCAACGTCAGTCTGTGGTGGGGCTCGAGTCCAGACCAGACTTCAAGGTGCTCTGAGGTCAACTTTTTGGACGCTAAAAGCTCACCAGCGCCGCTGTCAGGCAGTCAGGTCGATTGAACTGAACAACTGAACAATAGATGGCGGGGTGGTGGGGCAGCCGCAGCTGGCGGTCTTGAGTGGACAGAAGGTGCACGGTACCTGGGTACCTGCTTACCTATGAAATAGACTACCTAGCAGAGCCTACCTACTGTTCAACTACCCAGCCTGCCCGGGGCAGGTAGGCCACATCCCACCAGCTCCTGCCCATGTTCTAGAAGGTTTCGACGTAGTCTACCGCCAGAACTGCGTAGAGGAACACATTTAGCAGGGCAGAACATTGCATAATACAATACAGGAAGAGTCACAGGTCATTGTTCTCTCCCACAGGAAATCAGGGCGGTCAAACCCATGCCATGTGTGCACCACATTCTCTACAGTACCTACGGCAGGTGCTTGGCAAGTGTTAGGACAGGCTCTCCCGACTCGCATGACATACGCATTGCCCGCGTCTTTCCATAACATCTTCAAGGCCCCAACGATGGCGATGGTTCGGCCCAAAGAATTTCTGCCCAGTACACAGTAGACTAACTAGTGTGGTGAGTGTAAGGCAGTAAGGCGGACGCATTGATGCTTTGCAACGCCTTGCCAGCCAGCTCAAGGCATCGTCAGGGGTTGATCCTTATTCCCATGTGGAGCACTCGTTGATTAGCACGGGATCTCGGCTGGCTGCCCAATGCCAAACAGCGCGGGTCTCCCGTCGCATGGCGGATGACGAAGCCCAAAGGGCTGTGATGGCCGTTAAACCTCTTGGCCGCGCCTTGGACCGACTTGTCTGTCTCCGAGTCGCACGAATCTTCTGGTAACGTGTTCCTGTATCGCAATGCATTGCTGCTGCACCGTACTGTAGTTTACATATACTCCTCAGCTGTATCACTTTCTGTCTATTCCTCTGCGCGTTATAATTCATCTGCAGGCCCCAAGCAATTCTCCCAAGAAACAAACACCGTCATACCCACCAGGGTGTCATCCTTAGCCTAACGCCTCCATCCTTCGGCCGCATTCTATCCATGCTTGGCAATTGGAGGGGCTATTGAGTTGCCATACGAACTGCTGCGCCCACCACCTCGCCGTCGACCACAGTCTGCCTCTTCGGAGTTTCGAGGCTCGCTGATGTTCCAAAACGTTCGCTACAACACACTCAAGTTATAAACCTCATAAGAAGCCTCGGGACCTGGCTCGCATGACAGCTGCTCCTCGCGGACAACTCCTCTCCAGGGACAATGGCCGAGGTGGATGTTGCGCCGACCTTCGGCGCGGAATTGAAGGTATGGGACTGAAAGAGAGAAAGGGATGAAATGCGAGCTGGCATTTACTAATCTTACTCTGGCGCACAGGATGGCTTCAAACCTGCCAACGCCTGGGTAGCCAACGGCATAGCATGGCTCGATGATATCCAGGGCTTCTACCGCGAACGCGCTGCGATCGAGAAGGACTACGCCAAACAACTCACTGCCCTCGCCCACAAATACTTCGAGAAGAAAGCAAAAAAGTCTGCGGGTTTGGGTGTCGGTGACACGCCATCCATGACACCTGGTTCCATAGAGAGGTGAGCAGTCACCTGGTGTGAGAATCCTCCAGTGGGCGGGAAGGGGGCATTCCACGGACACCCACGGACACGCGAGCAGGAGCTGACAATTCTGAACACAGTGCTTCCGTCACGACATGGACCACACAACTGAACACCGTCGAGAGCCGAGCCAAGGAACACGACAACTATGCGAACGACCTCATCACTAAAGTCGCGGAGCCAATGAAGGTCCTTGGCACGCGGTTCGAGGAGGTGCGAAAGAAACATGCCGAGTACGCTGACAAGCTGGAGAAAGAACGAGACTCGTCTTATGGCGAGCTGCGCAAAGCGAAAGGCAAATACGACTCGGTGTGTCAAGAGGTGGAGAGCAAGCGCAAGAAGTCCGAGTCGTCGTTTGACAAGGCAAAGGCACAAAGCGCGTACCAGCAACAGCTCATCGAGATGAACAATGTCAAGAACTCGTACCTGATTTCGATCAACGTTACCAACAAGCAGAAGGAGATGTACTACCACGAATACCTGCCCGAGCTCATGGACAGCTTACAAGACCTCAACGAGTTCCGGGTGCTGAAACTGAACGGGCTTTGGACATTGGCGTCACAACTAGAAACGGGCATGTTGCAGCAGAGCCAGGTGCTTATCGAACACCAGACGGAGGAGATCACTCGGAACCAGCCACACCTCGACTCAATGATGTATATTCGACACAACATGGGCGCGTTCAATGAGCCACCGGACAGGGTCTTCGAGCCGAGCCCCGTTTGGCACGACGAGCCCACAATGGTCGTGGACGAAACAGCCAAGATCTACCTGCGAAATGTTCTGAACAAATCCAAGGGCTCGCTGGGAGAACTCAGGCGGGAGGTAGACAAGAAGAGGAGGGAGGTCGAAGGGGCACAGAGGGCGAAGCAGAGGGTTCGTGAAGGACAAGATAAGAGCGACGAGGTGACAGTCGTCGCAGCCATGTTCGCACTTCAGGAGCAGCTTCATGCTGTGGAGAGGAGAAAGGTCACCGCCGAGGTTGAGACGTCTACCATCACTGCTGTTGTAGGAGACGTCACCCTCGGCGCCAAAAATCACAATTTCAAATCCCAAACCTTCAAGATACCAACCAACTGCGACCTCTGCGGCGAGAGGATATGGGGTCTGTCGGCAAAGGGCTTCGACTGCCGCGACTGCGGGTACACGTGCCACAGCAAGTGCGAGATGAAGGTCCCCGCAGAGTGTCCAGGCGAGTCGTCAAAAGAGGAGCGCAAGAAGCTCAAGCAGCAGCGACAGGAGGCCGCGAACTCGCTCCTCAGCCCCACCGCCTCGTCCGGCGACAAGGTCGCAGAGCTACCCTCGTTGTCAAGGACGAATACTATGAACAGCCTGTCCTCCGGGTACGCCGCCAGCGCGCAGCGGTCCATCACGAGCGCCATGAGCCCCACCGAAGAGGAGACGCCGCCGGAGGTCCCTACGAGCACCAGGCCTACATCCACGATCGGGTCTGGGTCGGTCAAGAAGAACAGGGTCATTGCGCCCCCGCCGGCGGCGTACATCAGCGAGTTGCCGGGCAGCGCGCCAAATGGGTCAGGAGCTAGTCACCAGGAAGTGAAAGCGAAGATGCTGTTCACATTCGAGGCGAACGGCGAAGGCGAACTTTCCGTGCATGAAGGCAGGGACCTGATCGTCATGGAGCCTGACTGTAAGTCTTGTTCTTTATTCCTGGGCTCCTACAACCTCCACGTCCAATGTGAGTACTAACAAGCCCTCACAGCTGGATCCGGCTGGGTTAAGGTCCGCGCCGGCTACAAGGAGGGACTCGTGCCAGCGACGTACATCGAGATCCAGCCGGCGTCGGCCATCGCGCCGCAGCACACGGGGGCGTCGGCGCGGCCGCCCTCGACGTACAGCAACTCGGGCTCCTCGATCGGGGGCGCGCCGGCGGTCAAGAAGAAGGGCCCCGCGGTGGCGCCCCGGCGCGGCGCCAAGAAGCTGCGCTACGTCGAGGCGCTGTACGAGTACACGGCGCAGTCCGACACCGAGCACAGCATGGTCGAGGGCGAGCGGTTCGTCCTCATCAAGGACGACCCCGGCGACGGCTGGGCCGAGGTCGAGAAGGGCGGCCTCACCAAGAGCGTACCTGCTAGTTATGTCCAGGTTGTTTGAAGCGAGCGCGCGGGTGTAGAGGCCGAGGTCAGGCGCTGATGTGGATCATGTTTTGTTTTTGAGAACACCGGCAATGTTACCGGCTGGCTCATGCACGCATTGCGAGGACTGGGAGCGGATGCGAGATTGTACATAGAAAAAATGGAGAGGCACGTTCAAAAATTGGGCGATGGTTCTACTGGTCGCGTGGTGTGGCATGGTCATGGTCATGGTCATGGTGCGCTCGAGTTGAGGTTGTAGATTATAGATAGATCGATGACGAGCCTGCTGCCATTGCAAATGCAGATTGTCAAATGAAGCATCTCTACATTATGATCTTGTGGTTCATGTGCGAGGTCGGTTCAAGGACGTGATAATAACTTACATCCGCATAATACTACAGCGTCGACCACAGGTGAAGCTCACGTCCAGCCTCTCTGGCCGCCCAAGCCCTGATTGTTGTCCTTCGTGCCGACATGAACGCCAATCATGGCCTACGGCCTGGCAGCCCCCTGAAGGCAGTCTCCAGCATCGCCAGCTTAGGGAATGGCAGATACCCATATCCGCGAGAGGCGTGCCTCACCTTTTCGGCTCACCTAGATGGGGTCAGCATGACCTCTGCCCACCAGATGGCCGAAGCGTGCGCCGATGTGCGTATCACGCCCACAGCGTCTCATCTGCAGCATGGTGTTGATTATGTCTAACGATCTTGCACTCAACAAGGAGGCTCTACACGGTGGCCAGCCAGTCGACTGCAGCCATCACAGGGAGATAGCTTGAAGGCGCGGCTGCTTTGGCTAGAGCCCTGACCCTCAAGTCACATTCCCAAGCAGAGGCAGCGAGCGAGTGGCCAGGAGACAGTTTGAGTCCGTCTCGAGTTAAGATTGCCGGTATGATCAGTTACCACATGGCTTAGCTTTGTGACAGGTGTCGCCGACTCACTGGCTGAGCCTAAGATATGTCCCAGGAGGGAGACACTCGTTGCGCTCGTCAGCAGGAGCTGGCTGACCCTTGGAAGGCATGACAATCATTGTTAGCATCCTTGCTCGAGAGTATTTTTCTGGCACAATTGAAGCAGCCGTGTGCCGCACAGGACGACAATCACTGTCCGCAGTTCCCACGGGCTGGGCCGTCCAACAGAGATCATCTGCCGGGGTGGTGCAGGCTTCAAGATTTTGCTTGAAGTTGAGGATGAAGGGTGAAGGAGGTAGTGCAAGACACACTGCGTACGCATTGGAGTTTTTAAGGCACGCATGTCCATCTTCTTGGTGAAATGCTGGGTCAACTTTCGACCACAATGGCTGCATGGGGCCGTTCACGTCCATGAGCAGGGACAGATGAAGATAGATCGATATGCCCCCCTCGTTGCATCGAAATACAAACAAGTTTGTGATGGGGCCTACCGTATGATTCGACGTCAGATAGATATCCACTAATATGCCGCTTGCGAGGTTTCGCAGCCTCGCGAGAAGGCCTCTACGACCTCAAATAGTGGCTCAATCATCAAGCCTCCACTTCCGAACCCCACGGGGTGTGGATATTGTGCTTTGCCGACAAGCTTCGTGCCCGTTTGGACAATTGAACTGACACTGGGTGCCCGCGTCCGCCATGTTGCTGTGCTGTGTTTGTCAATCACGACGTCACCTGACAGATTCGTCCGGTCTTTGGGGGCCCGGGTTGGTTGTCATGTCATGCTCGGTGATGTGCTGAACTTTATGCGTTGTCCAGGTGGGCAAGCCAGCCATCATCACGCCGCCTCCCAGCCTCTCTCTATCGTACATGTCCAAAGGCTCCACGACACATCTCCACAATGACTTTACACTGTACTCGGGGGGATGTGGTCTTCCACGCATCTCTGGGCCAAGCAATTCCAAGACCTGGAGCGAGCCTGGGCGATTGCTTGTGAAGCTTCGTTCGACGTCCAAAATCTCAACCAGAACTGGCTGCTAACAGGAGCAGCAGGAGGGTGCTTGGACGGGTGTTAGAGCGCGGGTTAAATGAGCTTTCAGGGGTTCTCCTGCGCTACTGTGGGCTGGATTGTAAACCCAGACAGACCCAGACAAGGGGATCAACAACAAAGCCTAATTCCTTAACGGTAAGCATAACGGAAACTGTGGAAATGAGAACGGCTGTGGATGCCGGTCCCGTCCAGGCTCGCATTGTGGGACTGTGGACTGTGGACTGGGGACGGATCAGACAAGCAGGTTTTGGGATCAACAGCGCAATGCTGATACGCCCCGGGTTACCCACAATCACGAAGGAGGCCAGGAGGCCTGTGCTGGGAGCTGTATCTGCTGGATGCTGGCTGCATGGCCATGGAAGCATCAAGCCAGGGAAGATCATGATCTTGATCTGGGAGAGAGCTGGGCCAGTGGATTGGATATTCCGCTCAGTATTGGATCGGATCGGTCATGATGGACAGACTTTGAAACCGCCGACTTGCCGACCCATGCAGCCATCTCACATGCTTTTTGTGGCAGTGCAGTGCAATAACTGATTGCTGCTGATCCAGCACTGGCGTCTCTCCGTCCTTGGCTGCTGTCTTATTCCCAGTCGATGGTAGTAGTTCCTGTGTGCCCAGCACCTATGGAGTGACGGTCTGTTTGACTTTGTTAGGGGATGGTGGGACGATGGTTTCCAAGGACTGGGGCGTCCTGCGTCGCGTCTCCAGGGTCAAACCTGTAAAGCCGGGGTCCGAATCAGACAAGACGTCATTGTTGACATTCGTGCGAATCCCAGCACCGGCAGACCACGAGGAGAGGCATCAGACAGTCCACATCATCAGTATCAGGATCAGCATCTGCATCAGGGTCCTACCGATAGAAATACGCAGTGCTACTCAATGGTGCGGTACTCAGTAAGGCTCAGCAGCTATCCGGGTATCCGGGCAAATTGGGCATATTCCATTGTGGTAGGGAGGCAATCTAATACGAACGCAAGAGGTGGTGGTGTGAAGAAAGCGTCTGATGCTGGCGTACAATGCCTGTGTGCCCGCGTGCTGGTTGGCTCGCGGAGATGAAAAGTCCAAAAGCTACAGTATACTTCCTGCTGGTCCGAGAGTGCGAGAAGTGGGACGGGCAAGGATAATGGAGCAAGGGCGGCGGGAAGGAGTGACTTGGCTCTGCGGCAAGCCTTACGCCCCTTGGCAAGTACCCCACCTGGCCTGTCCGCCAGAGACAGGGGACCCGCGACTTAGACGCGCACTGTATCCACGACTGGCGGGAAGCTAAAACTGAGGGTTGACGGCGGGCATTTTTCATTACGAGCAGGCTGGGGAACTCAAGCTGGGAAGCAAAGCCATACGTGCCATATTGGGACAAGGGGCCCAATTAGCAGCGGCAGCGGCAAGGGGCAAGGGGGGGCGAGTGGCAGGTTGGCCAGGGGCAAGGAAGGAGGCAATACAGAGTAGAGAGAGAAAGAGAGACGGATGGATGGATGGATGGGATGGGATGCATGACGGTTGTTATTATTATCAGCTTTCATCTTTCTTATTTCCATTGGCCTCCTCCCTGATCTACATCTGACGGCCCTCCTGCTGTTCTTTTCCCATACCCAACCACGCCTTTACTTTTCTTCAACACATTCCAACACGTCGTTGTTGATTGCTCAGGTATTTCTCGTCGCAGTTTCCTCCGCGACAAACAGCCGACTCACTCGCTTCGTCGGATCAGCTATTCTATTTTCTTCTAATTGACACATTGATTCACTACGCTCGCTCTGCTCCTCCCTTCGCAGCGTCTTGTCGTCTTCTACTCCCGTAGCAGCAAAGGTAGCACAGCACCATCTGCTCCACCATTAAATAACTCCGCGACGCAGAACAGAGAATAGCCAGTCCACAATGAAGTCCGTTGCTTTTGCATCCGCCCTGCTGGCGGCCACCGTCTCGGCCAATCCCACTCCCACCGAGGAGCAACCTCCCAGCAAGCGGTCCAGCTTGCCCTCTGTCACAGCTTCCGGCAACGGTAGGGCGCCTCAGCTCCTCCATAACATGGCCTACTTGCTAACCAGCTTTCTCTTCAACAGCATTCTGGACCGGAAGTACTCGATTCTATGTTCGCGGTATCGACTACCAGCCTGGCGGTTCGTCCAACTTGGCCGATCCGTTGGCTGACACTTCTGTCTGCAAGCGTGACATTGCCGAGTTCAAGAAGCTCGGAATCAACACTGTCCGTGTATACACCGTTGACAACTCTGCCAGCCATGACGACTGCATGAGCCAGCTGGCTGACGCTGGCATCTACCTGATTCTCGATGTCAACAACCCACTCTACTCGATCAACCGCAACAGCCCCGGCGAGTCCTACAACGACGTCTATCTGCAGAGTGTCTTCGCCACCATTGACGAGTTCGTCAAGTACGACAACACTCTGGCGTTCTTCTCTGGAAACGAGGTTGTCAACGATCAGGCGAACACCACACTTGCTGCCCCCTACGTCAAGGCTACCACCCGTGACATGCGTCAATACATCAGGAACCGTAAATACAGGGCGGTTCCTGTCGGTTACTCGGCAGCAGATGTCTCACAGAACCGCTTCCAGCTTGCCCAGTACTTCAACTGTGGTACAGACGACGAGCGCAGCGATTTCTTCGCCTTCAACGACTACTCTTGGTGCAACACCAACTTCCAAGAGTCTGGTTGGGACCAAAAGGTCAAGAACTTCACCGGCTACGGTCTTCCTTTGTTCCTTTCCGAGTATGGCTGCATCACCAATGGACGCAGCTTCGGCGAGGTCGAGGCTTTGATGAACAGTGAAATGACATCTGTCTACTCTGGTGGCCTTGTGTACGAGTACTCTGACGAGGGTAATGGATACGGCATTGTCTCGATTGACGGCGACAGCGTGTCTGAGAAGAGCGACTTTGCCGCCTACTCCACTGCTCTGGCGAAGAACGCCGCCCCTACTGGCGACGGTGGCTTCACCTCAACCACCAACTCCGTGGCCTGCCCATCCCCCGACTCTGACTGGCTCGTGAGCAACACGAACTTGCCTGCCATCCCTACTGGCGCAAGTCAGTACATGACCAAGGGTGCTGGTGACGGCCCTGGCCTGAAGGGCGACGGTTCCCAGAATGCTGGTGGCACCTCGACCGGAGATGCTGAGCCTGGCTCTGGATCTGCCACTACATCAGCCAGCGCTTCCTCTAGCGGAAACGCCGGTGCCGGCGGCCCTGGTCCCCTGGACAAGGGTGCTTTCGCGGTGACCGGTGTTGTCTTTTTCTTCAGCCTTGTTGGTACCCTGCTCTTGTAAGCTTAAGGCTTGAGGCCCGAGGCAAGGGAAAATGGGATATGTGTACATGGAGCAAAGTTTCCACTTTGGGTGGGAAAATAATCATTCAATGAATTGCGGCGCACTGGGAAATGGGTTCTACAAGTCAAGATTACTTGCAGCGAGCTGAAGAGTCTGATTCATTCGCGCCCCCGGGGTTGGGATGCGGTTAATTCTGTCATGGATAATAGCCGAGAGAGACACGAACAATGTGGTCATTGAAATAGATTCAAACAGTGACAGTGATATCAAATTCCAAACTGCTCCAGTCTCATGATATATTTTCTCTTATCTCTCTTGTATGTTGCATCATTCCAGTATAACCAGTCTCGGCCCAAAGATCGTACTAGCCTTGCATATGTGCTCAGCCTCCAGAGCTACATTTCAAGGCGCCAGCACAGGCCTTGCCCATCTACAATGCAGTTGTTGTGAAGTCTTGAAGTCTGACTTGTATAGACTGTCCATGATGTTTCAATGCCGAGTTGTGTTGTTTGCAGAACTGCTGAAAATCTCTAAGTTTCGAATGACTAGCGGCTACGTGCGGACCAGGTTGAAAACACTTGAAGAAGGCTGAGTTGAGTCTCATTCATTTGAGGCACGAGCACTGCTTGCTGCCATTCACTGTTTTGAAGAGAAACATGCTTTCGAAACTTTTGTTTTCTTCGCTATGGAATTCGCTATGTAGCTATTTCCTAAAATTTGGGAATCAATCCATTCCGTTGATGAAGCACCACACAAGCCCAGTACAAATCACCGTCCAGGCAAAGACTAACATTATAGAAACAAGTAAGATATAGCACCATTAAATATAGTTTTGTGGCTGTCTACGTTTGCATATGTACTCCATCCGTGAAAGCGAATTTGATCTTGGTGCTACAACAGCTCATCATGACTGGCATCCCTATTGTCAATGGGAGGGCACGAGTCTTCTAAACAAGACAACAAATCCATCCAAATCAATGCGGAACGACCGAAAAATTCCTACACTACTCCTACGATATCCGGCGAATTTCCTGATATTTAGGACAGGAATACGGAGAAAACCTTCCAAGCAAGTCCCATCATGGCCCAACACAGACCTGCTTACTACGCAAAGATAGTCACCACCTCGGCAGGCCAGACACACTCAAGCTTCAACCTGCCAAACATGCAAGAGCATGCTGCCACCGCTAAAGCCCTCGCCGTCCTCGAGGTCATCGTCCTCGTCATCATACTCGACGGCCCACGGGGACAGAGATGCCAGGGTCGCGGCTGTGCCAGTACCCACGTGCAGCCCAGGCCGTGTGACCAGGGCTCGAACATCCACGGTCTGGGTCTTTGTGAGCCAGGAGCTACTCACGTGGGGAGTTGTGGAGAGGAGGCTCCGGGAAATAATAACTGTGGAGGATGAGGATGAAGTAGTGGGGCCTCCTGCCGTCGTGGATGGCTTGGTTATGGTTATGGTCTTGGTCTTTGTGTGCTTGGTCCTGGTATGCTTGGTCTTTGTGTGCGTAGTAGTGGACGGCTCTGTCGTAGATGACTCTGTCGTGGATGACTCTGTCGTAGAGACTCTTGTCGTAGAAGGCGTGGTCGTGTTCAAGTAATGAGTCGTAGTCGTAGTCGTCGTATTCCCAGGGGGCTGCATCGTCGGGAACGCCCCCGGGACATCTTTCCAGGTAGATGAGGGCATGACGGTGCGGGTGATGATGATACTGCTGGGATATCTGTCGAACTGCCGGCCCGGAATGGCGCCGACGTCTACAACCGCTGCCACGAGGGCAAGAAGTGAGATTATGAGAAACATGGTGGGCTTTGAGGAAGCGAAAAGTCTTTCTCTCTCACAGTTCGTTGCAATATGCTAAAGTTGGTAAATTTACGGCAGGGAGTGAGTGAATTGGGAGTATAAAATCAGACTCAGAACAAAAGAGAGCGAGGATGAAACGGAATATCCAGGGTACACCTGCTGGGGACCCCTCGTCGCCCGTTTGAACAGTGATGGTACCCGAGGTGGACTCGATGCTACACATGTTCGCGCAAGTTTGTTTTCCTCATCGACTTTCATCGGGCCTGTGCAGTCAACGACACCTATCAACGTGCCGAAACCATCTTTCCAAGGTGTTGGAGTCGCCCTAACGATGACGGTGTAAACACCATATAGACTAGTCATTGTCGAATTGTACCCAGCCTCGACACCAAACCCCGGAGGAAGCTAGAACTTCGATGAGAGGTCGAGACACGTACGTGTTGCAACAGGAAACCCCTTATAAACAGTCATTCTAAGGATGGGACAGGGCTGTCGAGCTTGAGACATTTGAACTTGTGAATTGAATATCCAATACGAATGCTGAAGCCGTATTCAGGGCCGTTGAATCATGTCAGGAGGAGCCATCTGGGCGCTGAAGTTTGCATGAGAGTGACTTTTCGTACAATCATCTGGCTTGTTTACTCGTGGAACTAGTTGAGGTACCGGGTTAAAAAGAAAACATCTTCGCTGGAGTTTTTCATGCGAAGCAATCGACGTCATCAGCATCGATAAGAGGGCCATAGATGTAGCTACAGGAATAGCTTCCTGCATTAGAGAACAAGCAAAGCTTTAATTAAGGCTGTTACCTAGTTATGTAGTGATGCTCAGATGAACCAACTACAGCCAATCGCTCACAGTCCTATCTTACTGCTCAAGCGATAATAGCTCTTCCGCTTCCCGCCACCAGCGCCACTCTCGACATCGACCGCGGTAGCTCTCGCGCCAGCGTTCTTCTCATCCTCGGCCTCCTCAAAGTAATAGTGATTTGCGTCCTCCTTGAACGCCAGCCGGTAGGGCACCGCCAGGCCCGTCTTCCTCTTTCTATCCCCGTCGGCTTGCGGGGTCCCCAGCAGGGCATCCCCGCGCAACTGACCCGGCCGCGACGTGGCCAGCGCGAAGAGATTGGTCGGCTCGAGGAAATCCTTGACGAGGCCGACACGGAAGAAGTACGCAAGACACAGCAGATTGATAAGGAAGGCGAACGCCAGGACGAGGTAGAAGACGCCCTGCCACGGCGATGAGTGCCAGCTGGCGTACTCCTGCGTGCGCACGCGCGCGTGGAAGTCTACTGCCGCGCCTGGCGCCGGCAGAATATTGTTGCCTGTCATGTTAGGCCACGCGGTCGTGTCGTACTCCCAGTAGTGCTTGAACGGCGTGCCGACCGACGCCGTCACCAGAGTGCTGCTTATCAGCACCGCCAGCGCCTCCGCCATAGAGGGCAGCGTATCGTTGAGCTGGGGCTCCGTCAGTGCGAGCTCGGTCAGGATCCTCGCGTTCGAGGCGTTGTTGTTAGAAACGCCGCCGTTCAGGTCGATCGCCAACCGCCTAGCCTTATGTTAGTTACCTGCTATGGAACCTGGAACAATGCATTCTGGTTGATTCTGAGAGAAGATGGATGAGCAACCATAGCGGGAGAATACTTGTACTTACCACCCGTCCACCATGTATTTCCAGTCAGAGCTTGCGGCGATCTCGCCGGTTCCCATGTAGTGCACGTAAGCGTCAGGATCTGGGTGATTGTCCGCTGTTTCTGGGAAGAAGTCCTCAGTCTGCGAGCACTGCGCTGTCATTGACATTCCAGTCACGCCTGAGACGTCAAATTGTGTGCTGCATTGTATAGCTGGCCAGGAGCGCAGCTCGCAGAGAGTGTAGTCGTCCATCAGCCTGCTCTTGCCGAACAGGTAGATTGCATCCGCCAGCACAGTGGTGTTGTAAGGTTGGACTGTGGTGTTGGTTATTATGTTATTATCGATTGGGTAGAGCTGGAAGACTGGCGGACGTCGCTTGTACTGAGGTCCCCAGCGAAAGATGTCGACGACCGTGCTATTGAGCCACTCGTTCTCAGATGATACCGGCACGTCATCTTCCCACTCTTCCGAGCCGATTTCTTGGTAGGGATCGTTCGCATTTTTGGTAACATTTGCGTTCGGCCAGGCTGTGTAAACTAAAGGCTCGAGCTCCTCCCTGTTCATGTTGACGCAGAGTACATTTACCGCGGGCGAAATCACGCTAGCAGAGATGTTGTACGAGCCGAGTCCATCGAGATCTGAGGGCTGGAGGATTCTGTTCTCCTTGTTGGTCGCTGCTTTGTAGACTCCTGTACTGATGTGTTAATACTTCACCTTTCATAATATCATGACCCGTCTTCTGTCTTACCTGGATGCGGTAATGCCAGCGAGACATTGTTCACGACTCTTTCGTGTGTCTTGAAACTCTCAGATGCGTCAGAATACTGTGCCTCAATCCACGAGCCAACCATCGTGATATTGTCGTAAAGCATCGCTTGAGCAGCTGGTCGCTCGGCCATCTTACGGCTCGCAGTGCTGCCGTTGTAGTTGATGTCCCGCCAAGTGGCCATGAAGGTGAGGAGGTTCTGGTATGCTATTGGAGGTCAGTCAGCATCTCATCCTTAAGATCTCCAGATATTTCTATACATACAATCTCCAGAGTACTGCACACCGAGGCAAGACTCGCCAGACGAAAGTGGATCCAATTCTGTGGAAATTGGAGTTGAGCATGTTGCTTTCACGTATTCCGCATTCGCATAAGACGCCATAACGTAGCTGTCTAAATACTTCTCCTCCCAACCACTGAAGCGAAGCTTAGGCCGAACCATCGTGTCAGAGGCTGTAGTATAAAGCATTGCAACAAGTGTTGCGATCAAAGTCAAGATGCCAAGGAGAGTATGGCCAGCATATCGTAAAGTCTGGCCATTGGCTAGTAGCGATCCCGGTTGCTGGAAAAATCAGCGATATGCTTCATAAAATGAGAGCAAGCTTCACTAGGCACTCACAGTGATCCAGGTTCTCATTGTCATCTCTGCCACAGTCATCCCCGCGTTCGTCGCGATGGCCTTCCTCGTCAGAACCTGGCCCAGAAAGGCCACAAACACCGTCACGAAAGACAGCTCGATCGTCTTGGCAAAAATGGCAGTCAGCACGTTGGCCGTCGACAGCGTCATTGAGCCACGCGATGATATCGTGTGGCCCCATCTCGGCTGCGCGATCGCCACGCCCAACCACATTCCGCTGAGAATGGTCGAGTAGATGGACAATATGATCAGCCACACGGCCAGCCAGCTAAGGCGGCTGACGCGAACGTCAGCTGGCGCACCCAAGGGGCGGGGCATGTCGTGGGCTTGTTTCTTGAAGGTGTCGTAGTCGCCATGGTTGAGCTCTCCGGCAGAGTTGAAGGTGTCGCCGGAGTATTGTTGGCCTTCGTCGTGCATCTGCAGCGAGTCTAGACTGATACTGTCGTCGTCATCCCTCCTCATTCGGTGCCCCGCCGGCGCTCCTTCGTCATCTAGGGACCGGTATATCGCCGTCTTGGAGCCCCGGTCCCACGCCGAGTAGATCGAGCCCCTCAGATCGCCCTCGGAAGGCATTGCATTCGGAGAGCCTACCGCGGGAGAGAAGCCGCCCAAAGTCCGCCCGGAGAGTTGAGGATTCCAGAACTCAGCCTGGCTGAATTGTGCTGATGTTTCGTACAGTGGGGAGGAAGGACCCGCGTTTGGGGCCGCGTTGGATACGAGCGGTTGGCTGGACTCAGATCGATGGATCAAGGCTGGGTATGATATACCCAAGCCTCCTAGTCCCCGGGCTGGTTGCGCTGAGCCATACTGCTCGTTGTCCTGTGCCCCTCCATCGACTTGGCCGTTGCTGGCCATCCCAGCGGCTTGCTGGCGCACTGCTGCTCTAGTGGTTCAAATGAGCCGTGTTCAACGTAGGTACTGCGATCGAATAGTCAGCACCACGGTAGAGGGAAAAAAAGAAAGAATTAGATGGCGCAGAGATTTGAGAAACGAGTAAGAATGGGGCTCAAGGGCCGCGATAACATTCGAAAAGTGAGAGCAGGCCCATGTACTTGTTGGCTGTTGACCAGTGCCACTCAGCATCCCAGTCGAGTCGAAAATCCACGGGAGGTAGCAGCCCACGAAGCAGAAGGTGTTTGAGATCAAGGCATGTTGGTTCATGGACATGTCTGATCATGAGGACTGTACCGAGCGGGCACAAATTGTGGGCCAACGTTGTACGGCGGCTGTATGCTTTTCAACATGCGTGGTGAATGGTGGACAAGCGAGACAAGGGAATGACCAGCGGCCAAGGGTGATATTCGACCTGTAACACAAGGGAACTCCTACCTCTGGGAAAGAAACCTGCAGTCGATCAATACGGCAACCTTTGACACGGAAAAGTTGAAGGGCTCAGGAAAGCCGAGGAGAGGGAGAGTCGTCGAATGTAAACAGATGCAGTAGACCTTCAGCAGGGTGGGGGAGGAAGGGTGTTGTTTGCTCAGGGCTGAGATGGAGTGGAGATGGGGCGAGCAATGGAGCCGATTCCAATCAGCAGGAAGGAGTGCTTTGAGGGACAAAAGGGAATGCGAGGTGATGTGATGCAGAAGCGAAGCTCTTGCATGGAACCAACACCAACAGACCTGCCAACGGACCCTTTGCTCGTCTGTTATGTGGGCATGGCGCGGCTAGCCGATCAATGGTTTGTAGCCTCCCCCAAAAGCAATGCTTCTTGTATCCATATGACTGACTGACTTGTGAGACTAGCAACTGTCAAAAAGTCATACAGGGAAATACGATACAGTCCTGACAGTATGTGATGTTGGAACTGTCAAGTGTCAGATCCCAAGACAGGTGACGATCTTGGCGGATTGCGGCGCAGGCGATGGATGGGCTAAACCAGCGGGTCGGGAGGGCGAGAGATGAGATGTTGGTCGCCCACGTTGCGTATCCGCTCCCTTGCTTGATTCTAAATTTGTACGACAGGCACAACAAGCCTTGTCCTGACTATTTTGTTATTGCCCGTCAAGAGCCGCCCAGTCACTGTGCTGGTCCACGCCGGCTGCGATGACCGAGGGCGGTGGTCACTCGATGCTTCTCGGGTACCCACCCGTAGACAGTAGAGGGAAAGAGAGAGCAACAGAGGCCAGGACCGAGGCCGTGGGATGCAGCAGTTGGTGTGATCGGCGAGGTAGCGAGACAACAGTTCATCGGCCATTGAACTCTCTTCTCCGGCATCTGATCTCACCTGCTGTACAAAAGCAGGCTCGGAGGCTACAAAGATGCCAACAGCCGTGGCTGGCCTGCAGGTGTGGTCTAAGCCTCCACACGTAACAACCAACACCTGCATCGATGCAACTAAGCCATTGTGTGTGTGTAGATTGTCCGATACGCCCACTTTTAATGTCAGTGGAAGTTGAATGTGCTTGAAGCCTTGTCTGGCTCCTTTAAGATAAGGCCCAGGCCAGCCTCTCCCACTTGGAAGCTATCGCAGCAGTGGACGTCTGTCGTGCCAAGCTTCCCGCATGGTTGCACAACCGCGATGGATGCACGAATGACGAGCAATGGCGAGCGGCAGAGGGTGGGCGTACAGCGTCTAGCCTGCAGTCAACTGGGGCCATTTGCCGATCGAGGGTGATCCAATTTGGGAAGCCGAACCCGGGCCGGAGCTGGCCAAACTTCGACTCGACATTGAGAGAATCAGAGGCTCAAGTGAGGTGGGAAGATGACAATGTGGCTGAGAATGTCCGCAGCAGACGGCTTGAGAAGAGATCTCGTGGATATTCACGCTCAGATATCCGGGCAGACAGCGCCTCATCCTGCGAATCTTCACCTTGTCGAGGGGTCCCGCGCTCCCTTCTCATCGACGACTTTTCATCAAGCGCGCAGGCGCTGAATCGTGGAAGTGATTGCTCATGGTGTGCTCCGTTCAGGTGGGATGAACAGGGGGATAATGACCTTGAATGGCAAGCGAGGGTTTGACCCTGGGAAGTCGTGGTATGATGATCTTTGGTTAGCACCATCACCTGGTCGGGATGCTCTTCAATAATCATCAGCTGCTGACGACGCCTCGGAGGAGGCACCACCCATAATCTTCTACTTTGTTCAAATGGCGACCTGATTTGCGTTCTTGGTGCAACAGACCTTAGAGTTCATCGAGTCGAGTCTCTCTTGAAGATTAAAGACAGGCCCTGCCAGGGGCCGTTTATCTCGGATGTACCGGCAGCATTGCACCACCTACCTGCGAAAGTCTAGAGTGCCCAGGTCTTACGCTTCTACATTGTCCGTGGCGTATGGAAGAGCTGGGTAGCGATTCGAATACATAACCTGAAAAATTGGCGACCTGATTCCCCTCTCTTCGTCTCGTAGCACCCAATACTACGATCATGCGTGAGGAGCCACTGCCGCAGGTCCTCAGGCCACGGCGGCAAGCCCTGGGCGAAACTTTTGGACTGGACGATCCCCAGGCAACCGACGAAGCAGCAGAGCTCATACCGGACATCGACTTCGCTCCTCACCCTCATGCGCAACCGCCTTTCATGCTGGATATTGGGAGTACGTATCACCTCCACATAGCCGCCGTCGAGTTTCGCAGACAGGCACGTCTGCGAGAGCTAGCCAGGCAGCGGGAGACGCTGGTGCTTGCTGCCATGGGCCTTCCTTTGCTAGCCATGCTGCTGAAGCTGCTGTGGTCTTCCTTCACAGGTAGCAGATGGTGGGCAAACGACTCCGGCACACCTGCATGGCAGGGGTTTGTGGGTGGAGATTGGTAGCAGCCAGGGCTATCTCATTCAAGCTTGCAGTATTGACACACACCCATGCTACGACCAAGAGGGCTGTGCGACATTGACGGGCCTCACTGCCGGAGTCAAATATCAAAGGAGTCTACCTACTTACTCCTTCAAGCCGTCATGACCTCCCTCACACTGTTTGCATGGATCTTCGCGAGCCACGTCCTCGCCATGTACGCCCGGATCCTCTTTCCGAAGAGCATGAACGGGATCAAGGCCAATTGGTTGGCAAGCAGCACACCGCCGAAGACGCCCGAGATCATTACCGCATATCCTCTATCCTGCACCCACTCCAGAAGGTTGAGACCCATTCCGAAGCTAATCGCCTGCTTCCCCAGGTTCATCGCAATCAGCATCTCGCTCGTGTTGGCCGTGTAGCTATCCAGCGCGTAGCTCAGCACGAATGTGAAGTAGAAATAGCTGGACCACGACGACATGACAACACCAGCGAAGTACCCAATCCAGTGCAGGTTCCGTTCCGCGGTGAAGCCGAAGACTACCAGCCCGGCGGGAGCGATGAGCATGGCGGGCAGACAGACGCCCAATCTCATCTCTGCCTCGCGGATCATGTTGTTCTTCTTAGTCAACCGGGCGGCCAGACGGTCGGACGAGGTCGTGAAAGGGAGTGCGGCGCCGTATCCGAGGATAGTTCCGATCGAGACCAGCCCAGAGTTGAGCTGAGACCAGTTGTACGGCGGAGCTACTACCTTGATCGGCATGATGTAATTGAAGGTCAAGGCGCCGATACCAATGAAAATACCTGTCGGCCACAGTCATTAGCTTGACAACATTGGGAGCAGAATTTCTCGGGAAATGCGGAGCGACAGGCGTACCATAAGTCGTGACCACCCAAAACACATGAGGGACGAGAAAATACGTGAAGCTTCGAAACATCATGAGGAAGAATTCAGAATCACGCTCCCACACACCCCAGAACTTAAGAGTCTGAAGATAGGTCTTTCGCCGTGGCACGCTCGAGCGCGCCGTGACGCTCCTCTCGACTGTTGACGTGCCGATCTTCTCCGCGTCCTCCGGCCCGTCAGAAGAGTCTTGCGTCAGCTTGCGGTGGTAGGTCGTTTCCTCGACTACGAGGAAGGCGAAGATCAGTAAGGCCACACCGAACGCAACCTCGACATAGAAGAAAAGGCGCCAGGAGTAGCCTCCGTTGAGCATGTAGCCTGCGAAGAGCGGGCCGGTGGCGCCAAGGCACAGAGCGAAGGTGTCTGTTTCGATATCGGAGATCAGTCACAGCCAGACGGTGTGAAATATCACGACGTGTTCACTTACAGTACCCCAGGCGCTGGCCTCGCTCGTGGAGGAAGAAAATATCATTAACCAGCTGGACGGGCAGGGCCTCGCAGACTCCGGATCCGAAGGAGTGGATTATCCGTGCGGCCATCAGTCCTCCGTACGACGTGGCTTGGGATGCGCCGATGAGGCCTGCGACATAACATAGCAAAGAGAAGAGCATCACGGGTCTACGGCCGAACTTGCGATACATGGGAACCAGTAAGAGGGAACCTGGATCCGAGTCAGCATTTCGGGGCTTGGAAAAAAAAGACAGAGTGCCTGCTTTAGAGTCTCAACGAAGTTAACACGGGCAGCAGCGGTGCTTACCAAATCCAAACACGAGGTTGGCGTAGCTGATCAGCCCAGAAGCGGTATTCGGTGAGATGCCAAACTCTTGCGAAAATATCCCGATGTACACCGATGGGCCCAAGAGGGCCGTGTTGCCCAGGAAGGAGTACAGGGCGCAAGCAACCAGTATCAATGTCTTCTTGGTGTTGCCCCATTGCAGCGGGTCGTTTGGGTCCTCTGCGGGGACGGGGAACAGTGCCTGGCCATACCCAGTATCGTCGCCCTCTGCCGCCCGCAGGTTGACCGTGCCTGGGATGTCCTCCTCGCGGGCGTGGCTGGGTAGTGTGTGAGCCTTTTATCTCAACGTAGACACCGTCTCGTGCAAGACGAACCTGTGCGCCAGGTGCCTCTCAGGCTGGTCGGCACTCATGATGTTCGGTACTGCTTTACAGGAGGCTGTAGGCTGCAGGCGGCAGTCGAGGTGATGTACGATCCTTGTTTTTTAGCAGGCCAACAGAAAATTTGGGTTAAGCAATGGATATATAAGAGAGATGTCCCCTTGCAGAGTACCCGATGAACTACTGCACGCAGCGACACACATCAACCGCCGAGCGATGCGTGTGTACCTTGAACACCATACGCCCCCGGGATACAAATCAAAACCCGAATCTCCAACAGCCAGTCTCTCCTCGTCTTGACAGTTGCGGAGGCGTCCACGTTGAAATCTGTCATCCTTAGATAATGCCCTCCCGACTGAACCTGCGGGGATGCTGCTCCAATCCACGGCTACCTGGGGCAGGCTAAGAAGCTTACTGGTAGTACTGACAACCACGGTAGATATCCCCGAAGTGCTTCTGCCAAGGGCCGCCAGCCGGTTGAATCTGGGGTAAGACAAGGGGTCCCAAACCCACTGGGGTGGGGTTGCGTATCATGCAGACTGGGATTGTGCCTACAGAGAGGGGAAGGTGGCAATTCTAGAGAAAAGATTTGATATAATCATCTTCAGAACTTGAAATGCAGCTGCTGAAGCACATGTAATGAACTTCAGGAGCGGGAGGGGAAGGAATAAGCTACAGTATCACAGTACCATTCGCGAGCTGACAGCGGCTCGCTCGCAAGGAGACGTGATGCGCGATTGATTGTGCTCGGACTTGCGTGATAGGCTATTGGGCCCCCAATTTATCTGGCAGGTTTTGTCCAGCGAAGTGGTGCATATGCAGGACAACAGGATATGTGCCTTCTCGCTTTCTTTTGCTGCCTCGAGGGTTGTCTGGACCTTGGCCCGCATAGAAGTTGGCCTGCCGATGACCAGACCTGTCGGATCTCTCGGGACATCAAGCTCATATTCGCCTTCTTCGATACCTCGTTCTCGCTGTCTGGACAGAGCAGTCTTTTAAGAACACCGATGGAGACGAGCGTAGTGGAAAAGTTCACCTGCCTGGGAGGCTTTTCGTATCTAGACTCGTGGCTGGATTGAATAGAGTCGATAGAGGGTGGAATTGCGCTCCTATTCGCCCTCAGGGTCCCAGGCGAGTGACATCCAGGGGATGGACTAGAGAACCCCGATTCTTCTCCTGAGTACATTTTGAGGACCACCCTCACAGACCAACAGCATCTCGTTTGAGCAAAGTGTACTATCGAGTCGATTAGAATACCAGGAGCAGGACGACAAACAACCAAGCCAGAGAGACGGAGGGGGTAATGATCGTCGTCCGTCGACTTCTGACACCTGGGTTTTGATAGATCATTGATTATTCGATCCGATTTTATTCGTCGCTGAACATTCCACTAGGCTATATTGAATCTTTTTTTTTCCTTCCGAAGAAAATTGGACTTGGATTGCTCCTTGACAATTCTAGGAATAAGTCGCCTTAGCCCGGATGACCGCAGGGCCTCCTTAGTCTGTTGTCATCTTGCAAACCTTATATGGAGCTGTCAAACGAAAGTCTAAGTGCTGCTGCACAGCGAATAAAAACGAAAAGCGTGAGCTTGATCCCCTTTCCAGGCCTAATTTTTGGTTTTAGGAACAACCTTGCCACTTCAGATATGGACTTGGCAACCACGGCAAACTGCACTCTCGAATAACAAAGTTCTAAACTTACACCTAGCGGGTGATTTAAAGCTTCAAACAGCGACAGGTAAATGGAGACCGAAGTACTAAATGACAAGTCTGCTCGCCGGTGGAATCTGTTTTCTTCCGTAGCGGTCTCCGAATCGGCTCCGGACACTTACGGCCAGTCAGCTATTCCTCCGTTTCTAGTGGTTCAAGACTCCACTAGTCGGATCTCGCGTCTCCATCATGCCGCTAATGTCGATCAGGGCAACTCCCCTTCGTCTCGCATTGGTACAGATGCATCTAAGACGGTCAGTTGATGACGGACGGGAGGTGATCTGCATATGCGGCAAATGCTGCAAACCAGCGAAGCACTCACTCGCGACTTCGGACGGTCAATATCGGCACCGATTAGAGGCGACGGCCGGATGTCATGGGCTCACAATCAAAGCGGGCACCAAGGGCTGCGCGCTGTTCTGTCTTGTGGACGTCTTGCTGTTCACATCTGGGTAACCAGTGTCTCCTGTGCACACGTAACTCCACCTAGACACATGACGATGGCCTTATATTCCCTCCCGCACATGCAGGGTTTCATTTCCCTGGACGCTCCACAGTATCACAAGGTATGGCCACTCGCTACTGCGGCATTACTGAACTCAAGACTTCTATGATGCATCTCGCGGCCGCGGTCTCCATGCGATGTGACGTCGGCCGAATGTCCAATGGGCATTCGTCGATGCTGTGCCTGTCAGAGCCGGCATGGCCGATATTGTCAACGACCACGGCTCATGCTTTTCTGATAAACTATTTAAAAGCTAATTGACCCTTTCCCGAGAGTTTGTTTCTGTCATCCGACTCTCTTCATCAACGAAGAAACTGTCAAGCTTGTGACAATGTCGTCTTTCACGGAGATCGGGCCTTTCGGCCAACAACACCACTACCTCCTTCTCGCAGCTGTTGCTGTTGGCGTTGCTGTCTTCAGTTTCGCGTACAAGGTGCTGCGGAATCCTCTGGCAAAATTGCCTGGGCCGTGGTATTCGAAGATCACCAGTGCTGTTCTGACCAACGAATTTTTGCAAGGCAGACGAGCCAAATATGTTCAGCTTCTTCATGAAAAATACGGTTGGTTTTGGCAACAATCCTCCTGTGAGTGTCCTTTGATTTACTGACGAGCTGTAAATAGGCCCCATCGTTCGGATTGGTCCAAATGAGGTCGATGTAATGGATGTGGCTGCGGCCAAGCAGATTCACACAGTCAAAGCAACATACCTAAAAGGCCCTTTCTATAAGGCTGTCAGCGCTCCCGGGCAACACAATGTCTTCAACACCGCGGATATTTATTTTCATCGTCGCCATCGAAAGCTCCTCCAGGCCCCCTTCTCTGATGCATCACTTCAGAGTTTCCAGCCCAACATCGAAAGTCGTGTCAGGCTAGCAATCCAGCGAATGATAGAGGAGTCAGCAAGTCGAGGTGTAGTTGACGTGTTCAAATGGTGGCTGTTCATGGCAACCGATGTTATCGGCGAGCTGTCATTTGGCGAGTCTTTCCGCACGTTGGAGCAAGGAAAAGTGAATTGTTGACACGCTACCATCAACATCCCGTACTAATTCAAGTCATAGAAAAGCGAATACACCGTCAACCTCGAAAAGGTAGCTGCGGTCGGCGCAAAGAGAGCCACATTCCCCACCTTAGCCAAGCTCGCCATGCAGGGTTTCCCTATTCCTGGATTCGGAGAAAACACCAACCTTCTACGAAGTATGCGCAGATACGCACAGGAGTCACTCGACCGGTACAAGAAAATTGTGGAGGAAGATCCGGAGAAGCCGGTGCCGACACTATTCACACGGCTGTTCAAGGGCGAGGAGGACGAGACTTTGACTTTCAAGGAGATTATCGACGAGGCCCAGGCCTATATCATCGCCGGCACAGATACTACGGCCATCACACTCACCTACGCCGTTTGGCGTGTCTGTCAGAACCCAAAGATCCGAGATAGGCTCGTCGAGGAACTTCAACAGCTACCAGAGGACTTCAAAGACCACGATGCCATGAAGCTGCCGTACCTCAACCAAGTCATTGAGGAAAGCCTCCGCCTCCACAGCGCGGCACCATCGGGACTGCCTCGCATAGTCCCTCCAGAGGGCGCTAATATGGCTGGGCAATACCTCCCGGGTGGATCTATAGTATGCACACAGGCCTGGAGCATGCACAGAATCGAGGAGATATTTCCAGACCCGGAGAAGTTCGATCCGGACAGGTGGGCTTCACCCACTAAGGATATGAAGGACGGATTCATGCCATTCGGCGGTGGCTCTCGCAGTAAGAATAACCCGACCTGCCATATGCATGCCTTTTCAGATGACGAGAAGCGATATTAACATTCTCGAAGTTTGTCTCGGCCTTCATCTCGCTCGCATGGAGCTCAGACTGGGCACTGCCCATTTCTTCCGCACATTCCCGAACGCCAAGGTGTCCACGCTGGAAGGCATGTCCGATGACGATATGGAACAGGTCACCTACTTTCTGGCTCCCCCGAAGAATAAGAGATGCTTGATCGAGTGTTCTTGATGCCCTGATGATGATGGGCTGTCATTCATTTTGAGGAGTGAGCCATAATTACGGAAACACAGCAGTAACAGCAACTGACGAGACATAACGCTACCGAAATGCCTTTATGGAATTTATCATAGGTCACACTGTCGGGCTCTGGTTGCTAGGGACCCAGGGAAGAGCTACATGGCGGAAAAGCCCTGCTCCAGGAAACTTTGCGCGCAGATGGCGCTGGAGGTGAGCAAATGCATATAACGGTAGACCAAGGAGGGCTACCACTAGGTACCTAGGTAGAACCAATCAATGGCGCTTGTTATCTTACCTGTTAGCTGTCTTGAACAACAACAACCAGACGCAGGCGTATTAGAGGCCCCAACAGACTATAGATAATTGTGCGTCTTGGCCTATCTAAACCTCCGATCAATGTCGTCGTCGTGAAGCCGAAACCATCTTTATTTGGCAGAAGTAAAACTGGCGGTATACACACAGATCTGTGCTATAAGAAGTTGTCACTTTTGTCCCTCCCCCTAGCGGAAGTTTGTTTGAACAGTCTATCCCGGCAAGCTACTGACGTGTTTACTCTTCCACATTAAGCTCAATATGCCTGTTGATTGCAAATTTGTATGTGTGCAAGATTTAGCTACTCGATCAACTATTGATTTTGAATGTGGCGTATTAGACATCTCAATTCGCATGGTAGAGCAACTGATCCCCACGCAACCTCTCCCTGTGAAAGTATCTTGCGCCGCATTTGAAGGTCAAAGTTCTTTGAGGCATAGCCCAGTTTCTACAATCTCTGCATGTATACAATTGCTATATTCATACATGTGATCGCTGACCTAAGCTGATTCCCATGTGCTTTATCTATGCAGAAGTTGAGTTGGATAAGAGCGACGGGACGAAACACGAGCCGAGTTTGATCTCCAGCCACGCTAGCAGATGTGACCTCGCGGGGACAACTTGGGGTCATTTCTATCAGCTACTTCTAGTGCAAGAACTGTCAGCTCGATGTAAACCTGCCCCATTTCGGCGTTCCTGAAGGTGGTGCGTCATCACATCAAAACCCCTGCATGTGCGGAGTTGAAGGGAAAGGAAGCAGGAGTAATCACATTTAATCTCGGCAGCTGGGAACCAACAGAACATCAGGGGCCAGAGCTCAGACTTTGGCTCTCACCACGGTGCCTGTATTCCTGCATCAAACAGGGGAGCCTTGCCGAACTCTAATCAGACGTCGTCCCCCATATAAAGAGGCAGGGCCCCACAAGCCCGTCCGTTTTTTTGTCCGAAGTAGTCACAGGGTCCCCTTCTCCTGGAGGCAAGGATCGTATACACGATGCGCTGGGTTGCGATCGCTCATGTCAGTGTGGCTGTTGCCACTCTGAACCTCAAGCAAATGAGACCGCCGTTGGCTGAACAAGTATTGTCGCCACGCCAACAGCAATCTTTAAATCCTTCTGCACCAAGCAGGTTCCTGAATGCGCAGACAGAAAGTGAGTTAAGGACTCAATTGAGCTGAGGCTGGTTACATAGGATAACATAAGCCCAGGGTTCTCTGTGAACGGGACCGCTTTACCCAACGTGGACTTCGATGTCGGCGAGTCCTATGCCGGGTCACTGCCTATCAGCTCGAATGTGAACGACACAAACCAGTTGTTCTTCTGGTTCTTTCCGTCAGAGAACCAGACGGTTGGCAATGAGATCACGATTTGGTTGACAGGCGGGGTAAGATTGCCTGCACTCGTATCGCTTAATGTCTGTGTAGACTGACTTCTGCGCACATCCAGCCTGGATGCTCATCCGTCGGCGAATTGCTATCTGAAAATGGCCCCGTCCTTTGGCAGCCAGGGGTGTTCAAGCCCGTCCGGAACAAGTGGAGCTGGCACAGGCTCACTAATATGGTCTGGATTGATCAGCCTATTGGAAGCGGCTTCTCCCAAGGAAATGTGACTGCTAGGAATGAGTTCGATGTGGCAGACCAGTTTATGGGCTTCTGGAGAAACTTTGTGGATACTTTCGCCTTGCAAGGTTTCAAAGTCTATATCACGGGCTCGTCATACAGCGGGATGTACTGTCCATACGTCGCCTCGGCCATGCTCGACGCCAATGACACGCAGTACTTCGACGTTAGGGGCATGCAGGTCTTTGACGGCTTGTATGCGAACAATCCGATCCCGCAAGACATCCCGGTATCGTCTTTCGCAGATAACTGGTCAGACGTGTTTGGCTTCAACGACTCCTTCACTGCATCAATGCAAAATAGGTCGAAATCATGCGGATATGACGACTACCTGAAGAAATACATAGTCTTCCCAGCTTCGGAACGCCAGCCATCGACTCTGCCAGGGGTAGAGTCAGACCAAGTGACGCCTCTCGAAGGGTGTGGGCTCTTCAACGACGTCTTCACTGCTGCAGCTGAGGTCAATCCGTGCTTCAGCCCCTACACCATCACCAGCTTGTGCCCCATAAAGTACGACCCATTAGGCTTCACAGATGGAACCTCGTATATCCCAGACGGCTCGGGGCCAGCCTATTTCAACCGTGCCGACGTAAAGGCAGTCATTCACGCGCCCGACAAAGAGTGGGCGTTCTGCACAAACGATCCCGTGTTTGTTAATGGCACCGACAACTCTGTCGTGGATGGTCCAGGATCACAACCCGTGATACCCAATGTGATAGATCGCACTCAGAACGTCATTCTTGGCCATGGTTCCCAGGACTTTGTGCTTATCTCCGATGGGACACTTCTTTCCATCCAGAATATGACATGGGGAGGGAAGATGGGCTTCCAGACACGACCTACGGAGCCACTCTTCATTCCATATCACGTCAACGATAACTTCGAGACTATCGCAGGCGCCGGTGTCCTCGGGACTGCTCACGAGGAACGTGGGCTGACTTACATAGCTGTTGCCCCGGCAGGGCATTTTCTCGCTATGGATGCCCCCCAGGTCGCCTTCAGGAGTATGGAGGTCCTTCTCGGGCGCGTGGATGGCTTCCAATCTCGGGCACCGTTCACTACTGACACGAACAACACTGCCCAACCGGAAGTCGATATGGGAAACGGCACCGTTCTGATCACCCAAGGAGGAGTCGTTGGCAGTGGAAATGCAAACACGTCTCCAAGCGGCATTGTGACCACCAGTGGTGCAGAGCAGTTCGGGAATAGTAATTGGTTGGCAGGGATTGCATTGCCAGTCTGTCTCTTGCTTCTTTAGCTCACCCTAAATGAAATGTCGCAAGCTCGCATATTCGCACTCCTTCGGTCCTATCTGCATCGACCTGTTGTTGGGAAAATCCTTTTGTGGAATTCTGCCAGGAGACAATCTTCGTGGTGTGGCAGAGACTTCGGTCATCAACCTCCCCAGAACCGTTCTCCAACCTGCTTTGGGTCTCTAGAATGACGAATCCCCGAATACTAAAGAGACATGAAGTTCTCCATGATCGTGTTTAGTCTTGCGCTGCAATTAAGGACACCACGATCATCTTGAGGTCAAGAATGTGTCAGAAAACCAAGGAGCCTGCGAATCTGGGCTGCTCAGGGCAGAGCATCGGCCATTTCCTCATATTCCATCTCCTGGTAGCCCAAGGCCTCATCTCCTTCGTCCTCTACTCCCTGTATCTCGCAGCCTTCATTGGACTGCGCAACCTCTTGAGCGCCATTCTCCGGGACGGACTTCTTGCGGGTTCTCTTGTCCAGCTTGTGTGCAATCTTCTGGTAGAAACCGGGGTGCTTGTTTTTCAGGTGCTTTTCGATGGTGGAATCTCCACGGTACTCGGTGTGCGGACAGAAAGGACAGAATATGGATTTCGTCGGGTCTTTGGCGTGCATTTGTTGATAGTGGCGTTTGATGCCGTTGCTGCTCAACGTCTCGGGACAACCAGGCCACGGGCACTTCTTCTTTCCATTCTCAGCGGGAATGCTGCATGATTCGAGGTTAGACGAAGAAGTGAGAAAGCCCAAGAAATAAAGGTCGTATCCAGCATTGTACATATGGGTCCAGATGAGGGGAAGATGCGGTATGGGTAGTTGACTCACTCCTTGAAGTCGATTGGGCGACCGAAAGGGCCAGGCGCTTGAGCACGCCGGGTCACGACACCTTTCTGATATTGTTCGAAGACGAAGTACCTGTCACCCAGGTGATTGCGGGCGGCCTCATCTCTGTCCTTCGCCTCCTGGCTCTCGTAGCTCTCCTCGACAGTCGGTTGGTCAGAGGAAATCTCCGTCTGCTGGCTAAGGGCGGTGATTAGAGAGTTGTCGATCTTGAAGATCAACTCGGTGTCATCCAGGTATTTCTTGAGCTTGGGCTGGCAGGCCTCGAGCCTTGTCATGTAGAGATCTTGGATGAGGCGCTTCTGGTCCTCGGAAGGCCATGACTTGGACTTGCCGTCCCAGAGCGAGTCACAAATCCTCTTGACGTACATTTCGTGCTGGCCAGGCATGTCATCAGCCATCGTTGACTGAAGCGCCGATTGTTGCACCTCAGCGCGCACGATGTTCTCGATGAATTTGATGGATTCGGCAGACGACATCTTGATTGCTTGATAGACGATGTCACGAACTGCCTGTTGGCGTAGAAAGAAAGATCAGAGTCTCGCTGTGCAAGCCTTGCGTCTGGAAGGCGGTGGTGGGGAGGCAGGATTTGCTGGAAATGGTGGATGGAAAATTTAGTTTCTTACGTCTGCTTAAGTGCTCAAAACGGTGGGGCATCAGATCCTCGTGGGTGTACAAGCTAGGCAAAATGCTAGCTGTTGGCAAAACTCGCCGTCGTCGGGGTTGTGCTCTTGTCTTCGGGGTTGTCTTCGCGGTCGAGTGGTTTGTAATAGGCGTTGTGACGTCTTAGGGAGTGAACTGACGAGATCTTCGCCCCTGCAAGACCTGTTATTTATGTGTCGGATGTTGAGGATTTTTAATGGGTGTCTTCACCTATGTTTCTGATAATGCTGTGTTTTTTGCGGACCGGAGTTGAATGCAGAATGTGCGATGCCTCGGGCAGTGAACTCAAGGCGGCGAGATCTTCGCGTGGGATCAATTGTGCAAGGCTCACCGGCGAATGTCCCTGTGGGTTGAGAGGTCCAGCCAGAGACGCGGCTGAGAACCTGGAAAATACATATCGGACGGTAGCTCTTACATCAACTTGGGCACAACTCAGGACCGAAAAGAAAGGTCTTTGCTCCCGTGGCTGAGGTACATGGCACGCACACCATCCGGGCATAGAGTGGGTAATTTGGCACAAGATGAGCAAGTTATTCAATAAGAACTACACAGCAAATATAAATCCCTCCTTTGGGCACAATGATAATTGTGCCATGGACGTTCTATACGAGCTGGTACCCAGACCAACAACCTGAGCAAAATGGCCGTCTGTGAACTTGGGAAAATACATGTGGCGATGTTTGTTTTTGTGGACGCGTGCTTGCACTGAATCAGAGGTCCTCGAACCCCTTATAATCCAATCGACCTGGAGTTTTGCAAATTCAGGTCTCCAAAGACTCTTGGTGGCAGAATGAACCATTATCCCGGCGAGTAACTGTAGTGTTTGCTCAGGGACCCAGGGCTGACACAGGCAGACTGAATCACATTGTGATCACCAAGCACTGCAACCACTGCTCACAAGCAAGTCAGCAGTCCACTCCATATTCACTGGCAATTCTGACTTGCCACAGATTTAGACTTGTCCAGTTCATAATCCCATCTACCATCTGTAACTGATTTCTATCCCAGCACATGATACATTTCCTGAAGCAGGTAAACACCGAGATAATAGAAATTTGAGTGAATGCCTTTCTGTCAACTTGACGGCATGCTTTCCATTGGCTAGAAAAGAAGCATCATGGCATTCGATCTACTCTGTATGACACGTCAAAAACTTTGATAAGACACTTCCCCGCCAAACCAAATCGACCAGCCCAATGGACCAACTTCTGGCCATCACAAACACAAACAAGATTACATTTAAGAATGCAATTCAAGCCTGCATTTCTGGTGCACTAGTAGACAGAGATAGGGATGCACAAAATCCAGGAAGACGGAGAGAACTTCAAGGCCCATGGCTACAACGCCTCATTGCAGAGTTCTCAGGCAAAGTCATCAGGGAGTAGACTGCTCTCCCCAGACAACAAAAAAGGGAGCAAGGAGTCAAAAGAGTTCAGGCTTGTTGCCCTAATCTCTCTTCATTCATTCGTTGCCAATGTACTTGGGATTAGGTTTCCTGCCACATCGAGCGTACTCTCTTCCCTTATTTTCCATGGGTACAACCTGAGTTGAACGGACGACCGCTGTGTCGAATTGCGGTTTTTAATGATAATAATATTTTGTTTGTGTTGTTAGACGCTATGGCAGTTGTGCCAGGGAGCGCTGGAGTCAAGCGCAACCGGGCCATTGAAGTAGTTACTTGGGACTGCAAACGCAGGGCCAGGACTTGGGATGACGAGGCGTGATGAGTAAGTAAGAGCTATGTAAACGACCTGCGATAGAAAACATAGTGTCAGGAATCGGAATATGTCCAGTCAGGAGCAGCGAGAACAAAGAAAAGCGCTCCACGCAGCAACTCTAGAATGATTCCGTTGCAGCGGTTTAGAAAGTGAGGGTCTACTACTTTGTAAGGAGCTCGACTATGCCATATGCGTAGCTTCACATGTAACTAGGCCAATCTCAAATACAGCTGCTGCGGATGAGCTTAAGCACAGGCGGGCATCGAGCGGATGTTAACATTGGTCACAGCTTATGCAAGGTTTATTCCCTTACTCACGATGGCTCATGACTATGGCCCAGTGATCTTTGTGTTGACATGATGCAGCTCAAATTTTCTCGGTGCCGTAATGCCCGCCTAGACCATTTGGATAGAGTAGAATATATGACAAGAAACTAAGTGATTATCCGGTAGTGGGAAGTCAAGAAGTTCCTAGGCAGCAATATGACTTGAACACAACAATGGAGCACAATGATATTCAAACAAGCGGCTCTGCGCTGTATAAGGCTGAGGTGAAGCCCATTAATGTTGTTGCATTATGAGTAAATATGTACAGCCTCAGTAGATACGTCAATATGTCCATTACCACGTACCTGTTCCCGAACTGCCAGTGACCCATCTTACGTCCTCGGACCGGATACAGGTTTAAAGGTTTAGAAGGTAGCGGCAGCCAAGTTATTGGTGAACGTGGAGTCCTTGAACGGAACTGTGGCCGCCCCGAAGTCCACAGTCTGCAGAGCATCCCTAGCCGCGGTAGGCAGGCTTTCCCAAGCGATCAGCGGCTGTGTGCCTCCGACAGCCGTCGTGAGGCCCATTTGATGGTTGACCGGCCAGACGCTCTCGTATTTGATCAACGGCTTAGTGCCGGACAGAGTGTACCCGCTGGTCGAGCAGTCCCAGTCTCCATGGGCAGACGGGCACACAGCAGCGATGTTGCTCGCGGCGGTGGACGTCGCCGACTTCAGCCAGACGATTACACCCTCCCATTCGTGGCGATGTCCCAGGCCATCGGAAGGAGAGTCTTTGGGCATGTACCTATTCAGGAGTGTAAGTCTATCTGTGTTGATATGCAGTCTCAAAAGATGACATACCATGAGTACATCAGCCCGTAGTACCCGTTAGACGATGTAGTGCCGCGAACATAGACCTGTCCCGTACTGCTCGAGCACCCTCCATTAGACGCGCCTGTCGGGTTAAGTCCGGCGCTGTGGGTGGGTTAGATTTGGTTCGCTGCATAGCGATCTGCACGACACCGCCGATCACGTCGATCGCAAGATGTCGGTCAGCCGGCCAGGGGAAAGAAAGACGTACTTCGTCTCTCCCGCAGCATTCACAGCTGGAAATGGAACACAGCCATTGACGACCTTGAGGTACGGCTTGTAGGCGAGGTAAACGCTCCCTGTGGTGCCGGAAGGAACAGTCTCGGCGAATCCCACGACCTTGTCTGAGTCGATGGGAGCACGGCGCTCGATCGGGCTGGCGCTGACGACTGCAGCCGCGGCGATGAGGGAGACAAAAGATCGGAGGACACCCATGATGGAGAGGGTACCGTGTTTGCGGTATCAAATAGTACAGACAACGAACGGCGTGAGAGCGAGGACTGCTGAGTGCGGCCCCTCAACACCAGAGCGGGATAAGTAGAGCTGCCCATCTTTATATACACTAATTAGGACATGCACGTGTGGGAATATTAGGTAGGTAGATCAATGCCAACGTCCTTACCGAGCGCCAGCCAACATCGGCAGTGTGGTCACATCGCAGTGCTGATAAAAGGCCCCCTGCTCCGGAGCAATGCCCCTGGCCGGTTAGGAGCAGTCGAGGTGCCGCCCAGGCACAGTCTTCCAGGGATGAGCCCGGCCAGGAGGTGACCCACGATACGCGGACCAGTTCGCCCAAAGTTTTGTCCCACGTGTGGCAGGTGGAGCGAGATCATTTGAACGCTGAATCAAGCACACCCGACCACTTTAAGCTTAAAGCAGCAAACGGACCCGTCATGGCAGCAGTGCCAATGGAGATGCGCGAGCGGTGAATTGCAATCCTCCACTGCACGTGTTCGTCCTCCTCGCTCCTCGGCGGCACACCTGGGCGTTCTCCTCTTTGCGGCCCCGACCTTCCTGATGCGTTCTAGGACTTCTGGGATCTCTAAGATCAGATTGGTCCCTCTCCACTTCTTGGACGGACCTCTTGAAGGCACGGGCAAGCATCCTGTATCAGGGAGAATGCCCAGTAGTACCAGACTTTCCCCTACATATAATGCAGCCAAGCAACCGCCTGCATTAACGCCCGGGTTGCAGCTTCTGAAAGCCGGCCTGCACCCCGAGATCGACAGAATTGTTGAATTGAGATTCGACCTCCAAACAAAATCAATTTTTTCCTGGGTGACAGCTCAAGACACAAAGCTCCAGCTAGCAAGTGCAGACGAGGGCGCCCGAGTCAGACAAGCCGGTAGACCGCAGATGCTCGTGATCAAACAATAAATCATTCGCTTCACGGCCCTCATCTATGTATCTAACCATCATCTCCCACACAGTGGACCTTCATTCCGAGTAGGCCGAACTTTATATCTACCGCTCGGAACCTCCCGGCCCTCAAGATTTCAAGAGCCATCTACATGCAATTAAGCCAACAACTCGAGGGATACTCAACGCCCGGATTTGGCTTCACCAGTACACACTCTTTCCTCTATGATGACCTCGTTTGGGACAATGCGCTATTGAAGAAGTTCCAGCAGGATTATCAAGAACAGAATATTTAACAGCTGCCTGAAAGTCTCCATTCTTCTTGTATCAAATGCAAGGTGGCCTCTACAGGGATTTTGTTTGTTCTGTCCCATCCGTCACTTTCTATATACTGAGAAGTATCTAATCAACTCATGGGATGTTTGCAAGCTCGATGATCCTTACTGGCTTGGGCTTTAATCCCTTATGGATGCTATACAGGGGTACGACTATCTCCGGTTCAGTAAGTGATATGTCAGGGTAATTAAAGGCTGGAGTCAAAACACACCATAAAACCAGGACGAAGAAACCAGGCGTCGGGATTCCTTCGACCAAGCCCGGTTGGATTGTCACAAAGAATGGTATGCATACCAGCGGGTGACAGGCAATGCGGTCTATCTTGACGAGCTCATGGGCAACGATCTTTAATCATCCCAACTTATCAGCACTGGAAGATATTCCGACACCCAATCGATGGATGTCTCTCACTGCGGAAGCAGCCTTTCATTTCTTGCTTCGATCTGACCAAGCAGCGCCTTGTTCGACGCGGAGGGCACATACGTCCAGTGTCGAGTGCCAGCTTTCAACAAAGAATTTAGCTCCAGCTCTTGTCCAGCTGGCAAACAAGCATTGCCCATTGAATGAGACCTCACGTGGAGTATATTGACAGCTTTGTGACCATTGGAGAGGGTGGAAAAGGAACTTTAGCGCAGTGAAAGCGAATTGCAACACCGTCAGGAAATAGGCAGAGAAATGTCATGCTCTATTATTCGTCCGCTGAACAGGGCCCTAGTTCTCGGCGGCCGCTGCTACGTGCTGCTGCCTCAGCACTGGAGCGAGACAAGAGTCGATAAACAAAAAATCTGTTGCGTACAATCAGATCATGTACAATGAGTGGAAATGTGGTATAGCTCTCAAACATACTGCACCCTCGCATGGTTTCCGTTGGGAGTTCCGGAGCCGAATGTGTCAAAGCCTGGGACGTGATAATGCCGGCAAACCCCAGACGGGTTGGAAAGATGGGGGGCGGGGTCTGCGAGCATTCAATGTCGGCATAGTGGGCGAATGAGGACTGCGTGCACCATTTGTCAGCGCCGAAGCGCGAGAGCTTGGTGACGTGCGATCATGAAAGTCAAAGGATTCCGGGATTTCAAAGCATATGAAATCAAAACAGCTCTCGTCGTGAGTCGGCAGCTTGGCAGGTGGGGCCGAGCATCTGAAGCAACAACAATATAAGAAACTAAAGAGACACGTATCCTCACGATCTCAGCAAGCTACGACAGGCTTCACCAGCTGCGGCCAGGGTACAGGAACAGACCAGACCAACCACCGCGGCACAATGACAGATCAAGTGAGACAGACTGCCATCCAATATTATGGAGCCCTGGACTGACATCCACCAGCCCTATCAGAAAGACGGCCACTTCACCCGGCCAGCGAGCACATTCCGAAACTTTATTTCCAAAGCAGCCGGCTCCAAGTATCCGCCGGAAGCAAACCGCTATGCGTTGTATCTGTCGCCTGGTTGTCCCTGGGCGCACCGCACGCTCATCGTGCGGCGACTTAAAGGCCTCGACTCTCTCATTGACTTACACCTCTTAGCCATGCATATGGGCCCCGAGGGGTGGGTTTTCGGCGGAGAGAACGGCCAGCCAGCCGAGGACCCGTTGCACCCGGGCTTCACCAAGATCAAGCAGCTGTACGAACATGCCGACCCGAACTTCAAGGGCCGCTACACCGTGCCGGTGCTGTGGGACAAGAAGACAGACACCATGGTCAACAACGAAAGCTCCGAGATCATTCGCATGTTTTACTCGGAATTCGATGACCTCCTCCCCGAGCACCTGCGCGAAAGTACAAAGGAGAAGCAGGGTGGTGGCATCTTCCCCGAGCACCTGAGGGGGCAGATCGAGGAGATGAATGAGTGGGTGTACAATACCGTGAACAACGGAGTGTACAAGACAGGGTTTGCGACGACCCAGGAGGCGTACGAGGCCAACCTGTACCCCCTGTTCGAGTCCCTCGACCGGCTGGAGAACATCCTGGCGCAGCACAAGAAGCCGTACCTGTTTGGGGACCACATTACCGAGGCGGATGTGAGGCTGTATACGACGCTGATCCGCTTCGATGTCGCTTACCACAGTGTGTTCATGTGCAACCGCAAGTCGATCCGCCATGACTACCCGAATCTGTACTTGTGGCTGCGCAGGTTGTATTGGGACCGGGACGACGGCGGACAGGCTCGGGGGGCTTTCTATGAGACCACCGAGCCGTACTTGAAGCATTACGGTAAGGGTTACGCCGCAGCGCGTAACAAGATTGTGTTCCAGGACAAGGTGCCATTGATTACACCTGCGGGGCCTGCGATTTTGATTGATCCTTTGCCGAATGCGTAGGAGATAGAATCGGACGGCTTTGTATGTTGCCATTATGAGCACATTGCAAATGGTCTAGAAAGCACTTCTAAACATTCATTGCTCTCAAATCAGTGTTCTGTTGTAGCAGGATCTGCAAAGACCTACAAATAATTCAGCCTATTTTGCACCCTGTCCCTGTATCTTTTCAAATCAAATTTGAGATGCTCTTGAATATGGTACTAGGGTTGCCAAATATTCCGCCTTTTATTCTACTTCATATAAGGACATATCTCCTCCTTCACTGCGTCTCACAAGCTGATCATTGATCAACGTCCCCCGAACTCCTTCATAATGTGCTGTATCTGTGTAATTGGTTGCTGTAGTCTATCTATCATGCTGTTGAAGAAGTCTGAGAAACAAGAGACGTCTCTAAGCGCACCGTGTGTCCCTCATCGTATTTCCTTCTTCAGGAACGAAGCCAGAAGCAATCCGCAAGGCCGGTTCTCTCGAGCGGGATATGACGGCTCTTCCTTATATTTCACGTAACCCATCCGGGTATACCACTCCTCATTAGTTGCACCCTTCGGCTTCGGCTCCACCCCAGTCAGCCGGAAATACTCCAGCCGGTACTCATCCTCCTCAGAGTACCTCCGGCTCAGGGTGTCCACCAAGAGGGCCTTGCAGTTCTTTGAGCCATAGGGTTCCGTGGTGGCCCACTCCTCCAAGGTCTGGAAGGCCGCCGTGGCAATGCCGCCGCCGCGGTGCTCCGGGAGCACAAAGAGGTCTGCGATCTTCAGGCTCGACCCGTCCCCGACCTTGTCGAGTGAGATGTGTCCCACTTGCAGGTCTGGCTGTGCGGTCGGTTTGATCCAGAAGAGGGTGTTTGTTCGCGCCGCCGTCCTCTCCTGCCACGATGTGATGTCTTCGGGCTTGGATTTCCAGCCGCATATCTTGCGCTGGCGGAGGAGCTCGTCTGCCTGGGCCTGGTCACGGAGGTTTGCGGGCTCCAAGGTACACTTCGACTGGGTTGGCGACGGCGTCGACATTTTATTGTTGGGCTTGGATGGTGGGCTGACTCAAGAATGGATTTGATGGCCGGGCTTCGGCTGGAAAGAGTTGTGAACGGAATGACTTCACTTGAGTTCAGACGAGGACAGCCCTAACAATGTATGGCGGTGATGGTCCAATTCAGAGTATTATTATTTGTCTGAAGATTCAAACAATTGCGAGGGTGAGGCTGTGGGAAATCCTTCGGGTTTGATCCACAGTGACTCATGATCCCGCTGTTAGTTGCCGCGCCCTTGCGCGGACAAGGGATAGTTCGGCGTTGAATCCTAGTATTAATTCACGAGCACTCCTAGAGCCTCCTTCAATCCGACATGATTCATGCGAGCGAACGGAGAAAACACCTGATGTAGGTCACGCCGGCATTGTTGCACCAAAAGCTGCCAAATTCCTGTGCTTCAATATGGCCACAAAGAGTCAGTGGAACCGGAATCTCTTCAGGGCTCACCTAGAGCCTAGAGCTGGTGGCGCCCTTGCGACCCATGCAGGTAGACTGCACGCGCCCTTGCAATGATCTTGGGTGGGGTTCAGATTTGCCTGTCTCACAGATCAACTCCACGTACGATTCATCGACGAATGCTGAGAGAAATCATCAATACTCGATTTCTCCTGCCAAGTGCTAAGTCAGAACGAATTGAATAAATATCTACGTCAGCTTATCATCGCAAAAATGGCTACTCCAGACGAACAAATCCAAATCGCGGCCCAATGTCTTTGCAAAAAGCACACCTTCGCGTCGGCTGTCTTGCGCTCGTCTCTCCCACTGAAGGCGACAGCATGTCACTGCACTTCCTGTAGACGCTGCACCGGCGCACTATACAGCATGGACATCCCATGGCCTGGAAATGGCGACGAGATACGCGATTCGACTCTCAGGAAGTATAATTTCTCACAGCGGATAACATTACTCTTCTGTGAAATTTGCTCGTGTCCTATGTTCTTCGAAACCAAGAAGCCGCAGCAAGGCGAATTCGACAACGCACCGGGGAGCGAATACGGCGTCCTGACTGGCACGCTGTCCAATGATGGCCCGGATGGCCTGGTGAAGGTCGAGGACCACATGTTTGTTGGCGATACGAAGGACGGAGGAGCAAGCGTGTGGATGCGGAATCTCAACGGAGACGGCGTGGGAATAAAGAGGTGGTTGGGGCGGACGTCTGAAAGCGAAGAAGTTCCACTCGACTGGCCGGGAGCTTCAACCCTAGCGACCGAAGTAAAAAGTGAGGTCGCTGAGATTCCCATGCGGTGCCATTGTGGCGGTGTCGATCTGGTCTTCCAGAGACAGAAGGCAGAGGAAGAATTCATGGCAAAGGCCAAATCAGATCTCCCATGGTTCGTTGATCCGGCGAATAGGAAGCTGATGGGCTCTGTGGATCCTTGCGACTCCTGTAGGCTGTCATCTGGGGTGGACTTCTGGGCCTGGTCCTTCGTCTTCCTGAGACACATTGGGTTCCCTTCGAAAACAGGCGGTGGTATCAGCTTTCCTGCTGATACAAAGAAGTTGAAGGCAGCTGTATTGACACAAGGACCGGACCGAGACCCAAGGTTGGGTACTTTGAGCTTCTACTCGAGCTCCAAGGATGTGCAGCGGTACTTTTGCTCATGCTGCTCCGCCAGCGTATTTTACGCTGTGGATGACAGGCCGGAACTGGTCGACGTGGCTGTCGGATTGTTTGATGCTGCAGATGGAGCAAGAGCCGAAAGCTTACTGTCCTGGGGAATGGTGCGGACCCTGCCGAAGTTTGTGTGGAGGGACGACATGATAAATGGTTGGAGGAAGCAGTGGCTCGAGTCGGTCGAGTCGGAAGCTGAAGCCCATAGAAGGAACAGAAAGTAATGCACATATTATGACGGCTCTACTGAGCGTCCGAAAGAAAAGGGAAATCGAAGTGACGAGCCAAGAATCAAGCTGATTGTGAGTTTTCGCTGCGTTTCGACCTAAGGACACCACTTGGTGCTGAAGTGTGGATTCTATGGCTATGTAGGATAAATATACACAGTCTACAGGACCCAACTAAAGCACGCTCGAGATGATGACTGCTTTATCAGGATAGATACCACCAGAGATGTGTCTGCGTGTATACAACTAGCTGAAAGCTGATAGGTGAGACTTTATCAACTTGCCGAAATAACCATGATTTCCTGTGGGATAATCCGTCATGAGACAGCCCGTTGAATAATCTACATTGGAATTGGGCAATAGTCAACGGCGATGATGAGAAAGACCGAGGATGGGATGACCATTTTCTATATTTTAAAAACACTCGTCTAGTTCCTCAAAGAACTCCCCCTTTTTTTTCTATCCAAATATCGCTACAGTTGAGTCGTATCTCTTTGCTCATCAACCACCATCAACTCGTTTGTGCTTTCTCCGCCTGCAACTGTGTGATCAAGCCATTGCCAGCGAGAGATCCACCATAGATTGCGTTCGGGACCATCCGTATCTGTGATGCTGCATCTCCTGCAGCGAATACTCCCGGAACGCTGGTCTCGTTGAATGGCGAGCTGACTTTGATTTCCCCCTGGGCCCCCGTCTCGAGGCCGAGCTGCTTCACAAAGGGTCCATCGATCTCGATGGGTGGATGGTAAACCTGCAAATTCAATGGAGTCCATCAGAATCTGACGTCTTTTTCTCCGGGAAATTCATCTAGTTATACTTACCACATATGATTCTTCAAATTGCGTCCCATCGTCAAGCGTCACAAGAACTTGTGAGGTATCGTCTGACAGCATTCTGAGGCTCCGGATGCATCGCTTTTCGATGGTAACTCTTGACTTGAAATCTGGTCTCCAGGCGTTGGCTTGAATTTGTGATGTGAATTCCTCATTGCCGTTCGTGTAGATGCGTAGATTCTTTGAGAGTTGAAGAGCCGTATTTCCAATTTGAGAGACAGTTTCTAAGCTGTCAAACATAGCAAAAGCAAATAATCCTGCGGAGTCCCCACCTTGGTCTTCGTACCCGTGACACAAAAGATCGGGAAATCTAAAATTAAGTCAGCCTTGGTGACCTTGTTTTTGTGTGCTCACTCACACTGCACGGCCCCAGCAGAAATCAAATCCCTCAATCTGGGGCAGAATGTCTTTCACTCCGGTAGCGATCACCACTTTTCTTCCCTCATAAACATTGGCCCAGCCGTCTGTAGCCTGGAAATTACCGTTGTCTAATTTCTTGATTGTTTCGATATATGCCCTCTTGAACTCCATATCGTAGCGTCTCAATATGTCACCCTTGGACTTCATCCTGAATGTTTCCGGAGCGACGTGGTCGAAGCCCACGACACCGTGCATGTGGTGTGCGCGTGCGTTGCGGTAGACGCCTGAGTCGAACAGAATGCCCGTCTGCAGCTGTCGTACGATAGTGGATGCTACCGCCAACCCTGCTGGACCACCACCTATGATCAAGACGTCCACAACCTTGGGAGGAGCCATGGCGCAGGAGATTGTTCAGTAATGACAGTCAAGGTAGGAGTGAGAAATATAAACGGACAGAAGTATATGCTGAATGTTGTCAATTCTATTGCTCTGCTTGCCAGGCGTTCACGTCGACTCGTCCCCAAGGACACAAAAGTCGAAGACAGACGGCTTATATATCACCTGTTTGTGGTCATGTGGAGAGTACAGTCAGCTCCTTTCGGACATGTCTTACGTTCGCTCCCCGACCTACTCCTTCGAACCGTGACTCGGGTGATTCACAAACGGGGTGATTGTCGGTGACTTCCGGGGTCTGCCGAGTCTCCCGATCCGGAAATGCTAATGCGGTTCAGCGGGCCGACCCCGCGCTCCGTCTTAAACGCGACCTTTTCTCCGTTCTCATTCTATTTTGGCCAGCCGAAACTTACTCGTCACCTGCTAGCATGATCGCTACCGTGCTGTGAGGTATATAGTTTTTGGAAAGATGCAACTTGTCATATGCATATCGAAGCAAGGCTATTTTCTGGGTGCGGAATCCTCCGCAGTCGACTCATACGCCCAACAGGTGATCCCGGAGTCTCCGGCCCACTGGTTCCCTCGTACAGAATGCCTGGTGGCGCAGATGTGCACAAGGGACCAACGCAGGATTTCGATAAAGTACAGCCGCAGTCTCAATCACAGAATTCTGTGCCAAAATCATTCTCAACTGAGATTGCAACATTCCCGACACTAATCTGCAAAACCAAATGGTGACCACCAGTACGGACTTGGGACGCGTGTTTTTGATCCAGGGGTGTCGCACACACCAGCGCGAAGAGGACTTCGGCATGGCAATGGTTGAGACTACATGCATGCTTCAATCATAAGATGAGAAGATTCTCTGCGTTTCCTCTAGATGCACTGCAGATTTTGGGACAGAACACCTCTGCTGCTAAGCTCTGTGTCCTGTCTGGCTGCTGAGTACGCTGCATGGATAAAGTCGAATAGCCAATCTCTTTGAGGTCCTTCCACAATTTTTCCCCCTATGATAAATGATTCCCCTTTCAAAGAAAATGCTTGGTATCTTGACCTTGCTGCCGGTGTCACATCAGACCAGATACGACTGTGAGACTCGGCCAGAAGCACGCATCGCGTAGTATGTTCTGCATGAAACCCTAACCAGCAGGATCTTTAACCAAAGAAGGAAGTTAACAGGAGAGCATTTCCCCGCGAATGCAAAAGTCGAAAATGACTTGATGGGCCAAGCCAATTGCGCATGGTATTCACGCTGGATTCATGAACATGCAGAATTTGCGTTACACCTAAAGGCGATCGGAACCCTGAGTTTAAAATCAGCGCCCGACCACTCAAATTAAATTTGGTCTGCATAGAAAGCCGTTTCTGGACCTAATTCTTTCAGAGGCGATTGGGTGCAAGATAATTTACTTTTTTGTCTGCGTCTACTTCCGTCTCCCCGAAAGGCATGAACCTACAGGGTTGAACAAAGTTCGAAGTACGATGCGATGGTAAACACTATAAGAGGGAAGTGTAGACTCTGGTGGCCGCTGTTTTTCTCAACTTCTGCTGCTAAATTGGGCCAAAAATTATTGCTCATACAGTTCCAACATACTTGAAACGCACAACTTATGCTCATCATCTTCTCGAAATGGCAACCTCTATAATCTTGAGGGAGTACAGCATGGTGGACCATTGGAAGTGTCTACTTAGCTGTTCTGTCGTTGCGACTACGGCTTTCCTGTATGGAATGGACATAATAATTGTTGATACTCTGCAAGCAATGCCTGGGTTCTTAGAGGTACGTTCTGATGGTGGCAAGTTGGCGGCGCTGAAAGATGTCGTATTGAAGATGGCCCATCTAAGTCACTGGGGCTCCAAACATTCACTTCCGGCTGAAAAAGAAGGTGACAATAATCAAATGGCATAGGTCTTCGGCAACCGCGATCCCACAACCCCCACTGGATACAATATTTCACCTATCCGCCAACAGCTTTTCGGCACGCTTGTGGTTTTGGGGAACATTATATCATGTGGTTCCTCTGGTTTAGTTTCTCACTATATAGGTCGAAGAGCGTCAATCTGGGTCGGCTCTGTGTTCCTAACCTTGGCCACTGTTCTAATGATGGTGGTCGATACTATCGGCGGCGCATATGCTGCAAGATTTCTCGTCGGTATCTCTCAAGGTTTCATCTACACTTTTTTCAATCTCTATCTCCAGGTGAGCTCTCACCTCCTATCTCCCACCGCATGAAACGGCTGACCACCCTACTAGGAGTGCGCACCGGCCAGGTATCGTGGGCTTGTATTGTCAATATCTGGCGCCGTATTAGTATTTGGTAGGCCATTCGTAATCGAAGATGTGTCTCCTTTCATGCAAGTGTACAAGCAGTGTTCTTACGAGAAAATAACTCCAGGCAGTCTTACCGGAAGCATTGTCGCCAACTACTCAGTCAAGCTACCCGGCCGCCAACAATACCTCATTCCCCTGGGAGTTTCACTTGTTTTTTCGGCCGTCTTCATGTTCGGAGCTGTCTTTATCGTGCCAGAGTCACCGAGATGGCTGCTGCTCCAGAACAAAGACGACGAAGCGAGGAGATCGTTAAAAGCTCTAAAGCCAGAGACCGAGTCCGATAATGATATCAATGCCGAGCTAGCCTACATGAAAGCAGCGATCGACGAGGAAAAGCGGCTCGCTCAAGGCGTGACATTCAAGGATGCTTTCCGGCATCCCGTAGACCGAAGGAGGACCATGCTCGTCATCGGTACGGCCCTGCTCACCCCTGTCACTGGAATAACTTGGCATGGAAGTAAGTGGTCCTAACTACACCACCCGCATGTTTCCCCTTTCCAGTTCAGCGCTGAATCGGCTATCTATGCAGCTTACGGCACCTACATGTTCCAGATGGCTGGTATTAAAAAGCCCTTCGAGCAGTCAGTTGGCCTAGCAGCATCAGCACTGGGGTTCTCCATCATGAACACTTTGACAATCACAAGGATGGGTTACAGGCGACTTTGGCTAATTGCAGGACTGTTGATCTGTGGTGCTTGCAACGTCGTCATGGCAGCCACTTATCAAGCTCACCCAGGCAGCCGGGGATCCGGAATCGTCACAATAGCGATGTTCCACGTTTTCAATTTGGGATACATAGGCATGGTATTGACATACTCACGTCTGATCTGCGGGGAGCTGCCGTCGCAGCGTCTGCGAGCCTTGACGTTGGGGTTTGCAGTCGGCGCCAACGCGATTGCGGAATGGGTGACCAACATTATTGCGCCGGTAAGTTAGGTGCTGGTCCAAAATGCAGTTACATTAAAAAGAAGCGCCGTGCTGATAGAGCGTGCAGTACTTTCTGAACCCTGCCGCCTTGGGATGGAATGCAAAGTTTGCATATCTTTGGGCACCGGGGTGCTTGCTCGGAGCTCTGTGGGCGTATCTTTATCTCCCTGAAGTCAAGGACAGGAGGCTCGAAGAAATTGACGAAATGGTAAGAAGGCGCAAAACTGCAGGACTCAGTCACGTCAATGGTTCCCTACTCCATGACGCGCATCTGCTGGATGAAGTGCTGACAGCCCCGTAGTTCTTGGCCCGCCTACCTGCGAAGAAGTTCAGGCAATACGAGTGTGTGGGAATCGGTGCGTTGGCGGTCGCAAGTGATAGCAGCCCTAGCATCAGTAACGTCGCGGACAAAAAGGACGAAGTGACGGTCATCGCTAGAGCTGTGAGCAATTCTGCGTGAAAGAACATATTTTGAGGCTGGGTAACGAAGTGATGGCCGAACGTTATGCATTCAAAGAAGTCCGCGCGCCTTTGTTACACACAAATTGTAGGTTTCGATGGGTATTATAGCATCCGGGGCCGCTTCTGTGGTATGGCATGGCCAGAAGTTAGATTGATATGTGGTATCAAATCATCACTGCTTGAGGATCATGTTGCCATACATAGCTATCTTTAGTCGACACACTAACGGATAGTCGGCGCGGAAATGAATACCTGTATGAGGTACGCCATTTCTCCTTCAATAAGCAGCCCTCAATAAAAACCAATATATTTCTATAGCTAAAGCAAGCTTTCGAGTAGTGATGATCTAGAGACCTTCTTACCTACCATATATCAATGGACGGGAGAATCAGAGGCCATTGTGACGACGGCAAGGACGTGCGTAGATCTGAATTGCTGGCTCTGATGCACTTGGGTAGAGGGTGGACAAGGAAAAGTTGTTGGGACGTGAGTGGATAGGGCACCTAGAGACCATATCCAAAGAAATGATTTTACACTATCAGAATCACCACGGCCGTCTTCATCTATCTTGACCTAGTTTCTGATTGCCAACATATCAAATATTGAGCTCCTCTCTTCTCCCCTCTTTCCCTGTCAGGTGCCTACCTTGCGAACATGTAAATACGGTTTGGCGATTCAGATCAGCCAAAAGATCTGGTCTTTGGTGAAGAGGTCTCGATATACGCCCCCAGGTCGATTGTCGATCATCCGACCCACGCCTAGCCTTTCGAAACACGGCGCATCAGCAATGCGAGCTTCCACTTCGGCCACAAACAGCACCGCGAACACCTCTACCTGCTTTTCATTGGGAAAAGACCCTACCCAGACCCTGTTTGCTCGGTTAAGTCGGAATACATAGATAGGACTTTGCCTGTCGTCGGCGATACAAGGGCCTGTGTCGGTATTTTCCACGCGCAGGTTGGCATCATCAAAAGACGCCCATCCAAATGCTTTGCCCTTTCCGCTGAGCGGGGTGAGCTGGTACCATGCGTCGCTTATAGACAGTTCGCCCTTGGCATTGGCAGACTTCAGGCTCGCTTCCCTCGGATCGGCGCCGATCAGGTAATTTGCAGTGAGCTCTGCGACGCGAGAAAGATCCTGCTGCCCACCAGGTAATGCTTGTTCGAGACGGAAATTCCTTCTCAGCTGGCCTTTCATGCGGAGGGCCAGGAAGCGATTCTCGATGCCAAAATCACTGGCCAGGGCGTCAGAGGTAATTGGACGCGCTTCGGCTAGGTCCAACAGGGACGGATTACTCGTCAGGTCGGCGACGACGTGGCGCACTTCTTGCAGCTCGAAGCACTCTCCTGAAAACCGACGCCACTGCGTATGCCACCGCGCCGCCACATTTTCAACCTGGCTTGTGCCTTCATCTGCTGGTGCACGACCCAGTGAGGCCCACGTCCAAGACGGAAACCCAGGCACTCGCACGAGGGGTCGGCTCCGGTCCACAATCTCCCACTGCAGGCCCCGTCCCAACTCTTGCCCCCACAGGCCACACAAGTACTCTGCAGGCCCTGGTGGCTTGTGCCAGTCCAGCCTTTTCCGCGCAGTCCCAAGCGCAGCCCCGAACTCGGACGCGACGCCCGACAGCGCGATGAGGCGGTCGTTTCCTACTTTGGTCAGGTTCAACCCTGAGTAAGCCTCCACAACGCGCCGCCTGCGAAATTGAGAGTCAGCTACTAGTATAAAACATTGAAGAAAAACCTTAACTCGAACAAAAGGGTGAAGTAGGCCACTATATACTCATTGCTTGTCTCAGCCGCTGCAACCTGACAAAGGATTTCAAGGCGACCAGTGAAACAGACTATGCATATAGTGGGTATTTCTTCCTGAAGAGATTGAATTCGGTTAAAAGCTGCTTACCAGCTTTCAGAAATGTCGGACTGCCCCACCAAGCTGAGATCGAGCGCGTTCTTGTAGGATTTATCCGGCAGGCCCGGCCGCTCCTCCTGCACCTTGTCGTTGAGAAGGGCGGACTGCGGCAGGTCTTCGGAGCAGACGAGAAAAACGCCTGCATTCTGCGAGAAGGCGGCGATGCGGGGGCTGAGCAGCCACTCCTGGAACACCCAGCCGCGGGAGAGCACCTCACTATTGGTGATGGCCTGGGTGTAGAGGGTACGCAGGTGCGGGTTGGACACGGGCTGGATCGAAAGGGCACCCGCGCGCTGTCCAGCGGCGTTGTTGTATGGAAGATGCACTACAGGGGGCAGAACCTCTGAGTCGATGGGCTGGTATAGGCCTTCGCCTGAGCTTCCCACAATCGTAAGCCATGCGTTTTCGTAATAGCTCGCCATCTTGGTGGCCTCGCGCTTCCAATCATCCGCGTCGTCTTGTACGATGCACAAGGAATCGATCCAGATGTACTTGAGGCCCAGCTGTACGGTCAGTTGCGCCGCTTCATGGAACAGCTTCGTGACGTCGCCAGGCGCGATTGGTGGGGTTTTCCCAAGGCCGCCCACGCGGAGCTCATAGTTACCTTTGAGGGTCCTCACCCTCTCTGTATCCGGCACCCAACGATGGCTCAGAATCACATACTTGCCCACCTCACCCGCCGTTTCCCGCAGCCAGAAACAACACTGGCCTTCATCGCCCGATACGACCTCAAGACATCGGCTCGGCAGCGCTGCACAGTCTAGGCGGCCGTGCTCCAGCTCCAACGGTGGAAGCTCGTAAGGCTCGACGGGCGGTAGGTGGCCCGGCCGATGCTGAGTATACCAGTCATACCGCATGAGGTCGCCTAGGCCGTCATCGATGTATTCGGCGTTGCGGTTGCGGCGCTGCGCGAGGGGCTTCCAACATTCATGCGTATCGTGGCAGTGTTGACGCCAGGTTTGGATGGCGGTGGAGAGCTCGGTGAGCGACTGCGAGGTTTCCCGGAGGAGCGTCCCTCTGGGGAACAGAGAAGGCAACCCAGAGCCGGAGTTCGAGGGGGACTGCGGCATGCCTGGCCCTGGGGCGAGAATGAACTCGGCTTCTCTATTGCCGTTGACATGCTTCGATCCCGTCACGGCGATATGGACTCGCGCGATACCATCGGACCGCGTTTCGTCAACTTCTTGGCCATCTTTTACTTCCTGAGGAACAAAGAAGGTGATCCATCCATCACGCTCCCGTTGAATTTTCTCAACCTTGGGGGCGAGATAACGCGCGACAGTCTTGGATTTCGTCTTCATGTCCTGCAGCTTGGACAGCGCTTTATCGGTGAGTGTGCCATTGCGACCTTTCTCATCCACGAGGACTGGTCGTAGGGTGTCCACCAGCAAGCAGCAAAATTTGCATCCTGTCGTTAGAGCAGAGGCGACAACATCGGCAACCTGCCAGGGACTGCAACGCGTGGAGGAGAGGAGAATCTGAGCGTCCAAGTTGCCGCAACGGTCGCATAGAAAAGTATGATCCTGCACCTCCCCCATGATCCCGAGAATCCTGCCAAATGAAGAAGAAAGTCAGTATACACGAAGTGAGAGGAATGAGACGAGCTCAAGATGCTATTACCGTACCGGTCAAGAGGTGAGGATGTAGCCTCAATACGTAGCATCGGCACCTGAGCCCACTAACCCAAGAGCGTTTGGCCGCATAAACAGTGCCATCATCCTTCAGCGACCGTGAGGCACAGCACCTGTTGTGAGGATGTTGGGTGGATATTGTGGGGAGGGGGGTTAAAAGGTAGTGGATATCACAACCCTGCGCGCGGTTATAGCCGGGGTGTTATTGGATATCTGGACAGTTGGAATTACATTGCCGATCGGCTTTCACGCGTCACCAGGCGCTTGCTATGTGAACATTTTGGGGTTTGATTCGAGTCCCTGTCATACGCAAGCATAAGTCAATTGGTATCTAAGATTGATGACGCTCCTTTTTCTTAATATCACCTTGAAAAGAATGATCACTACGTCTTGATACGGGTCCCCTGAATGTATTAGAAACTTAGGACTAAACGCAAGGATAGGTGGATTCAATTAGGGACACTATTGAAATATATTCCCATGCATTCTGCGGAATCACCAAAATACTGCATGATATACCCGCGAACACAACCAAGAATGGATTTCGTTCCTCGTCGCACATTTTCCCTCTTCAGTTTGCTCTAATCCGTTGATTTAACTCGGCTTCAAGCAGGGCGCCTTGTCTTCTTTCCTGTGAGGTCTGTTGCATTCTCTCGCGATGTAATAGACAGCCGCGAAAACAAACTTCTAAGCCATCCCCGAAGTAAGTTTCTCGTCCGATCGAAGCTTCTCTTGCACCTGATCCTCGTGCCGGCGACAGTATCCCGGCGCTTCTCGGCTTCCTGCACGGCTTCGATAAGCAGCGGTACCTCCTTCTTATCCTTCTCATCTCGAGCATCAATCTCTAAACCGTTAATAGAAAGGCGGAACACCAGTGAGCCCTTCATGCGGATGGAGTTCGTCTGCGTCTCGGTGCCGTCCAGACTCGCCGCGAAGTTAATACATTCGACCGGAAAGAATCCGCGGTCCACCGGGTGGCCTGATAGCGGCGTGAAGAGGAGATATTCCGGCTTCATGAAAGGGAACCAGCCGCCAGGCTCGGCCTCGCAGCACCCAAAATCTATTATGTCGGTGTCTCGGTAGTTGAAACTGATCCCTTTGACGGAATCATCGGCATAGAGGAATAATTGGACCATTACAACGTCTTTGAGAGGTATTTCCATGGTAATTGTTTCATTGTTGACAGCACGAGTCCTGGGACTCGTGAGGGTCGTTGCTGATGTCATGGTTGTGGCGTTCAGAGATTTCTCAAGTTCAGCTGGCATTAAATATGGAAGAGTGTCGGGGAGTTCAACAGACGTGGACTCTAAGTCTCCAATCATTTGATAGTCGTCTCTCAGGCGGGTCTCAGACGGGTAATGGCCGTTACGAAAAGAATTCTTTCTGAATGAGAGTCTTCGTGGGGAGGAGGCAATTCTTTCTTGGCGTGTCATTCTTTCTTTGTGGCTGCACGCACGACGTGTGAAGACTTGAGTTGCTTGAAGTTGATCGGTGTCACGGCAAGGTTAAAAATTCTGTGTTGCAATGTTTTCATACAAAAGCAGGATGATTCGAGGCTGAGATAGATATGAAACTTGCCATTCCCAGAAAACCTTGTGCCCGGTATTATAGGCAGAACACAAGCAATTTGTTGCATAAAGCCGCTTTAATAAGTTAAAAGATAAATAGACAGTATTTCGACCACCAGTCATTCGCGCACATTGATTCCATTGGGTAGTCGGCGACATTGGTGATGCAAAAGGTTCTCTAGTGGTAAGCGGCGCCGATGGTGGCTTCTATGGGCCTGAGAATTGAGCATTATTCACCACGAGCTAATTACTTAGTGGGACCGTCAGGCTGCACTTCAAAACTATTTCGAAAGCTTACAACGAAATACTCTCCTGGATCACGGTGATCCAGAATATGTGCAGAAAAGTTTTGAATATAATCGGTCGTACATCGATAACGCGGCCTGTCCACGTCAAAAAGGGGGTTTGAGAGCCAGAAATTCTTACTGCTAGTGATTGGCATTGAGACTACTGCAACTACACGCGATCATTGGAGCAGAGTTGTCTAGGCGTTCTCACGGTGGGTGTTTGTGGGTACGGCGTTCAGGTCCAGACAATGAATTGCGACACGAACTGTGAGGCGCACCTGCCTGCAACGGTTATGTCGGATTGAAGCACCAACAAAAAGAATTGTCGCGTTGTCACCTCAATTGCAATTCAGAGAGCAAGTCAATGCAGCAAGGGTTTGTTTGGTTCAAAAAATCTCCATTGGGTATCATGAGTATACATATCATATGAATCTTCACACATTTCCTCCTACATCAAATTATCAAAGCCCCACAAACAATCTAGGATTTCTCCTCGCCGAGCTTTTCCTCCTCCACCTCCGCAGCCACAGCAGCGTTCTGGCTTGTCGAGGACCACCGGCCGGCAAAGAAGTGAGCGAAGGCTCTCGTGGTGTTCTTCACATTTTCGGCCACAATCTCCCCCGTTGGCCGCTCGAAAATAAGGTCGATTTCCTCGAGCGTCTTATCCTTGGTCTCGGGCATGAATAGGATCTGGTAAAACCAACCGAGGACGGCGATGCCGCCGTAGAAGCCAAGGGTCAGGCCGGTCTGAGTCATGGCCGTCTGCATGGCGGAGAAGTTGTACGTCACGACGAATGAGGCCAGGAACAGCAACGCGTCCGAGGTCGTCATGCCGTAAGATCGAAGGTAGGTGGGGTAGACCTCCGAGGGAACAACCCATGTGAGACAGGCGTAGCATCCGAAGAAGCCCATGTAAAGGACAAGACCAACGAGGTAGCACGCCATGGTTCCTGTCAGGTCATTAATCTGGTAAGATACACCAATGATGACGAGACCGACGAAGAAGCCGGGCAACATCACATTGGCCCAGAAGCGGCGACCGAACTTCTCCATCAGGAAGATGGCAGGAATAGTACCAATGAGGAGCGAGCCGCCGCCGACCAAGGACATGTAGTTGGCCTTCTCATCGTCAAAGCCGATCTGGTGCATCAGGACGGACATGTAGTACATGATAGCGTTGACACCGGTGAGCTGGCCAAGCAGGATCATGATGTTGGCGTAGACCAGGGCGCGGCGGGCGCGGGGCACAGTGAAGAAGTCCATCCACGGGAAGCGCTTGTTGCGCGCGCTCTCGCTAACCACGGTCTGTTCGTGTTGTACGCCCACTTTCATGACGAAAAACTCCTCCTTGGCGTCGGCAGTAGTGATGCCACGAATGCGCTTCCAGACCTTGTACGCGTCAAGAACCTTGCCCTTGTGCATGAGGAAACGAGGGCTCTCGGGAAGGAACAGCATGCCGAGGAACATGATGGTCGAGAAGACAAGGGAGGATCCGAGGATATATCGCCAGTTTCCATCAACATGCAGGAACATAGCAGCGACGGCGTACCCGAGGACTTCACCGAGGGCGATGTTGAATTGGTACAGAGACACAAGGTTGCCACGAACCTTGCGCTCAACTGTCTCGGCGACGTAGACAGGGACCGTACCGCCTTCGAGACCGACACCGAAACCGAGAATAACACGAGCAGCAATGATCATTCCTGGTAGGCTTGTTAGGGCTTGTCACTCGGAAGTTTAAGATGTACGGGCACTTCAAAAACTTACCATAGTTCATTGCTCCAGCCGATAGAGCACCACCGATAGTGTAGAGGACCGTAGAGATGATGATGGCCATACGCCGACCAAACCACTCGTTGCAAGGACCGAGAATGAGGGCGCCTCCCACGGCGCCGAGAGGCATGGCGGAGTTGACGAGACTGTTCTGTTCAGTGGTGAGACCGAGGTCCTTGGGAAGGTACAGATTGGCACCCGAGATCAGCGATTGGTCGAGTCCCGACAGAAGACCACCCATGGAGGCAAAGGCGACGATGACCCAGGTGAAGTGCCTGGGGTCACTGAACTGCAGGTGGAAGAAGCCGGTCTTCAGCCCGCCGGCTGCCTCGAGCTCGGCTTCCATCTCGTTGATAAGCGCGTCGATCTCGTAGCCGCCGGCCTGGGCCACGGCGAGGGCCTGCTTTTCGTCCATAGCGGGGATATTGTCTGCCTTGACAGGGTTCTCGAGCTGTGCTTCTTGGAGCTTCTTCTTGCTCATGGTGGGCTCCACCGGTGCTGGCGTCACGGAGTCCGCCATGTTGGGAATGTGTGTGGAAGTATGTATGCGACGTGGTTTCCTGAGGAAGATAGCTCTGACGAGGTCCTATTTAAAGGCGAAGATGAAATATATGGGCCACTACCTTTAAGTCACAGCGGGGGGAGGTTGATGACTGAGCCTCGACGATGAGAGTGGAGGACGCGGCGTACTGACATTGATGACTGGGAAGGGCAGCAACTTGGTATTTGTATAGATTTTCGCACACGAACTTTTTGGTCTGCTCGACAACGAGACAACCCGGGGATGCCACTTCTTGTTCGCCATCTTCGCGCTTTAGTCCGGCCTTCACGTCATCCTTCACATATTCTAGACGACAATGTGGGGACCCCAGCATGGAGAATGGCCGAACCTTCGCACCGGGGACCCCAGGGGGGTTGACCTTCCACCTGCAGCTGGCCGTCTGCACCCGGCTGGGACTGCAATCGGTGCTGGCGTCGCTGTTTTGCTCGCTGTTTACCCCGGACGGACAGACAGGCAGGCCAGGCACAATATACCCCGGACGAACGATTGTTCTGCGAGTGTGGGTAGATCGTTCTTCGCGTGTTCTCTTGCAGAAAATTCCCTCGTTCCTGTCATGGATCCAATGCGCTCATGGCCCAATTGCGCGCGTTGCAGTGTAGCATCAAGATCGAAATCGAGGGGATTTCCCGGCTGCGAAAAGTGTCTCGCACCAGGAGACGGGTGGCAATTCTGACTCGCCAGTGCTTCTACTTGGATCAAATCGGGCCTGTGACTGCGTGATCCACTGCCGAGTTGCACCAACCAGTCTGCAGATCGGCCCAGAACGCAGGCTGTGGGTGGTTGTTTGGGGGACCCGAAGCACCTGGGCCTGCCCAGTGCTCCCCGTGGGCGGATGGGATATGCCTGGATGGGCATGATGGGGCGTGGGGAATGGGCCGTTATGTAAACCTCTCCCTGCTCTCCAGGTCGAGAGCTGCCGACCCCAGAGGCCTGAGCCCACTCGCCGCGCTGCAACTTGCAAAGTCCTGCAGTGGTTCCCACATGGCGCACCACTTTTCTCCAGGTCGGAGAATGGATCACTTGACTCCAGGAAACAAGTGGATATCCCCAGACCGCGCACCCCGATCTCACCAAAGTTTGTCAATGGGCGAAAAGAAAAGCAGCCCTTGGGAGAGCACTGGCTCGCCGTAATTCACGGTGCAACATCATAAAGGATGCCACCCATACCGTACAGCCGTTGAAGTAGAAATGAGGCTCAACAACGGGCGCACAAGCCGCGCCACGCCACCGAGGAGCCAAGCTGGATCAAGGCTTCTCGCCAAGGCCATGGTTTTGTCGGCACCCAGCCAAGGCGGGCGCGGAGGTTTACTCACCCAACAGCCGTCAGGGGCTGACTCGCAGTGGGTTCTGGTCAAAAATCCCAGAGGGGCCAGGAGCACGACGACGACAGGGGCCCCTTCAAGGCTCCAGGACTTCGCTCTTACAGTCCCACCCATCGTTAACGTGCCGCCGAGGAGCGCCCGAGGCTACTCTGTAGCCATCCGCTTTTGGCCGACCACGCCCCAACGACGGACTGCAGTCAACCTCTAGTTCGGAACAGGGCGGGTGCATAATCGCCGGTCTTGACCAGATCGAGGACCGCAGAGATTTGCGCGTCCGATGTTGGTGAGCTGTTTTGATGCAGTCGAGGTTGCGGTGCTCACGCCATGAGATGATGGTCACTCAAACCTAGAATTTGATCCGAGAGACAGCCCGAGGTTTACTCGACCGAAGACGATCTGATGAGCCTGAGGTGGATGTCCATAGCCTGGTTGGTGCCAGAGGGGTGCTTCGAGACTCGATAGGCTTGGCGTTTCCTGGATTGGTGACAGTCCACTACTGACTTGCCCGAGACGATGCTTCGAGGTCTGCGAACCGGCAGCTTTTCGTCGTCAGGGACAGAACCACAGGGAACAAAGGACAGGATATCGTGAAGCAGGATGTCGGCGGCAGCAACTGGGCTTTTATATCAACAAACGTACTGCACAAGTGCAGCAAGGGCTATGGACCCTTGTCGTGGCATTCAGGCCAAGACACATCCGACGCTTATTTACCCCGAGGGGACTCCTCCTTTCCCCATGGTCTGAGTCTTTGACGGGGGCGGGATACCCGCCAGTATCAATCAAGTCGATGGAATCCCCGGGTGGCTACCCATCGTTTATGAGCCATCAAGGAGTCCTATTCCCCAGATTGTGCTCCCTTGGACCCACAGACGGCCCGTAAGGAGGTGTTTGGTTCAAGTCACGACGGCTCGGGGTATCTTAGTCCGCCTCGAGGGACAGGCAGGGAAGAATTCGGCGAGTTTTGTTGGCTGGCTACAGTTGGAGGAGGAAGACTTTGGCTCAAAGCCGAGGCTGGACCGGTGAAATATCCATAAGTGTGCTGGCAGGGTGTTCAGAGGCTCATTGTCTACCAACAACGCCATACCCCACTGGGCAGGCAATATCGTTGGTGTTGTGGTCAGCGGCAGGAAATCCTCATTGCCTCACAAACACCAACGCGTTGATGACAGGACTAAAGAAACAAACGTGAAATCGACGAATTTGAACGATCGCCTTATTTTAATGTTAGAAGCTAGTTCAACGACATCTTTATACAAACACTGGTCCATCCAGTGGCTCCACGTGCCGACGGAACTGCCACATTCGAACCAGAGGCCAATCCAAGAACGTCCATCCTGTGGTTCCACGGACGGAACTGCCACATTCAACCTAGCAGACCACTTACATATAGCCACAGCAGCATGGCTCTTGCATTGGTATACTGCGGCTTTATCCCATGGGGTGAAGAGTTCGGATCGAGCTCATCCAACTTCAAACCCGATTCGAAATGCCATGCACTGTCAGTATAATTACATATAAGCAGCCACTTTCTGTTCAAAGTCGGGCCTGATTGTACGGCCTTGATAGGCTTTCGTCGACGTATTCTTGGAACTCCCTTTGCTCACTGTGCTTGTTACCTCGCCGGGCCGCGGCCAGTTCCGTAGAGCTCTTCCATCCCCATGCCTTGTCCTTCTCAGGCCCATTGCTATGCCCGCTCAATACGTTGAGCATATACTTGCCAATGTTGGGTAGGAACCTGAGAACATATCAGTCAATATATAACTCTTCAACAAGAGCTTGGGTACACGAAGCTAGGGAGCATACTTATAACCGCAAAAGCTCCCACCAGTGATGATATACAGGCCCTTGACCTTCGGGTGCTCACACAGCAGCAAGTCTTCCGTAGGTGTCGAGGAGTCCCAGCAAATTCGCCAATACTCAGGTGTCCCCCGCGCGTAATTCGGCATCAGCTTGGAGGTCAGTATCGCCTGCGTCTCGCGCTTGAGACCTTCGGGTATATCCCTCTGGTCCCGGTCCGCCGGCGGGACAGATATCTTCCTTCCTGTCTTGCTGGTGATAGTGTTGACCAGCCTGGTAGCGGAATTATTATACTTGAGCAATCCGTTATCTTTCCAGGCAGGGATGGCTTCCCCGACTTGGCCGTAAACCACACATGGCATTTCGGTCTTGGCCATCCTCTCCACATCACTGTCAGGTACGCGATAGTACGCTGACACGATAGCCGTGGCTTGTGCCTGGCGTTCGATGCTGTCCTGCTCAGGAACTCCCAACGCATCCTCGACAGGTGACACCAAGGCGCTCGTCCAACCGCCGGTTGCCAGGACGACCTTATCAGCCGTGAGGCGCCTCCCGTCCGCGGTCCTGCAGCCCTCTATTCGGCCGGTCCTGGCATCGACAAGCAGCTCCACGACATCACTCAGAACCCTATTCACGCCCTTCCCCGTCGCCGTCGCCATGAACCTCGCCGTCGCGCTCGCGGCGTCCACCCACCCGGCGTCAGGGTTGAAATACGCACTGTCGAACCCAGCTATCTCCGTGCCTGCTAACAAGCCATCCCACCGCCGGCCCAGGTCCTCGAGTGCCACATCCTGCATGATGTGAGTCCCACGTCCCCGTAGAGCTTCGAATATCCGCGCCTGCAGGTCGCTGCCCGCCTCGTTGAGCATCAGCCACCCGACGCGGTGGAAGCAGGGCCCGAGCTCATTGCTCCAGAACCAGGTGTGGATGGCCTCGTTGGCGAGATTGCAGTACAGCTGATTCGGGTAGTCAGCGCGGATGATGCGGTTGATATCGATCGCAGCGGCCTTCGTAGGCGGGGAGTGCTCGCGGTCTATGATGGTCACGCGGGACGGGTCGCGGTAGGTCTGGGCCAGGTGGTAGGCTGTCGAGGTGCCGAACGTGCCAGCGCCAATGATGAGGACCGTGGGCTCCATGTTGATGCTGTTTGCGTTGTGTGCCTTGAGAAAACTCTAATAAGTTGAACTTAGAGTGACTTTCTTTCCTACCGTGCAATACGCCTCGCTAAGGCAGCATCGCAACATAGGGAGGGTGGTTTCCCATTTATGAGCTCCCGCAACTCCACCCGTACTTGGTGTCAAACCGACGCCCCTGGTCGATCCCCAATCCCCGAGACCATCTAGTGAGGCTTCTCGGAGATGTTTCGTCAAGTCGAACTGGTGGTGTTGGAGGGCCAAGGTCGGCAATCCATGCTCTCCCCCGCAGTTGCGTTCACTACGGTGGCTGTCCAGACAGCCCCAATCCGTATCACCGGGCCCCTTGCAGGATAGCCAAAACCTTATGTTCGCTCATGTCATCACTTGCGTCTCGAAGATATGACTATTCGCTGCTTCATTTGGAGAATGAGAACTGGAAATTCATTGGCCACAAGCCATTCGGGTACGATATGCTGCCGGGCAAGGGCCGTTTACAGCTTACACGGATCCCAGATAACCACGTTCCTGATTCTACCAATACAGATCACATTTTCGGGTGGGAAGCCTCCCATATAATACTTCTAGACCGAGACTGCAAGATCCTTTCATACCGTCATCGCAATCTTTCGTCCAGCCAGATGGCCCGGGGAATACTACAAAGATCGTAAGAAACGTGCGCTTCTCAGAAAAAAAGTGGGGAAATACTGTCTGTCTTCATAAAAAGAGAACAACAAAGAAACCCCAAAGCAAAAGGAAGTTATAAGTGGTCAGGTCGGTATCCAGGAGGATTGCTTTGTCGGTGCGATTAGGAGTCAGGTATCTCTAAGTTAAAAGTCACTTCTGGCTGGTCGAGTGCAGCAGGGGAGGAAGGAGGAGGAAAAGGGCGTATGAAGTTGATTTGAATCGCGGACCCGGGTCAATAGTTACATTCTCTACAAATACATATTGTATGGGCCAACGGATGTGGCTCTTTGCTTAATCCTGGCCGTGATCTGAGCCTCGTCCGGGGCACATCCTAGCAACCCGGGTTCGTCTTTTTTATTGTTTTCTTGTTTGTTCGGAGTGCGAATCAGATGCCTCCGTACAAAATCTTATCCAGGATGTATGGCCTTTGAAAACAACCGCACTGCGGCGTTCGACGCAAAAGAACAGCTCGTCTTAGACCAAGTTATTATATGAGCAGCTGCTAATTCCAGTGCTTGGGGCGCCAAAAATGGCAAGAGTACTCGAGAGCGACTTAGTCAAAATGTTATAGAGCCGTTCGCGCATATCTAGATATTAATCGACAAAAATTCCAACACTTCATTTGGTTTCATGTTGTAGCTGAGACGGAATCCGTGGCTCAGGAGCCACAGCTATCATGTGTTCCCAGGAGACGATCGCGTCTGGTCTGGCCTAGGTATTGTAAGATTTTGTTGAAACCCAGCCTGCCGAAATCAACCCTTGAAATTGCTCTATAAGATCAAGTCGCAGGCGGCGAGACCAATTAGTACGCGAGAGATACTGTCGAGTGAGAGGCTCCATTGCCAGGGCGTGCCGACGCGGGGACAGGAGCCTTGTCTTTAGGGGCAATTGAGGAGAGTTTGAAAAGCTGGGGATTTATTTTCGAAGCTGTGTTTGGACGTGGATTGGTATCTATTGTGAAGAGTGAAGCAGCAGCCGCAAGAAAGGGAGGCGTTTGGTCCAAAGCGGAGGAGATTGAAACTTACCGGGAATGGACTGGAGATGCGCGACGTCCCGGCTTCAACTAGCATCACTGGATTGCCTTCGAGATACTTCTAGTCATCGCAGCGGCCGCTGCTACTGGAGACACATGCCCTTAGCGGGAATGTGAGATCTGAGACTCGGAATATTGCATGGGCTAGAAGTGAGAAGGGTAGTAAAGCCCACTTGAGCAGCCTGACCGTGGGTGCGTGGTCACCAGCTTGAGCCTACCCAGGCCGCTGACCCTAGCGCAGGCGCATTTTGATGATGGGCCGGCTGAACCGCTGCAAAGGTCGGACTGTTGTCAAATTTAGTACACACTTGCTCGGGGAGGGGGGGGGGGGATTGTTTCAGAGGTGTCAGCAATGGGAATCCGCCGCCTCCGTAGTATCAACAAGCACCTATTGGATAACCAGCTATGGGATAACCAGCTATGGGATAACCAGCTATGGGATAACCAGCTATGGGATAACCAGCTATGGGAGAATGGATTGTCAAATCATCTCCGTGAGATGAATAGCCATGAGATAATCTTCGATGGGCTGCATGATGATCTCCTGTGCAATGATCTCTTGCGGCATGACCAGCTGTGGATTGACCTGTGTGGAAGAACCTCTGTCGGGCGCATAGTCAACTGTAGGTCAAACAGCTCTCGAATAGCACAATGGAATGAATAATTATAGCATAATTAAGCTTTGAGTTAAACTCTGTGGGATAGCCTCTGTGAGATAACGTCTCTGGGAGATCCTCCTGTGGGCCCATCTCTTCTTGATCCACAGCTGGGCTTATGTAAGCTGGTTACAATGAACATTGAGTTTGACAGCAACCAACAGCGAATCTATAGTACCCACACCGAAGTAACCATAGCAGTGCCCCAACAGCCCAGCTAGGCCATGGTCATCTGGAAGCGACCCAGATCCGAGAACGATGCTGTTATGCATGAGGCACATGCAAGCACCTGGTGTAAATGCGTCTGGACTGAACGTTCTGCTGTCGGAGTTGTTGTGATAGGAAACCGAGTCGCTATAGCAATTGATCCACTGACTAACCGGCTGCGACTCTATTTATCGTCGACGGCTTAACGGGATTCCCTGGAGTGACGGTGGTGAATGGGGCAAAAATGCACTCAACTGTTGCTAGACGGGACGTGTTGAGCGTTCGTGTGCCCAACCCCTACCCACCATTTCCCCAGATTTCCCCCCGAGACCCGCTGTGCTGCTGTGCCGCTGGGCCATCCCGTAGCTGTGCCGCTGTCACCAGCGTACTGGGAGAGTTCCAATGTTGCATTGCATTTGCTGGAACAGCAGGGGGCCAGCCTTTTGAACTGTCAGTTGCTGGTTCATTGTCATCGTTGCCAATATCCTGCAGTTGCGCGAGAGCGTTTGAGTTGTAAATTTTTATGGCACCCACCTTTTGACAAGGACGAAAAGAGTGCATGGATGATCAATCTCGCGGGCATCCCGAATGGCTGGAGTCAGACACGAGAATTGCCAAAAATACAGTAGGGGTAGCCACAGCCCCTCTGGAGAAAATCAGCAGACCCTGCGCGCAGCCACAAGGCCACGCCAGATGAGCGGGGGCCCTCATGGCTGCACGGCTGCACGGTTACACGGCTGTTCCTGGGCTACTGCCACGGCCTCTGGGATGGCAGGATGACAGGATGGGCTTTGGGCTTGGGCTGGGGTGGTCTGACGTTTCAAGTGGAGCCAAGTGCCACTCTGCAAGAATGCCACCGTTACTGGGCCAATTCCAAGCATCAACGCCCAGATTTTCCAATAACGCGCGTCAGCTTGCAAAGCAAAACCGCTGCCAATGCCACCGCTGGTCGTGCATAGCCTCTCGTTTGTTTTCCCAGTTTCTGATTTCGTTGCTGGCCAGCCGGTCTTGCTTGCGATATTTCGACCCTTCCATCCCTCGCTCAACTGGCCAACTTCTTTTCGTTCGATGACACCCGGCCAATCCACCACCACCACCACAATCACCAAACCAGGAAGGACTTCCTGTTCGTGATTAGCGATAGGAGTGGGAATATATATCGAAAGTGATCGACTCGAGAGACGAACAGCAGCCATCATGGCGCCCACGATAATAAACCCCAACGCTCTGCGGAGCCTCGACATACCAAAATCCCCCAACGCAGCAATGCTGCTTGCAGCCAAGCGTGCTCTGTCCGAAGCCGGCCCCGACGTCCTCCGCACAGCAGCCCGCGGCCTGCTCATCAGCCGCTCATCGCTGGCAGTCACGGCCGACGCGCAAAAGATCACTCTGGGCGCGATCGCCGCCTACATCGTAGTCATCGCCATCTTGTGGCCCCTGCCCAAATTCTTGGGCGGCTTCGATGTACTCTGGCCCTTCAAGATGCTCGTCATAGCCTTTCATGAATCGGGACATGCCCTGTGTGCAATGCTTACAGGCGGTAAGGTCGAGTCTGTCAGCCTCAGCCCGGATCAGGGTGGCAAGACGACTTTCAGGGGCGGCAAGAAGTTCATCACCCTGCCCGCTGGATACCTGGGCAGCTCCCTGATCGGGGCGCTGCTGACCTTCTGCGGATTCAATATCGTCGCGTCCAAAATTGCGAGCCTCGTGGTCGGGCCCGTGTTCCTGCTACTAATCTGGTGGGGACGGAAGGACTGGCTGACGATTCTTACCGTGCTGGCGGCAGCCGGCTTGTTGGTAGCCGGCTGGTTCATTGCTGATGCTGAGGCTCTCAGATATATCATTGTAAGCGCCCTGCCTCCTGCCTTTCCCGCCAACTATCAGCTAGACTGTAGACTGTGCTGGAGAAAATCAGTTGCTTACTTGGATTTCTGCAGCTCTTTATCGGTGTCATGTCGTCGCTGTACAGCGTTTGGGACATCTACGACGATTTAATTAGAAGGAAGGTCAATGAGTCCGACGCATCGAAGTTCGCCGAGGAATATGGAGGCTCTTCTCACTGTTGGGGCGTCATCTGGGCCATTATTTCTCTCTGCTTCATGGCCGCTGGTATAGTTGCTGGCATTGCGGCCTTCCCGCAGACGACCGCAGAGCAGCAGGAGGACTCGGACGACTTCATCCCGACCTGAAGAACCGTGAGCATTGAGACTGGCGTTGCATTATACCCGCGTGTGCCAATCCAGCTCGGAAGATGTATATGTATGCCGGGGATATTTTATACCGGATGGCAGCTTCGGATCCCTGACCGGGCCACCACAACTTTCCGCGTTTTGAATACGGATTTGGGCAAGACAGGATACTGGAGATTGGATTAGTTTTATGATACCCCGATTGATGTCAGGAATAGCCTGGAGGGTTCCATGGCCTTGGGTGGATACGATCAGCCATGTACGATCACTCTCGTCTACTGCATAGCGTTATCTTCGAGATGAAATCACTTTGTTGCTTGTGGTCATCCACGCATGTCAATCCACGCATGTGAGCTTGGTCACGTTGTCAAGCGTCGAACGCAGCATGAGCTGTGCAGTTCCTGAGCAATCAATGACGAGTGCCATCAGAAACGGCCAGCCAGCGAAGACGAGCCGGACTTCAATGTCACTAAGCCGTGTGTGCCATCGCTAAATTAAATCTACAAGGGGCAGAGATGCCAATCGAGCGAGCCGTGACGCAGTCTGCCTCGACCTGAATATCACTCGCCGGTGTTTCTCCGGCACCGGAAGCCGGCCGCCTCATTGCTCGGGGATAATGAAGTAAATGCCTCGTCGTCAAATATTGGTAGGGGAGACTGGTGGATGATCTATACACTGACTGCTGATTGCTCAGGTCTGCGTGGCACGAAGTTGAATCTGGTGTAGTCTACAAGTGCTGCTTGTGTATTGGGCAGCAACGCCGTGCGGCTCCACATTGTGCTCTCGTCTGACCTGCGTCAAGTTCACCCCCAAACGCACCACAGTCTCGCGTTCCCGATGACGACGAGGGCGAGAATGAAGAGCGTAAGCCGCACTCACGGCACAGTTGCAGTGGTCGAGGCCCTCGAGACGTCAGCTTCGCCCAGGCTCTGCATGCCCACCGTCGAAGCCAAGCGATCCGGTTGGTAGGAAGGAGCGTGCCTCTTGCCTCAACGAGCAACTGCGGTAGCTCACTGCTTCTTCGCTTTTCTCTGGTCTGGGAGGCGGAAATAATCAAGGACCTTTCTTGGCTGGCTTCAGTCTCCCCACCACCATCCAGTTCGGCATTGACGAAAGTATCAATCTGTGTCTTCTGGACCATGAGTCGCCGTAGTCATGCCGCTCCCAGGCACTACCTCCTCCTTTCCCACCCCCACTGGCCTGCAGCACTCGCTCGTCCACAAATTCAACAGAATGATGGCTTGAATGCACACCAAGTCCGGCTTTCGCGTCATGGCCTCCCATCACACTGCATCATCTGCGGCTTTAAGCAAACTGCAGTCGGGAGAGGTCAATGTCGACTCTCCAACTGGTCTCCTCAGCAAGCCCAAGTGCTAGCACTCACAACAGCGACGATCTGCGTACTATTCAGCGAGAGGCCCATACACTCAGAGCCGTGCCAACACCACCTTCGAGATAGAGCGGCCATCATCGGCCACCATCGGTGGCCTGCCTACTCAGGCGAGCCCATTACTCGCTTGCAACCGCAGACCGCGACCCCGCCAATCTCGAGGGGCCGATTGGTGCCACGCCTCGGGAGACAATAGTCGTAAGCCGACTAGCTGACGGTAGTCTCTTGCTGCCGGTGCAGGCATCATTGTCGTCCTGATCATCAGTCTACCATGTCGAAGAGTTTGGCACCACCGTGAGTGACTGGCAGAGCAGCCCACATCGGGAGTTCAGCGTCAATCACCAGTGGCCAAGACCCGCGAGGGGAGGGGGGGAATTGTTGATCACCCCACTCTGCGGCCAGCAGGGTCCAGGCACCAAGACGACATATCAGATCGTCGAGGAGCGGCCCGAGATTTTGCGACCCCAGACTTGCGGTTCATGGAGGCCTGGGGAGCAGAAGGGTAGGTAGACTTAGCGAGTCAGCTCCAACTCTTGTTCAGATGTCAAATATTTGCCTCTCCCGATGCAAGCGCGGCGAACACCTTAGGTTTGGTGGGAGTGACAAGTTTGCGGCAGCCGAGTTCTAGACCGGACTCTGGGGAAGTGTGCGACAACGTTGGACCTTGCACGACTAGAGAATCCGGGGTGCTCGTGACAAGCCTCACTGCCACTTTTGGCATTATGCATGACGCAGCACCGCAAATATCCGAAAACAGTTGCCGCTGCGCTACCCTGCGCTACCCTGCGCTACCCTGCGACAGACTTGGTTGCGGGCCGGCAGGGCGAGCGACATGATCACCAAGCTACTGCAGCGCGGGCAACTCGGAGGCAGGCCAGTCCAGGTCACAAAATTACACTTCGATCGCGCGTACCTGCGATAGTGGCCGATGACGAGGGGCGACCAACGTGGCACCGTCCGGGACCGTCGCCTTTCTGGCTTGCCGGACGCCGTTCTCTTTTCAAAGGTAGCGCATTTATTGCCAACCTGCCCTTGGACATCACCAACATGAGATTCCAAAGGAAAAGCGCGAGAGCTGTTCGGGGCTGGACCCCCGATATGATCTCATTCCGCATTGCAGCGTACCCAGTTTTTTCCCACGGTGGCGGCAACTAGCTGCCAGGCTGCCCAACGACACGGAAACACCCTCCACAACGGCTACAGCTCTTGTACCATCCCACCCACCATCATGGGACGACAGTGCTCCTGATTGGAGATCCCGCGGTCGATACCTTGCACGGTCATGGCTATGGTTTGCGCAGCTGTTTTGCAAATTTTCCCAACAAGACAGTTCTGCGACCGACCAAGACCAAGATCGCGCAGGGTCTGCAAGGTTCAGCTCAAATCAGAGACGAGTGTCTCCCACCTTCAGCTCGTCGATATTGCTAATAGCCCGAGAAGCTGGCGGGCATCCCGGTCTTCGGCGCCGGCTGATCATGGTGGCCAAAGTGGGCAGGCACGGCGGCCTGAAAAGCGGGTTGGAAGTCGTAATAAAGCAGATGCGTCCGCCAGTCACGCACGCGCTCGCTTCCTACTCGTTCAATTCATCTTCACTTAGCCTTTGGTCCCGCCGCAGGCATCGTGGGGTCTGAGAATAACCACCAAAAACCGTCACGTGTGTATTATTCTCCCCCGGACAGAAGCGAGTCAAGAGTCAGAGGGTGAGCCGTTCCGAGCCTGCCCCCTTCTTGGCCCCTCCTGACCATCTGGGCATTCGGCAACCCAAGGCTTGGTGCCTACTGGTGCCTACGTGAGGAGTCACTCGCGACATATAATATCAAGTGATCCTCCTGCCTTTGTTTACTTTGCTTTCTCGCCTCTTCATATCTTCATCACACCCCTCTTCTGCATAGTTATTTACAAATTTCTATCTTTAACATGTCGAGACCAAGCTACAACCGAGGTTCATCCAGTGTGGACGATTGGCTTGATAGCCAATATGAATACATAGCACCGGATAAGGACCTCAACAACCCCTATGTGCCGCGGGACGCTGCTCGAGATATCACTCCCGAGCGCTCAGACGCGAGTCCAACCAGGTCCAAGGGTTCCCGGTCGTCCAGGAACCACAAAAGTCCAAAAGATCGCTATCGGCCAGAGACACCGCCTGAAGAGGACGACCTCGACAAAGAGCGCGACAAACACCGACATACAGGCAAATCTAGTCGTTCTCATGATGGCGACCGGGACTCACGACGGTCCCATCAAGACAAGGACACAAAATACCCTCCCAGGTCGGACCGCGGCCGACCACGTCGCCCTCCCATGAGCAGTCGGGCTGCGTCGCATTATGTGCCTCGCAAGGAAGACAGTCCTGAGCGGCGTTCGCATAGGCGATACTCACTGTCGTCGTCACCTCCCAGACACCGAGGTGACAAGTCATCACGGCATTATCACCGCCACCACGAAGACCGCTCGCCGTCGCCTCCACCCCGGTCCTCACGAAAGAAGGACGACCGAGATAGGGATAGCCGAAAGCACCACGGCAGCAGTAGTGGATCCACCAAGGGCTCCAAGTCTCGCCGGCCATCACTGTCTCACAGCCAAACCTCCAAAGACACCAAGAAGCCCTCCGCTAGCAGCCGATCATACAGCTTCTGGAACGACCCTCGCTTCAGGACGGCTGCAGAAGCAGCGCTTTCAGCCGGGGCGACAGCTGCTGTCGGTCTCGCCGGTGAAAAAGGCAGATGGGGCAGCGACAAGGGCGGGAAGGTGCTCCGAGCGGGGCTGGGGGCTGCTGCTCTGAGTGCCTTCAAGAGTCCTGCCCCGGCCCCCGAGCCCGCGCCTGCGGCTGCCGCTCCGGTGGAGCCTAAGGCGTCAGCTGCTGATGCTGCTGGGAGATATGTGGCGGACCATATTCCTGGGAAAAAGAGCAGCACGCGACGGAGACATCACTAAATCAGGATTGAGAGATGTCGCCTTCATCAGGCGGCATTGTTGAAACACGGGATTCAATTTCTGCTTGCTTCTTTATGGGATATTTCAACAATTAGAAACATATCTGGGCTCAGGGCTCGTTGGGATATCAGCGTTTGAATTTCAAGATAAACGATTGGGGCTTCCCCCGGAGCATGGAGTTTGGGACACATCATGAAGGGTATGATAATGGTTTCGAGGAGGTATTTCTGGCAACCGGTGGCACTACCACACATCTTAATAGGCATGAACACATAGGCTCTACTCATAGACTAGTCCGATGAATATGTACACATTGATGGAGGTAAATTTGGGTTGTCTCTCGCTCATGCAATTCTTGTGACGTTGAGACGCAGAAGAGCGCCTGTAGACATGCCCAGCAACATTCTAGTCGAAACTTTCACGCTAGTCAAGTTTGATGGCAAATTTCATTCCCATGTTTATGTCCATATTTGACAGCTTTCCTATAGATCGCGCTTGGTATCTGTCAAGTGTTATATGTGCATGCGTACCAAAATTTGAATAATATGCAATACAGTTGCAGCCGATTTCCCCAGTACCAAATTGATATACTAAATGAATCTCTTCTTAGGTCGTTTGGGGTTGCCTCATTTCCTTCACCGCTATGACCCGCCGAAGCCAAATGACTGCGACATGGGGCCATCGAGAGCCCTCATCGCCTCAAACTCTGGGCTCTGGTAGAGTGTCAACAACTCGAACCAGCCGTTGCTGAAGATGTCCTTCGTCCAAGCCGTGTTGTCACCGAATATCCACAGCTTCTCGTGAACTATCCGCAGGAGCCCCTGCTCCTCCTCCGTGGGGTAGAAGCCATTCCACTCCCTGCCAAGCTCGTAGGGTGGGAAGGGCCCGCCGCGGCCAAAGGCGTAGTTCAGGAATGCCTGCTCGGCCATCTTATTATCGAACTTGGTGGTGTCCTGGCACTCGCGCAGCAGCCGCTGGTGCATGTACCTGTTGGGCTCCAAGACGATGACCCCAACGTTGACGCCGTCGGCGAGCCCGTGGCCCGCAAAGACGTAGTCACAGATCTCGGCCTCGTGGATCCTGTCCTCGGGCGGCAGCAGCTCAGCGCGGCACCGCTGGCGCGGCGACACGCTCTCGTCGAAGATGAGGTCCAGGTCCCGCACGGGGAACGCGTCCAGGTCCAGGAAGGCGACGCGAGCGAAGTCCAGCTGCGCCCAGATGTTGAGCTTGGAGAAGAGGTCGCGCCACCGCGCGAACGGGAACAACTGCCCGCCGGACTCGTCCTTGGGCGGGTCCCAGGGCACCAGCTCGAGCTCGCGCACGATGGCGCCCGCGGCCTGCAGGAGGTCGCGCTGCTGCTGGGGGATGAAGGGGGCGACGAAGACGACGACGGGGTGCGACGCGGAGCGCGACTTGGGGTCCCAGAGGATGCGGTAGACGAGCTGCATCGCCGACAGGAAGTAGGGGTCCGCCACGCTGTTGTCGCGCGTCGACAGGTACGTCGCGAAGGCGAACTGGCCCGGCCCGCGGTCGTTGTGCGCACGGTACTGTTTAAGCTTGGCGATATCGAAGACGGGCTGGACGAAGCGCGTCAGGTCCTCTTGGAACTCGAACTTGACCTCGTTGAAGGCGGACGAGGAGCCTGAGGCTGCCTGTGGTGCGCCATCGGTTGGGGGATTTGCGCCGCTGCCACTGCCGGGCAGGCCGGGTGGGATCTGTGTGAGCTCTGAGCCCCCCGCGTCAGCCGGTGGGAATGGCCATTTCGTATTCCCAGGCTGTGTCTGTGAGATCGGGATCTGGATTATCTTCTCCGTCTCCTGGCCCACATCGCGCGTCGAGAATGACAGTATCGAGGCGTGGTAGTAGAGAAGAAGCGCTGTCGTCAATGCAAGGAGTCCGATCCTCACGAAGCGGGAGCCCTGCATGCATGAGTGAGCGTCCCGGGCCGCCGACGTGCGATCTAACGCATTGTAAGTCCGAGTCTAGCTTACCATATTGAGCATCTAGATCTAAACGATCAGAACCTCTAACAAGAACGGCGACGCCGTGGTTACGGCATGATAGATCGTATTCCTTCGCGAAATGGTCGAGGACACAACGCAAGAAGTTGTCCTGTCGGTCTGGGAACAACAGGAGTTACCCAAAATTGGAACTTGTTGGTTTGCGGCATGTGTTAAAATACGACCGCATGCTGTTGCATCCATGTGACAGATCGGCGTTGCGAGGGGAAATCATCCAGGTGCCGAGGAACTAGAAGTCTAAACACGCCCAGCAAGATTGGCTCCGGCAGGGATTTGTTACGTACCGTCCATCGGCCCCGGAGACTAAAAAAAGCCACCCCCGAGCACTTAGATTAATTGGATCAATGCCCCGAGATAGCAGAATCCTTGCAGCGGAGGAATTAGGGAGACGCAATATAGAGAAGTTGCCACAACACATCGGTGGAATTCACTTTGAACCCCCCATGCAGCCCTGATAATCTACTATGGCCTTAACATTTTAATCTTTCGAGATCTGCTCCTTGGTAGTTTTTCGGTCTCTTCTCACGACGGTGCTATTCCCTGAAGCCTGTAATTCTCTCACGCATCCACTCTCTCGTTTCTGTTCTGCCCATGAAGAGAAGAAAATTACACGGAACTAAAGGGTCAACAAAGTGCCTTACAAACCTAGAAACCACAGGAATCGGGACGGCCATTTCTTACACGAAGGTCCTGCTTGTAGCTCCAGGGGCAAATTGCCAGTGAACCTTCAGACTGGGCGGATTCCTGACCTCTTGCCTGGCACAATAGAGGCTTGGATCGTTCGGCGTGCTGTTGTGCTTATAGCACACTTGCCGAGCTCCGAGAAGGCCCCAGAAAGACGTTGGAGGCAGCTCTCACGTACAATCCACGAACTGTGGTCATTGCAACGACCGTGAAGATAGCGGTCCCAACATCTTTTGCTGTCATTACATATATTGCCTCTCAAAATGTCCAGAACATTCACGCACGGGCTATACAGGCTTTTGTGTCTGCTTCTTGGTTGGCGGGAAAGCTCGACATACAAGCGTTGAGATTCGCGGGTTGACACCGAATGAGCGTGTCGCTGTTTCCGCTTCCCAAGAATTTTGCGAACACTTGATCTTTCAACATTTAAAAATAATTCCAATTTGTGTCTAAATAACGATGTGAGAGTCAATTATCCTGCCTTGCGTCTCTAGATTGAGCGAGTCGCGTTTGGGATAATTGCATGTCTGAGACACGCAGGGCAGAGCTCCCATCCTTCACACCGCTTCTTTTGTACAACAATGAAGTGGCAGTAGGACTTATATTTTCCGTATCTGTCGGCCATTATACACAGACCGTCACTATAACGGCATGCTTTGCGGCTAATCGCGTGCATTTCAACATAAATCGACGACCTTTTTGGATCGCTTGTGTTCATCACAATACCCAATTTAATGGCGCACAAAAGTCACAACAGCTGAGCAAGAGCAGCCTCCCTCAAGCGATGATTCAAGCGTGGGCTTACAAGCTATGTGAAGGTCACGACACTTCCCGGACATGACCTAGTGCTGGATAGATGGAGTGGCCCAAGTGTTTCAAGTGCTCACACAAATTACTGGAGCGAGAGAATTTATTTAATCAATCCATTTACCATAGCTTAGGCCTCAACACTATGTCGCTGTAAATTATTGTCTGGTGTTCCTTAATATTCATCACAGCTGAGTTGCACTGATTGATCTAATTGAACAAGTTTTCACTGGGAAACATTCTCATCCCGAAGCCGTCAAGGCGCCGATCGGCCGAGAACTTAGTCAGAATGAAGAAATAAAAAAATTGGACTAAGGAGGTGAAAGAGGGATCATCTTGTAAGGGTTTGAGAGTACTGGCTACAAGGTTGAAGTCACGTAGCTGGAGACAAGTGAGAGATGCCACTCGAAGAAGGCATCCACCAAAGCAGCACTTCAAGTTCGCATCACCAGACCCGCCAATACTCGGACAGACCGCTCTTTCATCGGACTTCCTCATTCCGTCAGAATAAATTATCTTCTGGTTTCATGCGTTGGATCCACGTGAGGGTCTTTGACAGAGTCACACAACAAAAGCAGATATCTCGCCAGCCTAGCGCCTCTGTGTAGCTAGGTTTACATATCCTATCTATGCCGTCAGGTTCTTCTCAAAATGAACCTCTCACATGAGGTTTCCCGAGACCTACTCTTGGCTGCTTTCGGGAAAGAGGTTGTGCTACAAACCTGTGTTCGCTGTCGAGATTCTAGCCCGTGGCTGAATGAGCTCGCATGATGGTCAGAATGTTGTGTTCGCAGTAGGCATATATGACGTTGCAATCGCGCATCACACGGCCTCGGCAGAGATTTTTGGTATTGCTGATCGCGCAAATTGTGTCATTATACAGCACAATGAATAGTGCAAGCCACGAAGAGACATGGAGGCATACGATCAGGTTGGTTGCACAAACCGATTATGGGCTGATGCAGTAGGTGAGCATCATCGAATTTGTTAGCGTGGCCACTGGTTGGAACGAACTGTGTAATAAACGCTTCCGTATCCCATGAGCGCCGCACGTCCCAATGCTTTTTCAAATGCAATCATCAGTAACTCAGTCCGCGGTTTCGCTTCTTTTGTACAACAAGAGCTGGCTTGATTTGCGCGATGGTATCACTACTCCATGGAACTTGCCATCCGCAACCCGGTGGTGATAGTCTCGCATATAAATCCTAGCGCTTGAGCGGTCAATCACAGCTAATCAGCGCTCTGCAAATTTCGAGTGGCGGCCAACCGTGTCTGGTGTGCTGAGCAGATTCAGCAACGACTCTGCAAGGAAGAAAATGTCAGAAAGCAAAATATTATCAGCGCACTTCACTTTGTCTTTTCAAATGTACGTCATGGTTGTGAAAAGTGGATCATCAAATAGCTTAAGTCTCTCTTGGATTGTATCTTCGAAAGCACCAGACATCATCTTGTTAAATACATTTCCTCCAATCTTCCGTGATCCTGTCGCAACATATTGAAATGTCGGAACTTTACTTTGAGCAATGCTGGGCTATCCTCAGCACGATCGGAATCTCTAATGTGTTCTTCGGTCTTACAGTCATGAGCATCACTAAATTCTCCCCTATCATTCTGACACCGATCATCACGAGTGTTGCTTGCGCGATTGCCAACGGACTATGCTTCCATATTTTCTACACCAATAGCTCAGCATTGCAGAGAGCTCTGGCGTCTGGATTTGCAGACGTTTTTTGGCTGGTATACGCTACATATTCACCCTTTGCACACTCAAGCTAAACAGAGCTAGATACAAGAAGTCGGGATCAACTTTTACAGCTATTTTATCCTGATTCACCTTTTAACAGAACGCAAACGGGTCGTCTTTTTAACAGCATTTTGGGTCTTGCTTTTCTCTATCACTGTTATGAGAGGAGTGATACTTATTTCCCGGGTTCAGAATATTTACGACGAAGATAATTTTAAAGCTGAGAAAATTGTCGACTATGCCCACGTTGGATACTTCGTTCTCATAGCAATCTTGGAATGCATCAGCGCGGTCTTCCTGCTGCGGCGACTCGCCTCAACGCATGAAGAGTTGCTGAGAGCTGTACTGAAGGTCTCTTTGTTACGTCACTTGATGCGAAGCACTGAAATACGGGTGGCATCTCTTGCTTTGATAGGCATATCGAGAGCCATTACTTACACATTCAATCCGTCTTTATTGAACACGCCTGTTACAACTCCACGACAAATCGATCGATTTGTTTACACACTTGAATGTGTTTTCCCTGTCATGATATAGTAAGATAGATCTTGCTCATTTATGGAATTTCGAGCGTGCTGACAGAATCCTAGTTTCGACCTTTTGGCCTGCAAAATCAAGTCTGAAGACGATCGCACATTAGAAGTACAACACATTGACCACCTAAATTTGGATGAGGATCCAGAAAAGTGACCATATACACCAATTGTTACTTCATGAGAAATGAATTCTTTTTTGGAGGGGGGGGGGGGGATTCTCCAATAACAAAATTATCAATTGAAATTACCGACATCGCTATGTTCGTTGTGGTAACAACTTTAGCACAATTCGCCCAGATCATTCAATTGTAATAGTCAGTGACGACCTGGCACCACGGCAAGTCAGCACAAAAAGAAATCCAGACGGCAATATCGGGTGTCGAATTTTCTCTGAGCCCCGGAGCTGTTACTGTAAAAATCATTCAACCTGACTGTAAGAATGGCATCGTAATACGAGACGGCTGGGGCGTTTGTCGTTTTATACATGTGAGAGACGCTGCTGAGACCTGAGACTCATGTAGCTGGTTCAAAAGAAGATAAAGAAAAAAAAGGACAGGAGGTACGTCGGCTTTACTTGATTCAGGAACACCAGCAAGTCCTTGCCCAGCACCACGAGCCAGTCGATAGAGGAGTCTAAATCGATGCTGATTTCTAAGAGAGTCGTCTTTCCTACAGTTCACAGTTTGCATAAAGGGTTAAGAATACTTTGTTGATTGTACTATGCGAATCTATGAACCGATGTCTCTTAATGTGCTTGTATAGTATGCTTACTAGAGATGGGCGAGTTGCTCGAAACCTAGACAACCCCCATCTCGATAGCGAGCGTCTGAACAGAATCAATGCAACTGTGCTACTTCTTGTTTCCAACATCTGAAGATAAATGGTTAGACTTCGTCTCTGAGACCACAGGTGTTTCTTCTTGGAGCCAGCAATAACTCACTAAATTGGAAATGTATGATATCCCCATCTTGAACGACCTGATATTGACGTTAGCACCTAACACACAAGGCACCATCATGGTCGCGAATGCCTACATAAGTCTTTCCTTCCTGTCGGTACTTTCCAGCGGCCTTAATCGGAGCCATGGATTTCGCCCCGTTGCAAAGATCATGGAAATCCTGATACGCGACGACCTCGGCCTTGATAAAGCCTCGTTCGAAATCACCGTGGATGACACCAGCAGCTTGAGGTGCGAGGCAACCTCTTTGGATGGTCCAGCATCTGACTTCCTTTTCTCCAGCTAGAGTGCTTATCAGCATTGACCGTACTTGAATAGTCGGTACCATCGGCATACCTGTAAAGTAGTACTGTAACCCAAGCTTGTTGAACCCCTCCGTGATGATCTTGTCCAATTTGCTCTTGACCTTGCTCTCCCCGAGAAACTCTGCTTGCTTTGCGGGATCATCACTCAAGCTGTCCAGCTTCTCCTCGAATTCAATGGAGAAGGGGATGATGTCACGGGGAGTGCCTCCGTGTTCTGTGACCCACTTCGCGATTTGCGGGAGGTACTTGCTCTTCTGACGAAGATAGTCCTTCATCGTCAGATTGACAAGGTAGATCGCGGGTTTGGTGGTGATCAGCTGGATTTTCTCGTTGATAAGTTGAATCTCAGCAGGGGTCCAATTTCCATCTCGAACCGGCTGGTCCTTCTCCAGCATCGCCTGGATTTTCGTTGTTGTCTCGGTGAACAGGGGCAGCATCTTGTACTTGCCGCCGGCTTTTCTTACAATCGCCTCTTCGGCAACGATGGTCCTCTGGAGAATATCAAGGTCCTTCTTACACAGCTCACTTTGAATTGTATCCAAATCTCGGACAGGGTCGATGGAGTCGTCCACGTGCAAAACCTCATCATTGTCGAATGCACGGACAATATGAAACATGCCGTCCACGGCTTGAATGTGCGATAGGAAGGCATTTCCAAGACCTGCTCCCTGTGAAGCACCCCTGATTAGACCCGCTATATCGGTGACCTGCAAATAAGCCGGGTAAGTTGAAGGCGGCTTCCAGACATCGCACAAAAAGTTCTGCATTCATTTCCTGGTCAGCTTGTGTTCCAGGTGCCTCGCCCGGCCTATTGTATTGGACTCACATATCGTGCGTCCGGAACAGCGCATCTCGCCTCATTGGGTTCAATCGTGCAGAAAGGGTAGTTCTCAGCAGCAGCACTCTGCTTCGTAAGAAGATTGAACAAACTCGACTTGCCAACGTTTGGCAGGCCAACACATCCCATCTTCAGGTTCTTGCGAACCCGGCCGAAGGCGACAACATTGTCTTTAACTTCTTCGGTTGCTTTCTTGGGAGGCATGATTAAATTTCCGCGGATCGCGCTGTTCGTTGGTGGTGCTGTGATGTATGCTGGTCCGTTGGTACACACACAGACTTTTCGAAAGTGGTACGATGATGAAAACTTGCCAAGGCACAAGAGTGGACCTCTTACTTTTGTGGCACGTGTTATTCATGCCCCGGAGCTCGAACAATTTTTGGTCCACCAGGGGTGAGTGCAGCCGCTGGTGAATGACTTGTCAGCAGAAACAGCACTTTTCTCTTATCAATGCTACAACGCCATCACACACACTACTGGAACAACCCCGCCATCGTTGACAAAAAAAGGGAAGAAAGAAAATTTGGGGAAAACACCATTGAAACCCATGTGGATTACTAATTTCCCCAAATGGTTTCGTCCTACAGGATATTAACAACAGAAGCTGATACCATAGCAGGTTATCCCATAGAAGGTTATCCCATAAGAGGTTATCCTATAGAAGGGTATCCCACGGAGGTTGTCCCATAGAAGATCTTACCTTAACTGATTGTTCAATTACAGGTTATTTTATAAGAGATCTTTTTACTTCTTCTATAATTATCCCTTTTCATTTCCTGACTTATCATGCAATTAGATAAGGTGATCGCAAAACAGATTCCCGAGCTTAAGCTAGTTCTAGTATCACGATAAGGAGAAAAACCATAACCATTATGCGTAAGATAAAGAGAGAGGTCTTTCTCAGGGTGTATCCACTTATACAGCAGGCTGTGGTAATGTCGAGATCCACGTATATTAACAATAAGAGTCAATAAGAGCATATAACCTTGCAGGCAAGGAAGGGACAAAACCAAAAGAATGCAGTAAAATTTAGGTTACTTGTGACTATGATATTCAGCAAGAAGACAGCTCAAGCGTGTGTGTCAGGCTTCTCAAGAGCTTCGGATTCCGTAATAGTTGTATAAGAGAATAGCATTGCTTCTAGCGCAGCATACATCGGAGAAAGGTTGAAGGAGATATCAATCCGAAGATTAGTCTCCCAAGGCCAATCCATGTGGTAAATGCTTCACCCAAGAACAGCAAGCGGGGATCGTTTCACTTTAAGAGCGTACATAAAGACAAGACTGACTTCTTGAATCACGTCCATTCCATCAGTGCCCTCATTTCCCCAACATCCAAAAGAACTCCGATATGCCGTTACAAAGGCGGTAAGTTTCCCACAGAAATGATCGATCATTGTGTCTTCGGTTGCTGTTCTCCGGTTACAGGTCGTGACTCTTCGAGGAGACGAATGAGCTGCCAATCCCCAAACCGAACACAGAGAAACTTGTTGAGGATGCGAGCGAATGCCCGAAATGACGAAAAGAAAAGAAGACCTCGGTAGTCGACCATCTGAGCTGGGTATACACTTAGTTTGGACCAAGTGCTGTGGGTTCAATCCCAATCGTGGCGCGAATTGTGATGCTCTAAATTACTTCACTGTCACATTCTCAGATGAATAGATGTCGACTGTGGAAAACGCTATCGGGCTCTACTTAAGTAAGCTGCGTAATTGTTGAATGGCTTGAGTAACAGTAAACTTGACTTTTTTTTACAATGTCCCTCATCTCTCTCATCCTTGTGACTTTCCTCTATAAAAGATTGGCTAAACAACATACAAAGCATACTTTACGTAACATAATTATCAGTTACCTATGTTCATTGTCTCAGTGTTATAATCACAGCTTAGCGTTTTCCACGCTTCAATGCAAACGGGGCGAGGACTAGTTATTGAATCCTTGGTCTCAGCACTGCGCAAAAAGAAAACATCAGGAGATGTGCCTTGGAAACATTGAGATCCGATCTATTCAGGCAGGTCCAAATGCATGCACAATGCACGACCAATATCAATGACGTCGTGAGCAAATACATAAGGCATTTATCTAGACATTGTAGTGAACGAGCACTCATGCATAGACTCTAGGTGATTAGTTATTCGTAGACGAGTATAAGCAGTAGCAGGTTTGGTCCGCGCCGACGATTGGGATTCGTCCGGCCTTGTGAGTCATGCCGTCTTACAGTAGTCGGCTCGGCGAGCTCCACAAAGTCGGCAGCTGTTTGCCCGTCCGGCGGAGCCTCAAGGTCGACAAAGAAAACATAGCAACCGAAATAGCCCTGTCCTTAGAATGCATAAAAGCAGAAACTCAACCTGTACCCACTCGCTGTTGCGATCCGCATCTCCATGTTCAGGTCGCGCGTCATGTCGACTAAAGTTCCAGCCCCACGTCTTCGTATCCGCCGCGCCACGCCCAATGATGCAGGCACAATCGCGAAGATCCACTTCGAAGCCTTCGGCCCAGGTGTCATGAATAGGCTGATACATCCAGATGGGGTGAGTGAGAGCGCACGGGCGAACTTTGCCGGAGCAATATTCCCTCCGCCTGAGAGGGCTGCGGATCTCTCCACCGAAGTCATTGTCATGGTAGCAGAGCTCCTTCCGGAGGGCAATGAAGACGATGGGGGCCTGAACCCGGTCATAATAGCCTTTGCCAAGTGGAAACTGGTGAAGGAGGCACTGCCACGGGAGAAATGGGATGGGCACTATGAGATGACGGACGAGGAACTAGGTGAGGGGTCAAACGCCGCGGTGTACAACGAGTTCATCGGCGGCCTGCACCAGATGAAGCAACGCTGTATCAAGGGAGAACCGTGTCTGCGTGAGTTCTGCTTTCCAACTTGGCATGATTGGCATTATCCTGACAAACCTCACAGATCTGGGAATCCTGGCGGCCACGCCTACCCGTCACCGGCTCGGTGCTGGGACTGCCTTGCTTAAATGGGGCTGCGAGCTAGCCGACAGGGAGAACAAAACGGCGTGGCTGGAGGCATCACCAGCTGGATATCTTCTTTACCGAAAACTAGGGTTCGAAGATGTCGATGTCCAGGACCTCAAGGTGACAGAGACGTGGGGCCCGGTGAGGTCCGAAGGCGAGAACTGGGGAGCTGGATCCGCGGTCGTATTGGCAGGTGAGCTTCCCGAGGGTAGCTTCAGGACGGTCTTGATGAGGAGATTGCCCAAGACGTCGTGACAGACGAGTTCTGGCCTGCGGATCTCGAGAATATTTTTGTGGCCCGTTTACAGATTCATCCCGATGGCAAGCTCGTGCCGATATTACACCTATTCGTGTCAGCTGCCACCAAGATTAGCTTCAATACAGTACTACTCAGTCTGCTGGTGTGAAGCGCTGAAAATGGATCTCATTCCGGAGGAATCGGTAGCTTAAATCGCGCCAGATCATATGCGTCTAGTTGACTCGTGCAGCCGTAGATGGCTGACTGTTGCTTGTGCATCAGTAGTACTGGTTCCCCCTCTCACTTGGTTACCCGTATGTCTTCTGCCGCCGGGAACGGATGGCCCTGTCAAGTCGGCAAATGCTTGCGATGATGCCGCGAGCCCACGGCACTGGACTCTACCAGTCGCCGGGCACCAACTCCGTTGACAACTTGCAAGAACGGCGCTGTTGGGCGTCAACGTCGCCGGAATGAGATCGGCAGGACCGGGGGTCAGACGCTGGTTGTTGCGGACGACGTCTAGTTGTTCCGACCGCCGTCTCGGCAGTGTTTTGAGCCGACTCCTAGCCCCATGTCCAAGGCGTGTTGACCCTGTAGGTTGAGACGAGGGCCCTCCTTGGTGCTTGGCCATCTCCACAGCCACACAGACGTGCAGGTGCGATTTACCGACGCGCGCTCTACCAGCTGCCTCTGCAAGTCGACTTACGCAGCGGGAGCGTTTATTCGTTGCACCGGAAGCGGTCAGCACGAATGGCGTTGGATTGCGTGGATAATGTGCTCATAGTGAATGCTGTAGGGTGGTAGATTGAGTTCAAGCGTGCATCGGAAGCTACTGCTTCCATGTTGACAAGCATTCTAGCAGTAGACTAATGGGTATTTGCATGTGATCAGGGGTGGAAGGCACCCTGCCGGCAGGCGTTTGGGAACAAACAGGCACTTGAGTACACCAGGGTCATCATGGGACAACTTGAAACGCTTTATCTTCAACTTGCGAGCGCCACGCGGTTTTTGACACGCCTTTTCTGTTGATTTCGAAATTGCTTCCTTTTTTATTTCCTGCTCTTTACTCTTTCAGCCAAAACATTACATATCGTTTCAATTGTCCAACACCTTCTAACATAGCCCACGATAACTTCCGACGTCATACAGCCCTTGGTACGATCGCGACCATAAAGAGATCTCGGTGTAAAGAGCCCTTCGATCCTCAACTAGATAACTGAACATAAGGCCTTCACAACACACCTATCTTTTCCGAAGATGAGTCTCGAAGTCGGCGGCTTGCCCTCACCAACAGGGCCCTGGAGCCCGACTCATAACTCTCAGAGTCCCTACTTCGACCCCTCCAAAAATACTCAGATATCACATAGCAGACAACAGCCATCGGTGTCGTCTCGATTTAGAGACCTGGTGAAGGTGAGCACTTTATTTGGTTCTTTCAAAGGAGCCTTACATACCCCACGTACCAAAGCTAATCGCCACCTCCCAGTTCCTTTCCTCTGTCTCTGGAGATCTCTCCAACGTCACCGCCCCGCCCTTTTTCCTAGCGCCATCTTCCGTGGTGGAAGTCGGCCACTGCTGGAGTCAGCGGCCCGGGGTCTTTGCCGCGCCGGCGCTGGAACCTGACTCGGCGAAGCGGAGCTTGTTGGTTCTGCGCATGATCCTGATCGCCATGCGCAGCCAATTTTATGTTGCCGGCTCACCCAGTGTCAGCATCAAGAAGCCCTTGAACGCTTTTTTGGGTGAATTATTCCTTGCTTCTTGGACTCACGTTCCAAAGGGGAAAAGCAAGAGCAAAGGAAAGGAAAAAGGCATCAAGCTTGGGATGGAAAGCGGGGATGGAAAACCTGCTACGACGCGGCTTGTGGCTGAGCAAGTCAGCCACCACCCACCCATTACGGCCATGGCCATTATCGACGACGAGCATGGAATTCGAGCCGATGGTTATGCCCGTGTGGAGATGACTTTCAGCAGCAGCGTAGACATCCGGCAGATTGGTCACGCCATTGTACACATCGACGAGTATGATGAGGACTATCTCATTCCGCTGCCTGACGTCAAAGTTCGAGGTTTCCTATCTGCTAAGCTATACCCCGAAGTTCTTGGGACATACACAATTGTGTCTAGCTCAGGCTACGTCAGTGAGATCAACTTCTCTGGTGCTGGCGTATTTCGGGGTAAGAAGAATACTTTTGAGGCTAAGATGTATCGCAAAGACGACCCGAAGAAGACACCAATATATGAGATCGCTGGCCAGTGGAGCGAGGGCTGGACGGTCAAGGACAGTAAGACGGGCGAGGTTCTCGAAAAGTACGACGTCGATGCCGTTGAAAACAGGCCAGCGCCGATGGACATGGAACCTCTCGAGAAACAGGACCCGTGGGAATCAAGGAGGGCATGGGCAGGCGTCATCGATGGATTGGACAAAGGGGATTTCCGGGAAATAGTCACGGAGAAATCAAAGCTCGAGCAGGCGCAGAGACGCATGAGGACCGAGGAGAAGATCAAAGGAGAGACTTGGGAGCCTCTCCTGTTCACCAGCAAGGAAGGGGCTGACCATAAAATCTTCCACAGTCTTGCCAAGGGGACAAGCTGGGAAAAACATCTCTCGGACGAGAAGACAAAAGGCGTGTGGAGGGTCAAAGATGACAAGGCAAAGAGTGCGCAAAGACCGTTCAGAGGGGAACTCACGCCTTTGGGCTAGAACGTTGAATTAGGAGAGGCTCTTTTTCCATTTCCTTTCCCTATATATTGCTTATGAGCGTGGGCGTTATTGTTACGGGGACTGCACATGATTAACGCACTATACCTAGGCAATAGCTTCCAGACACAGAATACATCAATATTTCGATAACATCAACTCGCTGCAAACCTTCGACTTCGTCCACATGTATAAACAATGTGAGAAGGTCAAATATAGTGTGTTGCATGTGAGATGAAGAAATGAATTCATATCCACTTTACCAATTATGATAGACAATGAATATCCTGTTCAACTTGTACAATTAGTTCTCGTTCTCCTTGCTCTGCCGTCATTTCTGCATAACTCGAGCCGCGATGTCCTTCCGAAAGTGCATGTTATTGAACTGTATATTCTTGATACCCGTGTATGCCAAGTCAAGCGCTCCTTGGAGGGTCGGCGCGTAAGCGGCAACAGAGAGCACTCGACCGCCCGATGTTACCAACTTCCCGTCGACGAGCTTCGTACCAGCATGGAAGACTTGCAAAGCTGTGGAACTAGTCTCGAGGTGAGCGTTTGGATCCACAGAGATCTCATCTCCTGAACGGTAGGAATTGGGGTATCCTCCAGCAGCAACAACCACGTTGCAGGCATAGCCGGCACGAGCTTGGATATCTGTGCCGTCTAGCTCTCCGGCTACACAGGAGAGGAGGATCTTTGCCAGATCTTGATTGGCGAGGAGTAGCATCATGGTCTGTGTCTCTGGGTCCCCGAACCTTGCATTGTATTCAAGGACCTTGGGTTCTCCAGACGGAGTTATCATGATGCCCGTGAAGAGAAGACCCACGAATGTACGGCCTATTGAAAACATCAGCACTTGGATCTGCTCACAAGACGATGGCTTTTTCTGCTCACCTTCAGCCTTCAGCCCATCAAAAGTAGGGCGAAGAATTTTCTGGTTGATTTCCCTCATCTGACCCTGAGACACAAAATCGACAGGCGCATAAACCCCCATGCCGCCAGTATTTGGTCCTCGATCCCCCTCAAACACCCGCTTATGGTCCTGCCCCGGCGGCAGCGACTTGAACGTCTTGCCATCGCTGAATGTCAAAACACTGATCTCGTCGCCGACCATGAAATCTTCGATCACGACTGACTGGCCTGCAGGACCGAACTTGGCCTCGACCATGATATTTCTCAAGAAGTCTTGAGCTTCCTCTTTCGTCTGAGGGAGCACGACGCCCTTTCCTGCCGCCAGCCCATCGGCTTTGATGACGACTCGGTGGTTTATGCTATCTAGGTACTGGCTCGCTTCATCATAGTTGTCGAAATGGTGATATTCGGCTGTAGGTATCTGATATTTCTTCATGAAGTTCTTCGCAAAGACCTTGGAGCCCTCGACCTCAGCAGCTTCTTTGGATGGGGCGAAGCACGGTATGCCTGCTGTTGGACCTCGTGTTAGATCTTCTCGTGATACGTGTTCACTGGGATTTAAACTTACTGCCTCTGAAAAACCCCTTGATGCCATCAACAACTGCATCATCTGGACCAGCGACGACGAGCCCGATGTCTAAGTCCTGGGACAAACGAACAAGCCCTGGATAGTCATTTGCTGCGATGTCGTCAATGTTTGTTACACCAGGTAGGCTGGCTGTACCTCCATTCCCTGGCATGACGAATACGTGCTCCACGGATGGGGAGTGCACAAGCTTCCAAGCTAGAGCATGTTCGCGGCCACCTTTCCCGACCAACAACACTTTCAGTTTCGGTGAGCCTTGAACGTCCATAGCGGTTGGCAGACTTGATATTCAGGTAAAGTTGCAGGTTGAGCAGATCAGTATCAATCCTTCAGGCATTTTAGCAATGACTGTAAACTGGTGAAGGAGTGGCAGTTGGCCTGAGTAAGGTGTTCGGAAAGTGCATTAGCTAGGGGAAAATAAAAATGTTTCAAAGCACAGTATTATTGGTTAGTGACTAGAGATTTCTGAAGCTTGTGCTACATAAGCATCACACTCCAGACAATGACACTGCGCAGCCATGACCGGATCTGTAGCCATCAATTAGGTCACTGAGACCAGTCACCGGAGGGGAGCCTGGCCTGCCTTGGCTTGGTTACTAGTCACGTCCATCGAGGTCGCTCTGTCGCTATCCCTCGGGCCGGTCCTCCCGTGCTGGCGACGGCACAAACGCATTCTTCGACTGTATCGCAGAGCGCCACGACGCCCTCTCTAGATCGTCGTCAATACCGGCCCAAAAAAGCTGGTGCGTACCCGCCGGGGTCTTTATCAATCATCACAGACAATGAATACCCTGCTCACCTCCTGAGAAATACTGCAGTATTTCGTACGCGTCAATCCAAGCGTCACTGTTTGGATTCAGACGCCGTCACGGAGTCAACCTCGGATCCGAGACTGTTGGATAAATGGAAAGGTCGGCCTTGCTTCTTGGCATCTTCCATGACATAACTTTGTTCCAGAAGCGATCCAGTCTTGGAAATACCTTCCTTTTCTTTGGGCCACTACCGCGATGGTCGCCCACATCCCGAAAGGCATCCACTACTACCTTCCACAACCAGCATGCAAGCCTCGACATCATGCTCTTGGCAGATGAAATGTGCCAGCAGCCGCAACGGGATTTATGGAGGCGTACAGGCAGGAATCACGCATTGTCTCGGGGACAGCTTGCAGCTTGCAGCGACACCATGCAAGAGGACGCATCAAGTGCCGTGCTTCTCCGTCGCCTCCCACTTCCCTTTACACGTATGGCGGTATTTGATGCAGCTCTACACAGTTTGATAGCACCTATCGTCCTCGGAAACCGATGGACAATACGCGTACTACAGCGCCAAGATCTGCAGGGGCAAACAGGGCCCTATTCTCTAGCCAAAGGCGGGAGGTGAAGATATTGTTCCCGGCGCTTGTGGAACATCTCCGACGTTGAGATGGGATGGACAACTGCAGTCGTGACTTCTCTTGATGGCTGGATAATCACTCACTGAAGGTACTTGCTACAGTCATTCTATCCTGGCGCCCTGGATTACGCGTAACGGCAATTAGGTTACATTAGTGTATATTGTCGAAGCACGGCTCTACTTTAATAGAGCAGCTGTTGGCCAATCATTCTACAAAGTTTACAAATTGACGATGCTTTTGATCGGAAGAGTCGAATGCCACTAGAGGATCTCAGTCTCGGGAAGGTCGACCCCATCAACCGAAGCACCGTTGTGGGTATAGTAGATGCGTGCTATCAAGACCTCAGGCTGATTGCAGGATGCGGTCCGTCGAATCAGCGGTTGGATATTTCTGTACATGGGACAGTCGGCACACAAAGAATCCTCTAAGATGATCGACGTATCTAGAGTAGCTGTGGGTTTGCCAGGGACGACGAGTCCCATCTCGGGATGTGGTGGACATGCTTGTTCGTTCAATACGATACATCTTGGCCTCGAAAGTTCACAGTACTCCCGGCTCTCCCAGCCCTCGGGTGGTAAACTCGAATCAAATGCATGTGAATGAATGAGGCAAGACTTGCATACTGGGGAAGGTGAAGACTACATAAGCTAGTCGTTTGGACAGTATGCTCGAGTTTGATTTTTTTCTCAGGAGTGTCATCAACAAGCTGTCGTCTCTCGACTCATCCGAAGCCCTCTGTTTTCTTTTCACTCGGCTGTCTTCGCGATATGTTGTTCACAAAGTCGATTCTTCTCGGCCTCGCTGCCCTGGCAGTCGGTCACCCTGGACACGAAGAGGAAGAGCGTCTTCAGGCTGTCAATGCCCGCGCCGCCACGGCTCGCACCAGACGGGCTCTCGAAGGCTGCACTTCCCAGCTCGAGGCCCGAGGTGTCTATGCGCGTGCTATGGAACGTCGCAGGGCTGCTGTTGAAGCCCACCGCATTGCCAAGCGAATCCCGTTGGATAGTACGTTTTCAATCTGAACCGAAACTGTCGGACAGCTTCATTAACAAAGCACAACCACAGCTCCCTACACTATGAGCAACAACCGAATGGCTAAGCGCAACACCACCGACGTCCTCAATAAGGATCACCAAGGCGACCTTAACGCCTCCGTGGCCATTGATGACCCGTCCTACGTCTTCAACAGCACTACCTGCACGGTACTGAACCCAGAGGGTGAGGTCGGGCCGTTTTACGTCCTCGGGGAATACATTCGTTGTCAGTATAAGCCTTTTACCACTACGTTTGCCTATTAGTTTTTCATTATCATGTTTCGAGTGCATTATTTCGGGCCTAGTAGTAGGTGACTAACGCATTATAGCCGATTTGGTGACAAATGAGGCCGGCGTGGCTGGCATACCTTTCGTCGCTGATATCCAGTTCATCAACGTGGATACCTGCGAGCCTCTAGTCGATGTCTGGGCAGATGTTTGGTCGTGTAACGCCACCGGTGTCTACGGAGGTGTTCAATCCAGCATGAATGGAAACCCATCGGATGCCACGAACCTTAATAACACTGCTCTGCGTGGCATCCAAAAGTCGGACTCTGATGGGGTTGTCCAATTTTCTTCCATCTTCCCGGGCCACTATGGGGGCCGCACCACTCATCAGCATATTGTTGTACACGAGAACGCCACCGTCCAGTCGAATGGGACCCTCACCGGCGGGTCGGTTCCACACATTGGTCAGGTCTTCTGGGACCAGTCACTCATTACGGAGATTGAGGCTTTGAGCCCATATAGCGAGAACACCGCCCGGCTGACACCCAACTCTGAAGACCACGTCTTCGGCCAACAGGAAACGGAAGGTACCGATTCGGACCCGGTCTACAACTATGTTTACTTCAGTGACGATGTCAACGATGGCCTATTTGGGTGGATTGTAATTGGAATCAATCCCTCTGCTTCGTACACCCCAACTTACTCTTTCGCCTTGACCGAGGGCGGTGGCGTGGCTGTTGGCAATGGTGGCGGAGGTGGCGGCCCTGGCGGCCCTCCTCCCTCCTCCTAAGCAAGCTTTACTGCATCATTGTTGACGATCCGGCTCGCAAGAAACTGGCATTCAACAACTTGAACTTCGCTTTGACTGGTTGCTGCATCATGGCATGGGCTTTGTCTCCCCTTCAGCTACCAGTATTACACAGCTTGATCTTTCGTTTCTCGGCGAGGAATACTTGTTAGAGTCAAAATGTTTCAATATGGTGTTGTGAATCACCGTTCATTTGAGCAACATCAATTCGATTGCACATGTAATTGCGTCTCGAAGTAAGACATTCAGGGACTCGACCGGCCTGTTCCACAGCCAGTGTATGATCGCCGGTCGCAAAAGTCATGTATACGTTGATGGCTGCTCGATTTTGAATACATGTTCGAGATTTGGGTAAGCTAAATAGCGTCTAGTTACATGAAGCGATCATCCAGGCAGAATAGTCGCACTGGGTAACACAGCCACTGGCACAACGTCGTGCGGCGTGTTGCCTCGACATCCTCGGCAGAAAATTTGCAACATCACGCAGTGAAATTGAGTGACTTCTTACGACATCTTTGGCCGTCCAATTCGGAAAGGCAGTATGTAGCAGTGTATTAGGGCATCAGTATGTTCAATATTAGCTTGTCACAACCTAGTCACCCGTACCTGCTTCACCTGTATTTTCCTTAACCGAGATAATGCTTTGTCATTGTTGCGAAACTTTGAGCAAGGTAGGGAAGCGTATAATACGATGGGACCTGGCGGCTTCGTGAAAGACACCTATGCGTTGGTAGTATACACGGAATGGAAGCCCATAGATTCGGCCAAGACCTGTAGCAGTCCAAACATTGCGGAAAACTTGCACTCGCGGCACTGAAAGCGGACTCAAAGATTGAGACAGTGCCTTTCCTCTTCCGGATTTCTGACACGATGCGTGACTTCACCCATTGAAATCGACGACCGTTGTTTGACCGGTCTCCGCTGTTGTAGCATGTTGCGGGGCAGGAGGTCAGCTTGCAAGACCCGTGAGCCCTAGTCTCATAGGTGGCTCTGGGCAGATCGGCTAATCATATGAGTCGGCTCTTAATTGTTCTCAGTGTTGAGGCGCATATAGTAGACATGGGCTTTGCCGGAAACAAGAAGCGTCGTATTCTAGAGTTTCCATATGGTTGAGAGTTGGGAGCCCGCAGAATTGCATGTATGAATGATACGTATTACACGTGCTTACCAGAGTATGACTCTTGCGAGTCTGCGATCCTCCGAGAATGAGGGGCCATTACTATGGCCCAGTGGGGTAAGGTGGCTGAGAGAATACTTTTGCTTGTGTGCAGGGAAGCTATGTTGCGTGCAAACGCGGTGTTTTCTCGGGATAGGACGAAGGAGGATAAAAGAGAAAAGTATCGGTACAGGTTCCGAGCTCGCCGGTGAGCTATCGGATCTAGACAGGATCGGACCTACGACCCGAGGGTCGATTAGCCAGTCAACGCCGATCAGAGGAAATGTCTGTTGCCATTTGCGCGACAACCATCTACCTGGAGAACCTCACATGCTTGAGATCCGACCTCACGATTCTGAACGCTAGCCAAGACGAAGCAGGGCAATCACCATTGAGACAAAATGACTGGAAAATTCCAAGACCAAGTCGTCCTCATCACTGGAGCTGCCAGTGGAATTGGGTAAGTAGAACAAAGTCCGCCTCTGGATCTGTCGCATTACCTATAGTGCAAAGGTCACAGAACATCTCTAATAGGTCTCATGTAGCCGTGCAACCACACTCAAGTTAGCAGCCCTCAATGCTTCTCTCGCCCTTTGCGACATCAACACTACTGCCCTCTCGAACCTAGCCTCAGAACTCCCAAATGACTCAGTTCTTACGCAAAAGGTTGATGTTGGCTCCGAGTCGGATGTGAAGTCATTTACATCTGCCATCTTGGAGAAGTTCGGCAGACTGGACCATGTGTTCAATTGTGCGGGCATCAATCCCACCAATATTCCCTTCGAGGAGACGACCCTTGAGTACTGGGATAAGCAGTGTAACACAAACTTGAAGGGCGTTTTCCTCATTACGCGAGAGAGCTTGCCGTACTTGAAGAGGGGCTCGAGCATCGTCACCGTGTCGAGCATGAGTGGCACCCGTGGGACACCCTTGCAATCTGTCTACAGGTATTCAACCAGCATCTATCTTCTCAGGAAGAGGAAATTTGCTAACTTCATCACAGTAAGTTCTCTGGATGCGAATCACATTGCACCGCTGGATTTGCATTGTGTAGTGGCTAGTGTTCCAGACGGCAATTTTCCATTCCTTGCATGATGTATCTCTTAAGGGATATCCTTAGACCGAAACACCCTTGCTGTTCCTGAAGAAACTGCTAATCGGGACGCCAATAGATACAACCAAACATGGAGTAATCGGGATGATGAAGAGTCTTGCCCACGAGGTCGGTCCCAAGGGGATTCGTGTCAACTGCGTAGCCCCGGGATACATCAACACCCCTACTAACTCCGGCATTGTACGCGGAGGTGAGATCGTAGAGAAATGGTCTAAGGCGTACGTAAGCTAGTTCTCATCTGAATAGAAGCATTACTGACAACGACAGTTGCGCTTTGGAGAGATGGGGCACACCAGAGGACGTTGCGGATGTGGTGATTTTCTTGTTCTCGGACGAATCGAGATATGTGAGCGGATCGGTCTACGAGGTTGACGGCGCGGTTAGATGGTGAGATAAACAGTATAATTGGTATCACCTTAACGCTTTCTCTGCCATAAGCCAGAGTCGGCCAACCCAACTCCTTCATTTGGCACCCAGTACATATAGCTCTTGTAGCCAGATACTATGAAAACAAATGAGCATGACAAGATTTCTTTATCGGCCTCCACGCCCTGGGCCCTTGGTCATTTGCGAACTTTTATAGCACCGGAGATTTACTATTCTGCATAGGTAATTGGACAGCCCTTAATGAAGCTGCAGGCACTTGTAAACAGCAACTGTCGGAAGAAACCCGAACATCGATTCTCTGGCTCTTGAATCACATGTGCATTGCGCGACTCGGGATTGCTGCAGCGACAAGCAGTTGTTGTTACGTTTTGCCATAGCAATGCTGACCGTCGGAAGCAATCCCGGGCACCTTATCCCGGGTTCTCAGAACCCCCCACCATTCGGCCCAGCGTCCGATCGCGGTACTTACAAGTCAATGTTGATTAATGTCGGAAGCTATCCCGAGAGCCGATACCGAACTCATCGATCACACCAATGACCATAATCACAATAACTTCATTTGATGTTTGACATCGGACTTTTTTGACAGACAGAAGATCAAAAGCTGGACTTGTTATGGATTTATGAAATTTATACATAATGTCGTCGACTTCTCAGAGCCTCAAAGAGCGCGTCATCCTTGGGTTGATGACCTATGGTAAGTCCATTATTGACCAACTGTTTTAGCCCCATAACGCTTATCTGGTATCAGGCCCGGATGAGAATGCAGGAGCGCGCATCCTAGAACTCGATGAGTTCAACAGACACCTGGATTACTTCCAGGGCCAAGGCTACAATGAGGTCGACACCGCGAGGATGTACGTGAGCGGCAAGCAAGAGGCCTGGACCCGTGATGCCAAGTGGAAGGAGCGTGGCTTGACTTTGGCAACCAAAGTCTATCCCGAGGATCCTGGCATGCACGAGCCAGCCCGACTACGAAAGCTCATCACAAGTTCGTTGAATGAACTTGGCTCCGGCGAAGTGGATATATTCTATCTTCATGCGCCTGATCGCTCGGTCCCGTACGAGGACACGCTGGCAGAGGTGAACAAGCTCTATCAAGAGGGGAAGTTCAAGCGACTAGGCCTTTCTAACTACGCAGCATGGGAAGTTGCCGAGATCTATACTATTGCGAAAGAACGAGGCTGGGTGAGACCTAGTATCTACCAGGCCATGTACAATGTGATCAGTAAGTATGATTCTGCCCCGGAGAATGCCTCAGAACTAACGACAAAACTAGCTCGTGATATAGAGTCTGAGCTTGTCCCATGCTGTCGTAAATTTGGCATGGACATCGTGGTCTACAATCCTTTGGCCGGTGGCTTGTTCTCGGGAAAGATCAAGTCTGCAGATCTTGCGCCAACCGACGGACGGTTCTCTGACTCTTATAAGTACGGGAAGCTGTACCGGGATCGTTTCCTGAACAAAGCCAACATGGAGGCCCTGAAGATTGCCGAGGAGGCAATACAGAAGCATGACTTGACACTGCTAGAGACTGCGATAGGATGGGTCATCCACCACTCGGCGTTGAAAACCAGGGTCAAAGGCGGCAATGACGGTGTTGTCATCGGTGTGAGCAATTTTCAGCAGCTGGAAGGAAATCTGAAGGATTTTGAGAAGGATCCCTTGCCAGAGGATGTTGTGCAAGCACTGGATCGGGCCTGGCTGGTAGCGAAGGCTACAGCCGCTCCGTATTGGCGATAGATGGGTCCTAGTCGTGTGCTTCACCATGTCCAAATAATTTATACCGCTTCTTCGACAACTGAGTCTCTCTGTAAAGATTTTGAGTCGATCACCATCCATAAAAATAACAAGTAAGCCAACCGACACCAGTAGTGTACAGGTGGTCAAAGTCGTACAGCTTCTAATCGTTGGACCCAGAAGATATTCAAGCCACATCTCCCGGCTGTACTCTGTCGAAGCTAGAACTGGAGTGGCATCTTGCTAATAATGACGATCGATCTCTGCTAGGGACCTTTTTCCAGGTTTGGCCACAGCTGGATCAATTTCCGTAAGCATGTGAATGGGGCCCGAGGTGGGGGGGGGGGGGGACGATGGAGCCCTGCTTACAACGTTTGGTTCCAGAATCCACCTAAATGAGCTAATCATACTTTCGAAAGATATCTTGAAACTGCTCAGTGGTATTATCTTTTTTCAGTAGGCCAAGCGCTGTGCCCACATCTGCTGGCGATGGTTTCTCCCGATAGAACTCATAGGTGATGTGTCCTGGATGGTGTCAATGGCCGAGATTGGTCAGTTCGGCTCAGCTGAGACCGAGAAAGTCTTGATGGTGAAGTACTGGTCTCTCGACAGTGGAATACCGGCGTGCAACGCAATTAATGCAATTTTCAGTGAGGCTACACTGCGGTACACTGGGTAACGTATGATTGTAATTCGCCTATGGTTTCCAAGATTGGAAAATGAACAACCGAAGCGAATACAAGGCCACAAAAGAGCACATGACCACATCAAAAGATAAGGAATCTCGTCACTTCTTCTTGAACCTACCATCTCGCTGAATTTTGGTCCATGGATTCCACCAAACGGGAAAGGCTGGTAACACGTACCGTTCCTTGAAGACTGTTCAGGTGTGCGGAGAAAACCTCCCTTTAGAGGGCAGATGCAAAAGAACATGTTGCAATTTTGGGGAATTATAAATTGGCGCAAAATGCCCATCTCATCAACGAGGTATATGGTCAAAACGCTGTGCCGTACGCACACCGCAAAGCTCCAAGGAGCTCCATACTTCATCCGTCACCGTCTTGAATTTTCACAGAGAAGTCAAGCCGTTCGTCAAGGGAGACAATGAATCTCAAGATCACTTATCAGACTGTGGTGTTGGCACTCTCCCTGGAATGTGTCAACGCTCATCCTGCAATCCTGGTAAGCGCGGTTCCTAATAGCATATCCAGAATCGCATCTCCGAGGACTTCAGACTAACTACTTGATACATAGCCCGAACATGATGGGACCTGGATCCTTCCGGCGTGCACAAAGCCGCCGACACCAGATTGGTGCGTCGCGAAGGGATCTCGGCCAGATCTGTGGTGCATGGGAGATAATTGGTGGTGCGAGTATCAAAAGTTAGCCCTTCTAGTTACCTTCATATGTAGTTGACAGAGTAGGGCCCGGGCTAATATTTGAGCAGTCCAACTTATGGGTCGCCCACTTTCATGCCGACCAACATTTCTTGTTCGGGCTGTCCGCCCGGACCCGGAATGTGACTATATGATTTATTCTCGGGTCTTATTGCTCTGTCAGATAGTTGCTCGGAAGGTGGTCAGAAACGTGACGGGTGATTTCAGGGCAGCAAAGTCTGCCTACTTCAATTCAAACTCAAGGAGGCGAATCCACTAGGACAACCTCCAGTGGGATAACCCCCTGCGCTGCGGGATGAATTTTAAACCTCGTTCCTTGTGAGCTGTATTACCCAAGGCCTTCCGTGAAGCTCTTTTCTCAGCATTCACTTCCCATTGCCGAGGGCTTTTGTTATGCATTTCTGACGAATTTCGTCTGTCCGTAAGAAATATTGAATCGAGCCATGGACTGATTGTGATACACTTTGGTTCATAGGTGAGGCTGAGATCAATGGACCGTGCCATAGCAAAGAGAGAGACAATTCAGCGACAACATGTCTTGATTTATTCCTTTGCCGAAGAGTCTTGTAGGTGGTATGGAACAACGAACCATCCAACCCTTGACCTGACTTACCCCAGGGTTAGTCAAGGGGCAAGGGTGGCTCACGTTGCATGTCTTCAGGGAGGCCCTAGCGTGCCGAGCTCCTGGAGCCGCGCCGTGCTGCCCCTGAAAATAAGGCCTAGCACTGAGATAAGGTGACATCACCACTTTGGACCCTGGCGGAATCGAAAAAGCATGAGGGATCCTCAAACATACCCTCATCCCATCTGCCTCCATCTTCGCGGTTGAGAAGCCCCGACAGCCATACTGCATGCTTCGGACCACCATGGCTAGGGGTACTCGCGCAGCTGCAAGCACAACACAGAAGAGGGAGCTGCCCAAGCGAGCTGCCCGGGTGAAAGCAGAGGAAACACACTCACCACAGGTCAAGAAGGAGCCACATTCACCACCCAGACCGGCCAAAGCCACCCCGAGGAAACGAGCAGCCCCCAAGGCCGAGAGTGGGAATGAGACGCCGAAAAGGGTAAAGGTGGAAGATGAGGAGCCTACAGCAAAGACCAGCCCAAGCAAGAAAAACACCCCATCAGACCTCCGAGACAAGAAGCTCAAGGCCTACGCCCAGTACGCCAACAGCTCGCCATTCCCGGACTTTGCACACCCCACGCCAGAGGAATGCAAGCTGGCCCACAAGATCCTGGCCTCCCTGCACGGCGAGCGCAAGAGGCCAGCCCAGCTCGTGGCCCCGAGCTCCCGCGCCGGGTGCGGCGACTCGCCCTCGGTGCTGGACGCGCTGGTGCGGACGATCCTGTCGCAGAACACGTCCGACACCAACAGCACGCGCGCCAAGCAGAGCATGGACAAGGCGTACGGCAGCAGCGACAAGTGGGACGCCATCGCGCACGGGGGCCAGGCGAAGCTGCAGGAGGCTATTAAGTGCGGCGGGCTGAGCGTCGTCAAGAGCAAGGTCATCCTGAGCATCCTCGAGCAGGTTTATGAGCGCTACGGGAAATACTCGCTGGATCACCTGCACGAGGCGTCGAGCGAGGATGCCATGACTGAGATGTTGAGTTTCAATGGCGTGGGGCCCAAGACGGCCAGCTGTGTGCTGCTGTTCTGTCTGCAGAGGGAGAGCTTTGCTGTCGACACGCACGTGCACCGCATCACGGGCTTGTTGGGGTGGAGGCCGGCCAAGGCAAGCAGGGACGAGACGCATCAGCACTTGGATGCTAGGATCCCGGACGAGGACAAGTACGGGCTGCACATTCTTCTTGTGTCGCACGGTAAGAAATGTGATGAGTGTAGGGCTGGCGGTAAGAATATGGGAAAGTGTGAGTTGAGGAAGGCGTTCCGTAAGGGCAAGCTGGCGGGTGAGGCTGGCGAGGACGTGAAGGAGGAGGAAGAGGAACAAGTGAAGATCAAGGACGAGGAATGACAGGACTATGGTAAGCAAGCCTTTTGTATTTGTAGGTGCATATAGAGCTGTCTTTATGGATATATAATTCGCCATGTCCTGGAATGACACTCAATATAATGAGGAGCCGCTATCAATCGTTTAAAGTCCCGCTTCTTGTCGCTCTTTCTCATAGACGGCGTCGAGATCCTCCAGCCACAGCCATTTCAGCCTTTCCTGGAGCCTCTCTGCGACGATCGGCATCGCTTCTTCGTATGGCAAGTCGACCAGATCTGGCGACTCGAACTCATACAACGCACCAGCCTGGCGGCTTGTGGTCACTACCTTCTGAGCACGAGGCAGTCGGATTCGCTGGTACAGCTCCATCCAATCCTTCAACGACCCTTGCCTTCCCTGGGAAAGCCAGTCCGACAGTGCCTTCGACAGGATATACCCATCCTCAACGGCCTGGCCGGCACCGGCACCCTGATGCGGCGTAGTAGCATGGCAAGCATCTCCAAGAAGTGTAACTTTGCCGTCCAGGAACACCCACTGCGGCACAGGCTCATGGTCATTGATGCGCCACTTTGACGGACGCTCGGGCATTAGCTGGATGATCTTCTGGACCGTCTCCTCACAGTCAGCGAAGTCCTCCTCCAGCTCCCTCCTGTCGCATGTGCTGGTCCAGCTCTCACGTAGGTCCGGGATCTCGTCCTCACGCTTGGAGATGAAGGCGACGATGTTGAGAGACCGGGTCTGGCTGATGGGGAAGACCAGGAAGTGTTTGTGCCTCGCCGACCATATCACCGACCAGGACCGCCCGGGCCACGTCTCCTTTGGGAGCTTGTCTATCGGGACCACGCCCCTGTAAGCTATCTTGCCGCTGTACAGGGCCTTTCCGGTTATGAACTGCTTCCTGACCTCGGAGTGGATACCGTCCGAGCCGATTAGGAGATCTGCCTGGGCTGTGGTGCCGTCTTTGAACGAGAGCTCCACGCCTTGCTCGGCGAGGTCCTGCAGCTGTTATCAGCACCTCGTCGGAGTGGGCCCCGGGCTCTGGAGGAAGAACCACAGCACAAAGGTATGACTCGCCTTTACAGAAACGAACTTTTTGTTCGTGTGCAACGTCGCCACGCCCCTCTCCTGGATAAACCCCAGCAGCACGTCCAAAAACTCACTGCGCGCCATGCTCGACGGCCTCACCACGTCCTCGTCAGAGATGGGGCTGTCGATGTGGGTGATCCACTCGCCGCTGTCCCACCGCACGAACGTGAACCACGAGGTGCCGGTCCGGCCCTGGATCTCGTTCATGGCGGCTCCGACGCCGGGGATATGGTGCATCAGCTTGGCCGCGTTGATGCCAAGGCCGACGCCCGCGCCGATCTCCCTGTACTCGCTCGCCTGCTCGTACACGTCGATGGCGATGGCGGCCGGTAACGGTCTGCCATCCTGCCCTGGAGGGGTCCGGCGGCAGAAGTGGTCTAGGAAGAGCGCCGTTGTGAGCCCGCCTATGGCGCCGCCCACGATGGCGATGCGGAAGGGCCTGGTGGCGCCGTTTGTGTCGCTCATCTTTGGAGATGCTGTCGCCCTCGGTGTGCTGGACGATGCTGGGGAAATTCAGATCTTCTTTAAACAGGAGCTCTATTGCTATATGAGAAACACATCGTCGTGAAGTCGATGACATCGAGGACTGAGGCGCCCGTAAGCACACCAAAGTGCCGCCGGCCGTTGTGCTCTACCCCACCCCCACAGGCCAGTTCACCATCAACGGTTCTCCAAGGAGCCTTTAAAGCCATGGGCCGTCATTGGGGACAGTATGCATACATGCGTCCTGACTATTTGTGACAGAAGCGGGAAGATCAGTCTTAATTCGCGGGGTGTTGTCATTCTGGGAACAGGACAAGCCTATCCCATTGGAAACTGTGAGTTGCCTAGCATCGACATGTTTGCTCCCCTCGGTGGCATCGACAGAGTTTAAACTAGTCCTTAAGATCTATTTCCAAAGGCATGCCATAAAGTGGTAAGGACTGTTGGCAGCTGTTGAAAGGACGGTATTATACGGATGTAGATTGGGGTGAACCGGTGGAGCGGGGCGTAAGAATCGGCCCCAGTTATTCTACCACGGAAGCGTCCACAATGCAAGATAAGCTTCGAGGAAGAATGAATTCTCCAACGGTCGGGCACTCCTCGGTATCTCGTGTGTTGGAGTAGGGGCTGCGGGGTAACGCAACAGTCCGACAAGCGATCCGTACCAATTTGATGACACGGCACGTGTGCTTTTGTTAGGGACGAGACGGAGCGCGCGCACCTGGGCCCAGTACGGCACGGCACGGTACGTATATTCTCGTCCGTACCGGCGGTACAAAGTGACCTTGAAAAGTCACGACTTCTGGCTGCTGCCGGAGGTGGACATCAAGGTGCTCAGTCTCGAGGCCGCTGATATAAGAAGCTCGTCCTGAGACTCGATGCAGCTGGATGCCAGCGCCTCTCCTGGCCTCCAATGCTTCCAAATTGACAAAGATCAACTGCAAGCTGGAGTCGAGACCCAGGTCTTGCCTCGTCACTCTCACAAACGCAATGCGCAATCACCCAGGTTGATGGCCGACCTGGGACCTGGGACCTGGGACTTCGTTTCCCCCACTTGCTCCCGAGCCCACCGTTACCGGCGTTCCATACCGTACCACACCGTACCGGATCTAAGCTTTATCACCATGCCAATCCATGGCGACGCAGCTGGCAATGCTGCACCCGCTGGCGATGCCCACTTGCCAAGGGGCGCTGCTTCGGCATTCGGGATGCTGGTGCTCGTCATGAACCATTGAGAGCTCCCTGCCCCGGACCAGAGTCAAGGCGTTGGAGACGTTTGAGGATGGCGCAACGCCGAATCATTATTCGCCAGCCCGCGAAGCGAAGACGTGGTACGAGCTGATCTGAGGGGTACGTGAAGCTTCGGATCCTATTAAAAGGCCGTCATGCCCAGTAAGAGAGGAGGGGAAAGAGGAGACGTTGTTATTGCCATCGCCGAACTGTATACTCTCTCCCATCTCAACTGCCTTTGAAGAATATCTGCCTCTTAAAGACCATTGGAATCTTCAGCTCAGAAATTAGCCACAAATCCACCACCAAAATGGCACCATCTCTACACCCCTCCATCGACAACGGCATCACCAAGGGCGACCCGAACTTCTCCGGCGGCAAGCTCAAGTGCCACTGCTCAAGCAACCCAGTCGAGGTGACTCTCGGCAGTCAGGTGGCACACAACCACGCGTGCGGGTGCTCCAAGTGCTGGAAGCCCAAGGGCGCGCTGTTCAGCGTCGTGGCCGTCGTGCCGCGTGACAAGCTGAGCGTGACCGCCAATGCCGACAAGCTCAAGGTCGTCGACCCGGAGGCTGTGATCCAGCGCAACGCCTGCCGCGAGTGCGGCGTCCACCTCTTCGGCCGCATCGAGAAGGACCACCCCTTCAAGGGCCTCGACTTCGTCCACGTCGAGCTCTCCCAGGACAAGGGCTGGCAGGAGCCCCAGTTCGCCGCGTTCGTGAGCTCCATCATCGAGCAGGGCTTCGATCCCAACAAGATGGACGACGTCCGCGGCACCCTCGCCGCCAAGGGCTTGCCTACATATGACGCTCTCTCGCCGCCGCTCATGGATGCCATTGCTACGTGGACGGCGCAGAAGGCTGGAAAGCTGTCTTAGGATGTTTTCTGAATTGATGGGCGGAACCTGCTCCGGTAGTGAATGGTTATACGCATTGGGAATACCAAAAAGTGTAGTATAGTTCAATGACCCAGATAACACATCGAAACGCAATTCGAGTATCTTGTCCGCATCACTGATCCTCTAGTATATACAAGTGCTTCAAATAGAATACTAGGTGTCTGCTTCGACCACGTGAAGTTCGATAATGACAGAAAGCGCGACAAGCTTCTTTCTTCACTTTGCACTCAATCGTCTCGGTTCATTCCTTGTGCATCAACATTAAAAAGAAGTCCGTATCCGCCTTCGCCGTCTCCTCCTCTTCCCGGCGCCTCATATCCGCCTCGCGTTCCCTAGTCTCCTCACTTCGCCTCTGTGTCTCGGTTTCATCGTGCACAAAAGCTTGCGTCTCCTCCATCGCCACTGGCGGTGTATGACCTTCCAAGAGAGCCGTGAAGAAATCGATGTCCTCCTTGACAATCATCTTGGTCATTCTGTGGTTTTTCGGTGGCTCGTGGTGGGCCTCTAGGTTCTGAGCTATTTCGGGCCTCACTTGTTCAGCTTCGATGTAAGTCGCGAAATAGCTCGATGCCGTCTTGTATGGCCTTTTGCTTGACCCGTCCATTTTGGCTTCACTATGGATGTCGCTGTCGCCAGAGTCCAAACGGTACTCGGTTACTTCGATATCCAACTTTTTCTCGGGTCCGTCAGACTTCTTTTTGTAGCTACCGGACATAGTCTGGTTATCATTGACATGATGTTTTTCATCCCTTTGTCTATATGCATCTAAGGCATCCTCGGTCTGGCGCGACCACGACTTTGCATCCGATGATGTCTCGTGAACGGGTGGCGGCCGTGCCAGGTATGAATCTCGCCCACGCGATTCGGCCGTATAAGCTCGTGGTGTGCGGTCTATTTCCGGGACTCTCCCAGGGGCTTGATAACGAGGTGTCGGCTTGGCCATGGCCTCGAAGCTGACCGGCCCTGCACATGGGAAGTCAATATCGCAATTGGACTTGCAGCGTGGCCGTTCAAGCCACCAATGGGTAAGTATATGTTGATGCCCGGGTGAATGCCATGACTTGGCCTGTCATGTGAAAGAAGGGTGCGATCTTTCGGGGCTTCGATGAGGATTAGAGACTATAGCTGTGCGCTTACCTTCCATGGTATAATTAGCTGTTGGAATGATATCTTGATACTTTCTATGGCTCGGTTGAAATCAATGCTCGCACTTCGCTTCACTCAGAGTTGCAGGCAATCGAGGGAGGAATTCCAAAATTAACTTTGACAAAATGTTTGAGTCACTCTGTTACAAATCGTCTTATTCGTAAATGGTCGTGAAGTCTTGAATTGAAAATTGAGCGCTGTTCGGAGGAAAATGAAAGAGAACCATCTTCGAAACCGAAGGCGAGGAACATTCGCTTCTCATACATTCGCTTCTAATCTCGTTTTCATGCATATAACAAGAAACTCCGATTCACGAGAACTGATTTTCACATGGGATAGGAAATCCTGCGTCAAGCCATCCCGATTTGGAACTGCGTTGACGGCTCAAACAGCTTTGAAGCAACGTTGACCTCAGCGTTTCATGATTCCGATGGAGCCCACCCATACCCGACACGATATTCCCGGCAACGAGTTAGTCAGGGATGCTATAAGACGAGCGCCTCTCCAGTGATCAATTGTAAACCGATCTAGCGGCATGTTTAAAATGTGATGCTTTGTGGAGGAAATATTAAAAGTTGACTACTGGTGTTTGCCTAATAATTTCTTGCTGCCCAATCCCTCATTATGGGATTATCACTTCTGGGATACCCTTTTCTTGGAGAACATTCTATTGAACAATTCTCTATAGGATTAATTACCTCCCATAAAGTCGTCCCTTATTGGATGAGCTCCTACGGGGTCACGTTCTGGCGTCTGAAAGTACACTTACCTTTGAGTCGATCTTTGTCTTCGGCAATATCAACCAATTTTATATCGGGAAGCGGCTTTGGTATAATGGAATTGAATGGAATGAGGAACTCAATGCTAACTTTGCGAAAGCAGTAATTTTACCATGAAGTGCCTTATTACAAATAATCGTAGGGAAGTGCATTTCACGACTCTGCTCTGCTCAAGGTCTTAACAGGTAATGTCACCAACTAAGCCTGATCTTAGCTCACTATACACACAGAGCATCGCCTCAGGGGCCGGTCAGTATTGAGGAGGCAATCAACACCTAATGAAAATGGGCTGTTGGGCACGACATGAAATTACTACTTCACATCACTTGGCTTTATGAGCTAGACTACGCCGCTCCCTCTCCCGGGGTTACCCGTTCCCAGTCATGCCCGCTCGAAGATCGCATCTCTGCATCCCCGGTGTGGTCTCAGACAGACTGCCACTGGAATGTGACCGAGTACGTCTGCGAGGCGACGTACACGCTGGCCTGCGTGGACCCAGACGGGACCGCGCTGGCGTAGAACTTAGTCTGCCCATTATAGGCCAACAAGCCGCCAGACACAGTGAATGTGCTCAAAGTGACACCGCTGCCACAGGTAATGACTCCGCTGGAAACCCCACAGTTGCCCTTGGAGGAGGTCATGGTGAAACCGTTGCCTGTGTGACTAATTAGTGCTCTGATCATGTGGTTTATGTCGGTATTGGGTGGCTTACTAGTTGCAGTCGCCTTGTATGTGGCACACGTTCCGCCCACATACCAGGTACCTGAGCTAATCAGGCACCCGTCCGCCTGGCCGTTGTATTGGGCGTTCCAGTAGCCTGATCCGGACACTGAGATTCCCGTGGCAGTTGACGTAGCGGAGGTGGTCGTAGCTGTCGCGGTGGTGGTCTTGGTGGTAGAAGTCGCCGCCGCACCGGATTTGATGGGGTACTTGACTCCTGTGCTGGGACAGTTTGAGGACTGGCCGTTGATAGCGGTGGGGACGAAAGCACCGTCAGCAAGAGGGCCGTTGGCGACGAAACCGTAATAAATCTGATACATGGTGCTCCCACTGCAGAGGATTACCGGGGTCTGTCCAAAAGACGCAGAAATAGCCTTGGTGATCTGGCTGGAAGTGTAGGTGGCGGTGTTGGATGGGACGATACCAGCGTTTGCGAGAACCTTGACGTCAACGTCAGCGAGGTGGCCTTCTGAAAAACATGATTTGGCCTTTTTTCTCTCTTCTTCACTCGCTGTGCCACAGAGGTGCGCTACGCACCGTATAAGTATCCAGGGACTTGAAAAGGTCAACGACTATCTGGAAGAAGGCAACGGCTTCCTCCCCGGTCTGATAGCTGGAATAGCACGAAGGCTCGAGGGTCGAGACACAAGTGCCATGGGTAGACCACTCGTGCTCCCAGAAGGCCTCGGCGCTCTCAGAGTTGCTGAGCCAGTAGGTCTTCATGAACGAGAGGAGCGAGGCGGAGCCGTACGTATTGATGAGCTCAGTTAGGTTGCTGTAATCTCGGCTCGAATCGCAGTTCTCATCATACGTTCCATCACAATTGTCAGGCCAGAGGCCGTGAATAGTCCATGAGTTGGACGGGCCAGTGACTCCATTCCCGCTCGTGTCAGCACGGAGAGCAAGAGTCGTCCGGTGGCGTAGCAGCACTCACCTGGATCCGTGTCCCAGAACTGGGTCTGCAGGAATTGACCACCCGGTCTATTGACACAGCAGGTCGACGCCGAACTGGCTGACGTCGAGCAGCTCTGGACCGATCCTGAGCATGTTGCCCGCGTGTTGAAGATGGAGGCTCCAGTGTCGGCACTGACGAGTGACGAGGCAACCAGAGGCGCCACAACTGCGAAAATGAAAGCGGCCATTCTCGTCCACGATATCCAAAGACCACTACAAAGTGCTTCAACAATGTGGTGGTTGTGGTGTACCGGGTGTGGAAAGGACTGAGGACGGGCACGATGGACAAGACTTTAGAAAGCTCTGCAAGGGAGATATTAGCAGCTACTTATTCGAGAAGGTCGGCCCCGACTTCCAGCTGTCGTGCAATCAAGCAATGTGACTCGGATCTTGTCCACGATAGTGACTAGCACGATCAGCTGTGACCTTCCAAATTCGGCAGCTCAGGGCCGAAGGAGGCCCCATTATTTGCTGGCTGCGCTGGGGCGGGAGAATGGCACCAGAGCAGAACCCACTTCCCGCAGGGCCGCAGGGGGGCCTCATTACGGCCTGTCTTCGAATCAGACCTCTCGGTCCAGAGTGGCGCGCTGCTGCAATGTCAGTCGGATCCTGGTCAGCTGGGGTTGTCACCCTTTTAGTTGGCCGCTGCGGCTGTCGGTGCATTATGCTTTTGATTTAAGGAGCCTAGATTCGGACAGACGCAGGGCAGAAGATGCAGCCTGATAGGGCCAATCAGTGGGGATCACCTTTCAACGTGCAACTAGGGCTCGCTATGAACTTGTCCAGGTGGTTGAATGATCGTGCCCCTGATCGGATGCGACGACTGAGTGCTCTATGTTTCAGTACATACACATTTAGTTGGGTTTCTCAGAAAATCCATGGAATTTCATTCTGAATTATTGGCCTGGAAATGCAGACTCCAATTTCAGTAGCTGGGAGTCACCTGCGCAAATCTGCCATTGCTTGCCCCTAAGATCGCCTCTGGTTCATCCCATGATTATCTCACTGATCTAGCCGGCACTGTCTGCTTGATCTTCGAATCTCAACAAAACACACAATGATCCAAGGATTGAGCGGGTTTTCCATCGTCAAAGTATTCGTAAATTCGGGTCTGAGTCGCCCTGCTAATGGATTATAGGAGGGGGCCTAAACGACGACCCGGGTGTAGCGCTCACTCAGGCTCTGTCCTCACATGTCCTCTGCGTGCCGCTCCGGGCCAACCACAGAGCCACCGCGGACCATGCCGCCGCTAATCAGTAGACCAGCGCGGTACAGCGCCAGAAGCGAGAAGTGGCCACCAACCACCGGGCGGGCTTTGAACACCAAGTCCTCGGGATATCCACCAACGCCGACAACGTTGTACAGGTCCGTGAGGGGAAACTCGGTCGAAGTCGAGTTCAGCCAGTGCGCGAGGGCGGTGACGAATAGCCTGCGCGTCCCTGGCTCACAGGTCGCAGCCACCCACATCTCCCAGTCGCTCTTGGTGTAGAGGTGGCGGCTGTCGAGGGGGATCCCGAAGATCTGGCTCACTGTGCTGTACCAGTCTGACTGCATCTTGTACAGTTCCGGCTTCACGACGCCAAGGTCTAGGAGCTTGTCCATGTAGGTGTTGTACAGTAGTCCCCAGCTTGAGCGCCACTGATAGGAGAGTAGAGTGTGTTGTTCTGTAGGGTCAATAGCAAGGCCTTCCCACTGCCCGTAATAATCACTTGCGATTGCTGAGAAATTGGCAGCATCGTGCGGCTGGTCCACGACCTGCGCGATGGCTCCCATTGCCTTGAGACCGATGATTCCCTTGAGAGCCAGGTTCGTCTGGTTCGCCAGCTGCCCGGCAAAATCATCCGTGCTGAACTGGATGGCAGGTATTAAGCTGAAGTCGACTAGGTATTCGGCCCATTGCTTGAGGGTTGGGTAGTGTTCGTTGAGCCAAGCTGCGTCGCCGGAGAACTTGTAGTAGGCGTATGACATCAGGATCATATTGCCCGTTTCTTCTACACTCATAAACTCGTCAATGCCGTCTGTGTGGCCGGTGGCATTGGGGTAGTGTGTCCCGAGATCGTGCATCGAATAGGCATTGGGATAGAAGCCATGTTCTGTTGTCTGGAACATAGCTTCTAACGTAAATTTGATCATAGCTGGGTTTGCCCACAGAAAGAATGGGGTGGCAGGAAACAACACATCCACAGTATTGATATTTCCGTCAGAAGAAATTTCCTTCTGGAACATGAGAGGAGTAGCATCGGATGAGTCGGACGGACCCTCACAGCTGCACACGGCTTTCGTTGGTGGTGCAGCATAGACATACGCGCCCATGACTTGTCGAGCAGACAGAGCGATGATGGAATAGTAAGCCTCTGCTTCCTCCACATCTGGAATGGCAATGCCGCTGGAATTATTCATGGCCAAAAAGCCGTATGCGTTGTCTGGATCGAAATTGTACTGTTGTTCGTCCCGGTTCACACCATAAGAGTATTCCTCAGAGGTGTTTGAAGGCACTGGAAATACCGCGGGCGTAGTATTGTTATAGCTAATAATAAGGCTGTCATTATAATAGGAGCTGATGTCTGCCTTCAGCTGAGCCTCAAAAGTGGCGCCCAGTTGTGACACGGCCTCGTAATCGTTCCAATGAAAGTCGATCATAGAATACATGTCACCGTAGCACGACTCCCACCACGGCGACAAGGGGCTGGAGCCTCCAGAGTTGAGATAGCGGACCACCGGCGTCTGGATCGAGCCGATAGTGTACATAACCCGTGCTGAGGAGGTATTGCCGACGTCATGGGCAAATGCAAAGACCGGCTCGCGAGATCCCCAACCTCGGTAGGCACGGTCGACAGAGTTGCTCAACATGTGCTGGTTGACGAATTGAGCCCGCACATCTGCCGCAAAGCCACCCTCGAAGCTGAAAAGTCTAAAGTTCTCAGAGCTCGTGCTGTAGGATATGTTGCCCCATTGTGGGAACTCAGATTCCTCCCCGAAAGTGTAGGATTTCTCAAGTCCGTAGATCCAAGAAAATATTGTGGTTGCCGAGTTTGTGGCATCTCCAGTGCCTATATCGTTGGTGGGCGGTGGATAATCTTGGCCATCCGCCTTTAGGTCCCAGACGACAGGTATCTGGCCGTCGGGTGTGATCCATGCGGCGTTGATGTCGGAGTAGAACTGCACGCTGTGGTTCCGGCAGTCATTCGACTTGATACTGGTTGTAAGGTAGCTTAAAGGGATCGAAGTCCGGCAAATATCCTTCGGTGTGACTGGCGAGAAGAAGCTCACCTCGATGGTGACAGGGCCAGCGAGGAAGGTGAAGTTGGAGTACTGAGAATCGTAGCTAACAGTCTGCGGTCGAGCGATTTGGAGATTGGACGGATTAGGCGGGCATTGAGATCCAGTTCCGAGGTACTCATACGAAATTCCGTCGACCACCACTATACCTTCCCATCCAACATGGTCTCCTTGCCAGAACATTGCATTAGCGCTGTTCAAGGTAGCACCGCCGGCTGTGCTTGACCAGGCACTCAGGTAAGGGCTCCTCACTGCCAAAGGGACGGCAGGAGGCTTGGCTGGCCAATAGGTCGGGAGAGGGTTGTTGTTGTCATCAAAAGTTCGAGGGTAGTTCGAATTTGTATGTTTCTGTTGCGTGAGACCACTAAGCAGAATGGTCGCTGCGAGCACTACGAAGGTGTAGCGCGAGAAGATCTTGATAGCCATGTTGGCAAGTGATGCTGGACTGCTCAAAGAGAGGATGAGAGTTGTTTGAGGTGGTAGTGGTATTGTAGTCTAGTAAATTGAGAGAGTCTCGACTTGATCAAAGGGCGATCTTTGAAGATATTCAGCTTGGTTGGCTCAGGACACATCTTTCACTCCTAGCTAGGCAGTGAATTGTTGAGTTAACTCTCACCGTATTCACTACAGTCGTGCCACTTGTAATTGTGTTTGTCTACAAACATGATATTGTTTGTGTACGAAGAGAGAACCTGATTGATCACAACCTGGCATGCTCTCGCAACTTTAACGAGCTTCAACAAGTATCACGGCCTCGTGGTATTTCGCCTACGCAGAGACGCTAGTCATGCTCAGCGCCGCGAGCTGCTCTTGTCACACCACTAGAGATGTCGTGTTGTTGGAGTATTGCTTGTGCCGAAGCGACCAAGCCCGGGGCACAGCATGTGTTAGGCTAAGTCTCATGTACGTATTGAATTCGTGAGGCAACCATGCGCCGAGCATGTGCCGATCGGGTCTTTGTGTGTCTTACAGTTTCTCCCGGTCTGCAGGGACAATACTGCAAATGGCCATACCAACAGCAACATTGTCCCCGTCGTCCAGGTCCACGAGCGATTGGATAATTCCGGATTTATGGGCCCGGACCTCAAGCTCCATTTTCATCTGGCGAATAATCATAACCGCCTCCCCTTCAGCAACGACATCTCCCTCGTCTATTAGGAATTCCACGATTTGACCGGCTATAGGGCAAATAAGCTGTGAAGGGTCTTCGCGTGGAGCTTTAGATTGTCTCGATGAAACTGTTAGAGATTTCTGTGTTTCTGAGTGCTTCGAGACTCGGATAGTGTAGCTCTTCTGTCTCTCTTTGTCCAAGGAATTGTTCAAGCCATCGATGGTAAGGGTTGACAATTTGACGGCCAGTGATTCAGGAAAGTCATTTCGAATCACACTTGTAATTGAGACAAGATCTTCGAAAAACCTCATATCGTCACTACCTTCAATCTGGATCTGGAATTGGTCTCCCTTTTTGACAAGTTGATCTGGTATTTTTGAGGACGATGCTGATGAATGGCTGGCTCGATGGTGGCCAGAGCCAGCTATTGGCCGATCAGTGGGATTTGAATGCCCCTGGTTTGGACTCATGAATAGTTTCAAGTGACTTTCGAGCCATTGTGTGTCGAATCGACCTTTGCGGAAATCTGCCGTCCGTATAATGCCCAAAAGCAAGCTAATGTTTGTCGTCACACCGTCAATCAAGACATCTTCTAACGCTCGCTCAGCTTTGGCGACTGCCGAATCCCAGTCGGGGCTTATGACAATGAGCTTGGCTAGAAGAGAGTCGAAGTCCGCTGAGACAATGACACCGGGGCGAACGTGAGTGTCCATCCTGATACCATTGCCACCTGCGAAAAAGGCTTGACGAATCTTGCCAATTGAGAGCGAAAAGCCTTGTTTGGCATCTTCTGCTGTGATCCTGAGTTGAATTGCTGTGCAAGCAGGTGGGTTTCTTGCATCAATGTGCTTCGGTGAGGTATTCAGGCCGATTTCCGAAAAGCCTTTCCCAAGGGCAACAAGGAGCTGCCACCGCACCAAATCTACACCACATATTGACTCCGTGATGGTGTGTTCCACTTGAAGCCGAGGATTGATTTCCATGAAATAAAAGTCCGAGTTTTTTGGCGAGACAAGAAACTCCCATGTACCAAGAGACTGATACTTGATGGCCTTTGCCATGCGCACAGCAGCGTCAATGATGGAGGCAATCAGGGCACGGTTTGATATCGTCGAGGGAGCGATCTCAATGACCTTCTGGAAGCGGCGCTGTATCGAGCACTCGCGCTCCCAAAAGTGACAGACGTTGCCCTTGCCGTCACCAATAATCTGAACTTCAATGTGCCTGAAGCCATCCACAGCGGCCTTCTCGGCAAAAACCTTTCTGCTTGGGCTCTCGTTCATCGCTCTGCTGAAGTTGGACTCAAGATCCTGTTCCTGGCGCACCAGGCGGATGCCTCTCCCTCCGCCGCCATCGACCGCCTTGATCATGATCGGCAAGCCTACGTCTCTTACGAATGCCCTCAGTGATTCGACATTATCGACCGGCTCGGTCAAAGCTGGAAGGACAGGCACTTCACACTCCTCAGCCAGCTTCCTTGCGCTCAGCTTGTTGCCTGTTCTTGTGAGGAGGTCTGGGCTCGGGCCCACGAACGCGACACCGGCATCCGCCAGCTGTCGACAGAAATCAGGCGACTCCGATAAAAAGCCGTAGCCTGGATGCACAAGGTTCACGTGGTGTTCTTTGCACACGGTCACCAGATGTGATACGTCCACGTACGAGGACGCCGAGGGAAGCTGCACTGTCTCGTGGGCATGTGCTACATGGGCGTCATCGTTCTCTGTCCAGACGGCAATCGTGTGGAAGCCTAATTCTCGAGCGGACGAGAGAATTCTCACCGCAATCTCGCCTCTCCATTCAAAGTCCCCGATCAGCATCTGAAGGACTTATTGATACTACTCGTCATGATGTAGAACGGTGTGCTTACCTGTTCGCCACCAGAATACGCATAGGAGCCATGGTAGCAATATAAACTCTGGACGCCTTCTCTGGGAGCGCCCAGGTGTACGTTGTTTCTTTCAATGGCGGTGACGTGCAGAAATCATGGTCTTTGGTCATGAAGTTCCAACGAAACGCTAAGGGGTTATTGGAGAAGCATTGCCGTCCTCCATCCCCGCCTCAAGCGAACCTCGGCTGCTGCTAGGGTAGGGAACGTTGGAGAGACCGGACCACGTCCCATCCCGGCCTTCTGTGTCATGTTTTCGATATTCTGTCAGAATTCACCCAAAAACACCCCTTTGACTTTGGGCAAACAAACATTTACGCTCAATGGCAGGCGACCATTACACGCCCAAGGCAGCGTCGCGCCTGGGGCAGATCGCAGCTCAAATACAAAGCCCCAAGTCCACCGACAGCAGTCCATCCCCGCCAGTGAGACAGTCGGCAAAACGGACACGAAGGAAGGACAAAGATGCACCTCCTTCCGATTGGTCGGACATACTAGGACAGATTGAAACCGTAAAGCGCATTGCAGAAACTCCACCGACAAGCCGTCCTGGCTATGTGCGCCAGAAGCAAGCAGGCAAGCTGTGGGTCCGAGAACGCATCGACGCCCTGCTCGATCCCGGGAGCTTCTATGAAGTCGGTTCGGTAGCAGGAACCATAGATTGGAGAACGACTGCCGGCAAAGATAGCAAGGCGAAAGACGAGGTCCAAGGTTTCACGCCGAGTAACAACGTCCAAGGGTTCGGCACCGTGGGCGGACGTCGTGTTCTGTTCACCGCAGACGACTTCTCGTTGCGGGCTGGTCACGCAGATGGAGCGATCTGGGCCAAGAGCATTTATATGGAGAAGCTGTGCCTCGACCTGCGGCTACCAATCGTCAAGCTGGTCGACGGGAGCTCCGGTGGGGGCTCGGTGACGACCATTATGAAGGACGGCTTTAGCTACGTGCCTCCTACGCCTGGTTTCAGAGAGGTTGCAGAACAGCTCAGCCTTGGGATCCCCAATATTGGTGCTGTGCTTGGCCCGGCAATTGGCCTTGGTGCGGCACGGGTAACTGCTTGTCATTTCTCCGTGATGGCGAGTGATGTCGGCTCCCTATTTAACGCTGGGCCGCATGTAGTAGCAAAAGCTACATTTGAAGAGGGCTTGACTGTCGGTGAGCTGGGCGGGCCGGATATCCACTGTGCAAATGGGACAATCGACAACGCTGCCCCTGACGAGGCTGCCTGCTTCATCCAGATACGGCAGCTACTTTCCTACCTCCCCAGTTGTGGTCTAAACGAGCTACCTCCGATCAAACCCCTGAACGATCCTTCTAATAGAGACGTGGTAACATTGCGCACCATCATTCCGCGGCGCCGTCAACGGGCTTATTCCATGCTCCGTCTGATAGAAGTCACTCTGGACCAAGAGTCTTGGTTCGAAATAGGGGCTGGCTGGGGAAACACTGCATTTGTGGGACTAGGCCGCCTGGGTGGTCGGCCTGTCGGGATTGTCGCAAACAATCCCGAAGTCCTCAGCGGTGCCACAGACGCTTTGGGGGCTCAGAAGGTAACGAGACACCTGAACTTTTGCGATGTCTTCAATCTTCCCCTGATTCAGTTCGTTGACTGCCCGGGATACGCTGTCGGTACTGCAGCAGAACGCCAAGCAACGATGAAGTACGGAGTTGAACTGGGCAAGGCCTACTATTCTACCACTATGCCCATATTCAACGTCCTTGTCAGGAAATGTTACGGGGTGGCCGGCGGTCTGATGGTTGACTGCCGGGATCCTCATAACCGGATAGCATGGCCGAGTCTGGAATCTGGAAGCCTCCCGCTGGCAGGTGGCATCGAAGCAAGCCATTCTAGAGAACTAAAAGATGCTGGAGAGAAAAGAGCTGCGGTGTACGAAAAGTTGATGGAAGAATACACCAGGCTGCAAAATCCAGTGCGCACTGCTGCGGCGTTTAGTGTCCCAGAGATCATAGATCCAGCTGACACAAGGCGGTTGCTCTGTGCTTGGACGACTCACATGTGAGCCATATCTACCCATGACATTTCTTTCTCCATCTTAATCCTCTTGTATCAACGCAGAATCATCTGAGCTAACCAGGCTTCCAGGTACGATGTGAAGCTCCCAGAAAGACTGAGGGATCGGCAAAGTGGCAAAATCCATCCAGTCTTCCGGTAATGAGTCGTCGAATTATGGAAAACAAATTGCAAAATCAAGAAACAACCCAGTTTAGACGTTGAGTCAGCTGATATGTCGAGTAATGACCTCAGTGCTCAGTGAGTCCGGAAGTTCCGACGTTGAATCTATTTGTTGAGTAAGGAGGCAATTGTCCACGGGCGATCTCCGAAAAATAGTCTTCGGCTTTGGAAGCCTCCTTCATACTTAGAAAAGGGTGAATAACACCGAGTCTACAGCCGATAACGATCCCGAATGTCCCGTATGACATGACCAGTACATAGCAATCCTTACTATAGAATATTGCACAATGAATATCCTCTTCTGCAATAACATTCTGCCTCCTGTAGGATGATCCACTGCAGTAAAACTTCTCATACGACAACATCTGCGGGATTACATTTCGTAGGATATCCTTGTCTAGATGATTTTTTCCGTCCTATAGGAATATCTCGTTCGTCATAACCTCCTGTAAAATAAACTCGTGTGGGATTACTCGTGGTACAGAGTTCCTTAGGATAAACTTTGAAGTACTTAGACAGTATTGGAGTGATTTCTGCCTGTTATTCTGATCCTTTTTTTTACTAAATATCGAGTACCTGGATCTGTGGAATCCTTGCAAGCCGTAGATGGGGGATTCATTTTGGCGAAATAGGTTCTTCCGAATTATCTCGAAGCTCCGCGGATGCCGAGTTTCCTTTTCGCTCACAAGAAGCACTTACGCCATGTCTCCACCCTCCAAGGGCACTCGGCATCATAAATAAAACTCGAGAAAGGAAGTTGCCTGCCGCGCTGGCACAACGAAAATCAGCAATGCACCCTTGTTACTTCATCGTGGGTAAAACAGATCATTCATTTGAAAGTTTACTCGGTTCGAATTATTTGAACTATTAAATCCATCGCTATGATGCTGAATTTGAACCGCAATGCTCCTAGAATGCATATTTTAGGTCTAGATGCCTAATGAAATGGTAGATATAGTATCTCGCCCTCTTATATTCCTCCTGATATACTAGTACTCTTGCGCTAGCTTACTCCTGGCTCTGAGCTGGGGCCCGAACTTGAACATGACGAACGGAATCATACTCAGTCCTGTGGCGATAAGTGCCAAGATCAAGCCAGCGTATTGCGAGCCCACGTTGTGGAAGAACTGGGTCGAGAACAGCGGAGTTACCGCGCCCAGGGTGTTACGCATAAGACCCTGGCCAGCAATGGCCGAGGATGCGCTCGGGCCATAGCAATCAGCCGTATAGCTGTACGTAGACTCGAAGACGAAGTAGATACCGAAAGCGATAGGGGCGAGACCGATAGCCGGGCCGACCCAGGAGAGGTAGGCGTACTGTGTGAAGCTGTAGATGAACAGGCCCACGGGCAGCCAGATGGCGCCGTACATAGCGCCGTAGAGTCGAGCCTCCGGGGTGACCTCAACGTTCGGGTTGGCGATGAGTCTGTCGTACTTGCGCATTTGAAGGTGGTGGGCCATCCAGGCCAGAGTCGTTCCGATGGCCAGACTGATGTACGGCAGGCCGCTGACGCCTTCGGACCAGCCACGCTTCTCAGTGAATGTGATGGGGATGACGGAAAGGAACATGAAGGTAACACCCCAGCAGAAGGCAATCCAGAGGCCGAACGAGAAAACCACAGGCTCGGTGACAAGCATGTGAATGGCCTTGACAGACGAGGCCTTCAGCATAGACTTGATATCAGGCGTATAGATGTCGCCCTCGGCTACATATCGCTCGTCGCCGGTAGCCTTGCGCAAAGCCACAGCTCGCTTGTGGAGCTCAACCCCACCTCGAGTCTCCGGGAAGAAGAGGAAGATGCAGATCAGGAGTGGAACGTTGGCCAGGCCTTGAATACCCTCGATCCAACGCCACCCGATGGCCTGGTCGATGAAGCCAGCGTAGATGGGTGCAGCAACTGTACCGAAGATGGCGATCCAAGAGAACAATGCCATGGGCCGAGAACGTTCGTGGGGGAGGTACATGTCATCGAAGGTACCACCAACAAGAATAGTTCCAACACAACCGAACAGACCGAGCAGGAGTCGGAGTCCGATAATAGTTCCGATATCCTTGGCGAGCGCCAGGCCAATGAAGAGCAGGGTGAAGCAGAAAAACGCGCCGGCGTAAACAATCTTCCGACCGACAAGCTCGCAGAAAGGTGCCAAGACCATGGGCGCGATGGCACAGGCGAAGTTGAAAGTGAACAAGCCAAGTTGACCGACTTCTTGGGAAGCGTGCAAGTCCTTGACCATGCTGCCGATTCCAGAGCTGTATGCTGTCGTGGCCAGACCAATGAAGAGAGTCATCAGACAAAGCATGGCAGTCACCATGCTCTTATACCACGGACTCCAGTTGTAGGGGTTCTGCTTGTCGTCGGTGGCATACTCGAGAACAATGTACTCCTTGTCGTTGTGGTTGACGAGCTCGGTCAAAGTGAGTGGCATATCAATGTCAACAGTTTTTATTGCTCCACAATCAGGGTCGATCTGCTCGTTGGATGGGTCGACGTATTTTCCTCCAACGATGCGTCCAATCTTTGGGTTTCCCTTCTCGTCTCGGATCATCTCGTTCGCATGTTCCAGCACAGACATAACATCTGGCGTGGTCTGCTCAGTCTCCACCTCGAGAGGAGGGCTGCCTGGCCTTGATTTCCCATTGAGGGTCGCTGATCGAGACGGGCCTCCTGAAGTGCCCGGTCTTGACGCCAATGGGCTTCCGGGGCCCGGTGATCCGGGGTGTGAGGCATATGGACTGCCCGGCCCCGGAGAGCCGGGACGAGAGGCGCCAAATCTTGATCCGGCGTAAGAGTTTGCCCTAGATGCGGCCAGAGATCCTGGCCTGGAAGGCGGTTGGGAGAAAGAGGGAATGTAAGACATCTGGGTAAGGCCTCAACGCGAGTCAAACTCAAACGTTGCAAGAGAAGGGGTAAGTTGCGGAGAGGGTAATGGAGAAGTCGCGATGAGCTGGGGAAAACAACCGTCTTTATTGACTCCAGAAAATCTCCAGATTACGTGAAGGCCCATTTTACTCGAGTGGCCTGCAAGGAGCTTCCGGGTCGAAAGCCTTAGTCTGGATCCGCCGCTATGGGATGATGTGGGATCGTGGCCTCCAGTAGCCTCACTTTGTTGGCGGCCCACTTCGGGCCCGCGAGGTACCCCGGTGGCTCCTCACGTTGCCGAGTGGCATCAGAAGAGCATAACACGATGTCTGCAGTCAACGTCATGTCTAGGAAGGCGGACGCGATTCTCCGAGGTATAGTCGGCTTGCCACAATACATTGGAGATGTTTGAGTCAGTCCAGTGCTTCGACTTGTATTCTGCTTAAAAACTTGAACGCCACCGTCATAAACCGCTCATGCTGGAGCTCATCAGCTTGGCAATAGCGAGGAAAATGGAAGACTCAACCGCGGTATAGCATTGTTGTAAAGCAAGTTAGCATGTTTCCAAACGGTATGTCCTCCTTCGCCCTGCCTTTAGTTCCCTAGGGTCGTCTCGGCACCGAGGTCTTAGATACTTGGGTACATGGTTGATTGTATCTATCCGAGATAAGCATGCATGAAACGGCGCATCAAGCCGAGCGCGAAAACATCCCAGAAAACCCAAGAATGATGAGATTTCCTTGGAATATCAGAATTACGGTCGTGAGAAATGCGGCTCTGGTGTGGGTCCCGTAAAGGGTCCGGCCCACGGCCCGTGGTGGAACGCTCGGCATTCCGCCGACGTGACGTTGAGCGCTGAAATTCTCGCGGTCATGCAGGGATTCACTGCTCCTGTCTGAGAGCACGACGTCACTTGCGAAAACTTGTCAAAGAAAACGTGTTTCGTGACTGTGCAACTTGCCTCAAGAACTCCTGCAAGATCCGGTAGTGAATGATAGTTCTTGGTAGTTCTATGAGTCGGGAACTGGTGAAAGCCCGGGCCCGGAGCCTCCGGATCTAGGTTATCTCTTGGCAAAGCAGATACACCATACTGTAGTAGGAGCAAGTCCGCAAGGCTACCCGAAACCAAACACGTACCTCAAAAAACACAAAAGAACACATGGTCGATCAAGGTCCATTCAGCTGCTCCGCAAACAGACCTTAGCGAGAGGTCACGACAGGTCGCGAGCTGTCGGTAGATCCGTCCGTAACGTGAAGGAACCAACAACAAGATTGAGATATTTTCAGCTCGAAACGGAGGCAGTGCAGACATCAGGAAGGAAGTATTGGCGCCCAGGCTGCTGTATTTTTCGCGCCTTTTCGAGCCTGTGGCTAGCGCAAGTACTTGCTGTTGACCACCGTGTGAGCCCCTGACTTTCGCTTGCTCGCCGTTTTGATGCTGCTCCACGCTTTCCAACGTTGTTCTATGGTTCTCCGTATCTCCAGATAGTTCCCATGTTTCCCCTTCTCCCGCATTGTCTCCTTTTTCCGATCTCGCGATTCCCCTTCCCCAGCTCTCCGCAAGCCAGCCTGCGTCCACATGTCCTTGGAACAGTTCATAATCCTGTGAAATGCTCCCACATGGCACATGTCCGACTGCGGAAACAGTCGCCCTCCCAAAGGCCGAACGCGAAGAACTCGTAGATCACCCCAGATTGTATCGGCCCTACTTGATACCGCCTCGAAGAGAAGCATTGCATTTAAAGTTACAGCCACTGCATCACGCCACTGGCGCCTTGGCCATCTTCTTCTAAGACGGGAAGAAGCTATAGCTCTTGGGCTGTTCATGCGGCTAGAGCGTGTATTCGTGGATCGCGGAGACTGAATGAACGGCAACGTCTTTTCCCTTGCGGAACTCAAGGGATTGCAAAGTTCCTATGACATTGAATCCTAGTAGTCCACTTCCAAACATGTATCCAATCAGTCCCTGGCAAGCGGAAAGTGCGAACAAGTGGAAGGACCCTCTTATGCATTTGCATCTAGTCCAACCAGTTCATTGCTCACCCTCCACAACTTCTCCTCGCCTTCGGGGTCATACGCCCACTCGGCGTACCCAGTAGCCACATGATCGAAACCGTCATCCTTGTACTCGACTTTGCCAGTGACACAGCAGTCCTCACAGTAAACTCCGCCTCTGCCCTCGAGATCGTGAGCTGTAGCCGCCCAGATCGTCGTCGCGCATCCTTGTTCCGTGTTCTTCATGTAGTTCTCGATCCTCTTGACCCCCTTGATCGCCTCCATCATTGCCTTTACGTGCTTCTGCAGGGGTGTCGCAATACCGCCTGGCATGAGCGAATACGCATGAATGCCCTGTGAAGAATAAAGACGCTCAATGTGGTTGGCCATCCAGATGTTAGCAGTCTTGGAATTTCCGTAGCTTTTAGACGGCTCATAGTTCCCAGGCTTGGCGAGGTTGATGTCGTCGAAAACAACAGAATTAAAGCGGTGGGAAGAGCTGCTGACATTGACCACGCGAGATGCAAAATCTGGAGATGCCTTGGACCCCGCAATTAAGAGGTCTTTGAGATTCTGGAACAGATAGAAGTGGGACAGATGGTTGGTTCCGAATTGCAGCTCAAATCCGTCCTTGGTGAGCTCGCGTGTGGGAACGGCCATTACTCCGGCATTGTTGATGAGAAGATTGAGTCTCGGCTCCCTCTTCTTGATCTCGTCGGCGAAGGCCTTGATACTCGCGAGGCTGGTCAGATCCAGGTCCAACAGGTGGACCTTGTGCTTAGTCTTGGGGTCATTGAGGACCGACGACAGGGCCTCCTGTGCGCGTCCCATACTCGGTCCTCGTACACCACCATAAACGATGCATCCTGCCGCTGCCAGGGCTTCAACCGTGGGAACGCCGATGCCCGAGGAGCAGCCGGTGACGATAGCCACTTTGTTGTTGAGGGACCCGTCGAAGCGGTTCTCGTCTTTGAGGATCTGTTTAGCGGTTGGCCGGGCATCCCCTTCGCCGGCTAGGTTTTCAGTCTTATGAACCTCCTCATACTTGCTGGGCAGAGTGAAAGGTGGGCCGGCCATTCTGATTGAGGGCGATTATAATGTAGGGTACAGCTATCGTTTCAGCTATATCAAGTGTGGAGCTTCGAATGCTATCTGTTGGGTGGTTTTGGGACTTGAGCAACAATGGTGACGATGATCTTTCATGCTTGAAGTATGGGGCATGCAAGCTTTATACAGAGTAAAGTCACCCATAGTCTTAACAATCCTAGGCATCTTCGTAATTTCTGCTCACGATGTGGCCGCAGCTGCAACCGATGCGGGTTTTGGGCCGGATTTTAGAACCACGACTGGTACCTGCATTTGACTTTCTTTGTCTTCGTCAGATGCCTTGAGCCGGTGCAGCGATGTTAGTGGACAAAGAAGCAGTGCGGCCGCCTAGGGCCGCCTGCGGCCGCACGTCCACTCCGCACTGGCGGGGCCGGGGTTAATGCAAGTCACTTCAGCCTCAGCGCTGTATCACCAATTCTCGTCATCCAGTCAGCCGTGTTACCAAAATGACTGGGTTTTCCTTGAGAAACGATAGAGATCGGGTCGTTTAAGGAACCCGAGATGTTGTTGTTGGTAACGCGCGCCACGTGCGTTATCATGGCCAAGCGCTGAAGCCTTTTCTCATGCTCAAGTGTTCAAGACTTCGTACCTAGGTATGTTGGCTGAAATCTTGCTTGAGGACCCGTACTCTGAGCCGAAGAATGAATAGGCGGCCGACCAGCAGAAGCTTGCTTGTTCCATTCTTCTCGCCACTGATCAGACAATACCTAGATTTGTTTAAACTCTCACATTTCATTCCTTCGACCTCACCACTTGCTACCTTCCCGTACGTTGTCCCCACATCCTACCTAATATCTAATCAAGTGGAAACTAAAGTTGCCCGTAGTAATGATGGTATATTCCATGAGGCAAGATATCGAAGCAAGTAGATTGTTTCTGAAATATGTCAAAGGTCAATGCGAGCACTAAATCTATCAGCTGAATTGTTTATAGAGCCATGGTCGCTAGCACGCTACACTTGCTTGCACAGAGCAGCCTATATCCGGTTATATTTTGAGTTGCTTAGAGTGCTCATAGTCAATCAATCCGAAATTAAATGAAACAAAATCGGTAGCAAGGCCGTTCTTCAAGCTCAACACCATTCGGACTGACGCTCATCTCCCTAAGAAGTGCACCTACTAAGTATGTAGTGCCTATATTTAGTCTGAGACTCTCACTGGTTCGACCCTACTGACCCAACACATCCAGAAATACACGAATTATCAGACCTGAGTGTCTTCTTACTTACAACTGTCGGTAGATAGACAATAGACTGGTTCTATGTGTTTGGAAACAATCGGCCATGTAACGCTACCTTGCTACGCAGCGCCGCAGCTCCTGCGCATCTTGCTGAGCAAAGACAAGGTTGTGTTCAGAACCTTTAAGTCTTTGGTCGGAGAATCTGCTTTCTGCCGTCAACCTAGGGATTCCCTTCTCAAAATATTTTCCAATGTCGATTCCTCTCTGAGCCCCTCGCCCCCTCTATTCAGGTTCACTACGAAACATGTCTTCCCAAACCTTGCCTATGCTTGTGCCTGTGCCGGGCGCATTCGGAATTCCAGCAGGGTTCGACAAGCTCTTGCCGTATTTCAAATGATGGGGAAAGAGTGTATGTGCGCACCCTGCTTGACTGCTGTAACCCTTCAACTCTGTAAGATATGTGTCTGGAAAAATGAAACGTCCGTTGGGATGTGATTGACTTCCAGACAGGGCATATACCGTTCGAGAGCCAGCCGCAAGAGCTCGCTGCACAGATCGTGAAATGCACACAGGGGATTCTGACTGCGTAAGTCTAGCGAGTATCGTACTTTTCGTCTTTCTGCGCTTTCACGGCAGTGTGATGAGTCGGGTGGTCACTTTATGAGATTCAATAGCCTCAAGAATACAAACACGGCTGGAAGAATAGGTTACTGTTAGGACCTCGTGTGACACAAATCCCATACATAGGATCTCTGCTGTCATGTGTCAGCAGTGCTAGCGAGGTTGAGAGAAGCCGTTTCTAGAAACCCCTGGACCCTCCATTGCGTCAGCCACCCGCACGGCCATCCCGGAGCCCGAGAGTGCTGAGTAATCCTCGATGGACCCAGTCAAGGGACCTCGATAAGATAAGAGCATCCCACTACACCCCAGCCTGGTGAGAAGCAATAAATACGCCAGAGCTTGTACAAGGTCAACCAGCTTCTCACATCTGCGCAACTCTGTGAACCACTATCCAAGTAAAGAGAGACCATCACTGACAGCACGAAGAACCCTGTGCGGGGCAAATCAATCCCGAAGAAACCCTTTCGACCGTCCCCGGCCTCGATCCCAACCGCAAACATGGCTGTCAACCACATTTCGAGCCCCGCCGAGTTCCAGTCGCTGCTGGACAAGACGATGTACGTCGTGACGGACTTCTACGCAGACTGGTGCGGACCCTGCAAAGCAATTGCCCCAATGTACGAGCAGTTCGCAAAGGCCTCGACAGTACCTGGCTACCTCGCCTTCGCAAAAGTCAACGTCGATAATGTTCAGCCAGTCGCGGTGCAATACGGGGTTTCTGCTATGCCGACGTTTATGTTCTTCAAGAATGGCAAGCAGGTGGCAGTCAACGGACAGGCGCTTATACGTGGCGCGGATGTGCCCAGTCTGAAGGCGGCCACGGAAAAGCTGGACAAGCTGGCTAGGGACAAACAGGCCGCCGGGGTCAAGGTTGGGGAGTAGGAGAAGAGGCTGTGACAAGAGCCATGAGGCCTATTTGTACGCCTTCCAATTGCGAGCTACGGAGTGGCCAAGGTGACAAGATCTAAGCATACACACGGTGCTCCGGAGATGAAGAGGGAACGTCTAATTGGGAGGGATGCTGTCGATGGAAGCGCAGATAATAGGCAGGAGAGACAAGCAACCGGCACGCCGGCGCTGAAGGCTTCTTTGGCATCGTTTTGTGCTAAAGGGTATACGGATAGATAGAGGCCCCAGAACACTGCTTGAGCCAGGGGCACAGTCTTGCGGTTCTCCAGGCATAGCGGCTCGCGTGGTTGCGAAATTGATACCTATTTGCTTCGGCCCCCGGGGGCACATGTTCGTGAAGCAGCTCTGGCTTTCCGCACGACCACTAATCCCATACTCTGGGTAACCTCCGAATCCCATCGAGCAGCATCTTTATCCATTTGCAACAATGTTCTCAACGCAGAAGCTGGCAATCGGCACAGAACGGCCTCCTGGCCTTTTGACAGCCAATCCATGGATCAATCAATGTCCAGGATCTCTTCCCGGGCCTCGATGTCTTTTTCTGGTTGTTGACATGTTTCTCACCAGCCTCCACCTTTGGCCACTCAGGTGATTCAAAGAAATCATCCTGATCCGGAAGCTAGTAAGAGACAATCGCGTTCAAATTGGTTATTTTTTTTGGTGATTCCGGTTTGGCTAAGTCCATGCTTAACGAGGTCGAGACTAAGGCCGGGATTAAGCTATGCTCTCCCCTCTGCTGCTGCGCGGAGATAGTCCGGAGTCTTGGAAGAAGTTGTGCTGGATGTGAAAGAAGCATTTGACGCGCAGGTACAATCTCTAGAGCATGCTCCCCGCCAAGGAAACATCGCATACGGATTAAGGCCACTATGTAGGCCTTTGCAGATAGCAAGGATTTCATTTAAATGGTTTCTTGAGCGCATCAACCAGATCTCCGTCTATCCATGTCTGCCGTTCCCTCAGCTCCATTCCAAGAAAAACAAGCTAGTCCAGCTCTGAAACGATCAATCGCCCAAGTCACTGTTCATTGTACGAGTTACCATCTTCTGTGTGTCAATCAGTACGAAATTAGACGGGGCACGGGACCAAAGAGCTGGAAGACTTACGTTCAGTGGTCGATCAAGTCACAACCCTAACGATGAGACTCTTGTGAGTTTGAGCAAGCACTTTTCCGAAGTTGCATTAGCAATAGTTGAGTGCAAATTGTCAAAAGAAGATAAGGGAGCCGTTCAGATACCTACCTCTAAGAGAGGTCCCAAGCAACGCCGGGTATACGACCAGACGGGGTGGGAGCAAGCTCCTCAAAGACGACAGGAGTGACGTCGATGTCATCATTCTTACAGCCGTCGCACAAATCCACGATAGTAGCGGTGACGCTCTTTCCGTTGTATGAGACGGTCGCAGTCTTGCCACAGACAGCTCTGTGGTCGAAGACACCGGCACCGACGGCAGCAATGCGGTCGTTAGGGCCGTATTTTCCGCCGCAGGCAACCTCGTTTCCACTTTGACTAGGGTCGTAGTAGGTCATGTCGCCAATGTGGGCAGGGGCCAAGGCAGTATCGACAGAAGTTGAAGCCTCGACAGCAGCTGCGGTCTCGAGGGTGGTGGCCATGAGAATGGTGAGAATGGAGACCATCTTGGTAATGAAAAGCATCTCGATGGTAGTGTTAAAGTATTTTTATTAAGTTTACTATTTGGGTGCAATTAGATGTGCTTGAGATTGGTGTTGATTCGAATTAAAGGACAGGAGGAGACGTCGTGGGCGAAAGAGACGGGTTTTTTATATTCCATTGGGAGAGGCTCTGTGATTCATATAAGCCAGCCGTCACTCCCTGTGAGCTTTTGAAAAGAACTAATCATCAATTTGGAGTTCTTCAAAAGCTGCTGGCCTTGTTCAACATCCTATGACCAAGCAGCGACCTAAATCAGTCAAGACGGGCAGTGACTGTGGCTAATATGGCAGAGTATGGACTATATGCCTCTTGAGGAACAGGATGGAGACAGTGGACAAAGAGAGGCCCGATGTACTGGGTAAGTTCTCTGTAAGGTTGTCCATGACAATCTTATATACGTATGCTTTTTATTGGCAATAGAGCAGTCAGGATGTGGCTTCAAGCGGTCATATCATGGACGCTCTCCTGTTGGACGACCTTCTACACATGGGAGGAGGCAAGCCACAGGGCACTTTGCAAGCACGTTTCTCATTTTCCTCAGGTCTGGCGGTGTTATCTCAGTATTGTATGGCAGATTGACTTCGTACTGTCCTAGATGAACTGCTCTCAAGGATGGTTCCAGTCACGGTTGAAATAATCGCCAAGGTAGTGATTGTCAGTCATAACAGCGACCCAAACGGCTCTTCAGGTCCGGTCCAAGTCGAGGAGAATTTCAACAATTATAAATGGAGACTAGGTACCTTGATTCAACGAAGAGAGCTTCGTCCTGATGTGGGACATCTGGAAGATCATTGCCCTGCGGGATTGCAGCCTGGAACACTGCACCATACGAATCAAGGTATCCTGTCAGAATACAGCTGAGTCAGTCTCGTACCGTGACTGTCAGCTTTCTAAAGGCCTACCTGTTGTTATAGGACAGTTAGGTTCAGGGAACTTGAAAATTGAATTTGTTTGTTAAATGTAATCTGCTGACTACATAGAGTTGGGCGGCAAATAACTTGGGTGGACCTCTGGCTTGGAGTCTAGACACATCAAGTAGCAAGCATTGCCTGTTCGCATTTTGTTGCACATGGAATTGACCGCATGAGACTCCCAAGTGAAACATTCTGTCAGTTAGTTTGGCATCTTGGTCTTCCCGGCTTGATGTGTGTATCTCGCTTCCCCCTTTTTACCTTTTCCCCGTTGTTAAGGGCTCCCGGGCACTTTCAACATCGGAGTTTGAGGTGGCCATGGCTCCTGAAGTATTCGCATTGCATGGATGCGGCCGTTGCAACACAGTGGGACGTTCATGGTCTTCTCCTTTTCCTCGGGGATTGGTGCTAGGGGGCAACGGCCGTCAGAATCCGTAGGAGTGTTTGTCTTGAACTTTGGTTCCACTGTGTCTGACCCTTGTGTGATACCCAAGGCCTATGAATCCGCCTGCTGCCTTGTGCCATTCGCTCTTACTTGTTAATCTTTGGGTCGAAATGTAGCCAATACTCTTCAATTGCGTTGGTACTGCAAGGAGGTGACTGCAAAGCATTTCAGAAGGTGACTCGGCGGGAAGCTCCTTCCAATCTTAGCCTGACATGGTGTGCTTCCCTGGTAGTGCTGCCTTCTAAAACCCAATGCAAACAAAGAAAGACCCCAACACAAAATCGAGCGATCAACCGCAAAACCTGGATTATTAGCTCTGAAATCCAAACTGGGCCAACAAATATCTGGACATGATGGCATCTCAGCAAGTATCTATATCGCGAGAGGCTGTTGTCAGGTTGGCAGATACCGAGCTGCTTGACCTGAATGGCGCTATTCGGAATGCCTTGGATGAAGCCTACCTCGATTGGCCCAATGAAGCTGGGGTAAGAGCAACTCCTTCAACATTTTGCAAGGCAAATTCTGGATAAATGGCCCCATCTCACGAATCAGGGTAAAAAGGGGTTACACCAGAGAGTGTTTGGTCCCTGATGGGTGGAAATGTTTGCTCCGGTCACATGATGGCCCGTTTGCTGACATGTGACTGCAGTTTTCCAACCTTGACGAGCATCGCGGCCCGATCGAGCTCCCCATCCGAGGCCGTATTCCCTCTTGGGCTGCCGGCTCCCTCTTTCGCACTGGGCCTGGCGCCAACAAGATCGACAATACTCCAAATGGAACGCTTCACATCTCCCACTGGTTCGATGGCCTCGCCCACATCCACCGCTTCGATATCATTGCCGGTATAGACGGCGTTGAAGCCAGAGTCTTCTATTCTTCCCGGCGGCAATGTGACCGTTTCATAGAACATGCGCAGGAGAGCGGAATACACGACCTCATCACCTTTGCACAACGGTCTGACCCCTGCATTGGCTTGTTCAGCAAGATAGTGAGCGCCTGGATGGTTGCCCAGCCAGGCAGGGAGACGAAGAAAGTGGAGAACGTTGGCGTGACAGTGCAGCTTGACGTCCCCGGCCTTGCACCAGCGACCCGGAGTGAAGCTCAGCCGCAGAAGACTGTGTGGCTTGGCACAGACTGCCATCTCCTCCGCGAAGTTGACGGACATACCCTTGAGCCCATCAGCTTTGCACAACAAGATGACATTCATCCGGAACTTGATGGACAGCTATCTTGCGCCCACGTTCAGCGGTGTCCAACAACAGGCGACTACTTCAACATCAACATCAACGCAGGACACCCAGCTACCTACAAAGTCTTTCGAGTATCCGCAGCCACCGGAGAAACCGAGGTACTTGCAACTATCAATCGATCAGACGTGCCGATGGCATATATCCACAGTTTCTTCTTGAGCCAACATTTTGTTGTGTTGCGAGTACCGAGCTCTCACATTGCTCTAGATGGGATCAGCATCTTATGGAAGAGGAACGTGATGGACGCAATGAAGCCGTTCGACAAGAGCAAGAAGAACAAGTGGTTCATCATCGACAGATTGCGGGGAAGGGGAGTCGTCGCCGAGTTCGAGACAGAGGCGGCATTCTTTTTCCACACGGTCAACTGCTTCGACAAGATGTATCTTGACAGAGAGGATGATGTGGGAAAGTGGAGCATCAGCTGCGATACGATCGAGTACCCGAATATGAACATCCTAAAAAGCCTCTACTACGAGGTCTTGTTAAACCAAGATTACAAAGCGAGGGCAATTTGGGGAATTGAAGACAAAGTAAGAGATACCTTACCGCGCCTTACGAGATGGAAGTTCACTCTTCCTCTGCACCATCCTATTCCACCTCAGGTCCCACCGTCACGCGTATCAAAGCTTCACCATCGGTTGAAGGCAGTGACTGAGGGACTGGGCCGAAAGCTTCGTGAGACAGCCGACACGGTCGTTGCGGTAGTTGGGGGCTTATCTAGCGTGGTGCTTTCTTTGCTGAGGCCCGAGCTGGCCTTCCAACAAGTCCCATTGGAAGAGTGCTTGCAAGAGGATAGGAACAACGAGCAGAGATTCCAGGCCACGACCAGCACTTTCAGCCATGGGAAGGCAGTGTTCATGCCTGAGTCAGCATCATCCATTAACATACCCTCTCCACATGTTGGGGAGCTGCCTACAATCAATCCTGCCTATCACACGAGGCCCTACCGTTACGTGTACTCATTGGCGATGAGTGGAAGGTCCACGCTCGTGGACACGATAGTGAAAACGAACTTGGTCTCACGAGTCGTCCTGCAATGGAACAACCCGCTAGGGCACACGCCAGGGGAGGCGATTTTTGTGCAACGACCAGGGGGTGTGAAGGAGGACGATGGAGTCTTGCTGAGTGTAGTGTTGGATGGATTCAACAAAACGAGCTATCTGTTGTGCCTGGACGCCCGGACCATGCGTGAGATTGGCAGGGCCGAGATGGACTTTGCGGTTGGATTCGGGTTTCATGGTGTGCACGCCCCGGACATACCAGCCACCACCACGTCAGAGTCGTCGGGCGAGAGTGAGGAGAAATGAGCAGGTGCTGTTGCGCCAGCTTGATTCTGCTTGTGAAAAGAGGTTTCTTTCCCTTCGCAAGAGATTGCCCGAGTAACTGCTCGAGCCTGGTGTGGGTGCCGAGGTTGGGTGCTGCAATTTGGTGTTCTGTCACACTGACTCAGCAAGCTGCTGCAAGTGGAAACAGTCAACTGCAGCCGAAGTTTTAGGGCGGCAGGAAACATCAGAGATACCAAGCTCTTGCCAAGGGCTATCATCATCGATGGCAGAACTTGGCGAGCCTTGCCCAGCCGGAGGGCTTGGGCTTGGCTGCGACTCTGCTCAATATGAGGACCAAGAGCGTGGTTCATTGACACTTGGCATCGAAAGCTTAGCGACCTGAGCTGCAGTAGGGCATTTTGACAACAATCGAGCTTGGAGTGATGATAGCTTCCTGTTCATCTGGATTCAAGCCACTACTTGTTCCTGAACTCGAGCGACATGTGCAGTATGTCTCTGGGTCGGAGGAGCTAGTCCAGTAGTCGCCGCTATATTTGACAGTGACAGTCGGACATCCGTCCTTCCACGCCAGCACGAAAGCAACGGACAACAGACATGCTACTCATGTCGTCCTGAGGCTCGGCCGTTGTGAATCAAAATCTCCGTCGTCGCTCTCGCGCATCGGTTGCCTTTCGGCCGAGGTCTGGTGACGATGCCGCAAGGGGAATGTCGAAGGACCAGGCCAAACGCTGGGCTGGGAGACGTGTAGTTTCGCCCGATAAACGAAACTCGCGGCTATAGATCAAGCTTAATTGGAGTAGCATCGGCCATGGACCCCGAACTCAGTGTTGGACCAATCGGGCTGCGCGCTTTCTGGCTTCTGCATGACTATGGTGCGGAAGCTCACAGATCTCCCAGCCGCACAGACGAGGTGCCATCAGCCACCCCTGGACGTTTGACCCTCTGATGAGACGCCCTTGGACCGCCCTCTCTTTCCTTCTTCAGCCTCATCCTAACGTTGCGCAGCCCAGCAACTGCCCAGAGCTGTCTCCAAGTTCGGATTGGGATGCCCAGGGACGCCCAGAACGGTGCATCGGCTGGACTTGACCGTCCTAGGTGATCAGCACGGCGTTTCAAACTCTACCAGCTGAGCCGCATCCGGATCTGCAAATCTGGTTGCCTCATGCACGCCCCACAACGCTACGCCAAGTATCACGACTTAGCCCCGCTACTGACTGACAGGTAGTTTCTCCTCGGATGGCTGTTAGGCGCGCAACCTCGGGACGACGCCCGTTCGATTGGCCATTCTAACCACCTGCCGGCTTCATCTGATTGTTTCTGTGCCATTTTCCTGAGTCAATGATACGTTCCATGATCGTCAAACCCGTTTGGACTAGAAGACGCACATGGTTATGGAGCGGGGAATGGGGTTCTGAGATGTGTCGACGGCATGGCCAGTAGTCAGGAGTATGGCCGATGCGATGTGACGAGCCCGGACGAGGTTTCATGGCAGTCGGTCCAGTCCTGACATAGGAATCTCATGGAAGACATCATCAGCACTAGAAACTATAAAGATGCCGCCATTCCTCGACTAATCATCACAATTCTCCCTTCTCTCCATCATCAGCAGCATCAGCATCAGTCTTCAGCCTTTTCTCGTCTTCTTCAATTCACTGCCAGGTTAGCAGAGTAGCTTACGATTGATTCGTAACTTCTATTTCAATAATCTCTCAAGATCTAATACCTATTACTTCACCACCAACCAACACCATCCCCCCAACATCAGCCAAAATGTTCTCCAAGATCTTCCTCATTGCGCTCGCCGCCTCCCCTCTCGTTGCCGCCCACGGCAAGATCGCAGTCGCGACTGGTGATGCCGGTGGCAACAGCACTGCTCTGGGTATCCAGGGTGCTGTGATCCCCGGTGCCGGCAAGAACAAGGTCACCGAGCCTGACACCACCGTCTTCAAGGGCGACGCAGCCGATGCTTGTGGACGAACCAACGGCGTGAGTACCATTCCTGCTCAAAAGAGTCCACACTCCATTCTAACAAACTTTACAGCAAGGAGACAACGACATCGAGGCCGGTACCCAGGCCGCCATGGCCCTCTCCGGCAACACCCTGGCTCAGGTCACCCCCGGTGGCTCCGTCTCCGGCACTCTGCACATCGTCACCTCCGACGGTGCTGGCCCATACAAGGCCATGCTCAACACCGACGGCACTGGCCAGAGCTGGACCGCCATGGACGTCGAGACCCAGGTTCCCGGCACCAAGGGCAAGATCCAGAAGTCTGAGAAGCGTGCCTGGGCTCGCGCCCTGCAGGCCATGGGCATCATGAAGCGTGCCACCAACATCAACGAGGACTACCCCTTCAAGGTCAACATGCCCGCTGGCGCTTCCTGCACTGGCAACATCGCCGGCCAGGCCAACACTTGCCTTGTCAAGCTCGTCAACCCCAGCAACGCCGGTCCCTTCGGTGGCTGCATCCCCGTCCAGATGGTCCAGCCCGGTGCCGCTGCTGCTGCACCCGCTGCTGGCGCCGCCACCGCCCGCCGCATGGCTCGCAGCTTCGCTGCCTAAGCGCGAGAAGATTGGAACACAGTGATCTGTACATGGGATCGGTTCGGATGGGAATTGCACTGACTAGGAGTGGAACGGGAAAAGGAAAATGCAAGGCTGTAATTCGCTGATGATGACAAGAAGCATGGTGCGTGGATTGCACAAAGGAGTTGTGCATTGTACATTCTTTTAGGACTTTGGGATTAAATTTGGTAGATCATAGATTTAGTCTCAATGGTCTGATGATCAAATACTTACTTTCCTTATAATACCTGGTCGCCTCCAATCTTGTGATTGCTGAGCTGCAACTGCTTCCAATGTGACACACTCGAGCTGGGGAGTTGGTGACCTTTCGTGGCAGTGGAATGGGAATAAATAATCAACAATTTCGTGCTTACTTTTCATGTTACAGATGCCTCGTTAAGGCGGATCTCATCCTCTTTAGTATGCGTTCGTACACAAGCCAAAAGTTAACATGCTGTGCATTGTTTCAGGCTGGGATGCTTCCATCATCTTGTACATTGAATACGCTTTGCTGGAAGGTTGTGGAGCTGCTATCATATGAGCCAAATGCGAAAGATAATGGCGATGCGAGAAGCAATGGGGCCCTGAGAAGTCAAATATTTGAGTACAGAGGGACCTCGATTGCTCGCAGATGTCTCAGGCGTCAATCCAGCACATGCTCGTGTGGAATCAGTTGCTTCTGTTGAAATCTACATTGAACGCTCGCCTCAAGTTCTCATTGATTGTTGAATACCTCCTTCTTGAGATGCAGCACACAGGAGTGTTATTCCCATTATTGCCCTCGACCACCAAAGTCTCTTGCCTGCCATGTCTTCCTAGCTATCCAGAAGCTTCCCCCTGCTTACTAGCTGGCGGTCCCTGTCTACTCTACTGTTCAGTGCCTGTTGCTAGGGCTGCCCGAAGTGAATGTCGTCGTTGCTGGGTGAACCATCAGGCAACGAGGCATCTAGGTAGCTGCCCAGGTGCGTGGAGCTCTGGCCTGCTGGAGCTTCTAGGGCAGCTACACCTAGACGACCCCTGCAAACCCCCTGTAATTCCAGGGCAGCTCTTGTCTGGGTGAAGCTAAGGGTGGCCACGTGACCGGCCTGCCTCTGTGTTTTGTTTATCAACCCACCTGCAGCCTGATCCCAATTCCAAAATTTCCCTCCTTCTTCCACAACGCTGCTTGCCACCAGATGTCAACTAGAACTGCATTACGCTTTTCGCTGAGACTTCTCTTGATCACTGCATCGTTTCACTGCTCTCGAGCTTCATCCTCTCTCTCTCGCACCTGGCATTCCTGATCATTTCTTCTTCTGACACCCCGCAGTCACCACGAAGCATTTGGCAGCAATGTCTTCTCTCACCTTCTCCTCCTCCTCTCTCTCCTCCCTCCTCCCCCTTGCTGGGGCTCTGATGCCCGTCGCCCTCCTGGCCGGTCTCCTTTGGGTGACTGCGACCAAGCTGGACGCGGGCGCCTCGCACTCGAAGCGTAAGCAGACAGTGCCTGGTGCTTGGGACAGCGATGATGATGAGCATCTCCTTTTCTCTTCTCCTCCCCCTTCTCGCAGTCCCTCAGTCTCCCGCACCCTCTCCTCCTCCTTCTCCTCCCTCTTCCCCTTCTCCAAGCCTCGCTCCATCTCCTCCACCTCCCTTGTTGTCTCCTGTTCCGCTCCCCACCCTCCCTCTCTCTTCCCTGCCTCCCTTCCCCCTCAGAAGCGGCCCAGCGCTCGTGCTTCGTCAACTGGTGTATCCCAGACGAGCACATTCTCGAAGGCAGACTCACACTTGACAATTTCACAGTCTAGGTCTTCTCTTCTTCGCGACGAGGCAGTCAGCAAGGCATCGAGACGGGGTCTGTCGACCTTCAAGGCTGTTGACAACGTCTTGTACGGAAGATGGCCTCTTTCTCATGCCATCGATCAGTCGGCAAAAGCCCTGGCAGCCCCAGGCCGGAAGAACTTCCCAACGTCGACTCGGTGCGCAGGATAGTATTCTTCGCCCAGTCAACGGAACGGTCGATCCTCCGTTAGCCCCCTAGCCGACGACGATGCTGTCGCCTCGCTCGCTCTCGCCCTCAAGTCCCTGTCTTTGTCCAGCCCCGAGAAGAATGAAGTGTCCTACAAGAAGCCCGCTGAGGAAGCTAAGTTCATCAAGGTCAAGGTAGGAATCACACTTTTCATCTCATATGTTTTCCCAACTTCAATTCCAAGGCCTCCCCATAATCCCATTCTGTTCCTGTTCACTCCTTCCTACCGGTCACTTGAGCACGTATCACTATTTGCTGACATCTTGTTCAGACGGAAGTCAACACGGTTGCTCTCATTGAGAATCCAGCTGGGACGACTCTCATCCAGCCTGAGCCTGCACCCTCTGCTCTCGTTGCACCTACCTTCTTGGCTGCCAAGTTGAGATATGACGGCTTTCGCTGTGGTCTTGCACCACTCGCTGCATTTTCTCGGCTTTTCCAACCCGCCCAGCCTGTCCAACCGGAGCCTCCTGTCCTCATTCCCTCACCTCCTGTCGTCCTGGACACTTCACCTATGGAGTGGACAAATGACGGTCCCCAGTCTTCCCAGCTGACAAGTGATGTCTCTGAGCCTCTATCTTTGAGCACAGTGATGCACTTGGATACGAAACCTTCTGTTTCAACCCCGAAGCCAACAATAACCGGCATTGTCCAAAACGCTGTTCAGACTATCCAGCAGTTTGTCGCCCCCCAGTTTCAGCCCTCTTTTGCGCCTGTCGACATTTCATCCTTGGTTGAAGTGATGGCACGATTGAGTCTGAATGACAAGAAGGAGATAAGTGTGGCTCAGACTGTTCAGCCCGCTTCCGCACGGCCTCGACAACTCCAGCGAAAGATCAAGCCACTGCCATCTTCGACGCAAGCTTCTCGACAATCTTCTTCGACGGTCCCAGCACGTTCTCCCGCCGAGCAGCTCGAGTGGGAATCACGCCGCAAAGCACTCACCGTAGAAGTTCATAAGCGTCGTCTTCAAGCTACGGCTGGCAAGCAGTCAACTTCTTGCTCCTCCTCCTCCCTCTCCTCTTCCTCCTCATCCTCATCCTCCTCTTCTGTTCAACCCTCCTCGGTGCCGGCGACATCTAGCCCAGCCAAGACAGAGAAGAAGATCGCCAGTACCACACTCCAGACTTCGTCCACTGCATCCTCCAAGTCTTCTCCCAAGCATGCAGCCCCTGCGGCCCCAGCAGCCCCACAACGACCTTCTGGCCAACTTTCCCTTCCAGTCACGCGCCCCAGGTCTTTGTTCGCCCCTGTTCGCAAGTCTCCCCCGGTTGCGGCTACCAAGTCAACTTCTTCTTCCTCCTCTGTACAATCCTCCTCGGCGAAGGCAACAGTCATCCCGACAAAAGAAGACAAGAAGAAGCAGACTACCACACCCGCCAAGTCCCAGCCTCTTCGTCAGCCTGCTGCTTCTACGCAGGCCTCTGGTCAACCCTCGTCCGCACCGGCGCCAGCCAGTACGGTCAACACAGAAACGAAGAAGCTGGCCAAGATGGGCACGGTCAATCCCGCCTTTGCAAGCATTTTGGACGATTGTGAGGCTGAAGAGACTGCTGTCAAGGCGAAGGAGAAGTCTACTCCCAAGCCTAAGCCGAAGCCTGAGCCCATGCCTGAGCCCAAGCCCGATCCCGAAGAGGACGAGATGTCCAATCTGGATGATCTGGAGAGTCAGCTAGCTATGGAGCAGATGGAGGAATTGAACAACAAGAAGAAAGTCGTCAAGTTCAAGGGCGAGGGTCGCAAGATCGCGCCTCTGAAGAAGAGGAAGTAGGACACTTCCAAATCACAAGGTTAGTACAGTCCCCAAATACATCTCTGAGTTCCGCTCATCTCTGACTTGAGTCTGTGGAACAGGACAGGGCTTGACGGGCTCATAGGCTGTGTTGCACATTTGCATGTGTGCACGTGTGTTTGTTGTGGAAGGGCGTGGTGAGCATTCTTCATTCCCGATTCCTTCCCCCTCCTCATCCCCTATTTCTGTTTGATTGTTATTAGATGGCATTTGGCGGGGGGTTGCAGAGAAAAAGAAAGAAAACACCAAAAAAATTCCCTTTGTCGTTATTCATCATACCTCCACGCCTCAGAGCAAGGAGAATTGGGTGAGTCAAGTGCTGGCAACCGAAGACAGCGGACTTGGTCCCCCGCTGTTAATTGTCGGAAGGCCCTGCGCCCTAGATCAGATAAACATATGGCGTTTTTTGCCGTGTCTGCTGTTGCAACAGTGCTGGCTCCTCATCATGAGTTAGCACTAGCCGGGGCTTAGAGACACACATACACACATCAGCCACGGATGAGATGGTTCGGTGTCTCGAGAGACTTGCGGGGGTCTCTTTGAGGGAACGCTTTGTTTCGTCTATTGGACGGTCATTCAAGAGTAATCAGGCCCTTGGGTCGTGTACCGCTGTGCATCAGGGCTGGCTCCTTCCTGTGGGCCAATCCTAGCACCGTTGTTGCATACATTTCAATTTTGACTACACTGTGTTGATCCTAGCGACTTCAATCTTGAATTTCGCAAGCCATGGTAAGTTGTTAGAAGACCACGCTGCATTAGCCAAACGGATTCAGTTGAGACTGGATGCAGGGTCCCATAATTTAATGAATAAAAGCTTCTCGCAGCAGTCAACAGCCTTTGCTATCCCTGTAAAACACGCATGTGATTTGAGAACGTCGATAGTAGCTTGGACGTGATGGGCCATCTGCCAAAGCTGACGAACAGCACCGATAATTGCTGACCTACGCAGCATGGCCATCGATCAGTCTAGTACCGTCCAGGACCTCGGTATTTCTTGGTGACTCATATGTAATCATGAGACCGTGGGCATCTCACCATGTGCCTGGAACGGGATTACCGCGCTTGTATTCACAATGGCTTCAGCACTGACGTGGCGACCAGCTGCAAAGGTGGTCATCTCCGTGGTGACAACAACAGACTTGTTCGGCACCAGCCAATGATCTTGAGCATATTCGGTTCCCATAAAATCAAGGTCACCCAATCTATTCTCCAAATTTGGCGGAGGACACATGATACTAAGTACACCTCCGCAGGCAAGTCTGAGGAGTGCCTCGTGACCTATCTGCCACAGGCCAGGAACGTCTTGTCAGTCGTAATGATTCATTTTAATAATTTGGCATTATCGAAAGAGCTCGCACTCGCTGAGAGGGTTTCGAGTGAAAGACTGCTTAGAACAGATTGTAAAACTGTCAGCTCGTCTTCGTCCATTGATCCTAAAATGCTCACCTTTTTGTTTCGTTTTTGACTATCTAGCTTTACCAATCAGACTCTCTATCGCGGAGTTCAAATTTATTGCTGCAAGCATTCGTGCGGTCTCAACAATGCTTTCTGTGGTGTGCATTACTCAAATCTGGGGGATATTTAGGGATGCTGCAATCTGGGCAGAAAAGCCTGTACATGCCGGAACACGTCAACGCCAGAACATTGAAGGAACGCTGAGTCAAGTCTTTCTCGTACTCGCAGTACCTTTCAAACCTTCCTTTTGACTAATCTTTGAAGTTTGATTCCTCCATTTGTGCCCCGAGGTTTCCAAGCCTATTTGTGCTAGACCTAAGTGAAATAATCCAACTCTACCGCACAGTGGATGGCATTCAGGTATTCTTCCACTTGAGAATCCTTTCGCAAACGACCCTTGTTCTTGCAATATCACCGAATTAAATACATCCCGCAACATGTATTGGATCAGCCAGCCCTCCAGGGATCAACAAAGCAAGTGCTGCATCTCCATTGTTCTTTATTCTTGATTCCAATGACTCTGCTGTTAGCATCCCGTACCATCAGATGCCGGGACCACCCGCGTAAGCAGAAAGCGTGTGACTGCGGCAAGAAAGCACATTTCTGGCAGCATATGGGATTATGGATCAAACCGCCATCAGCTGCCACTGACGGAGTAGCAGCGGAAGTGCCTCCGGGGGGAGTGCTCGGCTCCTGTAATTGCTGGGAGAAGGGCAAACCACACACAGTACACAGAGCTACTACAGCGTCTGGGTTTCCCCCAAGCTCCTCCATTGTGACACCTTTAGTGACCGGTAGCAAATCCTTTGTTATAGTATGGAACGCCTCACGCTCTTCTTCAGGCAGACCAAAAAATGTGATGCGCAAATCCTCCATCCGAGCCCAGAGAATGCTTGATATGGAATTCAGGTCTCTTTTGTGAACGTCATCCCGCTGACTCAGAGACACGTAAGTTTGGAAAATGTTCTGGTAATCTGTCCAGGAGGTTTGGTCGCTGAGTGCCGTCGACTGGACATTTATGGGGTCCGCATTGGGAATATTCGACCTAACCTGATAGAAGAATCTGTATCTGTCGTCGCCTCTCGCCTTCCGTGGGTATAGCATGGGTGCAAGTGTCCTTGCTATAAATTCACACATTTCCAACGGGACTCCCTGAAATAAAAATGTCAGTCTTACCTGCGTATCGGTAAAGAGTTTTATCTGTGCCACCATCGCAAGGCCACTTTTTCTTTTCAGGTGGCTGGCGCCACGGTCAGAAATATCTACTTACATTGTCGAAAGAAACGAAATGCCCGATAATATTGATGGCACTCCACTGGACACGGCCGATTTCGTCGCCTTGGTCAAGTAGGGCCCCACGCCTAGCCTGAACACCCTCAATCATGTTTCGAAACTTCCTTTCCTTTGAGTGGCGTAGTTCTGCTGAGATTGGCTCGAGATCAAAGCTCAGGTCTGTCTGTGGCTGTTGTCGACTAGTACCATCTGCTCTGGCGCTACTTTGCGAAGCCGCTCGTTGCACAGCATCGCCGATTTGGCTCCCAAACCGACTCTTCAATAATGGAAGTACTCTTTGCGACTCTGCGATCCGGAAGGCGCGCGCGATGTTGTACCTCCCTCCATTCTCACCGGGTGGACAAGGGCAGATTGTAATGTCATCAGAGCAACTTGGGCATCTAAGTTCGTCTTTTGTTTTACGTCAGCATCATTGACCATGCACATACTGTAGAAGTTGGATTGGACTTCTTTGCACATATCATTTTGAAAATCGCGGAATAAAGGAAAAGTACAGGGACAGACTGCTTACTGGCAATTGTTTGGATCGCCTTTTCGAGGCCGCAATATTCGGTCATTATGTATGATTTAGGAAGGGTCTCGTTCATGAGTACTTGCAGTAAGTTGACGAGATTGTCGACGTAATTCTGAATATTGACAACAGTATTCTCCCAGCTATCGGGATACACAGAGCCATTTACTTGCTCAGGGGTACGGAATGAGCCCCAGGCGTCTGATGAGATGTGTTGCTCGCAAGGAGCATTATATGACACGTCGCGTACCCCAAATCCATCACCTATGCAGGGAGTGGGGTTGGAGCATGCCACTGTGGAAGATAGAATGTGCTCCGCATTTCGCTGTCCATTGCCTTGAGGGCACTGTATTGCACATGTTTAGTTACGTACTTTCAGGTTCGCTGCTCGTTCAGCAGTACAGTAAAGCGGGGCTTGTGCAAATAGATATACATCTTTTCATCTTCATTATACGTACCTGATAGCGTCTGATGAGTTTGATACACATCGCGTTGTTCGGCGCCCGTCTTGTAGTTATTTGACAGTAAAACAGGCTTGTAGGGGATGTCAGGCAAGTTGGTCATTCGACGGTCAGAGCTATTGAGACTTATAGCTACCGCTAAGAAAAGTGCATCCGCAGATTGATCACTATCTTCAAACCTCACAACAATGCCACAAGTCCAGCCCGGATCGCAAGAAGTGTCCGAAAGCATCCAAGAACGTACGGGCGCAACAAAGGCTACCCGTTTCGGTTTCAAAACAACCATATCAATAGCCACTGGAGCAAATGATCTTTGTCAATCCAATGATGTACTTTCTGCCTGAAACAAAGACAGGTTGTTCAACTGTCTATTATGTCGAGACAGGTGTTTGTGGATAGAGAATTATACAAGCAAGGTGTCTTTGACAAATTTAACCTCTGAAGCATTTTCTACGAGTCAGCTAAGCTAGCAATGGCATTGAGACACTCCAGATTATGATTTACAACAATTTGAAAGGGAAAAAAAAGTGTAGGGGAAAGAAGGCCAGCTTTAAGGTCTTATGTATCCCGTCCCATTTCGATTTTCTGTGTCCTGGCAGCTAGCGTTCAATGCCCAAGTGCTGTGGCCCAGACAGCCGCGGGTTGAAGGTCGAAAGAAGCGTAAGTGTGCAACTCCGCCATTTTCCCAATGCATGTCTGATTGCACCGATTCACAAATGGCTTCTGGAGGTAGCAGAATATGTTCATCTAATTCTCAGGCTTGATGAACAGAACGGATTGAAAAGGAAAGGGCCGGCGCATCACGAAGACGAATCTAGCCAGAGTTTCCTTCGTTCGTCTGCTTACACTCTCCCTACAAAAATTGCTTATATCTCTAATTTTATCGATTTTTTTTTTTTTTTGAAAAGGTTACATGCGACCCAAGACCCATTCTGAAAAGGTTGGGGGAGGACTTGGAGCCCATCAGGAGGTTGCACATGGGAACGCTGTTCGGCAAGAAATCTCAAATGCCCAGACATCTGATTGCATACCCACCCAAGAACCAGATTGAGAGACCAGACTGTGTTGCCGCCTGATTCTCCAGGACGCAAGCACAGAAATCTGGCTGCTAACAGGAGTGGCATTAGTAACTTGAGAACCTGCGAGGATTTCTTTTCTCGCGAACAAAGTGAAAACCGCGACTGGAATTGATCAGAAAGACTGAGACGGAAACGGAAACTATAAGCTGCCCAATCCCAGCAGGCTGATTCGCGTTCTGTCAACCACGAAGTTGTAGCAGGAGCACTGAGGACGGAGCTGACTGCTTCGTGCGGACTAGCACCAGCATTGGCCTCGCCTAGGGTGGAGCAACCCTGGTTGGAGATATTTGTTGCCCAATCGCCTGGCCTCTGATCTCGACAACAAATTACGGGGCCAAGTGGCGATCAGAGAGTCTCGCGGGGTCCCTGGTAGCGCAGCAATTGCAGGTATCCCAAAATTGGTTTCATAGCCCGCTTGTGGGAATACGCCCCATTAAGTCTTTGTGCAATAGATCGAATCTTGTCAAGAAGTAGATATGACTATTCAAGCTTACAATGGGTCATCACTGGTCCATTTGTGGGCCAAATGCAAGAGACTAGCTTATCCTCTCAAAGCAAAGTGACAACAACAGATTAGAATACTTCTCTTGTCTCTCTTCTTCTCAATCAGGGCCTGGAGTCGGGCGTTGGGCTCTAGACGCGGAAGTCTCGGCCAGACAATTAGATCAGTGAATTGGCTTGCGAGGATGAAAAAGGCCGGCCTTGCGACGCCAACACCGGTGGTTATCAAGCAATCTAAAGGGTTGTCAAAGTTCGGCTAGGTACTCAAAAGTAAGTGGGAAAGAAATTGCTCTACAAGATAGGAGCTATTCGGAGCTTATCTTGCGGGAGGTTCCCTAACAGGAGGTCATCACATAGCCTATGGAAGGTTATCCGACAACAGGTTATCCCACAGGAGGGAGATTTGTCACTGGAAGGAGTACTATGTAGTCTATAATCATATGTCATTCCCGACCATTTGGGATTTCTGTGGGCTGTTGCATCAAGAAGACATTGCCATCGTTGTGTTTTGTTACCAACACCCCGGGCACTATAGCACGCATCGCCACTTATAGGTACCGAAACGGGTTGGCATACATATGAGTAGACAATCAAATGCCTTTGAGCTGTCTACCCGGGGGATCTGCAACGGTTTCAGAAATGATTCTACATCGCCTTGTTCTTCTGAAAGGAAAAAAAGAGTGGTCTTCACCATTCAAATCATACGCGATGCTCAGGTTTACTGGGCTACAATTTCCACCGGCGCGGTATTTCGATTTCTGCGTATGAGTTGGAGAATTCCTGTGTATAGATCTTCGGCTGCCAAGCTATTAGTCCCTACTGCACGTGCTAGTCCAGGTACTGAAACGAGCTGACAGTCTGACAGGCTGTTAAGGTAGTAGTAACTTAGGTGCTCCACAGAGTTTATCAACAGCAGGGTCACTATTCGCTGTTAAGAGGAAGCCTAGCCTGCGGACCGACGGAGCAAAGTCGTGGCTACTGTAACAATATGGGTACCGTAAGAGTTTAGTCTGTGGAGTGGAGCATTTTCCGACCTTTTGACTCGGTGGAGAGGGGGACATCCTCGATCGACTGAAAATAAATAACTGGCTTCTCGTCCGAATGAAAACCTGGACTTGGGAGCTTCAATTCCAATAACACCACTAAATCGCCTTTGTTGAAGCATTTTGTCACAGCGATGAACTCGACATCGTTCTCCTTTGCGTGGCTGGAAGCCATGCCTGTGACAACTAATCCAACTATAGCATTCCTGCTTGTGCCCTTTTTGACCTGGCTCCTGTCCTATCTTGTATCCTGGGTCGCATCACCCCTTCGAGGGTTCCCGGGACCAGCTCTAGCGTGTCAGTTTAAATCATGCGCCCCAACTGAGTGAGGTCTGAGTTGACAGCATGGACTAGCATGGACGAACTTGTGGCGTATGCGCTATGCGTATAATGGATCCATTCATTCTACCACACAAAAGATGCACCAAAAGTACGGGCCAGTTGTTCGCATGGCTCCGAACTATCTCGACCTGGATTACGATACGTGTGCTTCCTTGATCAAGACGTGCTTTGATACCAAAGGTGTCTGGAGGAAGGTAAGCCAGTCTTTAGCAAAGCTAAGGTGGGTTCAGAAATTATACGCAAGCTGAATCGACGTTAGACCGAATGGCATGCCGTCAGCGGATTCAAAGTCGGCAATGAGACCAAATACAACATTTTCAGCGAAGTGCGCCCAGTAGAGCACAGTCTCATGAAGAAGCCGGTGGCCAAATACTGGACGACAAGTGCCGTGGCTCGAATGGAACCACACATTGACAGTGTTGTTGCGTTTTTCGCAAAACAGCTCCAAGATCGTTACGCTGATGGAGGTGAAGAGAGAATGGGGAAGTCTTTTAACTTTGGGGAATGGGCCATGTTTTGTAAGCCATGATGATGTATCGCTAACCTCACTCTATCGAGTGTCTGGCTAATCTTTGTTTGCAGTTGCTTGGGACGCTGTAGCCAAGACAACGATGAGCAAGCGTATCGGTTATCTGGATCATGGGAGCGACTTCGATGGAACATTGGCCTCAGCTGTGAAAGCTTCGAAGTACCTGGTCACTGTTGGCATGTATCCTGTATTGGATAACTTCCTGGACAAGAATCCAGTGTACCGCATTGGGCCACCGACCTACTCTAACATTGCCTCGTTAGCAGTCAACCTGTTAACAGACAGATTGACCGGTAAGGACGGGCATGACGCCACAAATAACACTGATTTCATGGACCATTACATCGAAGCGCAAAAGCAGTACCCGGATATCGTGGACAACACTATGGTCATATCATGTGAGTGAAATGCCCAAAAGATTGCAAAAAGAAAACCATGCGGATAACGATGGGCCTTCTAGTTGCATTTCGAGCTAACGAACTCCATTTTCACAGATGTGCTTGTCAACCTGGCTGCCGGAGCTGACACCAGCGCAGCTGCCCTCCGCACAATTTTCTATCTCACCCTTAAACACCCAGCTGTCTGGAAAAAGCTCTCCGAGGCAGTCCTTGCAGCCCCATTTGCTCAGCCGGGAAATGTTCAGCTACCAGCTCCGTACACTCAAACCCGGGCGATTCCGTATCTCGAGGTCGTGATTCGCGAGGCACTGCGCCTTTATCCTGGCAATCTATTCCCGCAAGAGCGCATTGTGCCAGCAGGGGGTCTCAAGCTCCCAGACGGCCGCTTCGTGCCAGAAGGTACGGCCGTTGGATTCAACGCATACGCAATGCATCGGAACAAGGCGATCTGGGGGCCTGATGCGGAAGAGTTCCGCCCGGAGCGGTTTCTCCGCTCGAGCGGCGAGTCAGAGGCTGCATTCAACGAGAGGATGCGGCTGTATAATGATAGTGACTTGACCTTTGGGGCCGGCAGCAGGAGGTGCATAGGCATGAACCTCGCTCTGATGGAGGTGTACAAGTCGACAGCGACTCTGATTGCAATGTTCGACTTTGAATTGGCTACTCAGGACGAGTGGACCGTTAAGGCCGAGCTCTTCCCCAGAGCCACAGGGATTATTTGCAAGATTCGTCAAAGGCCTGGCATGTTCTTGAGGGAAGATATCGATCAGAGCAGCTAGTCAACAATGTTAGGCATGGCGATGTTAACGAAGTGTAATGTTGGGAGGCTCAACTGGCGTGTTACACGACAAAAATCGGTAGGAAATACATAGCAAATAAAGGGACACGAGACGGTTGTTGCAGAGCAGACACAGCTGATCTGTATTGACTCGAAAACACTGAACTACACGCTAATCTACTTGATGTAAAGGCGGATACGCCGTACTACATATGTAGTGATTCTATCAAGCTCCAGGACCCTCAGAGTGCTCCAAGTTGGCTTCTTTCTCGCCACCAACGATGCCGCCTTGGTGAGCGACTGAGCCCCTTTGCTGGAAGCTGGTAGTAGGCTGCCAGTGCTTGCTCTTCCTCGCGGCACTCAGACCCTTCACGTCTGCGTACAGCTCATCAACTTCCTCAAGAGACAGCCCCTTGGTTTCGTAGATGAAGAAATAAACAAATGCAATGCAGATAAAGCAGCAGCCGAACCAGATAAAAAAGATCTTGGACTGCAAATTAGCATATCCTGGGCCGTAGTTGACAAGATACGGTGTCGCGAACGCGATAGCCCAGTTCAAGAGCCACTGTGAATTAAGAATTAGTATTTGACTTCAATTATCAAATATTCAAGTATTTTGCAACTTACGTTGGTAGCAGTGGTAAGGGACAGAGACCTGGCCCGATGCTTCAGCGGGAAGATTTCGCCTGTAACGACCCAAGCCAGAGGGCCCCAAGTCGACGCGAAGAAGAAAATGTAGAGGCACACAAACGCAATGCCCGCCTTTTGTGCTGCAACGTTGTGCACGACGATGGCGCCCTGAGAGTCCTGGCTTGTGGTCAAGGTTCCTAGCATTGCCACAAGGAACTGAGAAACAGCCATTCCGACCGCGCCCCAAAGAAGCAGAGGTCGACGGCCGAACTTATCAACGGCGTACAAGCCGGGAAGTGTGGAAAACACGTTGATCACAGAAGTGATCACCTGGATGATGAACGCGTCCTTCAAACCACTGTTCTTGAAGTATTGTGTGCCGTAGTAGAAGATAAAGTTGATACCGGTCAGCTGCTGCAGTGCCTGGAGGGCCATGCCGGTGAACTGGCGCTTGACCATGTCTCCACGGAAGCAATCGAAGTAGCTCGCCTTTCCGAGGCTCATCTCGTATTCGTGGTTGGCTCGCACCTCGGCCAGCTCGGCAGTGATGGAGGGGTGGTCGGCAGGGAGACGTCGAAGATATCCAAGAGCATGAGCGGCCTTCTCCCCCTTGCCTTGCTTGATGAGGAACCGGGGAGACTCGGGCAAAATGAGCATTCCACCGATGAGAATGAGCGCCCACGCGAATTGTACCGCGACAGGGATACGATATGACCCTGTATCTCCGCGGTTGGCGGTAGCATTATCCACGATGGCTGCGAGGAGAAGACCGATAGTAATTGCCCACTGATAGGCGCCTACTATCGCTCCTCTAATCCATTTTGGAGCAGTTTCCGATTGATAGAGGGGAATAAGCGCCGAAATGAGACCCACGCCGAATCCAGCAAAGAATCGGCCAGCCAGGAATAGGGGCAGAGCCGTGGCGGCAGTTTGGAAGATGACACCGAGAGTGAAAACGAGGGTGGAGCCGATCAGAGCCAATCGACGTCCGATGGAGTCGGCCAGGAAGGGAGAGGTGAGAGCGCCGAAGAAGGTGCCTGCTGACAAGATACTGACGATCGCGGACTGTTGGGATGGGGAAATATCAAGTTCGCCGGTGACTGAGTTGCGGTAGCCGGTAGAAAAGAGGTGTTGGAAGTATGGCATAGCCAAGATACCAGAGATGGTACCGGTGTCGTAACCGAATAGGACACCGCCGAAAGCAACGAAGGCGCCGACGCAGATTGCTGGCCACGCCTTGCCGGCGTCGTCCCTGGGCTTGGCAATGGCTAGCTTCGCCATATTGGCTGATGGTGTGTTTGGAGTGTATTTGTGCACTGGTGTTGTATATACTGATGATATAAAGCGAGGCGAGCCCACAACAGCAACTGAGGAGATGAAGAAAAAAACCAGCTGCGCTCGTTGGACTTGGGACAAACGAAAGAACAAAGAACCGGTTCGAAGTTTGGAAAGAAGTGGGAGAGATCGTGGTCTAATTATAAGCGGAGACGAGCATCGACACTGGACAAGTACTTACTGTCACATCGACGTAAATCAAAGTAGTCCATTTTTGACTCGTTCAACCAATCTGGTGAATTCCCACCCTGGGGGAACCCCAAGCAGAGCCGGGGTCGCCAATGTGTAGGGCCGAAAGCTTGACAGCACTTCCCTGGCACATGAACGCGAGGATGGGGCTCCACGTTTCGAATCTGGGGATGCTCAGGCCTCGTTGGAGAAAGGACCCAGTCACGAGGCCAGGACCAAACTTGCCACCGCCCAGTGGTACGGGTCGGTTCTGTCGTTGCTCACCCCACGGGGACGGGGCACCCGAGTCAAGGCTAAGAACTGCAGCTTGGGCTGGGCCGATCCCTAGATCGCCAACGGCCTGTCCGACTACGACGAGCCCAGCTCGACACAATGTGATTGAATGCGTAGTCTGATGCCTTCACGGCAATCCTACATGGGTTACCTTCCAACGATCTCGACAAGCTAGACCACGTACTAATCGAATCTGACGTGGTGGCCGTCCGGCACCTGAGGCCCATCGAGACGGAGGTCAATATTTACTGTCAAAAAGCTCCACATGTCAATGACGGAGTGGCGTCGCTGCAGGCAATTACAAGGGGCAGAGTGGTCCACGCTCCGGCAATTGATATGGCTGCTTGCTGTGTTGAGGGAGCTATGGGCAGTGCCTTCGTGCCTTCGTACATCTCAACCTCCCAAGATTCCAGTCTGGCTCGGAGTAACAAAAAGCTCAAAAGGAGGGTCAGTGACGTCCTTTGGAATCCAGCCATGTTTCATGGTGGGTATGGAGCTGGAAAGCTGGGAGCTGAGCAGCATTTGGCGCTTGCCAGTGACATGATGGGGGTGAGCTCTGGGGCCAGGGAGCTTCCCCAATTTCCCCGGACTTTTCTCCTCATGGCTGCGGACCTTCCTGAATGTTGCAGCCACAACCGGTTGGGACTGGCCTTGGCTCCAGTTCCGCCGGGGCCACTTATCCATCAAGCTCTGCCTAGACGCTTCTGCCGATAGCTTATTTCAACGCGCCAGTATTCTCGCAAGAAATCTCGGCCGCTCGCCGGACCACAGTCCAGGGTCTGGCCGCGGATTGTCCTGGTGCCGTGATGAGGACCTCGCAAGGCATGTCGATATCCTGCCGGGAGCTGCGATCCTGCTACATAGCAGCGTCCGAAGCGAGCAGCGAGACCTGGCAGCTGCAGAGAAATGAAATTCCTTAATCTAGCTGCCCAACCGCCTGCGTACAAGCATTACGGTGCAAATGGCATCCATGGTCTGCTTGAGAGGGGACAGTCAAATTTCAATGTTCTTCCTGTCAACAATTACGGACTCAAGCTTATGGACTGAGAGTTGCAATCAACCATCGAAGTACACAGGTCTTTCAGCTCGGTGATAAATCATGTGGGCAGTCATCCAGACAATTGACTGGACCGTTGGCCTGCCTGCCTGCCTGCCTGCCTGGGGATCCTGCCACGCGGGACAACCCAGGGGCAATCTCGGCGTAAAAGCTTAGCATACGAGATATTAGCGCACTCTGATCTTACCCACCTGCATTGCCCACCAAAGTAGACCATCAAGACAAGACGGGTGGAACAACGCTTGCAATCGGTCCGTTCAGCAAGTCCCAAGTTTCGCGTCCCCGCTTAAGGCCCGATCAGAGAAGACGGACCCACTCGTGTCCACATCCCCAGGGAGCTTAAAATCTGGATTCTGGATCTAGACCATAGTGAAGAACTCGTCGAAGTCATCGGAACTCACCTCCTTGACATGACTGGAACAAGTCTTCGGTGTTTTCTGGTCACAGTAAAACATCATCCGGCCCTTCAGCTATGTAGTGACGACCAGTCATATAGCACGCTCTGTCCATAAGCCTCCAGGTACCATGTTGCATCTCGCTTATCTGACCTTGCGAGGCTCTTAGTCTGCAGTTTTGGGTGCATGCAGATAGGTCACACGAGAAAAGGGGCACACGCTCACTTTCAGCTTGATCATAGAAACTGCGCGCCTTATTCAATGATATCAATTCCGGTCGTCTAGATGCGCCCAGGCGAAATCGCGTGTGTCCGTCTTCTTTCAGAGCGAGAATACCTCCGAGTCTACTTGCAAGTAGCGCCCCGTGGTACACATGCACGCAAAGAGTGGCTGTCGCCAAACATGAAAGTGCTTTAGGGAGCAGAGAAATGCAGGATGCATCACGCACAAGTCCTTGTTCGTCACGAATGTTTCGAAGTGCAGTTCGATTCCCTGTCTAATGCCCATCAGCTGCACCCTGTGGCCTTTCGTCATCCTCGAGCCCCACCGAGAGAAGCAGTTCAGCATGAACAGTTGACAGCCTCGGGTGGTGCATTAAATCGGCGGGGGGAAGAGTCCACCTATCGATGGGACCCAGCAGGGACACAGCCAGCCTTGGGCGTGCTCAATGATAGATCATCGTCTGCGTAGGTATGAGGCCATTTTATGCGTAGGGTGAACCCACACCCTCGCGAGGGTTGACGGTCATCCACAGATACTTAGCACAGCACGCGTAGGAACGAGATGCCTCGCCATTCTTGCATCCTACCTACATCGAATGGTCTTGATTGAGTGGCAGTGCTTCACAACGAGGAGGGGCTGAGATAATGGAAAAAGTGCAGTAAAAGGGCACACTGCTGACTGTGCTCCATAGTGCTCCCCTATGAATATTTGAACATCGTTTCCGCCGACTATTTGAGGCTAACTGGATGAGTCCATGGCATCATTGCAACGTTTCCAAGGGTGTTTTCTCGTTTTCTTGCTACAGTTCACGTACCCTAGTCTACCTATCAGGAGCCAGCAAGCTTGTGCTCGTCTCCACGGTTGCCAATGAATAGGAGAACATCATAAAAGTTGACCTTATGAGAGTAACTTGCCGCTTCAAAGAAATGAACCAAAAAGAGTGAGTCGCCACAGTGGCCCCGTGTTACTATGCATAAATTAAATCTCTGATGCTGTATCTTGAATTCCGAATATCCAATCCCAACTAGTTACTCGAGTCTTCTCAGTTTCCATTACACCGTTATTCCCCAACAACATGTTTCTCTGCAACCATAAATGCTCTTGCAGCGCTTGTTGTTACTGTCGCTACCACTTTCACGAAGAATAACTGTGACAAAGGATCGTGAGATATTGGAAACGGACTTTATTGGTCAGCTCGATCCCAATACCACCTATTATTTTTCAAATCCTCAAGCGATCAAGCTTTTCAGGGGATAAAGAAGAATATGGATGTAGCGATTGCCAAATTTCCTGAAATGTAGGGAAGGGAATTCTAGCTGAGGGGCCATTTGAGGGGCCAGGTGTTGCATTTGCTTGTCATCACAGAGGTACACGTTTAGGGATGTTGGGGGGGGGGGTGTCCTGCCAGAAGCCAAACATCAACTCTCCGAACAAATACAATCAGGTCCTGCGTCACCTTTCAGTAGCCTCAGCAGTCAAACACAATACTGAAAGGCTGGTTGCCCATAGGTTTCCCTACGAGTGAGGATCGGGACCCGGTGGATAATGATGAAATTAGCCAAATTCAGCCTGTTTAAAAGGAACTACAAGTTCGTGTTAAGGTTCGTGTTCAATTTCGGCTTGCACAGCCCGCAATAAGCATATTAATGTGAATTATGAGCTTTGTGCGTATAAATTTGAAGGTTTTCTACCTAGGCACTCAAGAATTTTGCCACTTCTGGAGCTAGAATCTCATGAACACGACTTGTCCTACAACGATCTGTCAGCTTTTACCACTTTTTACCACTATAGAATGTTCAGTTGCAAGAGGCGCAGTTCAAACTTACATGTGTCCGCTATTGAACCAAAAGTAGGTGTCAAGTGGACCAGAGCAGCCGTATTTCTCCCAGTCCGTCAAGACGTCTGCGTACAAATACCCAGCACAGTAGTCAGTTGTATTTGTGATGCCGTACTCGCTCGCATTATCCAGAACACCATTCAAAAATGTATTCGCGTCAAATACCATCGTCGTGGTTCCTGCATTCTGCTTCGAAAAGTCATCGCTGTACTGCTGGAGAGTGTCACCCCACCACCCTATCATTGTCTCGTTGGGCGATGGACTGGCTTTATTTGCGTTTCCAGGTGTCCGATCCAGGGGTGGTAGATTGACGAATAGGAAATTGTTATAGCCCGCCTCAAACAGAGGTGTGACAGATTGGGAAAATATGGTGGAGATGATGGAGTTGAAGGTGCTAGGAAAGTCGTAGGCACCCGAGTAGGTCTTAGAAAGATCATTAATGTCATTGATTCCGATCCAGATTGCGACAAGAGTCTCGGAGGCTGAGACCTGCAGCTCATTTTCAAATACTGGCTGCCCGTAGGTAAGGAACTGCTGCGTCTGGTTGACAAGCGGGACGGTAAAGTTGTGGTGAAGCGGCGTGCTATGTTTGTTAGTTGTGCAGAAAGACGTGACTGGAAAAGTAACCAGGTCTAGAAACTTACAACTCTGTTGAGACATCTGCACCCGCAAATGCGAAATCCCAAAGCTGTAAGTCACAAGACAGGGGTGACGTCAATCCGGGCTCCTGACCGCAACCCGTAAGATACTCGACCCAGTTGGGCCCGCCCTCCGCCGTTCCAGTGAAGTTTTGCACGATTTGGTTCGATAAGAGAGTTTCTGCATCGTAAGCAAAATTCCCTGGCAGATAATCACCAATGAAGCTGTAGTTCTGATGACCCTGGACACCTTGCACGTAGGTGTAGGAGTCGCCGAAGGCGATTCTAAGACCAGGTCAGCTGGCTGGTTATAGACCTCGAAGTGACGAGAGACAAGAGTTAAATTACTCACAGATGCTTGACATTCTGCCATTGAAATGGGACAGGCGGAACTGCTGAGCCCACAGCCATCGACATGACGGATATCAAGCAGGCGGTGCCAAGATGGAGCGGTGAGTGTCGTTGTGGACGGCACGTCTCAAGTAATTAGGCACGCGGCCGCAAGTGTGCCAAACAAAATGCCAATGCAGAGGATTGGGACGTTCAAGCTTGCGGCAGCTTCCCCCTACAGTTGTATGATACTTGGGTCCTGTGCCTCGAATATGTTCTGAAGACATTATTTTTAGGCGGTCGACATCGGCAGGGATGTGTTGCAATTGGTGGAATTATTCGCGAAATTGGAGTCATGACTGGCCGAGTGAAGCCAAGCTCGCCCCAAGATCCCCACTACGCTCTCAGCAGAACTGCAGGCGTGCAATGGAGTGCAAGATGTGTTGCCACAGTCGGTCTAAGATTATTGTGGGTCGCTGGCTAGTCTCTTCAATCACTTATCAAAACTTATAATAAATTATGCAGCAATCCCACTTCTTAGACGAGGCTGTCTATAACCTGAGCACTACTTGTATTGATAGGAAGCCTGATTGCCCTCACGTTCACTCTGGTCCGGCCGCCAAACTGCGGTGATTAATTGCACTGCATTCACATATCACAGGGACAGCCCGTGCTTACGGAAGCGCAATGACTGGATTCCCGCCCACAGAGTAGCAAGCCTCAAGTTAATTTAACTTGGCATGTTGTTGTGTTACCATGACTTGGTCTTTTTGTACACCAGTCCTTCTTTTCTTTCCTTTTTTTGTTTTGGCATTTTTCAGAATCCATCTGCGTGAACTTACTTCTATTGTAATGGACTCGATTGACAGACGTCAAACCACTTAAGCCAAATCCGACTTTTCTTGTATTGGTTGAAGCTTAGCATGCCACCTCCTGCCCCTCACCAGTCTTTCAAGCCCGGAAATACAGCAATCTTGCTGGCATGTAGTCTATCATATTGCATCACCTCTACATGAGTACGTTGACTGAATGCAAGAAGGCTGTAAACTCAGGGGCATGTTAGAGGTTTGCCGCCTAAATCAGGAGGCTTACTCTAGTCGCTGACCGCAATCCTTCTTGGCGCAGCTGGTCTTGTTGGGGTCCAATGGGTTTCGGGAATGGTCTGTAGTACCAGGCTTCCTTTTTTATTTAATGGTCACACAGGATTGCAATCCCTGCTGAGCCTCTGACAGCTGAAAATTAAGGACCATCAGTATAGAATTTCGTTCTCTGCTTCCTAACTTCCTTCGATTCACATAGTCATCTCAATCAGCTTGTTATCGACCAAAGCTACATGTACCATGTCCCTCAACTTTGACACCAATGCGTGGTACCAAGTCAACGTGACAAAGTTCCCAGGATCATCTCTACTGGGCACATCACTGTTCCAGGACGGCAAGACCGGTGCAGTATTCTATCAAAACACCAACACGAGCGCCAAGGGGCAAAGTTGGCAGTTCTATCCCTACAACTCCTCTGTGTACTTGCTGCGATGCAAAGATGGGGGCCCCAACGGCTACCTGGCTGCGGCCGCCGGCAAGACGAACACTGATCAATCAGATGTAACTGGAAATACCGTCCCCATTCTGGCCAACTATAATGTGACAGATGATTCTATGTTCTGGACGGTAGCCCCATGGGGTGATGGGACTTATTACTTTTCCAACCTCGCCAACGGGTCAGAATGGCGGCTGAGTGTGATGGACAATAAGCTGATGGTCATGGACTCCAACACCTTACCCGCACAGTCGGGTGAGCATTACACTTTCACCAGCTTGAGCACCATAGGAGATAGCCGCTACTCGACAGTGGATGTGAGACTCTTTTGGAATGTCAATATTGTAGGTTCTTCAACTGACTACTCCAACAGACGTACCCGACCACAAGCCAAACAGAAAATGCGGTTGCGCCGACTACTACTAGCACCATTAGTGCGACAGGCGACTCTACTCCGTCGCCTTCCGCAGGGTCATCTCCTTCGCAATCCTCATCGGGCGGGTTATCGACGGGCGCAGCTGCAGGGATAGGGGTTGGGGTGGGTCTTGCTGTCGCGATTCTAGTCGCCTTTTTGGCAGTGTTTTTCATCCGAAGGCGGAAAAACGCAAGAACAGGGCCTGGGCCGGAACAGACGAACCCCGTGGGAGACGCGAAGTACCAACCAGCAGCCAACGGGCACTTTCATGAGATGGGCACAACAAACACTTTCCCCGAAATGCCAACTTCAGCAACGTCACAGCCGCATGAGGTTTGGGCGCCGCCTATGGAACTTCAAGGGGACAGCCGACGATGAAATCCTCAGCTGGCCTCCAGGTGCCATTGATTGTGGTGTTGATGTATTGTGGGTACTATTATTGAGGCTTATATGCACTGAACGAGCAACTCATGGCCACGGTTCTATTCAAAGGTATATATCCAAATTTTAAAGAGTATAATGATTATTTTCCACTTCCGCAAGACGACCCAACCCACTCACATATTGGCCAACACAGCAGCACCCCCAAACAAGGCCCCCATGGCCACTCCTACCGTCTGGAGGGGAGCAGCCGCAGTACGGAAAATCGAGGAACGCGCCTCACTGTTGATGGAACTGGCTCTTGAAGCGATAGAGCTGGTCAAGCGCCCGATCTCCGAGGTGATGCTTGAACGGTCATTGCCCGTCGCCGTTCCGAGCTTCGACGTGAGGCTGCTGAGCTGTGAGCTGCCTTGCGAGTAAATGGATGAGATCTGTGAGCTAGCGTGGGACTCGATTGATGAGACGCTCGAGAAGGCGGACGAGACGACGGACGAGACCAGGCTGCTGGTCAGGGTCGGGAACGGCTGCCCGATTGTTTGTGTTGGGTTGCCGAACGTCTGTGTCGGCTGGGTGAACCCAGGTTGCGTCTCTGTCGTTAAGGGGAAGCCTGGTTGCTGCGTTGTTGTGTAAGGAAAGCCTGGATTTCCGCCCTGGCCCACTGTTTCTGTGACGGTCACGGTGCAGTGACCGTTCTGATCGCACCCGGGAGTGACGGGATATGGGATCCCGGGGATCGTCTCGCCACCACCAACTGTTTGCGTGACAACGACGGTGCAGGTTTTCTTTCCGTCCTGACCCCAGTCGAACCAGTCGAACCATGGCTTCCCATCTCTCGTGCATTCACAGTCATGAAAGCGCTCGTCCGAATTGAAATTGTCTTTATCAGGACAATGATTCCAAAAGGTGTCTTCCTGAGGCGCGACAGCGGCGCTCATAGCATCTTGGGCTTGGATAGGCACCTAGGATATCGACGACAGTCAGCTGTGATGCACCACTTGAAGGGACGATGTGAGACAAAGAACGCACAGAGAGCAACAGAGCCGAAAAGGAGGCAATTCCCGTGGCTCGCATTATTTCGTCAGGTTTTCCGAAAGTCGCGTTCAGAATAACGCCAACGCGCTTGTTTGTAAGAAAGTGCCGATGGTGTTTCAAAGCGCTCTTGGTATAGTTGCAGGCCCTCAGGTTTCTTGCTTGCACCTATAGATTCCACGGAATATCGTTGTAGCTTTATACTTGAGTTTGATATGACTTCGGTCGTCGGGAACAACGCAGGCGGTGAAAATCCAGCGGGTCACCACATACGAGCTGTCAAAAGCCCTGCGTGAGAGTTGGCCAGAAGACGCCGGCGGGCGTCCGATACTACATAGAAGGCTGAAGGATAGACGGCTAGTCCCGGTAGTGGCCCAGCCGAGATCGAATATCTTGGAAGCATAGTGGCTAATAGGGCGCATTGTGAGTTGGCGACCCTAGTCTGATAGGAAACACCCTGTACGTCCCGTCTAAGATTATGCTGGTAACAGAAAACCTGCCAAGAGACTGCTCTGCCATTGGTCCTCGACTATTGCAATAAGACTACTACTTAATGCCAGCGGCAAAATGGGGGAATACCCAAAAAGGAAATAGGGAAGACCGATGTTGCCTTGAGATGTCATTGTCACACCAGAGTGCTGGCAGAAATGACGACAGCCTCGACTACTATACGTGTAGTAGACCGCCTCACTGCTTTTTCATCCCACCATGTGCGGCTATCTAGATTGGCGTGTCTTGGCATCTGAAGTCTCGTTAGAAGCCTCCTTAGTGCCCGGCCAATCTTCCTGTATGAATTTCTCAAAGATTCTGCAGGAACTCCGAAACGACAGCCTTTCCCCATTGCGAGACTTCATACTTTGCAGGCCCGATACTCGAACTCAAAGATTGGCGGTTGTGTCTTGAATTAACGGCACCGACTCCCCGGTGGCCCTCACAAGATTTCGAAACCATCCTTAGGGTTGATCTGCTTTCATCCCATAGCAAGCCTTCATGCGTCTCAACAAGGCTGGCCTTGGCGTTAGGCATAACATGAGACCTGGAAGCCCCTGCAAGTGTTCTGGTGGCTGCCCACCACAACAGCTTGACTATGGCTAGCGAGTGGCTGGAGCTAGCCGCCTCATGGAAGTGTCATGAATGCTTGGTGTGTGACATTCCTGCCGGCACATCGACGTGGCTGCAATTGACTTCAACGTTGCTTCTCCTGAGCTTAAATTCGGTTTCGGCCGAGCGATAAGCCACGTCCGGGGCAAAGACTTGACTTTTGGGCCCAGTAGGCGTCGAGAAGAAATGTGTTAAAAGGCGCGATACAACGGTGATAACCCGTTCTCTGACTTGTGTCCTGACCGGGAAAACCATCACTGGTGGAAATACTTTCCTAGGTAGGTGGTATGCCACTCTGGCTAGTCAAGTGCTGCATACTCGCATATGCCAGCAAGCCTACAGACGATCTGTGATCATTATGTTGCTAAAAGAGGCTTACCGAGTGATACAGAGTCAAATTGGCGGGGGAAGAGTAGTATGAATGAACGGGGACGGACACTCGGTCTACGCTGCTTCATCTTCTGAGGGAGCATTGAAGCTCTCGGTCCGAATACCCTCGTGTCTCCTGTCTCCTGTCGACAGGAGACATGTGCAAGGTTTGTTGAAAGGGTTAGGGTCCCGTCGACAACGGCTTCTAGCTCACTCAAGCTCCATATCCGAATCTGTCCTCTGGTTGGATGACAGGCCACGAAACATCACTGCATTTCAACAGCTACATATTTCAGCAACGGTGAAGAAGTACGGCAGGGATCAGCCGTTCGACAGTCACGGAAAGGTTGCCCACCATGGCAGGGGATGATGGCGAGACCAAGGTGGTCCGGGGCGCCTCACTCCTCATCCTGCTGCAGGTCTTCTCGCGTGCTGTCACCTTCGTCGCCAACCAGCTCCTCCTGCGATTCATGACGGCGTCCCTCCTCGGCGTCTCAACCCAGCTCGAGGTCTACTATCTCTCGGTCCTCTTCTTCGCACGCGAAAGCCTGCGCGTGGCCATCCAGCGGCAGGGGTCCGTGTCGTCTGACCGATCTTCGCCCACCAAGGATGCGAAGCAGCAGCAGAAGGATGGCAAGCAGCACACCCAGGCTCAGGAGACCCAGGCGGTGGTCAACCTGGGCTACATCGCCATCATCCTGGGCATCGCCGTCGCGGCGATGCTGGGGTGGATGTACCTCGGCTCCATCCCCACGGCCACGCTCCTCACCACGCCCTACCTGGTCCCGTCGGTCTACATCTACGCCCTCGCCTCGGTCCTGGAGCTGCTGTCCGAGCCGGCCTTCGTGGTGATGCAGGTCCGCCTGCAGTTTGGCGCGCGCGCCTCGGCCGAGGGCGTCGCCACCTTTGGGAAGTGCGCGGTCACTCTCATGTCTGCAGTCTGGGCGTCCCGAAACGGCCTTGAGCTGGGCGTGCTGCCTTTTGCGCTGGGACAAGTCGCCTACGGATCCGGCCTGCTGGTGACATACACCTGGTACGGCTCGGGGCTTGCGAAAAGGGAGGGCTTCTCTCTGCTTCCCAGACGGTTGGGTGAGGGGACGGAGTACATCCTGTCGTACTTCTACCAGCCGACTATCAAGCTCGCCTCGTCCATGATGATTCAGAGCTTCGTCAAGCATATCCTGACACAAGGTGACACCTTCCTTGTCAGCGCTCTGTCTACGCCCACCGCGCAGGGAGTATACGCACTGGCGAACAACTACGGAGGTCTTGCAGCACGATTAGTCTTTCAACCTGTCGAGGAGAGCAGTCGGAACTATTACAGCCGACTGTTGTCCAGCGACAGCGAGCCCGCACCATCGGGGGTCACGGAGAAGCAGGTGTCGGACAAAGACGAGGGCGCCAATAGTCAGGGTACCTCGAAACCGTCTAAGACAGCACTCACCCAGGCTTCCGATGACCTCACCAGCCTGCTCCGATTCTACACCTTCGTCTCAGTCCCTCTGCTAGCCCTAGGCCCAACCGCAGCGCCCCTTGTCCTGTCGCTCATAGCAGGTCCCCAGTGGACGGCCTCGGGCGCGGGGGAGGCCCTCGCTGCGTATGTCTACTACATCCCGCTGCTTGCCATCAACGGCCTCGCGGAGGGCTTCGTCGCGTCCGTCGCAACTGAGGCGCAGGTGCACTTGCAGTCGGCCTGGATGACGGCCTTCTCGGTTCTGTTTGGGGTTAGCGGGTACGTGTTCCTCAGCGTTCTGGACTGGGGCGCCGTGGGCCTGGTCTGGGCTAACGGCATCAACATGGCTGGGCGCATCGTCTGGGCTGTGTGGTTTATCCGGCGCTACTTCGCCCAGAGAGGCGCGCGCTGGGAGGTCACGGCGCTCTTGCCTAACTCGCTGGCTGTCCTGGCTGCTGCAGTTGCAAGCCAGGTCGTGAGGAGGGTTGTGAATTCTGAGAGTGCTGGCGCGGGTGTGAAGGCTGTTCTGGGGGAACTGGTCAAGGTTGCGGCGACTGCTGTGCCTTTCGTTGCCGTACTGTAGGTTCTGCCTCTTATTTTGCTAACTTATTCGCTTCAAAATGACGTCTTATTTGCTCTACTTTACTGACATCTCTTGCACAGAGCATTCGCCGAGCGCCGGTTCCTCATCCAATGTTACCAGGCTGTCCGTGGTGGAAAGCCTCAAGCTTCAAAACCCAAATAGGGAAATACATAATATCGGCCCCATCTAGTAATTGCTATTGCCAGCGCAAAGAAGGCCTCTCTAAAGTCTAGTGGCCGGCATCTGACAACACATCGTTCTCACTGCTCTAGTTGAAAGTAATCTTGGTCGCCTTCTTGCTCATGTCAACATTCTTGAAGAAGGCACCGTATGCGTCGTGCTGCTTCTTCTTGACAGTCGTGCCAAACTTTAGAAGTTCTTCGGGAACAGGTTGACCGGCGGCCTTGAGCACGTTAATTAAAGACCCAGAGTGGGACTTGTCATGCTCCGTGAAAAGCGTGATAGCCTTGCCCTCTTTTCCAGCACGTCCGGTTCGGCCGATACGGTGAACGTAGTCCTCGATGGTCAAAGGGAACTACGAGAAATCATTAGCCACTCATATGTTGAAATCGGTAGAACACGGGACTTACAGTCAGGTTGACCACGAGCTTCACCTCGGGGATATCCAGACCTCGTGCAGCAACATCTGTAGCCAACATTATCGTCGTTGTGCCCGCTTTGAACGCCTCGAGACTTCTTGTGCGCTGCTCCTGCCTCAGATCACCGTGGATAGCGCACACGCTAAGACCGCGGCTCGTCAAGAACTGCTCCACACGGGTTGTCTCCTTCTTGTACAAACAGAAGACAAGGACACGGTCATTGTGCGCCTTGCCCCTCTGCGCATCCTTGAGGATCTCCAACAACCGCCTCTCTTTACCCCTTGGATCCACGACCTCTACTGTCTGGGCAATTCGGCTGTTCGCCTGCAGCTCGACGGTTCCGTTGCCATTTCCGTCGCCAGCCTCGCCGCCGGGCTTGTTCTTGTTGATGATGACCTTGACGGGATCAACCATGAAAGTCTCTGCCAGCCCCCTGACCTCAGACGGCCACGTCGCCGTAAACATGAGTGTTTGCCTCTTCTCCTTGGCGGGACAGGAGCCGAGGATCAGCTTGATGTCCTCTTCGAAACCCTTGTCCAACATACGATCCGCCTCGTCGAGGACCGCGAACGCCGCCTCGGAAAGCGATATAGAGCCCTCTGACAGGAAGTCCTTCAACCGGCCTGGCGTGGCGACAATGATGTCTGCGCCCTTACGGAGGAGATTGCGCTGGTCGTCCTTGCTTGCGCCACCATAGATACACACCGCTTTCAGGCCTACTAGCGAGGCTAGTGTGCTGGTGGACTCGTGTGTCTGCATCGCCAGTTCGCGCGTCGGGGATACTATCACGGCGCGGGGTTGGGCGGCTCTGTTGTTGTTGGATTTGGGCATGGCAAGCAGGGCTTCCACGCAGGGGAGCGAGAAGGCGTATGTCTTTCCTGAGCCAGTCTCGGCTATGCCGACAACGTCACGACCTGACAGAGAGAAAGGCCAGGAGGCGGCCTGAATGGGCGTCGGGATGGTGAAGGTCCCGAAAGGGTTCTTCGACAGGAGGCGGGAAGTGGGGAGATGAGAGAATTTGAGGATAGGTCGCAGGCTGGTTGAAGGATTTGTTTGATCGTGGATGGTAATGTAGTTGTCCTCGAGGAAGGTCTTGACCTCGGACTCGGGCACAGCAGTGAGGGACGCGGTTTGTTGGTACTTGGAGGGAGTGCCATTGGCGATAGGGGTTTCTGCGGTGGCCTCGTCGTCTGCCTTCTTGTCCTTCTTCTTATCCTTCTTGTCCTTGGACTTCTTGTCCTTCTTCTCTTTCTTAGCAGTGGCCTGGTCCTCGGCAAGTGAATCGGCCGGGACGTCGACGTCCATAGCGTCGGCCCCAGCAGCCTCGTCACCATTCTGCTCACCAGTCTGCTCCTTGTCCTTGTGTTTCTTGTCCTTCTTTTCTTTCTTTTCCTTCTTATCCTTTTTGTCCTTCTTCTCCTTCTTCTCGGACTTGTCCTTCTTCTCTTTCTTGTCCTTCTTTTCCTTCTTCTCCTTCACAGGCGCATCGTCCGCGGTTGTGGGATCGTCGGTCTTGACCTTCTTGACCTTCTTGACAGCATCGACCTCGCCTTCGAGGCGATGCTTCTTGCCGCTGGACATGGTTGGTATGGGTCGCGTGTGGTTAATGCACGCGTGCAATACAGTCGACGGATGTTAGGGATGACTTTGCGCAGTCGCACATGGTCTGCCCGGGCCCTTCCAAGGGACCTCGAAATTTTCCTGGGTCCCAACTTTTCTGCCGGGCGCCTGGTCTCGCTCCATCTCGGCTAGCGTGACTGAAAGAAGAAGGCGGTGGGTCGCCATCTTGCATGTACCTAGGTACCAAGAATGCGTGAGACCCCGCCCTAGTTTAAAGATCAAGGTGGCGTTATAAGCGACGAAATTCCCAAATGGTTGGGTACAAACAGACCAGTACATAGGCATTCCTTGTGTGAGTTAACCTTCTGTTGGGTGGCATCTATTTAGGTAGGTATTGTCCGTGATGCTGATTCCTTTCTACCTGCTCTTTCAGCAACTGCCCAACCTCGAATCCGGCTTATGGGCTAGAACCATAGTGGTAGTGATGTGCAACATAAGGATGTCGCATGTTCTAGGACAGGCCACTCGATACCGCCACAGCACGCCACGAGCAGACAAATGACATTCTCAAGACTAATGGTAGTTAGCAGCCACTCACGGTATTGCACAGAGCCTCAGAAGAAGCTTTGGCCCTTGGGATTGCAAGAAGCTTACTTGGTCTCGGCGGCACTGACTCGGGAGTCCTGACCCTATACGGAATGGCGAATATGGCGTCAGTCAGAGTTTGCGGCCTATTACGAAATCCCAAATGTACCCCCTGAGTCTGGATCGCAGGTTTTGCAGCAAATTGGCTGAAAACGGCCGCTATGGTACAGACATACCAATGGGGAGGATTGGGGAGGAGGGGCTGTCATACCCATATAAATGATATATCGGCAGCTCATGCGACATCGGGTGCGCAGTCTTTCTTTAATGGGCCAAGGTGCAGCACATTGGACTGAACGAGGCCATCATCGACACCCCTTCGCGGCCGCCTAAACACAGATACCATGGCGATCAACGAGCCCACAGCCGTGCCAAGTTCCTCACGGAACGACATTGAGAAAGATGCCGTCCATACAGATCCTGGCTTCATGTCCGATACGAAACCCGACCTAAGCGAGCCCCAGCTCAATGTTGGCGGTCATGCCAACGTCCAGCGCCAGCTCAAGAGCGTTCATGTCACGATGATTGGTTTCTGCTCGGGAATCGGGACCGGCCTGTTCATCGGGACGGGCGCAGCTTATGCAAAAGCTGGACCCGCCGGACTGCTGATCGCTTACTGTATCGTCGGCTTTGTGCTCTACTGCGTGATGCAAAGCATCGCTGAGTTGGCGACCTTGATCCCAACTGCTGGAAGCTTTCCGCACTGGGCGACCCGCTTTGTGGACCCGAGTGTTGGTTTCAGCCTGGCAATCAGCTACGGATATTGTTATACAATCGCTATCGCTAGCGAGGTTTCTGCGGCGGCGGTCATTGTGAGCTACTGGACAGACATCACGCCGGCAGTGGTTATTACGGTTGGGTTGGTGTTGATCCTAGCTATCAACTTGCTCAGTGTCAAATTCTACGGCCATTCTGAGATTTTCAGTGGCATTATCAAGGTAGGCCCGGCGACATGAAGACCCACGAGGATAAGAACTGACAGCCTCGCAGGTCTCTTGCTTCCTCGGACTGGTCCTTGTGGGTATAGTTATTACCGCAGGTGGCGGGCCTGACGGTGAGCCCATCGGGTTTAAATATTGGCATAACCCTGGTGCTTTTACGAATTACAATGGCATCACCGGATCGACTGGCCACTTTCTTGGTGTGCTGTCCGCACTTGTCAACGCCTCATTCAGCTTCATCGGTGTCGAGACCGTTGTCATCGCTGCCGCGGAATCCGAACACCCTCACAGGGACATCCCAAAGGCTGCGAAAAGAGTCACGTTTCGAATCGGGTTGTTTTACATTCTCGGCGCACTATTGATCGGTATTATTGTCGACCCGCGGAATGCAGGCTTGACCAGCGGGGAAGGCAATGCCAAGTCAAGTCCATGGGTTATCGCCATCGAGCAGGCAGGCATCAAGGCTTTGCCAAGCATCGTCAACGCCTGCATCTTGGTGTCGGCATGGTCTGCCGGAAACTCATATTGTTGGGTTGGAAGCCGTATCATCCTGGCTATGACGACGGACTACCAGCTCCCACAGGTGTTCGGCAAGACTTGGAAGAATGGCGTCCCCTGGGTTGCCGTTATTGCAGCTTGGCTCTTTGGCCCTCTTGCGTACCTTAGTCTGGGGAGTGGCGGTCCTGCCCAGGCCTTCACCTGGCTCCTCAACCTTTCCACTGTGGCAGGACTCATCGCATGGTCCACACTTTCTTTCTGCTATATTCGCTTCTATGCTGCCATGAAGGCACAGGGCGTGTCGAGAGACTCGTTACCGTGGGCGGCGCCATTCCAACCCTATGCAGCTTGGGTTGGGTTTATTGGGTCGGCGATCATTACACTTGTTTCCGGGTTCCCTGTGTTTTTGAAGGGCAACTGGTCGACGTCGGATTTCATAGCGAGCTATGTTGGGATTCCCATTTTTATCCTTCCGATTCTTGGCTGGAAGCTATTCTATAAGACAAAGGTACGTGATTCCTGGGTTGAAATATTGATGCGTCTACCCTGTGTTTCTAACAATGGCCTATACAGTTTCTTCGCGCGAACGAGATTGATCTCTGGTCTGGACGGCTTTACGATGAGAAGCATAGTGGAATTGAGCAAGAGAAGCCGCGAGGCATTTGGAGGCGTTTTTGGAACTGGCTGGTGTGATTCAATGTGTTGTGGCACAATTGGGCGGCATTAAGTTGGCCTTTAGATTCAACATCTTTTTTGATACCCATCGACTAATGCGAAATTCTTCACAATGTCTCAAAGGTTTTGATGCAGAATGCACGTACAATCATTCGTAGCTGCCCCTGGTCATTGATCAATCTCGAGGGACTGCCCCGGCAGCACCCCCGCCCCGATGAAATCATGTATTGATAAGGGGCCGATCACCGAGTCTAATCTATAACGTTACCCCCCCTTATACGACCCTGTTCACGGTATGTTTATATGCAGGTACGCGTGCCCCGCATGACGACTCACCAGCGCGCCCTCTACTCAGTGCTGGTCTGTACTTGAAATATTACGGTCGCGCACGATCAGCCGCCAATATGAGACTCGCAGTGGGGGCCGGGCTTGTCGCGTCAGTATTCACAGTCGCTCGTGGTCTTCAACAACCTCTACCATTCTCGCGAGGATCTCACGCGCTCCGTGATACCCCTGTTGACATCCCACTTGAGGTATTTCAAGTTGAGGCACCGGTACGAACGAGCTATGATGGAGCTGCTTGCTCGAGCACAATCGTTCAACATGATTTCACAGCTAGTTATGGCACTCCCTTCGTCGGCAAGTCTCCTGAATACGAATTAATGTGCATGGGTATTTCACATATTCTGACACAAGATAGGGACGTACAATCCTCCTGAAGACTGCGAATTTACTACTGTCGTCTTGAATATGAGTATTACGTCTGCCGGCATCAACTACGACCGCCTCACGCTTCTCTACTTTGGAGACATCGAAGTGTGGAGGTCAACTACGGCCATGCCTGTCCGGACCGGCATCTATTACTCCTACGTCAAAGACATGACCGCATATGCATCACTGCTGCGTCAGGAGCAGAAGGTCATCATGCAACTCGATAACATATACGACTCAACTTTTACCGGGAACTTCAACGTCACGGTCACTGCATTTTTCTACGAAGACGAAGGCAACGTCTATCCGGCGGATCTCATCCTCCCGATAAGCTCATTGGCGAGCGGCGAGAACAAGACGAGCGTCTTTTCGCTCCCAGATGGGAATGCTACCGCATCACTATCGTTCCCGCGAAACGTCGAGAGAGCGGTTGTCAGTGTTTTCGCATCTGGGAATGGAAACGAGGAGTTTTGGTATACAGACGCTCCAGGGCAGTTCACGGGAACATTCAATCGCTCCTTCGTGAACGGCTATTCTCCATGGCGAGAGGTTCAGGTCCTCGTCGATGGACAGCTGGCAGGTGTAAGTTGGCCGTTTCCGATTGTATTCACCGGCGGCATTAGCCCCGGCCTATGGGTTCCGATTGTGGGTATCGACACGTACGATTTGGGCAGTGTCGATGTGGATATAAGTCCGTGGCTTGGCTTGCTGTGTGATGGCAGTACACACGTCTTCGAACTCAAAGTCGTCGGCTACAACTCGTCGACGACGCTTGGTAGCATTGCGAGTAATTGGTGGATAAGTGGCGAGATATTTCTGTGGCTCGACGCCAACGGCACTCAAACGACTGGCGGTGTATTGCAATTCTCTGCGCCGGCACCAGTCTTTCAATTGACGTCCTCCACGACTACTTACGCCAACGGTAGCAATAGCTCCCTCCTCGTCGAGCTGTCTGCCGAGCGCACATTGTCCTACTCGAATACAATTACGACCTCCTCTGGTCCACGCCTCCTGACCTGGTCTCAAGATCTTTCGTACATAAACATACAAAACTTCACCGCAGCCGGAAGAAACGAGACGCTGTGGCAGTCGACCAACGGCAGCACTGCTTTCTCACCCAGCACAGCGTATGCCACAAACCAGACAATGTCAGCATCTTTTGAGTACCCCATCTCATTTGCACAGGACTACATCGTCCCGTTGGATGCAACAGCTACCAACTCAACCCTGATCGCAACGCTGGATAGGTCCAAGGTCACAAAGGGCGATGGCGTCTTGTCACATCTTACTTATCCTAGCTTTACAACTGAGGCCCCTGTGTTGAAGACAAGGCAAAACGGAAGCTGTTTCTACCTCTGGAACGACACGTATTATCAGTCTGCCGGTGCTATTGATCCAGCTATCGGCACCTTCGGGGCAACGGACCAGTGGTTCTCCTGGGGCGGCTTCGTCGGCACAGCACGAGGAAGACAATTTGATGAGTACGGAAGATATGTTAGTGCTGTGGATGGGTATGAGCCGGTATTGAAGATTGATGAGATCAGTGATGGGTTGATAAATGTGCCAGACACGACAGTCGTTACGGGTGAGATTGTCGATGACCTGTAGAAGTGAAGACAAAATCAACCACTGAACCTAGCATGAACTGATTCAAACCGTCATTCAAGTGTCCGATTCAATTCATACAGAATCCATAACACCATGCGTTACAAACAGATTCGTCTCTTTCCAATTTCGTGAGCGCTGAGCAGAGAATCTGCGCCCCCAGTAGGCCAGTGGACCCTCTTACGTTGCGCTTGCCCCTCAAGCTAAAATATCTCATCCCAATAGTTGCAACCATCAGGTACCTAAAGACCTTACCTGTGTAAACAAGACTAGCCGACGACGACATAGCGTACAAATACCATTGGCTGAGTTTGAAGTCATTGTCACCTTGCATGGCTTTACATCAAGCTCAGTAAGGAGAAACGCGGGCACATTTCTTGCTCCCATAAGCTTTTGAGCAGGCAAAGAGTCCTATTGGGCTGGTGTTCTTGGATGATGTGGATTCAAGGCTGTGATTCCTGCATAGCTGTCATCGCAATAGGCGAAGAGACACAACGAACTCGCCAACACCTCGCTAGCCATCAGCCTCAGCGAGGACGACGATGTTCCCGTGCCGCGTCCACTATCAATGCGTTCCACATCGGTGATCTTTGAATACTAAGTCAAGGGGTGCTATCTCGCCTCTGGACCTGTATCGCCTGTATGGCACCAGACTGGTCAATCTTGAGCTCTGGGTAGTCCGGCTTCTGCATGCAGCCGCTCATCCGTCTAGGCCAATCGAACTCGCCGTCGAAACCCCATTTGGCCTCCCCGCGCGCTGGACCCGTCCAGCCGACCCTGGCAGCCTGTATTCGGCGAAGTAGATCTTTCGTACGGGACTGGCTAGCGTTGTTGAAGATGGACATTTTGATGCCGGCGCCTTCGGCCATTGAGATCAACGACACCATTACTTCCTTGTTGTACCGGGACTGGTCAGCATGCGGTGCATTTCCGTACCGGATCAGCCATGGTATAGAGACATCGACGCTAAGTTCTTTCAGATCTGCGAACCGTCCTTGCTGTTTGGCCTCGAGCAATTTGCGCAAGCCAACCGTTATTTCTTCATCCTCGTCTCCGTGTGTGAGGTGTAACATCTCGAGTTGCTCAGGGAGCGAGTCCCTCAGCCGATCAGGGTCTGTGTCGGAAACAAAGCCGAAAAGATAAGTGCTGGCAATGCGAAAACGTCTCAGATTCTTGAATCCTGAGAGACTGCCCATGGGACGCGTGTAGTTGCCAGCACCCCACTCATCAAACTCATAATCGTGGGGATAATCGATCCAAATCTGCTCCAAGCTGTCCCTCTGCTGTTCCAGTGCTTCCCGTACTGATCGATAGCTGATGAGGAAGATAGGTTCTGATTCGGAGATGATTTCTCCGATGTCGTATATGAAAGTTTTCAGTGCTTTAGGCGCTGCCAAAATACGCCGTAGCTCAAAAGGCGAAATCCTGCATTGGCGCAGCTCTAGATGGGTGATGTTCAGACTGTGAGCTTGTAACTCGGTGGCCGGTTTCAGTGTCTCTCTGTTCCGCATAGCAAGGACACGATGCAGGTAAACTGATTCCAGTTCAGGTAGCGTGAAAAGATTACGCCAGAGCTCGAGATGTCTTTCTGGCCTCGAGGAGCCATAGCATGCTGATGTGACATGACGCAACATACTTGAACCGACAGTTGTTTGGATAAAGTAGTGTATAAAGCGTAGTTGAAACGGCTCCAGTAGTTCTAGATCAATGCTTGCCAGCCTAGGAAGACTGCGGACAAGGATTGCTAGAGTTAGTGCCTCGCGGAATGATCGTGACGACCGAGCGAGTCTCAAAGCACCATCAACATTCGTGGGAATGTCGATCTCTGAGTTTTCGTCCTCCTCTTCGCTGCCCTCAGTCGTGCTCCAGTCACTGTAGTCGGCGTCCGAGCCTACCTCAAGGAACTCCTCCTCGAATTCCGACCCAATCTCAAAAACCTGCTCATCCGACTCAGTAGGGCTAGGTTCGCAATCACGGTCTGGGCCGTCGGGGGATTCGACAGAAGCCAGGCCCACTTGCTGAGAAAGTTGACGGGCAACATCTTCAATCTCGGGGGCCAGCGCAGCACTAGGCACATGCATAGAGCTTCTGCTGTTCTCATGGATTCCCAAATGCTGAACACTCCTGCCCAGCTCAGGCTGCCGCACGAGAAGAGCTGTGATGATTTCCAGGTGGCGTAACTCGTCCTTCCAAGGGTTCCGCGATAGCTCGATCGAGCGATAGAGATGCGGTGCTGCTACACCGTAAAGCTGGTGCGAGCATCGCACCAGCTTCGCAAGGCTCGGCTGGCTGGGAATGAACTCGCAGATGCGAGAGAGCAGCTCAGGCGGCAGATCCGAAATCGATGTCATGTTGGCTTGGGAGGCCTCGTCCGTGCCCTTGCACCGAGGAGCGAGTGGCAGATCGCTGATTGTAGGATCTTAAGAAGACATTGAATCGTGAGGGCTGTGTGTTTGGTTGTCCTGGGTGATTAAATTGTGGTCTGGTGGCAGGAGTGAAAAATCTGGGCCGGCGGTTTGTAGGTTCTAAAGTCATCGACATCTTTCCTCCACATGCATTGACGCAAACGCGCCAAGCCACCCTCCAGTCTTCACCTGATCTCAGGGTTGAACCCTTAGCTAGCCAAAAACTTCGACTCCTCTGAGTGCGAACTGGGATACGATGAAGCAAAGCTGATGACCAATCTCAATTAATGACACACTGTTCTGTACTGTGTCAACCTTTCACATAAGACTCGTTGAACTGAACTTCCAGTGAGCAACTGTATAAATGAAGACTCAGAATGGACAAACTTACCGCGACTCCTCAGCACTTGCACAGAGCCTTTATATGCTCCAGGGCTCGCTCGGCTGGGTTCGGATGATCTTACGAACAGACCGAAGTTTACTCGCGTATTACCGCCCGCCACCGACCGCAGTTTGCGTTGACCACATCTTACTTGCTACTTATTAATTAAATCTGCAACATGGTTGCATCTCAATGTTTTTCATGGGCTCATGGAAAGGGTCTTCTGTTAGCACATGGGGTACCGAAAGGTGTGTGTATCTCAGCGCGCGCTCGACTCTCCCACTGCGACGAAGGAGGCCCCGTAGTCAAAAATAATTATCTCTGTGGCCACATTAAGGTCAGCCGGAATATTGAGGATCATTGGATCAATAGCGTAAGGTGGTGCTTGAAGCTTAGGACCATTTTCACCCAGCCGTAGGCTCAAAGGCAGAAATACTCTCCGTGTAGTAATTAGTAGAACTTTCCTCTAGCCGGGTGGTTGATGATGGGTTTGCGATGAAGAACATTTCACATGTGAAGATCTGTCGGGAACATCAGCTTTCAACACTTCTAGATAGACGATTGGAGCTGACGGAAGGACTTCCTATGCATGTTCTCACAGACGAGAGTCTCATTGAGTCATGAATAGGTCGGTGGTGACCAGTTATTGAGCGACACACAATATCCAGCCGTCACCTGTCACGTAGCACAAGGTCGACCAAGTCGGACGCATGAAATCAGCCCTATTTACCAGCAGCGGCTATTGTGTCAACTGTGGAGGAAATTGGGGGGTTAATGAGGTGTGTTCTCCAACGACCCTAGAAGTTTGGAGAATTGGAGACAGCTCGCTGAATTGGCTGGAGTGGGGTCATGCTGTCAAGCGTGGAGCAATGCACGTTCGGTCGTCTGGGACTCGGAGCCTCAGTCACTGAGCAGGCTGTCAGAGTGGGAAGCTGGCTTGACATATGTGGATACCTGGTAACGCACGCGAGATGCCGTGTAAGGATCGAAAACAGTACAATCGCTTTACCCCGTATCGAAAGAGCTGTAAGGCTGCTTCCTCGTTCGAATGTGGCGCGTTCTTTTCATGCAACCCCTCCAGTGCTCTCTTAGGCTCGGCGGACGAAAAGGGTAATGCGGAAGACGCTTCCGATGAGGACAGCGAACCAGTTTCCCAGCTGTCTGCCCATAAAACAATGGCATGTGCCTCATAAAATTTCTCTTTGAATGATAGATACGCACATTGGTAAATCCATGGGACGGTCTAGAACCATTTGCTCTGTGCCAGGAAAACAACGCTACAATGCAGACTCCGTCTCTTTTCTCTGCCGCCCTGCTTCTCTCTCCCGTCCTGGCGGGAGGCATGCCACGACCAGAAGACACTGTGCCGCCGGCGATCGAGCCGTCCAAGCTAGAGAACTTCACATGGGCAGACCCATTCTCCTCCCCGAAGCTTGCCAACTTCGAAGCCGCCTGCGAGAGCAAGCGCACCTTCACAGCATCCGAGTATCAGCTTCATGATCTCCAAATACCCGAGCCCAAGGGCCTCCAGCCATACAGCGAAGCTCTCAAGGAATTCTTCGGTGGGCGTCCATATCCAGGAGGATGGGACGGTATCGACGCCCATCGGTATGAGCGAAACCTGCTCAAGATGGAATACGCGGATGTTCCCGTGAAGGTCAGGGAGTGGATTGAGGAAGAGGAGAGGAGCGAAGGCCCCGGGAAAGGGCTGTTCGCGGTTTACCAGAAGCCTGCCGAGGGAGAGACGGTGAAAAAGACGGCGAAAGTGCCACCTGCAAACGCGGATCACTTAAGGCCGCTGGACCAGAAGCGCGCTGTCATCTTTGCCCCAGGGGCGGTATATGAAACATTGCCGCTATGGGTTGCCGAAGGCAGCAAATGTGAAGGTAAGCCTACGTTGAGACCAGCAGATACTGTGATGTGCTTCATTTACTAACCCTTTTCTTCTCAGAAACTCTGACGGACCTGACCAAGTATGGTCCTAAGTTAGTTGATGGCGGGGTAGTTGCATGGCCTACGGACTACACGACACCCAAAAGAAGCTCGGAGGAGAGGAAGATTGAGTTCACCATCAAGGCTCAAGTTTTAAGCGCGAAGGCAGGTGCGCATTTAGACAAGGATGGGCAGGACGCAGTCAAGACTGATAGCAAAGATGAGCTGTAAATGCATTCTAGAGACCGAAGCTCGCTTTCACTTGGACAGATATTCACGTATATAGTTTAGATTTCGAGGGTTTATTGCAAAAGGATGCTACATCAAGTGAAGTACCCAGTGGAAATGCTCGGAGGCAAATCCTCGTCCCGCACTCCCCAGCTACTCTCGTTCGCACCAAGCGTCAACTCCAATAGGCCGCCGTCCATGTAGAAAGAATGCGTAATCCAGTTCTTCGTATACGGCTGCCCGTCCAGAGTGGCGCTCTGTATATAGATATTTTGGTAGCTATCCCCATCAAAGTTGATGTTCCGGATCGTCGCGGTATTTCCTGTCAGCGGGTTCGTGATGTTGACCTCTCTGAAGAACGGTGGCGTGATCAGATACACGTCCTGTCCGCTAACGGGCCAAAGTCCCATCATGGTCAGCCCTATGAAACTGCCCATCGCACCGCTGTCATCGTTTCCGGGAATGCCGTTGATGGACTCGTTGAATTGGCTGGGGATGTAAAAATGCCGGTAATATGACGATAATCCCGGTCGACCCCCGTAATGGAACAAGTACGTGGGCAGAAAAGCCTGTTCGTCACCGATGTAATTCAGACCTGGGGTGTCGAGGAAATACTGCAGCCTCGAGGTGAACATTTCGGGTCCGCCGAGCGTCGTGACCAAGGTAGCCATGTCCTGAGGCACATAAAATGTGTACAGCCACGAGCTGCCTTCGTAAGTCTCGTGTCCGTTAGCACTGGTGAAACATTAGTATAGGTCCATCCCAAGTGTAATTTCGCGCCTAGAACGAAGCATACTTCAGGTAGCATGAAGTGAAATTGAATAGCAGAGAGCAGAGAGAGGGATCCTGAAAGCCAAATGTACCATTCAGATACTTTGGCATCAAAAACCCAGTGAATCCGCTTTCAACAAGAGGACCGTCGTCCTGTGAAACATTGAGGAAGGATGTTTGGTCCTCTTTGAAGAGGTTTGCCCAGTAGCCCGATCTCTCAATATACTTCTCGACATCGGCAGTCTTGTTGAGGCCCTTTGCCATCAGAGCAATGACAAAGTCGTTGTATGCGTACTCCACTGTCCGAGATATTGACCTCGTGAACGGTCCAACACCGTAAGGATCGAAGTCATCGGCGGGTATATAGTTCAGGCTCTTCCAGCTTGCGAGACCTCCGCGACCCTCGACTGACCATTTAGGCGGCTCAACTGCAGATTTTAGTCAGATGGTCAGATATGTTTGAATCATAAGAGGGCCTCACCTTCAGCATCTTTCACAACAGCTTCGTATCCTACTTCCCAGTCAATCCCGTTGGTCAGGCCTTTTACGAAGGTGTCTGCAAGCACAACATCTGCGTTGGAACCGCCTTGCGTGAAACCTTTACATAGATCCATGCGACAATCTGGCAAGTAGCCTTCAAAACGGTATATGTCGATCAAACTCCGTACCATGAGAGTCTGACTAAGAGGATCAAGTAAAGTTATCAGAGGATGGATGCTACGGTATGAGTCCCAGATACAATAGAAAGAGTCGTAGTCTGCAGCGTCAAGGGTTAATTTAGTGGGCTTGGGTTACCGGGGGGAATAAGACCTTACATGGCTCTGAGCTCTCCCAAAGTGGGTTCTCGTCAGTCACGTCCTGCGGCGAAATCATACTTCGGTACAAGCCTGACCAGAACGTCGTCAAGAACGTGCTGTTGACACCAGTCGGGTCCACAGAAACAACCCCTAATTTCGTTCTCCAAGCGGCCTCCGCAGCGGCTCTCGTGCCATCAAAGTCAAAGTCCCCAGGAATCTCTGCCTCGGCGTTCTGGCATGCCTTATCTACACTCAAGTAGCTCAGCCCGACTCTCACCCGGATTTGATCGCTGTCGTCGGGTGGGTGGAATTGTACCCAAGCGCCTCCAGGTATTGGACTGGTGGAGCCTGTGCCGTATGTAAGTAGAGATTTTGGTTCCCGGCCGGGCCGATTGTTCTGGAAAATCCCAGTATCACGGATCAATGCGCCTTTGAAATCCGCACAGAAGTGCAGGTCGAAACTCCCGTCGCCAAATGAGGGGCCGAAGGTGCCCGTGCCAGCTATCCTGCCCGTGTCAGGGTCGACACTTATACTGCCATTGCTGCGGCTATCAGACAAATCTGTCAGGTCGACTAGAATTAGAGGGCTGTACGGCAGGGCGGGTGCTGAGGTATTCGAGGACGGTCCTGGAAAGGTAATGCGGTACAAGGCCGTATGGTTTGTAACTGTCATCTCCGTGAATATGGACGTGTTCAACGAAAGTGCGAAATAGCCTGGACTAGCCCGCACTGTATCGTTGACACGTTTAGAAGCTCGCAGCGCCTTCGGAAAGTCGCATTGGTAAATATCGTCATTGGGACAGCCGGTCTGGGGGAAGATTGGGAAGTTGCCCTTCTCTTGCCCCTAAAAATATGCGATGAGAAACATTAGTCAATTACTCTGGGTGATATCTTGGACAATTGATATGAGGGACTGTTGAAACTTCTTACTCCCCCAGTCCCACTGTCGTGCATGTGTGAAAATCCGGTGACTAGACACTTGCTTGTCAGTCACAATACTTCGGTCAGGAGAGCACGTTGGACTCATACTCTCGCCGTCATCAGACGCGTAACCTCCTTGTCGCTCATCGCTGTTCACGTCTGCGACCGCTTTGGCCATGCCGAATGGCAAAGTGGCCCCGGGGAAGACGTGGCCCCCATTGATGGTGCCAATGAGGGGGTCTACAAATTGAAGAATGTCGTCCTGGGCGAACACCGGAGCTATTCCATGGGCAATGGCCTGGGCCACGAGCAGCAGTAGAGAACGACGTCCTGCCATCTCGCATCAGGGTGAATGTAGAATCTCGAATGGCTCTCACATGCCCGTGACGAGAAGGGAGCGAAATACCCTTCTTATTGACCTTGAACCAAACCTTAAGATGCAGCAGTTCATCCCATTCCAGCAGCGAAGATCACTGCGGAAAGTAACTGCGGGCCTTATGCACTCCAACGTTGCACTCTCGGATGCTTGCTTCGTTGCGGGGTCACTTGGTAATTTCGGCGATGATGCAAAGCATCCCTCATACCTCAAGAAGCTCGTTATGGGTGGGGAAGTCTACCTGGGTCAAACAGGCTTGGTCCTGTTTTCTGAATATGTCGAGGCTTCATGCTGAATGCAACGCCTAGTATACATTCGGTATCGCTACTTGCCTAGACGGTGCATGTGTTGGGGTATCAGATCCTCACATTGTCAGCACTGTCAACAATGAACGGACATTTTCGGGCTATCAAGAGCCGGCTTTGCACCGAGGTTTTACAAGCCTCGAGTTCCTTTATCCGCAAAAATATCTCCAAAAATGAGACATGGAACAACCTTGCAATTTAGTTTGATAGTCTGATGGTACCTTGCATTCGAGCTAACTGGGGAGAAGTCCAAGCTCAATTTTCAGTCACGATAACACCTTGATAGCAGACCTGTGAGTAGCAGCTTGAGCCCTGGAATGTTTTCTTGATCGTTTGACTCGGACCTTAGGGATCTCAATCTGAAGGAGCCCATAAACCAAGTAACCTTAGACCGTTTTCAAGGACCTGACGTGCCGCATCAAGCACAGCAGCTTGCGAAGTCGATATGCTGTCCTCATCCTCGAGATTGATCAAACTTTCTGAAACCTGACCGGATACTGACGCAAGGAACGAAACAATCAGAGAAGGCTCAAGGGATTTGTGGGACGATGCGATCACATCTGGGAACTGGGCCAGAGTGCGAAGCAGGTCTGAGAATGTCTCGTCTTGGATTGAAGCCAGGTCACCATCCGTGAGATCCGCCGCATCCGGAATGTCCTGTCTCTCTGTCAACCCTTTCACTTTCGCGAGGGTAAACAGGAGCTCTGGGCCTGTCGCATGTGTGAAGGATACGCTCTGTTCAAAATCGAACACGTGGTCCGTGGCTCTCTTTGCTCGAAGACCGTCTAGTCGCAGGCCTGCAGCACCCAAAGACTCTGTAGTATGCCCAGATCCCTCCAGAAAGGATATTTTGTCAGCATCAACCAAAAGTGCCTTGTCCATTGTCCGTTTGCTTTGGACTAAGATGCCATCCAGAACGTCACCCCGGTCAGTGTCTTCCGGAACCTGCGAATTCTTACTGAAGTGCACGTGCTGTAGCTTGCGTGAGAGATCGGTCATGCCCATCAAGTCCAGAATCTTGGCGACACGTTGGAAGTGTAGGTCATGGTCAGAGGCAACAACATAAAGCATCTTGTCGAACTGATACTTTTCGTGTCTCTCAACCACAGCTGCGATGTCCCGCAAGAGATACGTGTGGCTGCCGGTGCGATCGCGGATGATAGCAGCGCCGCCCTTTTCCCCATGTTTCTTCATGTTGATCAACCAGCTGCCCTCCTGCTCCTCAAGCAAGCCTTTTGCCTTCAGAGTCTGTTCAATCTCGTTCATGGTGCTCACTGGTACCTGTGATTCTCCCGAGTACTCATCGAAGGTAACATTGAGGCGAGAGTATAGAGCCTTGTAATGTTCGATACTGACGTCCCTGAACCTCTTGCAAAGGTCAACAGCTCGTGGATCTCCATCCTCCATCCGCGTGAAGAACTCATTTCTCTTGGCAAAGAGCCCTTGGGACTCAATCACAGCTGTGTCCTCACCATTGACCTCATCGGCTCCCTTCAAGCTCTTGTCCCTGACTTCCTTAGCGTGCCTCTGCTCTGGCGCGAATCGTTTTTCAACTTCATTATATATTTCAAGCAGATGCCCAATGGGATCTTGGGCGAACTTCTCCTCACTGCCAAGACCCAAATCTTCCCAACCAACGCCAACCAGAGCAGTCTTCTTGCTCCAGTCGCCAAGATAGTTGATGCTATACACGTCCCAACCCATAGCATGGTGGAGCTGGGCGAGGTGAGAACCGAGGACGGTGCTTCGAAGGTGCTTTCCGTAGAACTTGTCACCGATGTTGGGTGAAGAGAACTCGATAACGAGACTCTTCCTCCCCGACTCGGTATCCCCCGGGTTTCTCAGACCTGACGATAGGTCAAAGCCGTATGATTCATTTCGATCGCGTATGTACGGGAGCAGTAATCGCGCGAGTGAGCGAATGTCAAATTGCATCCGCAGGTGGACACCATCGACAAATGGCAGCATGAAGAGGGGGCAGCGTGGGAACTGTACATAATTTGTTGTCAGTCACGCGTACATGGTGAGCATGCCTTTCGTTTCCAACGGACCTTGTGCGTAATCTGTGCGCCATATTCTTCAGGATCGGCCCCTCGGCTCAGCTTGGGTAGAATTACAACCAAGTCGCCGTTCAATACGTTATTTGGCCAGTGAATCGCATTGTAAGCGGCATCTAGCTCGACTTCTGCCACTGATTCAACAATTTTAGCCAAGTATGTTCGAGCGATGTCGAGGGGCTTTTCAAGAGGGCTTGTGGACTCGAAAGCTGGAAGTGGGTCCAAATGCAGATTGCCGAGTGCAGCCTCGAGCCCATTAAGTGTCAGTGTTGCCATTTCTTCAATTTTGTTCTGAATGTCGTTGTAGGTGCAGAGGAAGGGCCAAAAAGGGAAGAGCGTAGAAATGTGGGAAACATCTTTAATGGATCTTTATCATGTACCTAGCCCAATGCTCCCACTTTGACGAGCGCACTCAACTTCCTAGAGTGTGGACCGGTGAACATCTTGGTGCTTGGTGATCCGCCAATTGTTTAATGACAAGAATCTCGCGTCGAGCAACCACAAGTAAGCACGAATTCTTGGGCTGCGTTAGGCATGCATCCCGCGCTGCTGCAGATGAATGCACCAATGATGGCCCTAGTGGCTTGAATGATGTCCAACAGAATCGCAGCACAGAGCCTCATTTTCAAGCGACGGGGTATGGACGCCTCATTACGACGTAGCTCAACTTCTTGCCAGCAAAATTCCATTTTGATGATTAGGTTGTATTCTCTTGACCGAACCATGTATTCTGATTGTGGTAGCAATGATCTAATGGGAGGTCCACAGCAATCAGTGAAATTCACCACAATTGATAGCCCCTCCAAAGTTCGTCCAATAAGAGTTTGGCTCCAAGGAAAGAGTGTGCTGTTCAATCAAGTTAGGCCCTGATATATGGAAGGTCTAATCGCTGAAGTTTGCCTTGATCCAAATTTGAACTCCTTGTTATGGCATCTGTCGTTAGGCTCTAAGGAGATTCATCCGAGAAATCGAAGGTGCAGGTATTAAGAAATGTCAGCGTAGTAGCCCCGGGTTGGGCGGAGTCCTCGGTATGTAAGAGTGTCCTACCGATGGCAGCATGGGTGACATCTTCTCTGGGGACCAACCACTTTGAAAGTAATTGACTTGCACAATATTGACTGAAATTGCAGGTCTAATGAAATGTTGCAAACATTTCGGCCGAAGGACTTCTTGACCAAGAGATGTGTCGCCGAGGACAACAGACTGGCTAAGTAATCAGTAGCGTCAATGGGTTGTGAATCCCTGACGGCCCTCTTCCGCTACTCCCCCCATCATCTACTCATATCAACTAATCTACATCCCCTGGAGAGTTCATTTGAATGTAACAGGTGAATCTAAGATTTCAGTCTCCTGTGTGGAGTTAGGCCCTAGTCAATGCGCTCACTTGCCTAAGTGGATTCGGTGTAATTGATTGCCATTCTGATATCGATTTATGCAATGACGACAGGATGGCCGGTTTCAAAACCAATACTCGAGTTTGCCCGTAATATGTACAATCTAGAGGAAAACAACTTGTGTCCCCTATCTTTCACCGGTCTTCATCACCAAATGAACCCTTCAAGGCTCCCAGGTCTGTGGTGGTCTGACCGTCTTCCATGTCCCAGTCGCTCAGTCTCAAAGATTTATTCTCAGGCTGAGATGGTTGTCGAAAGTTACCGAGCCCCAGTATGGTTCCATACCCGCATTTCCAACGTTGACATAAGTATCGGTGCCAAAGATACCTTGCTCAGACATCGCCAGCAACCAGTCCTTGATGTCGCCAGTGAAGTTGCCCTGATACATATTATCCTCCGGTACGAGCAAAGACGAGACAGTAATTCCTGTGTCTGTATTCTTTCCTTGATAGAGTTTCCACCCGTCCTTTCCAAAAAGACTGATCGTTGCGACGGCGCCCTCAGCCCACCCGATTGGGACCTGCCCGCCTTCATATTGAAGCCACAGCATGAGTTCTTGAGCGTTGCTTGAGGTTGAGTCTCCTTTAGTGTCGGACGTCATGAAATCGTATACAACATTCCCTAGGAAGTATGGTTAACACAATGCTTGAATACAATGTACCTCAGGATGCTGTTGAGACCAACCTTTATATGCGGTCGTGTTGCTAATGGTCCATTCATAGGTGCTTGGGATGGACGCTATAGCACTAAGCTGAGTTTCAAGGTTCTGTGTTAATCCGATGAAGGAATAACCCTTGACAACGTTCGTCGAAACAGCTTCGTCAATGTCCCAGATGCTGGACCAGTGGATTGTCTGGTCGTTGCCGGACCCAGTGAAATCATAATACCCCGTACAACATGACCCAGAAATATCCTGGTAATTGTAGTTCATCGAATACACAATCCAAGGTGTACCTGAGAGGACCTCGTAGTCATTCGGAGCACCACAGAACTTAGTAGGTGTAGCAGATGAAGCTCGCTCCACAGCGATTGCGGCTGTACTTGCCACAGCTGTGGCTGCGATAAAGAGCGCAGCGAGGGAACGGAATGCCATTTTGTTGAAGAAAGACTGTGAAGTGTTCAAACGAGTGAAATAATGCAGAAACGATGCGAATGTGGAATTCCGATGCCCGACCAAGTCAGAATCAAGAGTGCAGCGATTTTCTATAGATTCATGGAGGCGTGCGGCTGCATTCTTTATTTCCAGTCTTCATTTAGATGACATACTTTTCGGTGCTGTCATTGGTGGGCCTTGTTTCCACCCCCAAGAAAGGAGCTGTTGCAATTAGAATTGCCCTACCCGACGTTTCATTTGACTGAAACAGTAGCGGGAGACTCCTTTTCAACATCACCCAATCTCAATCAAAACCCGAGGTTCCAGACTCCTGCGGAGGGTTCGTTTGTTTATTGCCCCGGAAAATTTGTGGCGCATCATTTCATGACGTGAGTAGTATTCAACTACCCTCAACCCAGGCATTTCCTGACTGTCTTCACGCCAAATTCATGAAACCCGATACCACGAACTCGACCCCGGGATCTACGAGGGCTCTATGAGTTCTCAAAAAACTGATTTTTCGGCCGTGGAAGACCAAGATGTTCGCGCAGCGTCGTCCCTTCATAGTCTTTCCGGAAGATGCCACGGCGTTGAAGTTCTGGGACTAACCGCTCGACGACGTCGTCGAGACCTTGGGGCAGGAAAGGGAACGTGACGGTAAATCCATCAGCTCCATCGTCTGCCAGCCACTGCCCCATATCGTCCGCAATGCTTTCCGGAGTTCCTACGAAAGCTAGTCCAGCATACCCCCCAAACCGCTGAGCGAGCTGTCTGACAGTCAGCCCCTCGTCGTTGGCAAGCTTAAGCGCGCCTTCCCGTGCTGTCTTGCTCGCATTGGTCTCCGGCAGATCCTTCGGTAGCGGGCCGTCTGGATCGAATGCCGATGCATCAGTCCCCAGCATGATGGACAGGGATGCTATGGCACTGTCGTAGTGCACCAAACTGTCCAGCTTGAGTCGTTTCTCTTTGGCCTCCTCGATCGTGTCGCCAATGATTACCATGGCGGCTGGGAGAATCTTGATGTGCTCGCGATTTCTGCCAGATGCTGCTGCTCGACTTTTGATGTCTGCATACAAGGCCTTGGCAGATTCCAGGTCTCTCGGGGAGCAGAACACAACTTCCGCCGTCTCTCCTGCAAGCTGCCTCCCTGGGTCGGACTGTCCAGCTTGAACTATAACAGGCCAGCCTTGAACCGGGCGAGCGATGTTCAACGGCCCACGGACGCTCAAGTCGTCTCCCTTGTGGTTGAGAGTGTGTATCTTCTCGGGGTCGACGTAAGTGCCGCTCTCCCTGTCGCGAACAAAGGCATCGTCGGCGAAGCTATCCCACAACCCCGTCACCACATCGTAGAACTCTCGCGCCCGCTTGTAACGGTCACCATGCTGCATATGCTCGTCTTGTCCGAAGTTCTTGGATGACTCGGGGTTGCCAGTTGTAACAATATTCCATGCTGCTCGGCCGTTGCTGAGGTGATCCAATGACGCGAAACGACGGGCGATGTGGTATGGCTCATCGTATGTGGTAGAAGCCGTCGCCGCAAGCCCAATCTTCTCTGTTACTACTGACAAAGCAGAGAGAAGCGTGAAAGGCTCAAAGGATGTCACAGTATGACTGCGTTTAAGAGCTTCGACAGGCATATTTAACACAGCGAGGTGGTCAGCCATGAAGAATGCATCGAACTTTGCAGCCTCAAGCTTTGTTATAAAGGACTTCAGGTGTGCAAGGTTAAAGTTGGCATCAGGATAAGCCCCAGGGTATCGCCATGCTCCAGTGTGGAGACTCACTGGACGCATGAAAGCTGTGAGGTGTAGTTTCTTTGACTCAGACATTTCAAAAGTGTTTTTTCACGAGGCGTTAAGATCACGGATTTTGGAGAAGATGATGGGTCAAACTCAAGTCTATTTGGCGTCGAGTGTGATCTTTTGAAAGTTTCAGTGGTCGGTTGGCTCGGGTGTAGCAGTATCGGGGTGATGACAAATGGATTGCACCATCGCGATGGCGACATCGATGCATATGGGAGGGGGCATGCAAACATCGACTAATCAAACTGACAACAACTCGCAGTTGTATTGGAACACCACTTGCGGATTACGCACGGCATTGGTAAGCAGGTATTTTATTCCGGTCCTTCCTGAGTCGCATATTAGGCTGACGGCCTTATTCAAGAAGAAAAGACAGACAGAACTGATGTGAAATGTTTCGGCAATGAAAGAAAGAAAGCATTGCAGAAGGGGAACCCGGCATATGCCTAACTACGCAGGTACGTTCGTACCTAAATTTTCAAGACCCAAACTCTCCAGACTAGAACCTCCTTCCTATTCTACCTCACCTAAGTATCTACGCAATTGTGTGGCATAAGCTCCAGGCCACAAGTTCTGATGCCCCTGCATCATCTCCACGTGGACGAATCTTTTCAAGCGCAAGTCTTGGCAGGCTGTAGGATGACTTTCTTATTATACATATGTGATATGTATCCGGCCTTCAAAATCAGCCTCCAAAAATTCTTTTTCCACCTCCAGAAGGAAATCGCGAGATAAGCGACCCAACTCAAAAATCACGGAACCGGTCAACAGAGCAGAGTCTTACCACTGCGGGATAACTATGTCACAGTACTGCCGAGTCAAGAACAGCCAAACCGCAACCGTCAATTGGCTCTTCGGGGAGCCGTCGTGTTGGACGGGTATTTCATGTTCGAACGATTCCAAAGGTTGATGTTATGAAGCGCAGCCTCATGGCGGGACCTGCTCGCCCCTGGTGTTCTTCTCGCTGTGTATCGTTCGCATACTACTATCAGGACTATTTATGAATGAGACCCCTCAGCGGACCTGTCTTTGCCGATGGGTAGCCATTGATGTTTTTGAGCTTGGGTAATTACTAGTGCAGTGACTCTAGAAATCTCTCGTTCACTTGGCTTGCAACATTTCGAGCAGCCACGTTGAAAATCAGGGTTGCCAGCCCACTGTCAACGCCAGCAGCATCCTCGTTAAAGGTTCCTATGATCGTCTATGACATTTCATGCTCCAAACGTATGGTACTCAATCCAAATCAAATGAGAGGGACCCATTGTGTGTTTTCAAGTCGGGCTAAAAGTAGAATGATTAATGCTACATGCTGCTAATACAGAATGCCACCATGAATGCGACGAGTTTATGGAAGCTCCATCGCAAGCACCTTCCGACTGGATGACCATCGGACTATCGCGAATAATTAGTGAGATCAAGAATAAAAAAAAAGAAGGAAGCAATATCAACAACAACTTGCTGTCTTGCGCGGGGAAACCAAGATAACGATGTAGGTAAGCGATGAAACCCTGTGCGATGTGAGTTATCTATGTAACCTGCCGTGTGATACCTTCCGTCGGTACGTCAACTCTGCCCATACCCCACTTGTGGGATAACCTCCTATAAAAATATGACCTTCTATAGGGTAGCCTTCTATACCTCCGCAGGCATCCCAAATGTTGATTTTCGTTGTAACGCTTCCTATTGGTGAGCTTAGACCAGCAAAGTCACACTTTGCCCTATTTGCTGGTAAAAGCGACTTCGGTTGGACAAATCAAAAATGAATATCTGGAATGCCTGCGCAGGTGTATAGGATGACATGTAGAACAACTTTCTATCGATAACTTGTGGGGTGATCTTCTGTGATAACCTATCAAGTGGGATAATCTACTAGGAGATAGCTGCTGTGTGATAATCTGCCGCTGCCGTGGAGTGACACCTTTTAAGACTTGTAGTGGCCGGTATAGCTCAGTAACATATTATTTCCATGAACAGTGTTCTACTATTGTCGCTGCTCTATCCAAATGAACACTCTTTTTGGTAGCAATTGACACATAGGAACGAGTACGTGGACCGTGCTCATCGACGTGTGGAGGGCCAGCTTGAACTGGCCCGTGTTTGTTACCATGCGCATCTCACCGGGGCCTGGATTGTCAGCAAGTAAATGCGTCACAGGACCCACGATATTCTTACGATAAGTGTATGCAGATGCATTTCTTCTAGAGAAGGCGTACAGAACCCCGGTCGATGCCAATGGCAAGGAAACACCGCCCTGACTCTCTGAACGGGCAAAGGTTTCAGGGGGCAGTCAATTTCAAGGATGCCCATTAAACACACTCAGCTCCTGAGTCAAGTCGAGAGGCCCTCACTGTTTTATGGCTTTATGGTCTCTCCCTTCAGAACGCGTGATTCGGACTCGCAACGGAGGTTAGCTTACGGCTTTTGACACAGTCGCCCGCAGAATTCGCTGTAGAATCGGGCAAAGACATCGACCAGACTCGGAGGCCTCGGAGTCGGCGTGCAGCTGAAGACCGCCCCTGGACCCACTCATTTACCCGGAATTGCCAAGTTCGACGGGGCGGCTCTGTAGACTACGGTACCTTTCTCGCCCTCTGATGATTTTTGTGCGGTCGTTGAGCCGGAGTGCATGTAGGCGCACTTTGTTTGAGTGAAGCACCGACTCGGTCCCAAACGCGATCGTGAATCTTTTATACGGATATTTGAAAACAACGGCCCCTTGATTCTGTAGACCATATACAGTCTCGTGACACTGATCCTGGCTAGTCGACCATTGAAACCCGTGATCGACGCGACTACAGCCTAGAACAATCAAATGCCAGCTCGGATCTCTGACTCGTGTTCGCTTAGCCGAGAATCCACTATCCGTGCTGGCTGTGTTGGGTTTTTGGTACGCCCGGGACCCGAACTTGACTACACGCTATCATGCTGTTCCTGGTTTTGCACCTCCAGAACACTATTTCCTCCCAATGACAACTTTCAGCAGAGCAACGGCTGGCTGAGCCGCGACCATAGTACGGCGGCATGACCACGACCACATCGGACTCGGACACTGTGTCTGGGTTTCATGGCGCCGGTCCTCTCACGACAGTCTTTACGACTCCAGACTTTTGCGCGGTGAGCCCCTAAAAGCGAGTTCGTGAAATGGAACCACATCCACTGACGTCACCCCTCAGAGTCTCTACTGGACTGACACTGTCACACCGCCGCTCTCGAGTCTAGTATGCATGCCGCCCAAGTTCCACTCCTTATACGACTATAGCTTCGGGTTCTACTCGCCGGGAATATGCCCTACCGGGTATTCAAAAGGCTGCGACTTCCCTGTGGATAGGGCGCGAACAGATGACCTTGGCGAGGTATACTATGGAGGAGCAGTGCTTAAAGGAGAGACCGTCAGAGTCTGCTGTCCGACGGGATACACTTGTCTCTTGAACGACCCTTATTCCTACAGCAAATGCGTACACACGACCGACGACTCGGAATTGGCATTCGCACTACAGGTCCGCTGGCAGGAGTCCGACCTCAGCATCCTTGCAACTGACCCAACCGTCCCTGGATCGACGTACTCTGCGCCAGCAACGGCCACCGCAACACCCGCAACAATAAAAAGCACAGCCAAGTCTGGAAGCAACATCGACGCGACCGCCACCCCTACCCCGTCGTCTTCTTCCAGCACTACTGTCACGCAGAATGAGAATCCCGGCTCGACAACTCAAGGTGGATTGTCGAGCGGTAGTACCATCGCCATAGCCCTTGGCGTGGGAGGGATGGTCTTTGCTTTCGCTATCAGCGCGTTGATATTCTTCATTTGGAGGCAGCGCAGGAAGAGACGCGAGAACGAGGGCACCCGTATCGAGTCTACGGTATTTGGTGATGGCGATTCTAAGTCTTCGCCTGATGGGTTCGCGCCGGATAGGAAGGCCGAACTAGACTCGAGAGCGTTGGCAAGCTCGACCGCCCTGAGTGAAGCACAGGCAGAAAGAGACGCTGTAGAAATGCCGCCACTACACATTGCAGCAACAGAAATGGAGGTGCCGCATTTTGTAGCAGAGCTTCCTGGGAGCATGCCGGCTGGGCACGATAACGCCAAGAATGGCGAGCAGATATCAGCGAAAAATGGCCCTAGATCACCCCTACCGACTGCGGAAACATCGCAAAGAGAATCAGGAGCATTAGGCAATCCTGGAAATTGGAAACGGCGGTCTGTAGCGAGGGGGCAGTCTCAGCTGAGGCCTTCCTCTCGTTCCTCGACGTCAACGTCTACTACGACAACGACAACAACGACAGAGGACAGACAGCAAAACTCAACGTGATACGGTAGCACGTGCAATAATACTACGCATGATACAAGTACAAATAATGAGCATAAACAATCGATACCCAAACTATCTCGCAGACGAAAAGCACACATTGAATTGGGTATATTAGGGCGCGAATTTCTGCACACGAAACATAAGGCTGGCTTCCCGCAAAGTCTACCAATGAAGCCTCATTAACCGATATTATATTTTAAGTCCACCACTTAATGGTGACGTCTCTTGAGCTGAGAAGGCGAGCCTGGAGTGGCTTTGCTCGCAGCGATAATCTTCTCGACTGCGGCCTCAGCCACAACCATAGTGATGGCTTGCGTATTCCCCGTTGGAAGATCAGCGTGGATGCTGGAATCAACAACGTAAAGGTTGTCAGTACCCCACACCTTGACGTTTGTATCCACCACAGAGGTCTTTGGGTCAGTTCCGATGTTCGCCGTGCCAACGTAATGGTCACCTTGAGTATAGGCGGACAGGATGGAAGAGGCGTTGGTGGTCCCTTGAGTGAGCTCCCAGCCGTAAGATGAGACGCTCTCGATCAGCTCGTCCACGAACATCTTCGCAGCTTCTTGGTCACCCTGAGTCTGGAGGTAAGGCATCTGGGTGTAACCGACTGTGCCGTTGGCGTAGATACCCATTTTGCCAGAAGATGTAGCACCGTGTGTCAGATAAGCCTTGATCAGGAAGAGACCTGGGCCCTGAGGGCTCACGCTACCCTGGTAATAGCGGGTGATGTTGTCAGAGGCCACATTTGACGTCCAGAAAATCATTCGGTGATAGCCCTGGGATAGAACGCCTGAGCCCTCCTGTGTATACAATTCAATGTCATTGAGGTTGGTGCCGTCCACGACAGTAGAAGTGTTGAATGACGTCCAGTTGTCAGGCGTCTGAACGTAGACGCTGAAGATCGGGTGGTCTTTTATAGCTTGGCCAACAGGGAGGTCAATCCAGTCCTCCTTAGGCGGCACAGTTATGCCAGTGGTACCATCGGCAACAGTCTGGATCTGTTCCGCCGGGCCAATACCTGAGTTGAATAGGATGCGAGGTGTTCCCCAGGGGCCAGCTGCCAGGACGACCTTGCCGTCAGCAGCAAGGCTTACAGTTTCGAGGCCCGATTCTGTCTCCACTTCGACACCAGTGATACGTCCCCCGTTACGGACAACGCGGCGGACAGTAGAGTTCAGACGGTAGGAAAAGTTTTCAAGCTTTTCGGCCAAGGGCAGATACGTCCTCAAGGGACCAACACGCTCAGGCAGACCCTCAGAGACGCCGATATCCCAATTGGGATAGCTGTACACCTTGGTCTTCTTGTTGGGTTCCTCGGTCTGATTAACCTCAGACCAGCCTTGAGCATCCAAAAACTTCGATACAGTCTCGAACATGCCTTGATCATATCGTTTCCCGTCCATGCTTGGGAGCATGGTTCCAGGGTTGAGGTCCCATACGCGGTCAGCGGCGGCTGATATGTCGTCCCATTTCCACTCCGCGGGCCATTTGTCGTCAAAGTCATGCTCAGGAGGGTGAGGGAAGACCATGTAGTTGATAGAAGCACCACCTCCGAAAACGCAGGCTGCGAAGGCATCGACATCCGAGCAGAGGTAGGCTTGGAAGAGCGGCTGGTCGCCCACATTGTATGAAGTGACAGCAGTCGAGAGACCAGGGACATCAATAGGCGACAAACTGTTGTTGAAGCCCACTGTGCCTACGGCCCCGGTCCCGACGGTCGGGCCTTGACCGCGGGAGAGGAGAAGCACGCTCTTGCTGGAGGACTGAGCAAGACGGGTCGCGGCGATGATACCAGATGGGCCACCACCAACGACAATGTCTTCAACTTGTTAGCTATGGAGTACGAAGCTTGAGAGTTTGTTTTGAGGAATTTCTGAAGGGTATAATAGGAACCCGGGGGAGTAAACTTGTACATACAATCGTATGTGCCATTACCGATAGAGGAGGCAGTAGCCCGAGACTTAGTGCAAGTTGCCGCAACGCTTGAGAAGGCGGCAGAAACTGCCAGGGTACTTGTAAATGAAGCCCACATATTGATATGTTGTGCGTTGGGTGGACTAATCGCATGTAGAGCACTACATGACAGATATCAGGACAGGAAATCTCCGATGTTTTATACAACATGCAGACGCGCCTCGGAATTTGCGAGAACACTGACTGATCACTGTCCGATCGAAAAGATTATCAGATTTGTGATGGATCCATTATCCTGACAAATCCCAGAAAGATGTCCACTCCACCGGCCCTTTTCCAGTTTGTCCAGAGATCCCAGCTTCAAGTTTGTGGCAGTGGAGCTGTTGGCTCAAGCAGGCCCGCCGCTTCGAGGGCTGTCAGTATCGGCCTACCTGCCAGCCTGCGTCGGTCCTAACGGTTGCGTGCACCAGATCGACTCCCTAGATATCCTCGGTCTGATAATCCATCGGACTTCCATTCCCAAACACTTTGGTCGGTGAAAGTATTGTATGTCCAATGGAAACAAAATCGATCTAACTGGTCTGGTCAGGCACAAGCGCCCATTAAACTTTCACGAGAGAGCATTGGTGAATAGTATCCTGTTCCAGAGTGGGCCTATGTGGGTCCTAACCACCTCGTCGGATGCTGCATTTCTTTCCTTGGCGAGGATGGCCACGATGGCTCAGCGAAGTCACGGAATTGTGGATGAATAATTAATATCGAAGCAGGAACAGAGACTGATAGAAGATGGGCATGCTCTCCGACAGCCACTGATGCTGTTGAGAATCACTTGTTCCCTGGCATATATCGAACCAAGTTCTTGTATTCAAGGTCATTGCTTGCCCGTGGGCTGGGGGAAAACGTCATGCCCAGACCAGTGTTCAATTGCTTTGGGAATTAAAGCTGATTCATTGTATGTCCAGCCAGCAAGTCTTCGGGCCCACATCGGCGTTGAGGATCGGCATTGCCTAGGTAATACCGGCAGACCTACCCATGCTGCATAGAAGGCGTGAAAAAAGCTAGATAAACTTGGGACAAGCTCAGATGCAGACTTTGTGGTGGCGGTAAATGCCAAACTCTCCTTCTCCACAAACCACCCCAGCGAGTAGATGGACGTTGCGAATAGAATGCATCACGATGGCCCTGACTATATTATGGCGAATATCAGTCGGTCCGTCTTTTGACTCACTCGAATCGAGAGGGAGAAGCCGCAGCAACATCATTTGCAGGCCGTTCCGTCCGAGTCACCGATCTCGGGACCATCGCCTCTTCGTGCAATTTCGGCGCCTAAACACTTACCCACTTCCTTATTAAAGTTGGCTACTTTCATGAGCATCGAAGTTTCTGTGGGGAATCACGACCCACACTCACTGGGATGCCCACGTGCTAAATGGGCCAGAATCGGCTGCAGTTCGGATCTGATAAAAGTCGCGATGAGGAGCAGGAGGGGCAGTGCACTAGACCATGGTCAACCATGACACAGGTGTAATCAAGGCATACCTTGGTCCTTGGTCCTTGGGGATACAGTTGAGATCTGGACTATCCCACCACACTTCATCGATGATATCCTCTCCCTACCGAATTCCATTCCCAACAGCGGGACCCATAGGATAATAAAAACAACTTCTTTGTCATCCCGTCTTGAAAATCTGTCTCACTCAGTGGTGAATACCATGCTGATTGTGCCACGGTGCCCGGCAGTGTCGGTCACAGTCTCGATGGAAACATGGTATATACTTGAGAGTGGCGAGGTAGTCGGGGTTGTGAAAGCTGTCAGATTCCTACAATGGCCAGGGTTGATTCGGTTGATGCTTGACCGCTTCTTCAGCCCCGTGGAGCCACTTGGACAAGCAGCCAAAGTTACCCTTTCTGAAAACCGAGTGTCTGCTGAGTCCTGTAGTCTCATTGATCCCGCGCTGCTCAGTCAAGGTTGGTTCATCTCAAGCTTTAGTGGCCTGACTTAGATTACATCCATGAGTGACATATTGGAATTTAATCACGCCCAAAGCTTTAAGCTTACAGCAGAATAATATGTCTCATTGCATGTAAGTCTACGGGCCTAGAATGGGTCGATCTTAAAATTGCGAGCATATCGATTAATGTGGTGAATGCAATTCGTGGTTTCGCCCAATGAGCAGGAAATATTTTCTAAGGGTTGCACGTTTTGGAGTCTATAAAATCAATTCATTTGCGCCAAGACTAGGTTATTGTAATATCCTCCATATCTGATTCCAAGGGCAGACTTAACAGCTCCTTATTCTCCTTTGCCTTGGGCAGAAAACAATCTCCACTGATCAGACGCCACAGACCGTGTCCCACAGACCGCAGCAGTACAGGCGCGAACGCGCCTCTGATTACGTATATGGCATCACCAATAGCAGTCTGGGGCGGCGCGACTCCAACATTACCTCTGGTGTCTATGAAAAGGACACAGTCATCGAAGGCATCAATCCAGCCGGTCTTCATTTCCCATAATTCTTTTGCCGGACAACCCTAAAATGGCATTAGCAGATCTCGGAAAGATTAGGTGCTCCCTGTTATCTTCAGGAAAGGTTCATAGCTGAACTAACTTGATCCAGGTTATGATTGTTGGCAATAATGTACTTTAAAAGATCACTATGGTTCTGAGAGTGTCCGTCACTACGTGACAGTAGCTGTAGCACGGCTTCCGGGTCATCGTTGCGATTTCGAATGGCTGTGCGCATAAGTCACAGGTACTCAATGTATGGACGGAGTGATTTCATACCTTCGATAATACTCTGCGGGTATGCTCCTGTTTTGACGTCGCCATAAGTCTGGAATAAGAGACCTCTCAGATGAATGACCCACTCGGGAAAGTTATCGACAGAGATTTTTGGGCCGATGACTAGAATGCGAGAGAACTCGCGGCCTTTTGCTTGCAAGTGCGGACCGTAGTTCGGGATCCCAGGATCCGGAGCTCGTTGCTGGCTGAGGCTATACGCCCCAACCTGTAGCTGCATTTTCGTCTTGTATCTCTTATCTCTACCGGAACCGTATGGATCAAACGTAGACTTAATTCCGCCGATGGGCTGGTTCTGAGACCAGTCTGGAACCCACGAAGGCATTGGCCTTTGATGCGGATGGCGGAGAGCCAAGAGCAACCATAAGTCGGTGTCCTCGTCAGATAGCAAGTAGGTTGCCACATTAGTGAAGACGGTTTCCACCGTTTGATGATAGTCTATCAAGCTGTCAAGCGTCTTGTCTTCTCGAGTTATCAAGCTTCGGAGGGCGAAAACCCGGTCTCGGGGATCTGTCGCCTGGCACCGCCGGCTTTGCATTAGTAGCACCCACAAGGATGAAAAACTACTGAACCCAGTTCCCGTCGTTCCGTACTCGATGGGCAGTGGTATAGCAGTGCTCGTCAGCCGACGTGATTCTTCGTAACCAAAAACGCATCTGTACAAAACGTCTATTGAAGCGTGGACCATGCCGCAAGTGAGGACAATTGCAGGCTTGGAAGCCAGGCAAGAGAAATAGGCTTCTTGAAGAACCCATATTCTCTGAAAGTAGGGCCGGTTGAACAGATCATTCATAGCATTAATGACAGCCTGGTCTGGTGCAGCACGGATGATTGGGGGGGATCGCCTACTATACGGATGTTCCCCTTCGAACGGCATCAGCTTGCGACGCGGCGCGCGTGTGGCGAGGGCAAGCTCTCGGAAGAGAATGCGGCTGGATGGTGTCTCCTCACCCAGATAGACCACGACCTTGTGCGACGCGGCGTACACACGGTCCATGAGACGGACCTGGGTGGTTTTTTCGTCCAGGTTAGATTGATCAATGCAGATAGCATCGATCCACAACAGCCGTCTAGAGACCCGATGGCGGAGACTGCGGAGGGCTCCGAAAAGGTTGCGCGTAGCCAGAAACTGCGTCGCCTCTTGACTACGCAAGAGAGAATGGTTTCTTCTGCTGAGATGAATGGGTACGGGATCCATTGGGTCGCCCCAAGTGTAGGAGAGCGCTTCGTAGGCAGGGAAACCCGGTGGCCGGTCAACACTTCTGTGGCTTTCGTCGGGGCTACCCGGCTTGATGTTAACCTTGCGTGGCTGATACTCCTCCGCAACCCCCCCATTCTCGGTTGACGGCACGATTTTTGGGGTGCCAGTTTCACGGAGTGGCGATCCCGGCTTTCGAGGGTGAGATTGGATGGTCGGTAAGACTGGGTTGTTTTTTAAGAAGTGGCACCGAATGGCACTCTGAGGGTCTAGGGCTGGATGGAGAATAAGCACCCTGATAGATTCGGGGTGCTGAAGAGCTTCATAGCGATAATGCTGCATTTTGGTGAGAGCATTGATGCTACATGCGTAGCTGGTTTCTTAGGCGAGTGATGCTTACGATCAACTCAGTAGGTTTATCTCACAAATTAGAATAGGACTGCGGGAGGTTATCACAGCCCCTCTGGTGGGTGGGGCGACTCACCCTGGGCGAACATGCAGGTGACAGCTCACACTCCAATAATGCCTGACTGATCTATATTATGCCTTTCTATCATGCCTTCACCCACCATGGGTATGATGTGTTGGACAATGGAAAAGATCATTCCTACAATAGCTGACTGCTACTTGCATTTTCGCCTTTCGAATCCGCGTTTTGACTTGAACGCGCCATCTTGCGATCGTGAGCAGGTACCACACAACGTGACAACGACAAGTACAATGCCGTTGATTCGTTCTATATCTGAGAGCCAGAGAGAGGGTGAACGAACCATTAGCTTGCAGGCTGCGCATCTCAGTGGACCAGCACAGGCTGTGATCAGACAAAGCGACTTTACACAAGCACCCTACTCTCAAACCAATCTAAGTTTTGGAAGAAGGCCAAGTATCAATTTCGATATCTTGAATCGATTTCTCAATTTTCTTATTAATTTTAATAATTTAGCCTTCTCATGTAAGGTGACAGTCTCCCGTGACAGTCTCAACAGTCTGACAGGTTGTTGTACAAATCTCACTTTATTCCATTTCCCTCCTCGATTCCGAGATATGCCCATTCCCTAATGTTACAATGTTGTTCCTCTCGAAATCGGGTTCGACAGGCCTATGGGTCGAAACTGCTCTTCGTCTCGTTCCTCGAGCCACGCGTTTGTCCGTACGGTCTCAGATTTTGCATCGGCACAGAAGTAGGCTCGTTGCCCTCGACCGCGAACGACCGGTGCACTTTGATGCCCTTCGTGGGAGATTCCGGAATAGGCGAGTTTTCTCGAAAAGCTCGTGCTACGGCAGGATTCATTCGCTGGGATACGAACATGCTGGCCCTGCTGAGACTGAGTCCTTGCCACCATTCGGTCCTGCCTTTCTTGACGGGCACGACCTCCTTTGACCCGATCGTTGCAACATGCCCGTCCTTTCCATTGCCGTAGCGGTAGTATCTTTGTCTTGACTGCTCTCCTCCGAAGACCCTCGGCGAAATCCGAGCCAGAATCTGTCGCATCGCCGGCATGCAAGCGCAGATGATGCCCACGTTCATCTCCGTGGTGGACCATAACATTATTTCAAAGTTGTCAAAGGTCGGGTTATCCGAATTTGCGAATGTCACCAGGGCTCGCAGACGTAGAATACTAACGATCGTCACGCTGGGGAGTTGGTCAGTTAGAGTGACGAGAATCGAAAATGCCGGACCCTTGACAGATGTGACTTACAATGTGCCGACGAAAAACATAAGGGCAACCCCTATTTTCTTCTTCCAATGCAGTTGCAATCCTTGCAGCTGCGACAGCGGTAATGCCAACATCCAGAAGTCCAATGCAATGCTGATTCCGGCATTTGCCCAGCCCACCGCGTTAACATTGATACAATGGCCCTGATGTTGGCCATCCCACCTGGTCCAGAAGAATGACATGGGCCGACACTGTAGCAGACCCACTAAAGCGAAGACCAGTCCATATAAAACGTCAAACACCACGGTAGCCCAGAGCAGACGCTTGAGTGTTGTGGAGGGAAATATGCGCAGGTAGAAAAGTAGCAGGCTCAGCTTCAGCGCAGCGAGGTCGAGGAAGTATTGCACTGCCATGAACAGAAACCATTTGCCAAATTCGTCAATTTGGTAGAAAGGCACATTCCATACATCTTTGCCAGAGCCGTTGGGAACGCTGCGTACACAAAGAACAATAGTCCCCGGCACGCCCAGACAGAGCGTTGCAAGTATGGCCCAGTCGTCGGCGTACAAGGTCATTCTGGAAATGAGCAATCTGAAGCCTAGCCTCAGCAACACTACAGAGGCCGAAATTACGCCTAGTGTGACCGTTAAGACGTATAACTCATGACTTCTGTCTTCAGGCGGGACACCGCATGAGACCTGGGTCTGGTTCTTCGTGACTGTGATGCACTATTAGATCTGCAACTTCGGTCTATTGTCCTGAAATAGGCTTACATAGAGCCTCCCTGGTAGTACAGCTTCGGAGTACACATGCTTCGACGGTATTCGAGTAGTTCTGATCGGCACAGAGGCATGTCGCATTCGTGATGGCGCACGGCGTCACAGAGAGCGAGTTCAGAAAACAGGGCGACTTAATAATGTCAGCTTGCCGAGCAATCGTACTAGGCTCATGCATCCTTCTTGAAGACTCACAGCACAACTCGGCAATGTCGCCAAGAGTTGGGCAGGTGACGATGCACCAGATTGCCCTTGGACCGAGCCCAGCTGGCCCAGAAGGACAAGGAGAAGAAATCGCCAGAGCATCATGATTCTCATGACAGGAATATCCTCACGGCTCAAGCAATCCCCTTGCGGATGCTGCCTTCGGCGACTAGGCAGTCATATGGGTATTATGACTTAGATGTTGATGGCATAGGTATCTTTGGTGAACGAGACGAACCCCCCCGGGACCGTGTGGGGCTACTGGGAGCTCATATACGGCGCTCTATCCCTCAAGGAGAATTCGCCCGACTTACCGAACACGGGGACACCTTTAGTTCTGCATTCACGGAGTTTCCGTCCCATTAAGGCAAGGGTGGCGTTGTTGATACTCGAATCAAACTGCCACTCGAAGGTTGTAGTGCATGCCATCCATGGCTTGGGATTTCCTCGGCTCCTCCTGGGCCGGGTTTGGCCTGAGGGAGTGGGAAAGATGGGTTGGAATAGAGTTTCTGTGGCGTTCACACTAGGATAAAATGCCCGTGCGGTTATTCATCCGATGTGCATAGGAGACGCCTACGCAGACACTGAACACCGGATGAAAGCGCTGCTTGCTCCGAGTCGGGGATTAATTTACGTGAGCAACAACTCAGGTCTGGGCCGACGGGTACGACTTCAGCGTTGTAACGCGCCAGGAGATAGAAGGATGGAAAATTCGATTCATGATCGTGAGGCCTCATCTTGATCGTAAGGTTTAGAGATCTTAAGCTTCGACACTGTGAAGCCAGAGCGCACAGCGTCAGCCGATTCAGGGAAGTGGGAGAACTAGAAACGTTTTGCATGACCCGAACATGTTTTCTTGCTCAGTGGATCATGTCGGACTTTGTTAAACTCAAGGAAGGCCTGGAATTACACAGCCCATCGGTTTGCCTCCACCTCTAGTCCGTGTTCCCTCTGCAGAAAGGCCGATTTGAGCAAAATTTCATAGCCGGTAGCCATCAACTAATCGGCCATGAGCAAGTCCTGCATGGTGCTCGATGATGGTTGATCACATTCTCAAAGTCAAAATCCGTTCTGAAGCGTGCCCTGAAGCGTGCGCTCATCTCAGCTGCCAAACGGCCCTTTCACGTCACCCCTTCAGACCCCTACTGCTACCTTAATGTGGTACTCAACGGCTTGAAAAGCATCGCAATCCTCTCTGGGCAGGTAGAGCTTATTGATTCAGTGCCTGTCCCAGTGTTTGCTAACACCCGTCGCGGCATAATCATCGTGAGCCCCGCTGTCACCCGGCAAATGTTTCCGCTGTCACGTCCCACCTGAGTGGCTCGCCAGGCTGGGCTCACCTTTCGATTGGCTACTGGGGGTTTCACTTCCTCTGCTAGTCAAACTTCTCCTAGGACAGTCAGGGGTACCACCCGCAACCCTCGACACGCTTCTGGTGTAGAGGCTGAAACATTAGATTGAAGGTTATCTTGCTCGTCGGACCTTCTTCCCAAACCGGACTACGTCGCAGTAACCGTTGACGGTGTCATCTGAACTCCGGCTGCTTGACTATGATTGCCTAAAAGATTGAACAACAACAACTACCGACCTCAGTCTGATTTCTGCGCGGGATAGGACTAGGCCTCTCAGGACATAGTAGCGTCATGCGCACAGGCATTTCGCACCCACACGGGTTACATAACTCCCTTCCGAGACTAGTCTAGGCTTTCGCGGGCTCACGCAATTATAAGGCTCAGCCATCTTGAACGCCATCAACAACTGGTGTAGACAGCATCCACCAATCGATCGCAAGAGCACTTGGGCAGAATAGTCCCCATCCCATGTCAAGGTGTGCGGGTGCTGTAGCGTCACGGTTGTGTGAAGACGGCGACAATAAGGGCGGACGACCACCTGACTTGGGTTGCACACTACAGGGCTCTCATACGACTGGCCGTCTGCAGTGCCAACTCGTGCATGCATCACAGCTTATTGCAGAATTAGTGCGTCTACAGCGATTGGCCCAGCAAGACTTCCAGGGCGAAACCAGGCTTGACACCAGCCAATTGTCCCAATTGTCGAATGAGTGAACGTGGTCTGTGCTACGTGGTGTGTCCTGTGGCTTGTCCAGCCCTTGCGAGTTATTAGGTAGAAATCATGCAGCTGCTTCCTTTCAACACTAGAAGGTGGGCACGAAGCCCGCGCAGAGCCTCATTCCCTTGCCAGAATGCAGGCTCAGTGGTTGAATGATGGCCACAACCCCACGACGATTTGCAGGTTTGGCTGCCATACATGCAGTCGCACAGCATGCGGTTGGGCTGCGATGGCGTAGACTACTTTTTGAAGAGCCTCAAAATTCGACATCCATTGCCCGAGAGAAGGCTGCGTTTGAATGAATATAAATCTAGCCTGCATCGTGCGCCATGGGCAGCACAGTGTCGTCGTTTTGTCACAGTCTCTCTCTCGTTCTCGCTTCGCTCACGCCACTCGGGTCGGTGTGCCGATCCACACCGCGCTGAACTATGGACAACATTGCCGTGACTGAGTTATTAAAATCCAATGAGAAGTATGTCAAGCCCGAGTGACACGTCAAACCATCACTGACTGGTGCAAGCCTCTTTCTTTCCCATGAGTTCTCTGACCTTACCATCCTGAGCCGTGAGAGAACTCATCATGTGCACAAGGCGATTGTATGCCCTCGATCTCGGCTCTTAAGGAGTGAGTGTCTTAAGCCGGAAGTAAGTCCGTCCCTATCAAGACTCCGGAAACTTTGTCTAAAACAGTTTGTCTGTGCAGTATTCGGCCAATGACAACATCATCAAGCTCTTCGAAGCTGACGCAAAGGCCCTGGATGCCGTCATCCACTTCCTCTACCACCTCGACTATCCTTCTGATCCGAGCCTGCTGGCTCCCGAGGACGACAATCAGGCAGCTGATCGAATTAATGGCGCAAATGGGGAAAACAATCACGATGATAGCCCGGTGTCGGTCAAGACTGAGGAGCCCGCATCATCACTCGATGACTTCCTTCCCATCTCTGTCTCAAAAAGTGCAGCAAAGCAACGCAAGAAGCGAGCCCGGAGAAAATCCATGACGCGTGGCCCATCTGATCCGCCAGGAACGATAACAGAAGTGATTGTGCTACCGGACGATCACGGCGGCGGAGATCGTGAAGAGGGCGCGTCGCTTGTCCAGGCCCCAGTGATTGTCAACGGTTCGGGACATGCAAATACACCACCTAGGTCGCCCACAACTGACAGCAAAGAGGGAGGCATAGTTCTCCACGCTAAAGTGTACGGTCTCTCCAAGCAACTCGGCATCGACTCGTTGCAGGCACTTGCACTGCTCAAGTTCGAGACGGATGTAGAAGAGCAGTGGTCCTCGGATGAGTTCATTGATGGCGCAAGGGAACTAGCGTCGATTCTTACAAAGAGCGACAATGATGACGGGAAGATCAGGGAGGTCATCCTTGATACTCTTTGCAAGCATGTTGAGCTCCTCAACAAGGAAGGCATAGAAATTGTCATACGAAGTATGGATCTGGGATACGACATTGTGAAACAGTTGAATAAGCGCGGTCTCATTGCTTCCGCCGGGTAAATTGCGAGCATTGCTGTCTGTCTCTGGTGTTGCAGTGAGTGGAGTAGGCTCTCTAGCTAGGGACACGAGTCTGCTGCTCGGTGAATTCCTCGACGTCGAGGAAAGTCTGCGTCACGAGAGGTCTGCCATTCTTGGCCAGAGATGGACACAGTCAGCATTATTTGAAGGGTCAATCCTGTATTTGAGGAGTCTTGGGCTGCAAAACGAGCCTACATCTCGAAGGAAAATTAAATATCCTCTTTGAGGGTTGAGTCTGAGGTGAGAATGAACGAGTCACTTTTCAGGTATTCGCAGACCATCATCAGTTGGTAACCGATCACCTATGCTGGCGATCCTTAGTGATATGAGTGCTCCACATTTCGACCTCTTCCTTATGTTGTCTTGCCAGAGACTGGGGGGGGGGGGTTGTTTCTCTCTTCCACCTCAATTGGATTTTGACAAGACCTGAGCCGGAGCACTGAAGTCCTTGCTCTGTCTGTTAGCAGTGGAAAGTCTTCACAAGAGGATACCCATAAGAGAATAAACTGGGCCATGAACCCTTGGATACGTGCTTCTAATCATCATTTGCTCGTACTAGAATCATTTTCACAATTATCTTTCTTGGCGACGATGATGCTGACCTGATGGATTGATGCAAATCCCTTTGGAGGAGTTCTACGGGTCGCTTGAAGTTTTGGCAGGCAGTTATGCTCGGATTCTGATAGCAAATCTCGGATCTTACACATATCATTCGACGAGGTAATCATCTGCGAGGCTCTGCTCAGGTGCGCGTCCAGTTGCCAGGGCTTGTTCCGATCTCCACATGCCTCACAACAATTGCGACGAGTCGGATTCCTGCAAAGGCGCCAACGTTGCACTGAGGGTACCTAGGTCTAGCCTCTTCGGGTGGTCGGAAGGAATTTGTGGGGAGAGTTGCTATAATGGTTGTAGGTATGCACAGCGCCCACTTGAAATGCACCGCCAGTGCCACAAAAGAGCCGAGCCGAGACCCTGGTCCTACACTACAAATTCAAGCAAATCAGTGTTGGTTCAACTCTGACAATGCCACGGGTGCACGCATGCTGTGCGGAAGTAATTGTGATAAATGGGCAGCGGCAAGAGCCGAGAGACGAGCCCGTCCAAGGGAGTCGATGGTATCACTCAGTCACTTGCATACTGTACGCGTGTAACCCGAGAATTGGGGCGTTCATGGCTTGTCTCACGTCAGTGCTCTACTAAGCTGCGCGGAATCAGGGCTCGCATTGTCAGTTTGGGAGTGTGCGAGAAAGTCGAAACACTTTGCCAGATCCTCCAGCGTGCTGATCCTGACCGGAGACCAGAGAGGATCCCATTGCCCACGTGGACGCGAATTGTCTATTCCGAAGAGCTGTTCCTGACATCCTCCTTGCCGTCAGCCACAACCCTTTCCGGCCGAAAAGGATGCACGCAGCTAGCAGGCACCCACGAAGCGACCTATTTTTGCGGTCTGGCCTATCAGCGTATTTTCTTGGACCCCACAATCCACCCGCAGCGCTAAGCCGTCAAGAAGGTTACATTGGAATTCAAATGCAATCCTGAACAAAGTACACCGCACCCGCATTGTCGTGACTTTGGGACAAAGCTGAAGACATTTGAATGCCAGTCATGGCCCATAAATGGCACGGCAGGACATCACATGTCTTACGTGCCTTTCAAGACATCAAAACCTGGGCCATTGCTCACTCTTGTTCTTGATTCTTGTCTACTGTTCCATACTCTCGAGCTATTTCCTTTACGTCAAAGAAACTCGACGGCTAAGCACGCCAACACGCCAACACACGGACAAGCCAGCAATTCGCTTACACACTAAACCAGCCCAGCCTCTGGTCAACCTCATCATTCTTGCTTCCCCTCACAGCATAGCCACTGCCGCGGGATACTTGATTGTAGCCGAGGGTTTACCACTCACTGGGTTTGGGCTCGTCACCATATTGCTCCTACACATAAGGCAACAATACAGAATATCGCCCAAACCAGCATCATTTCAACGAGATACATATATGCACACAAAGTGGAGCAAACGAGGAACACACACTGCATCCGCCATTACACTTCGTGCAACGATGGCCAGAATATTCGCAAAGGTCAAGAAGATCTTCTCTCGGCCCAAGAACCTTGAGGCAGCATCCAGCAACGCTTCCACAGCGTCTTCGACCTTTGATGCCGACCCTCGACCCTCGACCGCAACACCGTCATATCATCACGCCGCAGCAGTGCAACCACCTGCCTACCGATGCCCCCCTCAGCTGCAGCCCCCTGCAACCAGCCCCTCGCAGGCTGCCGCTTCAAACTTCAATCAGCAGGCCAGACAGATCGCCCAGTTCCAGGTTGGCGGCATGAGGCGCACAAGAGGGACGTCATCCTACCTAACCTCATACGAGTCTACACAGACCTCGGGTGCATCATCCTCAGCATGGACACGACCTTCGTACGGCTCAGTTGACCAGACCACAATGTCATCCTACGGCCACGACGGTGACAATGCACTCGATACGGACGAGAAGAAGGACATGCATGCCAACCACCACCGTCAGCATGCAAGGAGCACCTGGCAGGGCAAGCCGAACGGCACGGCTTATGACCGCAGGGAGGAGTTGACCGAACAGGACGAGGACATGTGGGCCAGACTCTCGATGTGAGGGCTCTGGTACTTCACCCAGTCCGATTACAAAGATGTGAGGGGAAACAACATGGCCCCAGCATATGGCCGGCCCCTCAGCACTTGACATGCGCCAAGTCCTCGGGCTATGGCAGGTAAGCACAGCCCCTCAACTTTGTTTCGGTTCTTGTGTCTGATTAGAGCGTAGTTAAGTTTTCACCAGCCACGAATATTGAGAAATACCCAATTCTGCACAGAATTGTCGGCATCAAGACGCTCCGTGCCAGCCTTTACGGACCAATGCCCCGTTGACCCGGAAAATGCCCAGTTGGGAGATTCCGGATTCGAGTGGGAATAACAATCAATGGATTCATCTTGACCAATTGGCCGAGAACGGGCAGAGGGTAAGCACTATTCCATCCGACCATCCACAATATCATACCAAGGGGGATCATTGCTGACCATCGTATGTCGTGTTCTAGTCTTCGATGACAGCTTCGATGAACGCCATCAATCCGTTCCCGTTCCCGACCGAAATAAGCTGGAAAGCGGCGGGCTCGGATCATGTTGAACAGGACACAGAAGCTCCTTCCATGATTATCAAGACGAATGAATCATGGGAGGGAGGAAAGACGGGTTTTACAGACAAGGCCAATGCCAAGGTAGTCTCTTGCAAAGGGTTGAGCCCAGACAGACACTCGATGCATGAGCTGGAGGCTCATGGGGCGTCATGCACGCTTATTCGGTTGTCGATCGGGAGGCTCTGGACTCAGTGTTACCCTGTTCAGATAGCCCAACCAAGACTATCTCAAATAACAAAACAATTGAATTCACACAATCTCCAAGCATTTCTGATCGATTCCCCACGCTTTAATCAAGAAGAGTTACTAACATGCCGATCCTCCCGCTTGCAGCCAACCTCCACTGCTAGCAACGACAAACGTGGGCGGGGATGACGCAACTTGAGGAAATGGGCGGTCGCCTGTCAACCTACGCCCTTTCACGGACTCCGTTATCTAGAGCCGGTGGGCTTGTAATCCGCGTCCCGTTCAGACCGTTGGCAGTCACCTAGATACCACTTTTTGTCCCATCACTAGAGCTTCCGACGACATCTTCACTCATCGGCAGCAGTAATGGCTCCCAAATTAATACCTGGCTATGTTCTCGCATCTGTGGCCATTTCCATCGGCGGCCTCATAAATGGCTACGATACCGGGTCGATAGGCGCCGTGACTTCCATGTCGCAATTTGAAGCTACTATCGGGCACCTTTCTCCTACGCTTGTCGGCTTTACAGTATCGCTCATAATGTTGGCCGGTGCCGCTCCCTCCGTTTTTGCGGGCTGGCTGGCCGATCACCACGGGCGACTGAAAACGATCCTGCTTGGTTCCGTGCTCTTCTGTGCTGGCGCGCTGCTCCAAGGAACGGCATATAGTCTTCCTCAGTTCCTGCTGGGAAGGACGGTCGCCGGTCTGGGAGAGGGCGTTTTTCTAAGTAACATGAGTGTGTACATTTCCGAGATTTCGCCTACAAAAAGCAGGGGCGTTCTCTCAGGACTACCGCAATTCATGGCTACGGCAGGTATTTGCATTGGGTATTTCACGTGCTACGGGAGTGTCTACATCCGCGAGTCCAGTATGGCTTGGAGACTGCCATTCATCATCATGGTCGCGATGGCTCTCACTTTGATAGCATGCTGCACGAGGCTGCCAGAGTCTCCGAGATGGTCCATGAGCCGCGGTGATCAGTCTGCGGCTCTGGCTGCATTGCAAAGACTTGACTTCTCGATGGTCGAAGCCGAGAAGATCATGAGTGACGGTGCAGCAGCTGAGCAGAGAGTCAGTTTGACGCCTTGGCAGAGCTTTGCCCTCTTATTCAGGAGAGGGTACCGAGCGAGAACAATCCTGGCTCTCTTTGTATTGGGCATGGTTCAGCTATCTGGCATTGACGGCGTGCTTTACGTGAGTATCCAATGTTCTGGCACATGCATTCCTCCCGTAACCTGAGAAGCTAATTACACTACAGTATGCGCCGCTGCTATTTGGGCAGGCCGGGTTATCCTCAGCTACCGCCTCATTCCTAGCATCAGGGGTGTCGGGAATACTTATGCTATTAATCTCTGTGCCTGCCTTCCTCCTGGCAGACAAGTGGGGACGGCGTACGTCAGCCATCACAGGCGGTATCGGTCTGTCAGGCATCATGTTTCTGATAGGTTCGCTCTATGCGGCGGGCGCGGTTCATCCGTATGGTATTGCCCGTTGGGTTGTTGTTGTCTCTGTCTTTTTATTCGGCCTGACATATTGCGCGACCTGGGGAATCGTGGGCAAAATCTATGCAACCGAGATACAGCCGACCCACGTCAGGGCCGCTGCAAACTGTGTAGCTCAGGGCCTTGGTTTTGTAAGTGTCTGACCCTCGTATATCCTAATGGCGAGGTTGCTGACACTCATCAAGTTCACGAACTGGTTCGTCGCAATGCTCACTCCCATTCTACTCGACAAATCCGCGTTCGGTGCATATTTTCTCTTTGGCGGCCTGGCAATGTTCACGGTGGTGGTCCTTGGAGCTTATATGCCTGAGACTCGGGGCCGGTCGCTGGAAGATATCCAGCAGGCCTTCCACAGGCCTGCTCTGGGGAGTCTGAAATCCAGTCTCAAGTCCCTTATCCGTCGTGGAGAGAGCCCTTCAACGAGCACGCCGGCTTCTACTCTAGGTCACAGTGAAGATGTTGAGTTACGGCCTTCGATCGCGGAGCATCCTGGTGCTATTCAGAGGGTTCCAATCGAAACCATGACGAGAGGACTGAGGTTCGATACGTCAGTGGCTTAGGTATCACATGAGCACTTGCGTGTTATCCTATTGGTTGTTCCAACAACGTCAGTTCAGGGATGACCGTATTTAGCAGAAATCAGTCCACGACTTTCTTTCGTATCGTAAAAGTTTGACCTAGGTAGAATTGAGAGCTGAAAACCTTTGACACGAACGACTCTCCATTCCATGTTAGCATGACTTCTCGGTCGCTTGTCGTCCGGCTCAATGAACACGCCAAGCCCCGAAAACTGAGGCTGAAAGGAGATCCGAGGTCACACGGCGAATCGATCACATCGGGGATGTTTTAGTTCACCTTATTTTAGACTGAATTGAGTGAGCTTCGGGTCCCTGAGGAACGAGCTGTATACGATTGGCTCGTTGGTCAATACGCCGCAGATACGAGCATCACTTGATTTATGATGGTTCGATGGCCGTCCGATCAAGGGAGATAGAAATTCGTTTTCCTCGACAATGAGAGCATTCTTGAATCTATAAGACTGAGCGGGTACCCATCATTCTATGAACTCATACACTGTCCAGCCACCCATCAGTATCGAAACACTGTGAACTCATCTCGCGACAACTATGAAGGCCCTTACCATTTCGTTCATCACGGCTCTCGTCTCAGGGCACGCCGTTCCATTGGCTGAGAACCAACTTCAAAGCAGAGACTTCCAGCCTGTGACCCTAATATTTCAAGCTGCGGCTGCTTCATACGAGCTGGACTTACTCGCAGATGGACAGGAATATTTTACTCGTGCGTTAAAATAGGCTTAACTCAGATACCCAGCGTCCTGGACTTGTGTCTCTAGGAGGTCAAGCACTAGTCTAATACTAAATTTGAGTCGCAGATAGTGATCTCAACGTGAACTTGATCACTGCCCCAGATTTCGATGCTTACCGTCTCTGCACCTTCAAGACGAGCGAGGGGGCTACCCTCGCCCCGTCCCTAACACAACGTCCCGAAGACTTCTGGCCTATCAATCAGATTGCAGTTGGCCCGCCTCAGAAGATTATATCTGTCACTTGCAGTGGAACATGTGTTGGTGTCTACGGTGAGTGTTGTCATATATATTTTATACCTGTGGGCCATTCTGCCTGTCTGGCGATGAGGAAACATGACTAATTTGAATTTGGTCTGTAGGAGACTGTTATAACTCCACAAATGGACAGTACATTGGGAGTTGTTGTAATGGCTTCTGCGCTGCTAACAAATGTCGGCCGTGGAATACAGGAACCGGTTGAGTTTCAAATCAGCTAGAGATTGGCCATCGGGGATAGTTTGAAATTGGAATTTGCATGTTGTCTAGAACTATTCATAGCCCATGTTGAATCATTCACCTGAACTTCTGTTTCATCTATCTAGAAGTCTGGTAAAACAGGGGACACGTGGGCAGGCGTGTGTCGTCTACAGTCCCCAGGATTCGTCTACGCCGGAAGGGTGTTTGAGTACGACTCACGTTGAACGACTTGAGCGTCATGAGGCAGATAAAATGTCAAGCAATTCAAATTATTATAAAGATAAAGGAATGTTGGATTTTTCTTTACTTCAAAGAGTGGGGTAAACAAGGTATAGGTATCTCGGGAATTGAGGAAATGATTTGCTTAATGCAGGTACATGCATTCTCGCTGCCTCACTAGAAAAAAAAGCATGAAGAGGGAAATGAGGCTGAAACGAGCCGCGGAGACCGGCTTATATTGTCACCGCTGCAGATCACTGCATGCTGTGCCCTAGCACCTCTCTCCTGAGCTGCAGATACACAATATCTGCATCCCATTTTCCAACAGCAATTAATGCGTTCTCCTGTTCCTCGCCCTCTACTTGTCCTGCAAGATTGTTTGCCGTCTCCCTTTGCATCTCGAGACAACGGATCGCTTGATCCACGCGCGCAAGCACGAGTTGCCGCTCGTTCTCCAAATTGTAAATGCCTCTGTCTAACGATTTGACTTCGATAGTGAATCTATTCTCTGCCGGATAATCTTGGTTAGCCAAGTTTTCAGCGATCTGACTCGCCTGTTTTTTCTTCGCTAATGACACCTTGATGCTGAAGTTGTAGCTTTCAACCTTATCCAAGGCCGAGTCTATGTCGGCCGTGAATTGACCGACATCATTTGTTGTTTCATTGAAGATGATTTCTTGGAAAGGGGTCCACATGTTTGAAAAGTGTCCTTACTAATGATGTTGGTGGGCCTTGATTCAATGACTAGTCGAGGGCGACGGAGATGGAGTACTGGACAACACCGACTCTAATCTAGAAAATCTGGCTATATATATACATAAACAAATTTTCGCGGTACTCCAATTCCCTTGTCTTCCTGGCTTTTAGTATAGATTTATCAGACAGACAGACAGACAGACAGACTAGCGTGGTCCAGCTTTGTCCCATAATCCGAAGCTCCTTGCAATTACATGGCTTCAAACTCGGCACATATCACAATAGGTACAAAGAATAGTGTGCTACAGTAGAACAAAACGAGTTACAAAAGATTGGAGTTGAGAATTACGTACGTTTCAAGCTACTTTCAATGGTCTGTTAATAAAGTATCAAAGACATGAATAGATTCCGCCCGCACCGTGTTTATTTCGCTTTTGCTCACCGTTGGCAAACTAACGTCTCAGTGGATGTAGTAGACCTACAAGAGTGAAGTTTTGTCAATTTCGCCAGACACTCGTTTGTAAAGAGAATGCCTCCCAAATTCATTATAAATCCCACTATATCAGGGAGTGGTTCAGTATTTGTTTGCAACAAAACGCATTTCTGCTGCACCGATGTCAAAAACAGAGATGACGTTGTTCATGAATGTATCTCCCAGGACATACGGACCCATTCCGCCATCCATAACTCCGGTAGCGCATAGCCCTGTAACTGGATCGACGGAGGATGGTATCAACATATCCGCCTTGCCGATCTTGAAAACCTGACCACCGATACTGATTCCAAATTCTGGCACACTGGCATTGCAAGAGGTGACAGCGGAGGACAAAGCCTCAGAAAAGACTGCTGGCGGGTCGTACAATGCGATAAGGTCTTGATATATTGCTGGTGTCAAAACATTTAGTTCAACCCTTGTTGTAAAGGTGGTCGTGGGTTTGGGGTTGGGAACTCACCGCTGGGAAGATACATCAACGTAGTCCCTGAGTCAACGATTACAGGGAACTGATTAGTGTTCACAGTGATATTTTTCAAAAGCTGACCCCAGGGTCCGGTGTCTGGTTTTGTCTTCTCCGATCCCGTATAAATATATGCATCGGCAATAATAGTGTAAAAACTATACTCCGTAGCCATTTTTGGATCATCAAAGAGCTCGATCTGAATTTCAAGATCAGTCATGCCCGAATAAAAACCAGTAAGATTTAGAAAAGGCAACTAACCATCAGGATAGGTGTAGTAGCAAATGGGCCAGTGTAGTTGCCAGAGGGTAAACCACCAAGAGCCAGGTATCCATTGTCTGAATCCCTTTGCAACGCGAGACTGAATACAGGTTCAATCAAGCCTTGCTTGATCATGGTAGTCATTATTGGGTCGTATGGTACCTGCTTGTCAGTATCATTTACCGAAGAGTTTGTTCCAACAAAAGCGCTAGTTAGGCGAGAATACGCTAATCCCATCAGACCACTTGTCACCGAATCCCCAAACCAGTAGGTGTAATTAACGAGAGCTACCTCCTGATGCTCAACGGTAATTCCAGCAACAGTAACGGTCTCATAACCCATGGTACCTGTCATGAATTCGAGATCGGCATACATCAGATTGAAGTGCTGGTTCGGGATAGCTGCGTCGTCAAATGTGCCCTGAAATGTAGGGCCAAACATGCATTGGCTTGCTGCAGGATATTTACACTGTCAGTAAAGCTTCTCAATTGTCCGGAGACGGTGCACCTACGAGTCTGAACTCGGTGGTTTTGGTCCACACATGTGAATCCGTTCTGCACCAACCAGGAGTCGCTTGATCCAGTGTCGATTATCACATTCACAGGGATGCCATCCCATGAAATTTCGGCGATATATTCCGCAGACAGAAGGTTATCCACAGGTTTTTCTCCGTAGGCAGGTCTCTTGAGGTCTGAAGCAGATGCTGTCCTCAAACTTTTAAGATAGGAAGAGGACTTGGCTGCTCTTCCACCTTTTTTCAAATTGAGAATATTAGGGCTCACAGACTGTCCACTGCTAGCCCACTTAGCCAAAGGTTTTGTGACGCGGAATCCGAGCTTGCGTGGTGCCATCATCGTGTGTCCTAACGCAGCGAAAATGAAGATTGCGAATGCGAGTCGACCCATAGTGACTTGAGGGCAAGGACTTCCTCAATTAGGAAAGAGACGGACACAAAGACGTGCTTCCGGGTGAGGAATCTGTGCATGCGTCGTGTGTGAGGCAGTCAAATAAACGAAGGAGCCGAGTTGTCAGACATATGCTACTCGGAAAGGGTTGATGTGCTATCCTAGACTTTTCCAGTACGCTACTATCAGTCGACGAACTTCGTCCTATTATGTTTCAGGCTGTTGCGCGTGGGTGATATTTTATGTTTACCTCAGAGCAGAGCGGGCTTTTGTGTTCACTTGTGGTGACCGACAACTTCCTTATCCCTTCAAACAAAAATGCTGTGAGTTTTACATAGCAGAGAAAAACGCGCACAGGTCATAGGATTGGATAGGCGACGTCTATGACTGACTTCACTACACATGAGTGCAGTTTTAGCTGAAACAAATCACATATTCTTCGGACTGCTTCGAATTTCTGCTTTTCTGTGAACAATGGATACATATGCACGTGCGTATGGTAAAAGCCTACCGCGTGTGTGCCATCCAGATTTGGGCCTCGAAGAGACCAGACATGTCAATCCGGCGCCTTAAAGCTGTCGCACGCCGTAGGACGGAGGAAGTAAGCCCTGCCAAGCCAGTGCTCTTCCAAAATAGTAACACCCCGTCGTCAAAGCTTCGATACTCGGACCCAGAAACTCAATTTTCGTGACTATCCTTGCCGACCATCCCCTACCTCAACCACCACCCACCAACCTCACGACATCATCATCCACAGCCCCCTCAAAGGAATACCAACTCAGTGGATATCGACGATGACCACTCTTGAGCCTGTTCCTGGTATCGTGCACATCAATTTACTGTGCCAAGGAGATATCCTTTCATATGTGATAGGGTTTAGACCGAAACCAGTTCATCACGAAGCATGATAGGAAGCGCGAAGTTTATCAAAGTTTAAACCACCCCGATGTACTTTCTGCAGTACGAGGGCGTTTGAACACAAGCATTCGCACCCTCGTCTGATTATCACCACTCCAAAAAAGCACTGTTAATGCTTACTTTGGGCTCTAGGGCGTCATAGGTGCTTCAAGCGTTCACCGGTGTACTGACCGTCCAGCATCAATGCTGACTTTCTTTCATATTAACGGTTCCATGATTCCAAAAGGATTGTTTCGTCCATAAATTTGAGGTTATTGATCGATGTCTACTCTGCAGCTCGGTGTAGAGCTCCCAAATCAATGTTCAATGGTCTGAATCATCATGAAAGTATCATCTGGTCACGGAGACAAAGAGCTTCCCGTATCTGGAAGCAGGGCTGTAATGAGCCAATGAACTCCAATCATTTAATTGGGAACCATGGAGTCACCAAGGTAGCGATTCCCAATGCAGACGTACCGATCGCTGAGAAACTTCTGGCCAAACGGGAAGTTTGCAAGCTGAGTGCATGTTGTCCGTGCGGACTTCGTTTCAAGGACACCTAGGTACCATTACACCTGAGGGCCAGCCGCCTCCAGCGACCGTGTATCTAGCCAATACTAGCATCGAAAGAGATACGCTCCAAAATAAAAAAATGATAATGAAACCATTGCATGACTCAGGTAAGGGCTTGTAAAACTCAAGAATTATCTATTGTATGTACGAGTTGGCTTAAATGTGTGCCTGACGTCCGTGATTGTTTGATTGGAATATTCACCAGCGGCCACAATGGTCGTCATGGCTCGCTACATACTTGAGAAGCCGTCGGACTTCACGGGCAAAGAAAATAGCGTACTAAGGAAATATCTTTCTGTGAAGGAAGTCTATGGCCCATGGGTGACTACTACAGCACTCCTGCGAGGCACTTCAGCCTCGAGCAACTCTTGAGAATGGTAAAAGCTTTGACATACCATTTTTGTAGACTTGATACTTTTTATTATCCACATTTCTTCCCGACAAGTGTTACAAGCAATGTCTATCGTTACCATATGGTGACTACTCCCGCGGTAGCCTCCAGACTCACACACTCTCAGTCCCCCAATTGGCAGCGAGTCTGGGTCTAGTCCTTCCATGCTAGTCATAGGAAACTTTTGACCAACGTTTGAACTTCATCCGATACTTTTCCATGCCAGGGAATTACAATCCCTGTAGAGCGAATCGATCTATATGGGAAACTTTTGCACATCAAACATAACCAGTCCGTGCCATCAGTACTAGTATGCTCAGGTGCTATGGGTTGATTCAATTCGTTGGTAGTTCTTCATTTTGAGATCATCAATTTGGATACGCTTGTCTGAAATCTCTCCCTGAATTAAGGATGTGGATATCTGTTATTGGCTCTAATTGTCTCTACCCCACCGATAGTGAGTAGAACGTCTGTCATCACAGACAAGTAGACGCGCTCTAGCAGTAGGACAGGTAGACTGATACACGACTTTTACGAAGACACCATTTGAAAAGGATGAGAGTTAGATAACAATGCCCTATTTCTGACAGAAATCTTCTTCAACTCCAACATGTTGCCAAATCCATTAATATCTTGAACCGGCTCGAAACATTCTGATCCATATTCTTCACATTTGTTTGGTACGGAATTTGTGCTCCTGGCCTGCCGTCCGGCTGAACAATGAAGAGCTTCACTGAGCTAATGAACAGCCGTATTTGGGCGTGTCATTGTCTGCGAGACTTCCCCGGAAGACCCCATGTCAGGTAGACAAGATCCTGACTACTGACGGCAACGGTCTACCAGTATGCTCAAATGGGTCTTGCACCTACGAACTACCCCAGCCAATTCAAGCTCTTTTGGACATTCTTGGGTAGTTTACGTGTGCTTAGAGGTGAGCCAAATGTCTACGCGCGTTCAGCGTTTAGTATGGAGCTCGCTTTGGAGCTGCTCAGCTTTTCTTGAAAGGCTAGACCAGCACAACTGTCTTCTCCGCAGACAAAGCCTCCCAGTCACGCCAAAACCCCTTTAGCTCATGAACGCACACGCGCTCCCATTTCCCCTGGTGTGTCCGAGACTCTCGGACCAGCAAGCCCAGAACTTCACCGGATCCCATGAACTCCATCAAGTCACTTAGGCGATAACTTGACAGTCCTGCTACTAGAAAAAGATGCTTGCTGCTTACGTGCGAAACCGCTGTCTCCAAGTCCTCAGTAGCGTCGAAAACGATAGTTGAAGATGATGTGCTCGGCACCAGGGACGAGTCCAAGTCAACATCGACATTCAAGGAAAATACCTTTCTGTCGTCATCGATCATGTACCTGTATTCGCCCTGATCCCATAGTTTCCGAATCTCCATGTTCTTAGCTTCCATTTGGCGAACTCGGACTTTGCTTATCCTCATCGGGATGACGGGCCCACGGACTTCGATGTAACCAGACGACACTGAGCCAAAGGGATTATACCCCGACGGCTCACAACTTCCTTTTTCGACCGTCCACATGTCGATCCATTTACCACCGCTCTGCAACGCATGGAATTCGACCGCGCCCGAGACCGAAGCCCAGGACCAGGAGGGAGCATAGAACTGATGTCTATGAGCTGATGCCCTACAACGCCACAATAGCTGCCGCTCGACACCTTCGCAGAGCCAGAGACCTGCCAGGTATCTGCTGTTGTCCGAATGACAACGCGACGCCACACCGGCGAGCGCGGGAAGCCTGTCCGCTTCTGTTGTGAGGTTTCTGGCCGTGTACAGCGTCACGAGCCGCTGCCATGACCGGCTCAGATCCGTAGATGATCTCCGCGCAGCGCTCGAGCTCTTTGAAAGACCTCGCCCCATCTTTTCATCAAGGTTGCGCACGAACAGCAGCTGGCTGACGTAGTCGTGGTCTCCCCGCTTGACAGTGCTCATTGACCTTATAGAGCAGTCGCATTGCAACAACGTCGTGCATTGCCAGTAAAGCTCTGTGCTTGAAAAGCAAATCTTTCTTCTCGAGAGGATCTCTTCTTGCATCACCCAACCCCTATCCATAATACAAGATTTAGAATGGTCGGAGAGACAGAAAGCATCTTCCAAAGTGCTCGGGTAATTGGAGAGCTTCGCAGAGACCAAGATGCTGTAGGACTGGTGGGAAACACTATCTCGAAATTCGATCTCTTGGATGTATTGTGACTGTGCCTGTAATTCCGCAGGTGTTTGAAAGAGGCCGTCATCGCCATGCATTGCCCTCTCAGCGAACAAAGTTCCAAACGCGTTGGCGTACACGCTACCCTAAGCACAATCCGGGGCGTTAGCACACCTCTACTGCAAAACACAACAAGTTGAATGCAACTGTAAGTAACCGCCTATCAGAGACGTAGGCACCCTACCATGCTTGCAGACTCGCGTTCCCAATCCTCTTTGTCGTCTTGAACAATGCAGAAAGAGTCAACCCAAAGATATTGGATGCCTACTGCTCGGGTTACCTCAACGGCTTGCCGGAAAGTGAGAGGAAACTTTTCGAGAGGTATTCCTGAGATGAATTGTGCCAATGTGTCTTTTGTTGTCACCAGTCGCTTATGCGTTGAGTCTGGATTTCCCCATCGGTGGCTGAGACACATGTATTTGCCCGTGCGGCCATTACTGACGACCAGGCTGGGGCTTCGATTCGTGTCGCCAACATCGAGCACCCTAGTTGGCAAGTTTGGACTAATTGGTTCTTTATAGCGGCACTCCGAGTGGTTCATCTCGCAGTCCTGTAACCACGTTGAAATTGTCTGAACGTCTCGGAGCGGTGTTCTTGTGAACGGTGATTTTTTCAATACCGGAAGCCACGGAAATGGTGATGGTGACTTCTCTGTACTCAAGCGGTCAATATGCGTTTTCAATTTCACGATTTGAGTATCACAGACTTGCCCCCGTTTACGGCGAGAACAACCACTGCCAGCGCCAGCGCCTCGCCCTGCTCATCGTGTTCCAGAGACAGGCAGAACATTGAATTCTCTCGCCAGGCCACAACGCGGTCGACGTTGGCTAGATCAGCACCCAGCGAGCTTGCCTCAAGTAAGATTTGACATATCGAACAGTCCTGTTTCGCTGACTGCTCAAGGTGCACCCTGAGAATCGAACCGGAGTCCTCTATCAAGACGGAGCACACCGCGCACCCAGCACTTGCAGAATTGTGGCCGTGTGGTGGCAGCAGTGGCTTTGACACCTGAATCACAGGCACCTGCATGATCTGTCAATTCTTGTCTTGATTGGGCAAAGTGGTATCCAACGGGACTTCATTGTTGCTTTCCAGGAACTTCTAGAATTTTACGGTACGGTGGGGCTCGCGCCAGAGTGGGAGAGGGGATCCATCCATTGGTGTGTCAGCATCTTAAATCAAATGCTACTACATGCACTTGAGCCACAGTCAGTACCTCGAAAACTTCCGCTAACTTCATATCGAAATCTGGATTGCTTTAGAATGTAGGCTCATTTTTATTCCAAAAGGAACACTTGGTCAAGAAGACCATGAATTTCTTTGCAAAGACTTCATCTTGAAGTACCAATGCTACGAGCAATACACACATTTGGAATTCGAAGCTTGCGGCCAAATCACATCTCATATGCGTCCGCGATGGGATTCATACGATCCGTACGATCCGATGCGTCACGGTAGCTACTTCAGAGCTACCTCTGGGATGCCAAGAACGATCAGTAGCCTGGGAGCTACTTTGAAGATACACGATTGACTACGGCAGCTCAGTAATTTCCTCTTGAGACGGCCAAGCCCGGACCAGTCCCGAGGGAGGCCAGATGAAGCAGGCAGGTGACCAGGGGTAATATACATGCTTGCCCGCACGGCTCAGGTGCCCAGAAAGATTTCTTATGTTATATTTGTAAATATGGGCTCCCTTGGTGAGAGCACAGGTCATTGTACGACATGCCATCCTTTTCCAACCTCAATTCAATATGGCGATCCCATTGAACCTCGTGTCTCGGAGTCCATGTCCGTAGGCACTGATGGATTCAACGTCTATTGGAATCCCATCACGAAGACAGTCCTGAGCGTCACGAGTGAAATTGTGACACGTTGACAAGCGCCCACCCGTTGCATGTCTCGCCCCGTCGCGGCGGATGCCAAACTTACCCGCGCCCGCAGGGTGAAATCAGATGATATTCATGCTGAGGAGCTGCTCATGGGGCACCACGTACAGTTCATCACTAGCTACGGGCCGTCGAATAAGCGAGCAACCGGCGACGCTTCAGGGGCTGTCATCGTCCGGCCTACTGGAGGCTACAAGGAGCGTGGACGTGATTAGGGGCGAGACTAAGCAGAGGCCGGACCGGGCCACACCTGGGGCAGGGGACCAGTCCCAAGAAGCTTCCCAAACCCTCTCTGGAAGGTCTGGACGATTATCAGGCTTGCAAGGGGCTAGACAGGCAAGATCCCTCCTGCAACCGATGCTTAAGCTTGTAAGGGTGGTGTGGTGGTGGTGTGCCCCATGTGATTCCGGCTGTGAGATTATCGCCTCCCACGATATCTCGGCGGTGCTCAGTATAATTACACGGCCTCACTTTTTCGTCGATATTTCATCAGCATCACAAGATGACCGACCCCTTTTTCACCGGCTGATCCTTCCCCACAGACATATACGCCCCAAGGGAACCCGCCTATCTCTCACCCTCGGCTAGCCGATGCAGGGGGGGGGGGGTCGGTCCTCCGAGCTGCGCCATTGTTTGTCAGGGAGTCGCGAGAGTGAAGTGGCTTGCCGTCAGCCGGCTTGGCAGCGCCAGCCGGGAGCGTCATTCTCTGCTTTTTTCCCCCCTTTGTCTGCCGACACAAGTATCGAACTTGTTTCCGTACAATCAGACAATGAATCGCATATAATGTAACAAAAGGAAAAGAAGAAAAGGAACCAGATTGCTTGGCATTGCCGGCAGTGCATGCAAGCAGGCAAAAGCCGGGGACCGTTTTCTGCTTATTATACTCTTGGCAACATGCCCCAAGCCCTCGCCGTTCTGGGCGCAGGTGCCGGTTTGCCGTGGGGCGTCGTGGATCTCCAGCCCAGCACATGGTAGAAGAGCACAGTCGCAGTGTGGCTTTCCCCGTTGCAATTTTGGGGAAGGTGATTGCATTCCTTCGTTTCTTCTTTAGCTGTGGATGGCTTCATATCCTGGGGATTGGGGGGGGGGCGATAGGCATGGGGGTAAGCTTTTTTTTTTTTCTCGATGGGCTCCTCGGATTTAACCACGGAGAGAATTTCCCACGCGATCAAGATTAATAACAACATGGGTGTGGCGTATTAAGGTGGAATCCTGCGATACCAGTCGCCCTGCCGGTTCGCCGCCGTCGTCCTTAGCCGCCACGCGTGCTCGTCATCGGGTTGCATTTGCGCTACTGTGTAGGGATGGACGACCCTTTCTGGACACCATCGCGGTTCGCGGTCATCCCCGGCCGCACACACCTGCTTCACCGCTGAGCGAGACAAAGCACACACACCTTGCGTAGACTCACAAGCTCGCTGCCTAGCTAATATCGTCATTGTTGCCGTCCGGTGATTAATCGAATGCGCCGGATGAGACTTATCTGGCTTGAGAGAAATGGAGGCACCTCTCTTGGTGGGGTGGGAGTAGAGACTGCAAGGAGATGGTGCCGGTGTGTTTGCTAGTTCGGGTTTTAGGCCAGCAGTCATCCCAGATGCGTACATGTTGGCAAGCAATCGGACAATAGTCATCGGACAATAGTCTCAGGCCCACGGTTTCCCCTAGATGCAGCATTCTTTGTGCCACCAGTGACTGCATGTCCGCAAATTGATGTAGCACTGCAGCTGACATGCAAGTACCTAAGAAATTGGAACTTGCAAGACGACGTGCTCTTTGACGATCGCCCCCAGGAAGACATTCACAGAATCAGCCATATTTTGCAGAGGCGTTTTGGGTATTTCGTGGTTGGATTTAATGTATGATAATATGAAGTACAACTTGGGCTTGAATCATCAGCCTAGCTGGCTGGCTGGCAGTATAGCCGTTTAACAGCAACCCATGTTTTGCCACCTTTGGCCCAGCACCCATTATATCCCCAAACTCCAATTGACTCGGCCTATGCGGCCGGAGCGGCTATTTTCAGAGGATGCCTTCCTCTCCTGGGGTCGGGGCCCTCAGGTTGACACTTGGCCCGGATTGTCCAGAACGCGTCCTTTGCGCGCTCAACACGACAAGACACAAGGCACGTGTCCCATATTATTCCAGCTCCGCAGATGGTCCTCCATCTGCCCTGGAAATGGCATGATTGCTTTGTTTTGTAATGAAATCCTTCACCTCACTTGCTCTTTCCTTCATTGACGGTCTCCGTTGGACACTGGCAACAATGATGGTCCAGACTTCTCGTCGGTCTCCTCCTTGATCGAGCCACAGACACGCTCTGTGACCCGCGCACACCAAGAGTCCACATATTCGATCCAAAGGTAGCCCGCGCCGTAAATCAGTGCGAAGTAGATGGGCAGTACGGCGAACAGCCTTGCAGCACCTGGGAATTCGAGGAGCGGACCCGGCATCCACTCACCCGTTTCGGCGTCCTGCACGGGCTCTGGAATCTTGAAACCGTAGACCATCCAGCACAGCACAGACCGGAGGAACTGGTTGTGCAAGAGATAGACGGCGAAAGAAACCTTGCCGAAGAACAGGAATGGCTTGCTTGCGAGAATATTTCGGACGGTCGGGGAGAAGTGGATGGACATGACGATGAGATCGAGGCCGAGGCCGGAGGAGAATCGCGGGAGATCTGGGTCTCGGGGCAGGACGGACAGCATAAATTCCATGAGGGACTGCGACCAAGGCTGCCATTCGAAGTGCATGTCGGGTAGGGAGGCGATAAAGAGACCGACGACGAGGAACAAGGCGGAGAGGAGCATGCGCACGCCAGCCAGGCCAGATTTCTGGGAGAGGAAAGACGTCCACGCGGGGCCTGATCCCTCGGGCAGCTGCTGCAAGTCGGCCATGAAGGCGCCAAAGAAGAATTGCATGCCGAAGAATGGGTCGTTGGAGGCGGCGCGGAAAAGGGTCAGGCCCATGGCAATCATCATTCGATATCTGGTCTGAACGTGGGCGGTAGCCATTAGGTAGATGAAGACCCAAAAGGCACCCTTCAGAATGGGCATCATTGTCCACAGCTCAGCTCCGTACTCGCTCTGGCCGTGGGACCAGACCCTGACCATATCCTGCAAAAGAGCAACAATAGCTTCGATCCAACTGTCGCGCCTGTTGGGGCTCGTTTCGGGTAGACCTGCTCCATCGCAGTGCTTTGCGGTCTCGAAGGCACCGAGCTGGGTGGCGAAGCAGCTGGCAGTGAGGATGATGAGGACGGGTAGTACCAGACGAGGCACACGACGGAGTGCTGATCTGCTGATAGAGTTGAAGGAGGAGTTCTGGTTGCCGGCCCTGAAGTTCCTGACAGGTTTTAAGGCACATACGTAGCCTGTGACAAAGGAGAAAATTGCTACACCGATACGTCCCTGGATAAGGACGCGGAAGTAGGGCCGCTGGAGCATGACGGGGTCCTCCTCCTCACTTGGTGAGGGCCATAGGAGGTATGGGAAAAAGGCACAAGCAATGTGCTTAATGACGACCAGCGTTGAGGCCATGCCACGGAGGCCCTGTGGTCATGAAGTCAGTAGGGAGTTGGGGGCTGTGAGAGTTTTCAAGCTGGTTTGAGGTTCTCACATCAACCCATTTCACGTTTCCTTCCTTTCCTACCGCCATTTTGGTGGTCGGGTGGTTCTGATATCGCCCCCCAATGACTGACTGCTACAACCGGCTCAGGACTGAGAGCTCAATATCTGAGAGAAAAGCTGGGTGAGAATCCAGCTGGCATCGGTTGGTGGGTTATGTCCAAGTCGAGTATGCTGTCGATGGTTGTAGTCTGGTATTGATGTCTTCTGATATTGGACGGAAAGAGCGTTTAGGAAGAGACGCCGTATGTATGTATGTGTGTATGACGAGGTTGGTGCGTTTCGAGAGGCAAACAACCTGGGGAAAAAATATCGAGCCGTGAGAAAGACAGAAGAATACAGGCCGTTCAGTTGGGATGCAATCAATCAATTACAATCAATCGACACAAGAAGAGAAAATTCGCAATGAGAGAATCCAGAGTACAGGCCGACAGACAGAGACAGGATGAGGACGAGGTTGTTTTAGTAGTACACGAGTACGCACGCGAGGTGGAGGAGGTGAGGTGTGGTCGGGGATGAGCTATTCTTGAATACCGACTGGAGGAAGGAAGTAGATGTCTCTTGTCTCCCTGGTCTTCTCCTTTTTGGGTTGGACAGTGTGCCATTGTACCGATGTACCCCCCAGGTACGTACCCAACACAGACAATGCATGGATCTGCGATCTGCTGTACAATATGTACGGAGTATGTACCGTATCTCTCCTTGTGCCGGCAGCAGACCTGGGCACGGAGGGAGGGAGGGTTTGGGTGTGCCTGTGCGGGCGACCAGATAGACACAGAAGGTGTGAGTGAAAGAGAGAGAGACGTACGTACTGTGATTCAGGGTGGCAGGGGCCTGCCCCGGTGGGGTGCAGGCTACAGGGACTGGGGCCCTAAGGATTGGGGAGGGGGGCCCCAGCACTGGGAACTGGGCACGGCGACCCGCCTGGGCCAAGACAAAAGATGTGGATCGACAACGGGTCCTCCAGGCCTTCTGGCCCTACTAGCCCCTGGCCCGTTTTAATCAACTGCCCAGCATGCCCAGGTGCTGTTGGTGCTGTTGGTGCTAGCTGCTTTGCTGCTGTGACCTGCTGTGCCGGCTGTTGGTTGCTGGGCCTCACTGCCTCACTGACCTCACTGATCTCACTGCCACTGGCACGACCCACTGAACCTGAAAACCGTGGAAGCACATCATCGCCCTGCCCCGAACGAACCCAATACAATGCTCTGCAGGCTGGTAACGGCTTCAGTTACAGTCTGCTTCTGGGCAGTAGCAGGACAGGACAATCTCTCTCCACGCCTGCCCGTATGCAGTGCGCACTCTGGCAGCACGGTATTGTACTGCCACGATACATTCAGTAGACTACGTTGGCACGCCACCCAAGAGGCCGCTCGCCTCGTGTGCCACTCTCTCGCCTCTCTATTGTTGCTCAACAGCTGTCAATCAGTCTGTCAGGCACAGGCACTGTATGTGCAAACTCGGATGGCTCGCATCCAGGCTCTTCGCACTCGCACTTCCAGTCTCATCACCACTCCTGCCGACCTCGGGACCACAAAACCCACACAGACTGAGAGCCTGAGGATGGGTCCATCGAGCCACACCACACACAACTAGCCGTCCGCCCTTCCCTGCCTGCCTGCATCTGCAGTGCTGTCTGTACAGAGTACGTATCTCGTCGTACGTGTCCACCTGCTGCACTGTGATTCCAGCCTCTTGTGGGTAAGTGTCGTCTGTCGACTGCCGGCTGTGGGCTGTGGTTGGCTCTCTGGCTGGTTTCCCATTGTTAAGGTTAACCTTTTGCATTTCAAGGTTACCCATCATGCTTTTCATCTTCTGAGGGCTGCCAAGCTGGCGGGTGCCCCGTAGTTGTGTCACAGAGAGGCAGAAGCATCGTGACCCGCTCTGCGCCCGCCTTTCGACTGCCGCTTTCCAGAAGCTCAGGCTCCATGCTCGCACCAGTCTCACATAAACTTAGACAGTCCAAAAAAGTCAGAAACGGACGCTATTGACGGGAATAAGGGGAACGCGCGGTCTGGCTGTCTAGTCTTCATGTCAACCGCTTGTAATCGCTTGAAACAACCCGCCCAGGTCGGCCATCCTCGAGCACCCATTGGCAGTTGGCCGCCGGCAGACCCGTCCCTGGCGGTCACGCCAACTGACGCAAGAGGCTGCCAAGACTCTCTTTTGCCCCAAATGGGGCAGCTGATTTTACTCTGGCCTCCTTGGCATCTCCTGGGGGCGACCCCCCACTGTTTGACAACTCTGACTGTGCTGCCATTCTGTCATTGTGCAGTATTTGCAGGAGCACAGGAGGATAGTCCCAGACCACAGCCCTCTATACGTAGCACTCCCATGCCAGGCCGCCAGGGCCTACTAGAGGTATTCATAGCATGTTTGTTACTGTATTCGGTGCTGCCAAGTGCCCGCTGTTCTCTTGCCCGGTAGCCCCAGCCAAGCTTTAGCAGACCTGGCCAGCACAAAGAGAGGCTCCCTCGCGAGCAGAGGCCCCCTCCCCAGATGGCACTACATGCACGCATTCACAGTTTTCTCAACGCAGGCACAGGGTAGGATCCCCGGGGCTGAAGCGCGCAGAGCCTCGATCGACGGGCAAATCATACGCCAAGCGCCGGTTGGTCGGGAAGAACGGCAATGTCGCAGCCACTCAGGCCCGCTCTGCTGGCGACCACCTCCTGGCCTCAGAAGCAGTCCATGGTTCGCCCGTGGGCCCAAGCCAACACGGCCACCCAACCGAACACATCCCCCAGCAATACAGTACATTGGTCATTTCGGATATCATCACATCACGACCTTCATTGGGGCAGAAAACAGGCCGGGAATACGATCAGAAGCCTCGGTGGGAACCGTAATCATCGGGAAACGGGCAGCCCTGGGGAAGCGAGAAAGGAGAACCTCGCAACGAGTAATCTGGGAGAAAGAGCCTCTCAGATGCCGTGATCCACAGTAACGTGGATTATGGACCGACGATCTCCTTGGCGGAACCCGCCCCATGAAATCAACTGAGCATCCCTGAGTTATCTTGCGCTGTCGTGATTGCCGTTGAACCTGCCCCTCGGTCACACCTGTGGGCTGACCGACTGGAGTGAGAGATTCAACCACAACACACGTTCATGCATGAATGCATGCATGGTCCAGCTGCCCAGATGTTGAGATGGCAAGCTTGTCGCCCTTCCCGTCCCCCTCTAGTCCTCTCCCCAGCTCTAGGGCGTTTGTTCTAGACAGTATCAGTGCCACAAATATCTTCAGACGATCCAAAAATACAAGCCACAAGCCACAAACGGTGAAAGCATTGTTGAGATTCTTCAACAACGGATATTCGGAAGTCGGACAGGGCCAGCTACATTTAAGCCAAGCCTGCCCAGGCGTGCCAGGCTGGACAAAGGTAACATCGTACCCAATGCACTCGGCCGGCTTCGGGAAATGTTGAACTGAGCTTTTCTTTCACTCGTGATAGCCAAGACCACAAGAGCTCGGACTTCCGGCTTTAGGGTGCGGCGACCGACAGCGAAAAAAAAAGATAAAGAACCAAAATTACAAGCCTAAAGTCTTCTCCGAAAGGGTCGGCGCCTGGAGCTGAGCTCTCGGCCGGAGTATTTTATCGAATTGGAAAAACTCTACGATTTTGATTCAAGGGCCCTGTGGAGGCTCCTCAGTACCCCTCAAAGAGAATAAGAATCAATTCGAAAACCAAGGTACAGATGCCAAGAATCAAGCGCTCCCTGAGTGACTGATTCGTTGCAGCCGCCCTGCGCGCACGCCATCTACCATGTCCTCGTCCATGTGACACTATTTGCCTTCTGAGTCGGTAGACCGGACGGAGGCCTAGAGGGGCAAATGATGGGCGAGCTGCTGCTGGGGACTGAACTTTGTGAAATGGGCCAGGACCGCGAATCCCCCTCCCCGGAAGAAATTCCGCCAGTTGGAGGGGCCCTTGGGACACGTGAAAGGCCATTCTGCTACTCGCATACCGATGATGTTATTCAGATTCCCATATAACCATATATGCTCAGGAGTCTCACATCGCCCCACGTCCCGAGTGAGATCCCAGGCTGTGGTCCCGTTGCTTTGGGTGCGCGACTCAGAACGTCGGTAATATGTGAGGGCGGGCCGCAGGTAAAGGCAAAAGAGGGAAACACTCAACCGTGGAGATCAAACAATCTCTGAACCCCGGCCAAATCTCCGTGGGTTGCTGGTTGCCGCAGATTGATGACGCGTTCCCAGGTCTTCGTCAACGTGAGGCGAGCTAGTCAAAAGGCACTACCGCTGGCCGCCCATTAGCCTGCTACCCGTGCCCAACGTCAGATAAAGACACAGACACGCTTTTGGCCTGGTCACAGCTTTTAATTCTCTCAATCTACTCCATACCCTTGACTAGCCAGGACCACTTCCGGACAGCGATGGGCATATCAAAGGGTCTCCGCTGCCGGAAAACTTAATCGGCGCAGGTGGTCCCAATTGGCACGGCGGTCTCGTGCGACGCACACACATGTCGAGCTCAATAAGACAGGTGGTATAGCCCCAAAGGAGACATAGGGTAGCACCGAGCTTCGTACGCACCAGCCAGAAACGATCGTGGGGATCTCTTTGTGCTTCATCACGGGACGATTGCGTCGCAAGGGGTGTTGCAGGCAGCAGGCTGATCTGGACAAGGCATGGGAGATCTAGCAGCACCTAATTAATCTTGCCGGCACGCGCACATGGCATCGTTTCACTCGATGCTTGTTCTCGATGCGGCAAGCTCTTTCATTGGAAACTTAGATATAGATAGAATGTTGTAAACTGCCCATTGGTGCCAAAAATGGTGAGAAGACTAACTGCATACCAAACCAAAGGCGTTACCGACACGGCACATGAGGAGAGAATGACATTGTGAAAGCTGCCATATGCCACACGCACTATATATACCAAGGCTTTTAGGCATATAAATATACGTCTTAGCAGGGATTAGAGCTGTTAGTGATCTCAGGCAAACTCCGAACTATGCCGCGACTCTGTCCGCATCTAGACATTCGGACGACATCCAGAGCAGTCTAACTGAGCATAACGAAAGCCCTATCTAGCACAGACTGAGAAAGGCCCAGTCATTGTTGACTTGGCTCAAGGGCTGACAGGAAGCTTGTCGACTTGGCAGCAAGTCGAAAATCTGGTCGAGGGCCGGATTTCTTGGGGGCCGCGGCATTTGCACTCTCCACCCTCTGGAGAATACTCGGCACTCTAACTGTAAACCGCCCACACAAAATCCTGAATCCTTCCGCACAGGACCCGGGTGTTACCCTACCAATGCTACTTCACTAGGCCACACTCAATGTCCAATCCGGCCAATCCAGGGCATGGATCTCGCCTCCCGACCAGCTGGCGCAAGGAATGACGGACATGCACGGCTGCGGCGCAGCTGGGGCGAATCCGGGTTGCCAGCTGAGCATGTCATTATTGACTTCACATGCAACCTGGAATGTGAACATGATTAGACTCCTGGGAAGATTTTCAGGGTTGCATACGCATAAAGGCAAGTCGCAACCGGCTCTGTGTTTATCCTACTTGAATGGAAATGAAAGGCGATGCCGAATGTTATATATAAACCCATGATTCGTCTGGAGACAATGCTGCTATCTTCGTCCAAAGTGATCTGTTGGTGTTGAACCCACGGCCGGACCCACACTATGATTTACACTCATGGTCGTGGACCAATCGCCCAGCCAATCCCGTATGAGAAGAATGAACAATAATAGAAGCTTGAAACATGCAACGATAAAAAGGGAAATGTAACACAAAACAACAATAGGAAGGTCCATAGGGGTCGAGGAGTGGAAAGCCATGGCTATCTTCAGCAATCCGAACGAAGACCGTGACAGTCAATCATCAGCAGCCACAGAACCGTTGCGGGAGCCGTTGCGGGAGCCAGTGCTTGCACTGCCATCGCGTTCCTTCTTCGCCTGAGCCAAGATAGCCTTGCCGGAGTGGGAATTCCCAGTCATGCCGTTTTTCGATTGTGACATCGACCTCGCCCTCTTGCCATTGAGCCAGGGCCGCCGCCTCCCTTCTTCCTCAAAGGCCGTCGCAGCTTGTTCCTTGGCCATGACCAGGCCTTGGGTGATGGAGACAAGCTCCCCACCCTCAACGGCACACATGCTTGGCCACAAGACCACCATGATATCTGCCGGGTCGACGACGGACCGGACTGACTCAGCAATGGTCGACGCGTCGTCGTCTCGTACAACAGAAGCAGAAGGAGAAGGGGAAGACACCGCATCCTGAGCAGCAACAGCCTGGGGCAGACTACGAGAACTACCCCCGATCGTGTCACTCCCAGCATCAAGACCGAGCGTCGACCCGCTGCCAGGGCGACCGTCGCTGAACCTATCCGGCAGCATCAAAACCTGCCAGTCAAAGTCATCGAACGGCGGGCCAAAGTACGGCTCGATCTTCATCGCGGCGCCCTGCACCCTCGCCCACTGTGCGCACGCCAGCGCGGCACATGCCTCCAGCCCCTCGCAGAACGCCTCATACTGCAGCGCCGACAGCAGGTGCTGGACGAGGAAGCTGACCTCACGGACGACGGCGGCGGCGCGACGGCGCGAGGCACGCGCCACCTTGTCCGGCGTCAGCGCCGCCAGCAGCGCCCCGCGGAGGTGCCTCTCGTGGTCCGGGCTCGCGGCCTCGAGCCCGCGCAGCAGCGTCGTCAGCACGGCGTCGGTGTCGGCGCTGCCGCTGTCGAGTGCGTAGCTGGGCCGGAAGACGTGGCGCGCCAGCGCGCGTGACAGCACGGCTAGCACGGCGGCGATGCGCATCTGCTTCGCGGCGGCCGTGTTGGATTGCGGCAGCGGGAGGCGCACTGCTAGGTGCTTGAGATATTCCGACGAGCGCAGGTTGGCCCAGCAAGACGGGTCGCGCAACACAGCGGGGTCTAGGTCCTGGCTGAAGTGGTGTTCGGCTAAATCGAGGATGGAGACCCAGATTGTATCGAGGATTTCGACGCTGTTGGAGGTCGAGGTAGGTTAGCATTGTTAGAACGGGGGCATTGATGGATGACAAGTAGGCGACGCAGGTCTTAGGTGTGGGACAGGCATGGGCACTCACTACGTCTCCTCTGGCTCGTGCTTCAGCTTCAATTGGTAAGTGTCGATCTTGTCGAGCCTGTCCGTTTTGGCTGTCAGCTCTCGTTCGAGAGCTTGGGCGAGGTTCTCCAATTTCTTTACGCTCGACTGCGCCTGAGAAAGACTGTTATTTCCCTCTGCAACCTCACTCTTCAACTTGTCGACCTCCTCATTCTTATCGGATATGGTCTGTCGAAGATGGGCGACTTCATCCAACAAAATGCTGGTCTTGTCTGCCTCCTTCTGGAGGTTTTCAGTGGCCGTTTTTAATCCGTCCTCGGCGGCCGTCTTTGCAGCTTGCTCGCCTTCCAGTTGGGCCTTGGTTTCAGCCAACTGAGCGTCGACTGATGCTTTCACCTCAAAGAGTTCTTGTAGCTCTCGTGACCCTGCTTCAAACTTGCCGTTGACATCTGCAAGCTGTGATGTCAGGTCCTGAACCTGGGCAGCTTTGTTCTCGTAGTTGACTTTTGACTCCGCTAGTTGTAATGTGAGTTCCTCTGTTTCCATGGTCTTGTCCTCGAGCGCTGCGTTGGCATCAACCAGGGCACTGTTCAGCCCTGCTTTGGCCTGGACCAGATCATTCAGCTCCTGGGCCTGACCATCCATTCTTGTGGTGAGTTCAGCAAGCTGTGTGTCCAAGCTGGATCTCAAATTTGAGAGCTCGTCAATCTCTTTGGATGTTTCGGAAAGTTTGCTGCTGGCCTCGGCCAGCTCTGCTGCCAGTTTGTCCCTAGCTGCGGTGAGCTCCTCGTTCTCCCTTGTCTTCCCCTCCAACTCGAGATTGGCTGTTGCGAGTTGAGCATCGACTATGTCTTTTGCTTCCTCGATAGTCTTCAGTTGCTTGATGTTCTCGTCGACTGATGCCTTCATGTCGGCCAGTTGGTCCTCGGCATCTTTCTTCGCGCCTTGGAGACTGACGAGCTCCGCGATTCTCAAATCCAAGTTCCCTTTAGCTTCGGCAAGCTCAGAATCCATTTCGGACCGGATGCCTTCTAAGCCACTCAGCAGCTTGCTTTTCTCGTCAAGCGATAATTTCAGGTTGCTAGCAGTGGTTTCCAGCTCCTTTCTTTTGTCGGCAAGTTCAAGACACTTTTGACTTTCCTCGTCTAGCTTGCGCCGACTCTTTTGAAAATTGACGTCAAGTTTGTTGTTGGCAGCCTCCAGATCCTGAATCTGCGCATCTTTGATCTCAATGGACCGTTGTAGTTGGGTTCTTTCGTTCATCAACTCGGTCTCTTTCGCCTCCAGTTCGTTCCGGAACTTGCGATACTCTTCTAAAACATCGCGCGATGATGATGCCAGACGTGCGTTTTCTGTCTTTAAATTTTGGACGTCTCTGAATACATCTGCAATCACCTTGTAGTTATCATCGGAGGCTAGATTGCGGATCGCACCGACGAAGGCATCCACCGCGCGGTTGGGATCCTGTTCTGCTGACATCACCGTCCGAGATGAGTAACGGGGTGAGTCTGGAGGAGTTTGTTGTGTGCTTTGTAGTGAAGGCATGTCAGATTAGTGGCTACCGAAGGCCAGACACTACCTGAAGATGTATGAGCTTTGAATACGGGAGGGCTTGCGCATGAAACGCGAGGAAACAAAGATGCTGATGAGTACGACTTGAGTTAAAGTCATACCTAGAAGAGCCTTGAAAAATTCAGGGCGAAGATGAACAAATGACTGTGTTGTTGAAGTGGAAAATGCATGGAGCGGCTGGTGCCCTTTATCTCACTGTCACAATGTATGGATTGAAGACCTCAGACGTGGCTACTGCGTGGTTATTTCCAGTCAGCCCAAGACACAATTTTCAGAATTAGGAATGAGTCTCGAACATCAGTCTGTGGCAAATGAGGCCAGCATGGCAGGGGGCTTCGTCAGTTCGCGCGGGATGTCAAAGACTCACATGAGCCAGCAACACGGGAAATATTCGCCCTGCGTCTGATTTCGTAGTTGCTGAGCTGTGACGTGTAATGTCATTCCCAGCGAAACTACCTACATACACTATCCGGTTGGTCCAGTATCGCCGCTGAGAGCCCAACTCGATACATTACCCCTGCGAGCAGTCTGCGTTCAAAATGCAAGTCCTCTGCAGTTCGAAGGAAAATGCCCCCTACCACATGTGTTTTCCAGGCCAGGATATCCTGCCGCAGTGGCCACTATCATACTGGCTCTCTTGTCTGCTTAAAATGACTACCAATTCGCGTACATAGTGTCATAATTCTGCAGCATGCCTTATCAGGACTAGAGAGATGTTGTTCGCAGGGCTTTCGCGAGAAGGAGTGGCAGGTGTTCATCTGCAGAGACCCACAGCGGTTGAGCTGACAGCTCAATAAGTCACTGCAATGTCGATCACGTTGTTCGATGCATCTTGGGCCTGACTTTGGCACGCCTGAGAGGATCGCAAGCGCGAACCAGTAAGAAACAGGCACGTAGGAATTAGGCTCTGATCTCAGCGCCGTATCTTGCCGCCAGGAGTCGGGTATTATTGTCTAGAATTCAACACGTCCTCATCACGTAGCCGTCGGCGCATTCCAGGAATGATTTGTCTGGAAGTTCCGTAGACGTGGACCACTGTGTATGTACGATCATTCTTGGCAGACCAGGCTAGATCCGCGTTCTTCAGGGCTAGCAGTGATAAGCGCCCGCGTTTGTTCAAGTTGGGCTGACGTTGCCAACACTCAGGCAATTCCTGTCGGGGCCGGGAAAATTTGGATTCAGTGATGACCAAAGGCAGGTTTGCACCAACCATATTGTCCAAGATCGTCAAGTAAGAAGAGTTTCTCAAGTATGGGCTTGGCGTGATGACCACTCCACTCGCAGACTTCAGCTGAGTGTTAAGAGAAACAGCCCCAGAAGAACGGCCGATAATCACTCCGGTATTGTGATCGATTCGCGTCGGGCGTGCATGTTATGTCATGGATTTTGGTTATGTACGTGCTTAGCTGTCCCGCCAGAATGGGTCCAAAGGTAGACGATGTCTCCTTCTAGCATGGTCTCCGAGAAATGAGATTGAAGGTTCCCCGGATTGTTCAAATCTAGCTTATATCCCCGCAGATTCTCCATCTCGCCCAGCGCTATTCCCCGCTATCACAGTTGGATTCACACTACGGTTCAGGGATCAGGGCAAGATGCGCCCCACGGGGAAGGAATTCAAGATCACCAGATGCCGCCGCGCCGGAAAAGCCGAACGTGCGAATGGAAGAGCCGAGGATCCTCACGAGATGACATGCTCAAATACACACACGATGCACGAAAATGGTGTTTTTCTCGAGTGTGAAACCTAGCTGTAGAATAGCAAACTCCTGTCACAATGGCGCAAAGGATGTGGACAAGTTTTGTCAAGGCTCTCCTTCTCACCTCGATCACCCGAGTTGTGAGAGCAGCTACTCCGGGCAACATCACATTGAACACCTCGAACCGTTTCTTGTTCGACGTCGACGGAAATCACATCAGTGCCTACGCCCTCAAAATCTACAACTTTGAGAACAGGTACTATGCCTACGGTCTCGACTTCACAACAGGAACCGGGCTTGACAGGCCCTTGGTCGGTTATTCTTCCGTTGACCTGATCAACTGGAAGTCTGAAGGCATTCTTTCAGATGTCACGGGAGGCCGTCCGCACATATTATTTAATCCTACGAGCCAAAAGTACGTGCTGTGGTCAAATCCCTCGACGGGATATGAGATAGCGACGTCATCTGCGCCCAACAGTCCGTTCTCCACAGACGGACTCGGTCTTGCGGCACTGGATCCCCAGTTCAGTGGATTGCAGCCAGCTGACTTCACAGTCGAGACCATTGATGGCAAGGGATATCTTGTGTGGTCGGCTTTGAACTTCAGGGATACTCGGGCTGGGAGTCTATGGCCGCCGCTATTCCAGACGCTTCACATCTCGCCCCTGACTGAGGACTTTCTCAACACGACGCAGACGAGCACAAATGTGTCATCTGCGGAGTTTGATCTTCTCGATCAGGAAGCCGAGTCCCCTGATCTGTTCGTTCGAAATGGGATTTACTACGTTGTAGCAAGCAACACTTGCGGCTTTTGCGATGGAAGCGTGGGCCTAGTGTACCGCTCAGAGTCTATCGACGGCCCATGGGAACGCGACATAGTGTCTGCGTACACCTGTGGAGCTCAGGTCGAAGGGGTGCTTCCACTGACGGATCCCATCACCAATGAGACGACCTTTGTCTGGCACGCGACTTCGGTCCCTGGCGGTCCTCGGGTCAGCTTCTCTGGCCACTTCTTCCAGCCACTCCGATTCAACGACGACGGGAGTGTCCAGGATCTGGACTGCACTCCTGGGGCGCAGTTCACAGTCCCTCTGACTCTCGGAGATGGTGACCCTGATAGCGGAGCGTTGACGACCGCTACGGATTTGTCTCCCCGATTTGCGGATTATCATACCGTGTGCGACTCGGACCTTTTCCAGACTGTGATCCAAACCTGGACGAACTCGAAAGCTGGGTCACTCAGTTCGGTCTCAGTAAACATCGCTGCTGGAGGACAAGCTACTGGCATCCTGGTCAAAGTCTTCCGATTCAGTAATGTCACTGATCTTCAAGCACCATCGTAAGTGCCCAATCCAGATATGTTGCCTCTTCTAGAAAAGAAAAGGAATGAGAAGAAAAGGGCGGTCTTCCCACATATTTCTAGCACAATCACTGATGTTGTTTCCACTCACAGCTACAAATTCGAAGAGCTCGGCTCCGCAACTTTCAACGCAAGCCAGATTGGGACGTCTTTCAAAGCCATGAGCGTACCTATCAACGCTACTGTTGCGCAGGGAGACCAATTGGGATTCTACATTGGCGAGCCTGCAGCAGCAAGTGCGGAAGGGTCTACAAACCTCATACCATATTGTCATCTGGAGTATAACATTGGTGCGCCCAATGGTTCAGAAACACCTGCCGGACAGCTTACATTTGAACAGAGAGGGGGGCAAAACTCATTTCGTGGGCTTGATGGCACAACAAGTCCAATCCAGACGAGGTCGGGCAAGGGAGTAAAATTCTTCGCGATTGTTAACTAGGAGTATATACTTAATTGGTTAATTTAATTTGCAGCATTCAACTCCTCAATACGTTCTGCATCATTGAATCTTAGGTGAAGGTATAATTTCCACTGTGACAACGATTGCGCCTGCTCTTCCTGGTGGGAAGCAGTTCGATGTTGTAGTTCAAATCGAGTGTCGAGTAGTTTCCCTCTAGAACTAAATTCAACATTCAGGACTCTGCCAGTCAGTCAACATGTGTATATTTCGCCCAACATTTCTCAGCCAGATTCACATGGACAAATCTTCCACCGGGAGTTGGATCAAGTCCATGGTTTTGGACGAGGAACGTCTCTGTAGCTTCCGATATGGTGTAGTGGTTAACATTCCGCGTTTTCAACTCGAGATATCCGCGGCGCCCGGGGTTCGATTCCCCGTACCGGAGAAACACCGATCTTTTTGTCCTGATTTAAGACGTCGTGTACTGTTTTTGCACCTCGAAGTAACGCCCACGCGTGACGGCAATCATGTCATGAGTCGTTAAGCAGTATTGCACTCACAGCCATGTGCGCAAATCCCTGTTCACAGGGTCGAGCACAAACATTGAATAGCCTCAGCTCCAGTTGTGTCTCACAACGACAATTGGGTGTAAGATTAAATCAAGACCTTTTTACATTGAACGTGAAAATTCGTTTGTACCTAGGGCACTTCAGGAGTGAATTTCGTCGAGTCTAAATATAATGGACGTTGCTAAGTTGCAAGCCTCGGCGTGGCGGGGACGGCAAAGCTTAAAATATCTCCATGTGCTCCGTTGCAAGTGTACGCCGAACTGATCTCCCTACCTCATCAATCTAGACCTGACTCGCCTCAAGGTTGTCAGTATGGTCCTTAAGGTGTTACAAGGCTCTCATATACCAGAGACTACCGAGGTTATGGAGGAGGCATTGGACATCCTCATTCTCGGGGCCGGCTGGACCGCCGGCTTCCTCATCCCCCTTCTCCGTGACCGCGACATCTCCTTTGCGGCTACAACCAGCGACGGGCGCCATGTTGCAGGCAGTCCGACCCTGAAGTGGCGCTTTGACCCTACGGCACCGGACCCTGAACAGACCAAGGCCTTCACTCTCCTCCCGCGGGCAAGGCACGTCCTCATCACATTCCCGCTCAAGGGTAAACGGCAGAGCAAGCTCCTCACAGAGGCGTACGCGAGGACGCATGGAGGGAGCGGGGACTTCCGGTTCATCCAGCTCGGCAGCACGGGGATATGGCAATCTGACGCGGGCCAGAGACCGTGGCTGGACAGACACAGCCCTTACAAGACCGACGATCAGCGCGCGGTGGCGGAGGACGAACTGCTGGGGCTTGGGGGTTGTGTTCTCAACCTCGCTGGCCTGTGGGGCGGCGAACGGGATATCAAGCACTGGGTTGACCGCGTGGCTACGACCAAGGACGCCGTGAGGGACAAGACTAGTGTGCACATGGTGCATGGGACTGATGTTGCGCGGGTCATAGCTGAAGTCATTCAGACAGAGAATACAGCCCGGGAAGGAGGAGGCGAGGACGGCGGGTGGGACAATGTTGGCAAAGGACAGAGATGGATGGTCACGGATGGGTTTGTTTACGACTGGTGGAGTTTGTTCGCTTCATGGTCAGACATTGGTGAGGATGGGTCGGAACCCATCAAGCAGGCAAAATGGGTCTTCGAGCTCATGAGTGAGGACGGCGTGAGGGCGCTGCCCCGGTCGATGGAGGCGCTGGGCCGTTGCTACGATTCGAGGGAGTTGTGGCAGACACTTAAGATTACGCCTCTGAAGGCAGGGCTAGGCTTGTGAGCTACGCCGGTGATTTCACGTGAAGATACATATGTACGCGCTCCCTCGTTGAAGTCGTGAGGCTCGTTGGGCTCATCAACGTGCAACAGATGCCGTGTGAGCTTGCACAACGTACAAAAGTCTACGACCTCATCGGGGCTAAAGAAGAACTTTTACCAGAACTGAAATTGCCAAAAAAGATCGAAACCGGGTTATCCTCCCATATGCCTGGCTGGGATGGTCTTTGAACCACAGCACAAACTATAACCCCAAGCGCGCAAATGAATCCAGACTCAACCCCCTGCCCCTGAAGGTACATGCATACAACGGTTGGTCTCCGCAGAAAATCAAACATCAAGAGGGATACTTTGACAGGATATGGCCGGGCGCGCAGCGCTTGTTCACTTTGGCAAGCCACAGTTTCAAAGTCCATGACGTGTGTATCGACCCTAACACTACACCGGTTCCCCAACGTCGAATTGACGGCATGACCACCGACTACAGATATTTTGTGCACCGCTAAACTCGCGTGCAGTCCGCGTGCGGTCCGCATGCGGAACAATTGTGTTGTGTAACCATCAACGTCATTGACGCCGAGCTCGCCATTGGCACACAGCAGTTCCAACAGGCAAGCCCCGGCGGATGAGGAGATAGTCAGTCTACTGGTTGACAGCTTTAGTAGTCTAGTCTAGAGGATAGGATCAGACACGGCGCACTACCCTACCCTGTCGGACTGACCTCTTAGGCACATAGTACACACCACTTCGCTCACCACCACCTTGCCAACCTGCCACCACACCGACCAACTCTCGCCAATCTCGAAGCGCATCATCAACCACGGGTGCCGTAACCGAGGAGCGTTCCCTCCTGTCCTATCGGGTCGTCTAGTCTCAATGCTTTCCGCCCCCACGGTGCCCCATTCCGTATCCCATCTTGAGTTCGGACCCGATATAGGAAAGGATTGGCATACATCCGCATCCGTACATATTCGCAAAGGAAGAAACGATTTATAGTTTTCTTGCCTCTTTGACAACTTCATTTCCTCTTTCCCCCCTCCTCTCCTCAATACCGCCAAGCTGGCTTCCTCACCCTGGTCCCCCGGCGACGAGGCTGCCGCGCCCCTGCTGGATATGGAGAACCACCCTCCACGCACGAGCGGCACGTTCGACCGCAAGCCAAGCCACGATCAATATGACCCCGAGGAGGAGGACGACGATGTTATGGACGTCGAGGGCGGGAGGCCCCCAAACCGCCGCCGGTGGACGCCCAGCTCGCCCTCCCACGTCCTCTCGTCCGACCCGGACCTCGAGGGCCTGAGCCTGTACGACAAGAAGTGCGTGCTCATCAACCGCGAGATCGACGCCATGGGCATGGGCAAGTACCAGTGGATGATCTGGGGCCTCTGCGGCTTCGGCTACCTGCTGGACCTGCTGTGGGCTCAGGCCTTCGGGCTGGCCCTCAAGCCCTTGCAGCAGGAGCTGGGCTTCGGGAACGACAGGTCGGGCAACATATCCACCGCCTTCAGCTGCGGGCTTACGGCCGGGGCGTTCTTCTGGGGCGCGTTGAGTGATGTGGTTGGTACGTGTGGCTCGCCGCCCTGGCTCTCTGCTCTGCAGCCCTCCTGTTTTCGTGCCCGTGGTGGGACAAACAAGAGTAAATGCGTAGACTAGAATCTCCCGGACAGTGCTGATTTCTGTGTGAGGTTAGGTCGCAAGTGGGCCTTCAACCTGACATGCCTCTTCTCGTCCGTCTTTGGCCTGTGCCTCGGCGCATCCGACAGTTATACGACATTCCTGGTCCTGACGGCCTTTGTCGGCTTCGGCGTAGGCGGTAATATTCCCATCGATACGACGATCACGCTTGAGTTTATTCCGCAAAATAAGCGCTTCCTCTTGTCCACCCTCTCCATCTTCCAGCCGATCGGCGTCGTGCTCTGCAGCGCCATCGCCTTCGGCTTCATCCCGACTATGTCGTGTTCGCCCAACTTCTCCGAGGCTAATCCCCTGAAAAGCTGCAACGATCCGAGCCTGGAGGCCGGCGCGCCGTGCTGTGGGCGAGACAATAACATGGGCTGGAGATACCTTCTCTTCACCTTGGGCGGTATCACGCTGGCCGTCTTCATCCTGCGCTGCTTCATCTTCCGGTTTCGTGAGAGCCCCAAGTTCCTCGTGTACAAGGGTAAGGACGAGGAAGCCATCAAGGTGGTGCACCACATCGCCAACACGAATGGGACCGTCTGCCGGCTGTCCTTGGAGCATTTCGAGGCGCTGAGTGGCCAGGGCGGCTCCCGGCGGACACAGACCACCCGGGGCAGCGGAGGGCGCCCTGGCCTCCGGACGCGGATGAGCAGCACGCTCGGGCGGACCGTCAGCGGGACGGTCACGACGATCAAGCGGATGAAGCCGAGCAGGAAGAAGGTGGCTGAGCAGAAGAACCGGTACATGATGCTGTTCTCGAGCTTCACGATGGCGAGGCTGACGATTCTCGTCTGGCTGACGTACATTTTTGACTTCTGGGGATTCACTGTGGCCGGTGAGCAAACACCCTTGCCTTTCCTCACCCCCGTCTTGATCATTGTCGATACTGACTAGGTGATAGGCTTCTACCTCCCAAGTATCCTAGCCATCAAGAATGGCGCCGCTTCGAAGAATAACTCGCTCTCCTTCACGTACGCCTCCTACATTTACACGTACGCGCCCGGCGCAATAGGCGTGCTGCTCGGGTCACTCATGTACCGGCTCCCGTCCTTCGGGCGCAAGTGGACCATGACCATCTCGTCGGGGCTGATGGGCGCGTCGATCCTGCTCTTCAGCATCGTCGACACCGTCCCCAAGAACCTAGGCATGTTCACGATGGAGTACTTCTTCCAGTCCATGTTCAACGCAGTTCTCTACGGCTGGACCCCCGAGGCGTTCCCGGCCCCCGTGCGCGGGACCGCCTGCGGCCTCGCCAGCTTCTGGGGCCGCCTGTTCGGCATCGTCAGCCCGCTCATCGCGCAGCACCTCTACGGGAGCAGCACGTCCGGCGGTGGCAACGGCGACGTGAATGCCGTGCTGTACCTCGCTGGGGGCGTCACACTCGGGTGCGTGATCACCACGGCTTTGTTGCCGAACAGTGTTCTGCAGTCGAGTGATGGGAGATCATAGCATTGGGATGGGACATGTCATAGAGGGTTAGATACCCGCCCAGTTGGAAACGTGAGCGGAGATATAGAGAAGGATGAGTTTGCATATAGATGGACTGGGCATGTAGGAGCCCGAGATATATCTAACGGCTCCAAGGCTAAAAATCATAATGCGCTGCAGAGCTTATCGAATTGCTTTTTCCTGCACGACCTGAGTCATGGGAGCTCTGAAGATGTGGGTTGCCTATTTAGGAGAGCAGACACGTCGGCCCGGTAAGCTGCATCCCGGGTTCTAGACCGAAGTTTCTGAGTGCTTCCAATGTCCGCGGACGATCCGAGTCGCCTCATAATGATGAAAGATGACCAAGTTTATGATTCACAATGAAGAAATGCACGGCTCAGCGGTTCGTCCCTGTGAGCGGACCGTGCAGCTTGAGACGGTTCTGCACGCGAGGTGTTCACTGAGGCGTGAATTCAATTGAGTAGCAATGTGTTGTGACAGTACTCAGCTTTCGTTCGGCTGCCTACTATAACACTATTTTACATCTTCACAGTACCAAGAAAAAGACTTGACTGCCAGTGTAGAAAGATTGTTGACGGGTGCTCGAGTCATCGCGAGCAACCACGTGTGCGCCTCTCAGCCCGGGATGATCCAGGCCTGCACAAAACTCTTCCCCGCGATATTGAAACCGTAGCAACTTCTCCTCTTGAAAGGGCATCGACGGCACGCCCCCCTGAGCAACCATTCTCCTATCCACCCATCACTTGGTATGTTTGTCGAGAAAAACTCCAACACCAAACCCCAAAAACGCCATCGGAAGCAATTGCTGCACTCGGATGCAAAGTAATTTTGAATACCTCATTCTCTTCCTGTTGATTCCTGTTGAAGTGGATCATCTTAAGCAGCGGCCGCGGCCGGAGCAGATGCACCGTCCGTTTCAGGGATCTTGAGGCCGGTGCCACCCAGGTTTGTCTGCTTGACGTTGGGGTTCTTTGTGTAGTAGTCAGAGATGGCAGCCTTGATGCCGTCCTCGGCAAGCATACTGCAGTGCAGCTTGACAGGTGGCAGGCAAAGTTCCTTAGCAATGTCTGTGTTCTTGATCTGCGAGGCCTTGTCGAGCGACATGCCACGGACGAGCTCGGTCAGGTAGGATGATGAAGCAATGGCGCTGCCGCAGCCGAAGGTCTTAAACTTGACGTCGGAGATGGTGTTTGAGTTAGGGTCGACACGGCTAACAGATGGTCAGTAACATGCCGGAAAAGATGCCGAACGGGAAAAGAACATGCAATGAGAGGAGGATTAGGAGGGGAGTGATGTGGGAATGCACTCACATCTGAATCTTCATGACGTCGCCGCATGCAGGTGCTCCGACAAGGCCGGTGCCAACGTCGACATCGTTCTTGCTCAACGAACCGACATTCCGCGGCCGTGAGTAGTGGTCAATGACCTTCTCGTGGTAAGAGCGTATCGCACCGATAGACACTGCTGGAGCGAGTTGCCTGGGGGCGCTGGCGATGGCTGGTCGGATAGGTGTGGCGAGTGCTCGCCGGGAGGCGACTCTGAGTCCTCGTGAGAACATTGTGATATTGGCGGATTAATCGACGGGTGCTGTCTGTTTTTGATGAATGAATCAATCGACAGTGAGTTTGCTGCGTTCTGGTGATGTCTTAGGTGTGGCTTGTAGGTGTTGGTACGTGTATGTGGACGGAACGGTGGTGGGTTGTTTGATGAGTGTGTGCGTGAGAGAGAAAGGGAACCGAGCTCCAAGAGAAAGTCGAGTGCAGGAAGCAGGGTCTGTGACGCTGAATATTTGACGTGCAGTCGCCTCCCCGTTCCCAGCAAAATGATGTCGGGGTACGGCCTGGGCAGCCAATTAGAGACACTAGCGTGTGCTTAGATAACGATGATTTCACGGCGATCTCGGAGAATCGGTTTTTGAATGTGGGGCATGCTGGGCCACGTCTGGGCACGCTGGGCCATGTGCAGCCTTTATCTGCCTCGATCTTATCAATCACATCCATCCAATTTGGAATTCAAGCCCCAGCATCGCCCCCAAAACAGTCAAGACTGTCGAAACTCCGAGCTTTTCTTTTTATGGGGGTCCGAGACCGAGCTGCATCAGCCATTTATGTCCGAACTTGTTTAGTTTGCAGCGTTCGTCACCTGTCGGAGTGCCTCGGTGTGGTGTGCCCACCGCCCATTCTGCTGTTGTTCTACGATACGGTGTGCAAACAGAAATGAGGACGATGCATCATGTGTAGCAAGACTCACGTTATCCAGACTGAGAAGCAGTGGTGAGAGATAATGAGCAGGGCGTCTGTCTGTAGTGTCTAATACATTATGCATTCCAGACTCTGCATATGCCAGCAAGCCGGTCAATGACTGGGAACTGGCTAACAGACAATCGAACAAACGGGTCCTGACACCGTTTCGCTGGCACCTGCACCCCACAGGAATGCAAAGCCGATCTTTTCCAAGACAGCAGCTCGTTTCATCGGCAGGCATGTTGAGCCTTGCCAGCCCTCTGTCAGTTGCTCAGCTCAGCTGCAGAGGCCTGGGTGGGTCAGGTCGGTCACTAAACGCGGGGTGAAGGCGCGTTCCTTTTTGCCCCTCGGCAGCCTGGAGCTGAAGCTCTTACAGCGTGCAGCGAGCAGTGAGCAGCTCGACGTAATTCCAGAATCGTCTTCCCAAAGGTTGCCCCCCGATTCCAGCCTGTCAACCACTCTCGTGATTGATTTAATCTTCACATCCAGCTGTGTCCCTGACTTTGGATCCTACCATTCTGGTCAGCCGTTCCTTTCTAACAATATTTCAACATGGCGTGCCCACACGTCGACTCTCTCAGTGAGGCAATGTTCGGGGCAAGGGGAGGGTCGTCCTGATCTCGTTTGACTGACTCTCGTGAGCAGGTATTTCGCCGCCGACGCCTGCCCAGTCAGTCTACCGCGAGGATTGCACCCAGTGCTTTGACTCTTTTGTGAGAAGAGACCCTCTTGCCAACCTTTCAAAGGTCTCACGTGGCTCCGACCTAACCCCATTTCCGACAGGACGATGCCGAAGGCCTCAATGTCTGCCTTCAGTGTTTTAACGGCGGCTGCGCTGGCGACCGACAGCATTCCGCCCTTCACAGCGCCCTCCGATCCCACCCCCTCGTGTTGAACGTCAAGCGGACACGCAAGGCTATCACTAGGGATGAGCCGCCCCAAAAGATCACGAAGCTTGCCATCGCTGCTGAGAAAGAGGAGGACAAGTACGACACTGCGCTAAGTGTCAAGTGTCTAGAATGCAACACCGTTCTCGACGCCACCCACCCCAAGATCGCCCCTGTTGTCGATGGGATATTGACGTCCAACACCTTCTCGCGGAAGGAGGAGATCAAGGCCTGGGAGCAAGAGCTTACCAGCTGCGAACACATCCTGTTGATGCAGCAGGACGAGCCCCGCAAGATCGCTAGTCAGGACCTGGGCGGTTGCGCAAAATGCGACCTCAAGGAGAATCTATGGCTATGTCTGCAATGTGGCGCCCTCGGTTGTGGTCGTGCCCAGTTCGGCGGTGTCGGTGGTCATTCTCACGCACTGGCGCATTCCAAAGAGTCGGGACATGGTGTTGCCGTCAAACTTGGTTCGATCAGTGCTGAAGGCACCGCAGACATATACTGTTACGCCTGCGATGACGAGCGTGTTGATGAGAACTTGGCCACACACCTGGCAAACTGGGGCATCAACATCGCCGAGAGGCAAAAGACAGAGAAGAGTTTGACAGAAATGCAAATCGAGCAGAACATGAAGTGGGACTTTACGACGACACAGGACGGCCAGGAGCTGAAACCGCTGTATGGTCCTGGCTTGACGGGTCTGAAGAACCTCGGCAACAGCTGCTACCTTGCCAGCGTGCTTCAGTGTCTTTTTGATTTGCCGGCTTTCCAGAAGCGGTATTTCGAGGTCAACGATGATCTGCCCATCGTCCAGGATCCAGCTCAAGACCTCGAGACACAGCTGCGGAAACTGGCGGATGGCTTGCTTTCCGGCCGCTATTCTAAGCCTGATCCTGATGCAGTTGCTGCACCTGGAGAGAACTCCACGGAGGCTCACCAGAGGGGTTTATCACCGGCCATGTTCAAGCACCTTATCGGCCGTGGCCACGAAGAGTTCTCCACTATGCGACAACAAGATGCCTTTGAATTGTTTCAGCACCTCTTCAAGCTGATCACGCGGTCCAGGCATCCGTCTCCTACCGCCGACCCCACCCAGCCTTTTCGCTTCGTCCTGGAACAGCGATTGCAGTGTCTTAGTTGCAAAAAGGTTCGATACTCGACGACAGAGCAGGAAAATCTCACAGTCATTCTTCCTATGGAGAAGGAGCCACATAAAGAAGGCGAGGAGGGCCCTGCGCCGTGGAAGCCAGTGACGTTCACCCAATGCCTGGATGACTTCACCGTCGACGAGGTCGTGGAGCTGACCTGTTCTTCCTGTGGCTCGAAAGAGGGATATACCAAGCGGACGCTATTCAAGACCTTCCCAGAAATCCTCGCTGTGAACGCGCGAAGGATGGCTATTGTCAACTGGGTCGAGGTGAAGGTTGACGTTCCTGTCATTATTCCTGATGAGCCCTTCACCTTGGACAAATACCTCTCACAAGGCCAACAGCCAGACGAAGAATCCCTGCCCGAGGAAGCGGCTCCTGCCGGCGCTCCTGCATTTGTGCCCAACGAGACGGGTTTGGCCCAACTGGAGGCGATGGGGTTCCCACGTGTGCGCGCTGAGAAAGCATTGCACGCGACAGGTAACAGCGACGCGAACGCCGCAATGGAGTGGCTATTCGCACACATGGAGGATCCTGATATCGACACCCCATTGGACTTGAGCGCCACTGGTGGTGGAGGCGCTGCCGCCGGACCAAGCCCAGAGCAGATTGAGATGCTGACCTCCATGGGCTTCGACGTGCCTAAGGCAAAGAAGGCGCTCAAGGAGACGGGTGGTGACATGGAGAGGGCGGTCGAGTGGCTGTTCAGCCACCCCGACGACCCTGGCTCGCTCGATGACGATGAAGGCGCTGCAGCTGGTGCAAGTGTTGGCTCGGATGAACCCTCTGGAAGTGCTACACTGCCCGCAGTGTTCCAACTGCAGAGCATTGTGTGCCACAAGGGCACGAGTATTCATGCTGGGTAAGTGACCTTTTACAAATGAGCTCGTACATTTGACATGTGTATCTTTAATTGTAAGCATGACTTTGGCTGACACTAAATCACAGACATTATGTGGCCTTCATCCGTAAACAGCTTGACAAGCCCTCTTGGGTTCTGTTCAACGACGAGAAGGTCGTCGAGGCAGTTGACATCGAGGAGATGCGCAAGTTTGGGTACGCGTACTTCTTCAAGCGCGTGCAGAATTGAGCATGCACGAGCGAACGGTGAATGGAAGCATGGGGCTGCCTTCCGTGGATGGAAAGGAGCTGAACGGCGTTGTCAATATACTGGTGTGTTGCTGCTGAGAAAGCATTAGAGCTAGACAGGAGATGGCTTTTCATGAGAGGGCATATGGACTATGATGCATATGGTATGGTATCAGCAAAAGCAAAAGTATCATGATATGATCAAGAGAATCAAAAACAGTATATGGTATTACAAGAAAGAGTCTTGCCCACCCGACATCCATCGTCTAAACTCCATGTCGCCTTTTTGCATGAAACCAAGCTGCCAAAGCAGAACAGATCTGTAGGATCATCATGTCCGTGACCTCATGCTTCTTAGTCGTCCCCGGAAGCCCATTATCATGAAATCATCCCATCAAGCAGCACATGCTGTCAGTGCCCGCTCGCCAACAAGTGAGCGAAGGGTGGTCGCAGAAACCATATCAAGCGGCGTTTCATCCCGATCGCTCCGCCCTTGTGCGAAGCCAACATGCCCCCCTCCCTCGGAGCGGCCACGGCCCGTCCGGCTACCAGTCCTTCTGCTTGTAGCTGACCAACGTCTCGATCTTGTGGCTGTTGGTGCTGAACCCCCGCAGCTGGACCCTCTCGCCGCCCTCGATCTCCTTGGCGTCGCTGTCGCCCCACTCGACGGGGACCTCGCTGTCGGCGTCGGCGTACACGAGCACGTTGAAGGTGCACTCGCCGGCGTCCAGCTGCGGTAGGAACGTCACCGACGCCGTGATCTGCCGGAATATGGCCGCGATCTCCTGCTGGATCTCCTGCTCCGTCTTGTTCTCTGCTGCTGGTGGCCCTCCTGCTGCCCCAGCGCCTGCCCCCTGGCTGTCTGCGTTTTCCTGGTTTGCTGTTGTCCCTGTTGATGCCTTGCCGTTCGCCTGGGGTTCTTTTGACCTTGATGATTTTGAAGACTTTGAAGACTTTGTCGGGGCGAATATCTGCACGTCGAACTGCCACCGCTCCAGGTGCTCGCCCGTGTCCTTGTTCGTGACGACGATGACTAGCTTGGAGATCTTGCCGCCGACCATCCACTTGTCGAGCTGCGACATGATCTTCTTGATGTATGCTTTGACCTGGTCGTCGGCGGAGACGAGCATGTTGAGGCCATACTTCTTGACGACGGTGAAGTCCTCGGCTGGGTAGACGCCGCGCTGGTAGAGGATGGAGTGGATGGAGTATTGGAACTGCGTGCGGATCGGGTATTAGTCAAGCTATTCTGCATGCATATATTGAAAGCCGCCCCAAAGCTGCAAGGGACGACATTGATATCCTGTCGTGGGCGACAGACGGTCGGACAGGCATGGTGGGCTGAGGATTGAACATACGAACTCGGCGACGAGCCGGGCGCTGCCTTTGAGGGACAGCTTGTGCACCTTGGAGGGGTCCTTCTCCTTCTTGCTGGGCTTCTCTGAGGTCGCCATTGTGGTGGTCGGTGTGGGGCGCGAGACAATCCTGGGTCGCAAATTCACGCGTGACGTGTCGGTAATTGATTCAGTGTGTGATGCGAGGGGTTCTTTTCGCAGAATTGGGCTGAGGTTCTGGAAGCTGGGAGTCGCATTTGTTTTGTTCGGCTGGCGGTTGCCGTGCCAGCAAGCTCCTGGAAAACGTGGGGGGTGCAGGGATGCAGTGGGTTGCAGCAACCGGGGCCTTGGGGGCGTCTTCCCCTACCAGCGCGGGCATTACCAAGATCTAACTGTGATGTAGACAAGCTGCTTTGCCGAGCGAGCAGTCGAATGGATGTAAAACTAAATATCCAAAACTGAAACTTCAAAGAAACTTTTTCTGATGCACAACTGACGAGAATGTCCATGTAACTGGAATGCATTATGGCACAGGCCTCACCAGTCATCCAAAACTACGAGAACATTATACCGACAGCAATGTTTTGCCTCTTCCAGAAGTCAAGGTTGCGCACATTGGTCTGAGTCTTTCTATGCAGATGGCTTTGTTGGGCTTCGTTTCCACAATTGCCGCCATCACGCTTTCTGCCAACTTCTCCCCTCTGCGCAAACATTCGTCTTGACCATCGTTTTCTCGATCTCGAAATAGCGGGTAATAAGGATTCGGAGGTTTCAAGCCAAACTTGATCCACATGTCTGTGTCAAGTGCTCTGGGAAGTTTGATTTCCACAAGCAAGACTTCGATCGTATGTGGATTAAGCATACCTAGATATTGGGAAGGTGGCTGACGAATTGAGATTGATGTCTACACATCTCCCGCTCACATGTCCGCTCATTTCAAAGACGATTAACCAATTTATGGCAATCACAACGGGATCTATACGTAAATGATAGGGCAAAGCGCATGGCAAGACATCCCGTCTATAGATAATTTCACTATGTAAACGACTGAAACAACCATGGAGACATATGCCACACACCGTGAAGCGACAAGAAGTCTGAATGTCATATTGAGTGACGAAGAGTTAAGCAGAACTCCTACCGGAAAAGATGATCCTGTGATTCCCATGGCCACTGCATCTCGCGCCCTTGTCCCAACATTCCTGGCAGATATCCCAATTCCCGCCTCGACACTGCGTGCAATGATAGTGGTCACTTGGGATACGAAAGGTACAAACATCACACCAATAGTTCCACCTCCAGGCTCTTTCATGGGATACGGCCACTCTTTCCAGCTTCAACAGCTTGACCTGTTCCGGGATATCATTGGCTTCGAGCTCCGCCATCTCATCTAGCCTCCCCTCTTGAACATAGCGTTCACGCCTGTCCAAAAGCTTTTCAATCCTCTTGTTGATCTTATATACCCGTGCATTGCGCATCTCCAGATCCTGCGTCTTCACATCGTCATTCATAGGCACTGGTGCCGGAACAGTCGTAGGCTGATGATCTGGAGCCTCAGGTGGCGCATGGGCGAGTTCTGTGTCGAAATCGAAGAGACTTTCAAACTTATAAGCTAAGGATGCCACGTCCTCCTCCCTCTTTATTGTTTCTTCCCTTCCACCTCGCACCTCCTTACGTAGCCTCATGTCGTCTTCATGAGCCTTTGTCTTCCTGATCTCGGCTTCCAATTTCATCCTCCTCATCTCGGATTCCAACTCCGCTAGATCATCTGTATCCAAGCGTTGTACCTGACGAGCCTGCTTAACCTCGGCCCTAAGCGCCAGTCTTCTGGCTTCATCTTCATATATGGGTGCGCTCGAGCCGAAGAGTGCGGAAGCTGGTACCGTGTCCGCTACTCTGTGCACCTCGTCGCTACGGGACCTCGACATTGATTCTTTCCAGAAAGGTGTCTCTCCGCGGACCAAATAGCGTGCATAGGCCTTGATCTCCTCCTGAAACGCCTCTATGTCCTTGTCGGTGATGCCCTCGCGCTGTAGTGACTTCCCAATATCCTGCCAAATGACATTATCATTCCTTTTGGAGTGTCCATGTGACATTCCCCAAGGCGTTGTAGCAGCGGAAAAGTCAAGGCCTTTCGTTCCATCGGGAGCATGCCCCTGGTGAGCAGCCTGTGATCCGTTCTTGATCAAGAACTCCAACCTCGCCAGCGAGCCATGACTCAAGGTCGTCAAGAATATGTTGATGCTCGCAGTATGGATAGCGAGCTTTTCCCGCGGGCCGCGCTTGTCCTTGGCCGCGAACTTCATCCACGCCACAAAGTCTCTCTTCTTGTCGGCACCCCAGCCGCTATACTTCCCAACGACGCCCTGCAGGTCTTTCATGCTCTCGGTGCAGTTGTACAACAGGATGCGCATCTGGTTCTGCCGCTCCATGCTTGCCGTCTTGATCAGCGGCATCGGCCCTTTAGCCTCGGCCTCGAGGGCCTGAAGGACGGATGTCAGGCTAGCCAGGTCGAGGCGCAGGCCCTCAAAATCTGAGCCTGCGGACTTGAGGGCGTTGATAGTCTTCCATGCCACCTCCGAGCAGGCGATTATGTCGCCGATCCCGAAGCCGAACGACATTTTATGAGCGGAAGGGTGGTGCCGGATGCTCGCTATGATCAATTCCAGGACGTGAAGTTTGATCAGAGAAGGTTTTGTTTGCTTTGCTGAAGGCTTCGTAAACCTGAACAATGGCGGCAGCCTGAGGCGTTGAAGTATCAGCTGACCTGTAGGACTTAGCTCTGTGCATCTGCGGCTGATTATTGCGATGAGCTAGGTCCTAACAACAGGGGCTCGCGGATTAGCGCGTATTTGGTGCTGTGTTACATGAATATGGTGCATGACAAGTCAGTTGATAGTGAAGAAGTATACCGAATGGTGTAGAGTGTATTTCTAGAATGCAAGGCGGGCGGGATTGAGTCGTACGAGCAAGATAAAGGTTTGGAAACAGGCAATATTGATCACTTGTCAATTCTGAAAGTAAGCACACCTGGTAAACTACTATCAGATGGACGCGGGAATCCCGTGAAATTTAATTCATTCTCAGTAAGAACTGATAGTGATGATAGAAAAGCATATGGCCAATTCTGCTTTACAATTGCAGTAATATTCAGGTGAATACTCGCAAGCCATGCCAGCATGCATCTCCCACAGCATGTTTCGTAACCTGCGGAAGTGCTAATTTGCAAAGGAACTTACAACCATTAGTCTATATACACATCACATCACATCACCCCTTCAAACAGTGACCAGTATGCTGCATCCACTCCCTGAAGAGCCCACTCCCCGCCATCGGCAGTAAGATCGGGCTCTGCGCTCAGGTCAGTTCCAGAGCCGAAAGGCGCCTGGTCATCATAAGGCGCAAGCGAGAGGATCTCATCGTCGAAAAGAAAGGCCGGGTCGAGCGAGCCAAATGCCGTTGCCTTGTGTTGGCTCTGCGAGTGTGTGGGACCAAGTTCTGCAGCTGGTGACTGCTGATGATGTTGCCAAGTCGTCGATTGGTTGTTGTTGGCCATCTTGATATTGATCGAACCGAGGTACGGCACGTTAAAGTGCATCTCCTTCCTGTCTCTGGCTGATAGTTTGCCTGCAGCCTTTTCGATTATGGGCGCCAGCTGCTCGATGATTCCCACGGCCTCTTTGCTTAAGCTGTCATCGGTCAGGCCTGCCACGTGCTCCATCCTTCTTCTCGTCGACTCTACTAGCTCCCTATCCCCTCTGATCCTCTCCCAGACCTCTCCCTTCCTTCTGCCCAAATATGACAGGCATAGTGTCATGGCCGCTATTAAAGCTGCATAGTCTACCCTTCGGCAGCTGTACGCTGAAACATTGAGGTTGCGGAACGAAATGAACCGGCTGAGCAACTCTCGTGCAGCAGTTAGGCATTGTTTCTTGGAGTGGTCATATCGTGATGAGCATGGTTCGTGAAGCATATATGGGACATGTAGAAGTATGAGAAGGGTAAAGTGGTGCATCTGGCAGATAATTCTCGCTGTAGCCTCCCAGAGTGTGTTCAGAGAAGCAAAAGGGTCAAGCTTAGGCTCTTCCCACCAGCCAAACGGCATAGCCTTGGCTGCTGCTTCGAGATCGAGATCAATTTCTTGGGTGAGTGCATATTCATGTGGCGTGGGGTCTTGCGTGATCTGAGCTCTGGGCCGATGTTGGCTATGGTTGCGTCTGAGGATCTTGGTCGAATAGACGGTATGTGCCCACTCTAGACGCTCGACAGACGTTGCGCGGGGCCTTTCCGCCTCATAAACACTGTCCTCTCCATGGCTACCAACAGGTAGACCTAGAAGAAGGGAGAGGTATCTGTCAGAGAAGACAAGGCGGTGCCACAAGGTGGTGGCTGAAGGCCTCCGAGTCGGATCGCCTTTGGGATCGCACGACCGAAATGCTGCGGAGTGACCACGATCTATTCCCATAATCTGCGCCATGCTCATGGCTCTTCGGAAAGTAAGCCAGGCTTTGCGAAGACTGCCGGCGTTGACCTGGTAGTAACCATGAAGAATCAGGCACTCAATCCCCTCAGCGTACCCGACTAGCTCGTCATTCGAAGTAACGAGCAGGCAGGTCGTGTCTAATCGACGTATTGACTCGGCTTGAGAGAACTCAAGTCCTAGTGCGCTCCAGTCAAAGGTGGGCGGTAACTGCTGGACGCAGATAAGAATTTGCAGTGCCTTCCTGGCAAGAATCAGCGGGTGTGAAGACACAGGCGGAACCACAGCCCAGTTTGATGCAGGCTCAACTTTGCCGTCTTGTCGCTCAGCATCGCTATAACATAGAGCTGCGATGTAAGGAGCACCTGGGCTGGCCGTCACGATTGCTCGCAGGACACCAGGCTTCGGGATGATGGCACGCAGAGTCGTGCAAACCCAGAAGTGCTTCGGAGACGGCATTTCTCGGCCTGAGCGCGTCGATGGTTCTGTGCTATCTTCCTTTGGGGTCGAAACGATGGGGAAAGTGGATGTGGCAGACTCCGCCGAAGTGAGAACTGGCGTGGAGTGAGGTGCGGACTCGGATGGCCCACCAATATCATTTTGCATTGCCAAAAGCGCAGCGATAGGACCATCCCGAGTGTTGGAGGCTTCAAGGCTATCCATTGATGAGATGCGGCCTGCTCGAACATGTCTTTCGTTTATCGACGCAGAGCGGCTGCGCCTGCTGTGCGGATGCTGGTTTGAGCTAGGCCCTGCGTTGTCCGCATCATCGGGCACGATTCTGTCCACGATACGTTCCATCATTTGCTCAAGGCGGTCCAGCCTTTTTGCCAATGGCGGATCTGGCTTCTGTCCCGCCTCTGGAACATCGCTATCATCGAACTCCTGACTGCGACACGCAGTCTCACGCTGCTTGCAGCCGACACAGACTGCATCTTCGGGGCTATCGAACTGGCACTTGATTTTACGTTTTCTGCCTAATATCTGTCAGGGCTTCTGCAGATCAATTTGAATTTAAACCACTGCTGCCAGCACTTTTACAGGATGTTGTAGCGTGTGGCCAACAACTGCGTATGCCGCGAGGCAAAGAGTTTGTTTGCCAGTGCATAGGACAATGGGGAAAGCTCACATTCCCAGCAAGACTTGGTGCCCTTCCTGATCTTTCTTCGTTTTGCAAGCGGTTCCGAACCGTCGATGCTGCGACGTTCCGCCGTCCTCGCACCTTGACTCTCTGACATGGCTCAAGCCTGTTCCTAGGCCCACAAGTTCGGCCGAGCGCCGGACGAACCTCTACTTGGTGAACCCCGTATGAGAGGAGCCAGATCGGTATGAAGGCCGACAAGATACACTGAAGTCTCAAAGGCGCAACCGGTATTGTAGTCCTGGCAAAAATCAGTTTTTGAAGAAATGTGGTAAGCTGTAGGTGCAAATGGATGTTCGTCAGCTCAGCTGAGGGAGGTCTCGGATTGCTTAAGCAATTCGTCAGTTCGTCCGTCCGTCGGCCGAATGAGCCGAGTCCCGAATCCAGTTAGTCCTCACTCCAATCGAGTCTCGCCATTGGTTTACTGAAATATTCAGTACAGCCTACAGTCAAATAATGGGACTTTTCGCATGTAGCTGGACTCCATCATGTCAATAATGATTTAGACTATAGTGCTTGAGGAAGTCATGAGAGGCAAGCCAAGAGCCTCTTCACGACTCCTGTAAAGAGATGCTTCGCGCTCCGGCGGGAAATTACCAAGCCAAGAATTTTGCGATGCGTAGTTTAACTTCATGAATGCGCCAGCGGTCCAGGAACAATTGATGATATTTGTGGTGAGCAATAGTGTATCCAGTCCCTTGTTGCCGGACGTAGAGCATAAACAGCCCCTGCGTGGTACCGCAAGTGATTTATCCACGTTGGCATGCTGATCTCTTGTGCCTGCCCCTATTGTGTAGAGCCGGTTGAAGAAACGAGAGCAAGTCAGCTTTACTAGACAGCCATAACCGACAGACAACCGGAGTGCGCTTGTTGGCCGTGGCTTGAGTGTGGGTGAAAACATGGGCGAGCGAGCAAGAGGTGCTCGACGCCGTCGACCACTGCAGAATGGAGAAGGGAGCATCGGTCAGGTCCAGCCAAGACGCGCCAGGGGAGAGCCGGTCAGTGCAGTGGTTCCAAGGCCCTCTTCGGTGGAGGGTCTTGTGTTTCAGCTGGGCGCAGACAGCAGTGGAAGAGCTGGCGGGCAGCAAGGGTGAGTGCTAGAATCCCCACGACGATCGGGGCAGCGGTCACAAAGCACGTGGCAACGCGGCTGGCGCGACTGCTTGTCCTGGAGGGGAGTCACGGTATACACGACATGGCAGTCGGTAGCGAGCCAGAGACTAGCAATCCAGACACAAGAACGGGTCCGGCTCTGCAGCTGGGTCTTCCGCGAGTCCGAGGTTGAAATCCCTTCTCGACCTGGTGGGGGTATTGTCGAGTTGTCTGGCCACGATCATGGCTTGTCAAGTGGAACCCCGGGACAAAGTAGAAGCGTAGTGAAGTTTATCGTTGTTGGATGCATGGCTCCTGAGGGCTCAATTATGCATGCTAAAATGTTCAGCAGATATGTTCGACATTGTCGTCCATACACAGTGACATGGACTCTGTCGTGACTAGCCAGCTGTTCGGTCTGTTGTGGCAAGTGGGTTCGACGAGACACCACTGTTTCGTCGGGGTGTGAGAGCCCAATGTGGAACCCACATTGGCTGGGGCAACAAACGTAAACAACAGCTGAGGCTGAGATAGACTGGACCAGGTGAGATGTTCTGGCCCTCGGGAGGCAGTCTTTTGCTTAGGCAAGGTCTAGATATCCACCGGTGGTATGGACAAATTCGATTCGGTGTCGAGCCCTCGCCCGTTAGGTCGTCGTCGAATCCCAACAAGCTGCAGTGCCAGCAAGGATGCTCCTCCCTGGGACCCCACCAGGATATGCCGTCATCTGACGACGGACTGGGATCAATCGGTAGGATTGTTTACAATAGCAACTATCGCTGGGGGCTCCTTGATTGTCGCGTTCTTGGACTCAACTGACGAGATGAAGGCTAAGAATTAAGCAATCAATATCAATTAATTTCACGTGTTTTTCTTGGAACAGAGCCAGCACGCGTCGACTGAATTCTAGTTCTGCCGTCTAAATTTTTTCTTCCTCTTCCTGGGGAGACATGAGCTAACAGTAATGAGCAGATGAGCAGGCAGAGTGCTCAGTGCTCGCCTGCAATGACAGCTCATCTCTGCAGCAGACCGAGCCCTTCACCGCAGGAACAACGTGGAAATTGGCTCGCATCTCCCGTCGAGTTGGGCTTGTCGTGCGTTATCTGGGGCTATCGGGCCCCCCACTCGAATTTGCGGAGCGGCTGTTAGCGGAGCTACAAAAGACTCTGCGAACCCCAGGCTCGTGCCCAGGTCCCTAGCCCTCCAAGGTTTGCCGTTTCTGCAGGCTGACAGAAACAGACTAACAACGGCTTTGTTGTGCCTGGTTCCTGTTTCCTGTTCCTGATTCCTGACCGTGTCCCGTGCCGTCCCTCTCGGTGCGTGACCACATCGCGCTGCTGCACGCTCTCGACTGGACTGGACTCGGCCTTGGGGGAGACGACCAATCCTCAACGCCAGCGCCACTCACGGCATGTGAGTGTGCGGCCAGCGGCAATCACTTCTGACTCTGAACTGCTCGCTACTCACCTGCTACCACCCGAGACACACGATCCTTTCCTGCCTTTGATACGCAGCGCAACCATCACCAACATACCACTGCAACCGGCCCACGATTGTTCCAACTTAACGCAAACTCACGACTTCATATCGACATGTCTTTCGCCTATTCGCAGCCTTTCATCCTCGATTGCCCACCCGATCTCTTAGCGCCCGCTCTTCTGCTCAAACCCCAACTCTCATCAACCATCCTGTAACGACCATGGCCGATCCTCATTCCGAGAGGCTGGACCTGGACACCTTCGCGGTCGCTGCCAGCCAGCCAGACACATTGCGGTGCTGCTGCGGGAACACAGACTGCGTCTACTTGAAGCACAATTGTTCTGTTCTTGATAGCGTTGAGAAGGATGTCCATACAGCCGCAAAGCTGGGCCAGGTACGTAGCCTTGAAGTCTTTCAGCCCCCAAGCCAAGCCACCATAATCTTGCCGCTTGTTCTATTGTCGCGCTTTTTGAGCAACGTTGTACATGTCGAGTCGTCTCAGCCGCTTGCACTTGATGAAGCACATAGAAGGCACAGTCGTCTTCGTGGGACCTGTAAATAGCACCACTTGGCATATAACTTGCATTCCTCTTCTCCATGCGCACACCTTCTGCCGCCCTCCTGGCAAGACACAAGCATTCCTGACTCGGTCTACTCCCTTCCAATGTCCGCTCAATTATATCCTCTTGCCCTTGGCGTTGCCGAAACGTCAAGGGCTTCCTATCACACCTATGTTCCTGTGCTCCAAGATGTGCAACCTCGTTCGGAGGTCTGTGACTTCCCAGCGCTGACATTCGCTCTACAGGCCCTTCTCGCGCGCCACGAGGCATACATGGCCTCGGCCGAGCGCGATCGATACGAGATGCAGTCGCGCATCGAGCAACTCGAAACAGAGAAGAGGACATTGGAAGCTGAAAACGCGAGGACGATCCAGGAAAACCGCGCGCTACTCGACCAGCTCGAATCCTACAACAACTCTGTCATCGATTCAGAGACACAAATAAGGAGCCTAGAGGCAACTCTGCAAAGTTCAGAACAGGCGATCCGGAAGTTGCAAGGCGCTGAAGCGCGAGCAACTGAAATGGAAGACCAACTCGCCAATTTGGAAGCAGAGCAAGCCGCCCTACGAAATACTCTTGTTACAACCGAGGGCGAGGCTAGATCGGCCATGCAGAGGTGGCGCAGGGCAGAGAAAGGCATCTCAGATCTGCAGGAAAAGCTGGAAAAAATAGAAAGGGAGGCCTGCGAAGAGCGACAACGACACGCCGAGGTGCTAGCTCGAATGGAGAAACAACGCTCCATGGAGAAGGATCTCAACACGGCCGCTGGAAGGCTGAAAGGCGCGGCTGCCGCGAAGACGATGGGCGAAGGCAACAACGGAGGCACGGTGGTCTCGCACTTTGTGCGTGATCTTCTGCAGGACAACGCGAATTTGCAAGTGGGCATGGCTGAGCTGCGCGAGCTCTTGCTGAATTCAAATGACGAGATACAACACCTGCGCGAGCAGCTCATCTTCCACCAGCCTGTGGAAGACAGAGAGACCAGTGCAGCAAACACACTGAGAGCAGAGCTGGATCCCGACGAGATGGAGCCTCCGTCGCCTACGTCGCCCAAATCACCCCAGTCTGAGCAGAAATCACGGCCAACGGCATCAGTGTCGCAGGAATTGCACATACATCATCATTACCACGTCGCGAAGGCTGTCGAGCCAAAGAAGCCCAAGAAGAAGCGGCAAAATCTGACCCACAACATTTTTAACCCGTCAAGAAACTTTGCGCCTTCCTCCCCGCCGAGCCCGGGTCTACCTCACTGGCGATTGCCGCACACACCCAGTGCACCTACACTCATATCACACTCTGTCAGAGATTCGATATCCACAGCTCCGTCTACGAGATGGTCTGTCTTCTCCGAGCAGCCATCGGATTTTGCACCTTCCTCAGTTCCCAGCTCTCCAGTGTCGAATCGTCGAGGCTCCGTGTTCGACAGGACGGGCCACGACACATCATATCCCACCTCGCCGGTCACGAGCATTGATCCTACATCGCCGGTATGGACCAGACACAAGAAGCAGCCATCGGATGCATCCAGACGGAAGTTCTCAGTTCCAAGGCCCCTTTTCCTGGACGGTCTGCCAGAAGACGATCAAAGTGTTGCCAGACGCCATGAAAACGGCAACGCTTCAAAACTCAGAGACACTGTGCCTACAATACTGACCACGTCCGAAGACGGTCCTGAGTCCACGACAACGGCAGTATCACCTGAAGAGCTGACGGCAGGGTCTACGGATTCTGGCGACGCCGTGACTAGCATGCCGCTTACTCCCAGCTATGACGACTGCTACCACACCAATACGCGCCCTCGCTTGCACCGCGCAGCATCGTCTGAATCCATCATGTCCCTCACTGGAGGGCTTGACATACACACGCTGAAAGCCCGCCCGAGTCAGCTTTCATTCCGACCGCTTGGTGCTGCAATGGCCGATATTGGATTAAGTGCGGTTACTGCTCGACCGACAATCGCGAGAGGCAGTACACAGGAGAGAAGTGGCGGCATGACCCTGCGGGACAAGCTTAGCCATCCGAATTTCCGCGCTGGAGATCGCGCTGCTTCAGCTTCAGCCGCCTTATCCTCACTTGCGAGCACACCAGAAGTCCCTCAACGATCAGCGTCCGGCGCCGGCTTTGGAAAGCTTGTAGGCTGGCGACCATGGGCAAGCACGAACAGCAGAGGCGGCGATAGCGCCTCAAATACACCGACATCTGACAGAAGCAGGAGCATGTCACCGAACCCTGCATCGGGTTCGTCACCCGCTACGTCAGTCATTGATGTTCCCCGAGCGTCCAGCTCTCAGACTCCTAAAAAGCCGCCTCCCAAAGAGCTCGCCTTCTCACCACGCACCTTTGGAATTAACCAGCCTGGAGCCATCCCGGGTTTCCAAGAGTACTTGGCTTATCACCAACGACGAGGGCCTCAGGCCAAGGTTGTCCCCGACGTCGTCGATACCGAGGCGCTCCGGGAGATCCTGGAAGAGGAAGGCCTTTAGCTGGCCCCCTCGGTGTATCGAAGCGGGACCCGGATGCCCTATCGACTCGTGACTGACTGGAGCCGTGAGAGCCCCTTGTATCCTCCAGCCACACCAGGCTTGTCTATTTCCTTTGTCTCTTTCCCTTTGAGCGTGCATAAAAAGTAGCGGTGTTTCCTGTGCAATTTGCTCGGCGAAACGAAACGGTGCATTGAACCGGAGTTTATTTGAATTGTCTTTACACCCGACACTCGCATTAATCCTCATTGAGTAAATATCTGTACCCACATACGCACCCCCTGTATTGCTTGTCCGATCTGCTTAGTTCATGGATTCGGTGGTGAGGCCGAGCTTGCTTGTTTACTTGATGGGAGCTGTATTATTTATCTCAGTTGTATGAGAAGAGATGTGTTGCTATCGAAGTGGAATCTACGTTAGGTCCACAGATTGAGTGTATTGGTGCTCCTACATGTATACTAGACTGTCAATTGTCATGATACCCCCACGCGGCAGCGGGAGGGAAGAGACTCCTGCGCTGTGTCTGAATAGAAGAATATTGAGTACTTGTCATTTCTTGACTGAGATATTTGGCAGAGGTGGGATCTTCGTGTGGCACTAGAGTTATAATAATATTAATTATGCGACGTTAAATATCCGACTTGCTTTTGCAAATTAGGACCAAATTTCAATTTAGACGCTATTGAAGAGAGAAGTATTTGTCCACGATGGGGCATAGTTTATATTGAGACCGTTAAGTCAATTTGAATGTCATTACGAAGTAAGGACAACTTTGCTGCCACTGTCTGATGGGTACTAGCTCCGATCATTGTCCGATCGTTCCACCTTTTACAGTACTCACAGAACTTACACCACCGTCCACTCTGACAAGTCAGAGTATACTGTTACTTCTCCCTGGCGAGAGATAGTGTACCCATGTCCTTCTGGGAGGTGGACAGGCTTCAAGTCAGCGAGACCAGCGGCAAGAGACAGCATAGCAATGGACTCTGCACATAGATATGATTGTTCTTTTGTCAAGCCCATGAGCATGCTCCAGCCACATGTTGCGTCGTTTTCGTCGGGAAAGTCTGCTAATCGGTAAGCGTTGCAATGTAAGATCTCATGAATGAGGGTGATCTCGATCAGATCACCCGCCACTTCGTTTATGTGGACCCCGGCGAGGTCCTGGGCTTCCCACTCCTCCCACGATATTTGTAAGTTTTTCGCCGTCTGGGTGAAGTCGACGACTGAGCGTTGAGGGTGCTGATAGCTGTCTGGGGTGAGTCGAAGCTCCACAGGTCGCTCATGTGTGACTAGTGCTGTGCTGACATTGACGAGTCTGTCGAAGTCTGCCTTGCTGTCAGCAAAAAATATCAGGAAGTTGATAGGGTCAAAGTACATCTGCTCTGTCTGCTGCTGGTAACGGTCGATGTCGGCGAAATGGATTCGGACCTGTGCGTGCGCCCTTGAATTGGTTCTGTTCCAATTGTTAGCAAAATCGTAGAGGTCCCGGCGGACATGGGCAGCCACTGGTCGCGGTCGGAGCTCAATTTCTCTGTCAAAATCGGGGGATGGCTCGAAGTTAGGGCTTCGCATCATCGGCTGCACATCTGTCGTTGTCGTCTTGAAGATGAGTTCGAAAAAGTGCGCAAATTCCACGTCTTCTGGATCATTCAGGCGCTCTAAGGCCCTCATAGCAAAGGACTGGGCTCTTTTGAACACAACATCAAAGTTTTCGGGACAAGAGGCATCTAAATAGTAGTAATGTTTGACCATCCTGCTAGTAGACAGGCCTTGTCGCCTCTCCGTGTAGTAAACAGAAGGTTCTCCTCAAGAAGAACTGTTGGAACCAATGTCTGGTAGCCTCCAGAATGCTAGTATTTCGGACTTGTTCAGGCTTATTGGCACACTCTTGCTGAGCAAAGTCCCTTGAAGAGATCCGAGAGTGTTTCCATCGTAACCACCTTCACCTCGCCTTCGAGGTCTACTTATGTCAATATCAGATTTTTGTACTTCAATGCCATTGTGATTTGAACAACACTAGATCAACAATGCATTGTGTACAACACCTGTATACAGTCCCAAGGGGTCGTGGAGCGAACGATGGCTATCCCGAGCCGCGTCTTTCTCGAGAATTTCATTATAGCTTTCTGCGCCTTATACTATTGATTGTCCAATATCTATATTTAGTAAATGATCTTTCGATAGAGACACCGACTAGGCTGTGGACAGGGATCGTACTGCCCCAGATTCTAGCCTCCTCATACCGCGTCAGCTTCGCTATGTAATCGGCATAGTATATGGTCGTCATGAAAGGTCAACTTCAGATGGATTTTTGCGACGCAGAAAGCCCGGGTCATACATCGAAGCAGGGTACACTCTTCCTTGATGGGTCCTATAATCTGAGGAGGCGCTCAAATTTAGTGGCAGGGGTTGAGCCCGGCCAACCATTGATTGATCAGCTTGTGAAGTTGAACTCGTAGTCTGAATCCGTTTCCTATGTTGGAATTAAACTTAGTCCATAGCTCAGATGTAGCTAAATAAGCTACCTAGGAGTCCTCAGGGGATTGTACACTCGGTTTCGTGTCAAAAATTGACTGAGATGATTTGCTGCTTTACGTTGCCTGGCATGTCGGGATCCACGAAGTAAAGTGTGATTTCGGCCTCAGATTTCCCCTTCCTAGGATCGTAAGGCTGAGCGAATGTCCAGATCTCTATGATCCGCTTCTCCAGTGGAATCAGATCCGCTGCAGGCAAATCCCAGCTCGTTCTGGCCGTCCAACTCCCCGCTCCCAAGACCCAAGTTCGCGGATCAAGATCCTCAGCTTCAAATTGCTTCAGCCAATCTTGCTCAAACAATGTGACGGGCTCCAATGAACAGAATGCGGGCTCTGACACAGGACCCCAGGAGCCCATTGTCCCTCCAAGCCCAGCCTCCTCGACTTCGACGAGTCTCTGTGCCACGGCTGCCGCGCTTGTGCTCATCCATACGCCCTCCTGCCTTCTTGAAGCGCGAAGGAGCCCAAGGGCCCGTCTTCGTAAAAGGGGATGACGGCAGCGGAAGATGACTAGCCAGAGTGACATAATTATTCCTGGGCCGTCCAGAGAAACCACCGACGGGAGAAGTGGATTCTTGTAGACCTCTGACTGAATGTAAAGAGCGCTTAGCGCGATAATGCGCTCAAAATAAGCAAGATGGGCATCCCAGGATAGCTCGTTATAATCCGGTTTTGTGATGCCGGCGAGTATAATGAGATGGACTGTTGTGTGGCAGATCTTGAGGAAGATTAGGGTTGGGCTCGGCTCCTTTACATTGGTACGACTTAAGAATTGAAGCATCTTCTGTTCCCACTCCGCCAAGTCTGCCAATATATTGATGTCACTTTGGTGAGCATTATCATTGTTGGGCTGCTCTGTGTCGGGACTGCCTGCTTCAAGCCAAATCTGCCTCATAATGCCCATCAGTAAATCATGGGCATGTGTAAGGCTCTTGATCTCTTTGGCCCTCCTTAGCGCATGGCCAAGTAGCTGGTTTTTGAGATATGGGTAAGGTGCTTGTGAAGTTTGGAAAGTTAGCCATTGTAGATCCAGTCCCGCCAGACTATCAGCCGCGTCGTTGATATTCAGTTCTGAGACCGGTCTTCCTTTGGCTTCGTCTGCAAGTTGATCAACGAGCTTGGCTGCTGCGAGAATGTGGACTTGGCTATCAACCCATTTCCCCGTGAGATTAGAGACTGCAGCCAACGCAATACTGAGGACTAGTATAGCGTTGACGTCGGTGATAGAGCTGGAGATCTTCAAAGCTTGGATATAGCTTTTGCTAGCTTGGCTAGCCAATTGGACTGAGATCGAGTCCATTTGCGATGTTTTTTGATCTGCGTCTTCAAACTTGCCAGTATCTCTGTCGACTGACGATCCGCTGTCGCTGTATCCCCCCTCATTTTGGGAGAAAGAGTCTTGAGAAAGCCGAGACACAACCTCCCATTTTCGCTGAAGTGCACCGAGTGCTGCTACAGCGTGCCATACTGCCGGCTCCACGTGGGCAGTTTGTAGCAGAGTGCGGTCCCAGAATCCGTGCTGGTTGCCCAAGGGATCGTATCTTGCCGTCGGGGCCACGGAACCCACACGGAAGCGGAAGAAGTCGAAGCAGGACACGGCGTCCCCTGGTACTTGAGGACCAGTTGCTAGGACGCGTGATACCGGCCCAACATAATTGAGCTGGCGGACGGCGAGTGTGAGTGCACGGCGGGAAAGATGCTGGACTGACGGGCTCCCTCGTTCCATGGCATGACCTGAAAGACCCCCTTGCTGAGCCTGCGCAGGGAGGTAGCCATCGCACTCGCGCTTGGACTGAATACATCTGAAACAATGTCAATCGATATAATAATTTCATTGATAATCACAGGACTCACCTGTTGCATTTAGGTCGGGCCTCATCACACTTCACGCGACGTATCCTGTAATCCTCGTTAGCGCAGCCGTACTCTGTCTACTTCACCAAGCCTCTAAGGAAGTACGCACCTGCAGGTGATGCAGCCAGTTTTTGTCCGCGTTCTGGACTTGGATTTGTCTGGACGATTTTTACTGCCATCGGTACTGCCGTCTGAACCATAATTGTCCATTTCAATTCCTTGTCTGATTGAAGACATCCTCGAGCAGCAGAGAGAGGTCCAAGGCGAAACTTGGAGTGATGCTAGTAAGGAGCTAACAAAATACGGCCAGCAGACTCAGGGGGGCCGTGTAAATCAAAACAAGCAGCCCTGTGAAGTTAGTCTCAGACGACTTTAGGAGTTGCTTGCGGTGTGTGCAAGATTCTGCCGTGTTCACTCGTTCTTTAGGCCTTAGGATATAGCTAAGGTGAGAATGAAAAAAAAAAAATTAAGAAGCAGAGAAGAAAATTGCGTTCTGGTGAGACGTCAGCTTATTCGCTGCGCCTCTGGGCTGGTGCGCGGTGCCAGTCGAAAGTGAGAAGCGGCACTAAAATTGGCCTACAGGGTTGCGGTACACTGCCGTCCGGAAGGCAGCCTCCAGTGCTTACGCCTTGATCCGCCAATACTTTGTCCATGCAAACCGACGATCGAAGCTGGCTGTTCTGAGCAACCAAGATAAACAGACTAGTGCTTATTTTGTTTGTTCATTGACCAGGGCAACAGTTTGAGGATGGCAAACGAGTTTGAATAGGCACTCAAATGAAAGATTTTGTTGATTTATTTTGTAATATAGTGTGAGAGCATGCAAGTCAACCGCTATCTCAGTGGAAGCATCAAGACTCATTCATGCAAACGCAACCATAGATCATCTTTCCTAATGCCCGAAATAAAACTGAAGGTATCCTCCTGCATCGAGTCATATTGATATACATACGGCTGCACAGCTCCGATGTGTACCACACTCACCACACTGGCAGCTGAAGTAGAAATCATGAATGGAAGAATGGAAGTTGTCGAATCCTGAAGCTCAGAAATTGACGATAACACCAACGGTCTGCTTGACGAGCTGTAGGCGTGGCTCACGGCTTCAGCATCTCCCTATGGTGCGCGTGTCAGCCCATGTTTCTTTCCCAATATTTCAATCACGGAAGTGTCTTACAGGAACTAATCTGGTTGTCGTAATCACCGCCGTAATCATCAGTCACCACTGAGAGATCGTAGTTGTAATCCAACGTGACACCTCGGTCGTCGCCCTTGTTATTGCAGTCAATGAACCTGGGTATCTGTCAGTTCATAGTCTCTAGCTTGTACCTGCGACAATGCGCTGAAAGCATTGATGATCACTTGGAAGAGCCACTCTACTGACTTGTAAAACTGGCAGTTGCCACCAGTATTTGTGCTTAGCGAGGAAGTCTTGTTCTCATACTCGTCGAGAAATGCTTGGGTGCCGTTGAAGCTGCTGTAGTTGACTTTGTCCCGGTTCTCGTCAGCTCAATTGTCGATAGACAAGTTATGACTGCCAGTGTATTGCTTACCGCACTCTCCCGGCGGTGCCCCGAAAGACAGACAGTTCCCACGGAAACCAGCTATGTCACATTGAACTGCTATGCGTTAGTCACCTGCTACGGAACCTGGCCTGAGGCATTCTGGAAGATTATAATGAAAGACGAATAGGCAATAGTAGCCGGGAAAGGGTTATACTGACGGACGAAGATGTAAGGAGGCGTGACAACGGGACGATTAGGGTCGGGCGTCGAATCAGCAGGAACATCCTGGCGCCTGCTTACAGCTGTGTCGAAGGTGATCAGCGGAGCCGTCAAGAACGCGCTGTAAGCCTCTGGATGGTTCGTCTTGAGGGGATCTCCGAGTGGGACAAGAGAGTTTTCTTGGATTGTAGGCAGGGCATTGGACAGGGAGATTGACAGCGCAGCTAGCGCGGCTGAAAAGAATGTGTTGGTCTGCATGGTGGCTTTTTGTAGGCAGACGTTTTCTGGAATGAATGTCTATGCAATGAGAACTGCTGATATGCTCCTCATGGATGGATCGATGGGAGCACATGGACGGCCTTTATAGCCAGGCCATGGCGGGTAGCCAGCCGCACAGGCTCCCAAGACTTCAATATACACTCTCGCGATCTCTCGGTCAAATGGGCATGCTTGTTCGTTGCTACCTGCTGAACTGGGTAGCGGCCCCGGTATCCGCAAGATTTCAGTTCCCCGTGATGGTTCAAGCCGTCGTGAAGGTTATCCCCTCTCCAAGCCGTCGAAGAACTCGGTTGCATGAATAATTTGCTCGTCAAGGCATTGTGGAGTTTTACACGCGATTGAGTTCTTTGGGTATATTATTGGCTCATCACGAGGAGCATCTCATATTCCTATTGATCGTTTCCACTGCTTGTGCTACCCTCCGGTTCATCCGATCCTTTATTGAGGCCCTGGCAGCAAATGAAGCTTAATGGAAACCCTCCTGAATCGTGCCACACACATTCATTTTGGCTTCCTTGGCCTACCAGAATCAGGCGAGCTATTATGCGATGGATCGGCATGGGACCCCTTTTGGGGAATTATTTCTGATACTCATGGGGGAGGTGTTGGCCGTCAACTTGCCTTCAGGAATATTTTTTACAGCCGCAAATTTATAATAGCAATGGTGATTGCCAGTTGCTCCTTTATATTCTTCAGAATGCTAGGCGTGGGCCTTCGACACAGAACTTTTTTGAGAAACCTAATAAGTTTCGCAGCATCATTGCTAAGGAAGGCTTCATTGAGTGTCGGATTCAGAAACTGGGGACGCTAGCGTGATTGTCATAAAGTAGTCGCCGAAAGAGACAGTATCAAGGGACACTCACAACTCCTGTGGTGTGACAGTCAGGATTTTGAAGGGGCTCAATCTATTTTTGTCCCCAACTTTAAAAGAACTTTCAAGGTATAAAATGCGGAGTCACTTGTATGTGGTATCAGAGCCACCGCCTTCAAAGACTAAAGAGTCACAAGGTTGATCATCTTCGCTACTTAGGTCATGAGAAGAATGATATCTCGGTCCACCCTGGACTTCATCATGAGTCGGATGATCAACAAAGACCTCGAGTCGTCAATCAATCTTATAAGGCACTTCTAAATGATGCGTCGAATTATAACTCCCGGATAATTTTTTTTTTTTTTTTGCTGCATGCTCGTTACTTAAGAGAACTGATATAGTGCCTAACTAGTACACACAAGTGATGTACTGTTGGATGCTCATTTTGTGCCTGGAACTTTTCTGCTAGTACATTCAATTATGTGCAGATGACCTCCACGTTCTCGGTACAGCTTGTCATGCTGTTCTCACTGTGATATTGGCCTACTAAATGAGCAGACTGAGATACACTAGTAGGAGGTTCATGGCTAATTAATTCACCATGTTTCCTGCTCGGCGAAAGCAGGCTGGGCATTTGTACTACATAGTCAGGACTTGATTGCATGTGACCTTACATTACTAAGTTTTCTCAGGAGTCATAGAGATGAATGACTGTATGAAGGATTGCAAACCAGCTACATCTTGAGAATATCGCCAAATACCAGCCAAAGATCCCGACCTCTCGCTGGTGACCACAATTCGGCTTCGGAAATTTTCCTTGGCGGAAGCTCCGCCAAATTTCCGAAATAAACCATATTTGCAGTGAAAGAACAGTCTCCCAAAACTGAATGCTAGATTGAATGCGCCTCAAAGAAAGGTCTCGGAGAATGTAAACCCAACATCCTGGAAGGTCACACAGAGTCTCACTAAGACCGTTGTCCCGGATACTAATACGGGCCAGATCGATTCACGATCACTGACCTCGTCCTGGCTGTTTATGCCTTTCTCTCCGGGTAGGGCTCAATTACTAGATTCATGGTTTATATTGCCATCCATATTTCGCTGCAACCAGAGAAGGCCGAAGACGGCCTAGAACGCCTTCGAGCACCCTTGTGCTACGACTTCTATGAAACACTACGAAATGACAGCGTTATCCCTCATGCGAATACCTCTACGGTGAAATAGGCTTAGAGATTTCAGTCCTCAGTGTGAGGTTTACGGACTCCCACGATCAGTTTTCCACCGGTACACATTTTATTCACGGCTACAGTCCTCCAAGTAAGCGTCTGGCGGCTGCAGGGACTCCGAAAATATATCGAGGGCCAATTTGATGATGCTGAGGCAATCGACACTGTTAAGGCTTCCTGGAATGACGCAAGATAGACTCTCCTCTCTCATTTTCATATGGCACTGTCGGTGTACCCTGGTGCTTTAAGCCAGGAGAAGACCCGGGTTTCGACCTTAGCTGAAGGTGACATCAAAGTGAGTGACAAAACGCGCTGGAAAATCACCTTTACCTCACGGCTCCCTCCAAATATGGATCAAGTTGACACAAATACATGCGCTCAGTAGGCAATACTTAGCATCACAGCAGAATGGTGTGATCTGGAGCAGAGCCACCATGTATGCTGGCACATTTTGGTTGAGGCCACAAAATACAAGGTCGACACTATGCCCTCTTAAGGACATTTTGAGACTGTGCATCGGCCAATTGATCAGGCATTGTGACTCGAGCATCAGAGGTGTCGTCCACGGTCTGACTAGTTTCGATAAAGACTGCTGGATAAAGTATCTGAAGCTCTGGTATTTGAGTTAGTGGTGACGGGCGGAGTGAAGGCGTTCTACATTTGGGGGCATCTTCACAACAGCCAGGTAATTGAGCCGTATGCCATGCTGATGTTTATAGTGAGTGACTGTCCGACATCTTCATTGTTCCACGTTGGACTTGCCATATCAGTTCATCTTGTAAAGTGTATTAGGTGGACCATTGTGGGCTGCCTGGGTCGCTGTGTGCTTGACAACGTTCCCATTGTAGTTTAGAGCTTCTCCAAGCTTCAGAGCTTAACTGACGCAGTCCAATGGCCAGCTGCTGACAGTGACACAGCACCTACGTATGGGTTCCCGGACACCCCACCATTATGCGGGGCTGGCGGAGCTTACGGGCGGATGGTCATGCCGTCATTGACACGCCAGGGAGAGCTTCGACCAGTCACAGCTCGCACATTACAAGTGCTCCTCCTTCAGAGCAACATCCCAGTTGATTCAGGTAGGTTGGGGACGGCGGGATGGCTGAGACAGGCAGACGGACGGTTGAATCTGTAACGGTAGACAGCTGGTCTGGTTGCGTGCTTGTGCTTGACGTCTTATCGCCTGCAGGGTGCCGACAGATGCTGATGCCTCATTGACCCGACCCCCTCCCTCAACCGCCTGCTGTTACTGCTCCCTTCTCCCTCTTCCACCAGGGGAATCAAGCTTCATGAATCCCACCATCTTCAGGCCCAGACCAAACTCCCTCTACAGAGTCGTCAAGCCCTTGTTCAGCAACCATACTGCAGCTATCCTCGTAAGAAGACCACTGCCCACTGCCCATTTCGGCACTTCAGTTGCAATGGCCCAGGAATATAAGCTCAAGGGCGTCACTTCGCTCGACCTCAAGCCGGGCGCCAAGCAGGAAGTCGAGGTTGAGGGCCTCGACACCAAGGTCCTCCTCCTCAACGACGGCACCAAGGTCCAAGCTGTCGGTGCAAAGTGTACCCATTATGGCGCTCCTCTAGTCAACGGAATTCTGACCACAAATGGCCGTCTCACTTGCCCCTGGCACGGAGGTTAGCACTGTTCGCATGTTTTGTGTCTACCAAATTACCATAAGAGCCAGATACTTACTGCAATACCTTCTCCCAGCTTGCTTCAACGCCAAGACCGGCGACGTCGAAGATGCTCCCGCCCTCGATTCCCTCCCCGTCTTCAAGGTCACCCAAAAAGACGATGGTTCCGTCTACATTTCCGGCGAGGAAGCCACCGTCAAAGCTGGCCGTCGCAAGCCCAACATCAAGTGCAAGGTTCAGACTGCCTCGGTGGAAAATAGAGTCCTCGTGGTCGGCGGTGGCTCAGGCGCCATCGGTGCGATCGAGGGTCTCCGTACAAATGGCTTCCAAGGCCCAATCACTCTGATCTCCAACGAAGGCTATCTGCCAATTGACCGCACCAAGCTGTCCAAAGCCCTGATCACCGATGCGAGCAAGGTTGAGTGGCGTGACAAGGAGTTCTTCGACAGCGGCAGCGTGGAAGTCATTGACGACGAGGTCACAGGAGTCAATTTTGCGAACAAGTCGGTGGCAACCAAGGTTGGCGGAAACTACACCTACAGCAAGCTCATTTTGGCCACTGGTGGTACAGCCAAGTCGCTGCCTCTGCAAGGCTTCAAGGTTTTGGGCAACATCTTCACGTTGAGAAACGTACATGATACGAAGCAAATCGTGGACGCTATCGGTGACAAGGGCAAGAAAATTGTTGTGGTCGGCAGCTCATTTATCGGTATGGAATTCGCCAACGCCACCGCTGCAGACAACGAAGTACATGTCATTGGAATGGAGGGTGCGCCTCTAGAGCGTATATTGGGAACCAAAGTCGGAAGTACCCTTCAGAAGGCCTTTGAAGGCAAGGGCATCAAGTTCCACATGAACGCTGGTGTTGACAAGGCCGAGCCTTCGACATCCGACCCTTCCAAGGTTGGCGCCATTCTTCTGAAAGATGGCACTCGCCTCGACGCAGATCTTGTTGTGCTTGGTGTCGGCGTTGCTCCCAGTACCCAATTCCTGAAGGACAACACGATTGTTAAGCTCGAAGAGGATGGAAGTCTTAAGACAGACGAGAACTTCAGCGTTGTGGGGCTGAAGGATGTGTACGCAATCGGTGATATTGCGAGCTACCCTTACCATGGCCCCGGAGGAGAGGGCAAATACGTCCGCATTGAGCACTGGAACGTAGCGCAGAACGCCGGGCGGACTGCTGCTGGCCACATTGTCGCGCCTACAAGGAAGTCTGCACCATTTACGCCCGTCTTCTGGAGCGCATTGACAGCCCAGCTCCGCTACTGTGGAAACACTATCGCTGGTTACGATGACGTGGTGTTCCAAGGCAGCCTGGACGAGGGCAAGTGGGCTGCCTTCTACACCAAGGGTGAGACAGTAGTTGCAGTTGCCAGCATGGGCAAGGACCCTGTCATGTCGCAGAGCGCAGAACTGATGGCCCTTGGCAAGATGCCCAGCAAGTCGCAGCTGAAGGAAGGACTGGATCCGGTCAGTCTCGGACCCCCGGAGTAGAGCCCCCAATATGCTGGCGGCCTAGGCTAGTAGCCGCCTGATGGTACTGTGTGCTGGGTCTTCGTCGCAGTGATACTGGGTGTGGAAACGGGGTTCCTGGCAGCTTCCGTAGTATTGAGAAAGATGATGATGACAACGATGACGCACAGGCGTTTGTACGGATACACAAAGTAGTTCCTTTAGTAATATGGATTCTTCGACCTCTTCAATGTTGTTAGCCTCTCACTACACGCGAGACGACTCAAGGCTCACCGAGCTCTGTGAATCGGCCTGAACATTAGCAGTTAGTCACCGATGTCCGAACCACGCCTTCAGGCCTCGAACAGCCCTCCTACTGATTAGAAGTAGGTCCCACGGCTCGCTACCTTCTTCAAATGTTGCGTGCCACCTATATTTGAGTCTTCTACTTTACTCTTTCAAACTCACTCGCAGCTCCACCTCCATGTCTTTGTCTACAACTCGCCCGAGAAGGGCGACTAGCTTGAAATTTCAAGATGTGTAGACTGTGACTGGTTTTCACTCAAGACTTCCTGCTTGTTTGAGTATCTGCTGAGGCCATATCGCTGCCACTATGTAAATACAAAATGATCGCAGTTGGGAAAGATTCAACAACTCAACGGTCGGTGGTACTTCCGGTTGTATCCACTTCCAATACATGAATGTCATCCCATACCGTGCGATGTACCCATCGGCACAAAGACCAATTTACAATCCGAGCCATTCCAGCAATCCCTGCAGAAAAAGGCACATGAGTGTCCGGCTGCAATGAGACATGACGTTCCAAGACCATTACATTTAGCAAAACATTTGAACGACGTGGAAGTAAGACTACAGGCAAGCGTAACCCTATTAGCGACCAATCAGAGCCAACTCATTTGGAATCCGACTTCAGATGGCTTGAACTCTAAAACTCTAATTGTACTCCAAAAGAAGAGTCAGCTCGAGACCTGAGTCTGCGATGCACAATCATCTATAATGAAGATGATTGAAGCAAACGATATCAACAATGGGCTCCTTATGCTACTCGCAGTCGCGTGCCTCCTACTTGCGAGCCGATATGCATCCTGGCTGAGAAGGGATTGGTCGAGCCAAGGTTTCGGGCCGCGAGACGGGCTAGTCCCCGAAATCGATGGAACCCAGCTATACTACGGAAGGAAGAAATGGCCGCAGTATGAGGCCAGGTTCAACCTTAGGCTGTCCTACGTGTACGGACCCGTCGTCCTTATCAGACACCATTCCACCACACTACTGGCCAAGCTCGGGCGGTGTATGGACAGCTGGTTCTATCGGACCAGGGACTCTACAGACACCACTATTCTCGTCAATTCGTTATCCAAGAATGAACGTGTGCTGAAAGGTCTTCTCGGAGCATGTGCCTCTCGCAGGCCTTCGATTGCAGCCGGGAAGTATCTCAGTCGTGGGCGGAGGATTGTCCTACAGCCATACGGCCCAGATTGGCTACGACATCGCCGAGCTTTTACCTCGCTCTTAACGAAAGAGAAGATCAGCAATAGGTGGGCCAAGGCATTGCGCCATGAAGCCATGATCATGGTACTGCGGATCCGCGAGCTGGGAAAGCCGCATAACCCGTCCGAACCTACCCTATTAGACGAAATCTCGCGGTTTACGGCTTCAAGTGTGATGCAGATCACTTATTCCCGAAGAGTGGAGACACCGGGTGATCCCATCTTGAAAGACTTGCAGACATGTTTCCAAAATATTGCGAGCGCTTTCACCCCCGGGAAATACTGGGTTGAGGACTTGCCTCTGCTGGACAAGTTTCCTGTCTTTACTTCACCGTGGAAGAGGAAGCTGACCTCAGATCATCTCTTCGAGATGACATTATTTGAAGGTTTACTTCGTGGTGTGGAGACCAGACTAGATGGAAATGAAAGCAACAAGAGATCAAATCGCAAGAGGTTTCCGCAGCAGGCCGGAGATGTCGTGATAACGCCCGGAGAATCCGCTGCTGCCGAGCTCCTCCGAAATGCAGAGCAGTTCCAGCTGGATCGAGGGGACATCGCGTATCTTGCGGCTGGAATATTCGAGGCCGGCACGGAAACCACGGCCATGACCCTGAACACCTTCCTGCTTGCCGCAGCATGCTACCCGGAAGCAATAAGACGAGCACAGGCAGAGATCGAAGAGTATATGAACAGTAAGAAATGCAAAGAGGACTCAGTTCCAACCTTTTTGGATTTGCAACACCTGCCGTACCTCAGCGCCGTGGTGAAGGAGGCCTTGAGATTGACTCCAACTGGCAGCTCTGGAGTAGGACACACGCCCACGAAACCAGTGCCACAGACTCTGAGCCTCGAGTGCGATGGCGTTGGTGATACAATCCAGCTGACCGTACCACCTGGAACTACCGTGCTGGCCAATACTTACGGCTTACATCACGATCAAGACCGTTACCCAGACCCGTGGCGTTTCAACCCAGACCGATGGATGACTCCTGACACTGATCAGAAATCTCCTTCGGGAGTCCATAAGTCTTTGCCTTCTGGACTTTCTCTCGACCACACACACGCAAACTTTGCCTTCGGCTTCGGCAGGCGAATCTGCCCCGGCTCATCACTAGCATCGCACTCACTGTCGATGTCCATTGCTCTCTTACTGCTGTGCTTCGACTTCAGGTTGACAGATCGAGCAGAAGTTCATCGTCAAACCGTGGAGAAACAAGATCGGGAAGAGTATAGAAGGTGGACTGAGCTCTTCCCCGATGAGGACCGGGCCACAATGGATCGGGAGCGATCATCCAAAGAGGGCTGTGAGGACGAAGGTGATGGGATTGGCAGGGTCCTCATTGATGCGTACATCACGTTCAAATTGTCCAAGGCACAATTGGCGGAGTGCGTCTATCTCCAGCCTCGGAAAGACAAGCCCTGGTTGAGGGTTGTGGGTGATACCCTGGCTTCGATGCGATGCCAGTAAATTTCCGAGTCTTGAAAAAGCAACTTCATTCCGAAGTGACAGAGCTCGCTGTGCTCTGGAAAGATTCAATGAGATAGTGGTGTGCTGAGTTGGACAGACTCATCGCATCTCGGAAGGCCACTCGAGGCAGGCCGAGTCACGAACAAGAACCATATATGACAAAGTGAGGTTATAGTCGACTGGTGAGACGCTTGTCTCTTTCTGGCTTGATCTCGTTTGACCTTTTCGTTAGTCCCATCTTGTCACTTGACTCTAGGGGATGAGGATTGAATCCCTTGGATCTGGATGTCGACAACACCACTACTATGGACCGGTAGTTGGTAACACTGTACTAAAGACCCATACGTAATGCAAAGCTGTCTGGGAAAACAAAGGTAGAACCGGCGAAGTCATTGACAAGCACATTCAACAATGCAGGCTGAATATCAAGGGATTTTGATCTGGCCGGGGTCGGTGTCACAAATGCTTGGGAACAACTGTGAACAATGTCGTCGACGATTCTCCCCAAATGCAACTCTCCACTGTGAGATTTCTCAGCAGAGATAGACTACTGTTCACTGGGAAATGGTTTCCCCGCAAGGGTTGCGACAAATCTGGGGCGTGGCAGGCTGGAGGAGCCAGCCAAAAATTGCTGTAGGTCCGCTGTAGCCGGACCAAGTGATCCGGGAAGGGCCTAGATTCCAACTGGCAAGTGTCTGTCAAGCTTAAAATTAAGGTAGACTAGGTCAACCGTTACATCCTGCAACATGTACTTTTTTTTTTTTTGCAGCGGCTGTTTTGGGATCCTGATGTGGTGAGGCTCTTTGTGTCTGCGGGCGGTACGCGTAAAGTCTATGACGTTGAATGTGCCTATTGGAGGTAGATCCGACCTAGTCTAACCGCCCCTTGGCTCTGTCAACACAATGACGCTCCATGTCCGTCATACGCCACACAGTCTGCCACCACAATGCAAGTCTCAAAACCCATCAAACATTTCGACTTTTGACACCGAAAATCGAATTGCCGAGCCTCCGTTCAGCCCAGGATGAGATGACACATGGCTTGGTAAAAGCGGAAACGGCAGCTTGCAGCTGCCAAACTGGTTGTCCTGTTGCCACTACTGGGTGACATGCGTCCCGCTGAAGGGAGCCAAGGTGAGATTTGTGGTTGTGTTGCAGGATGTATTCTCGGATCTACATGCGCGTAGCTCATATCTGCCTCGTGGTCCACACAAACTAGATCAGTGCTCCTGCTTATAAGTACGGGACTCGGCCCCTAAATCCATGCTGCATTTCTGTGGAATAAAATACCATCCACCTTGTGATACTCCAAGCTGCTCACTTCCACATCCAAGAACATCAAAACCGAAATTTTCTTTATTGATACCCATTTTCGCAAATCATCATGTCAGTGTCACAGGCAGCTTTCAAGGCCGAGAAGGCTGTTGGCCACGATGGTAGCACCATCACACAACAAGATGTCACCAACTATTCACAAAGCGGCAAGAGTGAGAACATGAAAGCTCTCGTATGGCAAGCAAAAAACAAGGTTGAGATTATCGATACCCCTCGTCCCAAGATTATTGAGCCCCGAGATGTCATTCTGAAAGTCACCGGAAGCACACTCTGCGGAAGTGACCTGCACTTACTTCACGGTAAGTCTTGCCATATGGTTGTACCATTTTCAGGAATCACCTGTGCTCATGCTTTGACTAGGATCGGTCATCCAAATGCAAAAGGGCGACATTCTCGGCCATGAGTTCTGTGGCGTTGTCGATGAGGTCGGATCCGAAATCACCGGCATCAAGAAGGGCGGCCGTTACGTTGCATCATTCCAAATCGCCTGTGGAGACTGCTTCTTCTGCAAACAGAAACTGTCATCCCAGTGCGAGCGCACAAACTCCAACAGCACTGAGCACGCCATGTACGGTGGCCAGACCGCGGGTATGTTCGGCTACTCGCACTTCACCGGCGGATTCGCTGGTGGCCAGGCAGAGTATGTACGCGTGCCTCTAGGCGACGTGAATCTCCTGCCCATCCCGGACGACGTCCCCGATGAGAAGGCTTTGTATCTTTCCGACGTGCTCGCCACGTCGTACAACTGCGTCAAGGATACCGCTGTGTACAAGGGCGATGAGGTCGCCATTTGGGGCGCTGGCCCCATCGGCCAGATGTGTGGCATTTTTGCGATCAACGAGGGCGCATCCAAGATCATTTTTGTGGACGAGGGGACAAGACTGGATTTGGTCAAGAGCAAGTGGCCGGCAGAGCACCAAGACAAGCTGGAGCTCGTTGACTATAAGAAGCTGAGTTTTGGCGTCACAAACAAGCCTACCGTTGTTAGCAAGCTTAAGGAGTTGTGCGGCGGCCGTGGCCCCGATGTCGCCTTGGAGTGCGCCGCTGGCGAGTATCCCAAGGGTTGGATGCATACGGTGGAGATGGCTGTTGGTGCCGAAACAGACACCAGCGAGCTGGTCAACGAGATGATTGAGAGCGTGAGGAATTTTGGCCGATGTGGCATTACCGGTGTCTATGTTGGATACGTAAGTTTGTCACTTATCTCCTTGGACTATGCAAGATTACTAATTGTTTTAGACCAACCACTTCAACATCGGGTCTCTGATGGAGAGAGGTATTCGTCTGATTGGCAACGGACAAGCACCAGTCCACCTGTACTGGGAAAACTTGATGAAGGAAATCCAGTCAGGCAAGCTGGATCCCCTGCAAATGGTGTCCCACCGAATCACTCTTGAGGATTTGGATAAGGTTTATTACAAATTTGACAAGCACGAGGATGGCCTTCAGAAGATCTTTGTTGAGACAAAGCACTCTTTCCCGAAGGCTGCTGGGTCTCCTGAGTTGACACGGTTCTGAGGGTTTGAAGCGGAAATTTATTAGCGATTGTCTATAATAATAGTGTGACTTTGACTGTCAACAGTTCCACTTGTAACGAGTTGCGAAGTGAAGGCGCTATTGCTGAGGATCATCAGTGTGAAGATAAAACATCATGCTCGAGCTACCCTTCCAACTCATTTATAATGCGACCAGAGTTACAGAAACTTGATCAGCAAGACTCAGACCTTGTTCGGAGAAATAGGTCTGGATTGTATTGCTTCGGAACGCCACCAATTTTCACATATTCGTCTTGCAAGGCGCATCTTCCGATCTGACGTGTGATAAGGGTGACGTATTCCGTACTCTCTTCGCTATTCGTGGACAATTTACTGCTCATAATCGTGTCCAGGAGCAAGTATGGCTACACCCTTAGCTACTGGCAGAGCTGCTCTTGTTAAGGAGACTCACCAGGATTATACAACTTTTGAGATCCCAGCCGTGATGGCAACTACCGCGAAGCCTGTCAATGAAAGAATGGAAAAGGCTTCACAGGCGACTATCTAACGCCGGTATTCCAACATGGAAGCGGCATCTTGGACGCCTGGAAAGCTGCTCACTCGACCACATTGTCCAATGTCACTCCTATGAGTTTCAATGACAATGCCAACAGACCACAGAAGCTCACTTTCATTATCAAATATACGGAAAGCCAGCCTACCACGTATCAATTCAGTCACCTCGGTGCTGGCTCTGGACATGTCTTCAGCGCCGATGAGCCTGATAACCATTTTACAGAAGCTGAAGCCTTGACAGTCTTCGCCAATATAAGCATCTCACCACAATTAGTCGCGGTTGGGCCCGGCGAATCTGCTACAGTCTCCGTGTCAGTAACCAAAGAGCCCGACCTGCCAGAAGCGGTACTTCGTGGCTCGTATTTTGGGGGCTATATCGTGGTCGATGCTGTTGAGGGCTCGGCCGAGGTCAGCAAGCTGCAACTGCCCTACATCGGATGCGGCGCACCACTCGCTGTCATGCCAATCATGAATACCACGGCCTCATACTCGGCGGTCTTGAACTTCCCAACCTCTACGATCACGCCCGCCAATGACTGTCTTTCCCACTCTTGCTCCTTGGGACGCCAACGACCTCGACAACCCTGCTCACTGCGAGGTAGACAAGGGCACGCTACACCCAGCAGTAGTGCTAGCACTCAACGTGCCTACACGGGACATGACACTCAGCGTCGCAAATGCAGTGAATGGCGAGAATATGCTTGTCTCGTCGCGTATTGTATCGCCGGATCTCTATAATTGGGGTTCCACATACGGCAATGGTGTAGATGGCAATTACACTCGCCTTTCCGAGGGAGACCATACTGGGCGAACCACGTCTTTGAAACTCAATGCAAGCCCGGACGATGAAGACATCTGGGAGATGTGGGAGTCATTTAAACGGAACATAAGGTGGACGACAAATCCCACAGCCAAGCGATGAAAGCGGCAAATATTAGCCCTCCTAACTTTCATATCTTTTATTATTTCAAGCTGATACACATGCATCAGCCTTCGGGAACGATGCAAGTCCTTCACCTTGGCGAATGGCTTCCATGTTAGCTTTTGAGTTTAGCTCTACAGTTGCTTCCTACTGGAACGTTAAAGCCCAAAGAATCACGCCCGAAGCATTGTACGCAGGACGAGGGCAAACCTAAATCTGTATTGTTTTGACTAGGACGATTTTTTAAACTTCGTCTGCAGGTAGCTGTTCGTGGGAGGCTTATGCTGGCTGACGTGACATGTGATGCGATATGAGAAGCATGGAAGTCGGAGGGAAAGAAGTAGAAACGAATTGGTGACCAAATTCTACGTGTACTCCTCGGGCAGCCACGTGTTCAAGACACACCTCACCGTCAGCCGCGTCGTTGATCGCGTCTCGTCATTTGCATCAGCAAGCTGCTCTGCTATTGCATGTACTAACCGGAAGAGAGTCTCCGGCCTGCTCTAGCGGCGGTTGACATCTCACCAGCCACGAACTGCCCTTTTGGGCAGCTTCTATGGTGACCAGTGCATGTCATTGGCCGCCACTGCTGATCTAACCTCTCTGCAAACAGGTTTGGGGCCGCCTTGAATGAAGAATGGCTCAGGTACCCCAGTACTCTCACAATGACGACTTCCCCCCAAACCGATCTTCTTTTGTGTGGCGCGTGTCCCCGTCTCACAACTGACGTCACCCTTACCGTGGCTTGACGGGCCATTTGTTGGGACTCTCAGAATGAGGATATAACATACCCGGGTACGGCTTCAGCTACAAAGTTGCCCTCCGCATCACAATACGTCGAGATTCAAACACACGACTTGTTTACACTCAACAGACATCATCCTTAGCCCCAGACAACTCACACCACACACAACACCACAGTCAAGATGACCAAATTCATTTCCGCCTTCGAGGACTTCTTCAAGTCCATCTACGAGCTCTTTGCCAGCATTATCGGCACCTTTGCCTCGCTCGTCAACACTATAATTACAACTATCCTCAACTTCTTCAGCGGCATCATCAACCTCTTCCTCGATGTTGGCAAGGGAGCTGTCGATCTGGTCGGCGGCATCGGGAAATTCATCGCCGGTTAGTTGAGCAAACCTTCTGCACGAAAACCCCCTGGAGAGACTAATGGACACTAACTGAGTGCAACAGGAAATATCGTGGTCCTAGGAGTGATCGCTGCGGGTGTCTACGTCTACACTCGCCAACAGCAGGGACGGCCAGTGGTGCCTGCGAAAAAGACCAATTAAAGTTGTTCTATGCAGGAAACTCGAACTGGATTGCGAAGTGAATTTCGGATTGCCATAATGATCGACGACGTCTAAGATAACTGCATCCAGAAAAGATGCTGGTCCCATTGCGCACAGTTTGCTTGGAAACACGATACCCCCTCTAGTTTCGGCCTCGACAAGGTGCAGGCTTAGGTACATAGCAATACAATTAACATTAGCTCAAATGTCACAGATGCGATTGTCATAAATATTTACGAAAGTCTAGATTGTAGATTGATCCATATAATCATTGGGTATTTCAAAGGTGTCCTATATTTCAATGGGAGAGCGCATTCGAATTCTCTACATGCGTAGACTGACCGATCAAAATGGACGTTGTTAACAATACTCGCATGAACCCCACGAATTCTTTAACGTCTGGTATTCCCGAGAATGCTACATCTTTCGATGACTGATGCACCCACTTGTCTGTGGCATATGCTGTTGCCGGCTGTTGTAGGTGTGTACTCTGCACAAACAAACGAAGCCGCAAGTAAATACTCACTGAGCCTAACACGTGTTTGAAAATCAATGATAATTAAATGACTCCTCATATATTAGTTGAACTGGTCAGAACATGGGACACACGGAAATGTGCCACCGTTCCACAATTAGGCGCCGTTTAATCTATCACATGTGACGATCCAGCTTTGAAGCCTTGCTGCCTGCGCGCCGCAAATCATGATGAATTTTGCATAGCTCCAAGTCAGAACACGATGGATAATCCCGCATGTATGTTTAAGGAGAATGTGGGAAAATACTATTGCCGATTGTCTAGCCCATCTCACCCGGTGCCTTGCCGTGCTGGGACAGATCGAGATCATGAAACTGGCGACTCAGCAATAACCCCCCGTCTATAAATTTGTCCAGCAGGGCTACATTACTTTTCATGTTGTGAGGTTTCATTCCTGCCCGGGATAATGGCTTTTTACAAATTCTCATTTGCGGCAAATATTCTTTCTGCCTCGTTTCCGACAGTGCCACAGATGCTGACCTCAGAATGACTGCGTCCTATGTTCTCAAGAAGCGATTATCCTCGAAGATACTGTAATCGAACTGCATCCGAGGCCACGCGGTCAATTCCAATAGACCCGAGATTTCGCGACTCTGCCGCAAAAGCCCGATCAATGTGTGACAAGACATGGTTCAACTGTCTCGAACCAGTGCCAATATCCGAGCTCTATACAGCTGGATGGTTGCGTGGGATGCCACACGATTGGCCCTAGCTTGTGGAAGCGATACTCGTACCACTGTGGCATCCCACCAACGCTCCAGGCATCACATCCTTCCTGCTTGGCTTTACGTTTTGATCCTGTTGTAATCTTATCAGATCATCTGGAATCTCTGGGCACCCGAGGCTCATTGGTGAGAATCCTGCAGCCAAGATACCAAGAACTAGAAGCGGCCCCGTCTGAACCTAACAGCGCCGGCGCTGTCCGCTCGTATGAGGAGCACAGCTGTTGTCACCTGCCAGTCTGCTGCAGGCTGGGGGAAAAAAAACTCTGATAGCCTTCGGTCTGCATTCTTCACCAAGTCATCGTGTGGGAGTCTCATGTTTGCCACGCCCACAGTCTGGCTGAACGATAAAGTGGATTATTCGCGCGTGGGAGCAGCGACCCAGAACCTCGGGAATCGTAGCGACGACCACTCAGCTGGCAGAACAAAGGTTGCAGGAACCTGTTAAAAGACCCTCCTCACTTACCCCTCTCAGTGGCCGTGGCTGGGTAAATGCAGCGTGGCCCACTCTGAATTATGGCAGCCGAAAAAACAAACGAGAGCGGCCCAACGACCGGACTGGCTGATCAGCATGTCAACCAAGGGGCCGAGAAGGGCCAGATTGCCATCGACAACACCTCAGACTCGGGATCGGCTTCCGATAATGAGCACAATACTGGGGGTCTCGCTGGTGTTGAGAGGATCGAGGCCACGACGAGAGCTTGGACGAAGCCATGGCTCATCTTGACCTACATCTTGTAAGCACAATCTGGCGGCACCAGCTGTCCTGACACTAATAGATTCCATCGCACAGTATCTGGATCATATTCTTCACCGACTCGCTGCAGCAGCAGATATCGGCATCACTGCTGCCCTTTGTAACCAGTGATTTCGGCCTCCATGGCCTGATAGCAACCACGAGCATCATTTCTGTCATCGTGTCTGGAGTCGTCAAGCTGCCTCTAGCTCGTGTATTGGATGTGATCGGCAGAAATGAAGGTTTCATCATTATGCTGTTGGTCACTGTCATCTGTCGGTGTCCCTGCCTATGCATCAATTAAAGATCGAGAAAGCTGACAAGACATATTTCCCTCACCTTAGCGCTGATCCTGATGACCGCTTGCAGAAACATACAGACCTATGCTGCCGGACAAGTCTTTTTCTGGACCGGTATGAACGGGATCGGCTATGTTCTGCAGATCTTCATTGCCGATACCACGAAACTCAAGAATCGTATGATTATGTTTGGCTTCACAACCACCCCTTACATATCCAACACCTTCGCTGGTCCTGCTGCGGCTCAAGAGATCCTGAGGGGAACCACTTGGAGATGGGGCTTCGGCGCGTTTTGCATCATTATCCCTGCCGTCTGCGCGCCCGTAATAACCATCTTTGCGTTCAACCTGAGGAAAGCGAAGAAACTAGGCTTGGTCAAGGAGAAAAGCCACTCAGAGAGAACCAGGACACGATGGCAATCGGCCAAGCACTGGTTCATCGAACTTGATGTATTTGGCGTGCTTCTTTGCGTGGCAGGATTTTCTCTGTTACTACTGCCTTTCAGCTTGGCCACCTACCAAGCAGAGAAGTGGAGATCGGGGACGGTCATCTCCATGCTCATCATTGGCGTGCTCTGCCTGATCGCATTCCCCCTATACGAGAAGTACATCGCTCCTAAGACATTCATCCCATTCGCATTATTCAAGAACAGGAATGTCCTAGCAGCGGCCCTCCTAGGCGGAAATACATGGATTTCGTTCTAGTAAGTGACCATCCTCTTTGGGCACCATGGACAAATACTGACCTTGACTCCTCATGTAGCTGCTACAAGCTTTACTTCTCCTCTTACTTGCAGGTCGTCTACAACCTCAGCGTCTCGAAAGCCGGTTACATCGTCAACATCTTCAATATTGTCTCCTGCGCTTGGGCTATACCTGTCGGACTTCTTATCCGGTACACAGACCGTTTCAAGTGGCTAGCTCTTATATCCGTCCCCCTCTGGATCCTCTTCACTGGCCTCATGGTCAAGTTTCGTATGCCAGGCACGAACATCGCTTATGTCGTCATGTGCGAAGTCTTCACATCCCTTGCAGGTGGCACACTTGCACAAGTGGAACAGATCGCAGCCATGTCGGCCGTTCCTCATCGCGATGTCGCCGTCTCGCTGGCAATAGTGGGGCTCGTCACCTCGGTCGGCGGCGCCATCGGTCAGAGCATCAGCGGGGCCATCTGGACGAATACATTGCCTGGATTGCTGAGAGCTTACTTGCCCGAGGAGCTGAAAGAGGACTGGGCTACGATCTACGGAGATGTCACTGTACAGCTCGGCTATGAGTGGGGAAGCCCAGCCAGAGAAGCAATTGTGAGGGCTTATGGCGAGACGCAGAAGTACATGCTTATCGCCTCGCTTGTTTCGGCTGCAGGTTCTGTTGTTTGGGTGACCATTCTGAAGAATGAGCGTCTGAGCGATAAGCAGCAAACCAAGGGCGTGTTGTTCTAAGTAATAGACGGAAGGGTAATGTCTCAGATCTTGCAATCCTGAAACAATGTGGACTGGGTTGCACAGTAGTTGTAATGCGTTCGCGACATGTGATGAGGCTTCTACATAACCCAAATCATATTGAGGAGACTGTGAGCCTTGGGAAAGCACAAGAAATTGGGGACATATCACAATTGGTCTCAGTCAAGAATGCTGATTTCAGTACTTCATATCCATTTCTTCTTCACTCTCGCCGTACTATACAACGTCGTGAATGGCACAGCTCTGCCTTTAGATGTCGAGGTAAACTCTCACTGGACATTCTGGTTAGCCATCAAATCCACACGCTACAGCACCTTGGCTGAAAATCCAGCAATGCCAAATCGACACATGTTTTGCTTCCTTGAATTCAACTACATTCTTGACCAAATCCGCAGAGTCATCACATTCATGAGCCGAGAGCTATTAATCCTGAGTCGATGACTTACAATGCAAGGCCGAGTGATGACAACCATAAATTTGGGGTTGCAACGTTGTGTGCTAATTTTCCTGCTACATGCATTCGTATGCCAGGACATTTACACTTAATCACACATTCTGCGTAATCAACTTTGACTTTCGACAGAAATGAAAAGGACGTAGCCACAATGGACTTGCGAATGTCCCTGCAATCTACAGTGTTGTACACAAGATTATGATGTCAGCCTCGGGCGATGAGTCGAGTCTGATCGTGACATACAAAGTGTGGGGTATTCTTTTGTTTTTTTGTAAGCGTTTTGAGAGCCGTCTTCATAGTCAAGACCCCAAGGTCTGACAGGGCCTCGGGTGGAAGTAGGTTTAAACATTGCGCATGATGGGATGAACTGGCCAAGATCAGGTACCATGATCGCCTGCCGCCAGGTGTACCTGGCCAGGTCTGAGGCATGATTAAATCGAAACTGTGCGCATAGTAGTTTGGTAGTCGTGGGAGGGTGGGCCTGAGTTGTGGAGCAGATCATGAGTAAACTTTAACAAGATTGATTTGGTGGGACTGTCGGCACAACGTCGCCGGCGGCGCTTTTCTTTGACAGTCGAGACTATCAAGGTCTGATTTCTATGAAGGTAGCTGGATGCTGGTGTACAATCTTGTGTTTCTTTCTTCTTTGCATCCATTTAAGCTAGATGGTTCACGGAAGAGAGTTCATAGCCAAGTGTACGTGCCAAGATTGTTGGGAAAGACCAGTTGACCGACCGGCCCGGCGTGCTGTGACGTTCTCCCAAGGCGCGACTGATCGCAGCTACCTCACTAGGTAGTTACGGATGTGTTAAAGTGGTCTCGAGACCTAAATAGAGAACGCATGCATGATGTTTAAATTGGATCCTCCCGTATGATGCGGCCACGCTTATGGTAAGTGTACACACTCCTGAAATCACACTTCAACTGTAACATTGTAGCAAAAAGCCAAGATCCCGTGTGAACTAATTACGAAGAACGAGAATGTGCCGAACCCCTCTTGTTTATACTGCCAATGTTGTTCCATGTGAGGCACTATACACATTGGCTTTTCTGACACGGATCAATTGTCAGGGGTAAAGAGAGCCTCCAATCAAATCGCAATGTTCAACGACACTGCGAATCATGCATTTAATGAATAGCTCGACGCTGTGGATAGAGCGGGCTCCGGCAAGGTCGATTCATGCCGAAGCATTTCAATTAAACTTTTAGAACTGCCTTTTCGGATGAATGTGGGAAGATCTCATGGAACAAGCCTTCGGAGTCAGGGGCTTTTGCGTTTGTTCAATTTTTGATCCCCAGCAAGTCTCGGTGCACTGAATCAGTTCGGATGAACTCTCACTGAAATAGACCGCCGTATTATGATCGAGCCCGATGCCAAGTTGCATCGTGATTATCTTCTATCCGGGGTATCCGATCCGTTGGCTGCGGTGCCATAGTATAAAAGAAGGGCAAGCCACGCAACGGAGATGCTGTCCTCAGACGACTTGTAGAGCAGAAAGTCACTCACTTCACAGCAGCCGAAAACATCGAGCTTACACTCTTTTATCAGTCACTCATTCTTCAAAAGAAAAATCAAGATGCAAAGCCTCACCAACCTCATTCTCCTCGCAAGCGCGGTGACTCCAGTCTTCTCCGCCGCCATCGCACCTCTCGAGAAGAAGAGCGTCCTGCACATCGCGGCCGAAGTGGATGCTGGGATTCCCTTCGACTCCAAGGTGGTGGACTCGGATGCTTACAACACATTCATCAGCACCGAGGTCGTCTTGCTGGAGGGAACGGACAAGCGCCAGGACGCTGACCCGGATCGCAACTCCACGATCCCCGATGTTATCTTTACGCTGCAATGCACCGATGATGTAAGTTCGCTGCTGATCCGGTCATGAGAAACCGTTGAACTAACCCCGTCAAATCAGGGTTTTCGCGGAGACTGCCTTGTATTCGGAGCCAAGCCTGGATCTTGTGTGTCTTACTTCGACTTCCAAGCGGCCAACTCCACCGAAATCAGCGATCGTTTCAACAACAAAGTCACGTCTTTGTCCGTTAACACCGGCGGCAACTGCCAGTGGTATCTGTATGTCCAGAATCTTCCCAAGAATTAATCTGCTACAATCGTCCTCGCAAATACTAATGAGTAACCTGTCAGGTACGAGGGCTGTGACAACAAGGGTGACGACCGTGGGCTCACTAGCTCCTACAACGTAAGTCACAAAGCGATTTCGAGATCACGTTACTGCATACGCTCGCTATGGTCAACGACTTCAGGGTACCTTTGCTAACATTGTTTGTAAAATGCAGTACAACCTTGCTGTCCCGGCCGAGGACGACCCCCGTACTGTCGAATACGAAAACCAGATCACATCTTGGAGGTGTTAGGATTTTGATTCCTACGTGTCTGTATCTTTTACTGGCCATCCACAGCGGACGCTGAGTTTGGTACCATAAAATGGATCGGACACTGGTCGCTTGGAATAGCTAGCTAGAAATAGCCTTGTTACCGGCACGCCAGCTCAATCGAACCAAATGCACCAAACCATATACTATGCTAGCTTTACGAGTGCCGTGACCATGCATCATGCCTTCTCACGTCTCAGGGTTGAGATTCACAGCTTTGACGCAGAGAAAGAGAATCACTCGCTTTCAAGTGCTAGGCGGTTACAACCCCAGACCCCGAAACAGCAAACGGGACTCAGAGTTTGAATGTTCTATTTTCGTTGTGGTAGAACTCTAAGGGGTGACATTCCATTCAGTGAAAAACTATGCATAAACTCTCTTTACCTGGTTTCCTGGCTTCAGTCCAGAGCCCTCGTAAGACCTGTTGTCCCAGATCAATTACTGCACGCAGCTCTGATTTGTATTTTCTGATTGTGTAAAGCCACGGTACAAAGCTAGACCAGTAAGGCCAATCGATGTTGGTGCACTACCCTTTTCTCCTCATCTTGGTTCATGTACTTGCGTTTGGGCCGCGGGGGGAGCTAAGGCTAGGGCCGGTTCGGCTTGCACTGACTGCTCGGCTGACAGGCACACGATGGCACATTGTGCAGGTAGAGTTCAGATGATCTCCGAGCACGCGCAGTGGAACGTAGCATCCCCCGCAATTACAATATACGAATTAAAAACAACATTTCAGAGTCGACCTGCCTGTTGTAGCACTCAAATTGGTTAACCTACATAGAAAAATGGTGCTATAATCCCGTGAACGTCCCATTACAGCGCCCCTAGCCTTGGACTGCACCCGCCGACCTTCTTTGCTAGCCACTTGCTCCCCATCGCAGAATTTATGTTTAGCGGCGTGCGAAACCTCCTTGGACTACCAAAATGATCGCCTCGACGTTCTTGCTGCGGGTGGCTCTGCTTATCGGTGTTGTATCTGCTCAGTGTCCTGATTATTCGTCATATTCTACCGAGCGTCATCTTCCGTACTCCAACGGCACATACCAGTTGTCCTACATGCGGCCCGACCCTGCTTGCCGAACTTTCAACTCATCCGATGTCGAGGATGTGCTCATTCAGATGGAAAGTGTAATAAGGGATCCGGATTTGTACCGTCTCTTTCAGAACACGTACCCCAATACTCTCGATACGGCAATCAAATGGAAGGTATTTGCTGCCAATGACTCGGAGGAAGAACTCACATTTGTGATCACGGGTGATATAGATGCTATGTGGCTCCGAGACTCGGCCAACCAGGTGCAACCTTACCGATCTTTGATCAAGGCGAACGATTCTTCGGCAGACGGCATTGCCTCGTTGTTCCGTGGTGTTATTAATATCCAAGCACGATACTTGTTGTTCGGGCCTTTCTGCAACGCATTTCAAGCTCCTGTCGAGTCGGGCATCCCTCCTGCAGAGAATGGGGCCGCAGTTGGTGTCACCGTAAAGCCGGCGTACAACAACGCGACTGTCTTCGAGTGCAAGTACGAGCTTGATAGCTTGGCCGCATTCCTTCAGGTATCGACCGACTATTACAACGCGACAAAAGATGTGGAGTTCTTTGGAAAATTTCAATGGGTTTCCGCCGTCCAAGCCGTCCTGGAGACCGCCAAGGCCATGCAGACACCGAGCTACGCTGAAGATGGCCGAGTCCTCGAGAGTCCTTACACCTTCAGCCCCGGACTCAACGGTGGCCAAGGCAGCCCTGTGGCAAATGGCACGGGACTGATCCGCTCGGCCTTCCGGCCCAGTGACGACAACACGCTGTTCCAGCTTTTCGTCCCAGCCAATATGATGTTCTCGCGGAACCTCGCTAGTACAGCAGAGATTGTGGCGGCATTAGGCGATGCTGCTCCTGCTGGCTTAGCTACCCAGATGACTGACTTTTCAGACTCGCTCAGAGACGCGATTGAGAGTTCCGGCATTGTAACAGATGCTGATACCGGTACGAGGATCTTCGCGTACGAGGTGGACGGTTTCGGGAGCACAGCGATTATGGATGATGCCAACATACCTTCTCTGCTGTCGGCGCCAGTTCTGGGGTACTTGGATGTCAGCGACGAGGTCTACCAGAACACACGAGCGGTCATCCTAGACCAATCGGGCCCGACAGGCAATCCTTACTTCATGCGAGGCCCAGTGATCAACGCCGTCGGAGGCCCGCATGTAGGTTTAGGCCAGGCATGGCCGATGGCAAGCATTGTGAGGATCTTGACAAGCGCCGACGAGGCGGAAATAACAACTTCGTTGAAGGAGATTGTCAGTAGTACCGACGGTCTTGGGTTAATCCACGAAAGTGTCAACACCTTTAATCAGAGCGAATGGACAAGGCAGTGGTAAGTGGCTGAACGTGTTAACGATTTTGATCGAGCTGACCAAATCTTTTCCTTCAGGTTCACCTGGGCGAACGGGCTTTTTGGGCAGATGATTCTGGATCTCAATGAAAGAAAGCCGGAGATACTTCAGCTCAATTTTCAGTAGACAGTCAGCCATATTTCCCATGACTACAGACGGAATAATGATCCTGCTCACCTCTTTGCACACACTTCCTGACTGAAAGAGCAACATCAATTGTCTTATGTGAAGCATACCCCTGGCCTATGTTGCTCGCACCCGGCGGTCGGTGCTTTGGCCTCTGCCGACACCGTGAATATGTGATCGTCCAACAGCGTTTGGCTCAAAGCCCTTATTTTCTTTGTCACATTGCCGATGATGCTTCACCTCCGTTTGAAGCTGCTTTGACAATAACTATGCCCAACTGACATATGACAGAGAACGACGACTTTTTGATGGCAGAAAGCTAAGCATGGGCAGATACGGCTACTAAGTTGCAAGTGTGGCCCCGATTGTTTTCTGGTAATTTCGATTCGGGCCAATATTGGAGTATATTTCTGGAACTGCTCGGTCTTCTCCATTATCCAAGGCACTGGTGGCCATTCTCTTAGCGGACATAAAACTCGTCCACGTTATGTATCCGATAGAGTACACATCACAGTTTCGTTATTCTCATTGGACACATACTGTGAAGTTCTGAATGGTGCTCTCCTAGCTAAATTAGATAAAGGAAAAGCTTGTCTGAGGTTCACAATGCGTATTACTGTTTCTGCCGAGGCTGAACAGCACTCATGTGGAGAGAAGGTGATTATTCTCCCTTGAGTCACAAAGGGCACATAAAATGATGGTGTTACTGGCAGAGATTAGTGGTACTCGATTATCAACTAGAAGGCCACTCACTGGTCTCGAATCTTGCACAGGTCCACAAAGGAATTTCGTGGGCTACTCCCGGTGAGGTAGACATTTTCAAACGACTCAGCTCATTCTTTAGACACCTTCACTCAAATTTAGCGTCAGCATGCCCACCAGTCTTTGTCATTCAAAGCCCTCGTCATTTCAATAGAAAGCTAAGACCGCAGTATCAAGTTTTAGGCATTCACTAGGAATTGGGTTTTCACAATGGACTCGAAGACTGCATTGTTCTTCCAGAGACGAGGAATTGGGAGCAAAGAACTCCAAGCAGACAAAGACGCAAAGACCTTGCTGAGCTGAGAATAAGCTGTGATTTGTGAGCCACGTGATAAATCAGGATCGAGCCAGAGATATTTGTACTTGAAAGATTTCTCCACTTTATCAACTTTACCCAGATTTTGGGAACCGACAAGGTTGCGCCAAAATTTGAGAGAACACACAGGCTACCTCAAGCCTACCATAATATTCTTAGTCATGGACCAGGGCCATTTCATGCAAAAGTTCAGCAGGCCTGTCGCTGTGATCGGCGCAGGTGTCTCTGGACTTGTTACAGCTAGGTATGCTCAGCGGGAAAAGCTATGTTGCTGGAGGTAAACTGACCAGATGTAGACGTCTGGTTGCGGAGGGCTTCGAGGTCGACGTTTTTGAGCGTCGAAGCCTAGCGGGTGGACTATGGAATTTCTCACCGGCCGCGAATGCGCCCTTCGCATCTGCAGTCTACGCGGATCTGCGAACCAATTTCCCACGTCAACTCATGGAACTACAGGATTATCCATGGACTACCCAGCCTCTCTTCATGCAGCACGATTTGGTACGGGAATACCTTGAAGGGTACGCCCAAGAGATACAACATGAGAGCTACGGTCTGTTGCGAATAAATTTCAACACTCAGGTCGTGCGCTTATTGTATGAACGTTGTGCTGGTGGTTACTGGGAGCTCACTTGCAAGTCAGTGATTACCGGACAGAGTGCTACTCGACGGTATCCGTACGTCGTGGTAGCGGTGGGTGTCTTCGATGAGCCCTTGATACCTTCCTACGAGGGACTATCAGAATGGAAGAAAATTCGGGAAAATTCGCTATCTCACGCCAAAGAGTACAGGGACCCAAAGACATTTAAGGGCAAGGTGAGGCCCACCCTTCTGTCATTTGGCAGCAAAAGAGTGATATTGGGGGAATCGACTGAAAAAGCATTTTTAGAATGTTCTGATCATAGGCTACCAAGCATCTGGCTTTGATATTACCAACAAAATTACGGCTTATGTCTCGAAGCTCTGGATTTCTTCGACACAAAAGATTAGACATTGGAAGGGAAAGCCATCCAACGTCACACTGATGACAGAGATATCCTGTTTCATTCCAGAAACTCGCACAGTGCACTTCACCAACGGCGAAAGTATCTCGGAGGTCGACCAAATAATCTTGTGTACCGGCTATCAATATCATCAGCCCTTCATCAAGGGGGACAACAACAGTGAAGCTCCCCTCTTCCCCACTGGCAACAGCATTTCGGGACTTCATGAGCATGTCATCTCTATCAAGCAACCAAGCCTAGCCTTTGTTGGCTTGTTGAGAGGAGCAGTTCCCACATTTCTCGTTGCGCAAGCACAGGCAGCCTTTATTTCACGCGTGTTTGCGGGCCGCATTCGTTTGTCAAGTCTAACAGAAGCCAGTCCCCAGCACAGGATGCCATATCCAAAGTTCATGGATTACCTTTTACGCTTGGAGAGGCTCTGCGAACAAGCTGACAAAGGCCGGACGTGGCAAGTAGGGAAGGCTAAAATTCCGGCTCCTCGATGGACGGCGGAGCTAGACTTGGTCATGACGAGGCGGAACGAGATTCGAGGTGCTTTCCTGAGTACTGGAGGCAGAGACGACCCAAGTCTCAAGCTTCCATGCCACAGACAATTCCTGTCTCTTTCCTGTCCCAATGTTGAAGCTCTCGTGCCCTTTCTGATTCTACATTACGGCTACAGAAGAGACCACGACACCATGCTAGACTTTCCTTTCCATTGTTGGCAAGTCGGCTCGGCCTACCGTTTGATCATGCGGATCAAGGAAATGCTTAAGACGATGATTCCTGAATTGGGGCAAGACAGCCAGGCCGTGTTCGTCCGCGGTGCTCGGACTCTGCTTCCAGCAATTTTGAACAAATGGCTAGTATTCTACAGGTCTCTGTCGGATGAGGTGGCTATAATGAAGGAGCATAAGGACATGGATAAGGCGAAGATAGCCTTGCAGGAAATTGAGTCGTACTTTAAGACCTTGGGCTTTGGGTCGTCTAATTGAGGCTTATTCTATCTGTGTATAAATCAGTACCCATTGACACTTTGTTGGGCTTGAGGTTGAATATTTGATCAAGCTACGAGGCGACGAATTCTCAACAACATAAAGCTAGTGGCGGTCGGGCAAGAAAATGAGACAAGAGACGCGATCAATGGTCATATTGTATTGCAGGCCGCCTCTACTTCCCTCAAAATCCAGGACACTAATGCATCAAATAACGTGTTTCCAGCTTTAATCAAAAGATCTTGAACATTAGGAATCCATTGGAAGAGACGTTGCTTTCCAACCACAGTCTTTACCGTACATAACCGATCAATCTACATTCTTTTATTTCTCGTACCTATTGCATGCAATCGTGATATTCGTGTTCTGATCAGAGTCTAGATATTTTTGTTTAACTCTATTCCCTTTGTTTTGTTGCTCTGTCGCCAGTGCTCCCCCTCACTCCTCGGAGGGCTAGCAGAGCGAGGCCTCCACATCATTTATCCTATTCCTGTAGGTGCCCATTTTAAAACATCACAATAAGCACCATCCAAGGCGGATTGCACATTCTAATTCAGATATCCGTTCTATTAAGAAAAATACAGTATACATTGAAAGGCTCAAACACAAATGGTTGGATACTTCCAGGAACATTGATGCAGGGTGCGAAGTCCAGACTCAAAAATTGATTGTGTATTCGATAGCTATGCAGTGATCATCATAAAAGCCTCGAAATCTCGCAGGTGACGCGCAAAAACTGCTGTCCGATACCTCCTCTATATGTAACTCCAAAAAAATGCCCAACCTAGACACCCAGCGCCTCATCGCCCATATGCACTCTCTACTCCGTGTAACCATCAGCTCGGTCAATGGCCGTGGCCTGGGCCGCCTTCTCAGGCGAGACGCTGACGGTGGGAACCCAACCCTGGGGGTTCACATCCTCCCCGACGCTGGCAATTGCTGCAGCAGATGAGTTGATGCCGACCGTGATATATCCGACAAGGCCATCCTCCAGGCTGTCGCCAAGCTGAGTAACATCAATAATGGCGCTGTATCCATCTCCATTGGCAGAGCTGTACAGCGAGTCCTCAGCATTGGTCGTGCGGTTCAGTGTCTCCTTGTGCGCAGCGTAGGGGCTAAGCTCGTAAACATCGTTCAGGAGGTCCTCATCGAAGAACAATTGGCCAATGTGCTGAATCGCCGACTGAGAGTAAAGTGTGCCATTCGTGACGTTGGCCTGAGCGGTGATGTGGATGTGCGTAGTTCTCGTCACATAGTAGCCAGGGAAAACAGTCAGGAACTCAGCCATGCCGTCGTCGTTCGTGACCTGAACACCGCGCAAGAAAGTCTCGTCATCGGTTGTACCGTCGTCGCGCTTGGTCCATCCGTCCAGGAGCTCTACGGTGTCCGGGTTGACTCCCGTGAAGGAGGAGTAGAAGCCAGTGGCGTTGCAATTCCAAATCGTCAGTGCGACGCCAGAGATCGGCTCGCAAGTCTCAGTATCAATGACGCCAATGTCAAAGTAGAAATCAATTCCTTCTTGGCTTTCCCGAAGGTCATGGCGGACCATCTCACCATCGACACTTGATCATCATTAGATACAGTACTTAACATTCCATTGAAGATATGACTTACCCGTAAGGACCCCAAATCGTGTCAGGTGCCAGAGCGCAGGTAGTGTTTTGGATTTCCTGGTACTGGAGCGTATTGCGCTTGGACATATCGTTAGGAGAAATGTTTCCGGACTCGACGCGGCGGCGATAGAGAGACTGCGCGCGTTTCTCCATGATGTCTGCCTTGCGCTTCGCGATAGCGGAGGCGCACTTGTCTGTGGAGCGGCCGATCATCTGAGCTTCATGCCTGCGAACCTCCTCAGTCATCCTTTCAGGGTGGGCAAACACTCCAGAAAGGGGGAGGATAGCAAGTGCTGCGGATCCGAACTTCATCTTGACTGTGGTTGAAAGTGGGGAATGAGTGAAAGTGATAGTTTTGCTGGTTTGAAATGTTTCTTGAAATGTTTCAATGGCTGAGAGAACGACTTCGATCTGCAATGGACGAGACTAGAGTGAATGGATGATGATGATGTTGTTGCTACTCAAGAGATTGCTTGATGTCGACGACTTGCCGATCGCTTTATAGTCATGGCTCGGTAGCTTTTGCGAAGACGATCTATAGCGTTAAGATTGTCCCGAGGTCATTGCTAGGAGGCTTGGTTCGCGTCCCCATATTTTCAACCCACTCCATGCTAGGAACATCCAGAAAAAGAAGAGATCTCAGCCTCATTGACAAGGCAGGGGTATCACTTGGCCTTCGTCCCTGCGTTCGTCCCATCTGGATTCCCCTATTTTGACTTTGTTTTTGGCCCCCAGCTAGCGGTATGTGACCAATCATATGGTATGGAATTCAAACGCGAAGCCATGATCAGTCCTGGTTCTGTCCAGTCGCTGAGGCAAGGTCCACTGCGAATTGCGGAACGCGGGTTCATTCCCGACGCGTCTTCGGGTTCCACACTCCTGGACACCTCGGTGAGTGCCTTGTCTTGAGTCGTCACTTTGGGTGAACCAGTACCGTCCTCAGTATAGCACGGGAGGCATCTACAGGTCAGAAACAATCTAGCGAGGCGATGGAGTGGAACTCCCCTTAACTGTGATTACGAACTGTGGCCTCGACACGTAAACATGAGCGCGGCGTCGCCGTTTTGCTGCGGGCAGCTTATGCGTACGTGAGCGCCGCCCCCGGATCCGTCTTCGTCGTACGTCTGACCGGAATTACTTGCCCAACACGACTCGGCACGGCTAAAAAACATACCCGTCCACCCGGGACTCCGGATCCCCCACCTGGAACTGCCCGCGAAGATCCACTTCGGCTGTCCCCTAGTGCTCTGTCATGTTGATGACAAAGACAACGTCTTAGACTGGTTGATTGCCCCCGTCTTGCGGTCCCACAATATCCACATTACCTGCCAGCCATGCTGGCTTGGACTGCTTAAGCAGACTCTCCCACTACCCGGATTATGGATCAGAGCATATCGTGGAGCCCTTAACCTCTGGTCCATAGATTCGGCCATTATTAGAGTATTCACCCCTAAGGCTCTAATTATAGCAATAGATTATCTGACCGTCACAGCTGGAATATCGAAACAAATTTCAGTGCATACATCGCCACCATAGGCTCCACACCCATCAACATCTTGAGTGCCTGGGAGGGGAGGGAAGAACAATTTGCAAGACAAATTTTTCGTGCACTCAATCTTCAGGGATACATGTGGCATGATCATTGCCAACGGCGGGAACGATACAACAGTACAATTGGCGCCGAACTTGACAGGTTCCCTGTTCTACAACTTATTTTGATTAAACAATGCTCATCTAAAGATGTTAAAATCCGGTGAAGAGGTAAAAACCAAATTTCATGTGCGCCATGTTTGCCATGTTTGCTCTTTTATTGGTTTATGCAGATAAGCATATTCATTTGTAGGCATGAACTGTGTCTTGTCGGCTCTGCTTGTAGCGATGCCCGAAATATGAATAAGCTTAAGTGGTAAATGAAACTTTCGTCCTATGTTTGTGTGTTGTAGTCAAAACCCAAAGTCACAATAGATTATCGCATAACCAAATACCTCAACTTCAGCTTATGGACTTATGATTTATAGCAGACACAGTCTACGGCCTTAGACGCAAGCCGAATTCATCGTTCGTCGGGAGTCACCGCTATTGGTACTGCGTTGCGACAGGACTGCGATTATTATTTCATATATTCACTGCGGCAGCTATTCCAATTTTTTCCCAGGAATGCTACGATGGTCGATAGTGATGCTGTCATGCGGACCGGAGTTAAGCAACACTGACATTGGCGGGGCGAGCATCCATGCATCAGTGGCAGCAGTCGTGGTCGTTTTGACAGGGATCTCTCAATTCACAAGTGTTGTCGTCAATGCTCTAATCTCTGCCGTCAAATCAACGTTGATCAAATTGCATCAACGCAACTGCCAACTCCTGTTTCTCGTCCAGCACTACGCGCGTGGGCCATGATTGGGCCAGATTGCTGCGCCACACGCCTAGGTACCACATGTGCGCGGCCAATTCTCTCCCACGCAGACTCATCGTCCACCCTCCATTGAAGGGGATGGGCTCAATTTAATATTTGCCCTGAATTCACGGCTTTGTCAATGCACCCGATCCAGACCGCGGAAAAGGCTGAAGCAGAGTTTCGCCTACTTTAGTCCGCACCTCGCACTGGATCTTTCAAGATCCCTCGACGCGATGAGTGAATAGTTTTGATCGCGGCTCCTCATGAGGGACAAGTATGGACAAGGAGCGTGTGAAGGGTACCTGGCTACCTAGGTACAATAAGGTCAAGACTTGCGAGCGGTTGAGACGCTTTCCATGCATTACATGAAACATCCAGGCTACGAGATATCTCTTTGAACCTGCTTCACGTTGGTATGCTTTGTATTTGCTGTTGTCGGAGACAAGCACGCTCAAATGATTCGTGGAGGTGACATGCGGGATCTGTCTCAAGAAACTTTTTTATTCTGATGAGAACGCATTGTCGGAAACTCAAGTTAGTCTTAAGGTCTTGTTCACGCCTAGTCTCCGGGGGAGATATCAACTTTGGGGCGATCTTTGGTCTTTTCTATATTCTCTGGGGGTCTCTAAACCCAGCACAAGCGGTACTGCGGTACTTTGGGATTCGAGTTATAACTATCTTTAAATGCCTCTCACTATCCTGTTTTCTTTAATGGATTGGCGAATAAAATCACTTGTGAAATTTGAATGATGATGGTAACTAATAACATAGTTCCGCTAAGACAAGCTTCCATATTTACCTACCTATCTCTGGTCAGCCCTTATTCATGGCCTGTCACGGTATTGCTAACATTCATTACATGCAGAGCAGCTTCCGCTCTTCAGGGTTGGTTGAAGTAATGTCTTCAATTTTTCCAAGGCATGTCTAAAACGACGGAGTGAAGGTAGCAGAGCTTATGAGCTCCAATGATAGGGTGCACCAATAAGCTTTGCAGTGAGCTTCCTGATCAAGTAGGCAACACGAGGCGGAGTTCACTCTGGCAGCTAATCTCGGACAGACAACTGCTATTAATCGTCTCATGGATGCGTCGACGCCGGATGAGAGGCCGACTGCGATACCTGAATTGGATTCTGGGGATTGATCAGTGGTCTCTTCCTTTGCTGCACCGTATGTTTGAGATGGCCGAGGGCTCGACAATGATGCAGGAGAAAATGAACAAAAAGTAAAATCGCCGCTCGCAATGTTGGCTTACTGCTGGCCGTCCTTCAGCAGAAGCAAATTGAACTCGCCTGGAATTCATCATTTGCTCCCTTGGCCTAAATGTATATGTCAGAGTGAAAAATGCCGCCGAGATCAACAGATAACTCGGGGCTTTCGCCCACAATCCCTCAATTCTCAATGAATACAACTAGAGTAAATCCACTTCTGCTTCACTTTAGACTTGCATTCTCAGAGGCCAATGTAATCATTAGCTTCATGTTCTATGGGCGGCGCTCTCAAAGGGAATCTTGGGGTTTCTCCTTAGTCCGTTGCCACCTTGTACTGCGTATTCTATGTATCGGGAATCGGATGACCATTGGGCCATCCTTCATCGGTTGTGAGACCAACTTAAACCTGCAAAGTATCTTTCTGATGATTTTGCCGAGATCACAAAGAAAGTGTGCAAGGTCATTGACGAAGGCGTCGACAGTGAGGGTGAGCTTTTCCGCAACGAGGCTACTTTGGCCCTGAAATTAGCTCAAACCATCAAGCTGGAACAGCAGCAACAAGAAGTAAAGAGTGATGTGATTGATGGATTGGAAAAGCCTGGTTGGAACATGGTAGATCAGCGACATCTGGCTGGCACGTATCAGGATAATCGCAGAATAACTTACAGGGGGTTGGCTGTAAATACTCTCACGCCAGAGAGTCAAGACTTCATTATCTCTGTTGTTAGACTTTCCAAGAGCTCCTGCTGCCGAAGGCGCTTGCTGATCGTCTTCAGATTATACGTCAGCATCTGTCGGAAATTTAGTTCACCTGTACTAATAAGTTCGGAGACAACGACCCATTCTATTTCCGCAACCGGAGTCCCGTCTCTTGTTGATATACATCACCACACTAGAACCTATATCACAAAAAAAGAGCCATATAAATATCACATTATATGATCCACAGTTTCCCCAACAGCAGCGGTTACTGGCGACAGCTCATCCAGAAGTAGAGAGAACGGCATCCTGGGAGACATGATATGCAGCGCATGAAGTATGTTCAGCCATTCGATGAAGCAGATACAGTCGACAGTGGTGATCCCCAAATACCGAGCACAGATTGTTCCCAGTCGACAAAGCGCATCATCCTGGCCAGTCATATTGGAGGAGGGCACGGTCCGGGTCTTGACTATCATCACAGCAATCAGGCAAACTACCTAACATGGTGCATGATTAAATCCCGACTGGGTGATGTGTTGCACAATGTTGCTACGGGTAGTCTGGGTTTCATACCGGCTGGCCTCCCGTATTGTGACTGAAGCCAGGCCCGGGCAACGAGACGCACCTGGAAGATGATCATTCCAGCGGTGGGCCGTCTGAAACAAGTCGCATAGACCTATATTGTCGAGGAGCCTGAGTATGTGCCGAAAGTGTGGCAGACCAGTTGCAAAAGTTATGTGCGCCGCGTTGACTCCCGCTGGTTGATAGAGCCCCTCGGTGGGTTCAGCACAATGTCGCTGGCCGACCCGTCTTTCGGATCTGACAGTGCCGTGATATTATACGCCGGAGTCTGGCCTTGGAATAGTGTGCCGGGTACTTATGTGTACGAGTTCGATCAGTACTACTTCTTACTCGAGGTCGAGCTGACAATTGAGGCCGCTTCGTAGAGGGCATCGTTACCCAGGACAAGCTGGTGGTGTTCCTCGCGGGCATGCTACACCGGCAGTGCAGCCAAGGCAACGTCTTCGAGAAACACCTCACAATCAATACACCAGCACCCGAGCCTGATCGTTATTGGAACTTTGGAGTGGCACTGGCCCCCAATGGCATTGGGCATTATGGGATCCTCACTGTGGCTAGCGAAATGAACATGGTGCTCTATTAGTTGCGCAACTCGACCCACGGCAAGATGATGCCGGAGATACTTCACGCAGGGTCAGACGGGCGAAAACTAGTTTATGGCAAATAGACGTGAACAGACTAGAACAACCAACACCGAATTGTAGATATTGTCAACATCTTGTTGCCATGTTACCCAAAATGCACATTTGACAGCTGCATACAAAGAAGGTAATAGGACGTTGCTCTATGTCTCAAACCTTAAATTCAGTGGTTTGGGTGATCAATTATTTATTTTTATTTAATTCGGTTGAAACGAATTCGAAAGCAACACATTCATCATCTGCACGAAATCAGACACCCTTATTCTCGCAATTTGGTCTTCAAGTTGAAGAACTTGACTGTGCAAGCCCAGCATGAACCTTTATATCAATCTGCTACGACAACCGTTCCAAGATCGGAATCTACAGAAAGCCACCCGCCTGCAAACCACACTTCCCCGCGTAAGAATACCGAGCTTCTGTCCGTCATGTACGTGTGAATACGTGTAGAACCAGCAGCCCTCCGCCGGATCAGCCGCGGTAACGGAATGTTCCCCCAACTTCCCGCCCTGGACCTTAACATCGGCCGGAAAGTGGGGTATACTCACCCATCTTCGATGCAGCGAGATGCCGATTCACAGCTATATAGAAGGCTCGCTTTACGAAACGGTTGATGAGTAGCAAAGCAATTCTTTGGGTAGAAATCGAAGAATTGGGCGAGCTTGTCGCATACCTCAAACGATCTCAGTGTCTTCTGAAGGAGGCAACCGGAGCTGTCCACAGAGAGCACTTCCGCACGACGTACTTGACCAGCATTGACCGTTCGAGTATATTACGCTTGATCACAATGTTCGAGCAAACCAAGCAGTTTCACCGCGTTCCTGTTGGGTTCGGTCCGGCACCTAGCCCTCGACAAGATCCTACGGGAAAACGTTTTGACTGGTCCCAATCACTCACAACCACTGTCGGCATAGTTGTCGAGTGTGATCGCGCGGCCGTCCAGGCGATCCTTCCCGAGGCATACACCGTTAAGCCGCCCTCATTCACGCCCTCAGACAAGGCCAATGTCCTATTCGAAATCATGGAGCTCCGCAACCTGCCGTGGCTGGCCGGCCGCGGCTACAACACCTGGGGTGTCTACATTAGCGACGTAGTGTGCCACCGCGCGAAGAAGGACGACGGCTCCTTGTACAAGGGTTCCTACCTGGCGGTCCTCTTCGAAAGCTTCACAGACCCGATCACCACGGGCCGGGAGGAACTCGGCTTCCCCAAGGTCTGGGCCGAGCTGCCCGACGGGTCCGTCTCGGACGGCGGGAAGAGCCGCGTGCACACGGCCGGCTGGTTCGGCTACGAGTTCCTGCGGCTCGAGATACGCGGCCTGAAAGAGCACGACCCGGCCACGGCGCCGGCCCTCACCCGCCCCGCCGACGGCTTCACGCACCCCAGCCAGCACGGCTTCCTGCACCACCGCTACGTCCCGGCCGTCGGGGAGCCCGGCAAGGCGGATGCGAGCTATGCGACCTTCAACCCGGCCCCGCCGGGCAAGGCGCCTGTCAAGAGGTTCTGGGCGCCGTTTCCCAGTCCCGGCCGGAGCAGGCCGAGCGAGGATGTGAGTGTGGCTGTGACTGGGCCAGAGATTGAGTTCAAGATCACGCCGGGGACGTTTGAGCAGCTGCCGACGCTGCACAATGTCGTGAAGGGGCTCGCAGACCTGCGACCGGGCAAGGTGCTCGAGGCGGCTATCCAGGAGATAAAGGGTGCTAGTGATTTGCGTAAGTATCAATCTTACCCTTATTCGCCACGTGGTAAGCCCAAAAAAGGTGAAGGAAATCACTGCTGACAAATTGTAGTTGCGAATCACCGTATTGAGAAGTGAACCCGGCTTAAGTGAGGATATGTAAAGGATGTGTTCCCAGAGGTTGCATCTTCAGTGAGGTCCTTTATATCACTTAAATATGAAGCCGATCGGCCAGCATGAAAATTTGATCCCCATTCAAAAAGATCATTGTGCTTGCTCTAGCCTATCAATTCACCGAAGTGACATGAGCCAGACTACCGATAGGTCTGCCGAACCAAAATTTAACTTGTTGCCGGGCTCTAATTAACGATGAAGGCCTTCACATGTCATCGGCGATACTGAAAGTGCATATTGCAAAATGATATCCTTTGTATTCACTTGACCTGTGGACTCGGATCATACAGGCTCCATTTCAGTGAATTGTCTTTATTGATGAGTTCGTGCAAATGACATTATCACCTGAGTGTCTATAATGTCCATAATGACGACAGATGAGAAACGAGACGGCGTGAGTTCAAGTTCATTTCAAGTCATAGTCGAAGCCTGACTGTTGGTCACCAGAGGCACCTGAGCGTTCTAAGATACATTGCGAATCTGACGGGAAAACAAAATTCTACACCCTGTTCCTTTCGGCCGTGAAAACATAATCGAGTTCTATCTTGATGTCAGAAGTTCATGAAGATGTAGTAAGCTCCTTCACTTTATCCGTCAGGCTTGCCACTGGCCCATTCGGCTTCTCCTCCGTCGGCGCTTCTAGGCTCTTGGGCACTGTAGGGTTAAACAGACTCTCAGCAGGGATCAGTTTCGACTTCACAGCCGGGTTCAGCGTCAGCCCAAAACCAGGCTTGTCGAGATCCGCCGTCGTCAGGTATCCCTTCGTGGGAATAGGCTCGTCCAAGAACAGGTCTCCGAAAACAGGCAGCACGCTCTTCCCGTCTGGGCTGTTGGCCAGATACTCCTGGAACGGCGTGTTGGGCTGGCTGATGACAAAGTGGTAACTGTAAGGTCCGCTCGCGTGCGGCACGACGGGGATGTCGTAGGCGGCAGCCATAGCAGATACCTTGAGCAGCTCCGTCAGGCCACCCAGCCACATGACATCGGGCTGGATGATGTCGAGGTTGCGGCCCTCGACGAGTTTGCGGAAACCGTACCGGCTGTACTCGTGCTCTCCGGTCGTGAACTTAAGCGTGGGGTGGGCGCGCTTGATCTGCGCGAAGCCATCAGTGTCATCTGGTGTCAGGCACTCCTCCCACCAGTTGATGTTGAGGTCGAGGCAGGCTTTTGCGATCTCGATCGTGTATGACACGTTCAGGGACATGTAGCAGTCCACCATGAGCGGGAAGTCTGGGCCGACGCTCTCGCGGTGCTTGCGCAAGAACTCAAAGTTCTTTTTCAAGCCCTCATGGCCCTCCTCAGGGCAGTAAGGAAGGGGAACCTTGGCTCCCCAGAAGCCCATAGCCTTTGCCGCTGGTGGGTCTGGGCCGGTGCAGTAAAAGTTCAGGCGCTCCTTAGTCGCGCCTCCAATTAGCCTGTAGACGGGCTCGTTACGGAGCTTTCCCAGGAGATCCCAGATAGCCAGGTCGATAACTGAGATGACGGCGAGTGGCAGGCCTTTGCGGCCGTAGAACATGGATCCGCGGTACATCTGCTCGAACAGAAGGTTTGTGTTGCGAGGGTCCGCGCCGACCAGGAAGCGCGTGAAGTGTTGTTGAACGAGCCAGCAGCCTGGCGGGCCTCCGAAGCCGGTGGCAAAGCCAATGGTGCCATCTGAGGCCTCAATCTCGACGAGGAAGGATCCGAGGACGTTGATGCCCCAACTGGTACGTGATTTGCGGTACTGTTCCCATTGCGAGGCCGGGGTAGAGATTGGGGAGTCGATGAGCCTGCGCCGCGATGTTAGCCCTCCGCTCGGCCGGATGGGGATGGAGATCGGGTCGGATGATGCTCATCAGGGGATGGGAATGTCTTACCAGTGGCCTCCCTTCACGTTGTGATAGTCACCACCTGAGGTGTCTTTGTCAGTTCCTGCTGCCATCTCGATTCAAAATGAGTGGTCCTACCTGAGCCGACTCCACCGATTACATATGACCGGACGGCCTTGATGGTGGGAAACTGTCTGACGGAAGCCATGGTGACCGTAGGAGCGTAGAGGAGGATAGAAGGTGTCTTAACCAGCACGGCTAAACCATAGAACTGGGCAACACGGCGATATGCAGTTACTCGGCTCAGAAGTGGTCTCTGAAGAGGATTCGAGGTGTGAGCGGGAACGGGAGAAGACGTCAAGTTAATCTAAGATCGGTCTCGAAAGAATAGCCGGAAGTTGCTCGGTCTAGAGTTGAGCCTCTCCGAGCGCATGGCGTTGAGGTTAGTTTAGTAGTCTAGTGGGGGTTTGGCGGGGAGTTGTCCCAAGGATGACTCGGGCTGTTGATGCACCGAGCAGTGCCTTCACTCAAAGCAGTATGCCGGGTTCTGGCCATCCCAAGTCCAAATCCACTTGCTTGCCTGTGGTAACCGCATTGCATATTTGAGCATGTGATCTCGAGCCGCTGGTCGACTGCGGCAGTGACATGTGTCTGTCTACCTAGCATACTCACAGTTACAATGCAATGCGACTTGGAGTATCTAGTCTATCTACTCTGATACGGCACATATGCATTGCTGTGCAATGGCCAGCTGACAGTCACGGGTCAACAATAGTAGTGACTTGACGTGGATTGAACACAGCTTGACTAGACGTTAACTTCTGGACAGTGCTGTCCTCCAGATATCACGTGCGCATCAGCTAGACGTGGGTATGCGGATGGCTTCATGCACATGAAGTGCCAGAATCCTTCAGGTCCAGTCCCGTTCCCAACAGGGTGAGCGGGCTGCGATCCATCCCGACGGGCCCTTGTTTTGATATCTGATTGCCGCGTCGGCAGTGGTTGCCCACGGTGGTGCCCAGGTCATGAGCACGCATCCTTTGTATGACAAGCTTTGCATTAGCCTCGTCGGCGCTCTTATGGCTTGCAGGACGTCGCACAAATGGCGAACTCGGACCTCACTTCATCGCTCCAGGCCACGTGAGCCTCACGGAAGCTTGCTTCATGGTGTACGCCACGGTACCAGAAGAGATGAATAAATAAACTCGTGCATTCTCCCCACATTAGCAGGCACATGTGCACTCTAAATGCCTGTATACTGTCAGACTGTCAGGAAACGGACAAGGACCTGGAATTGGGGACTGGGACTGGGACTGGGGAGTGGAGATGATGGGGAGGTAATCCCCGAAATTCATGCCTCTGGAGACAACGGAACGGATTGAAGCCCAAAATCCACACACCGTCTTGTGATGTTCTTCCCCAGATTTTCCCTCACAAATGCCTTGGCATCTTTCCTTTTTCTATACATCTCATCACAATTCATGTCCGTGATGGCCCCTTGACAGCTCGTGCAGCAGAATGTGATTGATGATGACGTGAGACGCACGTTTCTTTTTCGTCTATACGGGCAGACACAGGAGGTGCCACTGCAGGATTGCACTACTATGTACAGTGCAGTAGTCCCAATTGACCAGTAGGCACCAAGATTTGAAAGATGGCAGGAGGGTGGATCTCGAGTTGCTCTTTTATCCAGTGCCAACACTCGCAGGCTCCCCTTTCAGGCCTTTCCAATTTCCCCACAATCACGAGCGTCCAATCACCGGCAAGATTCGGCCAAACGGCCCCACCTCTCCGCAAAGCAACCTACTTACCCCGCACGACAAGGGGGGGCAGGTGAGGGCCACTCGACCTTCCCTGCACCTGCCTGGGTCCTCCTTGTTCCTTGTTTTTTTAATGTTCCTAGCACAGAAGGAAAAAACCGTTGTCCTCGAACACATTCTGCACCACGCACCACAGACACAAGACACAGACACAGACTACGGAGCACTGCACTATGCACAGTTAGTAGCACGGCACAGTACTGATACGGGATGGATACAAGGGCTCCGAGTCATCGCCTGGCCACGGGTGCTGGCTGAACTAACTCCTTTCACGACAGCGTCTCCGGCCCTGGCCCGTGTGGTTTTTGTTTCGTTCCACCGCCTTGGGGCCCTGGGTTGGTTTTTGGTGTGCCTCCCGTCCCTCCGTCCGGTCAGCCGATTCCAATTCCACAATAAATGCCCGAGGAGCCCATCCTCTCGAGCCTCTGCACAACATTACCCCGAGCAACCTCTTCTGTTTCTTCTCGCCCTTCTTTGTCCCTGCCAAGACCCCGCTTATCGCCTGATAACGGCTGCCAACACCCGACCAGCGAGACACTCATCCCACACACACACAAGCACATGCTCATGCTCGTGCTCGAGTCTCCCGCCGACGCCCATGCAAACGACCCCGGACGAACAAGCAATCGGGACGCGGTTCGTGCCATCTCGAGCTTAATCCGGCCGAGCCACAGATAGAGTGCGGTGCCGGTGCCCTCGCGTCTCAGTTCCCCAGTCCCTCATCCCAGTCTCCATCATCGTCACCGTCACCGTCACTGTCGCATTGTTTGCCCATGTCTCCACCGCCAGCCGCCACTACGCCCTCACCCGCCAGTCTGAGTCTGCAATACAACCAGTCTAACGGCGGTGATGCCGGTGCAGCCTCAGTCTCGCCCTCTGCTGCAGATGCCGTCAGCATCAATGTCAAAACCCAGCACGAGGATTCCATGATCCTCGATGATGGTGACCAGAGGCAGAGCGGCGACGAGGGCGTAAGTGATAACGACGACGACGTGGCTGAGGTTGTCAGCCGAAATGGCAAGCGGAAACGTCCTATCTCTGTCTCGTAGGTGCATCGCAACTCATGTCTCTCTCTCTATATTGTGGCTTTGTTTTTATTCCCGTCTCTATATATCGTCTTCCCTTGTGGTTTCTTCACCGGCTCTCCTTCTGAGTCTGCTTTTGCTTTTTGCAGTACACAGGAGTGGTTTTTCTCTGGACCCTGGCTCTGCCATGTGCCCCTGGTGGCCATCCCAGTCTCTGGCTGGCTGTTCCACCCCATGCACCCTCTCCACGTCAATCTTCCCCGGACTCCAAACTCTACCCCAGCCTGTGTGCTTCCCTTTCGGTCATGGGTCCGTCTGTCGACCCATAATGAAACCATGTCACTTCACCGTCCATCCCGCCTGGCCCTCGTTTCTCTTCTCCCTACTCTGCAGATCTTCCCATGTCTCCATGCTCCCAATCGCCGACAGTGCTCTCCGTGGGCGAGAGCATAGAGGTGAAGCCGCTGCCCACTTCTCCGTCACCCGAGCCTAGTCCCAAGAAGAGGAAAATCGCTGATGACAATATTACTCCAAGATGTGAACTCTGTAAGCAAAGAAAGGTGAGATACCCATATCCCTCGGATCCTTGCGTGCTCGTGTCACATATCCTCTCCAACACCGCGCCATGCCTTAGGATCACATCGACTTGATAGGGCCAAGCTGACGAGGTCATTCTCAGGTCAAGTGTGATCGCGGCCAGCCCTCCTGTGGGTGGTGCAGTCGCAATGGCGCACACTGCGAGTACAAGGAGCGCAAGAAGCCTGGCCTGCGCGCCGGATATGGGCGCGAGCTGGAGCAGCGGCTCGACAAGCTCGAGGAGATCTTGCGGACCCATTCAGAGATTCTTCAGGCGACCATGACCGTACATCAACGAGCGCAGCCGTCCATGTTATCCCATCACAATCCCTCTTCGAGCATCAGGGGCAGCATCGCCAGTTTACCGAGTGACCATGGTACTCCTCGTGACGCCCAAGCGCCCAGTTTCACCAGGCCGGACACGATTCGCACACCTCAGGCCGAGACGGCGCTCTTCCTGCAGAAGCCGTCGTCGTATCCTCCGACTACCCAATCAATGGACTTTGGCATACCTCCTCCAACGCCAGGGCTGCATGACGGCTTTCAGCCTGCAGTCACCATGGCAGGAGTATCACCGACCAATCACAGCCACATCTCGGCCATGTCATCAGTCTCAGTATCTGGTATACCAAGCGCCGCAGCTCAAGAATATTATGGCCCCAGTGCTGGCGCTCCCCTTCCTTCGCCGACAGTCAATATGTCCCACTCTCACAATCAGACTCTTTCATCGGACCAAGATCTGCCACCTTATGATCTTTTATATGCCTTGGTCGACTTGTACTTCAAACACATCAACACCTGGTGCCCAATACTGCACCGCAAAGCCACATTGGATTCATTGTTCGGGCCTTCTATGATAGAGGAGACTGACAAGATCCTTCTTCATGCTATCGTGGCCACCACGCTAAGGTACTCAGCAGACGCCAGACTGTCCGAGGAAAGAAGGCGGCATTACCACGCAGTATCAAAACAACGGGTCATGCTTTACGGCATGGAACACTCTTCCGTCAAATCCTTACAGGCGCTCGTCATTCTCGCCCTCGACCTCGTTGGAGACAGTAACGGTCCTCCTGGCTGGAACATCATGGCACTAATAACTCGTTCCGTCGTGCAACTTGGCCTAGCCGTCGAATCCAGCTCCTTTTCAGTCAGCCCGAATTTCACGTCTATATATACTCTCCGCGCCATGATTTTACCTGAACCTAAGGACTTCATTGAGGAGGAAAGTCGGAGAAGGCTGTTTTGGATGATATATCTCCTAGACCGCTATGCTACGATAGCCACGGCTTTTGAATTCGCCCTTGACGAGCGCGAGATCGACCGCGCCTTGCCTTGCCGTGATGACCTTTGGACCAAGAACCAAAAGGTTGAGACGCGATGGTTCAGTGACCAGCACCACTACGATACGCATCATGAGCAACACAATGGCGAATCACCAGAGCATAAGATGGATAATCCTCAGAATCTTGGGGCTTTCTCGTATTACATTGAGATCCTTGGTATTTTCTCCAAGATACATACGTTCCTCAAGCAGCCCGTCGATATATCCGCCTTGTCAGATGTCGAGCAGTGGCAGATGCGCTACAAAGAGCTCGACAATACTCTGACCTCGTGGAAGTTCGGCCTTCCTGGCGAGTTCGGCAACATGGCCAAGTTGTTCCAACCAGGGTCGAAGCAGCTCAACTGTGCGTGGGTCATGTTGCACGCAACATACCACACCGCGGTGATCCGTCTGCATTCCTCTGCCGCTTACCCGACCACACGCTCGCCTATTTTCCACCCATCTTACAGTGCTAGCCAGAGATGTCATGGCGCAGTTGAGAACATCCAGGCATTGGGAGAATTTGTCATGAACAATGGCCTCCTGTCGAAACTGGGTCCTCCTTTCGCGTTCACACTGTGGGTCGCAGCGCGTCTGCTGCTCGTGCATGGCAGCACTGTAGAACACAAGCTGTCCCCACAGCTGCCCTTCTTCGTGGACTGCCTCAGGGAAATGGGCTTGTACTGGCCTGTCGCGGCAAGATACTGCAGTCTGCTCCAACGAGTGCTGGATGAGTACCGAGAGGTCGAAGGGCAGCTAGCCATGGGCGGCGAAAGCGGAACTCCCTCGAGCGTCAAGATCTTGGCGGACATGAGGAGGACAGCATTCGATTTGGATTTCTTGATCAGTCGACAGCCCCGACATAACAACCCAGGGGCTAATGGTCTCGGCATATCGGGCACTGGGACGACGCCCGGCCCGGGAGGGAGCAACGGGCTGGGCGCCGGTGGATTTGGAGGAGGGAGGAACAGTCGCTACCCAAGTGTCACGCCAGCTAGGACGCCACAGCCCAATGACTTGGAGTACCTGGACGTGTTCGACTTCTTCAACGTTCCGAGACTACCTGTCGGGGCGCCGGGCGAGGTGGGCACGATGGAGAACAACGGCCATGGTGGTAGCAGGGATGGTGGGCAGCCTCCTTTGTCGGGAGATGCTGCTAATAACGGGCATGGGAATGCCAACGAGTTCAACATCCAGGAGTTCATGGTCGATGCTAACAGGGACTGGTTGTTCAAGCAAGAGGGGGCCAAGTTTCTCAACTGAGAAGTGTACAACATAAACATCGTACCGCAGGAGGATGAAGCATTTGTAGGAAAGTGTATGACGGATATCACTTTTTTTCTTCTTCTTCAATTTGGGTTTGCTATTCCGGCGTATAAAAATCTCATCTAGCCGGAGTAAAGCCTGGCATGGCATCATACGACGTATATGATAGCCTTAAAGCTGGTTGGTTGGTGTCTTAGGGCATGAGGCCATGATAATCGTTAAGAGCGCTGATGATCATTGATGAGCCTGGGAATTAATTGAGGTTTTCAAACTCTATTTTCACGGTTGGAACATTTTGTTCCTCGGCATATTTGCTTGAATGCTAGCCTTCCTCTTTCCTTTCACCCACGGCTCAATTTGAGTTGAGGTCAGAAGCTTCCCCCTACGGTTTTAGAGCCGGACATAAACAGCAGGCAGGGATGGGTCTATTTGCAAGTTACGTGAGTGCAAAAGGTCTGCATCATCTATTACAGTCAGGCCCCAATGTTTGCAAGCAGGTTTACAGACATGAATCAGCAACGATCTAGGGAGAACCTTTTGTGTCAGGATGCCCTCATTGATTACCCTTTGTGCGCAGAACTGGTAAATGCCTTGTACCTGCGAAATTGAAATATGCAAGTAGCCAGGTGCCTTGGTAGACAAACAGTCTGTTGACAGGCAGGTGCCAGGTGTCAGGGTCAACACCTCTCAAACCAGCCAGTCGCTGCCTTTCCTGACGGCTGCTTGCAAACTGTGGCGTGCCTTTTCCTTTACAGACCACTAAGAAGCAGCTGCAAGTTGCAAACGCAATTCTTGCAGGAGCTCGCTTGTCAGCCCTGATGCCTTGCGCAACATCTTATTTGAGCAGAACCACCCTTCCTCTCTGCTCGTTCGGATCTTCCGTCTTCTCAATAACTTCTCGGTCGTTACCCTGCCTGAGATTCACAAGACCTCTATGCGCAGAGGTCAGATTCCTTCCAGAACGAAAGCCAGCATCCTGTCACCCTCAGCCTCGCCAAGATGCCGTCAGCCGATTCCACTCATGGTATGCATTCCACACCGACGAGGCAGGCTGCCTTCATCGCGTCCTTTCCCACACTGCTGACCATTTTACCTTTACTTCACAGAGGTTGTGCCCGCCAACAGGGGCTACAGGCACTACTTCTTCGCATTCACTCCCCAGTGCATGCGCCTTGAGAGCGGTCACCCCTGCCAGGACGACCAATTCGGCGTCACGAACCTGAGCACCAAGCCCGGCTTCATCCCCAACGAGCGTGTTGATCAGTCGAACCTGTCCAAGCACATCATCAAGTCTGTCGGCGCGGTTGTGCGAGAACACGAGGCTTCAGACTACATGCAGATCAACTACGGCGCCCCAGAGATTCAAGCCGCCGTCATGCATGCTAACATGCCGCTGGCCCGCTTCATTGTCCACTGTCCTCCCTGCATCTCCGCCATCACTACCGCTGTACACCTTTGTCAGGCGAATAAGGACGCCATCACTGAGTGGTCGGTGCGCGTCGAGTGAGTACTGATTTGACAATATGTCCTCCACCCTGGCTGTTTTTGGTCTGCCACACGGGATTGGATCCACTCTAACACAATTTGCTGAGTAGTCACCGTCTTGACTGCGCCTGCTGTCCCAGTACCACCAGCGCTCTGGAGCGTCTCTCTATGATCGCCGATACAATTGTGGACGCCGGAACCGGCCACCACTGGGCCAAACCTGACAGCTCCGAAGCGCAGTGGATGAAGTGGATTGACCGTGCTTGGCTTGAAGGTGTGCTCTACGATGCGGATGACCACACTACGGCATCGGCGCCTTCTTCTAGCAAGCCTACAACCAATGCCGGCCGCGACTACGCGGGTATCCGCCACCTTTTGTCCTTCGAAGGCAGAGTCCGGGAGAACACTGTTGCTGTCATCCTAGCCGATGTCGACAGCGCCTCTTGGATCATCAACGCGTCTCCTTTCCCCACAGTGAAGCGTCAGCCTCGTGCCGGAGAGATGTTTCATATGAAGGAAGAGACTGTGGGCAGAACGTTCACGCGATCGTTCCTGGGCACTTTTGAGACGAAGGGAGCCCTGAAGCGCCGTCGAGTCTCTTCCCCACCGCCCGAGACTACTAGGTCCGGCCGCAAGACCTTGGCCCAGCGCAAGGGTCGATCCACCAAGCAGCTCTTCGACCAGGATGAGCTCATGTGAATCTCGAGGCGTGGTCCACATGGTAATCGTAGGAGGATGATAGCTTGCTGGCATAAAAGAGCGTACGTGAAGTGTCAGCGTGGTCCACTCTAATGTCGAGGGACATCCGAGCTAGAGAATTGACATCTTGAGCTTTGTCATGTTGCTATCACAAGCTAAGGCTGTACATGTACGTGGTGTTAGGCATTGAGTCAACGAATCAGAGAAAAGTATGGGCACTCTTGTTGCTCGCTTTGAATTCACCCGAGTGCTGCCGGCGGTGGAGAGGCCCTTGCCCCTGTCCGTGGGCCAGGCAAGGATTCTCCACACTAAGTATTGTCGGTTTCTGGTCATCGGCACAAGAGCTCGTGGCTTCAGATCTTCTTTTGTGTCCGATGCGGACGTGATCTCATAATGAGAAATCAATTGGACTCCTTTTCATCATCACTACTGTATTCACTTGCATCCTTTCCCTCAAGTGGTTTCTGAGCACCTGAGCACCTATGAGCAACCCTGTCAGTCAAGATCTGGCCTTGCACCCCAAATTCCCCGCAGTCCCACAGACCTACTCCGCCTCCACACTCTTCACCCACATCGCGACGACGACGATAATTCGTCCGTGACTGTATTACACTCTTACCGCTTACCTTTAACCATCCACGGCTCTGCGCCGAACTCTATTTGATCATGGTGCTCAAAAACGTCCTTGCCGGCAAGACGGCCATCATTACAGGCGGCACAACTGGGATTGGCCGCGCCATCTGCCTCGAGTACCTGCGGCAAGGGTGCAACGTCGCGGTCAACCATCTTGACCTCGAGAAGGACAAGCCACACGTCGAATCCCTGATCTCTGAAGCAGAGAAGCTCAAGTCCACCACGGAAGCCGGCCAGACCGTCGGCTCGTTCGCGCACCTCGCAGGGGACGTGACAGACCCGGCGACGGGGGCCAAGCTGGTCTCGTTCGCGCTGGAGACATTCAAGACGGACCGGCTGGACGTGTGCGTGTCGAACGCGGGCATCTGCACCTTCGCCGAGTTCCTGGACCTGCCGGCGGACCTGTACTCCAAGACGGTGCGGACGAACCTGGACGGGGCCTTCTACGTGGTGCAGTCGGCGGCGCGCCAGATGGCGCTGCAGCAGTCGCCGCCGGGGGGTTCCATCATCGGCATCTCGTCCATCTCGGCCCTCGTCGGCGGCGGGGGCCAGACCCACTACACGCCCACCAAGGCCGGCATCCTGTCGCTCATGCAGAGCACCGCCGTCGCGCTGGGCAAGTACGGCATCAGGTGCAACGCCCTGCTGCCCGGGACGATCCGCACGCAGCTCAACGACGAGGACCTCGCCGACGCGGCCAAGAGGACGTACATGGAGGGCAGGATACCGCTCGGCAGGACGGGCGAGACCAAGGACTTGGCCGGCCCGGCTGTGTTCCTTGCTAGCGAGGAGTTGAGTGGCTATGTGTCGGGGTCACAATTGCTGGTTGATGGAGGGGCTTTTGTAAATTTCCAGTAGGCCTGAGGAGGTTGAATGCGATAATGATCAGTCAAAAAACTCGTCTGTCCTGCGAAAGCGGGGCCACACTGCGATCTCCCGGTGATGTGCCAGCAGCGTCTACTTCTCTCGCGTCCTCGATTCGCGCTCATCTTGTTACTAACAATATCTTGTAGGAGTGTCAGATTAGCAGCTTGCAGTATTATTTAACACAAATAAATTCCAACTCTAGACGGTCCGATCTTTTCAAGCCCTAAAATATCACACAAATGCGTATTCTCCTTCCTGCTACCTCTGACGATACTACTTGGATCCAGTCACTCCGCCATGAACAAAATGTAGCCTTTGCCACTGACGCCTCTGACCCTTAGCCAAGAACCAGGTCTATTTCAGTCCGATTGAGACGTTCCCACGCTGCCCTCTCAACCCATCCAACTCCCAATCGGTACGCAATCCCATTCTCCCACTCCACCCAAAGGACACGGTATCTCTCTGAAGTGACGGCTGACTCAATACTGTACTGTTCATGTACGATCGAACGATAGATCGCGACCAGTTCGACAGATTGTCCAGGGCCGGCCTTGATATATTCGTTCGAGGCAATGAGAAATGGTGTCAGCTGGTCCACGGAGTGGAGATAGAGCTCTCCTACTGCCGGGCCACTACACTCTGTGCGGATTTCCAAGACTTGTAATTCTATATCATTTGGCAAGCCCAGACCATAGAGCGGTGATCTCTTTGCAACTTCTTCCCAAAGATCGACGCTGCAGACGGCCCATAGACGAGCCATTTGTGTTTTACAAAACAGATATGGCGTCTGTTCGGGCATAAATTGTGGCGTCGACTCTTTGCCTTCGGTAATGGTAAACGGATAATAATAGTAGTTGCCGGGGAAAAGTCGGTGCTCAAACGCATATTCGTTGCACCCGGGCGGACACCAAGATTCATCTTCGCGTCTAGTCATAACGTCTTTTGCCTTTCGACGAGTCCAGCCCTCAGGTAATGGCTTCATAAAATCCTTGTACCCGTCGTCGCGGTTCTCAAACCAGGTTGATTGTATCTTTCTAAGATGAGTACCTTTTGCAGAGTCTGAAGTAAACCAGTCTGTAACTGGAATTGTCTCCTCGGCTGGGTTATCTGGAGAAAGATTGCTGATTCGGATAGCTTCTTCCGGTCTCATTATACCATCAGTGACTCTGCCCTCCCACCCTACCCACGACCAGGAGGGCAATATCCTTGGAGAGTTCATAAGCCGGTCTTTCTCCGGTCGCTCTGATGGCTTCCGTCGCCGCGAGTCACGACCGCCACACCACCCCAAAGCTTTGTCGAAGAACATTTCTGGTAGCCCACAAAGAAACCCGCCTTGGAAAGAGCGACTGAAAAGTGCAAGGATCCCCGAAATACCGGGAATCACATCCTCGTCGTAACTGAAACTGCGCAAGTTGTAATCAGACATAAGTGTCATGAAGCATTCGATGTCCGGCAGGCCTCGGAGTATTCTATTAGGTCGATACATAGGATCCTTATGAGGGGCGTTTGGGTAGACTTCAGAGCTGCAAACCACTTCCTCATGCCAATTACAGCACTGACAGTCCCAATGAATCTTCCCATCTGCGAAGATAAGCCGCCTTTGAGACATGATGTATTCTTGGTAAGTCCAGCCTCTTGATTGGTAGCGCCCGAGGTTGATGGAAGTTTTTGGGAACACGAGCTTTTCTTCACCGAACGGAATTAGCGTCTGTCTCGCTCTGAGAGGACTTGAGACCCCTTTGAGGCCTAGTATCCCTTCCACGGAATCTCCCTCGGCGGCCACGATGGTAATCAATGCGCTTGCGTAGAAGGCGCCCATGAGATTGAGTTGGTGTACTGTATCCGCGCTGTCGTCCTGGACGATGCATAATGCGTCCACCCAAAGATACCGCTCCCCAATTAACGAAGTGACACTCATCGCATGCCGGACAATCGGCGCCACATGCGCCGTAACGAGTGATGCAGGCTTTCGTAGCGTGGCGAGAATCTCCTTGGTAACCTTCGGCCATGAATGATTGCCCCATCTGTAACTCAAGGCGACAAAGGCGTCACAGTCTCGGCCGGGGACTATGCATTCGCTCTCAACGTCCACGACCCAAAATGGCTTCACGGACGAGACTTTGAATGGATTGTCGCACTTGGTTCCATGCTGCTCCAAGCATCTTTTCTTCCACCCTCTTGCGAGCCGAAGATCAATCCATTTGGGATCCAGTGCGACTCCGGTCCCAGGGTGATCTGGAATAGAGTCTCTCTTCAGCAATGCGAGATGGTACGCAGATGAATACTTCCCAGTTTTAAGCTTCAGAATTTCGACTCTTTTGCGTGCTGGACGCCTCACGGCCCGGAGAGACTTGAAACTTTGAATCTGCGATGCTGTCACAATTTCTGTCCACCCTCCATCTCCCGTGTGCCTCGAGTGTCCCATAGTATTTGCATCTTCGTCCTCACTTGAGTCGCTTGTATCACTTCGCTCTGTTGAAGTGGTCTTCGATCCTTTACTGCAGTAATTAAACAAAGGCGAATGTCCGGGGCAGCCGGGAAGGATGGGGTCACCAGCAAAACCGAGCATGACTTCGCGGTCAGCTGTCGGGTCCAGGAAGCATGACCATATGCCACGACAGACTTCACATGTCGTTGTTGAGTTGTCTAGAGATGCTCCAGGGTCGAATCTGGTCTTTTGAATGCTCATTGCGATGTCCTTCATCTTTTCCAGCTATTCTGCTGGACAAATAGGGAAATGTTTGTCGAACGGGAGCTGGCGATCAAGTATTACCTTGTCTGCATTTTACTCATTTGTATTGAACAAGGGCAAGTAGATAAATGCCCAGTTGATCCTGCCCCCTTGTGTAAAAACCGCACCTGCTTGGTGCGATTGGAGCCTGATCAGGAGCCCTGGTGCCGCCCCTTCTGACCGCATATGCGGGCCGTGATTGGTTTTGGTGGTGTCCCCGAAACTTACACCGTATCTGCCCGCTTACCTATGTTTTGCATCCAATCTCGAACCGTGGTTCAAAACTGCACCGGCGGCTGTCTGGTTGGAACGAGATTCGACCAGATTGGTCGGCGCGAAGGGGGCAGTAACATGCAATTCAGCAGCCTGCCACAATTTTGAGGTCATCCGGGCTGAGTCCATTGACACGCAAAAGCGACGGGGCTCTTTCCTATTGACTAGAGGAAGACAGAGGACTACAAGCTGCAGAGAAGAATATTGCACATATACATACATATATAGTGGGCAACAATACTGGATACTGTAAGAGAAGTTGAAGGTAACAGCTTAATATTTCTGACTCCCAATTCTCGAGGTAGACGAAAATATCCTCTCTGGACACATTGCTGGTCAGATACAATTGGTATCTTCTCGAAATTGGAGCAGTTATTAGCCTCTTGAAAGCCAGGAATATTCTTCTATCCTGTCGCCTTTTTGACAACCGACTGTTCAAGAAGGCGGCAATATTGGATATCGCTTCATGCGCCGCAGCCTCTGCTAATTGAAACAGTTCCTGGCCGTCCGGCTGCTGTGAGAATAATGTCTGTCTTCAAGTAGATAGTTCCCCGCCGTTACAAATCCGTTCAACAAGGGATATGAAATAGACAACCTCGAGCCAGCTCCAGTGCAGATATCTGACTAAGTGGCGTACACACGGTCTAGAGCTCGAGCAGAGTAATACTAGTTCGCAATTCTACGATAGTTTCATCTAAGAGCGGCATTATAAGAGAATCACAGGGCGCGATCTAGGCAGCTACTGGGCGGACAGCTATCGATACCGCCAAATTTGTGAAACCATACTTGAACAGATTTTGACGCGGTGGCCTCGCATTACGACATGCGGCTTCCGAAGCGCCGAGCAGTAGACTCGCGTAAAACACGGAAATTTCCATTGTGCTGCCCCCCCCTTCCCCTTGGGGAGCTGGACTCGACCCTCGCATGAGAGAAGAAGCGCCAGCAAATCATGACTGGACTCTCTGCAAGGCCCGCGGGAATAACACCCTCAAAGATGGCCGTGTGCAGGCGGGAGATGAACCTGATGCTTGTATGTCAGAATAGAGGAGAGATCGACAGCGCAGGACCTCGAGCTTGCAGCAAAGTCCGCCTAGCACTGCAGATATGGCAATCTCCCGCCCGGCGACGGAATCTCGCGTGAGCTGTCATGGAAGGAAGCGTCCTGAAGATCGATGCTGCCTTGGGGTATTAATGCCTAGTGTCAGCACTTGCGGGATGATGAGGAGCTGTTGGAAAGTGGCCTGATGATGTTGACTAGAAAATTTTACAACCGGAGTGGATGTCCAATGGCGAAAGCTGAAATAAAGCCGTTCTCTTGGATATTGAATGAAGAACGAGCGTTGGCGGATAGAGACATCGTGCAGAGCTTCTAGAATCTGGCGTGTTGCAACGGCCTGGTCCAGACGCGCCGACGCAACGTCATCCCGAGCAATAAGCTTCTGTGTGGGTTAAAATGGTCTGCCGGAAGAGACAGCCCAAGCAGATTTGGTGGTGGCTCCATATGTGAGGAGCACGGCCAAATCGGATCCTGCTCCGAGGATTCGAGATGGCCGATATGTCGTGATAGCCTTTACGTACGACAGTACGAGATCGCAAAAAAGGGGGCTGATGCAGTATCGCGTGGTCCCGGCTCTTAGTATCTAAGTTCTCGGCTGGTGGCCTTGGTGCGATCCAGGCCCTTGGACCGGTCGTTCTCGTCTTCGCTCAGGCCAAAACGGGTGCTAAGATTCAATAGACTTTGGAAGGGGTGGTTCTGTGTCGTGCAATTGCGTCTGGAAAAGACCTCCCAGTGGATGCCAAGGTGGAGGGAGTTGTTCAGTCGGTTAAGACGGCATGTTCCCTGGGTGCGCACTTGTGGATGCCAAGCACAGCTTACGGGAATAGCGGGTGGAAAGGAGGATGGTGAGGGCACGAGGCGTGCGTAGCGCAGCGTAAGGTCAGGTAACGTGCCATTCCTAGTGTGCATCCAGAGTAGAGCATAGCAGAGCATAGCAGGGCTGAGCTGAGCAGAGCAGAGCAGAACAGAGCTTACATCGTAAAAATTCATGGACAATCAGGTCACTTTGCAATGGCAGTCGTGATGAGTGGCTGCAGTGGCTTGCATCTGTGATCGTGATGCTCCTTGATGCTTGTTCTGTCTGGCCAGGTCGAGCGTTGGTTTTTCCCGAGTGGGTGAGCGCGACGAAGGGCCTGGAATCGCCGGCTGGCTAATTATGGTTGCGGAGACTTTGGGCAAGGTCCATGAACGATGCCCGTGAGGAGACACTAAGAAAGAAGGGTCCTTCCCTGAGGGTATCTATGACGTAACACTGACGGGTCATTGGCTCCAAGCGCCTTCTCTCGCTGGTGGTGCAAGTAGTTCGGTAGTCTACCACCGTATCGCAGCAGCGGCAGCCGGAGAAGCAGCAGGCAACGATCAACACACTCCAGAGTCCAGTACTGCGTGCGCATGTACCGTCTCGTTGGCACAGGAGCCGAGCGGTTGGTTTTGGTCTGTCGACAGCGGTTTGACAACGCATTACCCACATCCATCTTGACCAAGGCTGGCCTATGCGGTTGAAGTATATCCCAAGGGCTGGAATAAAGTTTAGAGGCCGTTTTCAGATCGACTCCCGCCCAGATACGATGCGATTACAATGCGACACGATACGGTGCAGTACGGTCGCGGTACGGTGTGGTGCGGTGCAAAGCGGTGCGGTGCGGGTCAGCAGAATGGGACACATCGTGTGCATCTATATTCGCATTCTCACGAGTCAATCCACATTCTTTTGCCTCGGAGGAAACAGGCAAGCAAGCTCATCCAAGGCGCGCCCACGAGGCAGCGAGCCGCAGCGACCAGGGCAGGTCGGCAGGACTGGCAGGCTGGCAGGCTGGCAGGCTGGCCTTACAAGGTTGTTCTGACGTGCAAGGGCCCAAGCGAGCGAGCCGAAGAACTCGGCTGTTCCCTGCCCATCCCATCCCGTCTCGTCGTCCTGCACTCTCCTTTCCTGAAGTGGTCCTGCCTTGTACTGTACTGTGCTGCATGTGCTGTGCTGTTCGCCCTGGACGAGTCGCTGAAACGGGACGAGATGCAGCTGGATGGAAACGGACGACGTTGGCCTGCGACTTCCCTCCTCTGCTCCCCTCTCCACTACAAAGCTCCTCCAAAGCTCCCCGAGTACAGAAGACACAGGTAGTCTGTGGTCTAGGTACCTAGGTGGGCAGAGCCTACAGTACATGTGCAGTACGTACAGTACGTACCGCCGACCTGAGACCTGCACCAAGACGCACCTGGCGCGGCGTGCAGCGTGCTTACCTTATTAGCGGATATTAATACTGGGGAACAGTAAGAACAGCAAGTGGACCTTGTTCTGCTCCCCGACTTCCCTCTCACAGTCCCTCAGTCAGTCATTCAGTTCGCTCTGTCGGTGCCTCTAACTCCAGTCTCGGGTCAACAGGCAGAAAAAAAAAGACAGAGAGAACCCAACAGACAAACAGTACTTGCGCCGCACTCCTGCACTGCGCTGCGCTGCGCTGCATTGCACACTTAACAGACACACACTCTCACGCACACGCCTGGGCAACGCTGCAAGCGGCACTCACCACTCACCACCGTTGCCGTTGCGGTCGCTATTGCGGCTTCTGCTCCTCCTGGACCTGCTGCACCTGCACCTACCTGCACCTGCACCAAATTTTTCTCGTCTCTTCTTGGACTGCGTCCCACCTTTTCCCAACCTGGTTTCACTAAAACCCACGCTCACCTTTGTCCCGTAGGCTCCATTATCAGATGGTGCGATTTCTTCATCCTCCCCCATCTCTATTTTCCTGTCGTGACGTGGACGAGGAGGAAGACTGGCCGCCTGACACCGACTGACTCCTGCGCCCACCACCCACGCCCACACCACAAACACCAGAGCGCAATCGCCGGCCTTCAGTCAGTTCCCTTTGAGGTAGTGCGTGCACCCTCTCGCTGTTTGCGCCTCGCAGCGCCCCAGGCCAAGTGGGACTTCACAGTACACGACGAGAAGTCTCATCCCACTCCTTGCAGCCTCCATCGTCCCCTGTCGCCCGCCTTCTGCCATCCTGCCCGGTCGCACATCGCACAACGCCCGCCCCTGTCTTGTCCCTCACGTCACGTCACGCAAAGTGAAGTCACGTCGCAACCGCCACGCCCTCGCCTTCTTCCTCACCTCCGAGCCGGCCTGTCGTCTCCCGCCCTCGACTCGCCCCCTTCGCTGCCATGGCTAATGGCCCTCATGCGCAGCCAGTCGGCGAGGACGCCTGGCTCGCACTGATCGAGGAAGAGTCGCGCGCCAAGGCCAGAGACATCTCCAATCGCATTGACGTTCTCGAGCGCTACAAGCAGGCAGTCAACGCCGAGTATGGTAGCCTCAGAATATGGATCGCGTACTGCGACTACTTCTGGTCCCTCTACATCGAGTGCAATTCCTACGCGAACAATGGCTACCGCCTGTCGCATGAAGAGAAGCTCATAGGTCGCGAAATATTCTCCCTCGACGCTGCGCTGTCCCTTTGGCAGCAGGGCTACGAGTCCATCAGGTACCGCCTGAGCGACAGCCATGAGCTGTGGAATCGTTGGGTCGCCCTAGAGATGGAGCTTCTGTCAAGTACTCGGACTAACCAGGGTGTACAACGCATCACTCATCTATTCAAGAACCGACTGCAGACACCCCACAAGACCTGGGACGAGACCTCGCAGATGTTCTCTACATTTCTATCCGAGTACAACAGGGCCGAATACGAAAGCACAATGAAGGACATTTCAAGTAGCTCTCAGGAGACGAGGAAACTTTGGGATGACCGAGAGACATTCGAGATCAACTTGAACAGGGCGCGGGCCGAGGGGAAACTCGACGAGGAGAAGACCGTCATGCGAGATTACCTTGGCTGGGAGATGAGACAAAATAGAAGCAAAGATGCCTTCCACCAGGGAGTGATGGTTGAGATCTGTCTAGGCCTTTACTCGCGTGCTCTGACTGGCATCTTCTCCAGAGACGACAGCGTCTGGACTGATTATGTCGTCTGGGTCTCGTCTCTGTACACCGTCTTCAGCAGCGGCCGCTCCCAGGCCTCCGATATGCTGCGTATCCTCCCGAACCTTTTGGACACTCTTCAGCGTGCAGTCTCGCACTGCCCCTGGGCCGGTACACTCTGGGCGCGCTACATCCTCAGCGCTGAGGAGGCCGGCCTTTCCTACGACAATGTCGAACGCATCAAGCACGCTGCTACTTCCAGCTCTCAGCTCGACCGGGATGGTATGGCCAGCGTCATTGATTTGTACGCTGCCTGGTGCGGCTTTCTGAAGCGCCGTGCCATGAACCCAAACGCGACCGATGAGGATGCGGATGTGGCCGAGATCGGTTTGACCGCCGCCTTGGAAGACGTGCAGGTGTGGGGCAAGCGATTATACGACAATGAGTATAAGGGCGACCCGAATTTCCGTCTTGAGCGCATCCTGATTCAGTACCTGACCGAGAAGAAAGTCACGGTCGACGAGGCTCGCAATTATTGGAACCAGTTGGCCAAGAAAAGCATCTATGCCGACAGCTACAACTTCTGGTTGACCTTTTACATGTGGGAAATGTCCATATTCGAGACTCAAAAGGCAATGAATGGTCGAAGTCCAACCCCTGCTTCTCTGGCGTCTAGAGGTCTGCGAATACCGACCTTGGCCACCAGCATCCTTGCCCGTGCGGTACAACGACGCACGCTGGACTGGCCGGAGAAGCTCATGGAAATATACGTGCAACATTGCAACGATTACGAGCCGCCCGAAGCCGTCCGCCGCGCCAATGACACCGTGCACAAAGGCCTGAGGGCTGTCGCTGAGCGGAGACAAGAGGAACAAGCAGCAGCCTATTCTGCGCAGTTGGCACAGTATCAAGAGCAAGCACAGGCGTCAGCTGTTGCTGAGCAATCACCGCAAGGTCCGGATGATGCGTCTTCGAAGAAGAGGACCAGGGATGACGTTGCTGACGAAACGTCAGAGAGCTCGAGCAAACGCGTCAAACAGCAAGACTCGGAAGCTGAACAACAGCGCTTGAAACGCGACCGAGAGAACACGTCAATCTACATCTCTAATCTGCCTCTTCCGCCAGAGTCTACCCAGACCAAGGTTCGACAATATTTTCGCGAATACGGGCATATCAACAACATCGTTTACAAGACCGAGATCGACAGCCAATCGGCCGTTGCTCTTATCGAGTTTGCAACCCCTGAGGAATCGCAGTCTGCACTCCTTCGCGACGGAAAGTACTTTGGCCAACAGCAAATTAAGGTGGTTCCTGCGACAGGGACCACCCTGTATATCACGAACTATCCCCCGCATGCTGACGATTCGTTCATCCGCAACCTATTTAAAGATTGCGGCGAGATCTTCTCGATAAGATGGCCAAGTCTCCAGGCCAACAGCCATCGGCGCTTTTGCTACGCTACGTTTCGCGACGCGGACGGGGCGGCCAAGGCAACTAAACTTGATGGCAAGCTGCTTGAAGGCAAATACAAGCTTGTGGCGAAGTACTCGGACCCTGGCAACAAGAAAAGTCGCGAAGGCGCGGTCGAGGAGGGCCGGGAGGTTCACGTCACCAATGTCCCTCAGCAGGTTGCAGAGGCAGAACTGAAGACAATCTTCGAGAAATATGGCACCGTCCAGCGCGTTCGCATTCTCACCACCAAGTCCGGCCAAAGTCGCGGCACTGCCTTCGTAGTCTTCACGACAAAAGAGCAGGCCGAGGCGGCTGTCGCAGAGCTGGACCAGACAAAGTTGAAGAACAACATACTTAAGGTGGAAAAGTCTGTGGCCAAGAACTTCAAGCCTGTGTCTAGAGCTGGACCTTCGATGTCGCCTTCACCAAGTCCCAGTGTTGCGAAGGACGCGGAAGGTGATAACACCATGTTAGACTATGATGATGTTCAGGCCAAGCCCCAGCAGGCCAAGTCGGCGGAGCGAACTTTCGCGCTCATCGGCCTACCCGACACAATGAATGATGCCCGTGTCCGGGCTTTGGTCGAAACTCATGGCGAGCTTGTCAAACTCACGCTTCGCCATGACCACGGCGGTGCCATCCTCGAATTTGTCGATGCGGTCGCGGCGGGAAAGGCCCAGTTGTCCCTGGATGGCATTGAGGTCGAAGGTCGAAAGCTCAGAACGGGATCCGTTTCCGACCTTTTTCAAGAAAAGGGTGAGGTCAGGATCGACCGTATTGACCAGAAGCCAGCTGCGCCAGCTCCTGCTCCAAACAACAGCAAGAGCAAAACTGCCAGTGCGATGATGCCACCTCCTTCAACGGTGGTACGTCGGCCGGTGCTTGGGTCCAAGGGGCAGAAACGCGGGCTTGGATTCGGAGGTGTCATCAACAAGGAACAAAAAGCGGAGCCGTCGTCAGCTCCTACGACAAACGGAGAGAACGGCGTCTCGTCTGAGACCCCTGCCGGTGGGATGAAAAGCAACGCTGATTTCCGAGCGCTTTTACTAGGCAGTGGACCAAAGAAGGACGTAGTGGCCCCGTCGACTGCAGACACGAAGGCTACTGATAATGGAGATACCAATGATGGTGGGAACGACAACTAGTGGTTGTGGTGTGAATGATACTCTACATATTTTGATGCTTTGTACGATAACTCAGCTATGGCATAAACGGCTGTGAACGCGGCTACTGCCTGTAACCGTATCAGATGAAGAATGAGAGGAGGGGTGAAAGGACCACATTCACAATGGCCCAACTGGTGGGTGTTTTTTATTGCTTATACCCCGAGCTGAAGGAGAATTGAAAATCAATCAAATCCAACCTTGTACAAATCGGCGGGCCTTGCGTGGTTGCCAGCACCAAGGAGGTCGGTCATTGTCATTGTCTACCGCAAACGACGCATGTGTCTCCGGCTATCTGCCTCTTGAAAGAGAGGATTCCTCGAGGTCATGCTGGAAGCCATGCCTACGTAGACCTCATTACAGACCAAACAAGTCTGACACTCATGGAGAAGAGCAGTTGCTCATGATTCTTCGCGTCCCATCGTACGTTGAGTAGGATCGTCGGAAAGCGCGAAACCCGGAGAGACTTTACATGACTGGACATCGTTTTGCTATGACCTCTGTTCGTGTCGATCCTTTCGTGTCAATCACATTATTACATTACCCTTGTAAATATTATCCCACTGTGTGAAACTCAATCCACATCCCACAACAGCCCTGATCTTATCTTGATCGGGTGAACGTGACCCCTAAGACCCTCCTCGTTTGTCATGCCCTCTGAGAATCCCGCTCAAGCCATCATCCCATTAGTCCTCCTCATACTCTCCACGCAGCACACGGTAAGTCCAGCGGCCTGGGTGTCAGCCCCATGCCCAACTCCATACCCAGGCCTTCCTCAGGGGAGTCATCCTCATGTCTGCCGTCAGGATCATCCCCTTCGTCTCCTTCGCTCCCCCCGGACACGCCTGCCAACATTGTAGTCCACTCCTCCCTCGCGGGGCCCCAGCTCTGCTCCTCGGTCGATATCGGATACCCGAAGACGGCAATATGCGTCTCCACCGCGCGCGAAACCTGACGTCCCGTATTCGTGGCCGAACCCCTGCCCACGCCGTATTGCCCTCCCTCGTGGAGACCAGCGTCGCCTGCTAGCTCAGCTATCTCCGAGCCCCCTCCAGGGAGCAGCAGCGCCGTCCGGGCCTCCTCCGCCGTCCCATGTCCACCACCACCACCACCAGGTGCGTTCGCCGCCTCGGGCTGGAGCACAAACCCGTGGCACTTCCTCTCGTGGTCGTGGAGGTTGTCCACGCGGTTGTAGTTGCTCCTGCACCCGGCATGGCCGCAGTAGAACCTGACCTTGCCGTGCGTCGACTCGACGTGTCGCTTCAGGTGCTGCTTGCGGTTCTTCGGGATGCCCTCGAACTTCTGGCCGCAGAGGTCGCACACCTCGTGCTGGCTCTTGACGGCGGCCTTGTGCCCTCCCATCATCCTCGGCGGCTTCGCTCGGGTCCGGTTCTCGTTTTCCGACGGGCGACTGCCCTGGGGCCGAGTGTCGAGTGTGTTCACCGTGATGCTGTCTTGTGTCCCTGCGTCGAAGCTTGCCTTTCTTGCCATGGGGCGTCGTGTCCTGGTGGTTCGCCGAGCTGTTTGGCCGCTCTCTTCTGTGACTTGAGAAATGCAGTCCAAGATTTGGTGGTGGTGCTCTTCGTATGTGGCTGCGACCTGCGAGATGGGAGGGAAGCTCGGGACGTCACTCGAGCGGTGAAGTGGTATTGGCCATGTGTTCTGTTTCTGCTTGTGTGGATTTGGTATCCGAGGTGCTGCGAAAGAACTCGAGAAGCTGGACGCAGCCTTCCCTCGAGAGTCGCTGTATTGTGCAGATATAGCGGTATTCAAGGCATTGGGTACCAGCCGTAGATCGACCTTTGGACTTTCTGTCTCATGGGAGAGCGTCTGGTCATCCCATGGCGCTCGATCGGCTTCTGGAATTTCCATGTCCTCGGGAGACTCCATGAAGGGAGACGCTTGGAGATATGGGACAGGAGGTATGCTGAGATGGAGGTTGTTTGTATGGATATTGGGGTGCTGATATTCATCCATCGTGGTTTGAGGAGATACTATATAGGGCGGCGGTTGTTCCGGCATCTGTGAAATCTTTGCATCCCCATACGCTATCATATTCTGTGAATCCTCACTCCAAGACTGGTCCCTTGATGATGGTGGTGTTGGGAGGGGCCGGGCCACCGAGGAGTCTCCCATTTCCGAAGGCCTGTGAATGTTGACATTGTTTGCATCCAACTGAGCAGGATGCGAAGTCGATTCGACCTCGTGCAAAAAGAACCTATTAGGGTCCTCCATTTCTGACCATACATTCTCGAAGTTATGACTTTCTTGCTGCATCGGAAATGTGTATTCGTCACTAGATGCGACTTTTCCTCTTTTGGTAGCAGAAAGCTCGCCTGTGCTTGTGTTGTTTCGGCGCTTCCTGTTCGAAAGCCTTCTCAGCAACTCAACCGGACTTTTTAAAGTGGCGCAAACAGCATGCCACCGCTTGAAGTCGTGACATTTTTGGCATGTCCAGCACCGTATCTCTCCCTTCGATGCTTCTGTGCAAGTGGCAACATGATAGATCTGCTCCAAGGGTGTTGCAGACGTATGGAAGCATTTCAGCATCGGACACGGCTGAGGACCCAAGTATGCCGCGCTCAGGTCATCTCCAGAGACCTTGACAATCTCTAGAATTACGGCTAGGACGGTGCGTGCTGCGGTTGAATCTTGAAAGTGGTTCCTTTCGTGTAGCGCATCAGAATAGTCTTCACGGCAAAGAAGCATCGAACTCACGGGCATGGAGAAGCTCTTTGCAGCTGACTGTTGTTGCCGGCAGAGATGATCTGCTGGTAGTCAGGAATATGCTGCTCCTGTGAGTATTGACGCTCCATGTTGACTGGGCGTTGTCTCGGTCTATTATTCGTTGGCTCCCAAAGTTTTCGATATGGAGAAAAGAGTGCTTCTATCAGTGATCTGGAGAGTCATTACTTGAGAAAAGAGTCGTCCAAATCAAGGGCGATGAGACGTAGTTTTGAACATGGCTGCCAGCAGTATGGTCTAGTATCAGAATTGTGTCTGCTCCTCACAAACACAGAACAACGCGCGTCCTGACCGCTCTTCGAAGCCCTCGTATCGTAGGGAGCACTGTGATTTCACCCTGCGCTGCTGCAGGAAGACGGAGGGATTTCACCCCATTGTGTTGAGGCTGTCTAGACTTCAAGTGGCAGATAGCAAACTGAGTGGCTACTGTCGACACCCTGAACATTGCTTTTCTTTCTTCATTTCAGGCAAATGTGGTCTGGTCTGTTGTGGCCTGGGTCCTCATTCGCTCATCCGTAAGGCAACTGAACGAGGCGACGATGCCTCTTCCGGTAGCTCCGGTAAGCCTGCGATTTGCGCCCATTGAAAACCCCGCCATTTTTATACTTCGACTTCGTTCCACCAAAAAAACAGGTTCTTGTCCTTCATTCAGCTTGACAAGGGGCATGCTCTGGTAGGGACACTGGTCGTGTCTGAAGGGTGCTGGGTGATGTAGGGAGACAGCCCAAGAGAGGCCTCCGCTCGGGTAAGCGTCCAGGTGTTAGGACTGAGGCCACAGGGCTCAGCATGGCGTAATTCGCAGCCTCGGGTAATAATGACAAGTGTCATGATTTATCCGGGTGGAAATGGGACTCGCATGCCTTCTCCGTGGACCTTGATCTTTGTCAAGTGGACAAAGTTCACCGAAAGCATTCTCGGGACGCGCAACATTCCGGGAACTGAGGTGGATTAAATGCTCCTCTATATACTCTACACTGAAGGCAATGTTTTTGCACTGCCACTGCAGTTCAAAGATTTCATGGACGCAGGTTTTCAGCTCATTGGGGCTGAGCTCCGTTGAAGCCTGCACGAAGAACGGCAGACATGCCACAATGGTCAATTCAAACCAATAGTGTCTCCTACGAAATAGACCCCAGCCATCATTCACTTCAAGAGGATGCAGGTGTGGGAGACACTGGCCAAAAGTGAGGCTTACGAGCCAACGATCTCTCCTTGTGGCTATCAGGCTCCAGGGTTGGTGGCTACCGCTAATGCATGTAAGCATTGCCCTATCGGTCGTTTGCCTTCTTCTGAATGAAGGGAATTTCCCCCCGCACGATGGTTCGCATGCGGATCTGATGGTGGTCACTGTATTCTCACCAATTGCATGCCGCATTGGGGTATGAAGAGCTACTGGATGAATGGCCCTTAAGCAAATTTCTATTGCTATTCAAATACGCCATTTCCTCCAAGAAAGGCCTTGCCAATTTGGTTAGTGGTCCTCCAGGTTTGAACGTCCATTTCCTATTCAAATGAAAGCTACCGGAGTATAGATTACCAAAGTGCTTCTTTTTCAATCAAAGGCAAACTCAACACATGAGTCTACGTCCTCGAGGAAATCGGCCAGAGGTCCAATTTCAAAGCGCATGTTGCTCTTGCAGAATTGACAGACCTCAAGACCTCAAGATGTGAAGTGCGAGGATGAATTGTGATCTCTGGAAGTCGGTGTATTAGGGATTAATCTAATCCATGTCATGTTGCATTTTTGCGTCTTACGCCTTACAAGCCTGTTAACCATGACTTTTCTACCACAAATGGGAATCAGATTATATAATCAGGTCCAAATCCAAATACCCCATGTGTGTCGGCGAGTTCGAGCTTTGGCCATACATATGTGCGTGAAAGTAAAGACTCGAGTTGTTTGATGTGATCGAATGTTTCCATGTGTAACTTGAACTAACTCTTTTTAGGATCGGCGTTTGGATTCTCGCCACTCCTTTGCTCGACTTGCAAATTTTGGCACGATATCAGACAACCTTCATGATGCGAACTCTGGCAATACCATTATATCATCCAGTATGAGACTATACAACAGAATTACACGTGACAGGCGTCCATAGACGCTTCGTAACAGCTGACACGGGCCTGTGGTGCTTATTAAGTACTTGCTAAAGGATGTACTTGCTAAAGGATGTACTTGCTAAAGGATGTACTTGCTAAAGGATGTACTTGCTAAAGGATGTACTTGCTAAAG